GGGGGGGGGGGGGGGGGGGGGTTTGTTTTGGAGGTGGAGTTTTGCTTCATGTATATGATACCCTTAGAGAAGTCGTAGGAGGACAGATCTGGCCTTAAGCATTAGCTTTGTCTTTATCTTGTCTTTTATTTTTAGCTTATGAGTACTGTATGTAGTGTGAGTGTCTGGAATATATATAATATAAAGAGTAATTCTTGAGAAGTGTATAAAACTCGGTTAGAATTCGCGAGATAAATCTTTGTTCTACATACACATTCATCCCCTATTTATTCCGCGGAACCTATGTTGTCTCAAAGTATGTGTTTTTGAGTGCGCCCCTTGTATATTGTACGGTTAAGTAGGAATCTTGAGCTCCTGCTGCTCAATACTTTTGAACCTCAAGTATGATAGTAGGTCATCTAATTCTAAGAAAGGGATGGTTGTTCTAATGTGTAGGCCGTTTTTCAAGCTTCTATATATATATTATCACATAGAGTATACTAGAGCGAGAACTAGAAGCACAAGGGATATTAAGGATGTTAAACAATACCGGGTACACCCAATATTAGTGATCACATCTAGTTCTATTGAGTTAGTCGGGCACACGGATGTGTATAAGGCAAGGTTACCTGAACGAAAATTAATTCCATGTGTTCTGCCATCTATCAATCCCATGGAGTAAGACTTGATTTGGAAAAGGTTAAAGGGCAGGCCTTCGTGAGATAAAGAACTCAATTGTACGGGCCTCTACCATAGAAGCCGCGTCTTCTACAGATCCCTATGGTTGTTATATACAACCTCATTTCGCCATATTCTCCCCTGTTACCCGGTCCCGAACCGCCCAGACTCCCCGAACCATAATCCCAGAAAAGATAGTTAACGCCTGCAAATGCGCCCACTCATGATATATCTGTTCTTAATCCCTCAGCCAAGCCCTCCGTTTCTCCTCCTTTCTAGCCTTCCGCTTTTCCTTGAACTGTTTCAATTCCGTTTTGGATAGCTTTTTGCCACTTCGCTCAGCCTTCAAGCTTCGCCCGTCATGGCTATTTGCAGCAGCATCCACGTCGAAGAAAGCATTCATCTGCCTCTTGCTCTTATTCTCGTCATTGTAGTTCTCGGGAGTTATCTCTGAGTTCTGGAATCTGCCCGTAAATCGGTTGAAAGCGGCTGTTGCTGCGTAGGCGGCTGCTGGATCCGCAGGTCCTGCGCCGGTCTCCTCGGCGGCGGCAGGTTGTGCGTACCATGCCGTCGGATCGTAGTCACCATGGATCGCTGGGTTGTACCCGTTCGTAGGAGGTGCAGTTGTGGGAAGCGTGGGAGCGGGAGACTCGACGCCTGGAGGACCCGGTTGTGGTGCTTCTGCATCTGGGACACGGGGGTTTGTCCATTGCGAAGCACCTGTCAGTCGGTTGTAGAAGTAGAAAGCCTGTGCAGATTCCTCCCAGACCGGCGCCCATCCATCGTCATTCTCTGCTCCTGCTGCGGGAGGTTCTTCTTCCGGTAGGGGGGGGATTGCTTCCTCTGGTAGTGGAGGTGCCTCTGTAGTTCCATCCTCGCCCGACTGCTCGGTCGCTCCATTGTGTGCTTCCACCCGGCTCTTGCTGCTCTCCTCCACTTCTTCTCCCTCTTCCAGTTCTTCCTGCTGGGCATCTTCTGCGTCCGCTACATCATGGCTCTTCTCCTGTCGTCTCCCAGGTTCTGGGTTCGCATCATCCCTGGCCTTAGGTGACGCTGGTGCGTCTGATTTCGCGCCCTCTCTAGTAGCTGCAGACATGGTATAGCAACTCGCGGCCACTGCGCGACCAATATCCACTAAACAAAGGAAATATGACTGCTGGTGCTAGAAGAAGTCGCGATGTTGAGTTGATCGGGAAATGTAAGTTACAAAAGCCACAAGTAAATTCGCGAGATCCATGACGATCTATCACAACGAGCCAACCGGCGCACACGAATTGTCGCCTTAGCAATCAGGAACCAAGACTTTGTTCCTAATCAACAAGTCCAAAACAGTGTTTACTATGATACAATCAAGGTTGATCTAATTCGTGAGATGCGCTAAGCTATACATTATATATTTGACTTTTTACTAATCTTACACTATTTACAAGCCTTCAAGGCCTCTTCAACCTTTCTCGCTATCTCCATTGCTTTTTCTAGATCAGGGTCCTGTTGATATGAAGCTTTGTTAGCATCTCTCAGTACTCCTCCCACGACCTCCTCTAATGCTTGTATAGTACTCCTACCGCATTCTCGCACTTCTCCTTCCCAGCGTTTCCGCGATAACTCCCATTTACCCTGTAATTTCCAAAGAGCAAAGACGATACCAACTCCCGCAACTGAATAGGCGTCTAAATATTGGGCAGGGACAGCAGTAGCGGCAAAGAGTGGTGTGAGTATATTATAAGCATGTACAAGCCCAGCCAATCCTCCCGCGATTGCGGACGTACCTAGCGCCTGGAGGACTAGGCTTTGTGCTGTTGCTTGCAAAGACGAGACCGTAGTAGAAATAAAATGGCTTCTTGCAAGGAGGATATGGGATGGCCATGGCGGGCCATCCGTACGAGGAGGTCGTATACCGTCCTCAGGAATTGAGATATCCATCAACCGGGGCGGTGGCGGCTCTGCACCAAGTTTATGCCCTGCCCGAACAAGAGGTACGGGCTTTCTCGGCCAATCCCGTGGAGTTCCATCCGGTCGTTCACTCAGGGTTGTGATTCCCGATTCCTGAATGCGGCCAGCAAGAAAGATGATTTCTTCCTCTGCGTCTCTCAAGAACCTTTGGTTAAGTATATCGGTAGTGATCATGGATACATCATCAACCCGCCAGAATAATTTCCACCACTTCAGTTTTTCCCATCGACGTCCGTTGAACGCTATATCTAGCTGATCTCGCAACTCCGTGTGGGCCCGTTCCGCCCAAAGAGTTAATGATTCCTGTAACGATCGCAACTGAGGATCGGAAACCTTAGTAGTAAGGGCAGTACTGAGTTGGCGTGCTTGTTCTGCTTGAATGGCCGAGTTCGTATTTTCCAAAACAGACTCGATAAGCCTCCGTACAGGGAGTTTCATCGTCCCTTCAACTGGCGCTGTTCCGGCTTTAAGCCATTTCAGAACCTCTGGTGCACCACTTGCGGACCAGTTGTGCTCATAATCCAACGCATTGCGAACACTCTCCCGGAACGATACGACGGCTGAAGTGCCTAAGGAAACATCGATAATTTGGAAAGGAAGGGGGGGTTCTTCATCCTGACGTTTATATTGTAAATCCACAGCCAAGTTTATAATAGTCCTGTCTGTATTTGGAGGGGCTGACAACAACGAGGCTGCACCCACAATGCCCTGTGATACCAGGAGTGACCTGTGAACCGGTGTGGTGACAGGCGTATATCTTCCAGTATTAGAAGTCGGGATTTCCATTGTAGGAACTAAAACGGTCTCTTCGAAGCTCCCATCAGCACCGACCGCGGCTGTCGGAGGGTCCGTTTCCAAAACTAGAATTTCTAGTTTATGTCCATTCAACATCGGCGAAGACACATGTAGTTCCTGTACCATCCGGCTGCTATACCCCGATTGATCCCCAGAATCGTGTCCAACACGAACGAGCAGCGGCCTGCCTCCAGGAGCACTATCGAGCAGTATCTGCTCCCATTTCTCCTCGTCCTTGAGTGGATCCGCAAGGAGCAACCTTAAGAGCTGTTTTGCTTTCTGCAAAGAATTTCCGCCATCTGCGAGGCCTAGTATGGCGATCCTGATAGTCTCATCCCCCGGCGTTTGCTCAATGCCGCGTAGCGCTAGCTGTAGCCGCGAAATGTTGACATAGTTCCCTGCGTGTTTCTGGAGGTCGAGCAAAGCACTTCGAAGCTCCGCACGGGATGAGGTTTGCGTGGGCGATTTTGCGGCTGCCGTGTTCAATGAGTTAGCTGAGTGAAATTGTCGCCGAGCGGTAGCTCTATGCTGCTGGAGCTCTGGGGACCGCCGTGATTTCTGGGAAGGAAACCGTAAAGTTGGCGAGGAAGTACAAATCGGGCAGATTTGGGGCGATTTGGGTGTGGCGTAATTTGACAATCGGGGTGGGCGTGACCTTGAGAGCACAATTCCAGCTCGCGGTATTCGTGGAAGCATCGTGTCTACTCGTGGAGCAGAGTTCCCCCCGCCAGAAACAATCAGATTGGGTGAAGTTGGAAGTGGTACTCGAGAATTGATTTATCGCCTGAAATATAAGGTTACAGACTGAGACTACTTATGAAATCACCATTCCCTGACAAGTCAGGGCCATTCTGGAATTTCAGGGTTCTGGTTGTGTTATTATTGATAGTCATGTTTGATTAATACCAAGGCCACCAAAAGCTCGATCTAGTTCATCTCCTTGGGCTACCCCACTCGACGTAGCTACCGTGGGGTTGGGGAGACTCGGCGCATCAGCTCTTGAAACATCCGCGTCCATTAGATTGCCCCGCGCATGTGTTTGTTCTTGGGATTCAGAAGTCGAAGCATCCTTTCTCTCAGGTTCTAGTATCCTTGCGTCGCTGTCCAGCCAGCCCGGAGCAACCCTCCGCTTCTCTGCAAGCTCCCTCGCAGCCATAGCTTCGTCCCACTCCCTAAGTTCCTTGTCGGCATCATCCTGAACCTTTTGAATGTATGCTTGTAGTGCTCTGCAGGAGGCTATTATCTCATCTGGGTGTGCTCCATGGCCGGAGGTCGAGACCACGTACGGCGCCTTCTCTTCGGCCGACGACGAAGCTGGCGTGCCCGTTGATGATGGCGGTAATGTTGATGGTAGAGTCTTGTATGTGTATGGCAAGGTAGTCGCCGTTGGAAGGGACACAAACGGAGATACTGTGAGAGGCACTTGGGCCAGTAATGGGTTGGGGCCTGTCAGAGTAAGCTTTCCTTCGATCAACCAGAGGGATACTGGGAGCACATACGGTTATCATGCATGCCTGGACTGGGGATTGCGGGTACGAATCGGGGCGAAGTGGCAGAACGAAATGGATTGGTGGTAATATTTCCCGGACGAGCGTGGAAGGATTAGGCTTGTCTTGGAGTTGTTGAGTTGAGGCTCTGGAGGGCTGTGTCAATGCGATGCGATGCGATGCTGCACTAAACTGATTCTCGGGAGGTGTTTGATAGGTCGCCACACATAGTGAAACCCTGCTCGAACGGTTTCCTGGGAATCATCATCAACAAGGTTGGAAATGGGACTCGGAAGCTGTCTTCTATTAATACTATCCTCTAAAGGGGGATTCTACACTTATCTTGATGGCTGCCTTGCCGTGCGGGTTTCTTTGTCCACCGGGAGCACCCGGGCCACGAGCCGGCCCGCGTTACTGTAGCAAGTGTAACTATAATAAACCGTACAAACACTTGCTACGTCATAATTCTTGCTATTCCTCCAAAGCGCCCGTTGCAAAATTTGTGTTCCCGAGAATTCTATATATTGGATGTGAGATAGGAAATCAATAGACCGGAAGGAACTATTGTTGGCTATGGGAGTACTCTATTCGATTCCTTAACCAAATACATTTTGCGGTTGAAAGATATTCCTCGATAATCTCCTAGCTTGACTTGTACATAGCTATGAAATATACGTGATGGTAATAATAAACCTTGCGGAATAGCGTATGAAATACTTGGGTTGAGTAGTGAGTCGTGATCGCCAGGAAGGCGGCCCCACACGTTCGGCTGAAGATAACGACGCCAGAATTGAAAATTCAGATACGGCTGTATTTCCTTATTTTGGAATATCCTACTTGCCTTTTCAATTATACATTTTCACCTTTTCGGATAGAATAGGATCCGAAGCTCGTTGAGAACTTGAACTTGAACCCAGCTGAGCTTATCGCCTAACTCAGGCATTCAGCCGCAATTGACTCCATAACTCAACTCAACTCAACTCAACTACTTACCTACATATCCCATTAAGGAGTAAAAGAGAATACAGGTAAAATTAATTTGCTTTAGCCTTTAACTCTATAGTCTATTAGAAGCAAGGTTGACTTGAGATCCCGACATAAAAGTAGCGAGATATCGATCGTTTTTGAGTGCGGGGGCTTTCATCTCCCTTGGCCGGGCAAGTGCAGAAGCGAGGCGGTCCAATAATGTGCACATTATGGTCATAACAATAGCCCCGGTCTAGCCAGCACGAACGCCATTTCGGGGCCTTGACCGCGGCTCACTGGCACTTGCTTACTGGCTTAAGAACGAGCGGCGATCTATCGTCCCCCGCCCACTGGCACAACCCATACGAGAAGTACTTGCTACATAGTACTCAGGGACTTGTACTACATCTGGGTTGTGGAGAGAGTAGACTACATCAGTCACAACCCTTCATCGCTTGCAGCCTTATCACCACAGGACAACAAGGAGCCTCAAGAGAACGAGCTTTTCGCCACAAGACCCACAACTTTGCCCTACCTCCTGCGGCCTTGCGACTGTGAAGTGTGAAACATATCGTCAGCGCCTGTGTATCTGGCTGCGTTGAGCCGCTGACAGAGAAACCGCGCCAAGTGAAGTTGCGCTTGTGCGTGCTCTACCCTCTACTCTCTACCCCACGCACCCTCAAAGCTCGCCTGGACCTTTCTTCCCCTTTGCCACAAACACAAACACAGGCATAAACACAACCACGGCGTTTCCTACCCAAGAGCCCTTCGCAATTCCACCTTCTCTTGAGCTCACACCAAACTGCGACCCGAACCCCGAAACAACACAACACACCCTCCACGCTCCCTAGCCACGGTCGCCCGTCATGGACGCCGAGGAGCCAACAAAGCCCCTCGCGGCTCGCAGCGCCGACAACAAGATACAGGTTGATAATGCGCTCAGGGCCATTAGTGAAAAGAAACCGATCCCCGAGATAGATTTCACCCTACATACTATGGAAGATGGCTCAACAGTCAACACAATGGAGCGCGTCTGCAAAGGTAATGATAATTCACCACCTGCTTCTGCCTCTACCTACAGCGTGCCCCATGGTTAATTCAAACGGCTGACATGACGAGCAACAGATGTCCAGGCTCCAGCTATGCATCCACCAACCGATGAGCAATTTTTCTCACCCGAAGATCCGTCGAAGCCCAACCTAGCATTTCTTAAGCAACATTTCTACAGAGAAGGACGCTTGACTGAAGACCAGGCATTGTTCATCCTTGAGGAAGGGGGTAAGATCCTGAGGCAGGAGCCCAATCTTCTGGAGATGGATGCGCCAATCACCGTTTGTGGTGATGTTCACGGCCAATACTACGACTTGATGAAGCTGTTCGAAGTTGGTGGGGACCCTGCCGAGACACGGTACCTCTTCCTGGGTGACTACGTCGACCGAGGGTATTTCAGTATCGAGTGCGTTCTCTATTTGTGGTCATTGAAGATCTGGTATCCTGATACTTTATGGTTGCTCCGTGGAAACCACGAATGCCGGCATTTGACGGATTATTTCACGTTCAAGCTCGAGTGTAAACACAAGTATTCGGAGAAAATCTACGAGGCGTGCATGGAATCCTTCTGTGCCCTCCCACTTGCTGCTGTCATGAACAAGCAATTCTTGTGTATCCATGGTGGGCTGAGCCCGGAGTTACACACCCTAGACGACCTAAAGAGCGTATGTATCCCCATAGAAACTATAATGGCATGAGTATTAACATCCTCTATAGATTGATCGTTTCCGTGAGCCTCCTACTCACGGCCTAATGTGCGATATTCTCTGGGCCGACCCCCTGGAAGAATTTGGCCAAGAGAAGACGTCAGAGTATTTCATCCACAACCATGTCCGAGGATGCTCGTACTTCTTTTCGTACCCCGCAGCTTGCAACTTCCTGGAAAAGAACAATCTTCTATCCGTCATTAGAGCACACGAGGCCCAGGATGCTGGATATCGCATGTACCGCAAGACTCGTACTACAGGATTCCCTAGTGTCATGACCATATTTTCCGCACCCAATTATCTCGATGTCTACAACAACAAAGCCGCGGTCCTTAAATATGAAAACAACGTCATGAATATCAGGCAATTCAACTGCACACCACATCCGTATTGGCTACCAAATTTCATGGACGTCTTCACCTGGTCGCTCCCATTCGTCGGAGAAAAGATTACGGATATGCTGATTGCAATCTTGAGCACATGCCCCGAGGACGAACTCAAGGAAGATACGTCCACCCCTTCAAGCGCCATAGCACCAATTTCCCCACCCGCTACCACCCCAATGGACCCCGAGTCCATCGAGTTCAAGAAACGGGCCATCAGAAATAAGATTCTTGCCATTGGCCGTCTCTCACGAGTGTTCCAGGTCCTACGAGAAGAGTCCGAGAGAGTAACAGAGCTCAAGACTGCCTCGGGAGGCAGACTCCCAGCTGGTACGCTCATGCTTGGCGCGGAGGGTATCAAGAACGCAATCAGCAGCTTCGAGGATGCCCGAAAGGTGGATTTGCAGAACGAGAGATTGCCACCCAGTCACGAGGAGGTTACTCGGCAGAGCGAGGAGGGCAGGGCCCAGGCATTTGAGCGAGCGAGAGAGTCGGCGGACAATGACAAAGGACTGCAATTACTGTCCAGGCGTTTGAGCACGTAAGCATCCCTTTTCCACATAATATCCTCAAAGTCATACCATACTAACAAAACTCCCCAGTGACCGAAAGAGATGACGAACCCATGATTTTCCCCACCGCGGGTACTCTTTTTTATGCACACAAAATGGATGGGCTGGACCAAATCATGACCAGATGATGAATGATAGAAACAGTGTTTTTCTTCTTGATATTTGATTTATGAAAAACACATATTGGCTTACTGGGCACGGGAAAACTATCCAAATTCTTTCCCCTTTTGGCCACTACAGTAAACAGTTTTTTTTTACGAGATTAATGCCAATAATAACTCCCCGCAAGGCCACATTACTAACCTTATTGTTTTCGTTCTCTGGGCAAAGTATCAAGCTATTTTCGTTTCCTTCCGTGATGAGTACGGCGTGCTGATTCTAGTTGCCTGCGGGGTGGGAATGATACCTACTTACCTACCTACCTATATCTACCTGGTGCGTATAGGTACCGTATTGCAACCGCAATATACCACGTGACAAATCGTGACGCGGGGTGAGCTACTAAATGATGGAACTTTCATAAACATACCCCATATACTAACGACGTTCATAGGAAACCAAAAGAGATCCGATCGAGATGATTCTCCCCAATAACTAGCCCCCGATTCGAAGAACGAGCATGTGCCGTCTTCAAATACCCCATCCAAAGCCACTATTTTCCAACATACGTCCAAGATCAACCTTCAAGAAATATAGTCCCCAACCAACCCCCCCTCACCCTGGACTTTAACAAGTCCCGTCCCTACGTCCAGAAATCCAAAAAAGCTAACGCCAAAAATACTCCAGCATAAGCATCAGGGAAGCCCTCATCTCCCATTCCCTCGTCTCCTCTCGAGCCCCCTTCCCCCTCCGTCTCCCCCAGTTTCTTACGACCCTGATGTTCCGACCCCATCATTCCTGTCCCCCTCGCGTTTCCCCTCGCCTTCACCGTCCACTCCATCGATCTCGCCCCTCCTCAGCCTCAATTCTCGCTCCTCCCTCGCATCCCGCTTCTCCCACACCAGATTCTTCAACCACTTATTCTCCTCCTCCAACTCCTTAACCCTGCCCTCCAGTCTCGACAGCAGCGTGCGGCGTTCCTGGGACACCCGCTCAAGGGATTGCTCGCGCATTTTCTTCTTGGCGCGGAAACGGGCCGACGCTGCTGTGTTGCGGAGGCGTTTCTGTTCGGCTTCCGGGTCCGAGAGGGCAGCAGTGCCGGGTGTTGGAGGGGAGGTTGGGGAGCTGGGCGAGAGGATTCCGGCAGGGTAGGGCGATATAGGGCCATTGGGATGGAGGGGAGAGAGGCTTGCGTGTGCTGGGTCGATGTAGTAGGGGACGAAGCCGTTTGGGGGTGTGCTTTCAGTTGAGGTGGATGGGGTATAGTAGGGATCGTAGTTGTGAGGTTGGTATGGCTGGCGTTGTTGGGATTGCATCGTGTATGGGGTTATTAGGGACAGCTGTTGCTGCTGGCCTTCCCATGGATTGTAGGTTGGTGAGGTTACTGCGACAGCAGCGCTGGTTCCGACGGGATTTGCTGGTGGACGCTGTCAGCTCGAGTTTGAGTCTGGGTTGTCTCTTTGGTCGCCAGCTCCGTGCGGGTCCAAGTCACGACGGAAAGATATGATAATTTGACATGCAATTTTCAGACTTCAACAACTCCAGAACTGAAGATAATTCAAGAAAGCCACAGCCGCAGCCGCCATTGTGAAACAGCCATAAATACAAATGAGGGACGAGCTCTCCGTCTCGGTCTCAGTTGGGGAACCGCTGAAAGTAGCCCAGAATGACGATCTGCATACCGTCAGGGGCGCGGCTGGGAGACGGGTCACGTGCAATTTCACCATATGCAGTTGGATTGCGGAATTGGGGCTGGGATAACGACGGCGCCCCTGACTGGTGCGCAAGGTACTGACACATCTGGACTTCCAGAATTGTTCAGGAAGGTGAAGATCGCGATGCAAAGAAGGGGGATGTTGACGTGGGGAGTGGAGGCGGATGTACCAGTACCAGTACCAAGTAAGCAGTCAGGCGAGGAAGGGAAGGGTTCATCGTCGACCCGACCCGCATATTCCTTGTCTGATGAGAAACTTCCCAGGACGTAATGCTGATCCGCTGCTAGCCGCTGTCGTTGACATTGACCTTGCCATTGTCGTTTGTCGACAGGTTGTCGACAGGTTGAGAATAGGGAGTGTAAAATGCATAGTCGATGAGGATGAGGATGAGGATGAGGCTGAGGCTGAGTGAGGTTGGTCCATGGAGTGATGCTCCTACCACTGCACAATTCCATATGAATTGTTCTCGGTTCCGGCACCAGCTCAGCACGCATTCAGGGACGTCCCTGTTCCTGTAACTCTGGAAATCGAGACCCCGAGACTTGATATGCCGTAGGAGTGGACACCAGCTGAGGCTAGTGATCCAATCACTGAGAGATCAAAGCTCAGGGAGGTAAAAAAAAAAAATTCAATGGGAAGGACGGAAAGAAATAGATGGGGATAGTGCTGGAAGATAAATGCAAGGGAAGGCAAGGCAAGGCAAGGCAAATATCAAGGTAGCTGTGCAAAACCACTTACTTGGGATTTCAACATTCTGTTTCCAAGCCGCCCAGTCAGCGAGGGCGCCTTGAACATCATGATCAGGACGCTGAGCCTCCGCGAATGGGAAGTCCGTGGCTTGGGCCAAAGCCAGGTCCAAATCCAAATCCAAATCTAAGACGCGGCGAGGCTGAAGAAGCTGCTGGCGGTTCTGCGTGGCCATCGGAATATCAGATGGTTTCGGGTTCGATGTACGCTGTATGTCCTTCTTGCGGGACAAGTAAGGGGGCTCGGGTCACCGAGCGGTGTTGGTGGTTGGACGTGTACGACAGCTCGTGCTCTGGGTGCAGATAACGCAAGATGTGACGGTGATGGGAAGGGGGGAAAGGGGAGGGGCCAGGCAGAGGCGGAGCGTGTATATATGTATACCTTATATATAACTATCTGAAGACAATGCCTCCGTTTTGCGTGACCCGCGACGAGCTGCCCACCTGCCCACCTGCCACCCGGAAGTCTGGGTTTAAGCCTCTGAACCACATCGATTCAAGCTTTGCCCAGGGCCCCCCGCCGCCGTCAGTCCATCGTGGGAGGCAAAAGGCGCAATTGTTAGCTAATAGTGCTGGTTGGGAACCTGGGCTTGGTCCGGACAGTCGTCCGCGCCTTTAGGGTCGTGGGGAAGCGCTCAAGGTCGGGCCTGGAACCCCACGCCCGCCTTGGGTTCAGACTTCAAAGGGGGCTCAGTAACAGGTAAACAGTAAACAATGGCCCTGGAACTGCTCCACGCTGTCCGCATCTGTCAGATCGGTCTGCATCGACTGCATATCCCCGAATCCCATTTCAAGGAACCCCCCACGCCCAGCCAACTGCGGCCAACATCCAGGGCGGCCAGCGTGTTTGAGGCTGGCGTCGGTTCTTTGATCGCGCTGCAGAAGCCGTTGCTATTTGCAGGACGAGCCAGGCATCGGGGCTGATCCGTCTCGCCCATGGATCGGCTGGATGCCCCGTATCGGGGAGGTTTGCTTCCCCGGGTTCGCCCCCAGGGTTTTCTGTTCCGTGCGGGATGTTCTGGGGTTTGTCTTTCCCCTCGCATGGCCGTGGGACAGCGGGTGTGTCGTGGTAGTATATGTGTGGCGAGGATTAGATTGTGGTCGATTGTATCTATGTACATATACTCGAGTACGGGCCAGCGAGGTTGGTTACGAGTACGGAGGTACATTGAGCTCGGTCTGCCGCTGATACCGCAGTAAGCGCTCTCCTTTCCCGGCGGGTGCACTACTGCCGGCAGTGGCCAACACAAAGAAAACAGAATGAAGGGACGAAATACTGCATACCCCGGCATGATTCAGATGTGTCGGACCGTAAAGGGGGCATATTCGGATATTCCCAGCGGAGCGCCATGTATACAGTACATTGTAAACCACCAACATAGACCTAAAGGATGTTCTGGGATCTGGACGGGGGTGGTGTAGTTTATAAAGTAATAAGATAATTTATAAATTAATGAGGCAAGGTAGAAGGAATACTTCACTATCCTGTCTACGAAGTATTTTATACTTATGCGGTGTTGTCACTAAGTATCTATTCCCTATTCCATTCTGCCGAAGGCACGTCTTGCTTCGGTGTAGGGAAACCCCCATATTATAACATCCCAGAGACTACCTAGGTACATAACTGCTTTCCATTTCTAAGCATCTGGCCTTTAAACCCGGTAAAGATTTAAATCTCGAAACTTCTCTCGTCAAACTGCTCGTGGATGCGAGGAAGACTTAAATGAGATCAGATAGGAGTCGATTCCTTCTATCAAAATGATATGTCAGGAAATATCTTAACGTATAGCTAGCAGACTTGCAATTATAGTTTTATAGAAGAGTATAGCAGAGGTCCCGAGCCGCCGAGCCTAGGATAGAGGGTATCGATGCCGAACGAACCGTGGGTATTTTCAAGTCGAGCTCGGGATTCCGAAGTCCTAGAAAATCACCGTACCGGTTTCTATTTTCATAACTCTCGTCAGGACAACGGACTTCCCAGAGAGCCTCGTTAATAAACCTGCTTCGTCGTCAGAATGAACTGCATGGTACTACGTACTTGGTAGGTAGTAACTCTAACTCCATGCAACCTGCCTCCTAGACGCCGAAGTGCTGATCCTCCACATCTGAACGCTTCCCCATAGAAGCCAATCCTTCCGCATGGAATTTGGCTGACATACCAGGGGTAAACCTCCTCGTGGGTAACGGCTGCTCCTACAGTACCTCTACCATGTACCACGTATGCACCGGCTCATGTCCCATGCAAAGTGGCGAATGCGACAGGCCCGCCACCAGTTGCTTGAGATGAGGCTGGAGACCAAACAAACCAGAGCTTCGTTTACTATAGAACTTCAGCAGAAGTATCCGCAGACATCATGGGGAGCGAGGCTCAGTTTGGATTGTGCTGACTCCAGCACTTATGCGGAAATCTGTAGTGGTTGACATCTTGATATTGGTATATCGTTGCACAACAGTTCATCTTCTAGCTCCCATCCCTCGATGGCATATTCCACTATGGCATCTTGTTACACATACCATTTACTCACCACGACCGACAGGTGGATCACTCCCCTGGGGCCTGGAGGAGCACTCCTTGGGGGCATCGTAACGCCCCACTCGAGGCTGTCAGCGATGAAACCCATTGTGCATTATACCCGAGGGAGGTATGAAGTGAAAGAACCAAAAGCAAGGAGAGTAATGACGCCTCGAAGGGTTTAGCTAACCCTTTCTAGCCATTGTGTTTAGCTTTTACGGAATTTATTGCTGCCAACCACCGCATTAAGGAGGCGACCTCCTATCACCTGCCACGCATTTAGCGGGGAACTCCACCATATCCAAGAACATCCCGCGGACAACTAGACTTCTAGATACAGCTCGGCTACTCGAAGCTTCTTTCGATGGCGATCTACGTTGGTGACTTCTCACGAAGCCGTGGGGATGGGGTTGGAAGATGCATAGGCAGTGGGCGGGGAGGGTAAGCCCGAATTATTTGCCCCCCGAGTTTTAAGCACACCGCTAGAACCGCCAGTAAAGAGAGTTCGGCCGCTTTCACAGTGGCCTTGCTTATGTTCTTACTCCTTGAAGAACTTTATAGCATAAACACCTTTGACCCCTTTTTCGAGCGTGTAAGTTCAAAGTGCAGAAACCGTGCTGACCAGCATGACCCCTTAGACAATAACTTCTTAAGACTCCGCAAATAAATCATAGAACACTCTCCAAACTTTAGGGGAGCGCGATCATAATAAAAAGGGGTCCTTCCTAGCCTAGAGTTGGGATTGCAGGCTGGCACGCGTGGCTGATTACTCCTGAGCACGCCATAGGGGTACAGAATTGCATACACAACAAACACAACATAACAACGCAACAACACCACCTACGCACCCCTTCAAATCTGGAACCCAGGCCATCCCGTCGCGGCTAGCACGTATTTTGCATTGGAATGGCTCGATACTTCTAGAGCTGTTGTGCATGCACCTTCCTCGCAAAATTGATAAGCAACTCAAAGTTCTCCGTTGAATCATTCTTCCACAAGGCCCACTTGGCGAGTCCTTTGAGTTTGACGGATGAATCAGTCAAAGGAACCTGTTTGATTGATGAAAGAGCGCGATAGGGTCCCGCGATAAGTCCATCGGCCCATCGCAGCCGACAGTCGCATTCCTAAATCTATCCTCCTAACGGGTTGAAGTTTGGCCCAATCCTGGTGTGAGGGTTTCGGCATGATGGTCACGACGCAAGAGATGGCGGATTTATCACCCTAGTTTTATCCTCTAGAGATATGGTGGGGATGGACGGAAAAGGTTGTTGAAACAATGTTGCTGATGCCTCGATAGGATGTGGACTCCGTCTATCACGAATGCCCTCATCACCGCCTAAAAGATCCCAAGAGGGTCAAACAAGCCTATTGTCGAAGGTCGGATACAAAGCACATTTCATCATCAGCCAGAATCTGGGAGAAGATCTCAACATACGAACCGGTGCTGAAAGGAATACTTTGGCGGAGAGGGGAATAATCGCGCAGTTGCAGGTTAAGAGCTATTCCTTAGACCACGAGACCTAGGGGGGCCTACAGTGTCTGCCACCACGATCGAGAGGTACCAATCGCAGTCTTCGAAAAATCGTTCGCAATATGGACGGCAAAGAGACCTTCGAACAGAGAGTTGCAAAGGATAGCTAAGCCGGCGCCAGAGTGCAAGTTCAAGTTGCGGGGGTTGGGCCTCCGAGAGAAAGGTAGACTCGGCATATAGCTCGGAATAGAGGGCCGCCATCATGTCGAAGTGTATGCTCGATCATACTTGTCTACGCCTGGCCAAGATTCAAGAGAGAACCTTGGAATCTGGGCACACGTCGGGGCTCTAGAGAATACTTGCTGGCAGGCTGCTTGGGAACTGAGCTTACGGGTTGAAGCCATTTCCTTGAGGGACCTGAACATGGCGGACGCAGTTGATGCGCATCCGATAGTCGTCGAAACCGAGCGCCGGGTAACTTGGAAGGGAGCCGAGCGCGGTAGAGCAGCTATAGGGGGGGCCTACTAAGGTGCTAGTTTCTTCGGCCTTGCCATCCGTTCCTCGTTTCTGATTTCGTTTCCAGCCCGGACGGCCTTGGTATCTTGAGAGGAACAAGCTCGTCTATGAGAAGTCCTTCACAAGTATACACCATACCTATACGTGTCTCACTATTGGGTGATAATAAGTCCTGGTGTGAGATATTGGCGACGTAGAGCAAAAGGTCGCTTCCAGGGCGTAGTGGTGCCCTTCGCAGTAAGTGGCTTGCATGATTGACAAAACTTAAAGAAATAGAACTCTTTTCAACTCCATCAAGTGGTGTGCCCCCTGAGCGACGCGAAGTCTTAAAAGCACGGCCTTGCCACGCGTTGCACTTGCTCTAAGATATATGTAAAGTACTCGCGGCGTAGCGGAAGTACCACTTCTGCCACCTACTGTCTGCCTCCTTGGCCAATCACCCAAAACGTGCTTTCTTGATGCCAATAGACGAAGCGTACCTTGGTACGTAGTAGACGCAGTAATCTTAAACGAGCTGAACTTTGCAATTCTGTACGGCACACAACTTGGCCTTCCTGCAATAGAGGTACACTCGTGGAGCCCCTGCCCGCCATGTGCGTGGCATATTCCAGACGCCTGGCTTGACACTAGAGGGAATGAGGGTGGTGGTAAACGCTTGATTGATTAAGAAACTTCGCATCCTGAATCCTAAACGAGACACCACCAGTATCTATATCATGATATTTTGGGAACGACGAAGCATGAAGTGGCGGGCAGCCAGACGGTATAAATAGATTTGCCATTTGGATCGCATGGCAGGGTGAGATTAGGTGCAAAGTAAGGGGAAGCCAGGATTGCTTCAAGGAGTGTGGGAAGACGTGCAGAATATGGGAATCTCCAAACTAGCCCTTGCTGGTTAGCGTGGCTTCCCTCATCCTCAGGTCTTCAGCCTTGCGTGTGAGGTTTCTATCATCCAAGAAGTTCGCAAAATTCACCACATTCGCACTCCACGCCGCAGCCTCACCGTCTAAAGAATCGAAATTCTCGAGCATCAATCTCTCGACTACCTAGTACTAAAGGAAGAAGAGGGTTTGTTCACGAGAGGAATAGTCGTCATGCCGCTGACCACGATTCGCACCGCGCCTTCGGCCGACTCCTTCACCTCGCTCGCAGACCATCAGTCGCAAACACCCACAAACTTCTATGGTGGAAAGCCTGTTTTACACTACCAAGGCATCGGTCACCGCGCAATTGCACCCCGATCTCAGATATCAAAATTACCGATCTTCGCACGGGGCGCTGATAGGCAAGCGCAGTCAGATGTGGCCACCGACTCGGGACAGGATGACCAAAAAATCGTCGAAGTGGTAGACGCTTTCATTAGCTCAGAGTATGTTTTCTCTCCCCTGGCCCTGACTAACCGGGAGGCAACCCATTGACATTATTTGTCACTTTAGGAATCTCACCTTGTTCAACCCAGCCACTTCAACCGGCGTTTCGATCCCGTATCCCGCCATTTCACTCCACGCAATTCAGCGACTGGACGACCCCTCCAACTCCAGTCAGGAGATACAGGGTCTTTATATGCAGCTGGAGCTGTCGGATCTCTCCGCTGCTGCCAACGACGACGAGGAGCAAGAGATTGTCGAACTGACGCTCGTAGCCCAGCCGTCGGACACGGGAAGTTCGGCGATCCAAACCCTGTTCGAGGCGGTCTCCAATTGTTCAAACTTACACCCAGACCCAGCATTTGGGGATGAAGATATGGAGGGCGGGGAGGACAGCAGGATAATTTTTGAAGGGAGTGTTGGCTATGATGGTATCAGTGGTCTTCCTGGGGTGCAGCGAGGCGCCGCCGATGGTGGGCTCCCTCCTCCATTTCCAGGCAGTGGTGGCTGGATCACTGCTGAGAATGTCTCGGAGTATTTCGACGGCGATGGGAACTGGATCGGGGGTGAAAACGGTGCGGGTCTAGGAGAAGGCGCTGGCAGAGTACGGGCTCGAGACGAGGTGGACGGGGAGGAGGGTGGCGTTAACGGACATGGAGCGCCTGATTCCGATGAGAACAAAAGAGCTAGAACCGATTGAAGCGGGGAGCAATTATTGGGGCAAAAGCTGGGGATTGGAGCAGGAGCACTGGCCCTCCCTACATTGTCAAATCAGCGATTAATACTATTAGCGGACCCCTGTGGGCGACGGGGATGTGATGTCCTAACCGCATTATCGGATTTCCGTGGTTCATTGCTGGACAGCCAAAAGCCAACAGCTGATTCTTGCTGATGGCTACACAAGGCTAGCAGACAAGCACACAACTTCACAAAGCTTTCGGGGCAAGAATCTCACTCTGTAGGACTGTACGACGGACGAAGTACCACACCCCTCATATGCTGTCCGCCCATCTTACCTGATCCAAGGAGAAACCCGGCGAAGTGAGAGGGATGGGTGTGTGGGCACTGGGTAGTGCTGGTCCTGCATTGCTGTATTATATTCCTTCGTGCCCCCTGTGGCCTTTGGCCGTAGCGGTCGTCTCCGCTGAGCCCGCTCACCTCAGTGCGGAGAGGACGGAGTAGCGGAGTCCCACGCCTGCAACACAGCGATTGATCATTGAATTGACTTGACCCGAAATGAAGTCAAGGGTAAACAACAAACACGTGACGCCCCCTGAGTTGTTTGTTGTCTCCGAGCCCCGATTGTGCCCCTTCTCAAGACTCGACTTTTCAAGTGGGATAAGCATGTGGGTTTGAGTTCGTGCTTGATCAATATCTGGCGTGCAATAATCTATGGAAAGTCCAGCAGTCAGGACGGTGCCCTTACCATCTGGAGATCCAAGCTGCGGATCCTGGAGGTGTCTCGACTGATGGGGGGACATTTCATATATATCATGATATATGCAACCTCCCTCCCTCCCTCCGCCAGTCCATGCGACACCCATGTCGGGGTAATCTTCCAACGCAGCCATTTCAATGATTTCTATTCCCTGCTCAAGCCCTCTGTCACCTGTGCCCTGCTTGGCTCCTGCGAAAAAGTATTTCTCCTTGTCCCGTAGTGCGGCGCAGCCTCCGCGAGTGCTGAATAGTGGACGCTCACTCGCTGTAGTGACCCCCCAAGGGAACAACCTGATTCGAACTTGGTTAGCTGGCCTGGCAGTTGCTGGGTCTCACGCACGTTCAGCTCTAGCTCGGGAGCGACCGTTGTGGGACAAGCCAAAACGGCCAATATTGTCTGACCTGTTGTGCAGACGCCATTTGTACTAACCCTCGATGGTTGCATGCGCTCCCGCCTCCCTCGATTCTGAACGCCAGATAAAGGCTGCGAGACGCAGCAGCACGATGCCCCTAAGACTGTCGTCCTCCATCACGTTGATGATACTGGCCATTCCCCGTTCCTGAAGCGTCGCCGCCGTGGCTGGCTTGTCCGCTTCAGCGTCGTCGACACATCACGATGTCCTCACCTGCGGAGGATCGATTTAGTGGGATTTATCAACACAATGTCTCGACGGATTCCAGTCTGACCGAGCTCGGCTCGCGATCGAACGTCTCCCAGGACACAACACTCGGCGATGATAATAGCTCTGGTCGCACGCCAACTCCGGAGTTGAAGGATGAGAAAGGACAACCCCAATATTTTATAGATGAGAAGGGGGAAGAGCGGGAAACGGTACCCGACGATGATCCGCTCCTTCGAGATATCCCGTGGGCGGTTCGACGGGTGGTGAGCCTGGAGGACGACACAACTCTACCTGTTATTACTTTTCGATATTTCTTTCTCACGTTCCTGTTCGTCGTACCTGGAGCAATCCTCGGCCAAATCGTTCAATACCGAACCACATACGCGCCTTACTCAATATTCTTTGTACAGATTGCTTCGAATTATGTTGGGGATTGGCTTGCCAGATTTCTACCTGACTGGCGGGTCCGGATACCATTTTCCAAATGGAGCTTTACACTTAATCCAGGTCCCTTCAGCGTCAAGGAACATGTCATGGTAGTTATTGCAGCATCATCTGGTGCTACTTATAACCTCGCCTACGCGCCTATTTCGATGTCGGAGCTTTACTTTGATAAGAAGATCCACCCCGCCATTGCTCTCTTCTTCATGTGGGCGGTTGTGATAATTGGGTATGGTTATGCAGCAATTGGGCGTCATTTCTTGGTCTACGATCCCCAATATCCATGGTAGGTCCCCCCGTTCCAGTATGATTTGTCGCTCTTACTAACTTTCATAGGTATCAAGCGTATGTCCTAAGCCCAATATTGCCACCTTTTCTAACCGTAGCTAATGTGTCTCTAGCCTGTGCCAAGCCGCGTTGTTTGAGACCCAAACGAAACAAAGGCAGTCGCCTTCCCCGGTATCCAGAAGGCAGACGATGGTTTTCTTTATGGTTCTTGGTGCCGTCACCGTCTGGCAGTTCTTCCCGGAATTTATATTCCCTATGTTGCAATCGTTAGCCTTTCTCTGCTGGGTCGCCCCCGGCAATGAAGTCGCAAACTTCATCGGCGGAGGCTTAGGTGGTATGGGATTCCTGAACCTGTCCCTCGACTGGGCCAATATCAGTGGTTTCAGTCAGATGGGAAGCCTGTTCTTGACGCCATGGTGGACCCAGGTTATCGTTTTCGTCGGATTTGTAGTAAACTGCTGGGTTCTTCTCCCCCTCTCAAAGTGGGGCGGACTCACTTCATGGAATCATCACCTCATGTCAAATCGACTATATACTGGTAAAGTCGCCCCTAACATATGATCGCCCTTCTCTAATACCAACAGAAAACGGCACCTCTTATCCAATCCTGTCCATCATGACCGATAAGCCAGACCTCAACGAGACTGCGTACGCCGAAATTGGTCCTCCCTTCGTAAGCGCCCAGCTGCTTTGGGGAATGTTCTTCGACTTCGCCACTTATACTTCGGCGTTGGTTTGGATGGGCATCTTTGGATTCCCGCTACTTAAATCTATCTATAAGAAGTACCGAGAACGATCTCATAATAACCACAAGCTATCGGTAAATGAGCAATACACAGACCAGCTCAATGTGCTTATGCGGTCATACAACGAAGTGCCTCTCTCATGGTACATGGCTCTTATTGTAATCTCAGCCATCATCCTCTTCACCACTGTGGGGAACTCAGATCTGTATATTCCTTGGTGGACGATATTTGTAGCAATGGGAACTGGAGCTCTTGTGGTTGTGGTATGTCTCCAATACAGTCCTTTAAATCCCCGAAGACACCAAACTGACAACTTTCTAGCCTCTCGGGTGGCTTTTTGCAGTATCTAATTTCCAACTCGTTAGTACCCAACTCGAAGCCAAGTCTTTCTATAGGATGCAAAGCAGAGTGCGTTGGAATTTTGTTAACATCATCTTAGCCTATCGGGACTGTCAATGAACTTTTCTACGGATTGATGGTCAACGCCGTTTCCGGGTACAAGAACCCAGTCGGCGCTTTTGTTTACAGCACCATTGCTGGAGATGCATGGTATCGTGCCCAGATTATGCTCCAGGACCAGAAACTGGGGCATTATATGCACATTCCGCCAAAGGCCCTCTTTTTCTCCCAAATATTTGGCTCCGTGATCGGGGTGCCTATCAATTACGCCGTTGTGAGATGGGTACTGGACACAAAGGCCGACTTTCTGTCAGGGGCGAAAATCGATCCCACACACCAGTGGACAGGCCAGTCCCTTGCCTCCTCACTAACTATTGGAGTTCAATATGTTTTGATCGTATGTATACCCTCGTGACCCATCCTATGGCTTGACCTCCAAAAACTAATCAACTGTTAGGGCCCTATCCGATTATTTCAGACTCCGTTGTACCGAATAATTCCATGGGGGTTTGTCCTCGGTGCTGGCACTCCCGTTGTACTCTACGGCCTACATCGGTGCTTTCCTCGTGCCAAGTTCACCCTATGGAACAGTACTATTTTCTATTGTACGCTGGGGTCGTTCTGGGGTAACGTAACGTCGGGCACCACATCGAGCATCATCGGCGGCTTCTTCGTCATGTACTGGGCATATCGGCATCACTACGAGTTGTGGGCGAGATATAATTACATCCTCGCCGCTGCGTTTGATGCGGGATTCAATCTCAACTTGCTAATAATATTCCTCGCCTTTGGAGCCGGGAAAATTGTGACGATGCCCAACTGGTGGGGGAATAATGAAGATTCGGTCGAGCGCTGTTTTAGCATGCCTAGTGATTAAAGCGGGAGTTTTATTTTTGGGAACAGCCACGGAAACGGGGTATGGAGTTTAGGCGTCGGCCGTTCAGGCCCTGGGAAATAACTATACCACATTTGTTGGCGGTCCAGTGTGGCGACGCTGATTGCATTATGTAGCGTTAATATTTATTAAACGCAAAAAGAAGATCACCAAGACGAGTTACTTCAACCCTGTATTGCAGTGGGGACTCTAGTGTCGACTATAGGATAATAGGAGACGGTGAATTTAACTTCATCTAGCTTCGGGGATATAGATGCGGCATATGAAGAACTCTATGGATAGGGCGAGTTTTGCTATGTGAAGAATATGATACCAACCGTTTAACCTACTCGTAACAGTTTATCAGAACGATCTACTCCGGTGCGCTGGAGCTAGGTGGGTGGACGAAGGTGTAGTTTTAGCTATATTGGCTTCAACAAAAGATCTAACGAGACGCATGAGAATGTAAAATTCCCTAGCACTAGTTGAGATATTCAGATCGTTATAGCTGGAGAGGCCCTTTCGATAGTCCTTTTGATCTAAACCCCTCCGGCCACATAAGGGGTTATTCGGCACGCTCCGAAATAGGCCCCAACGGCCTAAGGGTTGGATTTTTTCACCGCTACTTGAATGATCAATCTCACTTAGAAACTCTTAATATGCTGAGATCCCAATCACCGAACTTGTTTGAAAGGTTTTATTTGACTAGCTGCCTACGACGACCGAGCGTCATCATGGCTTATGTCTGTAGCGAAGCCACAACAGGGGGCATCAGCTTACATACGATTGCCAGCCGCACTTCCGTCAGCTGGAACCCGAAACGCCTCCTTAAGTGTCCCATCCCATCTCGTAACGAATGAAATTCTAGTTAAGTTAAGAAGGAGGCGTCTGCTTGCGTTATATTTGTGGCTTATTTGTATTCTCAGATCGTTGCGGATATACATCTGAGAGAACAAGAATAGTTCCACTCCGGCTCCTCCCGTCCCGGCCCCGGCAAGTTCCCACGCCACGAGGCTTTCTTTCGCAACCATGTCTTTCCTTAACAACATCAGGTCGACCATCGAAAATGGTATTGAGAAACTTGAAGACGCCTTTGAGGGCCAGACCCAATCATATACGCATCGCGACAACCGATTCCACAGTTTTGCTCCCCCGCGTACGGGAAACGATGCAAAATGGTTTGTCGACGGATGTGGGTACATGTGGGCGGTATCTGTGGCTATCGAAGAGGCTAGAGAAAGTATTTGGATCTTAGATTGGTGGCTGAGCCCGGGTATGAAGCGAACATCTTGACCATTCCCAATTAGCTACTAAGAGAGGATATAGAACTCTACTTAAGGAGACCTCCTTCGGCAAACGAGAACTACCGCCTTGACCGTATGCTTCTGGCTGCTGCCGAAAGGGGGGTGAAAGTAAACGTTATTGTTTACAAGGAGGTTTCCCAAATCCTTACCCGTATGTTCATATGAAATATTTATCTACTTGTCTCCAAGACTAAGTCATGAAATACTGAAATCTCATAGTGTGCTCCGAGCACACCAAGAAAGCCCTGGAGCTTCACCCCAACATTTCCGTCTTTCGCCATCCAGATCATGCCCCCAGTAGTCAAAGCCTACAATCCCAACTCGTATCGGGAATCAAGGACTTCTCATTCAAAACGTTAGATCTCGCTTCCCTCCCTTGTGACGGACTCAAAGCAATTTACGGTGCAAGAGATGATATCATTCTCTATTGGGCCCACCATGAGAAGCTCTGCCTCATTGATGGCAAGATTGCATTTATGGGAGGACTCGATCTCTGCTTCGGGCGCTGGGATACGAACGCCCATCCATTTGCAGATGCCCACCCGACTGATGTGGACCAGGCATTATTTCCAGGACAGGACTTCAATAACGCTCGAGTATATGACTTTGAGGATGTGACGCATTATATGAACAATAAGCTCGATCGAACGAAGAATTCAAGGATGGGTTGGTCCGATGTTTCTTTGTGCCTGCGAGGCCCTGTCGTTGATGATCTACGAGCACACTTTGTTCAGAGATGGAACTACATATTCAAGGAGAAATATGACTTGAAGGGTGACAAATATACAGCTCTGTCTCTCACTCCTTCTGAGACAACTAGCGGCTATTACAAGGAGGACGGGTCAAACGTTCAGGCTGGAATTGATGGGAATTCTTTTCATCTTCCTAGCAGAACAGGAAGTCTTTACGATACCATTCATGATGGCATCACGAGCAATATCCCGCACTTCTCTCGGCACAACACACACTTGAAACCACCCTCAGGAGTCTCTGTACAGTTGGTGAGAAGCTGCACGCAATGGAGTAACGGTGTTCCCCTTGAAGTGAGTTATCTCACCCGATGAGGTCTCAGACTTGTCTAATCATTTAGCACTCCATTGCGAATGCATACATTGAGGTCATTCGGAATAGTAAGCATTTTGTCTATATCGAAAACCAATTCTTTATCACATCCACCGGTGACAAGCAACGCCCGGTCAAAAACAAGATAGGGGCAGCTCTCGTTGAGCGTATTGTCCGTGCTCATCAAGCCGGCGAGAAGTATAAAGTTATTGTCTGCATGCCCTCAGTACCAGCATTTGCAGGTGATTTGCATGCAGAAGACAGTTTAGGAACCCGTGCAATCATGGAATATCAATACCATAGCATCTGTCGTGGGGGATACAGCATAATGGAAGAGGTCCAGAAAGCTGGTGTTCCCGACGCAAAGCAATACATACGATTTTATAATCTGAGGAATTACGACCGGATTAATGCTGGTAAGGATATGTCTAACGTTGAGCAGGCTAGTGGTATTGCCTTTGAAGATGCTCGGAAAGAACATGATGATATCGTTGGCGCCGGTTACGATGGTAAGGGGGAAGAAACGGGTGCCTTGCCTGGCCAGCCCAATCCAGAATACGACAGTTACCAGCAAGCGGCATCACAAGTAGAGAATACCAAGTATGACAGTGTGTGCGAGTGTTATATGGACGGCGGCCCTTCTCTAAAAGATATCCCGTGGTCTGGGAGCGAGGAGGCTGAAATGGATGCTTTTGTTAGTGAAGGTAAGGGATTTGTACGTCACAGGGTAATGATTCTTGTTCTGACCGACTTATAGAGCTTTATATTCATTCGAAGGTACTCATAGCCGATGATCGAGTCGTCATCTGCGGAAGTGCCAATCTCAACGACCGATCACAGGTCGGTAGCCACGACTCGGAAATCGCCGTCGTCATTGAAGACCATACTCTAATCGACTCGGTCATGAATGGCCAGGCATTCCAAGCCTCAAAATATGCCACTTCCCTCCGACGCCAGCTCTTTCGAAAGCATCTGGGGCTCCTTCCCTGGCAGGATTGGGCCAAACCAGATGCAAATTTCCTGCCTATCGACAAAGATCCTAATGTTTACGACTGGGGGTCCCCCGCGGATCTTCTAGTGCGAGACCCCCTCTCCCGCGAATTCGCCAATCTTTGGGATATTACAGCCTCTACGAACACAGAGGTATTTACCAAGGCATTCCACTGCGTGCCGGCCGACAACGTCCGGAACTGGAAAGACTACGAGGCGTTCTTTGGGGATCTATTTGTCTCCCCTGCCGATAAGAAAAATGAGAAGGAGAAGCCGGGTCCTAAATATGCATATGGGCATATCGTGAAGGATGAGTTTCCTGGCGGTACGGCAGAGTTAAAGGATTGGTTGGATCGGGTTAGAGGGACGTTGGTCGAAATGCCACTGCTGTTTATGGATGAGGTAGATTTTGCGGTGGAGGGCTTGAAGTTCAATGTTTTTACAGATGAAGTGTACACGTGATGGATGATATTTATTGGGTATTAGGGTTTCAACTTTCGTATTGGCGGTATCATGCATACTAGTTAAATTTTTCGATGTAGTAGAAATATAGGTTAATGAAGGCAAGGTTGATGTTGACTCATAAATCGGAATATAGATTTAGGAAACCTCCTAAGAAAAGTAAGTTCTCTCAAGCAGCTAATTCCTTCCTGCTTTGTTTTGTAAAGTTCTTCTTGATAAAACTCCCATAAAAAAATCCTCCCACCCTAAGAAAGTAATAAGCTTCCAGGACTAATCAAGTCTTTTTGTTGAATTATTTAATAGAAATTGATATGTTAAATTTATTTCCACTCAGCTTAACTTTATATCAATTCTCCCTAACAACTCACTGTAAGAGCTTCCGAACAGAACTGACATGCAGGGAGAAAGAAGTATATGCGATCGTTACGTACCCTGCATGCCTTCATGGGATCATAGCAAGGTTTTATTGGACTAGTTAAGTGTGTAATGCACCAATGGGTTTTGACTGGACGTCGGGTGACGTGGCCACAATCAAATGCGCTAAAAACGTACTGGCACATTTTTGGGTATTTGTTCGTTTGAGTAGGTTGCCCTCTAAGAAATATTTGATCTAGAATAGTCAAATATGACGAGAGAGGGGCAGAGACGTGGTTTCGACTATAGATCTGTCTCGTTTTAAGCACGTTGCCGTGCAAAAGTATTTGGTCGCAATATATATCAGCGAGCTGCAGTAACGCGATAAGACGAGCGAAGGGCTCAAATGAGATTTTGATTTTAGATCCTTAGCGGATTGCTGGCAAGTCATAATATATAGCTTTTTACCGCACGTTGTTTAATTAGAGAGGTGCTGTAAGGCACGGAAACCATTGTTTTCACTTGAAGACAAAGGGGCCTCAGTTGGATAATGGCATTGGTTCGGAAGAGCGGGGAATAAAGGAATTCGTTGTGAACAAACGGCATACAAAGCAGAGTTAAAGAAACTAACAAGAATAGAATATTGTAGTACTTATGAAAGGAAATAGTTTGGGTTTCTTTGAAGCAAAACTGCATTGTGTATATATGTGTTCTCGTAATGGAGAGTTGTTGCAGGAATTCGATTATAGTCTTCGAAACTTTTCAAGTCTAGTATTGTAGAATGAGGCCACCAGACTCGGGCCCCCCAAGACCCTGTCTATCCCGCACATCCTATCAGTCAGCGGAGTTAGGTGTTGGGAACCCTATTACGGTAAAGTGCATCTATAATTATTTCTTGTTCTGTTTAATGGTTTAATCATCTAGCTAGAATACATATGACTTAAAGCCAAACTCCATTTACAGCCGTTGAAATAAGTAACAGCGCACTGCAAACCGTGAAAACCAAATCCCGATGTCGAGCCCCTATACACAAATTAGCTACTCGTCTCCAAAATCACAGACGGAGGGATATACATACCCTCTTTTGTAGTACTTAGAATTAAGACCACAAAAGCATTCAACGGAACTCTCATCAACCCATATACGTTCGCCCTCACGCTATCGTCGATGATCTTCCCTTTCTGGTAGGCCATGAGGGGAAAGTAAATTCCGCAGCATACTTCAAAAACGCAGAAACTCCAGAATGTAATGTGCTCATTTCGTATTAGTACAGGTATCATGAACGATGCAGCGCCGATTGAGAGTGTCATGACTAATAGAGTTGCAGGCGCAACTGAAGTGTAGTTGGTCACGATGTACTTGTGGATCATAGACCCCGCCATCATGGAACACATTAGGATCGCAAAAATGAGGCCAAAGGGTAGGTCCTCTCCTTGAAGGCCAGTTAGTAGATGAATTTATATTGTTTCGTGAAGAATACTTACCAGATCCAAGTCCAGCAAGCTCGTGGGATAGTTTCAAGGCCGGAAATTTGAAGAATATAAAGACATACATCGATCCCTCGAAGACGGAGGAAGTAAGCCCGAGTGCTAGCAATCGCTTGTCTGTAAAATATCAGCTTGGTCCCCAAGTCCTCACAACGGAAGTGTCTGACCGTCTAGAAATAATCTGAGCGTGCTTTTAGGCGGCGGTTGCTCTTTCCCTTCTAACAGGAGGGATACATCTGTCGCAGTCCCGTAGTTTTCTCCCTGGATACAGGTTCAGTAATCACACACAGTAGATATTGCATTGGCATTTACCCAATTTTTCCACATGATCATAAACGCAAGTGCCAGACATCCAATAGCACTCATAAATGGAGCCTTTTGGGTCCCGGCCAGATCAGCAAACCACTCCGCAAGAATTCCCGACAATACAGCAACAACGCTATTTAGCGTTGTCATGGTGCTAAAGATACCACTGAGTGTCGATGGAGGCTCATCAGGAAACAAAACGTTATACTCCGTCACCATCCAGCTCTCGAAACAACTGTACAATATCGTGGTGCTGACCCCGCCCAAGGCTCTCCCGACAAAGAGGACAATGATGTCGTTGGAGAAGAGGACAAGGCATGAGAGGGAATAGATGACGCAGAAGGCCAGACATGCCAGACGACGGCCGAATCTATCAGCAAGTTTCCCGGTAAAAGAAGCGGATACGGCGCCGGCGATGAAACCAGTCATGAAGAGAGCGGCCACCACCTCTTCTGCTAGTTTCTTCTCATCTGTTAAAGTTAGTTTTCAATCTTTAACTTATTTGAAGATATGAGATTTGCGATGGGAGCGGCAATTGAATTCATGATCCCGTATGCCACTACCGCATTGGATAGTGAAGGATCACATCGTGGTTTATCCCAACCTCCTGAATTACTCATTGCATATGGGCCATCGTAGGGGATTGTATTTCAATTCATGAGGTAGAAGAGGGATTCGCTCCTACCTTTATACAGCGGATAGATATACGGGCCCTTACAGAGTTAGCAATTATCAACCCGGCCAGCTGGTGGGTAGATATACTTGAAGCCAGTCTGCTCCATTTACGAGCAGATAAACCGGAAGAAAGCGCCATTTGAAGGATTTCAAGTTCTCCTTCGCGTCATTTGCCGCAACCTGTCGTTTGGCATCATTTAATTGCGGCTGAGACGTCTTTTTTACCCTATATTCTCGGTATGCCAACAGCACGTTCAGCAGCGCAAGCACCGCAAAGTTCCACAGATAAAAGTCCATTGCGGGGTGATCGGACAGCCAAAAACATCCAAACAAAAGAAAAAGACCGGTCTTTTGTAGTCGCAAAGGGGAATGTTCCACGCGGGAATGTGGTTGCTGTGGCCTTTACGTTCCAAGTTCCCACACGACCGACGTACGAAGGAGCTGGAATGCTGGGCGCAGCACAGCCCACTATATATGGCGGGGGTTTCATAATCTTCGAAGTACGGATCCAAACAGGCGGTTACCGATCCAACTGTTTTTAGATGAGGCGTCAGGTACGGGGGACAATACGTGCGATGCGGTTTTGGGGCGCTGTGGATACGAAGTCCTTGGGCCAATTGTGTCCAGTGTTTTCGTGGAGCTGGAGTCCTACGCCGCACCACCGTGGGGCTGGCGTGTTGATCGTGGGGAAGCCCACAAAGCCCACAACTATAGGGGGCTTAGCGCTTCGTATTGAGAATGTATGATAATGATATAATTACTCCCGACGCCCTACCTTGACGAACTATCACATTGGGCGCAGGCGGTTATGATACTTATCTACCTAGGTAGGTACCTATTTACCTCCGATAGGTAACAATCACGAAAGACTCCTCCGTGTTCTATCAATGATAATAGCAGGAGAAAATTTTAACATCACTCTATGATCTATATCCGTATACGCCAATTCCCTAATTTATTTTACCGACTCGATCAGATTATGCACCGACCGAAATTTTACCTCAACTCTTCGATTCATTACTTATATAGAACGACACCTTTCGATAGCGATGACCAAGAGTCATATCATTGCTGCACTATCTAGTGCTCCCCTCACCCGCCGTTGAAGCTCTCCTGCCCTCCCTGACAAGGTCCTCGGCATGATAGACATCCTGTGCATCATCCGTATCGTCGTCCTCGTCGCTACTTCCCGCTGCGGGATCGTCGTCATCAGCAGCATTATCTCTGCCTCTGTCTGCAAGCTTATCATGATCTTTGGTATCCGGCTTTCTCTTCTTCTCGAAATCTTGTGTGTGTGCGTCGGCTACCATCTTCGTAAACGCCCGAACAGGAGTTGGTCGCCTCCTCAGCGAAGTGCCGCTTGGAGATTCTTGTGCTTCTAGTGCGGTTGCGGTATAACTGCGATGACGGGAGATAGCGGGCGGCGACTCTCTCGTCCCAGTTTCAGATATGGATTCTAATCGCTGGAAATCTTCCTCGGACTCAGCAGGAATAGAGTACGGTAGGGGCACATCGCGAGAGGCTTTGAAGCGTGCAACGTTCGAGCAGTGTTCATTCTCAACGCGGAATATTATCCATATTCCACGACGCGTGATTTCAGAGAATGACACCAGAAACGAGACTATGGTGCTGTGCTGTAGGTCGTGGGTGTAGATTGAGTAGAATATCCAGTTGAACCGCAAGATTGGATCGATTGTCATGGCCGCATAATACCACCATGCAGATTTGTAGCCACGAACGTCTCGGAGAAAGCGTTTCGATGCATTCGGCTGCAGAAGAGACCAATCCATAAGAATATCCCAAATAGCTGATTGATGTTAGTGATCGGTACCGAGATGCAGAGGGGAACAATACTTACAGCTGTAAATTGCGTTGACGACGCCGAATGTTGTGAAAAGAGCGAGGCTACTTCGAGTTTTGTCGATGCGATACATACTCAAGGTGACGTAGAATAAAATAGTCATGGCATATTTCCCACAATTGACAAGATGTGGGAAAATATTTCGGGTATCGCGATAACGCCTTAAACATTGCAGTGCTCTCCAGATTCCAGGAAGTGTTGAGAAGAAGCCGAGTAGCCTAGAGTGTGTTGAATTACATTGGCCTGGATCATTCCAGCCATGCGCGTATAAACAGAAGAATAACTCTATGTTCTGAGCAATTATTAGCTACTATTAATTAATCAGGTTCGGCTCAAACTTACACTCATGCAGTATGTCAAAGAACAATACATGTCTCCAAGGAAGAAGTCCCGAAACTCCACAGGGTATAATCCAGCCCAAATCAAACGCCACTATGGAAGACTGTTAGCCCAGTATTGATACGTCGGAGTAGAGTAGCTTACATGCGAGTAGAGAAACCAGCTACGAGTCCTGTGATACAGGATCGGAGCAGGGAAAAAGATCAGAACGAGAGTTGCGAATATTAAAACCACCGGATAGTATATGTACATTTCATGGGTTCCGTAACGAGAGAAATTTATCCAGACAAACAGCCCCAAGAGGAAAATTAAAAACGAGGGAAATTCAGCCAGCTGCCTCCAATCAAGGTGATGTCTAGGATCAAATTCGAAAACGAAGCTGTAATTGATTTTATTTCGGGTCCAAATGCTGCAGTCCAAACAAAACCAACAAAACAAGTAGAGAGCGAGCAAGTATCCGGCATAGAGTTGCAATAGGTAGCTTGTTTGGACTCGGACAGTCGGATCAGGATGTGATAGCAGATTCCGGCCGTATATTACGCCCTGTATGCCGAAGACAGCTCCAATTCCAATAAGAATACCGTTTTGGAAAGAGCTGGCGGACTGGTCAGCTGCCTTCTCGAAGGAATTTCTGAGTTTTCCAGTTGCAACTTTGTGATTGCCTCGTTCGAAATATCTCGCATACAAGTCTTCAACAGCCCATAGATGCCGGTCTAGAACATCACTTCGGACAAACCAAGCCTCGTTGACTTTTTCAGACATGTATCGTAGCGGAGGATATGCTCCAACTGCCTTGTCATACTTCTTATTTATCTTTCGGAATGCAGTTCTATTCAATAATACGTATGACTTGAGAAGCTCCATGCTCCTATAGAATTCCCGCAGGGCAAGTTTTAGTTTCCTTTTGGCGGTTCGATATGGAACTTCATCCGGATAGTGAGGTCGCCGGACGTAATCCCGACTTTGGTCCATCTGATTTATGATCCGGTCCCGCTCAGCTTGAGGCTTGGCACTCAACTCAGGAGAGTCCATCATGTTTTGCAAGGCCCTAGAGTTTGACCCTGGTCTTGGTCTAAACGCTTTGACTTTCGCGTTCTCGATGGCCTTTTCCAGCGGGTTAAGCCAGGCATCCAGATGATCCCGTGAAACTGGTCGGCTGGGCTCGTCATCAGATTGGTGGTGTCCATTGGATCGGGAGCTAGAAAGCTCGGATCTAGACGTCTCGTCCTCACGTCGAGTAGGCTTCACAGCTTTTGTGGATTGAGCCGCTGCAACCTCATCAATTCTCCTATTTCGCATCTCATGCAGCTGATCCCGCAAAACGGTTAGCCGCATCCCGGCTTCGTCCTCCTTGGACTTGTAGAACGTCTCGACCTTGTTTAGTTCCTTATCTAGCCATGTGAAAAAGTCTTTCTGCCTGGATTTTACTTGATGAATTGCTGTCATATCCACATCTGCTCGGCGGGAAGCAGAGGGAGTCGAGGGAGTTCCTACTGATGGCAATATCCGCCGCACCGATGCTTGAACGTTGTGGGGGGGAATTCGCTCACGAATGAAAGCGAGTGCAGATCTCGGCGGGTGCGCAACTGGACCAACTTCATAGGCATTTGGGATGACACTCGTAGAGGCGCTTCGTCTAGGTAGAGTATGCGGAGGATGTTTTGTACCAGATTGATCCAAACCCTGCTGAAAGGGGTCATGTCCAATTGCGGGCTCGGGAAGTTCGAAAGGAATAGGCTTCCTACTTGGAGGCGTTGGCACAAAGCTGCCATATCCAGCAGGAGGCGCTGAAGGAGTTGCCGGTCGTACGGTGGGCGAAATTTCTATTGGTGGTGTCGACGTTTTCGGCGGGACTGATGGACTTCCAGACGTTTCTTGTGACTCTCTTCGTGAATCTGCTCCCAGCGGCGCTGGAGAATCGCGTAGAGGTACCGCGGGTCCGCCATTGAGACTTGCGAGTGTTCGGAATGTAGAAGGGGACGTGGTCCCAGGTTGGTTGGCATTTGAAGGGTTTGGTTGAACATGTGGAGTCGTGGTTATTCGATTGGCAGCTCGCACAATGGCCTTGATGTATTTCTTGCCAGTTTTATAGTCGAGATACTTGGCACGCCATTCTAAGGAGCGCAATGTCAGTGATAGCAACTTGAATGCGGCATGGCTGTGGGTGGATTATACCTGGGACCAGATCCTGTTCCAACTGTTTGGCGAACTTCATGATGTAGTAGCCAAGGTTGCAAAGTATTACTCCGTACTCGTAAGGCTGACGGCGGCCGTTCTATAGGCTATAAATGCATGAGAAATAACGAGCGGTATGAATACGTCGATAAGTATCTGCCAATGGATTAGTTGCGAATGTGTATAAATATTGCGATGCATGGATGGGATGAGAATCACGCCAATCCAACCCTGATGGCAGAATCGCGCTCGTAGGTGTGGGGCGGTGACGAGAGTATGAGTGAATAATTACTTAGTAATCAGCTGCCCAAATCCCTCCATGTGACCGAACCATTGGATACCAAATATCAAGAAACAGGAACAGGAACAGGAATATAAAACCCAACACCGCGAGCCACGTTAGCGTGAGTACCCGCTCATTGCTTGGAGTACGAGCTATCGAAAACTAGAGTGATATTGGTAGATTTGAGGATCCCTTCGATGTCCCCGGGATCGGCTGAACAACTTTTGACAGCGAAGTCGCGACACGTATTCAAACGCTGCATATGCTGGATCTAACCCATCAATCAATTGAACGCGTTGCGTTCTTGCGCCTCGGTACACCGTCAGTTGAAGCCCAAATATGCCCCTGTGTGCCCCTGTGGTGTGAAACCCCAAGATGGCTTTCAGCTGAAGCGCCTCAGTGTAATATCCCAATTTACATGGCCAACCGTCTATAGTACAAGTACTACACAGTAGTCGGCCGTGGAGAGTGCCATGGCCATGCGAATAAAAGTTGAGCTTTCCTCGGAAATACCTGCATATCAGCGACAACCAGCCTAGGGGAGCACCCCATGATAAGCCGACTGGATTTGTTCGTTAATTTTATTTCCCCAAGCCGATGAGTATTGGCACTGTTAGAATAAGCAGCAATTTATGGTTTTATCAAAGGCAGGCCATCGGTACTAGCTCGCTAACTATGGAATGACGTCCGTCGCTTCGCCATTTTTGGTACAAAGGATTTCAAATTCTCTGACGTAGAATCTCAATTCTTCCCAGCTGTCACCTTCGATCCATAGTCTATAGATTACTATAGTTTCTTTAACAACCCCTTTGATGCCGCGATGCGTGAGAGATACTCGCCGAGGAACCTGCCGCTCTTTACCCCCCACAGACCTGCCAGCTGGCTATGGATTAATATTGGACCGGATCCGGATTGGGGTGGCCCTAGTCTAAGAAAGGGTTGTTTGTGACATAGAAGAAGGCACTATACATTACAAGATTAACGGCTTACTCGCAACGGTAGACAGCCGTTTTTACCGGCCCATCTACGGAAATGAACTGGCCTATTCGGGAGCCCAGAAAATTGCCTTTGCATGTCGTTCCGCCTCGGTGCTGCGAAACTCTGGCAAAGTTGATAATCCTACTCCAAGCTCAGCGCAACGAGATGGTTGACATTTTAGACGGGAAGATATTACAATAGGTGAGCTGTGAAACTGAATCAGACTTTATAATTCTAACATCTGTAGGCACCTTGACGGCCGAAATGACAAATAACATTGGCTCCATGTCCGCCACTTTGGCCCCTCCCCAAACTGGCTATGGGTATTTCCATCTACAACGACGTGTAAAAACCTTTTGCTACTCATTCCGGGTGATTGCTGAGTCCTTCTGGGTCAGTGAGGAAGTCGTGACCAGCGTTTCACATTCCATATCCTAAAATTCTAGGGAGCTTTGCAAGATGGTGCACATAATTCAGACCCGGGATGTTCTGGATAAGGTGTGATTCAAAGTCGTATTTTGAAATTCAAGCAATGGCTGTTGACAATAGGTTATTGTTCTATTAGAGCGAGGTTGAACTGAGACTCCAAAGCTGGATTATTTCGCAAGTCGGTTATTGTAAAAATGGTATTATATTGGTATTATATTGGTATTATATTGGTATTATATTGGAAGTTGGAAGTTTTGGAAAGTATTTTCAAACCCCGACCAAGCTTTACCCCTCCCCAGTTCGTCAACGAACAAGTTCCACACTGGATTTGGCCACCACTTGGCCACTTTCTCATTAATATTCAAGGGCACTTGGCCCTTTACTCAATCCCTCATATCCCTTCACCGATCAACCACATATCTATGCTATCAAGAGAGCGGTCCGGCCTCTCCATTTATTTACACCTTATGTCCCTCTAGGATGCGCTTCATGCGCTGGGCCCTAGCCTTGACTTCGGCCATGTCGTTATGCTCGGGTGAGGAATTCGAGGCTTTAAATTGTGGGACAGAAGTCGTGGCATCGTTAAGGTACCGCTCCATCGGTAGAGGTAGATTCTTCGAGTCTTTCATGCCTTGGGACGAACGCTCGGGGGCAGAGGAGGTATTGCTTCATACCCCTGTTAGCAACGGCAACATGGCATCATTGGGAAAGTGTGCAACAACTCACTTTGGATCAGATCCGTTCTGTGCTGGGGAAGACATGGTGCCTCTCTATCGAAAAGGCTGAGGGGTTATTTGCACGTGACGAGAAGCAGATCTAGGACGAGTAACAGGAAACTTCGACGGAAAAGACAGTGATCTGGGAGTTACTCTAAAAACCAACCTCATGACGAGAAACATCCGGCTGTCTACATATATATATATCTCTCTCTCTCTCAGTCGCATTTTTGTCTAATTAAACTGCAGATCTGATGGAATAGAATTGCAAGACGATTTCTACGCGCGCCCTTGTTGCACTCTTGCAAAGTTCCAAACCAGCGCCACCCATTCTCTCGGGACACTATGGATGGTACCGGACAAGGAGACTCGGAACAAGCTCCGACTCGGTCATGATTTGCCTTTCAGTTGCAAGAGTGGATACCCCGTCGATAGAGTTGCGGCGGCCGGCTGAGTGCAAACCACGGGCCGGGAGTTCTCTCCATTGTATCGACAAGCTCCAAACAATACGCCCTCAGCTTCGGAGCCCTGTACTACGCACTATGCGCTCCTCAACCTCCTATACGTCCGAACCGTTGACTCATTTTACATCCCTCTTCTCACTCCCTGGACTTGTCTTACATCGTCTCGCTTTCAATTTTCAAGTCCCCGTACTCGAGCACTGGTTACTGGACCATAGCCGCCTTCACAGAACACTTCTAGAGTTAACTGGTGATTGCTGGCTATTCCATGGAAACCTCGACTCCAATTGTTGCCATTTGCCGCCCGCTCGCCCAGCAAAGTAGTTGGCCGTTGCAGAAACTCGCAATAGTGGGAAAACTGCGCCCTCGACTGCAAACCTGGGGTCCCATCGCCAGGGGTGCTCACACAAGTGTGATGATGGCTGAACCACGAGACTCGATTTTTCCTGGGGGCTGGCGTGAATGAGCCTCAGTAGAGCCCAACTTGTTAAGATTGCGGAGCGAGACCCTGAACCGTCGATGTGGCGGACATGGCCACGTAAACCAGCAAGGCAGCCAACGCCGCTGACCACTTTCTCCTTCGAGACGAGTGTGATGAAATGAGAGCTCTGACCCTCGGAAAGTCCTGCGAAGGTGCTGCTTTACCACAATGCTTCCGCCCCAAGGAGATCCTTCGTAAAGCACGAGCAGTGGTGCGCCTACTGCGCGGTGTCGGAGGGAAAGTTCGCCCAATGATGGCGATGCCGGACTCAAGCCTGTGGGAGTTCCCGATTCTGCGACCGGGCGCGCCAGATCCCCTGGCTCTGGCTTGTTCGCCAGCTGGCTAAGGAGCACGAACTTGCTGTCCTAGCTCATGGGACCTCAAGGAATGGAGGAATGCTTCCAGAATGTGCAAAAGCTTCTGGAACAAGTCAAGGTTGTGGATTGGTCCTGCTTCCCCGGCCCTTCCCCTGTCAGATCTACATCTGTGCATGGACAGATGTGTTGCCGCCCAGGCTCTCAATATTATTCGTATTGTACTCTGACCCTCCATACGAAGTATGCTCCCGCCGAGTCCGATTCCCATGTTTATACGGTACTTAGTACTTGGATACGAACTTACGACCTCGACCTCGACGACTCTCACCTGAGAACCCACCAAAGCTCCATTTCCTGCAAGAGTGTTCTTGGAGAGCTTCAATCAATCAACACGGCCTCCGACTGAGGAGCATAACAAGTCCGCCTTGTCAATTGCTAGGCAGTCGGACAGCGACAATCGCGGTTCTTGTCTTGTCAGGAGCACCGCTCCCAACATAATCACGATACCAACAACCGTCTTTTACTGCTGCGATCATTTGCTTCACTGCAGGTTAACGATACGCCTCTGCGAGTCCTAACTACCTACCTACAGACAACCTTTGGGGCTCTTACTGGCTATCACCGCCCCAGCCAGCACACGATACGCAAAAAATGCCCAGGTTTGCAGCAGTCGACAAGACTCTACACGCCTGGTAGAAACCTCGCGCGTGGCAGAAATCTGTCGCCTGATATCTACCCAGTTCGTCGTGATTTTCGCCCCTAGAGCACACAATGTCAAGTTCAAGAGCGCCAAAATGGGACTGGGCGTCTCATATACCCAAGATGATAGACCTTTACCATCAACGAATGTCAATACCAGATATTCGTGAAGCTATTGCATGTGAAGGTTTTGAGCCAAGGTAAGTTCACTAACCTCCATAAATTGTGCGACGCTAATTGTGCTGAAGCCTAAGTTCCGTATATTCGAAATTCAGATCTATGAACTATCCCACAGATCCTGTAGCGCGAACTAAACTCCTGGATGAAACACTTCCATGCCCTCGGGCTGCACAAGTCGGATACCTGGCCCGTTTAAACGAACCAAGTCCTTACCAACCATCATATTTTGATAGGAGTGGATTATGCTCTGTACCTGAGGATGGTTATTTGGTGGAACATGCAAAATCAGAGTCCTGGCGCCCTAGTGGTGAGGTTCCGCCAGTTCCACAACCGGAAATTGAACACTTCGACTTTAACGACGCGATGGATACAGCAGATGACCCATTGAAAAATGTGAATTTGACTGGTGATGGGTCTATCGACTCATCTAAGCTACCTGCTTCCATCTCTGGTATAAGTGCTGAAGTATTTCCACCCTCCTGGCCAACCTCCAATTGCGATGCAACCTCCCAAGGCTTGGGGAACTCCGCAGATGATGTTGATCAGCCGTTACAGTTTCTTACTTCCGCCCTCGAGCCTGATGGAGCTGCGTATTTCGATACCAACCACTCGCCTTCCAAATCAGAATTCGCCTTACATGGAATGGCAAATCAAGTTAACTTTTCGCACTCTGGAGACTTCTTTCTTGGCTGGGAAGCCCAACCCGATTCTCCAAATCTTGAGCCACAGCTCCTGGCAAGGATCCAAACGCCTATATATTTAGACGATGCAACATCTTCTGGTCGTCAGGCGCACCACTCCTCTCTACGAAAGCGCACGTCAAGCGACCTCAAATCCCCTGAAACACTACTCAATGGCTCTAGCGCCCATCGATCAAGTAATTCCATGAAAAAGATTAAATCATGGTTTGCCAAGCCTAGCGGTTCCTCTCGTTCTACAACAAGTCATGCCGGTTCTCTATTCACAGGGGACACTAGCGACTCTGGATATGCCACTGGCTATACATCGCTCTCGACCTTTGAAGAGGCCCCGTGGATGAACTCTCAGTCGCTTGAGGAATTCAACGGTTTATATCGCGTGGCTTGTTCAACTCTACACGAGCCGCCACAGCGCAAGGAACATTGGAAGGACATCCCAACATGCCTATACTGCCGGTACTCAAGCATCCATAATCTCGGATGGTCTGCTCGATATTTGAAACTTGAGGTTTTTTCGAGTGAACTCAAGCTAAGCGGCGTATACGACCTTGGCGCCCTCGATGCAGCAGGCAACACAGCCCTTCACTATGCCGCCGCAGGCGGCGCCGGTTTCCATCATTTAAAAGCTCTAATTGATGCTGGAGTCGATCCGAGTATTGTCAATACCAATGGCGAAACCTTTATCCACTGCTTGCGGCCATTGCATCCATTTACGCTGGTTCCCAATCCCGATTGTTTTTCTAATGGAGATGACCTGATCAGATTGCTGGAACTTCTTCAACCGGTGTCAAATTTCGACTGCCGTGATAACCATGGTCAAACCATTTTGCACGCCCTCGCCTTGAAGATATCAGACTCAGATCTCAAGGCGAAGGTTTTCAAGTAAGTTACATGTTCTTGTTTGCTTTTATAAGTGACAGTTACCTTTTTTTCTTTCGTGGACAAGTTGCAAATATATTTTCCTTCTTTGGACACGCGCACCACCATGTGGCCCGCTAATACCGGTACATGACCTGAAATTACTAGCTTAAGTTTGCAATTTATAGGTGAGCTATGCTAATTTAACTTATTAGGTTGTTTCGCGATTCTGGATACTTTCCGACAGTTCTGGATAGGTTTGGCAAATCAGCAAATGATGTGCTCCCACTCATCTACGATTGCCACGGTCAGGTGGTCGATCCCAATCCAAACAAATACATTCACGCGATCGAGGAAACTGCAGAAGAGTCTGTTATACTCGCTGAGTGCGGTTCAAGACATCTCGAGCTATTCAAAGCAAACAAAATCATCGAGCACGCATACAAGGAACCCAAATATATAGACCCAGATACCGGTGATACAGTTGTTCATGCCCTCTCCAGACTTAACCCCAGTGATGATATCATTTCATGGCTAGAGTATTTTGTCTCGAGGGACGTGGACCTCAATCTCCATAACCGTCAGGGGAAATATCCATTGATATCATTCATTGGCGATAGGCCATGGGAGGAGAGCGAAACCGGAGCGACGATGTCCAAATACCTCGATGCAATCATCTGGAAGAATCCCAAGGAGCGGATTAAAAACAATATCAACGTTAATATGAGGGATCGACAAGGTGCTACCGCCCTTCATGGCGTTGCTATTCGCGGCCGACCGGATTCTACAAGAAGTCTCATTGAGGCCGGCGCCAATGTCAATGCACGAGCTGGTATGTTTCCATTACTTCAGAGGCTTAATATAAGTAGTGTTAACAGTATCAGATAATGGATTGAGCGTCCTCCAAGCTGCCTTCGATGCACTTGATGGGGCGGTGTTGCGGAATGATGGTGTTCTAGCGCATCTCCTGAAAGAGGTTATTTCCCATCTTCAGCATGCTGGGGCTGTCATCGATCCGATGTCGCTACAAGAACGCGGGATCAATAAGTTGTAATTGAGTGGAAACCCAGTTTCTGACATATATGAACCTTTCACCAGTACGTTACCCTAAATAGAGGAGGACTGGGTTATTGGTTGTCCTATCAATTTTGCTGTGTATAAAATAGCTACACATATCTCGATTTCGGACAAGGCTTTCCCTGTTTCGATTATCGTTACTATATATTCGTCCTTATTTCTCATTTAGATAGGAGTTTCCGGATTGCGTCGCTATTGGAAACGAGCGTGTGGGTTATATTAGGATTATTAGCGGGTGTTTCTGAGGTTTCAGTTTTATATCCCAATTGTAATTTTAGCTTTTTTAGACTAGATTTTCTCACTATAAGGAGTAGAAATAACATATATAAATGAACTGCCCACGATGTCCCAGCTTTAGGAGCACGTGCATTCTTAAAGATAAATTTCAGAGCAAGTTTAAACCTAAAATGTACCAAATGTTTCTATAGGGCTCAAAATAACCCAAGTGTTTTAAGGTTTTAATAAGTTTATTTTGTGGTACTATCATTTTTTCACAGCGAGGTTGTTAGATGACACTAACCTTTCAAGACTTATATTATACAGAGATGGTTGTTTAACCCCCCTAATTACAGTAGACCTAGTCACTGTCTTGGAAGCAATGAATCTGAATGATATTTAAATCTCGCCCTTGTCTCTTTATATTGGTTATAAATAGTACTTCTCCTTGCCCATCTTCCTGCCGGAGTTCTATAGCTAAGCATGCGTCTCGATGAATTTGTTGGATGTATTTGTGTTCATATTCGCCAGCTGGTTGGCTCGCAGTTTGACTTAAGGGCGATTTCACTGACTTCTGAAACATATAACCTATCCACCCGAGCCAGGGGGATAACGTGCGATTTATACCTTTGGACTTTGCGGATTCGGTCGGTCAAATTGCTCCTGGGATATTTGTAGGCCGCCCAGGGGCTTTGTCTAAAGAAACGCTATACTGGCTATCTGTCGGAGCTGTAGGTGCTGAGTAATTGCTGGATACCGTCGGTTGCGCCCTTGATATTAGGCGGTACTTGAGGAAAATCGAGTATGTTACTGTATGGGACTTTGGGTTTATGACCGAATTCTCTAGATGCTAGAACGACGGATTGACCCTAAGATCGTAGTCGCTAGATATTAAAGCTGGGTAGAAGCATCTCGGCATTGATAATATTTCCTGGAGATTGCGAAGTAATAATACACAAATTACAGGAAGCATACCAGAGCTAATGAAGTTCCTTATTCGTTATAACTTGAGACAACTAGAGAATAACACTGAGACTCCGAAGGCAGCCGGTGTCAATCCAGCAGCTCCACCATTCTATTTTTATAGTCGCATGACCAGGGAATAAGGCAGGGAGATAGAGACGATATGGCACTCCCCAATTTTATGGCATCATTGGAAGGAGAAATGTAGTTTAGATTTCAAAAAGGAAAGCGCAAGCGCAAAGTTAAGGAGGATTACGAACTGGGCTATGGGTAGCCTCGGTGGGTCATATTCGATATGCTACCAATAGAGAACTAATAAAGGGTTTCCTTTTCGATAGTCCGAGGTTTCCCTCGTCAATACTAGATGGTGAAAGTAGAAAACAAAGAGCATAAGACCTTATAATGCCCTAGTTGGCCTTCAATATAAAGATAAAGTGCGGAAAATAAAAGGCATTAAGAAGCAACAGACAGGAAGGGCAACGGTGGGAACTCTAGAGGTATGGCCTACTCGTTCTTAGACTACTGACCGATAATTGAATATAAAAACCGGGTTTAGAGTCGGGTCTGCAGCTGCTCTATACCAGTGGAGACAGCGGAGGTCAAGTCCGGCAGACGACTCGACGAGCACATGGTATTCCCTAGATGTTATGAATACAAAATCCAGGCGGAAGAGGTACCCGTACCGAGGGGCATCGGGGAGATCGCAATTTACATACAAGTCACAACAGACGGCACATGCCAATCTAGTCATTGCCGTTGTTTTGGTGGATTCGAGCTAGGCTTTGTTGGCATGGAGATACATGAAGCATTGAAGAGTGGCATTCACCGAAGAATTTGCGACGGGGTACGAGTAGGAATTACAAGCACCTAGGAATGGCAATTTCGGCTCCGCACCCGGATTTCTCCCGCTTGCACACCTCTTATCGCTTTCTCATGATCGGCCTCATTTCGCTCGACGCCCGATCATTCCATCCCCCATATTCATCGCATCCTCACTACTGCCTCTTTAGCTCGATCCATAAAGACGGGCGGTATTCTATAAACAGAGCCGTGTTGCGTCTTATGCCATGCATGCATGTGTAATCTATACTGCATCCCATGATTCGACCAGAGTTGGCTCCAAGTGTTGCCCATGATTTCAGCTCCTTCGCCACGCATGGCTCTGGGTCGTCATGACCAACATCGCATCATGGGTCAGCTAAATCTCATGGCATTCCTTCGCACGCGAATTGGCAACACCATCTGTTTATCATGTGTCTAAATGGGAAATAGTTGCCTTGCCGTCATAAGCTAAGTGCAAGGCCTGGAATGTACAACATTTCTGACATTCCATGCAAAGTTGCATCGTCGATTTTGGGGGGCAGGTGTCCTGCCTTCTTTTTCTTTCTATGAATTATCTCTTTTCTCTTCATACTCGCAATGCGATATTGTCAGATGTTCCATCGTCCGTTCGTTGCCCGTCTCTGCAGTCATACTCCCGCATAATCAAGTGGTGGGAAACAGCTCCTCGAGGAAACGCCAACTTGGAGAAACTGCAAGGAAATCCAGGTCCCTACGAACAGGGACGGAATCCCCCAAGCTGCGGAGACGATACGTGAATCACTGTCGCTCTGGATTCGCCTTTGCGCGAGACATTAATGTTTTAAGAGCATTCACACCCGGGGATTTGGATGAGAAGTTATACGATGCCCGACACCAAGCGTCTACATCTCTTATCCGTGAAAAGGTCCGAGGCCGAAGCTCTGAAACGAAATCTTGGGAGCTCAGTTGGATCAACTGGCTTGTCTTCTGGGGCGATTTTGGGGATAGCCATCAGCGCAGCGGTTTTGCTGCTGATCATCCTTCTCTCAGTATTCATCAACCATGCAAGAAGGAAAGATCGCCTAGAGAGGCAGCGGATAGCTCATGAAATCCGAACGGTAGAGGAAGATATCCGAGCGGTAGAAGAAGAAATCAGAGCCAAAACTGCTTCTAAGCCCACACGCCGGCCGGAAATCAACCATCCCCGGAAACCGTTGCCCGTTATTGTCAATCCTCTTAGAGATGCCGACTATGCCGGCCCCGATCCCCTTCAAAAGTCTCCAATGACCAAGACAAGGAGAGGTTTAGATCATAAAGGGATTTTCCGAATGTCGGGTATGCGAGATTCCTGGCCGTTGGTTTCCAATATCCCATCAGCATTCCTTCCGACCCAATCGACTATGACCTTGAATCAAGTTGCACCTCCAGGATATGTTGTTGCCCCAGAGTCGAAATGGCCTCGGAGGTCATCCACAAGGGCTTCCAGAAACAGGGTGTCAGTTCCCGCCCAAGAGTCGTTCTCTGAGCCGCAACCGATGGAACCGCAACCCAAAACGCCCTCACCTGAAAAGCGAAATCGCCAACGTCGCTCGACCTCGGAAACCCAACTATCAACCATATTACGGTCAACGTCACAACGTCTGAAGGCTGCCCAAAGGCAATCCCTCACGAGGTCATTGACCACTTTTACACGGCTCCCCGGATCACCGCCAAAGGTACGACTACCAACGCCCCCAAACGGACGGCGGACCATGAGTCGTGAAGGTCTCATCGAGAAATGTTACCCCGAACCTCTTTTCGGTCATATCTACCAGCCATATCGTCCTCAGACTCCACCCTCTGATAAATATGGCATTGAGTATTGTACGGACTCTGCGACTAAATCTGAAAAGCTACCTACGCCATCCGATGCGTCAGACGATAGCTTATGTGGGACTGGGAAACGTGATTCGGTCATCCCCCAAGCTCTGTCCTCACCAAGCAAGCAGAGCAAGAAACTGCAGAAAAACTATAGAATGAGTATCTCACCGAAGGGTGCTCGGGATATTTCGATGACGGCTCAAAAGAATAGGCGTTCATTAACCCTACCACCTAGAAGTCAAAGATCAAGCCAGGAGATGCACTACAGATTTCCCAGTCACAATCCCATATCTCTGTTTAACGATCCTTTCTATTCTGCAGTGAAGAGTTCTCGCCCGGTGCTCCCGAAGACGGATCTCATAGGACCTCGGCCGCTTCGTGTGCGAAAAGCGACTTTTGGGCAAGAAGCAACGATGGGACGACCCCTAAGCTACACATCACCATTATGTGACGTCTCGGGAAACGCCCAACACCCCCACAGAAGAACAGAATCACAACCAAATTGGCAGACGATGACCAACCCTGAACGAAACCCTTTTCAATGGGCACCTGAAGACGTGCAGATGGGACCCGCACAGTTGAGCCCTAAACGGACCGGATCGCGGCGCAAAGGGCACAAGAGATCTAATTCGATTCGAATGTCAATTCTCTCGAGACCAAAAAGCACTCTAAGCGTGGATGTTGTCCTCGAAGAGTCCGAGGAAGATTCCATGGCATTTAGATCTGACAAGCGGCCTATTGGAGAAGCCGCACGAACCAAATCCCCCACTCCATCACCGCTATCCCCTTCTCGAAGGCATAGTCTGCGGCCACCAACAGCTGCAACATTTAATCCCTCTTTCACAGTTCCAACATTAATTATCAAGCCCACCAGCAAACCAGACCTAATGCAATTGGACGACGCACTGGACTCCACCATACATTCGGCTCGCAATTACTATAGCCAGACTCTAGACAGTTCCGAGACGCCTAGTAAATCTGAAGTTCCGTCAACGCTAACGCTGAAAGCTCGACGTTACGGTCACAACTTTACTGCTGAACAGGCATTTAAAACTTGGGAGCTTGAAAAGTTAATCTCATTTCCGCCTCCCATAAAATTCCCCAAGTCTAGCCTTCCTGAGCGCCCATCGAGCTCAAGAAGTTCGGCTATTAGTCTTTTACAGTCTCCACTGCCAGCCCCTGCACCGCCCCTCCTGGCGATACCTATCCCAGGTCACCTTACTGGGCCACGCTCTGAACGTCCAAAATCACACTCTGAACGTCCAAAATCCAGCCAAGGATCATGCTCTCCTGCACCTCGAGGATCCTTACATAATTCTATCTGCATGCTCCGTCGCATGAATTCCGAAGTCTCTCACTACAGTACTAGGTCCCCAGGGACGGATGGGAGCCCAGTACAAAGCCCCAAATTACAATTTGATAACCCACGTATTAGCGCCATCCAGGCGGAAATTACGCATGAGAGAGGCAGGACCAGAGGATCAAAACATTATCTTTCAATCGGTCAAACCCCCCCCGGCAGTAGTCGGACAAGGGACTCGCATCATATCTACAAAGATCGACAGCGCAGAAGACTGATTCAAGAAAATGCCGTTCCAGAAACTAACGAACTGGCGTCGGTTGAAGAATCGACCAGTTTCCCAACCGAACAGAGCGCACTGGGGATTATGAATTTGCCTTTTCCCAAACTGTCCTCCTTAGAGACCACAGGGATCTCCACCCCTAACACCGGAGACAATATTACCTTAAGCAAGGAAAGAAGACGTATCGTTGGAATGGAGCATTTGTCGCCTGAAACACCAACCAAATGGGGATCTGGGAAAAAATGCCTGGTATCAGCCGTATTGGCCGGAGAAGCGACACAAATGAGTAGCGGGAATCGAAATAGCGGAGGACATAGCCGGGCAGGAAGCGTCGGCCTATACGATGAAGATGGATTTTTGAAGAGCTCGCCGTGTAAGGAGATGCAGGCCCCGAAGTAAGGTCGAGAGCAAACCGCCAACTCGGGATTCATTACAGGTTTCCATTTTTACATCGGTCATCTACTCAAGTATTTTTAATATTCCCTTTGTTCTTTGATTTTTATTTCCTCAGCGGAGGTGACGGATACATAAGGAATTGTATCATATCGTATATTTTATGCTCTAGCTACTGCTTGTCTCTTCTCCTTCCAAGATCTAAATATCCCAGTTCACATTCGTACAAAAGGTCGAGTAGGATGACACTAACAAACTTTAATTAAATATGAAGTACTTTGAATGAAATCTCTAAGTGTTTCCGAGATACCATTCTATTATGCTAGTGACCTGATAAAACCAACATTATTTTTGCCTTTGATGTCTAAATACCAGCGGCAAAACATCGGCATGCCTACTACCCCTTGAAATCTACCCCTGTTTTGTTGCCAAGAAACTGGGGAAGTCAACGCTTGGAACTTGGACTCCGACCCCCACCCCCAAGTGACCTCATTGTCATATTTCATCCTGGATACCATTCTTCTAGACTCGGATGTAACACTCAGAAAGCCAAACAGGAAGCAATCAAAGATCCTACCATCAAAATGCCACGAATTCGTCTTGAGGACAGCCAAGAGCTCTTACAACAGGCTGGAGAAGGGGTCGTAGGAGGCGCTAAGAAGATGTGGGAAGGATTCACCGATTTCGCCTTGCAAGATAATGTATTGGAGGTTGCCGTAGGTTTGATGTACGAGTTCTCTTCTTTGCCTCTCATATTCCATTTCCCCGTGGACAATTTGAGACAAACTTGATCCCCCACTGGCCGTAAGTGGACGCTCAATCGTGATACAGAATCGCAGCGGCTTTCACAACAGTGGTTACGTCTTTCGTTTCGGAAATCCTGCTCCCGCCACTATCTCTCCTCCCGTTTGTACATCGAAATTTGGATGAGAAATTCGCGGTTCTGAGGCCCGGACCGCATTACAATAAGACTCTTGGTTGGGGGTATAATACCTTGGATCAGGCTACGGCTGATGGGGCAGTTGTGATGGCTTATGGGTATGTTGTCCCACTTTCCTTTCTCAGGAGGGAATCAAGCTGACAGAATACCACAGAGCCTTTATCAATAAGCTCGTTAATTTTGTAGGCGTTGGGTTTGCCTTGTACGTCGTAGCAGCTCTCTATGACCGTTTCGGAGGGAGTGACCCCATTGTCAAGCACACGGTTAAGTGCAAGTACTGCAGGAAAAGGATCAACTACAAAGTGAGTTGAGCTAGCTCTCCCTTTTTTGGCAGGATAAATTTAAACGTTGAACTGGATTCTAATTATTTTACAGGCATTCCGCTGTGTCAACTGCACCAGCTGGCAAGATGGGCGGGAGGAGCATACGCAGTAGTATTTTGTTGCCGTTGGTATATCGATAGTATGAGCGAGATGTGGATTACGTGAATATGAAGTGCTGCTTTGTATTTAGGTTCGCCCAAGCATTGAATTGCGTGTTTTTGCTTCTGCTTTTTGCGATACCCGGATGTCCCTGGAGAAATACGAATCATTGGGCAACTTCTAGCAAATGCTTTTATTAGGAAGAAGTATCCCTTAGAAGCCTCAAGGGGTGCCGATGGGGGGAAATACCCGTTGTCGTCGATATATGGACAAGGCTCAGGTTGGCACTCTTTAATAGAGGGCAACAAGTACAGACTTATGAAAAACTTGTATATAAATATAAAATAGCCAAATACGTTGAATTACCTGTTTTGATAGCAGTAAATTAACTTTAAATCAATACAAAAATTGGTATTTAAGGTGGTAGGAAATTGGCTTTCTTTTAATGGTGGGGTAGGTTATCAACTTATTGGCCATTAGTACTTATTTTAAGGGGTATATTAAAGCAAGGTTGATTTTGATATTATACTTAGATTTTTGGGCTATAAGCAATTGGACAGATATAAAATTATGTAAGTTCAATAATTGGATACTAGTACGATGATGTCTCTAAAGTTGACGGTGTCGATGTGAGATAATTCACATGCCTGGCTGGGCTTCCCTCGCGTAAATATAAAATCGCGTCCCCCTCCACTACCCTTCAGCTCATCGCTCCTCTACCAACACCACCTCCAATTTCCTACACGATAATGTAAACAAATGTCACTCCTCCGTATCCGGCGGTTCGTCTCCCCCAACCTAATCCTCCGCCCCTCTCCTATTCGCAGCCGTCCTATCCGCCAATCCCGTTTCCAGTCCACCTCTCCTCAGACGCGCATCGACCGCGTCCTCTCTCGCCTTCCTAAGCCCCTCCAGCCCTATACGAATGGTCTCCGAAATGCGCCAGTGTCGCATATTGTTGCCTTCCTTATTTTACATGAGATTACGGCTGTAGTGCCGCTGTTAGGGTTGGCGGGGTTGTTCCATTATACGGAGTGGTTACCGAAGGTTGGTTATATCTTGTGTTCTTGTGTTGCACCCATAAACGACGATTTTATGGCCGCGGAGGGTGCAGAATGGAAGAGGAGGGGAAATGAAGTACAAGTAACTAATTTGGGAGTAGGGTTGGTCGGAGGCGAAATATATTAGTGATGGAGTACAAAAGTTCGGACGGTATTTTCGGAGGAAAGGTTGGTTCGGATTTAATAAAGAGCATCCCGTGGAGGAGATAAGCTTGGAGGGAAAGGAATTGGATACGAATACGGCAAGTGAAGAGACTGGGGATAATAAGGCTGGGACGAGAATATTGGTTGAAGTGGCTACGGCTTATGCCATTACGAAGATCTTGCTACCTGCGAGGGTAGTTTTGAGTGTGTGGGCTACGCCTTGGTTTGCGAGAGTTGCGGTTAGACGATTTGGTGGGATATTTAGAAGGTTACGTAGATGATGCAACATTCCGGGACTGATCAGCTGCAATGGCTCTCCAAGCACGACACAGAACACGACATATCCGTTAGCAATTGATACCGAAAAACGGACCGTTCAATTGACAAGGTCAGCTTTCATTTCGTGTATCCATTCCATATTCCACCGTGTTTAATATCAAGGGGTGGGCGTTTTAGACATAGGCCGAAAACATCTACTTCTCGTAGACCCAGTCTTGTTGGGCAGACTTCCATGACTGGACCTCGCCCTCCTTGAACCAAAGAGCAATCTCCTTCTTGGCATTCTCGACGCTGTCGGAACCGTGGCATACGTTGCGGCCGACGTCAATGGCAAAGTCGCCTAGATCACAATGCATTAGCATTTGATACAAAGGTGCCTAACAGGAAGGTGTAATTGTAGTTTATGCTTACCTCGGATGGTGCCTGGCTGGGATGCAAGAGGGTTGGTGGCACCGAGAATAGCTGTGCACGTCATTAGTTGAGCGGATTTATCAAACGGGTTATTCGACTTACTACGGCCGGTCTTGACGGCATCACGGCCCTCCCAAACCATAGCGCAGATAGGTCCGCTGCCCATATCTAGTTCTTATTAGATATCGTTCAACTTAAGATGGATAGAATCCCGACTGGTAAGAGGGGAACATACACTTGACAAGTCCGGGGAAGAAAGGCTTGCTGGAGAGATCCTCGTCTATGTTACCCAGTTAGCCACAGGCCCCAATATTCGAGTATTATATCCGGCTTACAGTGCTTCTCGAGGTGCTCCTTGGAGGCAGTCACGAGCTTGATGGCGACAAGCTTGAAGCTTAAAAAAGAACGTTAGCCGTTTTGAATATAGCAAAGGAGGTTCGGCAACTCACCCGCGGTTCTCGAAACGAGAGAGGATTGGGCCAACGAGTCCACGCTAGATGATGAATTAGTATATTATCGTAATCAAGGACCATGCCTAGGTATGTTAGCTTACCTGGACGCCATCAGGCTTGATGGCAATGAAGCTGGCGAAGACATTAGCTACACCGCCAGAATATCGTTTCGTTGGCTGGACAGCAACAGGATGGACCCATTCTTACGTTTGTTCGTCAGACATGGTTTCGTCGTTAAGTCTTGCTTGTTCTTCTCTGTATCTGGCGGAAGCTCGTAAATAACCCTGTGTCTTTGGGCTGACGTGTTTGTAGATCTCGGGTTCTTGCGGTGGGAGTTTGTCTGTCATGGAGTAGAAGCAATTATGGATTTTTGGAGGGGTTGTTGTGGTGGGGCGGGGCAAAGAGGCTAAGGCTTCTGTGGCTTTGGGAACTTTGGGCGCTGAAGGTTTGTTCCTGAGATCCCAGGCTGCAATGACCCGCCCAGCTCGCCAAGCTGCTATGTGGACTCGGTACTCGTAACAAGTACAAGAAGGACAGCTTGGGATAATTCCACTCTGTTAAACAGCATTTGCTGGACAGTCCTTACGTTGTTTTGCCACTCCCAACATCGTACGCTCTGTGTTTTGTGATTCGACAATGCGTTCTTATTTAGCGCTGTCCTCGCAATGGACAGCGTTGTTTGTCCTATTATCTGCGTTGTGTTGTCTGTTTACACCAGCTGGTAAGCTACGTCGCTATGACCATTCCCGTTTCCTACCTATCCATTGAGCGCCGCTAATTGCATCTACAGTGACTGTTAAGCACGAGAACTTTAAGACTTGTGATCAATCAGGATTCTGCAAACGAAACCGAGCTTATGCTGATACTGCTGCTGGGGCGTCTGGCTGGAGCGCCCCCTACCAAATCGCGCCCGAGTCCCTGAGCTGGGATAATGGACAATTGCAAGGCACAATCCTCAAAACAATCAACAAGAATGGCGAAACGGTCAGGCTACCAATCACCATTTCATTTCTAGAGTCGGGATCCGCGCGAGTAACAGTCGACGAGGAGAAGCGCCAGAAGGGCGAAATCGACCTTCGACACAACAGCATTGCTCGAAAGGAGCGTTATAATGAGGTTGAGTCTTGGGCCATTGTTGGAGGCCTTGAGCTGAGTAAGACTGCGACTGAGTCGAGAGATACTACCAAGACCACTATTACCTATGGCCCGGAAGGGAAGTTCGAAGCGGTTATAACATTTGCTCCTTTCGGAGTCGAGTTCAAGAGGGATGCTGCTACTCAAATTAAGTTTAATGATCGGGGCTTGCTGAACATGGAACACTGGCGGCCAAAGATTGATAAAGCAGAGCCAGAAAAAAAGGAAGGCGAAGAGGCACCAGCTGCCGATGAGGAAAGCACCTGGTGGGACGAATCATTTGGTGGCGCAACGGACTCTAAACCGCGAGGGCCCGAGAGTGTTGCATTGGATATCACATTTCCTGGATATGAGCATGTTTTTGGTATCCCAGAGCATGCTGGACCTATGTCCCTGAAAGAGACACGAGGCGGATCCGGAAACTACGAGGATCCATACCGCCTTTACAATTCTGATGTCTTTGAGTATATAACCGATAGCCCCATGACTCTCTACGGCAATATCCCTTTCATGCAGGCCCACCGCAAGGACTCGACAGTCGGTGTGTTTTGGCTCAACGCCGCAGAGACATGGATTGATATCGTCAAACAAAAGGAGGCTCATAACCCCTTGAGCCTTGGCATTGGATCTAAGACCGATACTAAAACGCATTGGATATCTGAGAGTGGCTTGCTCGACGTTTTCGTCTTCCTCGGCCCAACTCCAAAAGACGTCACTAAAGCTTACGGAGAACTTACTGGGTACACCCAGCTCCCACAATCGTTCTCTATCGCCTATCATCAATGCCGCTGGAATTATAATACTGATGAGGATGTGAAGGATGTTGATCGAAAGATGTCAAAACATCAGATACCTTATGATGTTATCTGGTTAGATATTGAGTACACGGATGATAAGCAGTACTTCACATGGGACCCTCTCCAGTTCCCTGATCCTATCGGAATGTTAAATCACCTTGACAAGTCCGAGAGGAAGCTGGTGGCTATTATCGACCCTCATATCAAGAACAAAGATGGGTACCCCATTGTAGAGGACCTGAAGAAGAAAGATCTCGCTGTCCACAACAAGGATGGTAACATCTACGAAGGATGGTGCTGGCCTGGGTCATCTCATTGGGTTGACTGCTTTAATCCTGCTGCTATTAAATGGTGGGTTGGCCTCTTCAAATATGATGCCTTCAAGGGCTCCCTATCAAACCTGTTCGTATGGAATGATATGAATGAACCTTCGGTTTTCAATGGTCCAGAAACAACCATGCCAAAAGATAACCTCCATTACGAGAACTGGGAGCATCGAGACGTACACAATCTCAACGGCATGACTTTCCATAACGCAACATACCAAGCTCTGCTCGAACGAAAGAAGGGAGAAATCCGTCGGCCTTTCGTACTCACCCGCGCCTTTTACTCAGGTAGCCAGCGTCTCGGGGCAATGTGGACTGGCGATAACCAAGCCAGCTGGGAACATCTCGCCATCGGCTTCCCAATGATTCTGAACAATGGCATTGCAGGATACCCATTTGCTGGTGCCGATGTAGGCGGATTCTTCGGTAATCCAGAGAAAGACCTCCTTACCCGTTGGTACCAAGCTGGAGCATTTTATCCATTCTTCCGTGGACATGCCCACATCGATACTCGTCGAAGAGAACCGTATCTCGCAGGTGAACCTTACACCGAGATCATGACCCGCGCACTTCGTCTCCGGTATGCCCTTCTTCCAGCCTGGTACACCGCCTTCCATGAAGCCAGTGTCGATGGGACGCCCATTATCCGCCCACAGTACTTTGTGTATCCTGGCGATGAGGATGGATTTGCCATTGACGACCAGTTCTTCGTCGGTGGTACCGGCCTCCTCGCCAAACCCGTGGTGACAGAGGGAGCAGAGAGCGTGGATATCTACCTTGCTGACGATGAAATTTACTACGACTACTTTGACTACGAGAAGTATTCTGGAAGAGGATTGAAGACTATCCCCGCTCCCCTCGAGAAGATCCCCCTTTTGATGCAAGGCGGGCATATCATTCCTCGCAAAGATCGCCCAAGGCGTAGCAGTGGACTCATGAAATGGGATCCTTACACGCTCGTTATCGTTCTCGGCAATGACGGCACTGCGACTGGAGAGCTTTATGTTGATGATGGCGAGACCTTTGATTATCAATCGGGCGCTTATATCCACCGTACCTTCGAGTATAAAGATGGTGTTCTTGCAAGCACGAACATCGGTACGAAGGGCAAGCTGACAGATAAATACTTGAAGGCGATGAAGAGTGTGACTGTGGAGAGGGTTGTAGTTGTCGGTGCTCCCAAGGGTTGGGAAGGCAAGAAGACCGTTAAGGTCGGTAGCGGTGAAGCAAACCTGGAGTTCCATGGAGAGGAGGGCAATAAGGCTGCCTGGGCGGTAGTCAAGAAGCCTCAAATTAGCATTGGGGAGGACTGGAAGATCGAGTTCTAAGGCATGTACAACCAAAAATAAAGTAGCATCTATTTATAAGTCTTGTGTAAATAGAAATTTCGAATCCACCATCTCATTCCGAATATTGAGTTCATTGGGCCTCATCATATATCTTACCCGCAGGTGCCTGGGCCCCTTTTCTCGTCGCCACCATCTCCTCAGCCCTCATCCCCTTCCCTTCTTCACCTAGTACGCCCGCTTTCCGCAAAACCGCCATGGTGTTCTTCACTACAGCCATATCCACGCCTTTCGTCGTGCCCGAAAACTGTACCGTCTTCAACCATTCCCTCGCGTCCGCCTCGCTATAATCCAACTCTGTACTAATATATTTCACACTCTCCTCGGGATTCTTCCCAAAATATGAAATGCCCTGATCGAGCTTCCCAAACAGGTCATCCAGCCTCGAATCCTCCCCGGTTTTCGACAACGAGGTCGAGGCGACGATCTGCCAACTCGGCCAGGGTGTATATATCTCTCCTATCCTCTTAATCTCGCCGTTATCGTAGTAGCGTTTGGAGGTGAAATGTTCCCACATGAAGAAGTCGGCTGTGCCATCGTTGACGGCTTTGCGGAGGTTGGCGAATGTTTGGAGGGGGGTGACTTGGAAGGGGGAGGAGCCGGTTGTGAGCCAGCCTTGGGAGTCCGCGAGGACAAAGCCCATTACGTAGGAGCCGCTTCCAATGCGGGAAACACCGATCTTGTTGTGGGTTTGGAGGGAGGGAATGGATGTTATTTCTGAGCGGGAGGAGCCCGTTGATATGGCCCAGCCTGGAAGTATGTACGTGTTAGCTGCTGATTCTAAGGGGGAGATTAGATCTGCATCTTCACGCAATGGAAAATGCACACATTGGGATTAAAATGTAAATGATGGGGGAAATCGAGCCATACATAAAGGCGTCTCAACATATGTCCCCGCAATCTTATATCCTCCATCCCCTTCTAAATCCTCCTTTCCCAGCCCAGCAACCCATCCCTCCGTCAGTCCAATGCCGACATCGATTTCCCCGGCGCGCAGAGATGTAATCATATGCCCTGTGCCGGAAGGAAAGGGGATCAACTCTGCGGTGAGACCAAAGTATTTCTGTGCGTAATGGAGGGGTGTAGAAAAGTGTTCTGGCACGAAGCCAACCCGGAGGGGTTTGATTTCGGCCATGGTGGGGGTTAGGATTTTATGGATATGGAACGAATCTCTGGTATGGCAGCGATTTATAGGTTGGAAGTTATGGATTGGAAAGAGTAATACAGGGACTGAGGTATAATTGAGTTGCAATGGAAGTATAGAAATCCAATTGACGATGACGAATAGAGGGGCCGAGGGGTTACAAAGTGCTCTTTGACCACGGCCCGGCAATTCCTCGGGCGCCGTCTCATCCAGCACCCCAGACTCGAGCCTCTCATTCAACACCTCGCGCTCATCTCAACATCTCTCCCAGGACACAAACACAAATACAAATATAAATTTACATACCACAGCCTCGACATAAGGCCGACACTCTCTCCCTTTCCACCACTATGGCATCAGCAACTGCCCAACGGCGCCTTCTCCAAGAATACCGCGCCCTAACCAACAACCCCCCAGAAGGCATCACCGCCGGTCCCGTCTCCGAAGATGATCTTCTCTACTGGGAAGCATTAATTCAAGGCCCAGAGGGGACACCATTTGAAGGGGGTATTTTCCCCGCTGAATTAAAGTTCCCTAAGGATTACCCGCTCGCGCCGCCGAGTATGCGATTTCTTGGCGAGGTATGGCATCCGAATGGTAAGTCTATTCCCTATTTCAAGAACTGGAGCTCTTTATGTAGATAAACTATGTGCTAATTCAAATATGCGAATGATAGTCTACCCCAGCGGCCTGGTTTGCATCAGCATCCTGCACCCACCAGGAGACGACCCAAACCACTATGAGCATGCCTCCGAACGGTGGTCACCCATACAGAGCGTGGAGAAAATCTTGATCAGTGTGATGAGCATGCTTGCGGAGCCAAACGATGAGAGTCCTGCAAATGTGGAGGCTGCGAAGATGTGGCGAGAGCGGCGGCCGGAGTACGAACGTCGAGTAAGGGAGAGTTGTAAGCGGATGCTTGGGCTGTAGCGTGGTGCATAATTTGGTTATGAGGAGGCGTGAATGATTGATTGCGGCTTAGGGAGACGAAGGCATGAGCGGGTAATCACGACATTGGCTATGAAAGGCGTTCCTGAGAATTGGGTTTTGGTGGAGTTAAGGCATTCCATAATTGGTTTATAGCGCTCACCAGCACTAATAGCGGTAGTTATTCTTAAGTAACGAACCCATTAATCCGAAGGAGACAGCTTTTCAAACTTACTCGGTATCATGTGCATATAAATGTATTGGCGGGTGCTCATCGTATAGGAATTTTTACGATTGAGCCGGCCTATCCGAACACTTCCCTTGTGCCGTGCAGAGGTCTTCAATTCCCTAATTTATTTTAGCACGAAAGCTATCGAGCAAATAGGTATCGTGGAGGCCTTCTATATCGACCGACTCCCTTCAAGCAAATTTCTATCAAGCCACTCCCCCAATTTCTCTGCGTTCCCCAGAATCTGTATCTCGGCCTTCACATTCAACATTAGCATAACCTGCAACTCCCTCCTCCACTCTACTTCACTTCCATCCTCCTTAAATATCCCTTTCTCCAGCATTTTCGTGGCAACTCTTCGGTCTCTCGCTGATAGTTTCAGCAATCCTTGGACATCACTGCTAGTTTGTAGGAAGTCTGAGCTTCGGACACCGAGCCACTTGATTGAAGGTGTAGAGAGGTTCGCCGATTCGTGGGCAAGTGCCATGGAACCATGTTTATAAGTGGACATTATCCCGATTCCATCAGGATCAAAATCAACGAGGGCGTAGATTGGGATATCTAGCTTCTGGATGAAAAGGAGATGGAGAAACTGCCGTGTCTGGATGTCTGGATACCCTTTTGCCTGGGGAATAGGTCAGTCTGGCTACTGGCTAAGTTGTTGGAAATAATACCGTGATGATGATACCTGGACCTGTTATTGAACGCATCCAATATTCGCTTGCTGCCAGTGTGCGGAATGTGGCCTTCTATCGTTAGCCAGCTGCCGTCATATGAGTTGCTCAGCCATACTTCTTTTTCAACAACGAGAATCCAATGGACATTACGAAACTGAATATCCTCAATCTGCTTCGAACTCGGTACCAACACACCCTGATCCCATGAGGCCATAATCAATCGTTAAGGGCACAGGGAACAATCGAACCTCATGCTCCAAGCCATAATCAACGACCGAGTTGTCATTTTTAGTTATTGTAAAGGGGCCAACCACGAGGCCTTTAGCAGCCGCGACCTATGGGAAGTATGTTAGAGCTAGTATATTATATATACTAGGTCGTATATCACATGAGGACATACCACATTCAGGGCATCACGCTGAACTCCTAGTGTATACGCAAGATCATTGACGTAACGGTCAACTACAGCCTGCTTCATGAATAGTTCTGGGTCTCGATAATATATATCCCTAGAGGGATATCCTCATATCAGTAATCCTATCATGATACGGAATGTTAAGCAAAGATAATGAAGGAGAGGGACCGAATTAGGAGGGAGAGAATGACGAAACTATGATGATAGGTTTGGTAAATGAAGGGCCATGGATGAATGCAATGATCAAGACCAGGGAAATATATGGATATAAACCTTTTTGTGGTAACAGTTCCTGTGACAAGTGCTTCATGGCAAAGCTCAAGAATCCGGAGCAGGGCAGCTACTTCACATAAGTAGTCGTTCCAACCCAGGCCATATCACATACACCTACTAAATTTCCATGCCTCCTGGGGTGATCTGCTAGGGAAAGTAATAGCTCGTAATTCTAGGTTCGATTGCTTCTTTGCAGCTGTAGCTCCAGAATCATCTGCCTGGGGCTTAGTTCTACTGCGACTTTTCAGCTGGATGACAAGTTCGTTCTTCTCGCCGATAATGCAGTCTGTCATAGCCTCGAAGACATCTTCAATTCGGGAAATGACAGCTCCGGGTTGGTTGCAGCTATCGGCAGCGGACTTCGACTTCTGGAAGGTAAACCCTGGCGGCGGTGTAGAACAAAGACTAACGGGATGGTCGAGTTTCGACCAAGTACCAGTATATCCATTATATGTAAGTTCCCTGTTTGGTAAGTGAGAAAGCAAATCTTCCGGCAAGCCAAATCCGGGTTGCAGACCGGCTCTCCCAGAAGGAGGAGGAGGGGGCCTGTAATCCATTATATGCCTTATTAAAAGGAGCTCATGGTATTGGTGTTGTGTATCAATTTCTCCAGTGTTGGCCAAGACTCAAGTCTCGTGACTCCAGAGGAGCTTGGGTACTTCGTACTCGTACTCGTGCTCGTATCCAGTGCGTTACCCCTGAACCGTGCCACTGGTTCCTGCATGTGATTATTGATCTGTATGTACGACGTAGTACGAAGTACTTGTACGCTCAACACTGTTTACACACCGGCCACGCGCCTTTCTCCAACTGCAATTGTCTGGTTCACATTTATACCATCGACTCACAGCAATGGCGCGGTCAGGTGGATCTGTGAAGGGAACGGAACCGGCCACTAGTACTGGCAACAGTTACGCCAATTCTGGGGAGAAACGGCCTCTAGAGCCTGAGTCGGACGACCCTGCCCCTAACTCGACGGGCTACAAGAAACCCCGACTACAGGAACGGACGGATTACACACGATGGCGCATGCTGGATGAGAAAGGTAGACATACGTGGCATTATCTTGATGACGATGAGGATGCTAAGGAATGGCCCCAAACCACTGCCGACAAATATTTCTTAGGCCTTCCCACAGTACGTATAAAACATAAACCACTCGCCTTGCTCCAGAATCTCTACTAACATGCCATCTCCAGGACCTGCCAGATCTCCCACCTGCCAAAACCCCGCTTGATGCGGTGAAGAACGGACTCGGATTCTTCCAGCATCTCCAACTCCCCCCAGGCAATTGGGCGTGCGAGTATGGCGGACCGATGTTTTTGCTCCCTGGGTTGGTCATAACGTGGGTTGTTACTGAAACTCCAATTCCTGATCACATCGCAACCGAAATCAAGAACTACCTCTTCGCTCGTGCCAATCCCGACGATGGAGGATGGGGACTGCATATTGAAGGAGAAAGCACAGTGTTTGGCACCGCTATGAACTATACGGTATTGCGTCTCGTCGGCGTTAGTGAAGAGGACCCGAGAATGATCAAAGCCAGGGGAACTCTACACAAGATGGGAGGGGCCCAGAACGGCCCCCACTGGACTAAGTTCTGGCTCAGTGTGCTCGGCGTCTGTCAATGGGATATTGTTAACCCTGTGCCTCCCGAGTTCTGGCTTCTTCCTGACTGGGTGCCCTTCGCGCCTTGGAGATGGTGGATTCATATGCGCATGGTGTTCCTCCCCATGTCCTTTGTCTGGTCGAAACGTTGGAGTTACAAACCAACTCCCTTGATACTTCAATTGCGCGAAGAGCTTTTCCATGAATCCTACAGCACAGTCGATTGGGGTGCCCATCGCAACAGCATATACGAGAAAGACAATTACCATCCGAAAACATGGCTGCTAAAACTGGCCAACTGGTTCCTCGTCAATATCTATCCATATTTCAGAACTGAGTCTTTGGCAAAGTCCGCCGAGGATTGGGTATTCAAACTCATTCAGATGGAAGACAAGAACACGGATTTTGCGAATCTCGGTCCTGTAAATGGTCCAATGAATCTCCTCTGTTGTTATATCCGAGAAGGGCCAAACTCATATTCTGTGCGACGGCATCGAGAAAGAATGGCAGACTTCCTATGGGTTAAAGATGAGGGCATGTTGATGAATGGCACAAATGGTGTTCAATCCTGGGATACTGCCTTTTTGATCCAAACTGTCATGGATGCCGGCCTCGCTGAGGACCCGAAATGGCGACCCATGCTGACCAGAGCGTTGGAATTTCTTGACGATCAGCAGATTCGGGAAAATGTCGATGATCAAGCCCTGTGCTATAGACAGCAACGTAAAGGTGCCTGGGCTTTCAGCACTAGGGATCAAGGATATGCGGTGAGTGACTGCATCTCAGAGGCGCTCAAAGCTGTCTTGCTTCTGCAGAGGCTTCCTGGATACCCTAAGCTTCTAGACGATCAACGAATTTTCGATGCAATTGATACGTTGCTTACGTATCAGAACAAATCTGGCGGCTGTGCATCATATGAGCCAACACGTGGCTCCGAAAGGCTGGAAATGCTGAATGCCGCAGAAGTCTTTGGAAGGATTATGATCGAATATGACTATCCAGAATGCACAACAGCAGTCGTGACAGCACTCTCGCTGTTTACCAAATATTACCCTGATTACCGAGCTGCAGACATCAAGTCTTTTAAGGGTAGAGCTATTGAATATATTCGCAACGCTCAGTTCCCCGATGGTAGCTGGTACGGTAGCTGGGGAATATGCTTCACCTATGCTTCAATGTTCGCTCTCGAGAGTCTTGCCAGTATCGGCGAGACTTACGAGAACAGTGCGGATGTACGGCAAGGTTGCGATTTCCTCATTTCTAAGCAAAGAGTCGATGGTGGGTGGTCTGAGAGCTACCGGGTACGTTGTCCTTATTCCATTCAAACTATGCAATGCTAACCAATACAAGTCTTGCGAACGATCCATTTATACCGAGCATCCCACCGGCTCTCAGGTCGTCATGACGGCCTGGGCTTGCATTGCCTTGCTCGAAGCCAATTATCCGGATCGCACACCTATCGAAAAGGGCCTCAAACTTATAATGAGTAGGCAACAACCGAATGGAGAATGGCTGCAGGAGGCAATTGAAGGTGTTTTCAATAAGAGCTGCATGATCTCATATCCGAACTATAAGTTCATATTCCCAATGAAAGCGCTAGGAATATTTGCTAAGCGCTACGGCGACACTGCATTGGTATAATAGTGTAAATTTAATATATTTAATGTAATGAAGTACCCGATTTGCTTTAGATCATAAGTACTTATAATCGTGGTTTGATTTGGGTTTATTAACTTGATGTTTCCCCTTTATAAGACACGGTACAAACGGTTCCATTGCTCCGTGCTAGGTAAACTATGGCATGGTTTCCTGGCAAATAGCAAAGCGGTGGCAGAATTATAAGGCTGAGCCTAGTGTTGGAAGCTCCCAAAAGCTTCCCCACCAACAATCTCACATGTGCTTCCGTACTCGAGGACCGGTCCTGCCACTGCACGATCAATCTCCCAACTCCCAAACTCCCAACCTACCACGTACTCTATTTTCATCTTCAATATTGAGATAGACCGCATACACCACTATTACGATGGCTTCCGACGCCGCCAGAGGCAAAACCGCGCTCGATAAAGGCGACTACCCCGCTGCAGTCACCCACCTTACGGCCGCCCTCAAGAGCTCCCAATCACCACTTTGGTTGATCCAGCGATCTACAGCCTATCAACGCATCAAGGAATATGATCTCGCACTGGCAGATGCAGATAATGCAGTTCTCGCTGCGGTCTCGCGATCCAGGCGTGAACTGATCGGCACCTCGCAGTTCCGCCGAGCCGTCGCACTCCATGGTCTAGGACGCTTCGGGGATGCAAGGCTGTGTCTGAATTGGTGCAATAAGTATAATGAGAAGGAGAAAGGACTCACAATTTGGCTAGCGAAGATAAAGCAGGATTATGAGGACGCTGGGGGTGATGATGCGGAATGTAACAAAACAACCGTGAAGGAGATCCCGGACAAGGTCGAACAAGTCAATACTGGTGAGCAGAACAAGGGCGTTAAGGAGAACAAGGACAGTGTTGCGAAGCAGGCCAAAGCTCCTGCTCCTGCAGTAGCAGCGACACAGACCCGGACCCAAACAGCAAAGGATATTAGACATGAGTGGTATCAGTCGACCAGTGCTGTTACGATTGAGATCCTGGCGAAAGGGCTTCCTAAGGAATCGGTTGAGGTTACTTTCGAGGAAGGATCTGTACGTCTATAATACCCCTATTACCTTTGTTTTAAAGACTGACAATTAGATAGCTCGATGTCAACTTTCCGCTTCTCGCGCCAGGCTCCACCTACAACTTTTCCTTAAACCCCCTATTCTCCAGAATCGACCCCGCCAAATCCTCCTTCAGAGTTACGCCCCATAAGGTGGAAATTGTCCTTCAGAAATCTACTCCCGGTCCAAAGTGGTCGTCACTTGAAGGCACAGAAAACATCCAATCCACACCTTCAACCGACAAGACTCCTGCCGCAGCTACCAAACCCCAAACCGAAACTACCACTGCACCCGCATACCCAACATCCTCTCGCACGGGACCTAAGAATTGGGAGAAAGTCCTAGGCGACGAAAAGGATGATGAGATCGAGGAAGATGATGAGGTCAACGGTTTTTTCAAGAAGCTATACAAAGATGCGGACCCCGATACGCGCAGAGCTATGGTCAAGAGCTTCCAGGAGAGCAATGGAACGTCCTTGAGTACTTCCTGGGGCGACGTTGGAAGCCGTACTTTTGAGACTAAGCCTCCTGAGGGGCTGGAGGCGAAGAAGTGGGAGAGCTGATTGTGAGAAATGCGGTGTCATGGAGCGGGAAATTGCTCTCTTAAAGCGAGGTTAGATGCCGTTATTCAAAATGTAAAATGCGGGAGTTGGATTTGGAGCGTTTGCATATCCAAAAGTACATTGGCTGCTCATTGTGGGAGTTTATACCCCCTAAATAGGAAACCCCTTACGGCCTCTAGTCAACCAGACGGTTTTCATTAATATAAAGGGCTTTTACTACAATTTTACAAAAGGTGTATTTCCTTTAACTTCAACTTCCCTCTCCTCGCTGCAATTACACGATTAATGTTCAGGACAATACTATTCTTATTTCCAGGGCTATAACCATGGCGATCGCCACGCATTTAGGGCTACCGGCGCCTACTATTGAACCCAGGATGGGAATCGGGATACGCGTTCTTGGGGCTCATCGAAAAAGTAGGCATATACGCGGGAACAGTGAACAAGGACACCGAGGCTGTTTGCCAAAATTAGAATAGCTCTTAGAAAATGGGAATAGGTATGGGTTATGCGGGAGATCTAGAGGTTGATAGGGCAATGAAATGACTGGTAGCTTTCGATACATGCAAAAATGACTGGAGGGGGTTTGTATTGACGTTGTCTCCTGACTAACGAGTTAAAGTCTATATAAAACTTCAGATAAATAGCCAGATGTCATTTTCTCTATAAATATTCTTCATAGATATCGCTTTCTATATGGCTGTCCTCTATCATACCGTGCCTCTACGATCATTTCGTATGCCGCGCTGGTGGAGGTAGAAAATAACCCACATTCGCCTGGGTATATCAGTTGGCGTGCTAACTTTCAAAGGCAGATAATCGCAGTGAACTGGCGCTATACTTCGGTGTTGCTGTCAGAGTAGTAAGCAAATTGTTTCGGCAGAGGAGCCTCCTCCTTCTCAGCCTTCGGATCTTGATCCGCGAATAAGAATGGATTTTGCTTGTTTTGAAGAGCACTCGCGCTTGCACCAGAGTTCGCAGCGGCAGAAGTTGCAGTTGGGAACCCATCCCTTAGATTTTTAGTCATGAATTCTGACCATTCCCACGGCCTTTCTCGGTCACCTGGCAGGGAATTGAAGTATTCCCACCCCATAACACCGCCAAACCCGGGGTATCTCGACTTGAGAGTAATCAAAACTTCTTGAAGCATCTCAAATGGGACCCAGCCACTGCCATTTCCGGGATTCGTTACCATCCCAATAACAATCTTCTCAGCTGGATACCCTCTTGCGATCATGAAATCGTAGCCATCAGTCCTGCTGACGTCGCCCCAACCGCAATAAAACTGTGTATTGTACCAGGCAATCTGCTTGCCCCTCATCACCTCCAACGCCTCATAATTGAAGCCGCTCAGATTATGCTCCGGATTGTCTGATATGAGTGCAGCAGCAACAGGCGCCAGTGTGATGATAAAATCTTGACCAAAATCGCTCTTTAGTCTATCAATTAGCCGTATTATTCCCGCGAGAGTCATTGGCTCTTCCACATCTAGATCCAATCCATCGAGTCCGCGTTGTCTGATAAGATCTCGTAGGGGACAGTAATATTCTTCGAATGTAGCCTCATCGAGGTCGAGCCGTGTAAATGAGCCTTTGGCCGCCCCGCCCAACATACCTAGGACCTTGACGCCTGACGCCTGGAGAACCTGAAGCTCAGCCCAGAGCGTAATATATCGGGGGTCGGAAGGGACATGATCGTTCTACACATTGGTGAGCTGCGGATTCCCAAGAGCAAGCGGCCGATGACCGTTTAGCTGACCAGAGTTATGTGTCCTGGGGGGTCATTGAGGTGGATTGCGGCGAGGTTAACGTGGGTGACGGCGATGTTGGGCTGTGTTATAATGGGGAGGATGGAGCAAGGCGTGCCATCGGGATGGTGTTGTGTTTGATAGTAGATAACAATCCGCGGCGTTGGGGACGGGGGGATAGGAGGCATTTGAGGTTGAGGCTGAGCCTGTTGTGGAGGAGTGGCACGAATGTATGATGTTGTACTTCGTACGTGTTGACAAGTTATAATACAGCACGACAGACCAACGCGGGGCTGACAACAGTTGGTGGGGTCGGTCTGTCGGTCGCAAATGCCCCTTATTTCCTCGCCTGCGCCCTCTACTTGCCCTCTACTTCGCAGTCCCTTCGCCTTTTTCTCCATCTGCATCTCCACCTCCTCGTCTTATTATCATTTGACTTCGTATACTTGCTTCATATATAACGAATCATCTGCTCCTCAGAATGTGAGCAGCTGTGAATTATGTCACCAGAGCGAGCCGCAGCTAGTTGGCTAGGTCGGCGCGGTGTTCGCGTTTCATGCTATTTCGAGGTCGTGGATCCTACAACTGCGTAATCAGAGTACAGCCACACTCACTCCAGCAGTCGCCTTGTGCCGTACAACTTCACTGTTGGTTTCTCCAGGACACGCAACCTGCGCGAGGCATGGCTTTTCACCAACTGTTATCCTCCAGGGATTACCGAGTAGATCATCCGCGAAGGATCCTGGAATAGAGCAGTCATGTCAGGTACTGGGCTGACTGTTCCATAGATAGGGCTGTCTGCCGTCAGCCACGCATATTCCTCACAAGCAGGTAGGCAGCGGTGATACACACATATATACATAAGACAAGACAGGTTTCCTTGGCCATCTGTCCACTGTATTCATACCCTCCCTTTCCTCCTCTCTGTTTTAAAGCCGTATTTTCATTGGTTTACTTTCATACATCACGTCAAAATGGCTCCATATCTCCAATCATTACTCCCCTTGGCAGCGATATTCGCTTCTCAAGTAGCCTCGTTCGAGTTTACATATCCAACGCCTGGCAAGAGTCACACTTTTGCCGATGGCGATAGGGCAATAGTTCAATGGACCTCGGCGGTGGAACTCCCAGAGGTCTTCCTCAATTGTAGCACGACGCCCAGTGGCGCTACGCCTGTACTTGGTATGGATTCTGCGTTCAGTCGGAAGCTGCAAGCTAACTGAACTACAGCTTCCGCGGTCGCATTTACAAATGCCCTGCCTGGGAAATTGTATAGGGCCCATTGGAGTTCTCAAGGTAGGCATGCTTCCACTCGTTGCTTTGTCGAATTATCAGCTAACAGCCTCAATAGATGGGTTGGTCTTCCTTACTGCATAATCTCATCAATATCCTAATTAAAACAGAAACAACACATTTTGCAAGTTCTGCGCCGGGGATGGCGGTAAGACTTGTAGTGGTAGTCAGTCTCTCCCCGCCTTCTCCTGAAATCGTTCATTACCTTACACCACGCAGCATTCCATCTTATAGACCGTCAGAAAGGATCCCTTTCAACGCTCTGGTACGAGAAGGGCAACAGGCAGGCCGCACAATCTGATTGTACGGCCGACTCCCCTACTACAATCACGAAATATGTGACTGCATCAAGTACAGATGCATGTGGATGTCACGGTGGCAACTCTTCCAACCAAACTGTTACCTGGACCGCACCTCACTCGTCTATTGCTCAGGGCACTGGCACTGGATCGGGTTCTCTCCCAACAATCACCGCTAACTTTGTTGGTTGGAACTCAACAACGCCTAGCCTTCCTTTGCCCTCCGATACTACGATCACGACCATCTCTGTTGTAACACCTCCTCCAGTGCCGTCTCCATCACCACCAAAGGCTTCTACCACCGGTGCATCACCAGCGGCATGGTCATCACATGTCAATTTAGCTCTACTTGGGATGCTACTTGTGGGCAGTGTCTTCTTTGCTGTATTATAAGAGCTTTAGACTTTTGATATTTGGGAGTTTCTCGATGCATTACAGGAGTTTATGGGATACTAAGCTGGGTGGCTCGGTTTGTAGGTATATGGTCGCAATGATACCCTTCCTTTGGCGGAAATGTTTTACTTCACTTAGCTATTTGGGAGTGAGTAATATAAAAATAAGTGTCTAGTGCTCTGTCATCCATAGAATCCGTAGGCAACCTATAAAAAAAAAGTAAGTCTAGCTTGCATTACCTAAATATCCCTCCAATCCTCACTGAAGGAAAAGTTCAATTACTGTGCCTCGGCCATATCCTTGTTGCCCCTTTATGATCTCCGTTCCGGCCTCGGTTATGGAGAAACGCCCATATTAGATAAAGCAGATATGCTATAGGAATAGGTACCATACCTAGGTAGTTTATCCCGCTTCGAAATTTTCTTCTGGGCACGTTTCTATTAATTTCCCACTTCCCCTTTATATGCACCTTCATGGGTCCTCTCTTTTCTTGAGAAAAATGTTCAAATTAGAAAGACTAAAATATACGTGGCGTTCAGAAAGCTATTACGCGGTAATATATTCCACTTCTTCAGGCCTACTTTCTATATATAAATATAAAAATAAGTCATTAGTTACAAGAACATGATACTGTAGGCGATTAGGAAGTCGTGGACCAGCAGATATAAAGGCCTATGATCTTCCTGTCAGCTTGTTTTGTAGTTTTCTGTCCGCGAAGCGCCTTTGAATTAGGTTTCAATATTAATTCCCTGAGGTCCCAATATGAAACTAAGAAGACTTCCCAAAGTGGAATAGCTACGCATAGTGTTTTTGATGTCTACTGCAAAACGCTGCGCCCGCAAACTAAAGATAGGCATCATTTTTGTAGGTTTATTTCCATATTCTATACACGTACATACTTTTTAGTCAGTATAAATAATAGGGCGTGAAGCACTCGCTTTCTTAAACTGCAACTTGTCAGGAGTATACCTAATATGTATATGCAGCACCCTTTGCTGGGTTTTTGCAATGGCAATAGCAGGAAGAGAGAGGGAATCCACATGTGTATACAAAAGCTCCACGGTCTATAGAAGACAAATAACTTAGGGGGTTGGTGCAGTACGAAAAGGAAAGCAAGTTCGCTGAAAGTGCTAACCTGAACCTTTCCAGTAGAAACTCCCATAAGAGAACCTCTCCATCGCTAGGATTGAGATAATTTTAATAAGCCAGTTTTGTTTTCACCCTTACTGCACCAAAGCCTGGTCCACGCGCAGAGGGTTTCTTGAAATAGCTACTCGACAATAACATAAAACGCCCACTAGATAAACTGCTCGGCTCTGAAACCTTGTTCTCGAACACACAATAGATAAAATCCAGGGCAGGTTGATGGTGGGCCCACAAGATTATACGTCGATAGAGTTATTGAGGACCAGCTATATGAAATTGATGGCATTGAAGTTATATTATGCCGGGAAAGTCCTCTGCGCTGTATTTGGTGGTTTGCAATATATATAATTGGAAGCTTTGAAATAAGTGAGGCGAAGAAATAGTAACGGAAAGTAATGTTGCGATTTTAAGTTAATTGAAAATTGTACTGTAGTAACGGCTACAAATGAGTTTTAGGGTATTGGTATATAGTTGCTGGAAGCATATTGAGATGAGGAGACTAGTCCTAGAGAATCGCCCTCTATTACTACATAAATTGAGCGGTCAATTACTTAGCATTAGATAGTACGAACTGCTGGAACAAATCTCGAGTAGGTCGGGGCAACGGCAAGGAAACTCGGGGGATCTCTTGCAAATTAAAATCACTTTGCAACAAAAGTTACAAAACACACCTGGCAGTAGTTGGCAAACATATGAACTAAACATTGAACACTTACACTTTGGATATGAAATCTTAGCATTTGGTCATTCTATACAGAAGAGAGCCAGCTATTTTCCAACCTCAACTGATAGTTGGAATCCTAAATAAACAGACAGGTGGGAATACAATCCACGTTCTTCAAGCATTGATACGATGCAAGCGTTTTGTAAGAGTTTTGTAATTGACGAATGAAGTCAGACATATCTTTTTTCTCATGTAATTAATGCACGCATGTTATGTAACAGGCTAGCAGCATCGAGCTGTCGTGGCACCCTCCCCAAAGCTTGAGGATTAATAAAGCTAGTGCGCCGATCTCCACGCTGTGATACTCATGTCCGGGACCACCGTTCGCCCTTTGCTGTACCGCAAGCCACAGAAACTACTGCAGCCCGGTGACGAAACAAGCCAGAGGCCAATGAGAAGGTAATCCATTGGCAATAGTTGGGTTTCTTTACATACCTGCAGGTAAGGCCGGTAGGGCTGGATCCTCAGCTTGGGAATATTAATAATGGCCGGGCGCAAGCTACATGGCGTTTTAAACTGGCCGGATTGAGCAAGTGAGAAATTAAACGACATAATAAGCCCAATGGCCAGATCACCAATGGAAGCCCCCCCAAAAGTGACCGTAGACCCAGAACACAAACAACAACGCCCATATCCATCAGATTCTGTACACTGCCAGGCTGTCAGACACGACCTGCACTTGCAATAATTCGGATTCGCGACAAGGCCGCCACGTGTGACGCCTCGTCAATTAAAATGACCTGGAAGAGCTGAAAGACAGGGAGAAGAGAAAAGGAAAAGAGGAGCGTCCCACAGCGGTCTATGCACGTGCGCGGGCGGGGGAGAGAGAATGTGTTTCTCAATTGCGTGTTTTGGTGGTTTCGGGAGGAGTTCTGTTTGGTGTTTTATTTTTCGTGATGCTTCGTCGTGCTGGGTGAGGCCTTGGGGATTCCACACCGACTTCCTGCACCCTGGCTCGGGGAATTATTCAGCGGAGGGGTTTGAATTGAATTGAATGGAGAAAGGAAGGAAGCTGTGTGATGTTCTGTGTGGTTTATCATCATGCGCAGGAGAGGCGAGAATATGTATTATCTGCGTAGTGGTGGTAATTGGCCATGAGACAGAAGAGTGTGTAACTGCGTTTGTGTGCGGTACTGAATGTCGGTACGACCACCAGAAAGATCGACCGCGAGCGGCCGATCGGCCGACAGAGACATCGCCAAAGTCAATATCAGATCATGTGGGGAGAGACCGTCAGATTCGGAACACCGCCGCATTCCAATTAGGAAGACCGAGGCGTTTAAGCCGGGGATGGAGGGGCGCGGAACTGATGGGTATAAAGCCGAAGCACTAACTTTTAAGTATTACTTCCTGTACTTACTCCGACGGTGACGTATCTGGTACAGGGCATCATCGTACGTAGTAAAGTGGTTCGTTTTGCGGGTGTCGCTGGTATGGTGTCATGGGTGGGGATGCCGGGAACTAATTATTGTAGTAGCGGAGGAGATGATGGCATTATCAGATATCGTCGGAGCTTCCTCCACTACGAAATACCCACAGAGGCTAAGGTAGGTACTAGGTACTAGGTTCTAGGTAGTAGGTAATAGCGTAGGCACAAGGCAGATAGGCACGAGGTAGTGGAATACTAAGTAACCCCCCCAGCAGATATCATGGTGTTCGATGCCCTCATTATTAAGATCCTAGATTGTGTTGTTTTGAATGTTGCGGTTGAATCGGCACATAAAACGCCATGGAATCATGGAATCATGGACTCGTGGAATCATGGATACGCCGGGAAAGAAACTTGCAAGGACGGGGACCTGACTTGGAAGGTGACGGAGGTTGCAACTGCGCATCAACCTTTGGTAACTTGGAGACGAGGGGTTGGAGCTGCAATCGGAGCGTTCATATTGATCTGGACGTGTAGAGTTGTAGTGCATGAATCAATGGTGGCGACAACTGCCGATTGATATTGCGGCGGTGTGAAGTGAAACTGGGAACAGCGACACGATGGAAAGTAGAAACCCGCGAGATCTTATTATATTGTTATCGTGCAGTATCTTGTTCCTGTACTTGGTACTTCGTGCTACTGTGCATAGGTAGCAGTGCTTTCGTATTTGCAATTGCAATCAATTGGTATTCCGAGAGTGAGCGCCGAGTACCAACTAATAATCGAGTGGCGGTGATTGGACCGGCAGCGTGCCTCTGGGCCCATCGCGCCATCGGGCGCCCCGAAAGCGCGTAGGGCCGAGTCTTACAAGCCACGACGTACGGAGTACAAGACGATAGGCACAAACACGAATACAAATATAGGTACAAGTACAAAAGATAACGATGTGATGATGGCATGTTAATGATGACGATAATCAATGGTACGTAGTATTGTTCGAGTAGGAATATGTCCAGTACCTAGATAGGGTCCTGCACTGTACCTTGTGACATCGCACTACGACGGTACAGGTACATTTCTGCCTTACGTCAGTCAGTCAGTCAGTCAGCGCCTGGGTTCGAAACGTTTCCAATGCGTTGATGGTCGCTTCGGGGGGGGATTCAGGGTATTCGGGGGCATCCGGGGGCATCCGGGCCCTGGCCTTGGTGGTGGTGGGGTAATAATACCGAGCATATAACTTCAGGTACAAGGACATCTCGCGGTGACTCTACTGTTCTTGAAACTGGAAATTCAAGAGGACAGCCCTGTCAAGCTGCGAGCTATCAAGGAGGAGTATGAAATAAAACATTTATAACAGAAACGCTGCTCTATCAAGCTGCAACTTGCAACTTAGCTGTTACGCTGTAGATATCCATATCTTCATGAGATAATAAGCCACTACTACTGTACTGTACTGTACGTACTGATCCTCCTTGACCTTATCTGCGGCCTCCCCGCCCTCCACGTCCACGTCTACTTCGGGGTCACCTCGACCATCAATAATAATCACCACGTTGCGCAGCAGCAGCTGCCTCTTGAGTCTGGAATCAATTCGATTATTGCATTTGTATTTATTGCCAATTCCCAATCTCCACGAACCTCAGCAGCCCAGCACTGCTACCGCCACATTCGAGCTTGTTGGCTGAGCGCAGTAGCCCCAGGAGTCCCAGCTGAGAGATAAGCGCAGCGTCGTGGCGGCGCCAAGTGGAGGGGCGCCAGAGAAGAAAAACAACCACAGCAGCCGGAGCTCGCATTGTGCCCAATAATAAGGTGAGCTACTTTGCGTCTGAACGTGAGAGCGTGAAAGCGTGACGCAGCTGTATTGTTATTGTTATTGCTGTTGTTGTTGATATTTATTTCCGAATCTGGGTGTTTGGGACAACAAGTATAGAGGCTGCCGATTCATCTTGATCGAATCCTTCTTGCTCGCTCGCTCGCTCTCTCTGCTCGTGTCTTGCAGACTTGCAGACTTGCAGACTCCTCCTTTCCTATTACCCATCCTCCAAAAGTCTTGTTTGGCGCGGCCTCTTCAACTCTGGCAGTGCCTCGGGGCGGCTCTTTGGCTCCATTCCCAACCTTTGGTGCTTCTCCCCACGCGGGCTGAGTCGGGCGCCTTATTTGCTGGTGGTGTTGAAGCCCGAATGCTGACCTCCGACGCTTGTTTAGCTCGAGCGCGCTAAACGTCGCCGCTCATACGGTAACGGACTGACGGTGGCAGTATTATTATCGCTCAATAATTATTGCTATTGCACCGGCGTCTGCAGCTGCTTGCATCAGTAGTGTAGTGTATCCACACTCTGCCTGGGATCCTTCACTACTGCACCTGCACTGCACCGCACCGCATCGCTCAAAACAACCTGGGCCCCACGCAGAAACCTTCCATCCTCATCTTCATCTTCATCCTCATCCTCCCCCTCCTCCACTTCCCTCTACCACAACCTCCGCTACCACAACTACAGCAAAGGTTGATCCGGCAGGAGGCCCAATTTATATAGTGATTCCCTCGAACTCGCCGTGCGGGTACGGTAATACTGCTTAATACCCACTCTTTGTTGTTGACGTCGCGCACCCGCCGCCACGTCCTCAATGATGATGGCCGACGTCCCACGTCGAAAGGCAATGCCGGCCGGCTACCAAGCCGCTCCCCAGCCGTCAAACATCTACGGACATAGTCGCACTCGGACGACTTCCTCAAATACCTTTCCTGCAATCCTACAACCCCACCATGCTCAACAACACTACCCGAGCAACTTACAAATCAACGCCTACACCTCCCGCCGAACACCCTCTACAAATACCTTCTCTACCACCGCCAGTAGCGGCAATGGGCCGGTCGGCCAACGGCCAGTATCCCAGGACCTACGACGGTCAACGTCCTCCAGGTCCGGTGGCTCGCCATCCACGAGCTATGTCGCTCTGATGCGGAAGCAGAAAGCGACCGTGTGGTGCGATCGAAGCCAACATGAAGACCCACGGCTGGTCGCTGCACAGCGGCAGGCGAAGATCCGAGCTACAATGGAAGTAAGTGGAGGCGGTGGCCAAGCACGGCTGTCAACAACCGGGTCTGGAAACTTTGCTGCCAGTAAGGGGGTCACCGCGAAGATACGGCATCACGGGAAGTCGGGATTGGTGGGATACTCCCCCGGGGATCTGGCTGGTGGTGTCGCGGGCGTGCCCATGCGGCTGAGTGCAACTGAAGTCGAGGGCGAAGACAGCGACGACGACTCCCCTGGCGGGACAATGCAATCCGGCGGATACCATCGTCGGACTGGCAGTGGTCGCAGTAGTGTCGGAAGCGGTGGTAGGAGAGGCCTCACGTATTCCCGACAATCCGGTTCTAGTTCAATTGGAGGGAAATGGAGCTCCGGCAACACGCCCCCAGGGGAAAGGCAGAACTCCCTCGGCGACCTGGCTGAAGCGGACACTCCTGCTCCCGCTCCTGCTGCAAACCGGCATCGCAACCACTACTTCGGTGGAGATGGAACTGTCGATAGGACCCAGAGTGTGGGGAGTGGCAGCAGTGGCGAACGGGCTGACAACGTCCCCGACCTGGGTGCCGATGATGCCGCAAGACTTGCCAGCAACAGCCTAATGAAGTCTACCATCACGCGGGAGAAGAGCACGAAAAACCCAGACGAGCTAAGAAGAAGAGGGAGCGTGGATGAGCGGACGATGACCATGAGCGCCGGCCGGTTATATGTTGCGAATCCGGATACGGATAGCGACTGACCGAGGGATAATAATGAGGAAGATACCCCGATTACGGATGAGATTACGGCCCGAGTTGCATGCATTTATGGCGTTGGGGAACTCAGGTCTGGATGGAATTGTTTTTTTTTGGAGACCTGGCTTGATACCACACAGGCTGGTGCACATATGGTATCCGATACAGTCAGATTAGCCCCCCCCTCAGTTATTTAGCGGCGTCTGCATATCATGTACACATGTTTATATTTGCATATAGCAGTACGATAGAGCACAAGGCTTGCAAATAATAGGTGCGAAAAATATACAAAATTCAAAGATCTACTGGAACCGATTGATATTTGTGCCGTATTATGCTGCAGCACGACGATTTTGATTTTTAAGTTTTTCATCTGCATGGTGTAGTATTTTATTACCTACAAAGTATTACCTCATACACATCCCTTACCGCAAACATCCCCTCTTCTCACACCCATATCCGAGCCGAAGCTGAGTTTTTAAAGTTCAGAGGCTGTTTTAAGCTTTGAGATTGCATGTCTACGCATGTTTACTTCTTGTCCGAAAACAGGACGAAAACGGTAACCACTAGAGGTTCTCAATATCGATGGCAAATCTCTTGGTACATCTGAAGAAGAAAGGGCTGAGCATTGTTTAGATGGGAAATGAAACTTCAGCATGAAGTTTATGGCGAGATTAGACCTACTGGATGATAAAGAGACGTTACCTAGTAGCTAGGTTGATTTTTGTTACCTACATATAGCCAGGCTTTCAAATATCCCCAAAATAATTCTGACGGATCTTTTCCATTCCCAATTCCCTGGGCATCGGGTCTAAGAATTTATCGATTTCCGCTCGCCAGAAATAATTCATTGGGTTTACTTGTGACGCTGTAGTGTACTCCCAATATGACGGGTACCAGCTAGCTGTCCCCCAATTGATAATTCCCACAATCGTATCGCCGCGGGCAAGAATATTTAAACTACTCAAGTCGCCGTGTGTAAAAACAGGGGCTGGCCAATCTCTGTCTTGCAATGCTATTAGTTCGCTAACATCGGGGTAGTGATTCGGGTCGGCGTCAAATCCTCCTCTCAGGAATCTATGGAAGTCGTGGAGAGTTTTGAAGGGTCCATGGCACATCGAGTTCCCAAAGAGTCAGCCGTCCCATATTGACCCACCATCGACGTTAGAAATGCCTTGTCCTTGAGAAAGACGTATGTTCCGCGTCTCGTACACCATTCTTTTAAGCTGCGCGTGTATCTTTGCCTTCGACTCAGGACTTCGCTCCCCCCACCCATGGCCCAGCATGTCACCGTTCTCCATCGCGATATAAGTCCGTCCTTTGCGAGTAAAAGCACAATATACTTTCGGCACAGGTATTGAGGTGTGTTGGGCTATGAATTGCAGGGCTGATGCTTCTGGAAGGTGTCTGAGAGGCCCGAATTTTATGCAGAGTTTATTGCAGATAAATATGACGCTGCCATGGCTGGGGACGACATGTTTGAGAAACTTAACGGCTGCGAGAACGACGAAGCGGCGTAGACGGGTGTTGTTGATAGGTTGTGACTCGGTCGATGTCTTGGTTAGAAGGGTTGTCTTTGGTTCCTGAGGTTCGTTTTAATTGTTCTATGACGGGGCCATCTTCCATAATAAATGTACTCTACTCCGCACCTCGCTCATAAACAGCCTTTATAAAGCTCTGGCTTTGTGGTGCTTGTGGAAAGATAACTAGAGGAGTTGTGATTGCTACCCGTTGGCCTAAGCTTAAGGAGTAGAGGTTCTAAAAGCGGGACTAAGGGGCGTCGGCTATGAGTGACGCGAACCACTTCCCGACAATCGCGAAAGCGCGTCCAACTTCGCGACCATTCATCCTTGAGTTAAGCCTGAGCAACAAAGCACAGTCAGTGTACAACAATCCTTGGGCTGCTTGCTCGTATCTATTTGACTAAATACAATACACTGCCATATTTCAATTAATTGGTGGCAATTCACCTTCGTCCACGAACAATCTAGAGCTCTAGCACGCGTCACAGCTACCTCGACATGTCGGTTCACGAATCAGCCCGATCTCTGAAGAGGAACCATGACAGCTTCGAAGGCCGCGCAGATCTGAAAGAGTCACATACCGCTGCCGCAGACTTCCTACAAACCCTTCCAATACCTCCTACCCCAACCAACACCTCGAAACGGAACTTAAGCCCTGCGCAGAGCAACTCCAGCCCACTGAGCGATGTTGGACCAGTGACACCGTCTGCAGTGTTGAATTCTCCCAAACTTGCTACTGGGGCCGGACCAAACGCCTCGGTGAATACCAGCTCGCCGTCCGCCTTCGCAGCACTTAATGGTGCTGCCGCCCCTCCAGCCAAGAAGACTAAACTCACATTCGCGGAGAAAGAGATGAGGCAGATCCAGAAGGATATCAGAGAGCAGGAGAAGGCGGAAGAGAGAGCGAAGAAGGAGGCCGAGAAACAAGTACAAGCCGAAGAAAAAGCACGACGAGATGCTGAGAAGGAGGCTGAGAGAAAACGGAAAGAGGCAGAGAAACAACTACAAATCGAAGAGAAGGCACGACGAGACGCCGAGAAGGAGGCCGAGAAAAAGCGGAGAGAGGCTGAACGGGAAGAAAAGAGAGCTGCACAGGAGGCCGAGAAGGCTGCTAAGGAGGAGAAGAAGCTGCTGAGGGAAAAAGAGAAACAACGAGTCGAGGAGGAGAAGATGAAAAAGGAACGCAGCCAACCGACCTTGAGTAGCTTCTTCGCCGCACCTTCTAAAGCCAGGACAGGTAGCGCGGATGGTAAGGAAAAACGTCCCGCAAGCCCTGGACCACAAAATTCGAATCCTAGTCTATTAGCTGCGTCGACTGTAAACCCCCAAGCTACCACGCCCAGCAAGCCCGAGATATCACCATATGACAAGATGTTTCCGGCTTTCTTCATACATAGCGATGTCAAGGTCGCCAGTGTTAATCGATTCGAGCGGGACGACGAAGCCTTGAATTCGATACACCAAACCCTCGACAGTTACATATTCGGGGATAGGAGTCCAGACCGAAAACTAACGTTTGATATAATATCGCTGTTCCACCTACCTGATAATACTGGTCCTCGTGGCAAAAATTGCATGCCAGTCCGTGAGATCATGGCTGAGTTCTCAGGAGATGCTTCTCGTCCGATCGACTTAACCGAAGATTCGCAAATTTCTCAGGTCAGAAGGATGCGCAATCTACGAAGGGTGCCGATGAAGATCCTCCAATTCAGAGAAGACGTCAGGCCCCCATATCGAGGAACATATACTAGCCGGCCTGTCCATGGCGTGGCGAAGTTGGGTCGAAATCCACTTCGGAGAGACCTTCCGAACACAAACTATGATTATGATAGTGAGGCTGAATGGGTTGAGGATGAAGATGCCGAGGACTGCAACAGCGATGGCGAGGAGGAAGATGATGGAGAGGATGGCGAGGACATGGAGGGCTTTTTGGATGATGAGAATGATGAACTAGCTCATTCTAAAAGGATGATAATACAAGGTGATTTAGAACCCGTTTCGACGGGTTTGTGTTGGGAGAGTAGGAAAAAGAGGAATACCGGTGTGGAGATGATGCAATATCGGATGGAAATCATCGTTGGTAAGCTAAAAATCTCCTGTGACGTCCAAGCGATTTCGATTAACAAGAAACAGACCCAAATCTCAAATCAGTCAATCCCTTTTCGACTCAATACTGGGTACCGAATCCAACCACCACAGCCATGGAACCTCCCCGCCTACCCCTCACAGCAGTGAAACCCCCAAACACCAGCACCGCCATCCTCCCCTCGTCAACCATCAAAGTAACGTCCTTTTTCCCTCTGACTACCTCCACTACCTCTACCACAGCGTCGTTATCCTCCCAACAAGCTCTCCAGACTATCTCCACACCTGGCAAAGACACCAAACCCAAAAAGCTCCTTCCGGCAGAAGACCTCCCCAAATTTAGAGATGCTGTGGAAGGCAGTAACCTCTCGAAAATAGGGTTGATCGAGGTGTTGAAGAAGCAATTCCCTGGACGGCCAGCAGCGGCTATTAAGGGGACATTGGAGACTGTTGCCAAGAGGATTGGTGCTAAGGAGGCTGATAAAAGATGGGTTATCGTCGAGGGGATGTGATGAGAGTAATAAATGAACTTTTCTTATTAAAACAACACACCGGTGGCAGTGGAAGGAAACACGGGATAGTGTGTACCTTGCTGTTGCTCTCTTGCTTGGCTTAGCGAAAGTCTCTACTAATGAGCATCTCAACATTTACCGGCGTTTACATTTACATTAGCTTAGCATACCTTAGCATGTCGAGCAGAAATCGCAGACAGGCTGGCGTTTTTTCCCCCAGAGCAGGCGAAAATATTAGATTCCTATTTTTTGATCCTACAGAAGTTTTTTTTAGTTTTGACTTGCGTCTGTGACTTTATAGACTTGTAAAAGGTCTAATTATCTTTGCGTTATTCACTAGTGAAATCAAACCTCGTTATGATGGGATGGCGGTGGTAGGAAGTACTATTCCCATCGAATAGAGGAGAGTAGATAGTAGATTTCCACTACACGAGATTTAAAATGCGGGGGTTGGCCGGTAGAGTTTAATTGTGCGCTTTGGGAGCTTGCAATGTAGCTTTTTAGTATATATAGGGTTAAAAGGAGCTATAAATCAGGAAGTATTGTGTTGAAAAAGATAGATCGTGTCTTGAAATATGAGCATCATGAGTGGTATTTACTTTCCTAGCAGCTTTTAGTAGATATATAAGAAAACGCCTGTATGCTATATTGTATTGCCTATTAACACACTACATAGGCATGACTTCCCATCGCCTTCTTTTACGCAACTTTCTTTTAAAGATCTGAGTCTCGCAACATACAAAGTTGAAGAAGAATTAATTCAATTTAATGCTTGGGTGGAAAATAACAATTGTTCGAGGTATTTCAAAACCTAATTCTAAAAAAGCCCATGTGGACTAATTAGAAAAAATTCAACGCTAATAGATCAACGCTTGAAAACCCAAAGCTTGAAAGATCTAGCTGTTATACACCTCTCCAAGCGCCATAATTTCCCCGTGGCCCTTGCCTGCCATTCTAGAGAATAATAATAAAACGCCAAGCCGTTCGCTATGCTTCTTTTTATGGTTCGGTCTAAAGTTCGTAATAGTCGTGCAACGTATTCGTGTATCTTACACCGCATTGGTGACGGTATCTCCCTCCTCGCCATAACGATTGTCATAACTATCAGGAGATATACCGTTCCACTATGGCGGTAACCCTCAAGTAGTCACTTCCTTGCCCTTCCGATTCTCCAATACCTCATTCCTGATAACGGCATCACTAGGATCGACACTGGATGGAGTTTTCCCCATCAATTTACTTGCCTCCGCCTCACCCTCACTTAAATCAGTGCTGATAAAATTCCAACCACGTAATTCGCTTGACAAGATTGCAGTATCATCATCTGTAGTCGCCGCTTTATCGTCCTCCAGCTCCATATCCGCATGACTGGTCTTCGAGACTTCAATCCCGCAGTTTCTCAGAGTCTGCAGCACCGCGCGCACATTAAGGCGCATGATGCGCTCGGGCTCTTGGACGGCCATAAACCGCTTTGTGAACCAAGGGAAGAGGATGCCAAAATCAGATTGTGAGAGATGGGCTGAGGATGCTGCGTAGTAGAAATTAGGCGTTGGGATCTCTCTTCCTTCCGAGTCATTGAAATTTTGGTGCGGTGACGTGCTGGATGGGTCGGGGGATAGGAGGCGCTTCGTTGCTTGGAGGTGTTCTCGCCACTTGAAGAACGCCTGTGATTCTACCGCTAGGAGGGCGGCGCCACCAGGCCCACCGGTGCTGTAGCATGGGAAGGGCTTGTCCCAGAGCCAGCGTGTGCTTTCGGCTCGGAGGGGGAAACACCAGACGTCGAGGAGGATAAGTGGGGTTTGGGGTGTGATTTGTTCGGCGATTGACGAGCGTGAGGAAGGTGTGAATAGAGGCGTATAACTTGCCGGGGCGGAGGATGTGAGAGGGGAGTAGAATGTTGATTTCACAAGCTGTGTTACAGTTGCGCCACCGAAGGAGTGACCCGCGAAGGTGATCTTGCCCGGTGTGTGGACATCCATCTTGTCTTTAAAAGGCGATAGCGTGATGGAAGAAGAGTTGAGATTTGTCAGAGACATGCCGTTGTCTAGTTTTATGAGGCTGTCATGGACTAAGCCCATTTCCCATAGTCGAGTTCGTAATTGTGCATTTCTCTGCTGTTCCACTTCCGGCGATGGCGTATGTGATATCCGGACATAATCCACCACCTTCTTGCCCACTTGAGGGTCTACCTTTTCCGTTGTGGTTTCGGTAGAGGGCACGGCTCGAATGTAGGATACAGGCGTCGAGCCATCTCGGTGTTCAGGGGCTATGACAATCATACCATGGGAGGCGATGGAGCCTATGATTTGAGAGTAGGCATTCCGCGAGCCGCCCAGACCATGGGAGAATATCATGACGGGCCATCGAGAGGTGGATGTATCTGGCTGACGTAGGGGAGCATTCTTGTGGACTGGAATCTGGATGTAGTGCAAAAGACGGGGGATGAATCTGTAGCCTCTGGTGTCAGTGTTGTCTTTACAATACAAATTCTGCGAGGACCAAATCAAAGAGATAGGACAAACATACGACACAAACTCGGCCAAGACGGATCCTGCACCTGCAAATCTGCTGAACGCAGAGAGATGGCTACGCTGCGGAACGGGAACCCAATTTACGGTCTGAGCCTTTGAACTAGATTCCGGCTCGCAAGGATAGAAGATGCGGTATTGGATTGTCGAAATAGATTCATCGGGCGCGGGGGAAGGTGACTCGAGTTCTGCCACTGGTATTTCGACATCGATACTCCCCACTACGTACGGGCCTGTGTACGAGGGAAAGGCAGGTACGGGGCTGAAGTAGGAGAAATAGGAGGTCATGGTGAAAGAAAGGATTGGGAGACGGTGTTATGGATGGATTTGTGTCCCAAGCAGAGCGATTAAGGAAAGAGAGTGAGACTGCAATGCACGGCAAGTACTGGCAGGTGCTAGAATAAGTGAATATGAATACTTTGGGAGGAATACTTTGAAGTGTGAAAAGAGAAAACGTATTAAAAAGCCCAAACACGCCTCGGCTCGGGCTTTGTTTTCTTGAAACTCCGTCACCACGTCATCGATCGGGATCGGGTTTAGTTTTGGCCGTGGCCCGCCCGATGTGGCCAAAGGGAGCATTAGTAAGATAAGATAAGATAAGAGTCTTCAACGGCGACCATCGCCGCTTCGGGGGGCAAGGCTTTCGATCCTTCAGTCGAGGCTTGAAACTCAGGATGCATGTTTCTCTCTCTAACCACAGTGCGAAGTGATTTTACATGACGTTGCAACCTTCGCCTCGAGCAGATATACGAAAAAGAACGAAGTTAAATGCCGGCATATAGATCCGTAGAATGCAACCCTGAACCACCTGGGATTCCCGCCGCCTCGGGAGAAATCAGAATCTCCATGGATTATTAGACGGCATGGAAGTACTCTACAGCCGGGTCCGAATATGAATGAGAAAGATTGCCAAGGTTGCGTTTAACCTTATTATTATTACTAATTACTTACTGCAGTTGCTTCTTACCCGTCTCTTTGCTCGCTAGAATCGGCTTCAGCGTGGCGATCACCGTACTCTTACTGTTGAATCAGTACTACCACCGATCCGAAGAACCTCTTGAATTTACTATGAAGGAATTAGCCAACACCAACGCTAATGCCGTAGATCTATGACCGATTGTGGGCTCACAAGTGGAAATTTGAAACTTGGAAACTCTTCATGGCTTTATTCTTGTCCCTCCATCGCCAAGATGGGTGATTTACGTCCTGACCAATCCAGTCTTAAGTTCGGTCGCGATCATACCTTCTTCCCCTGCTCGAAACACACCAAATCAATTTTGTTATCCTAGATATTCGGCGTTGATATCAGGCAGATCGCTTAAGCTTCAACCCTCGATCACAAGATTAACGTGGGCAGCGATTACAACCTTGTCCAACATATAAGTTACTTTAATTCGATGCCAAATGATTCTGCCGTCTTACCCCGCATTCCGACGACATAGGACAATATAAACTGAAATCAAATATCTGGGCCAAGACATGTGAATAAGTATATTTTTGATGGGAAAAGAAGTACCAGTATGATGACGACCGCTGAGGGGAAGTGCAGGGGCTGGGACTTGCATACCAGGCTTGCCTCTGATATATTTTAGGATTTGCTATCTCCTGAAAATCTCGAGTCCTACAAAATATTGGCTGTCCCCTAAGCCAAGTCAAGAAAACTTAGTACTTGGTTTATTTTCATTGTGCTACAATCTTGGTCGCTATGGCTTCGATTTCGAAATGCATCGGGTCGGCCCTCACCGGCCTCGCTGCCTTGGCATTGCTATTCCAGCCGCTTGCCCTCGGACAGAACTGCAACTTGAATTCTCAGACGCAGGCAGTATTTGCACCAGGGTATGGAGCAAAGCTTATCATGAACGGACTGAAAACCCCTCGACACATGGTGTTCGATACCTTGGGCAACTTACTGGTTGTTGAACAATCGGGCGGTGGTGTCAGACAGATCAAGTTGACAGATAATAATGGCGTTCCTTGCGTAGCATCGAGCAAGCAAATCATTGCTGATTCAAGTGTAAGTCGTCTTTGAGTAAGCCATGCCGGCCGTTTATTAGATACATAAATAGCGGTTTTACGTCTCTAATCTTTGAAAGCACAAATTGAAGCTTGCGCAGTTGTTTATGGCTTATTGTCTCATATCTTTGAACTTAATGATATGAAATCTCATTCCAAAGATCACCAGCTCATACACATCTAGCTCAATCACGGCATCGCACTCTCCCCCGATGGGAAGACACTCTACGTGTCCAGCCTGCCCCAGCTCGCTCAGTGGGATTACGACGCAGCATCTGGCACCACTAGCAACAAGAAGGTCCTTGTCACCGGCATGACCAACGGTGGGGGCCATCGAACCCGAACTCTTCACATACCATCGAGATTCCCAGACCTGATCCTGATGCAGCGCGGCTCAGATGGAAATGTCGACGTCGGCACTAAACAAAAAAGTAGCGGTCGAAGTATGATCAAGATCTTCAACCGCGCAGAGATCGCCCAAAAGGCGGTAGATTACAGCAGCACCTCATCCGGCACAATCTTGGGATGGGGATTGAGGAACGCCGTTGCAGTGGGCGAGCACCCGATAACAGGTGAAATTGTGAGCCCCCAAATAACCTATATTGTGTATCGTGGATGATTGCAGAACTAACCATAACCAATCAGTGGTCTGTCGACCAAGGCGAGGACGACATTAAGCGCAACGGCAAAGATGTCCACACGAACAATCCCGGTGAGAAGATGAATTTCCACGGCAAAGTCAACGATACCTCAGCCCCCGAATTCGGTGCCAACTACGGTTACCCGGAATGCGTTCCAGCTCTTGATCCAAGCGTGCTCGATATACCAGGTATTAAGGTCGGCGACCTGTTCTGGGTTGAGGGCAATTCCCAAACTACTACTCAAGACCAAGCTTGCAAGCAGCGAAACCCTCCTCGCCTTGTATTCCCCGCTCACAACTCACCGATGGATATCAAATTCAAAGCTGATGGAAGCGCTGCCTACCTCACTTGGCACGGAAGTTGGTATGCATAACATTCCTTTATTTTAAGTCCACATCTTGGTCGAATATATTAGATGTTGATTGGATATATTACTTGGTATGCTGATTCGGTGGTTTAGGGACCGTCAACCTAGCGATGGATACCGCGTCGATCGCGTTGAATTTGGCTCCGACGGCCAGCCGAAAGAGCCCCTGACCAACCCAATGCCTGCCACGCATATCATGCAGAACACCAATGCCGCCAACTGCCAGTCTGGGTGCTTCCGTCCATGCGGCCTTGCCTTTGATAGCAAGGAGCGTCTTTTCATGACCAGTGATTCGACGGGCGAGCTTTACGTACTCACTGGTACATAGTGTGAAGATAAACCTGGATATGTGTAACCTAAGGGGGTGGTATTAGTTATGATAGGTAGGTAAGGTAGGTAGTTGTTGTAGCTAGTGGAGAGCTGAAATATATGGTGTACATGAGAGACTATGTCTCCAGCTTGTTCGCTGATAACCATATTTCCATACAAGTGCAACAGTATCTAAAATTCTTACAATTTATCCTGCCAAGACGCCACATCTGCAATGTAACGATATCTAAATGCCAAATCTAAGGTTAAAATGGCATAGCATAATCATCAGGCTCTACGGTCGTACGGGCAACGCTACAGGCCCTACCTCCCCCCTATTTCTCGCTTAGACCGCTAGGTAAGCGAGTGAACCCTGTTTTTATCAACAACATAAAAAAATAAAAACGACGCGCAAAAGCAAGCTATACTATGTAAATACTAAAATAAATAAATATAATAATATAAAGGTAATATCGAGGAGCAAAAAGGTTCAGCCCGGTGTCGATTGCCTACATCCTTCGTCGAATTTGTTGTTGGTTTTATCTTTTGTCGTTATCGCCCAACTTGCTCCTCCTCCACAACACAATTTGACCCGATTCCACTTAGCCAAGTGGCCGCCTGTTGTGTTGCTTAATTGCCCTTTTGCTTATTTCGCATTATAAAGTTTAGGGAGGGTTGGTGCACCACCAGATTTAGGCTAGCATGTTTTACACCGCAAAGGCTCATCACGTGCTGCCGCGCAAGCTCTTAACAGCACTCAGCGTTAACTTTTATGGTGATGGCTCTATTAGCGAGCTGTTTATTACACAGCGCCCTTTATCTACAAAACGCCCTTTTATCTACACTCGATCTATCTTAGGACCAGTCACATTCGCACAATCTCGAAACAGAAATTTGGAGATTGCTGAGCCGCTTCTCAAATCTTGAGTTTAGATGGACATAACCGACGGTCACTTAAAAGTTCAAAGTATTAAATAGGTTGCTACAGCAGGTGGTAGAGATCTCTCACATTCCTAATTGTAATGGCTCGATTTGCTAATCTACACACCAGTGTGTCCAGCGGTATAACTGGAGCTCTCATTCCTCCCGGCTTGCCTTTCGTCCCTTACGAGGTGGGGTTTTCATTTTGTCGAAATTCCAAGGCGCACTTCTTCCGAGGCAAGCCCGGCAATGTTTGTAGTAATTGCCAGTGTTGGGATTGATATCAAACTGGTCCTGGGGAAGAAACCGCCTCATCTTGGAGCATTTCATCATCCCCGGAGGTCCTTCCTGCTGGGCTGGTCCAGAGGGTACCACATTCTGGCTTGCTGGGTTATTGATCTTGTTTGCCCGAGTATTGGGAGGCTTGGTTGCGGGAGGCTTAGGAACTTTCTTTGCCGGAGCCTTCGGAGTATCGGCTGCCAGGGTCTGGGGAGTCTTGTTTGCCGGAGTTTTGGGAGACCTGGGAACCACTGGAGACTTGCCGCGGGCGGTGCGTGGTACTGCAAGATAGGTTTCCTTCCTACGGGCGCTATTGGCTTCGCGGGTGGGCTTGTTGGGGGGAACGTTTGGGGCCGAGATACGGACCGATTCCGCCTGAAGCCGGGCCTTTTCAATGTCGAGCATGGTTCGTGAATTTCGGTGACGAAACTCGTTCAGTTGAGGATCATTCGAATAGGGAAGTACTCCTAGAGCGTTCACCCTGGAACAGTTAGAATTGTTTGGTGGAGCCTGTACGAGGCCTTCGTTGATGGGACGCGGAGGGTTATAGCGCGCGAGGTATAGAGTAAAGTTCGTGTCCAAGTGCCTCTGGCACCTAAGCTCCAATCCACCAACACTTCTCACCAGACATTCAACTTGGGTATCAAGACTGTGGACGGAGTGGATAATCACGGGCAGGCAACGGATCGGGATCTGTACCAGCTCACTAACACCGCTGCCACCACTCTTAGACATTGCGTAGAAACCTCCACCTCTGACTTGTTTGCTTCCACGAGAGGAGGAGCCGATGATACCAACGATGAACTCAAATGACTCCCATGGGATGCGCTGAGATGGATCGAGGACGCGGTCTGGCATCAAGCCACTTGCGTGCTCCTTGAACTCTGTGAGGGCCTCGAGGACTGCTGATTCGGCCTCCATTTGGCCCATGTGGGTTGTTCGAGTAACGACCTTGTTGCAACACATGATGCGAGTTGGGTCGAGGCCGTCAGCGACAGGGCAACCACGCATCGTAGCGCTGGAGGAATCGAAAGTGCCTCCTACATTTTGTAGCGGTTGAGGTGGTGCCATCGTCTTGCAATACGTTAATATGCAACTCCCAGTAGCGGATCGAAGATTTGGGAAGTACCTCGAGTTGGAGTGTTCAAGTCACTTCACTTGGTTGATGCGTTTGTTGTTTAGAAATGACGAAGGTGAATTCCGGAAAAAGCTCCATTTTGTAATAAATACATTTTTAGTTTGTTTTGTTGTCGGCGTCGTAGGCGGGTTGTACAGGAATACACTCGGCGGTGTGGTGGGCATGTCTGATTTTGTTTGTAATGTACAAAGGAGAAAAACAAGTGAGTTGTTCGCCAGAACAAGAGATGATGTTTGGGCTTGAACAAGTACAAGACAAAGAACCAAATATATTTTTGTTTTCCTTCAGATATGTAATTCGCAAACTGAAACCATAACTCCAAGAAGTTATTGAGAGGTAGGGACGACACTAGACGTCCCCTAAACGCCAAAAAGCAACCTGAGCCATAAATATCAAAAGGGAATATATCTCCGCCATAAGATCCCTTGACATCCTTCTGAAGTATGCTATAGAGCTCTGTCCTGCCCTCGAGTTATATCTAAGTAATTAATATGCATCCATATAAAAAAGAAATGGCCGCTACTTTGAGCCACATGGCCCCTTGTCAAGTTATATATACGTATGGCTGACTCTCGAAGTGGGAGGAGTTACCTAAAGAAGGAACGTAATAAAACTATAAAATGGCTATAGTTGGACATAGCCTTGTAACTATTGAACCTATTAGTATCTTGTATACCGAACCCTCGTTCGCAGGTGAAGTATAAATCGAAAACTAACTGGGCTCTGCGTTCTTCACTGGCAAATAAAAGGGCAAGGAATTAAAAATTCAGATTTAAGAACCTCCAAGGACGCTAATTCGCGAAAGATAGTAGGGGGAGCTTTGGTGTATATATACTAGTGCAAATACCACGATAGTCAGACTCCAATCTCCTCCTCGCCCGTTCCGTTTTGGTCTCTGGACGTGAGCATCGGCTGCTTTAACCTGAGCGAGCGTGAGCAAACCCGAGCCAGGATGGAGTAAGCGGACGACGGCAATCTTTAAATACATCTTCAGGATCGTGTAGGCCCAGAGGGGTCTGCAGTTAGCCGGGAACTAGTTAGCAGACCCCCCCAAAGCAGCAGTCCAACCTTCCCCCCTGAAAACAGCAGCTCGCTAACCGTCACACCTGTGTATAGGAGAGATCATTAAATTAGATTACGTTACTTTATTTTATAAAATCCTTTTTATACTAAAGTAAGCCTAATTCTAAAATAATTAAAGAAGTACTTTATATATAAACTATATAGTAAATAACTACATGAGTTGCTATTATCAGTTGCCATTACAGCAGGTTCCGTTTATCTTTCCCTCCCCGTTCGTACTACCATTAACGGCTGTACTACCGCCGTTTATATCCCCGTGCAGGTGGGACTTGTTAAACTCCTGCGTGGACGGGGGCACGTCGAGCGCCGGGTTCTTCTCAAAAAAGCTCGACGGCTTCAGATGGACGCTAATCCGCTCGACGGGCATGACCGGGAAGTCCTCCGGCCGCGGGTTGTGCGTGAGGCCAAACGTGTGCCAGAACACCACATCGGTATTGCGGACGTCGTCGTCGCGGGCGGCCCACACCTCGACCCCGCTGCTCTCGCGGCTCTGGTTCGTGTAGTCGCCGGCGGCATACAGCTCGCCGTCGCGATACTTGGTGACCCACACGGGATGCTCGGCGTAGCGCGCGCGGCGGGTGTTGAAGCTGTTCTTGGACATGATGATCGGCTGGCTCGCCACGGTCTGGACCTTGTAGGCGACGTGATGGCCGCTCACGCGGTTGACCACGCTGTCGTTGCGGATCTTGAACACGCGCGACACATGGGGGTTGGTCTCCCGGTGGCCGGCCCGGTCGATAACCGACGTGCGCGCGACGTAGCCGCAGCCGTACGGGTCGCTCACGCCGTCCTCCTCCTCGGTCATGGGCATGCTGTCCTCGTAGACGACGGTGTTCGCGAAGCCGTCCACGGCCGGGTCGACGCGCATGGAGAAGAGGTGCTGGTGGTTCGGCGCCGACACGCCGGGCCCGACGTTAGTCGACCACGGCACCTGGCGCCCGTCCGCGTTGTCGATGGGGATCGTGGACAGGATGCCCGTGGCCCGCACCTCCAGCTCGAGGCCGCCCGCCTGGTCGAACACCCACGCGAAGATATATTCGTAGTTGGACAGCGTGCACATCATCTGCGCCACCAGCTGCCGGTTCCGCACCACGGTCGCCTGGTTGTTGCGGTAGTTGGTGTGCTTGTGCAGGATGCCGGCGTCCTGCTCGTGGAGGCAGATGACATTCTTCAGCTGGACCGCGTTGCCGCGCGAGTCGGGGCGGTAGCCATCGAAGTACTTGATGTGGCCGAGACAATCGCAGCCCAGGCTGAGCTGGTTCGCCGTGACACCCAGCCCAACATCGCCCACGTCAAACGCCTGCTTCCGGTGGAACGGCTTGCGCGGGTCTCCATAGGGAACCGACATTTCCGAGATGGACAATCGATAGAAAACGTTGCGCCCGTCGTACGTCACGTTGTACAGAACGAGCCCCTCCCGGTAGTTGAAGCCGACCCGGAACCGCCACTTCTGCCACTCCACGAGGTGGCCGTCCACGTCGAACGACGGGCCGTCGGGCTGCTGGACGATGTACGGCTTGAGATCCGCGCGCAGAGGGGTGTCCAGGAGGTCGTGCGCGTACTCGACCGCCTTGACGGGCTTCCATGGCTGCGTCTCCGTGACGGTGTGGTCGGCCCCGGTGGGCAGATGGTCGATCCGCACCAGTTCCCTGGTGTCGATGTCGAAGACGGGCGAGAAGGCGCAGGGCAGCGAGTAGTGGTTGGACTGCGGGTGGTCGACCGGCACAATGTACATGTAGCACTGGCACAGCCGGCGCGTTTCGGCGTCGTCCTCCCTCCCATATATCCACGGATCGGTGCACACGGAGACCCCCTCGGGCAGCTTCAGCTTCTTGATTTCGTTGAGCACCTCCGGGTGCTGCAGGCAGATCTCCTCGACCTCGATCATCTCGTCGACGTCCGCGGGGCCCTGCGCGTGTTTGGGGAGCTCCTCGAGCGAGATGACCGACTCCGTCTGGAGGTTCACCCGTCCATGGAGGAAGACGCGGTTGTCGAGGCGCTGGAAGAGACAGTATGCGATGCGGGCCGGGGCGGGGGGCAGCGGCTTTCCAGTCCGCTCGGCCTCGATGTACTCGATCACATCTTGCTTCACCGGCTCTTGGATGTCGAGCGTCTTGAACCGGAGAGGCACGTCCGGGAACGATTTACGGAGAAGCCGCACAGCGGTTCCAATTTCATCCGGCTGCAAGGGGTCGAATGGGTGAAGCCTCGCTGCTGCGTCCGCCGTCATTTTCGGTCGCCGGTAATCGTGATGCAAAGGGAAGCAAGATGAGAATGATGTATGATCAACTCGAGTGCAGAAAATGCGTACCAGGCGAAGTGTTCGAAGGACAGAGGAGAGAACTTGTGGCGGGGAGAGTGCAGTTGTCCATGAACCGTACGAACTACATGCTCTTTAAATAGGCTTCGAGCAGCTTTCGCCGCCTTGGCTTCTTCGTGACTCTTGACGTGGGGATGAAGAGAAAACGGTCAAAGATACGACCTGGCTGCCCCTAAGACAAAAGTTAGTGATTTCTGAGCTGAACCCCACGTATATACTGGACTCTTACACTCGTAGCCCCATAGCACAACGGATGAAGCCAGGGAGGGGTATATCGATGTCGTTGCTCAGTTACACAGCACATAATAATGCACCCCAAATGCACCCCAGACTGACACTGCTTTGGTGTGATAGAGAGTGTCTAGCCAAAATGAGGTACCCTGGTCCCCCTGAGAGTGCTGAGATGAACACTCTAATAAAATACTCTATGTAGGCCTTTTCCCCTTTAGGTTAAAGATACGCCCAGCTCTCCGGTACCGTAGGGTAGGAATAGTGGATCTGTGTTCTTGGCAGGCTACTGCCCAAGGATCTCAATATCTCTACATAGGCCTTTTCCCCTTTAGGTTAAAGTCACGCCAAGGGCAGACTACTACCCTAGGATCTCCATATCTCTACCAAGGCCTTTTCCCCTTTAGGTTAAAGATACGCCAGGCTCTACGGTACTGTAGGAATAGTAGATCTGTATTCTTAGTAGACTACTACCCGAAGATCTCAATATCGGATCTGTATTCTTGGCAGACTACTACCCCAGGATCTCAATATTTCTAACTAGGCCTTTTCCCATTTAGGTTAAAGATACGCCCAGGTGAGAGTGCTGTTTGGATACCGAATCCGCATTCTTCCCATGCAGGGTCTCGACCCCGCGCCGCTACTGCGCCAGGACCAATTCACCACTATTCCAGCGACTGATTAATTGCGGGGACACAAAAGTCTGCTTCAGAAACATGCGGGGTGGGGAAACAAGCTTCGGTTCCGAAAAAGCTCTACTTCGTACAGTCGCCTAGTAAAACTATCATACAGAGTCCGTCGAAACTATCTTTACGTGATGATCAGGTCCCAGTTGGACGTGGCCAGCAGCCCCCGCCAGTCCTGCCAGCGCTGAAGCTGTATCCGCCGCTGCCAGACCTCGCGCAGCAGGGCGGCCGCGTACCGGATGTTGCCCAGGCCTACGTGGGCCTCCAGCACTGTGACCCGCCGCAGCACCGTTGTCATCTGCTCCGGGCTGTCGGTCTCGCAGGCGACGATGAAGAGCACCGGTAGCAGGCCCGCTTCCTCAGGGCAGTCGCACGGCACCAGGCCGATGTCCGCGAGGCAGCCCGTTAGCGCCGCCTCTTTGCTCACGGGAAGCATGCCGCGGAGCTCTTCCCACACCTCTGCAGTCCCTTCTCGCGCCGACAGCTCCTCGATCATCGAGTGTAAACAGGCGTAGACGGCGCTCTCGTACGCCCGTGATACATGCTCCAGCCGCCCGACCGTTTCTTGCGTCATTCCCTTCGGGATGAGAAAGTGTTCGGCTGTCCAGTTCCTCCGGCTGAGCAAGTCAACTCTACAAGCCCGGCGTTGGTCAGTTCGGTGCTCAAAGCAGTTGACCATGGGGAACAAAGGCGTACATAGATTTAATCTCCAGCTTGACTCGAGGGAGTACTCGTCCGTCCTCGAGCTTGAAACTAAGAAGCCCCATCACCCGGCGCAACAGCACAATCAAGCTTCGTGAAAAGCCCATGTACGGGTCTACGGCTTGCAGATATGTATTCTGTCCCAGTGTGTCCGAAAAGGCATCATGTCGGGTACTCTGGAAGCTCTCGTCAGGCTCCATGATGGATACACCCTGTTCAGTCAAACTGGCGATTCCCTTGTGATATGTGATACTGGCCAATTCTGTCAGCTGACAGGGCACGAGGATAGAAGAACAACAGTCTAAGCGCTCTTGAACATACAAACTCTGTGAAAACACCATTATATCGGGCATAGACGCTCCCCAGGCATCGCCCTCCAGTAGCCGGGAGAACGATTCTAGGCCTTCGAGGTGCCGCCGCCAGCTCGTAACCCCATCCTTGATTATCTCGTACTTGCACAAGAAGATGGACGATAGTAGAACAATTTGAAGGAGCCCGGAATCACTCAGTAGAGTATCGCCTTGCAGGATAAGGTCTCTCAGGTCGGCGAGAGCCTGGACATAATACCCCGTCGCCGCCGTCTGATACGTCGTCCGCTCGTCACCGTCCGCATAGCTCGATCGGTGCAGGGCCGAGACAGCGCAGACAGTCTGCAGCAGGAGCGGCGAGGATAGTAGGCGCGGCACAATTAGCGAGCGAAGTGGATTCTCGTGGCCGATGGCATTAACGAGCAACCCTGAGAGCCTCTCGACATAGTACTGGAAGAGCCAGCGTTCGGGCCCTGACATGTCGATGAGGAAAGGTCTTGGGCGATATATTGGTGGGAGCCCGGACAAGACCAGGCATTGATTCGAGTCCTCTTCCTCTTCGGGACATCTTACGTCTTCCAGCAGTGCTTGATCAAGGGACCACGCCGTGTCGACCGGAGAGAACGGCTTCAAGGAGGCCGCTTGTGGGGGTGCTGGCTTCCGCGAACGTGAAGACGCTTTGCCCGCATGAGTAGTACAAAAGACGTCAGACGGCACGCACTCGAGGTTTAGTCGAGTACACGCTCGGCATCGATAAGTATGTTAGCCTACGATGTCTAGCAGCAGTTCTTCACTAGACTTACCTTGGTTTCTGTCCATCACCTGTTGCAGCCGAAGAGACACGTTCCCAAGTCAGCTTCACATATTCTCCGTCGCTAGGTAGGGATTGGGTTCAACACCTTACATTTCTTATGGCGCCGCTTGCACGTGTGGCAACCCGTTCGGGTCCAGTCGGAGAGTCTCACTCGCCGAGACATCGAGTCCCAACGATGGAACAGGATGCGACGCCTAATATACTCGAATACTTCCCTTCCAAGGCCCACTCAAAAGATGATTCCTTTTGGTCTTCAATCAAGGGAGTCCACGTCTGCTGCAAGATGGTAGACTCAGAGAGGATTATTGCAACAGTCAGTGCGGATGGCGACGTTGTTGAACGCAACTGTTTCCCCGCACTGAGTAAAATGCACTTCGACTAAGGGGCCGCTTTGTCAGCGATCTAGCCGTACGTATCCCGAGCCTAACAGAGGTGTTTACTTAAACCAGGCCTAAGACTCTAATTGAACCTGACCCAAGACTCCCGACCTAAGTCCCTCGAGCAACCTAAGTTCGACCTATGTAGATCACTGACACACGTTCGACTGTGGTGGCATCCACGCCCGGACGTACGTGCGGCAGATGCAGAGTTCCGTGTCGAAGGATGATAGTGTCCACACATCGAAGGCATAATCAAGGGCGGGTGAGCTTGCAGACCGATGATGCATGGTCCGATATCTGTAGCGTTGTGCAGTTCCTACTCATTTGGCCATAACATGTAAATTACAGCAAGATTGAGTTCTAATTGTATATCCCACTAATGCATGTGTTGCTCGCTAGTTGTACGAGAAATTAACCCTCTTTAATCTACAATCTAACCTCGGTCTAGCAACGGAGGATTCCTTGCTTTGTCCTTAGCCCTTGGGCTGCCCAGGTCTACAGCTCTATCCGACAACATTATAGGTCCAGAAAAAAAAAGTCAACATTCTGACCGAGGCCACATCATCAGGTGCTCCAACCTCAGAGATCGAGGACAGAGCTAAGGCAGATTCCTTCGCAAAAGCTTTACAGTTCTTCAGAGTACCGGGTCGAGTATTAATATTGTGGCAAGAGCAACTTACAACCTACTGTTGTAAGCTTTCCTTTATAGATCAGCCAACTCGATTTCAATGAACTCCCTTAACATTGCGGACGCGAAAGAAGGGTCTGCCGACAATTAATATTAGACCATGGGCACAGGGCATAGGAGTAACTCTATTTGTAGTTTAATTAATAATTAATAAGTGTTTGCTTTGTTACAGTTGTTCTAATAATTAATACTATAATTCGTTCTATTATTTGTGTCTTGGTGGGTTTTGCGTCTTGCACTCCCTCACCCAATTACGTAAGGAAGTGGGGGAGGTACTAGACTACCTCACGACTAGCTAGTAAGGGTAATGTTATGATCTGTGCGTCCTATTGTTACTCAGGAATTTTCCGTCCTCCTACAATCTTCTGAATCAGAAGCCTTTTTCCCAATCAACGACCCCGGCGTGCAGGTAGAACCGCCAGGGGGCGAGAGTTGTGGGGAAGCGCAGATAAGTCGGGCGGGCGTATCTTATTCCCAATTTGAACATCCGCCTTCCGCCCCTTATCATCACATCGGTTATAGATCTACGTACACCTTGGGGTAACCAGAGCCAGGTTTCACTGAGCCTGGCGATAGTCTCATGGACTAGCAAATTGCCCTCAGCAATAGAGCTGCTGACGTTGAGCGGACAGGGGTGCGGAACCCCGATAAGCCCCTTGTGAGAGCCTCCGAGGGTCCAGGTCCAGGTCCAGCTCAACGTGAACGTATTATTTTATTATCTGATTACGCAGACTGGTACCAAGAACACCGACTGGACGGACTCTGTCGCTATTTATGATTAGTGCCGCTCGCACCCCAGCTCTCTCCAGACGTCCATCATTCCCGGATGCCTGTCCCAGGATTCCCAGAGGGCTTGTGAAGCTTCTCCCAAGCGTTATAAGGCGACTGCTACATCTTGCATTTCCATGACAGGAAGCAGAACCGTCCCGCCATCTGGAAGCTGACACCTATTCTCCAGAACATTTACTGATACCGTGTTATACTACTCTTCTTCCCCCCAAAACTTGAATCAGCTTCCAAAGCTGTCTTTCCAAGCTCCTTCCCACACTCTACTACGCAACGATGGCTATAAGCAGCAGCGATCAAGATGCCACCCTCGACAACCCCTTCGGGCACAAGGCGGAGCTGAAAAAGAAGTTTGGCTTCTTCTCCATGCTCGGCGTTGGTTTTGTCATTACTGGGTGAGTTTTGCTATTCCACCTTAGCCGCCCTGAGCTGACTTTTATGTTTTATCAGAACCTGGCCAGCCGCTGCGTCGGCGCTGAGCATCGCTCTCCCATCCGGCGGCCCCGTCGCCATCCTCTGGGGGCTGGCTTTTGCAGGGCTCGGCCAGATGGCCGTGGCTCTCAGCCTGGCCGAAATCTGCTCTGTGTATCCCACCAACGGTGGCCAATACGAGTGGGTTGCCGTGTTGTCCGCGCCCAGGTATAAGAAGTTCCTGAGCTACGTCTGCGGCTGGGTCCTGACTGCCTCGTGGTGGGCTCTCGCTGCCACTGGCCCGTCTCTGGCTGCCAACCTCATCATCGCACTGATCCAGCTGATGAATGAGGGGTATGTTTTTAAGAAATGGCATAATTTCCTCATATATTCCGCTATCGAGGTCGGCGCGGGCTTCACCAATGCCGTTGGCACGGCTATTATCCCATTCATGGGCAAAGGCGCTTGTAAGTCTTAAGCTGACACTACTCCCATCATCCAGTAAAATTTCAGGTATGAATGCTGCATAGAACCTGCCGCTTATTGGTCCTGTCGAAATTTAGTCTGTCTCTCCGTCGGCGGCTTTGTTGCCATCTCGATAACACTGCTGGCTTGCACCGCGCACAAATATCAAAATGCAAGGTACAAACACCTTTCCCCTTGCACTAGTTATAATACACTCTTCCTTAATTAATCTCGGATAGCTTCGTCTTTGGCGGATTCATCAATACCACCGGCTGGAACGATGGTGCAGCGTGGCTGCTAGGCTTGCTACAAGGCGCCTTTACGCTGGTTGCGTATGATGCGTAAGTCGCGCCTAAGCTTCTTCCTTTGGCACGAGCAAACTATCAATTACTAACTCTAATTCTGTTTCGTAGCACCGTTCACCTGATTGAAGAGATGCCTAACCCTCGACGGGACGCTCCATGGACCATGGTGCTGGCAGTTGCTACAGGAACTGTAACGTTAGTGTAACCCCACTCAAAGGCTCTAGGGACTCAATGCTCACTTTTGTTTGTTGGGCAGGGGCTTTATATTCCTTATGTGCGTTTTGTTCTCTGTCCAAGACGTGGACCAGCTCAGCACAGCAGCAATCGGGTATGTTCCCTCTCTACTGCACTCATTTATGAGGTTGTACTAATTACCACCACCAAGACCAATTGTCTCGATTTTCAGTCAGGCCACTTCATCTAATAGTGGCACTGCTGTAATGACCGCAATTATTATCATTATTCTCTGCTGCTCGTCGACCGAGGTGGTGACGTCTTCCTCTAGACTCACTGCTGCTTTTGCCAGACAGGGCGGGCTGCCACTTTCAAACTTGTATGTTCTAATCTTGACTATTACTCACCCATGGTCTCTTTTGCTCACAAGTTCCCTATTTCTTTCTAGCTTCGCCCGCCCTAACAAGAAACTCGATTTGCCTCTGAACGCCATGTTCCTAACGAACGGAGCAGTTATCATCCTGGGTTTGGTCTATCTTGGTGCCTCAAGGTATGTCACAAACTGATCCCGGAAACGTAAGAACCATCACTCTGACCAGTAGCAGTGCTTTCAATGCTATTGTAAATGCTTGCCTGTTCGGCCTCAGCCTCAGTTACCTGATGCCCCTCGTGGTTCTGGTGCTCCGCGGGCGCCACATCCTCCCCCGAGGTGAATTTGCTCTCGGAAAATGGGGCTATCCACTGAATATCTTTGCTATTATTTTCCTCTTGCTCATGTATGTACCCGAACCTTTTCTAGAAACTAGGCATCCAGTGCTGACATCGCCCGCCCTAGCCTTATCCTTACTCTCTTCCCGCCCGATGCGAATCCAACAGCAGGCACCATGAATTTCGCCATTGTAGCTATTGGTGCTGTGATTTTACTTGCAACAGGTACGTGTAACATTTATGTATTTGCTCTGCTCGTCGACGAAAGCTCTAATGATGAAATGAACTAGTTAACTGGTTTATCCATGGCCGTAAGAACTATGAGCCTCCTGTTATTCATATTATCGATCTAGATCCTGCTATAAACCTACCACCAGTGTCTAAGGCCGCCGAATCCGCTTAGAACTATTACTTAGTTACTTGATACTTTTAGCCTCTAATTATAGTAAAGAATATACTTTTAATACACTGTTCTGGGTTACCAAACTACTCTATAAGCTGTCTATATATATATATATATTTAAAAACAAGTTATAAATCTATCTATTCTATTAACTAACTGAGCAGGGTGCACGGGCAGCAGGTACTTCACGATAATATAGTAGCGCGGAATTGGGCGTGGGACGAACAAGATAGTAAGCTGATGTTCGTTGATTTTGAGCACACAGATAAGTATAAGACGTCCTTTGGGCACTATTTCACCCGATCGCAAGAGGGATATGCATGAGAAGTTGAAGTCCAAGGGGAAAGACGTGTTTTATTATAATAAAGCAACTCCTAGTAGCGGCACCCAGTGTAATCAGACTCTAATATTATCTTCGCCTATTCCATTTTAGTCTCTGGGGGTGACAAGCGGCCGCTTTAACCCATCAAAAATCCCGAAACTTTATACGTCCACTACTCGTACCTAATAACCGCGCTGTCCGTCCGTCGCCATAACAAACATATCGCCGCCAGCGAGCACAACATCACCTGCGCCACATCTTCCAACAACACTCGTAGCTCTCCTTACCACATTCCTGAAAAAGGTTCGATTTGCGCGACTCTACTTGCAAATTCTACAAAGCATTTGTACACCCACCCACTAGAATGGAAGGCAGAGCAATTAGAACACCTAATCTTCGAGCTTCATCCATTGGTGCTATCCCTCGATAATGATGAATCTGTAACCCTCCCGCATGGATTGGAAGGGAACGCCATCCGTGGCGCTGCTGCAGACATCGAGGACTGCAGGAGGAAAGAGGGGAGAGACAAACAAATGCACAATCTTGTTGCAAAGCTGTCAGCAGCAGTTCCAGGAGCACAATTACCAAGGTCTGCCTGCATGTCCACTTTCACCAGTTCCACACTAGATTATGGCTGACTATTGCCTCAGAAATGGTTACTTGGCCTTTTGTTACGCTGGCTGCCCCGTCGCGGAAATCGCTATTCCACTCATCTTTTACCCTCAAAGGTCAACTATAGATTCAGCCTGGGCATATATAGATGGAACTTAGACTTGGGATCAGCGATATAATTTCTACCAACTTCGAAAAAAGTCTTTTTCGTATATAACATTTGTAGTCTAAGAAGCCAAAAACCTCCCTCTAGATCTCGTCTATATCGCTATTTTGATTGCTCTTGCGCAAAAGGCCAGAGGAGTAAGAATGACTGGTGCGTCTAAGATGCCACAGAAGGTATATCTACAGTTAACGTATATAAACTCAATTACTAATAGTATAAGCCTAGGTCTCTCTTTTTGTCCTAGAACACACACCCGACACTAGCCAAGAGGACAGACAGAGCAACTCGAGCCACAAGCGCCAGCTGTTAACTACCACCTTAAAGAAGTACGCTGCAACTATTACAGACGAGTATCTTCTGAAATTCGATGATCCGTATCACAGCAGTATGCTTCATATATATCATGAAGCGTTATGTATTGCACTGCCTTTAACAATGTACCAGGCAGTGGAAAGAGCCTCTCGTAGGAATGATGGTTCATTGGCTGAATCATCTGTATCCATAAAAAGGAGGGTTCTGGATGATCCTATAGGGATAGCCAATAACTTACCACGACCAATATTGGATAGGAACGAAAAACGAGGTTGATCACCAATATAGAGAAGAATCCTCTATTTGTCGCTTGTCGCTTGTACTATTCTTGTACCACCATCTCATTGACTCCAACTCGCAATTTAGCAGGATTTCTGCAATACGAAACGTTGAGTTAGGGCATGTATATTGTTATAGGGGATGACTTGGTAATCATTATCAGGAATTCCTGTTCAGGTAACTCTTAGATGAAACTAATGCACACGGGTGTGTTATAATTTTTGGGTACATTCCCTTAGGAAGCGATGCAGAGGAGCAGGAGACTCTTCGACTTCTTGTGGAGGGTGGTAAGTGGCTCGCCTTACTAGGGCTGAATTTCACGAAAGATTTCCTGGCAACAGTCTAGAAGTCTGTTCACAAGAAGTCAAGAACGAAATAAATGCAACAGAGTAAAAATAATCAATTCAATCTCAGATGCTGCTGACGCTATATCTGAGTTGAGCCGTCTCCAGCAGTGTATGCCAAGGCTTTAAGCCGGAAAGAATTTATAGATTTAATTTTACATATATCTTGTACAATAATATACTGTAGTACGCTATGCTCGTTTTCTCAAATTAAGAGGTCCCTAGCAACCTATTTCCTATATCTAGATGATTAATATTTATAAGGTACCCGGTGCCTCGCATAGGACCATGCTCGTGACCATATTTTGCCAGTGCACACCGCCTATGTACCTGTCATGGTATTATGCTTCAGGGGGCTTTCGACATTAGCCTGCGGACGTACAGAGTATCGAGATCCTATAGAGCATGTCCTCAAGCGGGGTGCTTACGAAGAGGCTTACCTATGCCTTTCTAGTTATAGTATCCCGAATTAGCGTAGGAATGTATGTACGTAGGATGCCAGCTGAAATTCTGCAAGTACACCTCACCTAACCTCTTGGAATTGTAGTTCACTGCTTATCGCTCAAGGAGATCGATTTTCTAGAGAAAGGACAACACGTTGAAAATGTCTCATTCCTCCCAAATTCAAACGGATGATGGAATCTCATGGCATGTCGAGCGAAGTGGCTCCGGCCCCCATATCCTTCTCATCCCTTCCGGTGAAGGCGACTGCCACTCCTTCACGACTATCGCGACTCTCCTCTCCCCCACTTTCACCGTAACCACCTTCGATATGCCCGGTTTCTCTCGATCAATTGCTCCTCCTTCCGCCCTTAAAAATCTTACCCCTAGTGTCATCGCCGACCAAATCATTTCACTTATGGATAAACTCTCTATCCCCTCTGCAACTATTTTTGGAAGCAGTTCAGGAGGCTTATTCGCTTTGGATTTATTGCTGAGACATGAGGAGAGAGTGGAAGGAATCATCATCCACGAAGTCCCGATGGAGTGTATCCCTGAGCTACTCTCCTGGCAACATCTCCCTGAATCCGAAAACCCCAAAATCGCCGCTAGATGCAAGGACATGTTCGTGAACTTTATGAACGAAGATAAAGCCGCATGGGAAAACCTAGGACCAGAGTTTCATAGCAGACTTGAGAAGAACTTTATCACGTGGGTTAGGAATTATGTGGTGGTGGTGGAAGCGATAGTATGGGATAAGGAGGGGTTGAAGAAAAGAAAGGATAAGATCAGATGGTCGTTGGGGGCGCAGATGCCGATGGGTGTATTTTTTGGCAATGTGGTGTTGGCGACTGAACTTGGTATTGAAATGAAGTTGTTGAACTCTAAGCATTTCCCATACGTGAGTATTCCGGGGGAGATGGCGGAGTATATTCGAGGTTGCTGTCAATAATTTCATATCGCTATTCAATTTCAAGATATTAGAATTTTGACTCTGAGAATTAGAACTCTGAATCTAGAGCTACAGAAAATTCAAGACCACTAGCCAGCCTTTATAAGAAACCTATAGCCGGCATCCAAATACATAGTCTTGTATTCTCCAAATGGTGTCTGCGGTTCTTCGCCATGGAAAATCTTCCGTCGATCAGGTGATATCCATTAGATACCAGTATTTACTTTGCAAGAGATACAATGAAGCAAATTCCTGATTAATCCTAGCGTCTTGCGCTGGTATTCTCAACTATAATTTTCAGGACCTGTTCAACTGTGACCAGCACACTGCCCACTGTAACCAAATTCCCATAAATCCAAACGTTTTACCCCCAAGTATAAGACCATTGCTCATTTGAATTGACAAATACGTTACTTTATTCGGCCGCCGGCGTGACGACTTTCGCCTTCTTAACACTCTTCCACCCCATCCCCCAACTGAAAACAAAAGCTACGGCACTAGCCCCTGCCGCAAGATAGAACACATGGCTGACCGCTTGATTGTACGCGAGTAGGACACCAGGAAGAAGCGCCTTTGAAACGATATCTCGAGCGCCAGCTGCACCAGCATTAATCACCGCTTGTGCATCTACCTCGGGGGCGAAATCAGGAAGTGCGTCTACTAGGCTGGTGGAGAAGATGGTTTGCGCAAAGGAGAGGAACAGTGCACCGCCGATAGATTGGCAGAATATCCCAAGGCCCATCCCTACAGGGATTTCTTGGGGTTTCAGATTACTTTGTATCGCTAGGATGGGCTTGGAACGTGAGCTTTGGTAAGAATGTTTGTTAGAGCGAGATAAGCTTACCATCTGAAGTCCACCTCCGCGGCCAGCACCGGAGATAATTTGGTACCCTATCCATGCCCCGGTTGCGGAGGTTGGGGTGAGAGTGCTCATCAATCCAGAACCGATCGATGTAAGCCCAGTACCGAAAATTATGAAGGGCAGGTAATATCCCAGACGGCCAACTGACTGTAATTAGCAGTGAGCCGAACTTCTGGTTGAGAGACGCTAACCTAAAATTCCAGATACAATACCCAACATCAACTGACTGAGGATGGAGGGCAGCATGTAGACACCACTCAACGTCGGTGCGAATCCCCTCACAGCTTGGAAATAAATGGCGAGATAGTAACTCGTGCTTAGCATACTACCGAATTGGAATAACTGGACCATACAACTCGAGGCAATGGGTCTTTTTTTAACCATCGAGAGTGGAATCATAGCAGAATCACCTCTGGTATATTCCCAACCGATGAATACAACAACGGTAGCAGCAGAGCCGCAGAATAGCCCAATGATCGTTGCACTGTCCCACTTGTATGTATTACCGCCCCATTGGAGGGCGAGGAGAAACATGATTGCAGCCGGGGCAAAGAGTATAAAGCCAACTAGGTCGAGTGATTTGAGAATTGAACGAAAGGAAGGTTTGTCCGTTCTTTTGGTGTGGTGGCTTGGTATGCGAATGAAGAAGAGGAAGATAGCAGCAAGCGCTCCAGCTGGAAGGTTGATGTAGAAACCTGAGTGGTGTTAGTTGGGGATTTTGGGGCGCGGACCTTGAAGAAACTCACACCATCGCCAACTAGCATGCTCAGTAAGCGCCCCTCCAAGCAGAGGCCCGAAGAGTACCCCTAGTTGAGATACTGAATGGAATTAGACTTGTTCTTAGGGAATGTTTTAGAGATATACTCACTTCCCATCAAAATCCCCATGTAGACTTCAATACATAGTCATTAGTAGGCATTTACTGAAGAGGGACATGTTCGACGTACCTGCTCGCTTCTGTAATGGTATGGATAACGCAATTATGGTCAAACCACCGTTAGAGAGGCCAGATGCTCCCATTCCTGCGACAGCCCTTCCAACGATAAATATATTCGATGATGTGGCAACAGCAGAAAGGAGGGATCCCAACTCGAAGACGGCCAAGAAGGCCATATAGGTAAGCGCGAAGGACGTCAGTTGGGTTTACCACTGTCGAGAGGGGATGGACTTACCTTGGAGTCGAACTGACTGAAGATCTTCCCAGTCATTGGCTGCAGTGCACAGCTAGATTCCAAATTGTTAGCTTCTTTCTGAAATAAATCATAACAGTGTTGAATCCTACAAAGAGTTAGTTTTATCACAAATTATTTGAACATAATACTTGATTTATCACATACCTTTAATGATAACACGTTTCCGAGGACTCAATGCTTAAATTGTCGGATAATGGGAACCTTTAGGACAGAATTGCTCACCTCGAAAGGAGGTATGCACTGCCATACCACCCGATATCCGTCAGGGAGTGAAAGTCGCTTGTGATCCGAGGAACGGCCTATTAGTTGCTAAGCACAAGATATTGACCCTTGAATAAAAGACATGAGATACTAACCGTGGAAACAATAGACATATCCAACAGGAGAAGAAAAGATGTCACGGAAAGCGCCGCAATTATGACGGTGAGCTTTATTCCGGTGAGCTCTCCGGTGCGCTTTATTCCGGTGAGATATCCATGATCATCTGTATCTATACTGATTGCTGCTGCCTTGTTGTCGGGGTCGGCTATACTTGGCGACACGACGACTTCCTTTGTACCTATATGTTTTGGTTCTTTGGTTCGACCTTCATGAGCATCGGCGGCTTCAGGAGTTCCATCGGGCGAGGGGTTCGGCTTTCCCTCCTCCATCGAAGGAAGTTTGTGCGACTGCTGAGTGGCGGGTCGCAATGAGGAAGGGAAGGTTCTAAAGGATATTATTAGAGGAGAAAGTACACCATAAGCAAGGTTGAGGAGAGGACAGAATTATAGAAGGTGTTTTTGAAAATGCGCGGCGACCTGGTTCCTTTATAAAACGGATATGTGCTTACATACGGACATTTACTTTTTCCCGTTTCCCCGTCCACCATTTCCCCGTTTCCCCTGTTATCTCTTATCTCCGCCCCCAACCACACTGCACTGTAGTGGCCGAAAGGTAGGAACCCTCCCTAAAGGACCCTTTATTGTTTGTTCCGGCTTTGGATTGATAGGGTTTGCCTTCCTCGGTTTAAATTAATTTATAAAGAATAATTAAAAACTTGGTTATAAACGTATCTTACTTAGGAAGTAGACAATAGTAACTCGCTTTTAGTCGCCAAAGGTGTTTAGATTATAGCACTTCATAGGGAATTTAGAGGAGACTAAATTAATTAATTATATCCCTAACTCGAAGAGTAAAACCCCTATATATATATTTTATGTGCAAGGTGGCGAGGAGATAGAGTGGGAGGATTGTGGTTGTATATAATTGTCAGTGTTTCGGAGGCACTTAAAAACGGGTAGAAAGAGTTGATTAATTCTAGTAATAGATGTGGAGGAGAAGTCCTTGTTATATACAGGTAAAGGTGGGCTATTTTTGCTATATATGGCGTACACCTGAAACTCCTGATTTTCGGCATCGCCGAAACTCAACACCCCCCTCAGGGATCGGCGATTTTGAGGCTATACCTGGATTCCACTCCATTTTTATTGAGCTTGTACCTCCTACTTTGCCGTTATAGACTGAGGGCCAGGTTCTAAGTCTCAGCTTGTTTCGTGTGTGTGTGACAGTTAAGGTGCCAGCTCCGAACAGTGCCTGGATTGGGATATACTATGGCAGGTAAGGTGCTAACTTCGAGCTTTACGTCGTAGTGATTACGACCGAATCAACCTTAATTGAAGGTGCATGTAGGTTAGCCGGCTTGGGCTCATAACTGTCAGCGTTTTGGAGGATTCCATGTACTGTACAGTACAAAGAAATATTAAAAATATACACCTAGACGAAACGAAAGATGTATTGAAAATTAAATATAGCTTCAAGGAATTAATGAGCAGGTTTTCGACAGCTCCTAGCAATCTGGTTCCTAGATTAGTTAAGAAGAATGTGCAGCGTTAATTTTGAATCTTGGATACAGAAAATGAGGATATATGAAAAGCAAGTTCTGAATTGGCAAATTGTTGAAAACTACCAACTTGGTAGCCTTAATGTAGGAAGCATGTTTTACTCATCGGAAAAGTCTGTTGTAGAAAGCGCTCGCACTCTTGCTGCTTCGCATTGCAGTTCCTCCCCTGCACTGAAAAACGGGTAGAAAGAGTTGATTAATTCTAGCAATAGAGGTGGAGGAGAAGTCCTTGTTATATCCAGGTAAAAGCGGGCCATTTTTGCTATATGTGGCGTACACCTGAAACTCCTAATTTTCGGCATCGCCGAAACTCAAAAATAATATAAAAACGTAAGGTTAATAGTTGGAGAACCGGAGGAAGGTGGAGGGGAATAAGGTTCAATACCTAGGTGTTTATGGTTCAAAACGATCCTGATGATCCGACGAGATTTAGCATGATCATCAAGTAAGTTGTCGCGGCCAATCTGTGGGCTAAGAATCAGAAGATCCCTACCGTGGATTGGGACCTTACACAACGAAGATTTCTGGATTGAATGAGGGAAACCGGGTGAAAGGTTAATAAGGTCTGGGTCATAGGATGGGCGGATGATAAAGTCCCGGCTGGAGAGCCTCTCCCTCCGACAGTCGAATGGAATGGCTGGAACCGATTTTGCAGGAATATTTCATATATAAATATCCACGGGGTAGCTCGATGTTGACGGTCTTGGCTAGAATTCTTTTAATGATAATTGTTTCGGGGTTATTCTTAAGATGAATAAGTAGTAATTTATCTTTAGTTAAACAAAGAAAAAGTATGTAAAGATCTGTAATTTTCTTTTTATACGTAAATACCTAACATAAAAGTGGATTAGCTAATTTTGATCAAGAAATAGACATATTTAAATTAGGCAGATCATTCTTTACAAAATAAAGTTTATTACGAAAAGCAAATATTGTATAATTTAATGCAAGGCTCTTCTTGTTTAAACAATGTTTCTACTAATGTTCCCATTTAAATCAAGAAGATGGTATTGACGAGGAGCTGATGGATGAAGATAGCATGGGTGAAGACGACGATGAATCGGAACGTGAAGATTCTTCCACCGAAGACCAACGAAAGCTTATCTCTAGAGTGCGGGAATTTCTAAATCGAAACCGAAGAAGACAGAGATGTTCACCTAGCAAGATGCGTATCCAACGAAGATCATAGAGCCAAGCTTGCATTCAAAACAAAGCGCCAAAAGCAACCAAATATCACAATTCAACGCTAAAACGACCTCCTCGAAGGATTGCCAAAAATGCTCGGAGTAACGAAAAGCGAGTTGAACCAAGTAGACTCTAAGGTTATGGGTAGCACAGCTATCAGAAATGTATATGAACAGATCTATAACGAGGAGCGTCAAACAAGTCTCCGACTCGAGCAGGAGCCTGACCAAGCGAAGAGAGATTTGAGAAAGGAGAAGGAATGTACGAAAAGATATTAAGACATGCTTGTGGAAAATGTTTTAAACAGATCAGCAAAACGTCGTCGTTCAGAAACGCAGGGGGAGAATGAGGAGGATTGGTAGTCAGACTGGGATATGAAAACTCCAAGATATGTAAGCCACACTTCGAGATGGGAAGTGGCATGAATGAGTACTAGAATTTGACGATTTCATGGTTTCTTGGGATGAAAGTGAGGGGGTTAAATGATAGATCCTCGCTTGTTTCCTTTTTCTTTCTAGTCCTCATTGAATTATAGTTTGAAAGTCGAGAGTATGTGAAAGTTTGCTTGTTTGCTTGTTTGGCTCCGAGCTCGGCACTAGCCAATGGGACTGCACCAAGACACTTTCAAGCGCCATATGTAGGACGTTCAAGGAAGGAACTTGGCAAATTCACTTCGCTATGCTAGTATATATTTTATTCAGTTACATAGAAGCAAACAGACACCTCAACTCCTTTAATTCACGAAACAAAAGAAAAAGTCCAGTACAAAAGTAACAAAACATTCAAACTTATCCAACAACCTTCCCCAAATCAGCAACAACCATATCACCCCTGCTCAACATAGCTTCTAAAACTTTCTTATATCCTTCTGCTAGACTACCCGCCTGCTTCTCCCCAATTCCACCAACCCACCACTTCAACTCCACTGACACCAAACCCCCAGCTTCCAGGACCTCAACAGCAATATCATACTCGAAAGGATCGTGCGTCTTAATTGGCTTCCACTCAATGTGATCCTCGGTTTCTTCTATACCGTTGAGGCTATCGGTGGTAGTATCGCCGCTTGCATACTTTCTGAAGTTGAAAATCGAATTATAAACACCCTTCGCATCGCAGATATCCTTAACGAATGCATCCTGATATGGTATTGCAGCAGTAGCATCCTGTTGCATTTTCGAAAGAACCTCCATAATTCTCTCCTGCTTCTCGATATTTAAACAGCAGGGCAGCAAGTTGAAAAATGGGCCCACTGCTTCGCCGATCCGCGTCATGCAGGTTTCAGACCCGGAGATTATGTAGCCGAACGATACCTGTCGGGCTTGCGTGTGGGAGGAGAGTAGCAGAGCCCATGTCGCACGAAGGAGAGAGGAAAGGGTCACGCTGTTGTTTTTGCAGAATGCGTTAAGTGCATCTAGAGAGGGAAGTATGGGAACGTGGGAGGTGCGTAGTTCTCTGACTGCAGATTTGTCCTTGGATGTTAGGATAGCAGGAAGCCTAGAAGCCCCGTTAAATTCGTGGAGGTAGGCGGCCCAATACTGTCTTGTTGCTATATCGTCATCAGAGTTTGATTGTGATTGAACGTGCTCGATGTACTCGATGTATTTTGGGGCAGAGATATGGTTTATGGTGCCGTAGTAGGCGGCACTAAACTCGTCAAGCAGAGTCTGCAAAGTCATGCCATCGATGAGCGCATGCGATATTTCTGCACGAACGAAGACAGTGCCAGATGGCGTCGATACGGTGGTCAAGCGGTGTGGCAGTGCTGCAGGATCGTCATCGAGAGGATTTGGAAGTAGTTGAGAAAGTTCCGGCAACGATTCAAGTTGGGCGCCTTCGACCTTGGCATTGTAGTGCTCGAGACGGGCTTTTGCAGCACCGGAACGCAGCACAACTTGGTCATACTGGGCGGATCTCGAGACTGAAAGAATAAATAGAGTGCGTAGGATTGGGTGTCTGTCTATCATAGCTTGCCATGCTGAGTGCAGCTGTTGGATATCGATTGGTGTCGAGGATTTAGAGGTCAATTTGAAAATGGTGGAGATTTCGTAGAAGCCTCGTCGTTTCGCATGGCCGGAGAGGATGGACTGCTGCATTGGCGAACACGGGTAGATGTCTTCGACGTGGTCGAGATTCTTGATGCGGAGGGCGGGCATGCGTTGTCTCATCAGTTGATTCAAGTCGAAGTCCGTTCCAAGGAGTGGGAAGTCAGTTAGTGTCCACTCGGCGGTCATGTATTCAAGCCTTACGACGGCTTGGTAGAGTAGCGTACGGAAGCTTGCCGTCCATTGTGCGATCTTCTCCTGATGTGCTGACTTTTGGTTATACATCAAAGTGAATTCAGCGACACCATCAGATATAGTTGCGTTGATGTCAAACAATGCGAGGCGTTCCATGTCTTTGCTGAAATCATCCGTTGAAAGTGGGATTATCTGCAAGTCAGAGTCGTCTCCACGTTGCTGCTGGAATTGGCCATGGTAATTGAACAAGATTTCAAGCGGCCAGTGTTTTGAAAAGGCCTCGCGACATTCGGGATTTAAGAATCGGGATGCGAAATATTGTAGGCCATTGCCAGGCATGCGGCGTCGAACATCCTTGACTTTGCGAATAGTGTCAAGGACATCATCACCACTCTGTACATGAACAGGAGCGATAGTTGTGAACCAGCCCACGGTTCGGGAGAGATCGATATCGTTACTCCATGTCTCTCTGCCGTGGCCTTCGCTAAAGACTGCCGGTGCAGCCCTGTCGGCGAATGTGACCTCGAAAGATTGTATGAGAGCAGCAAGTAAGACGTCCATGGTCTCTGTCCGTAATGCTCTATGGCAGCTTCCGAGTAGCATGGAGGTGACTCTTGCATCAAGTTTGAAGCGTTCGCTGCCGGTATCCCGGAAAGTGTTTGATTTGCCTTCCATGCCCCAGTACGCGTAATTGGCAGCCGGAATATTAAGCGGCATAACTTGAGAAGGGATTGATTGCTCTCGCGCGTAGTCAGACTGTAGTTCGGACCAGGCTTGGAATGGGAATGGCTTCAGGTGACTTAATGGCTGACCTTGCATCAGGGTCGCAAGGTCGCCCATAATAATACGCCAAGATACCAAATCAATTACCAAATGGTGTCCGACTAGATATATCATTTGTCCGTCTCCATCCAAGTCGACAAGATCAGCCGCGAAGAGTGGGCCATTTTCAATGTTGAGGGAGCGTTGTGTAGCGTTGGCCAGAGGAAGAAGCTCGTCGATCTCTTCAGCCTTGTGGACCTGGAGACGATATGAGCCGGCGACGTCGGAGCTGATATGCTGCATCCATTTGCCGGTATGGTCACGGTTAAAACGTGCACGAAGCATTGAGTGGCGTTCAACAACAGCATATATGGCTTCGTTCAATTCAATGGCTGAGACAGTAGAGTTAATCCGGAGAAGGAAGCTCTGGTTGAACTGAATATTCGGATCCGGGGACATCTCGAAGAACATTTGCTGGATAGGCGAAAGCTGGAAGGCTACATTTTGTTGTTCAACAGCTGTGGCCACTGTTGACTCGGTACCGGTGGATGCAGAAGCTGCGAGTTGGGGAATGTTCTTGCTCTGTAGTATGTTGCGAAGGGAGACATCGATAGCTTGTTCACGAAGGATTCCCATAACTTGCATAGCTGAGATCGAGTCGCCGCCAAGTGTCAAGAAGGACAAATTTGCTGGTACCTGTAGCAGCATAGTTAGTACTTGGGCGACCTAGATTAGAAAACTTGAAAGCATACCTGGTCCAGAGGTAGCTTGAGTACTTTACTGAATGCATCTTGAATGACCACTTCAACGTCAGAAGTCACAACGGCTAATGTATTTTCCACCTCTTCTTCATCTTCTCCATCAAACAGACCCATGATTGATTCGAGATCTTCTTGACTCATTGCTTGAACCCAGTTGTGCACAACAACCCTATTCAATTTACCAGACACCATGAGTGGGATCTGATTCAGCACAAACCAGGCTGTAGGAACCATGTATCCTGGGACGTGTTCCGAAAGCGCATCTTGAATGTCTTGAATGCGGACCTTGGAGGTTCGAAGCTGGGATTTATTGACTAAAGAAATGCTTGGTGCCTCTGGATTTTCAAGCGGCACGATATTTTTGAGCGTCAAGATGGCGACAATGCGATCCCTGCAAGCACCTTCTTTGGACTGATAGACTATGGCATGGTTGATACGATCATCGGCGTACAAATGATGCTCAATTTCACTCAATTCAATCCGCTGTCCTCGTAACTTCACCTGAGTGTCCTTGCGTCCAATAAAATGGATTGTACCGTCAGGGTTGTTACGTACCAAATCGCCAGTTTTGTACAGACGGCGTGGAGTATTTCCATCATTAGCTAGGAATGCCGGATTCTCAATGAATGCGGCAGCTGTCTTTTCGGGTTCATTTAGGTAGCCACGAGAGAGAATTGGGCCTTCGAGGAGCAGCTCTCCACTCACCCCGATGGGAACGAGTTTATTGTGATCGTTGGCTTCAACAATCCAAGCTATACTCCCCATTGGACGACCGATGTTTGCAGGATCTGTGGCACTGTTTATGTCAGGGTTGGAAGTTGCAGCGACGGAGCACTCGGACGGTCCGTAGCCATTGACCAGTTGAAGTTTGTGTGCCCATGTGTAGATGTCGGTTCGGGAGAGTGCTTCACCACCTAGGACCATAGTTCGCATGCTGGGGATTTCATCCGGGTCGATAATGCGGGCTAATGAAGGAGTCAAGAAAGCCCAGGTAACTTGCATATCATTGATCGCTTCTGTCAGGGAGCGTTGAATAGATTCTTGACTGGGCATGCAGATGCAGGCTCCAATCATCAAGGCAGATATGATTTCCATGATGCTGACGTCGAAGGTGTAGGAAGCGAGTTGAAGGACGCGACTATCGCGTTGAATGAAGTTGGAGTAAGGCTTCTGGTACATGACTCCACTGCAGAAATTTTGATGCTCGATTACGCATCCTTTGGGTGTCCCAGTACTGCCAGAAGTAAAGATAACATACAAGGCGTTTGAAGGTTTGACGCCTGTTATTGGCGGTTCGGGGCGGAATGTCATATCATCCAAGGTCTCACCACTGACGACGTGGGTTTCAATGGCCGATGAGAATAGTTCCGAGTGTTCTGGCGATGACAATACCATCTTGGCTCCAACAGTATCAATGACGTGCTTGCGGCGCTCAACTGGATGCGATGGATCCAAGAACACAAGGCCTCCACCAGCTTTAATCACGCCGATCATGGCAATGACGGCACATAGAGATTTGTTGAAGCAAAGTGGAACGATCACTTCGGGTCCGACCCCCAAATCCACCAAATAGTTAGCAAGATGGTTTGAGGCCTGATCAAGCTCCGAATAGGTAAGGTTACCGTCCCAGGAACAGATAGCTAGGGCATCAGGATACTCTGCCGCATTTCGCATGATCTCATCATGAGCGCAGATTGTTTTATTTTCTGGGACTGCGTGGTTCCATTCCATTACTTGCTGGCTGTGGCCAACATCAAACAAGTTAGTGCTCTTAACAGTGTCTTGCGGCGTAAGAAGAATGTTGTTTAGTGCTTTTCTGAAAGTGAATGCAACATGTTGAGCTTGCTCTGGCGACATTTTTGAGGTTCTGTACTTGAGGATCGCAAGAATATCCTTGTTTGATACACCTATGCTGACCCCAACATCATACTGAAAAAGTTAGAACAATTCTAATTATTACAGACTAGGAGGAGCTAAACTTACTTCTGTAGGATCTTGGCCTTCCATCTCATGGAAGGCAATTTCGGATTTACTAGCATGACGCTCTTCCCCAGAAGTGCTTTGGAAAGAAATGGCAGTATTGAACAAAGCCTTGCCGAAAAGACCTAAATTATTATGAATCTTCGCCAAAGAAACATGTTGATGCTGCACGCTGTTTATAAAGTCGGCTTGCACTTGTTCCACAAGGCTGACTAGAGCAGTGTCGGCCGACATGTCTACCCTGCACACCATCATGTTAATAAATGGTCCGACGGCATCTTGGATCCCGTCGACTTCTGCGTCTCTTCCAGCGGATAGGAATCCAAAGCAAACATCGTCAGAGCCGGTGTAGCAGCGCAGAACCAATCCCCAGACAGCGAGAAAAATGCTGTTCATAGTTAAGCCATGCGATTTTGAGAAGCTTCGGAATTTATCAAGAGACCCGACGTCCAAGGTAATCTCCTTTTCTTCCTCCTTATCAGTAGAAATACCATCGATAACTGGGAATGAACAAGTTGTCACACCTGCGAGGTAATGCTTCCAGTAGGTTATGCTCTCGTTGATTGGAAGTTTCTGAATAAAGGCGATATAGTTGCGGTAGAGAGGAGCTGGACTGACCCAAGATAACCCTCCATAGGCTGCAGTGAAATCACGGAACAAGATCGTGTTTGAAGCAGCATCGGTGAGGGCGTGACTGATGATGAGCTTGCAGTACATTCTGCCAGAGGATGTTTCGCAAAGGACGAGCTTATGAAGGGGGACGTTATCGTTAACACTCAGTCCAGATACCTTCTCGAGCAGTGCTAGCGCAACTGAATCTTCGCACTTGATTTGAATGATGTTTGCAATCACATCCTTGAGCATGACCTGGTCGAACAGCCCATCGCGAGCTTTTGTCTTGACGAAAACTGTTCGGAGCATTGAGTGACGATCCACTACCTTCTGCCAGGCGGACATGAGACGTGTTATTGAAGGCGACTGGTTTTTCCTAGTAGACCGAATCTCGGCAACATTATGAATTTCATATGTCCCTGGAAGTCTTTGCTGGCTGATGAGAATGCCTTCCTGCATGGGTGAGCATGGATAAACTTCTTCAACTTTGTCGAAGGAAGAAATGCCAGCGTTAACTAAGGAATCTCTCATTTTGTCTAGTCCGGCGTAGGTCATGGATATGAGCGGAAAATCAGTAAGGGTGGGCTCGGGTGCCCTTGATTCCATACACATTGTAGCATTATGTAGTGCGAGTTCAAATGCATCCATCCAGTCTCGCACCCTGGATCTCATACCCATATGGCGGTTGTAGGTAAACGAAAACTCGGCAACCGCTCCAACGATTGCGACTGAAATATCAAAGAGTGCAAAACGTTGCATATCTTTGCCTAGAGAAGGTGTTGGTAGGGTTTCCATGCGCAGAAGTGCATCTTGACGCTCAAGCTGTTGGTATTGTCCTTGATAGTTGAAGATGATCTCCATAGGCCAATGGTTCTTGAATTCTTCGATGCCGTCGGGATTGAGGTAGCGAGAGGTAAAGTACGGCCATCCGTTATTGGGTATTTGACGACGAGTATCTTTAACACGACGGATGACGTCGTACAGGCTGTCTGTGGTTCTGACAGGAACTGTGGTGGGTGAGATTGTAGTGAACCACCCAACAGTGGAAGAAAGGTCAATGTCAGCATTCCAGGGCTCGCGTCCATGACTCTCGCTGTATATTGGAGGAACTTGTCGATCAGGAAATGTCCGGCCGAATGAGAATAGGAGAGTAGCCAAGAAGATGTCAACGGGCTCAGTGCCTAAGACTCTGTTACTCTTTCCAAGGAGAGCAGAGGTAGTTTCAGGGTCAAGCGTGAAGCTCCTATGGAAGACATCATTGAGCGTGTTCGGCTGGTTGGTCATTCTCCAGTATTGGAAATCGGCCGCTGGTATTTGAGAAGATTCCGGTAGAACGTTCTGTGGAGCAAGATACTCAATCGCATACTCTGCTTGTAGCTTAGACCATGCCTGAAAGGGGAACGGAGAATGAGCTTCAAGTGCTTTTCCTTCGAGTATCATTTCGAGATCAGACAACATGATGCGCCAGGACACAAGATCAATAGCCAAATGATGAGCTGCAAAGAAGACGACTTGGCCGCTATCCTCAACGTTGAATAGGTCAACAGTCATTATCGGACCCGATTCGACATTGATCAGTTGCTGGCTTTCAGCTGCGAGGTTGGTAGACTGTGCTAGGTCGCTAATGTTGTGAACTTGGTAGCGGAAAGACTCGGTGACGTTGGAAGAAATGATCTGCTGCCATTCGCCCGTCTCAGCTAAAGAGAATTTGCTGCGTAGCATCGAGTGGCGTTGCACGATCGTCTCAAGGGCTTTTTTGAATTCTTGCGAACAAACTGGTCGCATGACTCGGAGAGCAAGTGCTTGATGAAAGGCAGTGCTGGCTTGAGGAGCGATGCCGAAGTAGAACTGCTGAATAGGCGTAAGAGCAAAAGGTGTGTCAACAGGATCGGATACAGAAAGTTTGGTAGTGCCTAGGGCTGAGGTTGATTGAGCCAGCTGTGGGATACTCTGAGCCTGCAAGATGTCACGTACGGTGACCCTGCCAACGTTCTCTGATCGGAAAAGGCTAACCAGTTGCATTGCTGTAATCGAGTCACCGCCGAGGCTTAGGAAGGAGTGGCCCATCGTAACGAGATGCGGAGGCAGGTTGAGTACACGGCTCCACAGTTGTTGAATATTGGCCTCTCTGTCGTTTGATGCGACGTCAGTGATATTTTGGTCGGTGGATGTGGTAACAGATTGATAAGTTTCTTCATCCATCTGCTCAACCCATTGCTTCACAATCTTGCGGTCGAGTTTTCCAGACACACTCAAAGGAAGTCTTCCAACTACCACCCAAGTAGTCGGCACCATATAGCTTGGAAGCTTTGTGTTGATAGTATGTGTGATATCTGACACCCAAGAAGCTGCTACATCACGCTCCTCGCCATTCAAAAGCTGAAGTGCTGCATCATTCTCGATGGTCTGTCTCTCGAGGACGACGGACAAAACAGCCACCAGCCTTGATTCACAGTATCCGGAGCAAGGTGCCACGACTGCTGCTTGTTGGACATTCGGATGGGCGTAGATGTGGTGCTCGATTTCGCCAAGTTCAATGCGTTGACCACGAAGCTTGACCTGAGTGTCTCTGCGACCAAGGAATTCTAGAGTTCCATCGTGGTTATACCGGCCCAAGTCTCCTGATCGATAGAATCGACGTGTTCCATTCGATGTGAAGAAAGCTTTGTCCCGAACCCAGCGAGGCATTTCAATGAAGGCCGCCTTAGTCTTCTCTGGTTCATTGAGATAGCAGCGGGATAAAATTGGTCCTTCAATTAGGATTTCGCCAACACACCCCACAGGGGACAATTGTTGCGGATCGGTAGGGTCGGTGAGCCACATCTTTGCTCCTACACCATGGCCAATATTATTGGAAGATGTTGTAGACGTGAGACCAGCAAGTGCAGTCGACCAAATAGAGGTTTCAGCTGGGCCGTAAATATTAATCAAGTGGACCTTGTCAGCCCAAACACGAATGTTTTCAGGTCTAACGGCTTCACCTCCTAAAGCCAAGGTCTTCAAAGTCGGGACTTGATCAGGGTGCAGAAAACTGGCAACAGTTGGAGTAAGGTACGCCCAATTTACATCCATGATTTGTACAGCTTCGGCGAGGTTTTCCATCCTGTCTTGCTCTGATGGCACACAAATAGTGCCGCCAGCCATGAGCGTAGTAAATATTTCACCGATGCTCACGTCAAATGTGTAAGCCGAAAATTGGAGTACACGGGATTGATTGTTGATTCCAAGCACTGCTCCATGAGATTTGGCACTCGAGCAGAGGGCGCGATGCTCCAGCATGATTCCTTTTGGCTTTCCAGTGCTGCCAGATGTGAATACAATGAATGCTGGACTGCTGGGCTGCGCCAATGAGCTTTCAGGGGTGTTGTCTCCCGCTGGAAGTGGAATATCGTCCATGGAATCTTGGTCGACAACTACAACTTGAGCCATGCCTTGAAAAATCCTAGCATGAGCTGTCCCAGAAAGGACAACCCGAGCGGCTGTTTCTTTGAGGATGTCTTGAAGTCGATCAATTGGGTGAGCTGGATTGAGAGCCACACACGCTCCACCAGCTTTGAGAGTTGCAAGCATAGCTACGATCGCCCAAGTCGACTTATCAAAGCAGAATGGCACTAGAACATCAGGCCCGACGCCGTGACTAGTGAGGTGGGATGCGAGACGCTCGGATAAACAGTCAAGCTCAGAATATGTAAGGTTGATATCCCATCCATGAACAGCGAGTGCAGATGGTCTTTGAGCAACCTGTTGCGAGACTAGGTCGTGTATGCAGGCATTGACTGTCTCATGCTCTTTATTCCATTGAAGAATCTTGGCCTTATCCGCTGAGCTAACTATGTCAATCTGCGACAAAGCTGTGTCGGGCCGGTAGGAAAGGGTTTCCATCAATTGGCAGATAACTTGCTCAAATTGACCCAAAATTGACTCCATCTGGCTCGGGTGGATTGAATTAGCGTCATATTGAGCATCGATTTCGATTGAGCCATCGTCCAGGTTGCACTCCAGGACAAGTGGATAAGCGTGAAAGTCCTTTTGGGCATGGCTAACCGCTTCTAGGGACAGATAGCTCTGTGCTGTGGCGGTCGAGAATGTTTCCTCTGCAGTCGAACGTGGTTGAATAACAAGGAGATTTCGAGAATCGCAAGCGGCCATTGGACCGCTACCTAATTGCCTAATGTTCTGGAGGCCGGTATGCTCGAAAGGCATTATATCCGCTGATTGAAGCTGCATATCCTCTAGGAATTTCTGGGTTGATTGGTTGTAGTTCACTGGGACGTGAATTGGGACCGTAGTAATCATGGGGCCTACGATCTTGCTGATTCCTTTAATAGAGGCATTTCGACCAGCTAGTGTGAGCGCGAAAGTAGCGCTCTCTGTGCCGGAGTATTTTGAAAGGATTAATGCCCACGATGCCTTGATCAAATTAGACCTAGTAATATTGGTATGTCCAATATTTATTGGGAGTTTGACTTTCCTAGCCATGGACTGGCGATTCTGTTGAGCGCTGGTGGACTGTAGAGGGAACACTGCCGGTGATGCATCTTTTAACTGAGATTTCCAGAACTCATCGCGGGCATCGGTGTTAGTTTGAGTTAGATACTTGATGAAGCTGTTAAAGGGTAGCTTCTCTTCAGCTGCGTCTTTGCCTTCATATGCATTAGCGACCCTCTCGAGAATCATCGACAAGCTGCTCCCGTCGTATTGGGCATGATGGATGGTCCAAACGAAATAGCGAGTGTCGTGCTGATGGATAATGGCGTAACGAGCGAGGCGACTGCCGAAGCTGACGGGACTTTGTCGGTCGGTTTCTAGGTACTCGTCTAAAGAGGTTGCACTCTGCCATTCGATTCTGTCATTAGTTACCACTTGCATAGAGCGAAGGGCAGGTAGGTAGACGACCCGAGTACGGAGGATGTCGACAGTCTTCATAGCCGTAGCCCAAGCGTTGCGGAAGCGTTGCTCGTCAATATTTGATGGTAGCTTGAAAACGTTTTGCGCCATGTAAGTTCCCGGCTCTTTGACCGACAAAGCAAGAAGGCCTTCTTGGAGTGCAGTGCAGGGATACATATCTATCACAGAAGAAAAGCTGAGATCACACTGTGACGCGGCCTGCTCGATTTGCTCTTGCAAGTTGTGAATACCTTGAAGAAGACTGAAAGGTTGTAAGACCTCGGGGCTGTCATCTTCGCCATTGCTGCTTTCAAGCACTGTTGCCATTTGGCTGAGAACTGGATGACTGAAAATCTCGGGAACCGTAATTGCAAAACCCTGGCCGCGAGCTGCTACTACGAGTCTCATGGCTCCAACGGAGTCCCCGCCGAGCTGGAAGAAGTTGTTATTGGCCCCGATTAAATCTTCAGGGAGACCCAACACTTGCACCCATAGAGACTGCAGGTCCTTTTCCATAGGGGTAGAAACTGGCTTGTATTGCCTAGCACCCAGTGCAAAACTAGACAACGTCTCTTGCGACAGCTCAGCTACTAGGCGCCTCAACTCCTTTCGATCCGTTTTCCCGGAAACCGTCTGCGGTAGTCTAGTCATCGGAACGTACATTGAAGGAATCATGTAAGAAGGTAGAATTCCATTAAGGGCAGCCTTGGCCTGAAGGAGTGACTGATGCATAGCCTTCGGAATAGCGAACGCGACTGGATTTTCAGCATCGTTGGTTCCATTGGAGAGTAAGACCCTGGGGCCCGAGAAGAAGGCCGCAAGCAGCTCTGCTCCCACTGAGCGGTGTGAGGACTTGCACATTTCGACAGCAACTTCATTGAGACCAAGTTTCTGTAGTTCTTGTTTGAGATAGTGCTCGATTTCACTTAGCTCGATTCTTTGGCCGAATAACTTGACCTGGGTATCTTTGCGTCCTACAAAGTCCAACGTGCCATTATTATTATAACGGACGAGATCTCCAGTCTTGTAGAATCGACGAGTTCTGCACTTATGCTTAATCCAGGCTGGATCTTCAATAAAGGCGGCGGCGGTTTTTGCCGGATCATTAAGGTATCCTCGCGCAAGGATGGGTCCCTCAATGAGTAGTTCACCGGTGGACCCTATTGGAGCGAGGATATTGTGGTTTGAGGGATCAACAACCCAGGAGAACGAGCCTATACCTCTGCCAATCGTGGCCGCGGAGGTTGAAGTTTTAAGACTTGGCAAAGCTGTTGACCAAATAGTAGTCTCTGCTGGCCCATAAATATTGATAAGAAACACTTGATCGGCCCAAAGTGTAAGGGTATCCTGTTTGACAGCTTCGCCGCCTATTGAAAGGGTCCTTAGAGTCGGTGTCTCCGAAGGATGTAACAAGGCTGCTACGGTTGGTGTGAGGTATGCCCAGTTGACCTGCATAGCGTTGATTGATGCGGCAAGGTCTAGTCTTTGTGCCTCAGACGGAACGCAGACGCAGCCTCCGAACATGAGCGTCGTGAAGATCTCGCCGATAGAGACGTCAAAGGTGTAGGCAGCGAATTGAAGGACACGAGAAGTTGGCCGTACCCTCATTATTGCCCCATGCTCGCGAGCGCTGGTACATAAAGATCTATGCTCAAGCACGATACCTTTAGGTGTGCCTGTGGAGCCTGATGTGAACACCACGAATGCAGCATTTCCAGGATGTATAGTTGGGCAAGGCGACACCGGAACATCAGGAAGGTCTTGTAGCAGTGTTGCATTCACAGCGACGACGCAGTTTACAGCACCCTTAAATCTCTCTTCATACTCCGGTGCCGTGACTATAACCTTGGATTTGGTGTTATCGAGAATAACCTGATGTCTGGTGATTGGATGCGCAGGATTAAGAGGAACGCATGCTCCACCTGCCTTCAGGATGGCGAGCATAGCAACAACTGTCCAGGCAGATTTGTCGAAACACACGGGAACTAATACTTCTTGGCCAACTCCTTTGGCGGATAGATGATGGGCAAGACGGGACGCGAGCAAGTCAAGTTCACGATAAGTTAATTTGGCATCCCAAGCATCAACTGCTACTGCGGAAGGGCGCACTAGAGCCTGCTCCTCGACGATATTCTGCACGCAGGATTCATCTGATTCAGGCTCATCATGGTTCCAAATCATGATCTGCTGCTTGTCTTGTAGGCAGATCATATCGAGTTCCCCTAGAGTATAACCTTGAGAGGCGGAATGCAGCTGCTTGATGATATGCTCGAGTTGATAGGCGACTCGTTGGACTTGGCGTGTTGGAATAACATTCACATCGTAATGCGCTTCCATAATTATTCGATCTTCGCTCAAGTTGCACTCAAGAACTAACGGATATGTGTGGAAGTCTTCTTGCCCAATGCTGATGTGCTCGAAGAGTGAGGCGGCAGGAATCTCATCTGATTCTGCAGACAGCTTGGGTTGAATCACTAAGAGATTCTGGAAGTTGCAAGCCAGCTGGGTATCAGCGTTCAACTTGCGAATATTTTGCAATCCCGAGTGCTCAAATGGGATCATGTCTGCGGCCTGGTCTTGCAGTCCATTTAGGAGATCCTCTACGCTTAGAGTGCGGTCGAGGCGCACTCTAACCGGGACTGTGGTGATAGTAGGACCAATGATGCGTTCCATATCAGGCACAGGAGCATTTCGACCAGCCAAGGTGGCCCCAAATACAATGTCTTCGCTTCCAGTGTACTGCGAAATTACCATCGCCCATGCAGCGCGGATAATGGCGGACTTAGTAAAAGCAGTGTTTGGGTTTTGAGTAAAGCTCATACTGTGAACTAGACTCTTCTCAACTCTCGATTTCTTCTGGGTGGCCGGTATCTGTGCCGCTGGGAAATTCGATACGTTACATCCAGAAAGCTGATCTGTCCAGTAATCGTCACGAGTAGTTTCATTGCCGCTAATAAGATAGGAAACAAAGCCAGTAAAAGGTGGAGTAGGAATGATCTTCTCGCCATTAAAGGACTGTTGGACGAGGCTGAGGACCATGGGAACGCTCCCACCATCGTAAATAGCGTGGTGTGCTGTCCACACAAAGAAGGTTTCGTCGCCTTCGGTGATCAAAGCATAGCGGGACAGTTGGCTGCCGTAAGTTAGAGAGTCGTTCCGAGAATCAGACAGGTATGTGGCTAGAGACGCTGATTCCTGCCAAACGGGTTTATCATCCACAACAACTTGGAGAGAGCCCAGTTCTTGATTATGAATATACACGATTCTTGTACGGAGAATATCTGTACATCTCACCATTTCCGCCCATGCCTCGCGGAATCGGGTAATGTCTTCCGATGATCTCAAGGAGAGTCGGAAGGCATGTTGAGCAACATATGCCCCAGATTGGCGGGTTGACAAAGCTAACATGCCCTCTTGTAGAGCCGTACATGGGTATATATCTTGGATTTCAGCTTTATCAATGGAGCACTGACTAGCGACAGCGTCCAGGAGTTGGTCGAGCTCACCATCGCCCTTCAGCAGTGAGAAAGGTGTGTACTCTCCATCCGCATATTGAACATCTTCAATATGGTCAATTGCGTAAGCGAGGTCGGCAAGCTTAGGACGTTGGAATATGTGACCGACAGTCAGCGTGATTGACTGAGCTCGAGCTGCTGCGACTAATCTCATAGCTGAAATCGAATCACCTCCTAGGCGGAAGAAATTGTCATTAGCCGCAATGGTGCTGCTTGGGACGTTTAACACCTCGGCCCAAAGAGATTGTATGGAAACCTCCATGTCCGAGGAGACCTCTCGTTTAGCTCCGTCAGACAGTCGGTATTGGGCCACCTGAATGGCTGACATTTCTTCCAGGAAGATTTGAAGCATGTGACGATCTCGTTTCCCGTTGTGCGTTAATGGTAGCCTTGTGAGTGGGATGTAGACGGCTGGGACCATGTAAGAAGGTAAGGTATCCGTCAGGAACTCTTCTAGTTTTAACAAGCTCGTCTTGAGACTGGCAGATATCGGCGCCAGAAACTCCTTAGAATTGCTTTTGACTAGACCTGTAATGAACGCAGCAAGATATGCGGCCTCTGGTTTGTCGTCTGGCTTAATCAGCTCGACCACGGTGTCTTTGGCACCAACTGATCTCAATTGAGCCATGATTTGAAACTCTATTTCTCCCAATTCCACCCGTTGGCCGCGTAGCTTGATCTGTGAGTCCTTTCGTCCGAGAATACTCAGTGTGCCATCTTCATTGAATCTGGCTAAGTCACCAGTTTTATAGAGCTTGCATCCAACAGCACCCCTGAAGTTCTTGAGCCAAGGTGGATCGATGATGAAAGCTGCATCGGTTTTTTCTTTGTCGTGGAGGTACTCTCTGGCTACGATGCGGCCTTCGATCAAGAGTTCACCCACACAACCGACTGGTGTAAGTTTCTCATGGTCATCAGGCTCAACGACCCAGAAACTGCCACCAATCGCGGTTCCAACGTTAGAAGGCTCGCTCTTGCCTAAAACTGCTGGAGTGCTACCTGCGCAATAAATCGAAGTTTCAGCAGGACCATAGCAGATGATGAGCTCTACATCATTAGCCCAAGTGCCAATATTCTCCATAGTAGAAGGTTCTCCCCCAAGGACTAAAGTCTTCAAACACGGGACTTCTGCTGGACGTAGAAGTCGTGCCACAGTAGGTGTTAGGAATGTCCAGTTGACATTCATGTCGTTCATTGCACCTGCTAGATTGTTGGCCCTTGCGGCATCGGATGGAACACATATCGTTGCTCCTCTCATGAGTGAGGTGCACATATCTGCAACACTAACGTCGAAGGTATGGGCGGCAAATTGAAACAATCTTGTCCCAGGGCCAATATGCCAGCAGGATCCATGGGCCTCGGAGCTTGTACACAAGGCGCCATGTTCAATGACTATTCCTTTGGGCGTACCAGTACTGCCGGAGGTGAATAGGACGAAAGCTGGGTTGCTGGAGGTAGCACGCATAGGCACTCGTGCGACGGGAGGAGCTGAACGGTTGAAAGTGCGAGCATCAACAGATACAACGGAATCAACAAGCCCTTCAAAGAGATGGCAGTGCTTAGGGCTAGCAACAACGACTCGAGCTCGTGTGCGCGCAACAACATCCTCAGTGCGTTTTTTTGGGTGGGCTGGGTCCAAACCAACACAGGCGCCTCCAGCTTTCATAATAGCCATGAGTGCGACCGAGGTCCAAGCGGATTTGTCGAAGCAGTGGGGAACGAGGGCCTCTGGACCAACCCCTGCGGCAACCAAACGATGAGCAAGCTGCTCGGAGAATTCGTCGACTTCTCTGTAGCTGAGTGTTGCATCCCATGCACAGATAGCTTCAGCATCAGGGGTCTTTGCGGCTTGCTGTTTGAAAACCTCGTGGACGCATGTGTCCATGATCTCAGTTTGAACAGCCTCATTCCAAGCCAACAGGTCGGTAGTATCCTCGACAGAAAACATGTGGATAGAATTAAGGGTACGTTGAGTAGATGAGCCGAGGTAGAGCTCTTTAATTACCTGGTTAAAATGAGCACTGAGTCGTTTGATCTTCTCGGCACAGATGGCGTTCTTATCGAAGAACATCTTGACTTCTATACTTCTACTGTCGATCAAGTCGCACTCGACGATGAGTGGATAAGTATGAAAGCTAGATTGAGCTACATTTACCCTTTCTAGGTTCCAGATACCATCTGAGGGTTCATCCTCATTGGATCCAATAGCTGGTTGCACAACAAGCAAGTTGTTAAATTCGAGAGCAGCTTGAACTTCAGCGCCCAGGTGTCGGATATTCTGGAGGCCAGTGTGTTCATGAGGTATCATGTCAGCAGCTTGAATCTGAAGAGCTTCGAGGAAAGAGGCGATAGCATCCCCTTGGTCGTAGGTGATCCTCAAGGGTACGGTGGTAATCGTTGGGCCGACAATGCTATCCATATTAGCGATCGGAGCATTCCTCCCAGCAATTGTAACACCGAATACGGTATCAGTAGTATTCGTGTACCGACCGACAACTATACCCCAGGCAGCTCGGACGAGAGTTGACATCGTAAAGGTTGCACTGCTAAAATGTGTGCTCTGTTGTCCTTGGAGACGAACCATACGGGAGAAAGTCTCTTCATTTCGAACTGAGTTTGGCGAAGGAGTAGGAAATGAGCTGCCAGTTGCGTTGCTCAGCTCTTGACGCCAATACTCGTTGGATCCTTGCTGTTCAATAGATCGGAGATACTTGACAAAGACGTTGAAAGCAGGTGATGCTGTTATAGCTGTGCCATCATAGGCTTGAGCAACCCTCTCCATGATCATCGGCATGCTACCACCATCGTAGATGGCATGATGTGCTGACCAAACGAAATATCGCTCGCTAGTATCTCCGTCATTCACAATAGCAAATCGCACCAACGGGCTTCCATATGTGATGGCTGTTGAAAGGTCCTGGCTTAGATATCCCCCGAGGCTAGTGGAGGTTCGCCATTCAATCGGTTCTTTGACCACAATTTGAAGATGTAAGCCATCAATGTCAACGATCCGGGTTCGAAGGATGTCTGTAGCCTTCATCGCAGTTTCCCATGCCCTTTGGAATTTATCGAGGTCGATATTCGTAGGTAGGCGAAACACGTTTTGAGCCATGTATGCTCCGGTTTGCTTAATTGACAAAGCAAAAAGACCCTCTTGCAGAGCAGTTGACGGGTAGGCATCTTGTAAATGCGTTGGATTAACCTCGCACTTGGTGGCAAGCTCCATGATAATCTCGAACATATTCTTGTCCTCAAAGCCCTCAAGCAAGGAGAAGGGGGCAACTGGCCCTGAGCTTACAAGGTCAGGAGTGGCTGTCTGCTGGGATGTTTGACTTGGTTCCGGCTTTATTTTGGCGGACTCTGCCATCTTCTCCAAGTGAGGGTGACGGAAGACATCACCAACACTAAGCATGACGCCCTGCTTGCGAGCTTCACTAACTAGTTTCATAGCCCCGATAGAATCTCCACCAAGGTGAAGGAAACTATCACCGGCTGCAATAGTCTCGGGAGCTATAGCAAGCACGTCAGCCCATAGCTGCTGAAGCTTCATCTCAACCATCGTAGATGGTTGTCGTCGACCAATTTCGGCGATTTGTGATATCTTGTATTGCTTCAATTGATTAGGGGAGAGAGTTTTCATTTCGTCTCGAATCTTTTGCCTGTCGCATTCACCTCCTCTTTGAATCGGCATGAACTCGAGTGGGACGAAGGTTGTCGGGATCGCAGACTGCGGGAAGTTACAGGAAAGCGAACTGATGACTTGTGAGATCTCCTCTAGCGGGTTGGCTGTGCTAGCCTTGAAAAGATTCTTTGAAAACGTAGGGGCTTCAGACTCAATGTAATAGAAAATAGAAATTGTGCCGTCCACTTCCTCCACAATTGCATCAGTCACCCCTAGCTGAACGAGCTCACGCCTCACATAGTCTTCGACTTCTAGATGAGCGTTGAATAGGGCATCCTTGCACCTGACATACTCGAGAGTCCCATTACCGTTGTACCTCACCAGGTCGCCCGTCTTGAAAAATATTATCCCACTACGGTCCTGATTATCGCTACGGAATCGTGAAGCTATTTGAGTAGCCCATGACGGACTTTCGACGAAAGATACGTTTGTTAAAGCATCTTCCTTCCAGTAGCCTTGAGCGAGGGTGGGTGTTTCAATGACTAGCTCGCCAACGCAGCCGATAGGTACTAGGTGGTTATGGTCGGTATGATCAACAACCCAAGGAATTAGATCGGAGTTGCTACCAATGTGGGTGATGGTTGTATCGGAGGAAATAGGCGTGGACCATCCAAGGCACTCTTGAGGACCATAAGTTCTGGACAAGTTCTCCAGTTGTGCCGACCATTGTTCAATGTTCATTGGAATCGCCATTTCACCAACTAGGCATAAGGTATGTAGGGTTGGAACTTCCGATGGACGTAGACGAGATGAAATGGTGGGAGTAAGATAGGCTCGGGTGATTCTCAAGTCATCTATGACATGAGCAAGCCGGCTGGTCCTATCATCCTCTGTTGAAATGCAGACAGTGCCCCCGAAGACTAAAGTGGTAAAAACTTCGTGGAGGTAGCATGCCGAGGTATTGGGAGCATACTGCAAGACACGCTCACGAGAGGATGGTAAGGCCTTCTCATGAGCCATACTGCTTGAGCATAGCGAGCGATGCGTAAAGACAACGCCCTTCGTATTTTGGGAATTAGTTAGGATAAGGGCAGCGTCAGTTGGTGATACGGTATTATCTATGGCCGCCGTGATATCGGGAAGGGAAGCAAGGAACGACGGGGTGATTGCCAGAGTTTGTACCGAGATGCTCTTCAAGGGCTGATTGAAGCGAGGACAGGTAAGAAGAATAGTAGCATCAGCACGAGAAAGGGTGTCTTGCAACTCTTCGGTGCTAGACATGGGGTTGATTGGCATGCATATAGCACCGGCCTTGAGGACGGCGATTGTGCTTATGATTGCTGAGGCGGATTGTTCATCAAGTATAGGAACATGACTTGATATCTTGACGCCAATAGACACAAGGTGATGGGCCAATTTCTGGGACTGCTGATCTAGCAGTTCATACGTCAAACGAGCGTCCCAAGCTTCGATTGCCACACTATGTGGGACCGAGCGGGCGCGCTCTGTAACCATCGTATGAAGGCAACAATCTTTGGCCTGTGGTGCAACTCCATTCCAGGTTTGGATGAGAGCCATATCATGGGTTGGGCGAAGAACGAGCTCCTTGATGGGCGTATCGAGGTTGGCCTCGTTGCGCAGCTGAGTGATGACTTGCTCAAACAAACTTAGTATACGGTCCATTTGCTCCGGCGAAATAATGTTCGAGTCGTAGAAAGCTTCAAACTCAATTTCCCCTACTCCAAGGTAGCAGCTCAAGGCCAGTGGATAAGTATGGAAGTCGGTTTGGTCTTGCTGGATGCGTTCTAATCCAAGGACATTCATCTCGCCGTCAGTTTCGCGAGCCGTAGGTTGGACAGTGAGTAAGGTATTAAAATCGCATGCCGCCTTCTCATCAGCTCCAAGGCGGCGAATGTGTTGTAGCCCAGTATGTTCGTATGGCATGGCTTCTGCAGACTGGAGTTGTACCCGTTTGAGGAAGTCGAAGCATGTTTCTGATTGGTTGATGTTGATACGAACGGGGGTTGTAGTAATGGTAGGGCCAATGAGTTTGTCCATGCCTCTGATTGGAACATTGCGGCCTGTCAGGACGACGCCAAAGACCACATCTGCTGTCCCGGAGTATCGACCAGCAACTATTGCCCAAGCTGCACGAACAATAGATGACATGGTGATTTCAAAGCCTGCTGCAGGAGCAGTGAGCGGCACCTTACGCATGAGTAGCTGCTCTTCCCTCGGTGCCTCACTGGATTTCTTTGCCACTGGGAAGCTTGCCGTGCTTGCACCTTTGAATTGTTTTCGCCAATAGCTATCCTGTTCGTGCTGATCGACCGATTGCAAGTATTTGATGAATCCATTGAACGGCAAAGGCGGAAGTGTATTATCGTTCATATACGCCTCCATGACGCCTCGGAGTGTGAAATACATACTTGCACCATCGTAGATCGCATGATGTGCAACCCAAACGAAGTAAAGCTCTTCAATACCACCTTTCTTTTGGTTAATTAATGAATATCGAGCAAGTGGGCTGCCATAGCGAACAAATGTATTTATATGCGATGACAGAAATCCTTCGACGGATAAAGCAGTCTCCCAATTGATGCTTTCGCGCACCACGACCTGGAAGCATCCAGACGACCGCGAATACACGATTCTTGTGCGCAAGATATCTGCTGCCTCAACAACTTGCTCCCACGCGGTTTTGAATCGGCGGATATCGATAGTGCTGGGAACACGGAAAACATTACTTGTAATGTAAGATCCAGGTTGTTTTAATGACAATGACAGAAGACCCTCCTGCAAAGCGGTGCATGGGTATGCATCTTGAATAAAGTTAGTCGTGACGCCGCACTGCTCTGCAAAATCAGCGAGCTGACTAGATGTACTCTTAGTCCGTGGCAAGAGCGAGAAGGGTTCAATAACTTCTTCGACCTCGACATGGGTCTCGCTAAGACCGATGTAGTTGGTAGCCATGTCAGAGAGTCGGGGATGCATGAAGACGTCTGCAACCGTCAACTGCACCTGTTCCTCGCGGGCAAGAGCCACTAAGCGCATAGCTGCAATGGAATCACCCCCGCGGCGGAAAAAGTTGTCAGAGGCTCTAATGGATATGGAAGAGTCAAAGCCTAGAGCGGCCATCCAAAGTGATTTCAGTCTCTCCTCTGAGGAGGTCAATGGTGCCTGTTTACCAGACTTTCCAGACAAGCCATATAGAGCGCGTTGCTGTTTTGAGAGGCCAAGTGCAATTGAATTCAGTACCCTTTTGTCACGCTTCCCATTGGCAGTCAAGGGCATCTCCTGAATAGGCAAATAGACAGATGGTACCATGTACGATGGAAGGACTGCAGTCAGTTCCGCTTGAAGCTCACTAAGCAAGGAAAGCAGCTCTTCGGATATATCTAAAAGGATATTTTCCGAATTTCCCTCTATTCCCGGCAAGAAGGCTGCAAGGTATGCATTCTCAGGTTTATCAACAGGTTTGATAAGTTCGACCCCGGCATCAGGTGTATTTAGTAAACGCTTGATATGGTACTCAATTTCTCCGAGCTCAATACGTTGTCCTCGAAGCTTGACCTGAGAATCCTTCCGACCAAGAATATTTACAGTACCGTCCGGGTTAAAGCGAGCCAAGTCTCCTGTTTTATAGAATCTTTGAGGCATCGAAGACTCATGGGCCCAGGCCGGGTTTAATATGAATACGGCGTCAGTCATTGCTTTGTCGTTAAGATATCCTCGGGCGACAATTCTGCCGGATATAAGGAGTTCTCCTACGCATCCAACCGGCATGAGCTTATTATGGTCAGACACATCAGTGATCCAGAAGTTGCCTCCAATAGGGTGTCCAACATTGGAGGGGATTGATGTACGCGTCGCAGGTGGGCTTCCGGCGCAGTAAATCGACGTCTCTGCGGGACCATAGCAGATAATTAAGTCGACGCTCTCAGCCCATGTGCTAATATCGTCTTTTGAGGATGCCTCACCACCTAGCACAAGAGTTCTTAACGTCGGCACTTCAGATGGTTGCAATAGTTTCGCAACGGTAGGGGTCAAGAACATCCAATTAGCACGAAGACGTGTAACTGCACCGGCAAGATCGTTAAAGCGCTCGTCATCAGATGGAATACAAATGCAGCCACCGCGAGTAATAGTTGTTCCAAAGTCAGCGTTGCTAACATCAAATGTGTGCGCAGCGAATTGGAAAACTCTTGTGCCAGGGCCAATATTCCACTGTGTGCCATGTGCCATTGCACTAGTGCAGAATGACCCATGTTCAATGACTATGCCCTTCGGTTCACCAGTAGATCCGGAGGTGAACAGGACGAAGGCGGCATCTGTAGGCTGCGCTTGAAGCACTGGCTTGGTGTGAAGCTTCGCGAGTGCAGCCTCCTTGAACATCGATGGCTCTACTACTACGATATGCTGAGTAATATTGCTGAAGATAGAGTCATGGTTTGAGCTGGTAAGAACGATTTGCGAGTTGGCTTTGTGGAGAATCTTTTCGATACGTTTTTTTGGATACGCGGGATCGATGCCGAGGCAAGCACCCCCTGCTTTCTGAACGGCAAGCATCGAAACGACGTTCCAAGCAGATTTATTGAAGCAAGTTGGGATGATTATGCCGGGCTTGGCTCCCAGTCCTATGAGGAGGCACGCCAGCTTGTCGGATAACTGATCAAGTTTTCTATAGGTGAACTGTGCATCCCACGCATGAACAGCAAGCGAGTGGGGATATAGTGCGACTTGACGACTGAAAAGTTCAGGAATAGTGCTCTCGACTGCAGGAAAAGCCGCGTTATTCCAGGTAAGAAGTGTTGACATATCGTCAGTATTAAACAGTTCGATGTCTGAGAGCCTCATCTTGGGATTGTTAGCATGAGCCACTACCCCACGGATGGCACTTTCGAACTGGTGGAGAAGACGATGGACCTGCTCTCGTTGCATTGTACTAGTGTCGTAGACAGCTTCCACGTTAATTGCATTCTCATCAAGGTTGCACTCGACAACTAATGGGTATGTGTGGAATCCAGCTTGGCGTGTCTCAATGTTCTCCAGGCCGAGTGGATACTCAGTGCTGGACATATCGGTGCCAGGCTGAATGACCAACAGATTTTGGAAGTCACAAGCATCCTGCGCTTCGGCACCTAACCGGCGAATATTCTGAAGACCAACGTGTTCGTAAGGTATCATCTCGGTCATTTGCTGCTGGATGCTTCGTAGGTAATCTGGCACAGTGCTTTTTTCAAGATTGATCTCAACCTTTACAGGAAGTGTGGTAATGGTTGGGCCGACGACTTCCGATATCCTTGGTACAGACGCATTGCGGCCTGCCAGAGTGATTCCGAAAACAGGAGAAGTAGTGTCGGAGTAGCGGCCAACGACTAAAGCCCATGCAGCGCGCACAGTAGTAGATCGGGTGAAAATTGATCGGTGGTTGTATTTTGGAAGTTCAATACGGTGAACGAGAGAAGCTTCGATGCGCTTGGATGGCTTAATGTCCCGAGTCGCGGGGAATGTGGAAGGGCCAGCTCCGGAGAGTTGTTTCTTCCAGAATCTATCGGAGGACTCGCGGCTAGTTTTGCTAAGATGCTTGATAAAACGATTAAAAGAGCTGGCTGGGGAAGCCTCTATAAACCCCTCCGTGTAGGCTTGGCCGACCTTGTCGAGGATAAGTGAAAGACTGGTACCATCATAGAGAGCATGGTGGATGGACCAAACGAGGTAAATTTCCTCATCATGGGACTGGCCTTCAACGACTGCAAAACGGACAAGGCGATCGCCATAGGTGATAGGTAGGGAACGGTCTCCATCAACATAAGAGTCAAGGTTTTTGGCAGAGATCCAGTTAATCTCGTCCTCCAGAACAACTTGTAAGAACCCAAAGTCGGAATCAAAAGCGATTCTAGTACGCAAGATCGGTAGATTATCTACTACCAATTGCCAAGCCATCTTAAAGAGGTCCAAGTTGATGGAGTTGGGAATCCGGAAAACGTTTTGTGCTATATAAGCACCTTCTTGCTTGAGTGATAGGGCGAAAAGGCCTTCTTGAAGGGGTGTGGACGGATAAATATCGCTAATGGAGTTTTTAGAAACACCACACTGAGAAGCGATGCTTTGGATGAGGGTGGCTCTAGTGGTGGAGGACGGCAAGAGCGAGAATGGAGTAACAAACATATCGGACTCCTCTGCTCCATCTACACTTGTGGCAGTATTGGCCAGTTCACTGAGTATCGGATAACTAAATATGTCCACCATTTTGAGCGTGATGCCGACTTGCCGAGCGTCACCAATTAGACGCATGGCTGAAATTGAGTCTCCCCCAAGGAGAAAGAAGCTATCGTTTGCCCCCACACTCCCTTCGCTCAAATTTAGGACATGTTCCCATAGGCCTTGCAATTTCTTCTCCATGAGCGTCGAAGGAACTCGCTTCTCAGCCGATACAAGGCCGTAGGCCGCATACTGTTTAGATGGTAGTGCTACAGTAATCGTTTGGAGCGTCTTGCGGTCTAGCTTTCCTGACACTGTAAGGGGCATTTCCTTGACGGGTATCCATTTGGATGGAAGCATGTACGGAGGAAGGGATGTTGAGAGCTGATTACTGGCTTGGATAAGATGTTGTTGGACTTCACTGGGAATTGCCGCATAAAAGCGGCCGTGAGCACCCTCGGCGATAGGCTCGCCCTGCATAAGACTATGGCCAGTGAAGAAAGCGGTAAGAAGGTCCTGGCTTTGCCCATCATTTAGCTTGATCATCTCAATAGCAACCTCTTTGACACCGTGTTTTGCAAGTAGTGGTCCAAGGTGATGTTCAATTTCGCCAGTCTCAATGCGCTGCCCATGAAGCTTCACTTGGGTGTCTTTACGCCCCACAAAGCAAAACGTGCCGTCGGAATTATAGCGAGCAAGATCTCCACTCTTATAAAAACGTCGAGTGCGGTCAGGAGTTTGAGATTTGGCCCAGGCTGGATCCTCAATAAAGGAGGCAGAAGTATTGTCAGGTAGGTTCAAATACCCCCTGGCTAGAATAGGACCCTCTAGCAAGATCTCACCAACACACCCGATAGGGCTTAAACGATTATGGTCAACCACATCTGTGATCCACATAAGACATCCGATACCATGGCCAATATTCGTAGGAGGCGTGTCCTTGCTTACAGCAGTTAAACATGTTGACCAGATCGTCGTCTCTGCAGGGCCATAGATATTAATCAGATGTGTATGATCTGCCCAGTCCTGTATACACTTAGTAGTGACAGCTTCACCACCAAGTGCGAGGGTCTTGATCATTGGAACTTCCTCCGGTGTTAGGAATGCTGATACAACCGTTGGCGTTAGATATGCCCAGTTGATTTCCATGCGCCGAATTACCCCTGAGAGATCTTCGTTACGCTCTTGCTCAGCGGGAACGCACACGCATCCGCCATATATAAGGGTGGAAAATATTTCCCCTATACTAACATCGAAAGTATAAGCCGCAAACTGGAGAGATCTGGAGCTCTTTGAAAGGCGCATCGAAGTACCGTGTGCACGGGCAGACGTAGATAGGGAACGATGCTCTATCACAATCCCCTTGGGTTTGCCAGTGCTGCCCGAGGTAAATACGACGACGCCCGGATGATGTGGCTTGACGGTCGAGCAAGCCGCAGACATTTTTATAGGAAGGCGATTGAAGAACTGTGGGGTGATTGATATAACATGCTCGACTATATCTTCAAACATACCCTTATGTGTGGGAGTAGTAAGAATAACAGTTGCTGAACAGTCATTTATAATACTTTGAAGTCGGTCGATAGGATGTTTAGGATTTAAAGCCACACATGCACCGCCGGCTTTAAGAACTGCTAGCATTGCAACAATTGTCCACGAGCTTTTATCAAAACAAAAAGGAACAAGCGACTCCGGGCCAACATTGTGTTTGACGAGATGATGCGCAAGCTGTTCGGATAGTTGATCAAGGCGACGGTAAGTAAAGTTTCCATCCCACCCCTCTACGGCGGAATCATCAGGCTGGGACTGCGCCATTAGCTTCACAAGATCGTGCAGACAGGCCTCGACGGGAACAGGTTCGACTTTATTCCATTCGTGTATCTGCTCAAGATCATAGGAGCTGACCAGTTCCACAGAGTGTATGGGCTTGGCTCCCGCAGATTCATCGAGCCGGCCGTTGTTAAGTTGCTTCATAGCATGTTCGAATTGATGGAGAATGCGCTGCATTCCTTCCGAGCTGATAGTATTGGCATCGAAGCTGGTGTCGATTTCAACGGTTCCGTCCTCTAAAATGCACTCCACAACGAGAGGGTACGTGTGGAAGTTGGCGGGTGCGTCGAGCATGGATTCCAATCCAAGTGTGGAAGCGTCACTTGCAGTATCCCGTCTATGTTTGACTGATGGCTGTATGACGAGGAGGTTCTGGAAGTCGCAAATAGCATGAGCGGCTGGGCCAAGAATACGTTTGATATTCTGGAGACCGGTTTGCTCGAAAGGGATCATGTTGATGGATGCTTGTTGAACGTCTTCTAGAAAGGTCTTTATGGCCTTCCGCTCATCGATTTGCACTCTGATCGGTACTGTTGCGAGGGTTGGGCCGATGATACCAGACATGCCCTTTACAGGCGCGTTTCTGCCCGTCAGAACAGTGCCAAATATAGCCTCTTCCATGTCTGAATATCTCGCTACGACCATGGCCCATGCACCTCGAATGACTGTTGGAGAAGTGATGTGGGAGCCAGATTGAGTCGAAAACTCAATTCGATGAGTGAGACGCTGCTCCCGTCGTTCAGTAGTAATGGAGGTTGGTTTGACAGGGAAAGCTGGAAAGCTTGCGCCTTTGAGCAAGTCACGCCAATAATTATCGCGAGTTTCGGCATCAACCTTTGTCACATAGTCAATAAAACTGCGGAAAGATGGGGAAGGGGTTAATGTGGTTCCCATGTATGCGTGCTCAACTTGCTCCACAATGAGAGCAAGGGATTGGCCGTCATATAAGGCATGATGAGCTGTCCAAACGAAATAAATTTGGCCATCGCCTCCGTCAATTATGGCATAGCGACTCAAGGGAGCTCCGTATCTGATTTCAATCCGCTTATCTTCTACAAGATACTCTTCCAGAGATGATCCTCTGCTCCAGTGGACCTCCTCGTCAAGCACGACTTGCACAGCACCAACGCCTTCCAAGTTCACGACGCGAGTGCGAAGGATATCTGTAGCCCGCACGGTGGCAATCCAAGCAGAGCAGAATCGCTCAATATCCACACGCTCCTGTTCGAAGCGGAAGACATTTTGTGCTAGATAAGCACCGCTGCTTCTGAGGGAAAGGGCAACCAATCCTTCTTGGAGCGGCGTGCAGGGGTAAGCGTCGAGGACAGTGGACGTCTGGATTCCACACTGTTCTGCAATGCTGGCCAGTTTGAGTTTGTTTTCGGCCTGTGAGAGGTTCAAAAGGGAGAAGGGTGCAATATCGGCGGGCTGGATCGTAACGGCAGCCATTGCAACTTTTGCCATCTCGCACAGTCGAGGATTGCTGAATATTTGGGCAACTGTAAGGGTAATGTCTTGCTTCTGAGCCTCCGCAACAAGCCGCATAGCAGCAATAGAGTCACCACCAAGACGGAAAAAACTATCATCGGCGCCTACCGAGTCCACACCAAGTCCAAGAATAGATGCCCAGAGCTTTTGCAGATCATTTTCAATCGGAGTTGAAGCCTTACGCTTAGTAGCGTTCTCAAGGGAATAGGTTGATAGCTCGCCCTTGGTAAGTTTGTTGATGATGTCGTTGAGAACACGCTTATCACGTTTGCCTGATAATGTCAAAGGCATCCGCTTCAGGGGGATGTAGGTTGAAGGAATCATATAAGAAGGCAATAGCTCTGCAAGGACGGACTCAAGGCAAAGAAGCTCGATCTGGAGATTTTCGTCCATGGCCAAACGGAGGTCGTCGGAACCTGCGTTGGAACTGATGCCGGTGCTAAAGAAGGCTGCAAGGTATGGAGCATCTGGACGATCGGCCGGACGTATCATTTCGACAACTACATTGGTGTTTCCTAGGTGGCTAAGTTCGCGTTTGATGTTGTGTTCGATCTCACCAAGTTCGACACGTTGGCCTCTTAGCTTTATTTGAGAATCTTTGCGGCCCATTATACAGATGGTTCCATTAGGATTATATTTTGCAAGGTCTCCAGTTTTGTAAAGACGATGCTCCGCCAACTCGTCCGGTAATCCTGGAAGCCATGACTTTGGTCGGTTGATAAATGCCGCAGCGGTTTTCTCTCCATCATTCAAATATTCTCGAGCAACTATACGACCTTCGATCAACAACTCACCAATGCAGCCAATAGGAGAGAGTTTCGTAGAATCGGTCATCTCAGCAATCCAAAACTTTCCACCGATTGCATGGCCAACATTGGATGGATCGCAGTCAACAGAGGCCTTGGTGCCAGCACAATATATTGAAGTCTCTGCCGGTCCATAGCAAATAATGAGCTTTAGGTGTGCGGCCCAATTCTGCACATTCTCGCGAGTCGAGGCTTCTCCACCTAGCACCATGGTCTTAAGGCAGGGAATCTGAGAAGGATGCAGCAGCCGAGCGACAGTGGGAGTAAAGAACGCCCAATTAACATCCATTCTGCGCATAGCGCCGCTAAGGTCATTCAAGCGCTCATCGTCCGAAGGCACACAGACACATCCACCCCGGGTAATAGTAGTAAACATGTCCGCGTGGGAAACGTCGAAAGTATGAGCAGCAAATTGGAAGACACGAGTGCTAGGCCCAATCTCCCAAGCATCGCCGTGTGCTCGTGCGGACGTGCAAAACGATGCATGCTCAATGACAATCCCCTTGGGAGTTCCAGTACTTCCTGAAGTAAATAGAACAAATGCTGTGTTTTTAGGCTCGGCCTTGCTGAATAAGTCTCCCTTCATTTGGGGAAGACTGTCGAATAATGCGCGATCGACTGCAACGACTTCTTCTTCCAAGAAATCTTGCACAACCGGCTTGTTCTTGGTAGCAGCAACTATAATCCGGGCACCAGTCCGTTTGACCATCTCCTGCATACGCTTCTTAGGATGACTAGGGTCGAGGCCTACACACGCACCTCCCGCTTTGAGCACAGCTAAGTATGACACCACAGTCCAGGCTGACTTATTGAAACATAGGGGTACAATTACTTCTGGTCCCACCCCCAGGTTAATGAGGTGCTGCGCAAGTCTATCACTGAGGTCGTCGAGCTCGGCATAGGTGAAATTCTCGTCCCAGGCGCAGACGGCAGGCGCTTGGGGAGCCACCGATACTTGCTCGGCAAAGAGTCCATGGATGCATGCTTCTTCCACATGAAGCTCCTGGGAGTTCCATGTAGTCAACTGAGCTTGCTCGTAGGGGCTGAGAGTGATGAGGTCCTTAATGGATTTGTTGGCCGGGTTGAGTTTGAGTTGTAAAATGACGTGCTCAAATTGGTGTAAGATCGCTTTCATTTGGTCCGGTTGTACTGTATTGGCGTCGTAGTGTGCCTGGATCTCAATGGTGTCATCATCGTCCAAGTAACACTCTATTACCATGGGATACGTATGGAAGTGAGTTTGCGTAATATCCAATCCTTCTAGACCAATTAACTCCATGTCTTCATCGGATTCAAGGCTTCCTCTCGGTTGAATAACCAGCAAATTGCGGAAGTCACAAGCCGCGCTAGCAACCTGGCTTAGATTCTTGATCTGCTGGATGCCGGTATGCTCGAATGGAATCATGTCGATTGTTTGAGACTGGACAGCATCTAGGAATGATGAAACTGACTGTTCGCAATTAACTATAACCCTAGTCGGGACGGTAGTGATCATGGGCCCGATAGTATCTTGTTGAATCAAGGCGTTGCGCCCTGCAAGGGTCATACCGAAGACAACGTCATCAGCATCAGCATATCGAGCATTGATGATTGCCCACGAAGCGCGAATGATAGTGGACCTCGTAATATACGAGTCACCGCTTTCGACGGGAATTTGCATCTTGTGGCTAAGAAACTGTTCATTAGTTTCAAGACTGTTGCTGAAACAAGGTGCGATTGGGAAAACGCCTGGAGTAGCTCCATCTAGGTAGGTGTTCCAGTAAGAGTTGCGAGCTTCGATATCAACGTCTAGACAGTATTTGATAAAGTTGCTAAATGGAGATGACTTGGCAATTTGTTCTCCAGCGAATGCACGGTTAACCCTTCCAAGGATTTCGCCGACACTACCTCCATCATACAAGGCGTGGTGGATAGTCCAAACAAAATACCAACCACCACCTTCATTTCGAAGGACAGCGAGACGGACTAGCCGGCATCCGTAAGTAATAGGGATTGCTCGGTCAGCCTGAAGGTAATCATCAAGAGATGAATTTGGTGTCTGCCAGTCGATATCCTCGTCTAGTACAACCTGAACAAGTCCAGCATCCTCTGTGAATACCAGTCTAGTTCTGAGAATATCTACTACCTCAAAGACTCTTTCCCATGCATCACGAAATTTGGCCATATCAACGGATGTGGGTATCTGGAAGACGTTCTGAGCGAGATAGGCACCTGTTTGCTTCATTGACAAGGAGAACATGCCCTCTTGGAGCGATGTGCATGGGTAAGCGTCCTCCACGATCACCTCATCGCCGAGGTAAGTGTTAAGCTCATCTACAACGGCATCGAGCTTGCTTGCAGAAGGTAATAAGCTAAATGGTAAAGGGTCCTCACTAGAATATGGCCTGTCTTCAGCCTTGCAGGAATAGACTTGACTTGCCATCTCATTCAACCGGGGCCGACGAAAGATATCGGCAACCGTCAAGTTCAAGTTCTCCGCTCGTGCAGCTGCAGCAAGCCGCATGGCCTTAATGGAGTCACCACCAAGTCCCAAAAAGCTATCCTTGGCGCCTATACTTTCAAGTGGCATACCGAGAACATTGGACCACAGACGTTGAAGCTTTACCTCCATTTCTGTGAACGGATTGTGTTTATCGCCCTCGGAGGTAAGAGAATAGCTATTGCATTGATCGTTGTTGAGGCTTTGTGCAATATCCTGGAGCCTTGTATGATCCCGCTTGCCGGAAACCAACATTGGCATGGACTTAAGTGGAACATAAAGAGATGGAATCATGTATGGAGGGAGTGCAAATGCGATGTTACTTTCAGCTTCGATAAGCTTGCTCTTCAGCTCGATGGACATGGTGAGATCAAGGTTCTCGGTAGACTTATTGTCGTGTCCGGTGAAGAAAGCCACAAGCAGAGGATCCGTAGAGCGCTGTGGAAGTCTCACCATCTCCACAGCTACGTCGATAACACCAATTAACTTGCTGAGCTGAGATTTCAGATGGTGCTCAATTTCAGCTAACTCGATCCTCTGCCCGCGAAGCTTGATCTGGGCGTCGCGACGACCTATGAACTCGATCGAGCCGTCAGGATTGTATTTTGCCAAATCACCGGTCTTGTAGAACCGCCTGGTGCTTTCTGACTTTGAAATCCATTTTGGATTCTCGATGAAAGTTGCTTGAGTCCTACTAGGATCATTGAGATAACCACGAGCTAATATAGGACCTTCGATATAAATCTCTCCTATGCACCCGATAGGTGCAAGTTTTTGTTTCTCGGAATTAACAATCCACATCCAGGCACCAATACCAAATCCGAGATTAGCAGGTGAAGTAGTATCAGCCAGAGATGTGAGAGCAGTGGACCAAATAGTAGTCTCAGCTGAGCCGTAGATGTTGATGAGGTGGAGACAATCAGCCCACAATTCGATATTCTCCTTCTTAACCGGTTCACCACCGAGGCAAAGAGTCTCAAGGGTGGGCACCTTGGAAGGATGTTCTAACAAAATAGCAACAGTTGGTGTTAGGTAGGCCCAGTTAATATTCATATTCTTAACGACGCCAATAAGGTTGCTCATTCTCGTAGTTTCCGAGGGTACACAAACACAACCACCGTGGATTAATGTCGTAAAAATTTCTCCAATTGATACGGCAAAAGTATAGGGTGCGAACTGAAGCACCCTTGACTTGGAAGATATACGCATGGCATGGCCGTGTGCGCGGGCACTTGTACACAATGCACGGTGTTCGAGAGTGATCCCCTGGGGCATTCCAGTAGAACCTGAGGTAAAAACAACGAAACCGACGTTGCTAGGAGAGACAGATGTCCACATCGTGTTGCTAACCATAGCAGGGAGGGCATCGAGCGTCCGTTTCTCCACACAAAGCGTCATAGCAGCAATATCAGCAAACTTGTTGCGATACGCGGGCCCAACCAAGATGAGTACTGCCGAGGTCTGCTCGATGATATCCTGAAGTCGATCGAACGGGTGGGATGGATTTAAGGCCACGCAGGTACCGCCAGCCTTAAGCACCGCATACATGGCAATAATGGCCCAAGTCGACTTGTCGAAGCAAAATGGGACCATGCTCTGAGGGCCTACTCCAAAGTGCTGTACAAGATATTGTGCCAATTTTGCTGCAAGGTAATCCAGTTGTTGATAGGTTAAAGAGCCATCATGTCCGTCGACGGCAATCGCGCTAGGAGTCGCCATGACTTGTCTCTCAACCATCTCGTGTACTGTTGCGTTGACTATTTCTGGGTAGACACCATTCCATTCCTGGATCTGAGCCAGGTCCCGGGGGCTGAGCAAGTAAAGGTCTGCAGTGTTCAAGCTAGAGTCGGCCGTGATAGCGCTGATTTTATTAACAAGATTTCCAAACTGGTTCAACACGAACCCTAGGGCTTGAGTCGATATTATGCTCGCATTATACTCGACGTCTATTTCAGCTTGACCATCATCAAGAATATTACACTCGAGAACAAGTGGGTAGCTGTGGAAGCTTTGCTCGTTGCCCTTGACAATTTCTAAGCCGAGAACTTGAGCATCCGCTTGATCACCAGGCTGCACAACGAGAAGGGTTCGAAAGCCACAGGCATTCTGTGCCGATTCACCTAGGCGATGGATGTTTTGCAGTCCGGCGTGTTCGAAGGGAATCATATCAGCCGCTTGGTTCTGCATTAGTTCAAGCAACTTAGCGACGGGCTGATCGTCCTGAAGTTGGACTCGAAGTGGGACAGTTGTGATCATTGGTCCAATCAAATTCTCGATACCGTTGATGGGTGCGTTGCGGCCGGTGAGTGTCACTCCAAATACAGCCTCGTCGGAATCCGAATGACTAGCAACAACTATGGCCCAAGCAGCGCGCAAAATGGACGAGAGAGTTATTCCGAGTGACCTCGTTGCGTTTTGGGAGTATTGTATCTTGTGGGTGCATGACCTTGTATCAATTACATTGGGAAGGGTCACTGGTTTGATTTCCGGGAAGCTTGCCGGTCGTGTGCCTTCAAGCTGGGATTGCCAATATTTCTTAAGTTTCTCATCATTGGTGCTCAAGAGATACTTGCTGAAGACATTGAATGGAGAGTGCTGAATCACCTGGGTTCCATGGTACGCTTGGGAGACTTTCTCTAATATAGCTTGCAGCGAAACACCGTCGTATACTGCATGGTGAGCAGTCCAAACGAAGAATCGCTCAGGCTCGGCTTCAATGATCGCATAACGAGAAAGTGGGCTACCATATTGAATAGGTATTTCCTTATCGTTGTCGAGATATCCCTGAAGCGATGTGCCGTGTTGCCAGGTAACATCCCCACGAATAACGGCCTGGACAGCCCCAACTGACTCTGAGTACACAATGCGTGTCCTCAGGATATCGGTTGAAGAGATTACAACATTCCAAGCGTTCTTGAATTTAGTAACGTCTTCGCCGTCGGGAATGCGGAACACGTTCTGAGCAATATAAGCACCAGGTTGCTTGCCCGACAAAGCGAGCAGGCCTTCTTGAAGCGGCGTACAGGGATATGCATCCAGAATTGCGTCCTTATCAACTTGGCATTGCAGAGCAATATCGTCCAAGTGCGGCTCCATGGCAGCAGAGTCCTGGTGGTTGTGCCCAAGAAGTGTAAAGGGTGCGACGGATTCAGCTGAAGTAATAATGTCCGGACTAACTGAAGCAGTGACAGCCATATCCATCAGTCTTGGACATCGGAAGATATCGCCGACCTCGAGAACAATACCTTCAGTACGAGCAGCGGCGACCAGTCTCATGGCAACCACTGAATCACCTCCGAGACGGAAGAAGTTAGTTTCAGCACCAATAGCCTCAGGAGGAATGTCCATGCACTGAGCCCATATAGTCTGCAGTCTCTTTTCCATGTTAGTCCCGGGCGCACGTTTGTCTGCCGTAGCTGATCCATACTTCGCGAGTTGCTCGGAGGAAAGCGTGGATGCAATGTTCTTAAGAGCCTTGCGGTCAAGTTTGCCAGATACTGTCGTCGGCATGTGGCTGATAGGGACGTAGGTTGAGGGCACCATATAGGCTGGTAGTCGCATCGCCATCACACTCTCGACATAAGCCAAATTCTTCTGTATCAAATCCGGCATAGTTGTGAGGAACTGGCTTTCGCCACTTTGAGTCTCGATTTCAACATGTTTCATGGTGAAAAAAGCCATCAGATGAGCCGAGTTGCCTAAATTAACCATCTCGACGACGGCATCAACTGCTCCAAAAGCGAGTATCGCTGGTTTCAAATGATACTCAATCTCTCCAAGCTCGATACGCTGACCATGAAGCTTAACTTGCGTATCTTTGCGACCCATAAAATCCAGGGTTCCGTTGGAGTTATATCGTACCAGATCGCCAGAGCGATAGAAGCGACGGGTGAGACCTCCCTTGGCCCAAGCAGGATTTTCAACGAATGAGGTCTTTGTTCGCTCGGTATCATTGATATACTTGTCAGCGAGGAGAGGACCTTCGATGAGAAGCTCTCCCACAACACCAATCGGGCAAAGCTTGTTGTAGTCAGTCACACTTGTAACCCACATCAATGAACTTGGCCCTATTGAGGTGCCAATGGTAGCAGCAGGAGTATCACGAGACAATCCAGCTAGCGCAGTAGACCAGATAGTAGTCTCTGCGGGACCGTAGATATTAACAAGATGCACATGTTCAGCCCAAGTAATCACGTTCTCTTGTCTCAACGCCTCACCACCTAAGCAGAGCACGTTCAGATTAACTTGGCGAGGTTGGATCATGGTGGCGACTGTTGGGGTAAGATATGCCCAGTTGACTTGCAAATCATTCATTACCCGCACTAAGTCGTTTAAACGATCTTGGTCTGAAGGCACGCAGACGCATCCACCACGAGCCAGAGTTGTAAAGATTTCACCAATAGACACGTCGAATGTGTAAGCCGCAAATTGCAGTGCCCTCGTGTGGGCATCAATTCTCATTCCTGACCCATGGTCACGCGCGGAGCTGCTGAGAGCGGTGTGGGAAAGAACAATGCCTTTAGGCTTTCCTGTAGAACCCGAGGTAAAGACGACGAAGCCTGGATTGCTGGGCTGGACTCTATCGCTCCATTCTATGTTAGTATAACTTACATTAGGTAGCCGTACAAGAGACTCGGCTGATACTTCCACGATGTGTTTGACTGTGTCTTTGAATCTCCCTGTATGAGCTGGACTTGCAAGGATTGTTTGGCCAGATACATCCTGGATAAGACCTTTCAAACGCTCATCAGGGTGGGCGGGATTGAGTGCTACGCAGGCACCACCACTTTTCAATATGGCTAGCATGGCGATGATCGCGTAGGTTGATTTTTCGAAGCAGAAGGGAACATGAGACCCAGGGCCGACACCGGTGTGGAGGGCTAGGTGTTGAGCAAGTTTGGTGGCAACTATATCGAGCTCAGAATAAGTAAAGTCACCATCAAAACCATTGATAGCAGGAGCATTTGGCTGACGCGCTACTTGTGCTTCAAAGAAACGATGGAGACAAGAATTGACAGGGTCTAGTTGGGTGTTGTTCCAGAGGAGGATCTGGTTGAGGTGGGACTTGCTCAGCAGATCGACAGATTCGACACGAGAGTTGGCATTGTTAATAATGAGATGCAATGCTTGGCCGAAAGTCTCCACGATGTTGTTCGCTTGTGCATCTGAAAATGAGTTCGTCCAGTAGGCCAGGTTGACCAAGGTGCTAGCATCAGAAGAGAAGATATTGATAGTGATGTCGTATTCTGTGGGATCGTGCTCTGCAACCTTTGAGAACTTAAGACTAGCGTCAGACTCCATATCTCCGCTCTGCATCGCTTGGAAAGACACCAGAGTATTGAACAAATTTTGACCATGTAGCAGCCCCAGTGAATGCTGAATCTTCGCCAGGCTGCAATGTTGATGAGCCATGCTATTGGTAAGTTGATCTTGGGTAGTCTGCAAAAGCTCGCGGAGAGTCGCAGTAAGATTGAACTTTACACTGCAAATGAGCATGTTGATGAACGCACCGACGGAGCCATCAATGTCGGAAAGAGAACCTCCACGACCAGAACCCAAGAAACCGAACGCAACACGGTCAGATGCTGTATATTCTCGAAGCACGAGACTCCATGCTAGTAGAAAAATATTTGCAACTGTGATACCCTGAGCAGAGGCAAAAGCGCGCATCTCGGTGGTAATCTCGGGGCCAAGGCCAAGTGTGGCCATGTGGAGCTTGGCCTGATCCTCTTCCACCTTAACTCCATCATAGAGGAGGGGGAACATGCTTAGGTCCTGGCCAGCTAGATATCCGGTCCAGTAGCTAATCGAGTCCCCGTTGTCAACCTGCTCTTGAAGCCAGGAAATATGGTCTGCAAAAGGCGTTCCGACACGACTGTATTCAGAATCTTCATATGCGGCGCAAAGGTCAGCGACAACGACAGCCATGGATGCACCATCCACGATGGCATGGTTGATTTCAATTTTAACCAGAACAGGACCGCCAACGACCTCGGCAACGGTGAGGCGATGGGGAACATGGCCGTTGTCGAAGCTGATGAAAGGTTGTGCAGCAAGGAAAGACAGTGCCAATTCCTTCGTTCCATGCTTAGAGTGAGCCATGTCTGCGATAACATGCTTGAGAACCACCTGATCATAAGTCCGTTCTCCAGACACGCTACGGATGAACGTTGTCCGGAGTGAGGAGTGGCAATTCACAACCCTTTGCCAGGCAGCCATCAGTTTTTCGATATCGATTGAGTAGTTGGCATTTACAGTTCTGACTTCTTGGATCACATGGTATTGATAAAGTTTTTGAGATTTGGTTTGAGCAATGAGAAGACCCTGCTGCATCGAGGAAATAGGATAGACATCCTCTATCGCATCAATGTTATCAACGCCAGCACAGCGAAGCCGATCCTGGACCAAGATATCCAGATCTTCGTAGTTCCGAAGCTGCAGGAGTGGGAAGTCACTTAGAGTCGCTTGCCTCTCGAGGCCGACCAGCTGATCAGCGACGCTGCTGAGCGTGCTCTTCATAGTAGTGACCCACTCTTCGATTCGGTCTTGATGATCCATATACTTGCAATAGTCAAAAGTAAACTGTAATTCTCCTTTGATTACTTCAGCAGTTATCTCAAACAACGTCGTCCTGAGGAGATCCTTTCCGACATCTGAGACGTGGGTATTTTCGGGCCACTCCTCTTTCCTCAGAAGAGCATCAGAGCGCTCGAGTTGCTGATACAAGCCAAGGTAATCAAACATGACCTCCACAGGCGCGTGCCCAGCAAAGGTTTTCTTTCCTTGCTCGTTATAAAATCGCGAGGCGAAGTATGAGAATCCGTTTGCTTTGATGGCTCGGCGCACATCCTTGACGTGTTTGAGGACTTGCACAAAAGTGTGACTTTTGGCTACGGCAGCAGGGAACGGGTGCATCGTTGTAAACCAGCCGACTGTGCCAGATACATCGATTTCATCTGCCCATGGCTCACGGCCATGACCTTCACGGAATATAGTCACGGGAGGGCGATCCGGAAAGATATTTGTAAATGAGTATAGGAGTGCAGCAATGAACAGCTCTAGCGGCTCCGTGCGAAGGGCAGAGTGGACGTCTTGAAGAAGCCTTGATGTCGTTTGGCTATCAAGTTGGAAGATGGCCTGAGTAGTATTCTCTGTCGTGTTCATAGAGAGCGAGCTACTGCGGTCCATGCTCCAGTAAGTATACTCAGAAGGTGAAATAGTGAACGGGAAAGCGAGGTGCGGGGTGAGGTTTTGAACCGCGTGGTTTTGTTGCAGTTGTAGCCATGTTTGATATGGCAAAGGTGTCTCTGAAGTAATTTGCCCAGAAACAAGTAAATCTTCCAAATCTTTCAGAATGACCCGCCAAGAAACCCAGTCAACAATAAGGTGGTGTCCTACAAGGAAGAGAAGTTGTGAATCTTCGGAGACAAACAAGTCTGCTGTAAAGACCGGTCCATTCTCAATGTCGAGAAGAGTCTGGCGGAATGAAGCCATCGCTGCAATCTTCTTCATATCACTCTCCTTTACGGAGGCGAATTCGTAGGCGCCTGCAACTTCTTTGGGGACATATTGAGTCCATCTTCCATCGTCATCGCAGTTGAATCTAGCTCGGAGCATCGAATGCCGCGCCACAACCTGTTCAATTGCATCCGCAACCTGCTCGATGGGGATCCTCCTCTCCAAGCGAAGCAGAAAGCTTTGATTATAATGTGTATCACCATCCTCCAACCAGTTCTCTGCAGCTTCAAAAAACATGTTTTGAACTGGGCTGAGTCCAAAAGACTTGTCAAAAGTTTCCTCCGTGAATATCGAAAATTGTCCACTTTCTCGGGCCAGACCCACGAGATGGGCAATTGTTTTTGCAGTCAAAACATCTTTGATGGAAACAGCTACGCCCTCCAAGCGGCTTCTCGACACGACTTGCATAGCCGAAATAGAGTCACCGCCAAGGGTAAGGAAGCTGCGATGAGATTTTATTTTATCCGAAGGGAGGTTGAGGACGTGACTGAGCACTTTGACGAGTTTCTCCTGAATGGATCCACCACTTTGAGTCGTGCCCTCTGCCAAATCCACAGCATCCACGTCTTCCTCTTGGTCCATGGCCTCCAGGTACACGGCATCATCCATCCCTTGTACCCACCGGGAAACTGCAACACGGTTCAATTTTCCGGAGCTCATGAGTGGGATTCCCTCAACTAAAAGCCAACTCGTTGGGACCATGTAACCTGGAACCTTAGCAGCTAGCGTTTCCTTCATGTCTTTGATCAGCGCAGCAGTATTTAAATCTTTAAGCAGCGACAGTTGAGTCTCTGAGCTACTTGTACTCCGTTTGGTCGCTACTACCGCGATCAATCTTTTCCTGAAATTCCCTGACGGTGGTAATAGCGCAATTGCATGGCTGACTTCGGCGTGCCGTCCAAGCAAGTGCTCCACGGCACCGAGTTCTATGCGTTGCCCACGCACTTTGGCTTGGGTGCCAATGCGGCCGACAAAAGTAAGCGAGCCATCTGGGTTCGCACGAACTAGGTCACCGGTCCTATACATCCGCTTTGAAGAATCTAGGACAAAAGTAGGAGCGTCGATAAAGGCAGCTTTCGTTTTGGCTTCGTCTCCTAGGTAACCACGGGCAAGGAGGGGACCTTCGACTAGCAGTTCTCCAAGTGCTCCAATTGGGACCAGTACATTAGGGTCATCTGGTGTAACAACCCATACAACTCCGCCCATAGGTCGTCCGATATTGGCTGGGTCTGACGTTAGGCTGAGCTTTGGATTACATGTCGCGGCAATCGAACATTCAGAGGGTCCATAACCGTTTGCTAGCTGTAAATGGCCTGCCCATTGATCGATATCAACTCGCGAGAGAGCTTCGCCTCCCAAAACAAGGGTCTTCAAGGTAGGAACGTCGGAAGGACGGACCACCTTGGCTAGAGAAGGCGTAAGGAAGGTCCAGCTAGCTTTATATGCGTTGACTGCACCAGCAATGCCACCTTTGCTGCTATCGGCGAGGGACACCTCAGATGGCACGCAAATGCAAGCGCCGAGAACAAGTGCGGTCAAAGTTTCTAAGATCGATACATCGAACGTGTATGATGCGAGCTGAAGCACTCGCGATGCGCTAGTTATCATACCACCTTGCTTGGCTTGATGAAGAACACCGGCGAGAAATGAGTTGTGCGGTACCATTACACCCTTAGGGGTGCCGGTGCTACCTGACGTGAATATTATGTAAAGGATATTGTGTGGTTCCACTCCGTTGACGAGAGACGAAGAACCGGCAATTGGTAATGTCTCGATCGTCTCGTGGGAGACGGGAATGATATGATTGACTCTACCTTCCCACATGGCTTCATACTTTGGCGACACCAGTATGATTGAAGCTTTTGTTTGAGCAAGGATGCCTTCCAGTCTTTCCGCGGGGTGAGATGGGTCTAAGAAGGTCATTCCTCCACCTGCTTTCATGATTGCAAGCATTGAGACAATGGTCCAAGTAGATTTCTCGAAGCAAAGGGGAACGATAACCTCTGGCCCAACGCCAAGAGATACAAGGCAACTGGCAAGACGAGTAGCAATCTCGTCAAGCTGTTGGTAAGTAAATTGACCATCCCATCCATCTACTGCTGGGGCGGTAGGATTTTCGAGGGTACGTTTATAAATTAGGGCGTGGGCCGTAGTTTGGATAGGCCCCGGAACAGCCGCGTTGTTCTCGATCATCTGGCGTCTGCGATCGTCGCCGAGTAAGTCGAGTTGCTCGACATTTACAGTTTCGATGTCGGAAACATCTATGATCTGCTGGAGAGCCTGAGATAGGGTTTCAGCAACGCTGGCCGCATGCGCGGGGCTCAGGTGAGCAGTTTGAAAATTTAGGTGAATAGTTGTGAGAGTTGCAGCGATATCAATATTGACGTAGATGTGGGGTACGTTGGCGCCCTCCTCAATCACTCGCGCCGTTTCGATCGTAGAGACGACAGTGTCAAATAGGATATGATTGCGCTTCTTCTCATCTCCTTCATCTAGAGGGTAGTGCTCGGGTTGCACCCCTCTCAAAAGACCTCCGACTGTTGTTTCTCTATTTTCTAGGTCGGCATAGCAGAGAAGTACTCCGCTCTGATACTCTGTGGCGATGTAGCCAAAACATAGCTTGTCGGCTCCAGTATATAACTTCAAGACCAAGGTCCACGCAGCGCTGACAAGACGCGGCAAGGATATCTGGAGCTTCTCGCAAACCTCTCGAGCGCGCAAACTATTCAATGCGACGGGGATTCGTTCAGTTGTGGTGGTGGTAACAACGCCGTCGGTGAGTGTAGGAAAGCAACATGCCTCCAGGTCTCTTGCGGCGGACTTATCGGTGGGTGTCTGAAGATGTTCAAATGTTTCCCGCATATTCGGATAAACAGCTGTCGCGGCGGTCGCCATTGCAAATTACTCCTTTGGGTATTGGAAAATTATTCTATTTTGTACAATGCGAAATAGTTTTCGCGGTGGTAGTGATGAGGTTCAATGAGGCGTATGGAGTGTCTTGATGGCGTTCCAGGTAACGACGAGGATGAGTTGTGGTAAGTCAATCCGGGCAATGGAGTTTCTTGGGGAAACTACGGTAAGTCGGTATGGAGAGAATCCTTTGCCCTTCAGAGTGAGGCTTGTCCAGGGTGATGATTGGCTCCAAGGTAGCTGGTATCGACGAGGGGGCGGCTGTCGTAGATTTAATATAGGCAATAGAATATGTTGCTATTTGCAAATGGGCGTGTGTAAAGTCTCGATAGCTTCCAAAATCACTGGTATGGTTTCGGGGGAAACGGGGTATGGTACTATCGTTATGGTCGAACGTAAAGGTATCGGCCGGGAGTAGATGGTGATACAGTCGGTATAGGCAACGGAATCGCGCTTTTCGCAATGAAGTGTGTGTAATGCCGATAGCTTCGAAGGTGCAACCGTACAGCAAGGCGTCTCGACTCTCGAGCAAAAGTCAACGGCAGCGAACAACAAACAGGCATTTCACGTGGCCGTCGGGGGTATTCGTTTTCGGCTCCAATTGATGGTCCCGCCATACTGGATACTGGATCCGGTTCCTACAGATGTTGAAGCGAGGCTGTGCCGTGCTGAGAATAGCATTCGACATGGAGGTCTGCATTCGAGGTTGATGGAAGCGCGGTAAGTGATTGCGGCGTATGCCTGAGGTGAGAAAATGGCCTAAGAAAATAGCGGGGGGCAGGGGTGTGGCCGGATTGTGACAGGATGACATAATTAGCAAGCGGCGGGGGCAGGGGCAGTGCAAGGGCACGACTAGGATTAGCGGGTCGGCGGGATTAGCCGCCCCCACATCACAGCCTCGGGTCTGAGTAATACTTTCTTGCTCACGTCACGTCTCAACTCTCACATCATGACGGACCGAATATTGGATATTGTACGAATCCAGTCTACCCGCCGCATTCCACTTTAGGGGGCCATTTCTGCTTTGGGAATTGTCCTTGCCTCTTTCTTGGTCCCATCGCTAATTGGGCAAGGGGATATTGGATTGCGGCCGAGTGAGTATTCGTTTGCCTGTAAAAACGGCTTATGAGCTACAATGGCCATGGGGACAAGTGAGCACCGCTCTATTCTACACTTCTGCGTGGGTTTTGGGTTTCCGCTTCTGCGCACGTGTTCACTCTTTCTTGTCTCCCTTGCCATTCTTTTCTCGCTGTATACTTCTAAAGGTTGATGCTGCTGTGACGCGTGGCATTATCTTCTTCAGATCTCTTATCTCTTTCTATTCGTCGATCAATTCCCAAGTCGTAGCTCTTGCGTCACCGAGAGCCGGGTCTCCTAGTAGGTTCTTGGTACTGCATTGCCCTCTCAATGGTATTACCTGGGCTCGTTGACGTAGCAGCTATGCCAGCATCTTCAGACAGCTCAGGAGTTGCAGCAGTCTGGTGTTCTGATGGCTCTGTGGCATCTTGCTCGTCGGCAAGCTCCGTTGCTGCAGAAATATCTTCCATTTCTACAACCTCAACAGAGTCGTCAGGATCACGACAAGTCCTCATTTATCATGGTTCCCTCCGTCTCCCTATAACTATCAAGAGTACTGCTCGACATCTCTTGCTCCAACTGCGTGAGGACTTCCTCTTCGAATTCAGCAACTTGTCAGACGAAGAATCGGAAGAGAACGATACAGCTTCCGCAACGGCTATCTTACTACAACGCTTCATTCAATTCGTGTTAAAATGCAAATTTCCAGAAACGGATGGCGTTTCTACAGAGCACGGTTCACTCCTTGTTCTCGAAGCTCTTCTTCAAACTTTCGAAGATCAAGTTGGTCGGAATGATAACGTGCACACAACTGTCAATTCGTTGCCGGTCTCTCCAGAAATCAAAAGGCAGATTGTTTCTACTGTTGTTCGCGCTTCAAATCTTGTCGGACGAAGCCTCAACCACCAGAAGGAGACTGGCTCACCCAACACTGCCCTTTTTCAGGCAGTGCACGACCATAAAGCGCTTGTATATGCCATCTTTGGTGGACAGGGTACGGATAACTACTTCGATTCATTGAGTGAGCTTCATACGACTTATGAGCCATTAATAACGCCACTACTACTGCGAGCGAGCAGTCATTTACGCCAGCTTATTGCAGTCGAGGAAGCCTACCAATGCCACTTCCCCAAGACTCTCGATATCTTGCTCTGGTTGAGAAGCCCGGAGACACGCCCAGATGCCGTTTACCTAGCGGTAGCGCCAGTAAGCTTTCCTCTGATCGGCCTGCTTCAACTTGCCGCCTTCGAGGTAGTAGCGCGCCTTTTAGGCCTTTCCCCTTCCGGGATGTCTTCTATGCTTTCCGGAGCGACGGGACATTCGCAAGGAATTGTCACAGCTGCAGTCATTGCAGCATCGACGGACTGGTTTTCCTTCCACACAATGGCCATGAAGGCCCTTGGTCTACTTCTCTCCATCGGATGCCGTAGCCAAAGTGCCGTTGTTGCACCTGCTGCTCGTCACGCATTAATAAGCGATGCTTTACATCACAGCGAAGGAGCGCCAAGTGCTATGCTATCTGTTCGACATCTTCCGCTGCAAATTGTACAAAAGCTCGTGCAGGAAATTAACGCCCATCTCCCACCGAACGCAGCCATAGAGATAGCCTTACACAACGAACGCACCAACTTCGTGCTTGCCGGTCCACCAGCATCTCTCCACGGGCTCAATGTTCAACTTCGCATCATAAAGGCTATGTCAAGTCAGGGGCAGGCTCGTATTCCATTCGACAAGAGGAAACCGGCCGTCGCCAATCGCTTCCTCCCTATATCAGCGCCATTCCATAGTTCGCAGCTAGCTAGTGCTGTAGCTTTAGTACTTCGAGATGTGCAGGCGCAGAATGGATTGCATATCCTGGGATCTAATTTGCATATGCCAGTGTATTCAACAACTGCTGAAGGGATGAATCTCCGCTTATGTGGAACCGAAGACATTGTACCGAAAATGATTCGCATGATTATAGAGCAGCCTCTCCATTGGAGCGCCGCAACCAAGCTTCCCGGTGCCACACATATAATCGATTTTGGGCCTGGGCGAGCGGCTGCTGGAGCTGGCGGCCTTGTTCATGCAATGAAGGAAGGAAGTGGCGTACGAGTATTGAACGCTCTCGGAATCGACGGTAATGGGAGCTTTGGAGGCTTAGGAGAACTTCTTGCTCGCCCACAAAACCATAATCTTGTATATGGCCCAGATTGGAGCCGTGATCATGGGCCCAGCCTAGTGAGAACAGCGGCCAAAAGATGTCTTGTCAACACCAAGATGAGTCGTCTGCTTGGACTGCCACCTATTATGGTGGCGGGCATGACCCCAACGACGTGCAGCCCTGCGTTTGTTGCTGCTATCATTAACGCCGGCTTCCACGTCGAATTCGCGACAGGCGGATATCATGAGGCTGCTACGCTTGAGGCTGCCTTGCGCGAGGTTGCAGAGAACATTCCTTCTGGTCGTGGTATCTCCTGCAATCTCATCTACGCCAATCCAACCGCTTTACAATGGCAACTGACATTGCTTCGGACATTGAGTGCGGATGGGGCAGTGCCCATAGATGGACTGACGTTCGGTGCTGGGGTGCCTTCGGTTGACGTTGCAAGCGAGTATATAATGAGCTTTCGAGCACTCAAGCATATGAGTTTCAAGCCAGGTAGCCAAAATGCCATTCGTCAAGTTGTCGCAATCGCGAAAGCGAATCCCACATTCCCTATCATCCTGCAGTGGACCGGGGGCAGGGCAGGTGGACACCATTCTTTTGAAGATTTCCACGACCCTATCCTACACTCTTACGCCGAGCTCCGACGCCAGCGAAACATCATTCTGGTTGCTGGCAGTGGCTTCGGAGATGTAGACGGCTCCTTTCCATACTTGACAGGCGAGTGGACAACGCAATATAACCTGCCTGCGATGCCGTTTGATGGCATCCTACTCGGGAGTCGCGTCATGACAGCCAAGGAGGCAAAGACTAGCCATGGAGCCAAAGAAGCCATTGTACAAGCTGCCGGCGTTGAAGATGCTCAATGGACGGGAACTTATAAACAGCCGACAGGAGGTGTGCTTACAGTCATCTCTGAAATGGGCGAGCCCATTCATGTGCTGGCAACGAGAGGAATGCGTCTATGGGCTGAACTGGATACCACCATCTTTAGCATGACCGATAAGACGGACCGGATGAGGCGATTGCGCGAGAAGAAGGCATACATTATCGAAAGGTTGAACTCAGATTACCAGAAGGTGTGGTTCGGGCAAAGTCGAAGTGGTGATGCTGTTGTCGACCTCGAAGATATGACTTATGCGGAGGTAACCGAGCGCTTAATCCAACTCCTATTCATTCCCGATGAACAACGCTGGGTGCACCCTTCCCACAAACAATTAGTCTTTGATTTCATTCGCCATGCAGAGTCGCGTTTCATTAGCAGCCATAGTACGTCTAGTGTCAGTGTTTTAGAGTCGGTCGGCGACCTCGACGTGGCCCCAATCTCTTGCGCCAGACAGTTGTTTGCCCTTTATCCCCGAATGGCCGAGGACCTCATCGGCTATCAGGATGTGCAGCACTTCCTCTCCCTCTGCCGACGACGCGGACAAAAGCCAGTCCCATTTGTGCCGGCTCTTGACGATCACTTTGAGACATGGTTTAAGAAAGATTCCTTGTGGCAATCTGAGGATCTAGCCGCTGTTCCCGGCCGGGATGTTGGCAGGATCTGCATCTTGCAAGGCCCTGTCGCCACCAAGCACACTAAGGTCGTTGACGAACCTATCAAGGACATCCTTGATGGCTTACACAATGGCTTCGTTCACCGGCTGACCGAGGCACAATATGCCGGTAAAGAATTGGACGTGCCGTTTGTAGAGTGCTTTATGAATACTAGCCCAACCTCCAACGAGGCCTCCTTTTCTGTTTTGGAAACTAGGTTGCGTGCACTTGGTGGCATTGAGAACAACTGGAGGCAGGCTTTTTTCACTAGTGAGACAATCGTGCAAGACAGAAAGGTTGTGGAGAATCCTGTCCGGAGGCTATTTCAACAGGAACAATCGACCCTCATCCGAGTGGAAAATACAGCGGAGCCATGGAAAACCACAGTCTCCCTGAGCGAGATCAACTCCGATGGTGAGCCGATCAAAGTGGTCGAGGTGCGATTACAATCACGTCACGCAAACATTATCGAGCTTTCCTTTTTCGAACATAGAACAGTGACCAAGCAGCGAGCAGAGCTCTTGTTAAAGTACAGATATTCTCCCGAATTAAGCTACGCTCCAATCCATGAGCTCATGGAAGGTCGCGAAGAACGTATTCGCTCCTTCTACCGGCAGGTTTGGTTTGGCGACGATATGGATGACTCTGCAAAAGATAACGACTCATCGATTCGCAGTGATTTCCACAGTGGCCCTATTCATGTTACTGCTCAGGATATCAAACAACTCGCCACCACGCTGCAAAATTTGGATTCCATCTGCCCAGAGCCACTTAGGAACTGTCTAATTGCTCCGATGGATTTTGCGATCGTTGCAGCATGGAAACCGCTTTTGCAACCTCTCTTTACACCTGAGATCCAAGGCGATTTGCTAAATCTTGTTCATCTTTTGAATAACTATCGTATGGCACCAGATGCAGTACCAATTTCTGAAGGAGACATCGTTGAAACCACAGCGCGAGTCACAGCCGTAATAAATCAAGACTCAGGCAAAATGATCGAAGTGCGTGGCCGGATATTCCGGAGTGGTATGGCAGTCATGGATATCGAGAGCCGGTTCTTCTTCCGCGGCATATATACAGATTATGAGAACACGTTCCAGATCACGGATGAAGAGCCGATGCAGGTTCGACTTGAATCGGCAAGTGATCTAGCTGTCCTAAGAGCAAAACCATGGTTCTACATGAGTGAATCCTCGCTCCAACTGTTAAAGCCTCAGAGTACCCTTGTTTTCCATCTACAAACCGAGAGCCGGCCCGGTAGAGACAAAGGCTTGTTCAAATATATCAAGACCACTGGGCGGGTTGAAGCTAAGCTAGCATCGAAAAGGTTACATCGCCTGGGCTCGGTAGAGTACACTTCTACAGAATCCCATAATAATCCAGTACTCAGCTATCTTCAACGAAAAGGCAAAGCTAGATATACTCGAGTCATGTTTGAAACTCCACGTCCTCTTTTCGAGAACAGCAAAGATATGGTGATTGAGCTGCCGACTTCCAATGAGTCATATGCAATTGCTTCTAGGGATTACAATCCAATTCATGTATCGCGGCCCCTCGCCAATTACGCATCTTTACCAGGTACGATAACGCACGGCATGTATGCCAGCGGACGTGTGCGGGCAGTCATTGAGAAGCATTTGCATTCTTCCAGCGAAAATTTCTTCAAAGCCTTCCAATGCACTTTCGTCGGTATGATGCTGCCGGGAGATAAGCTCCAGCTCTCATTTTACCATATTGGCATGGTATCTGGCACTCGAATCATCAGGTTCGAGGCGACCAAGCTGGAATCTGGGGAGACTGTCTTACTAGGTGAAGCAGAGGTCGATCCACCAAAGACAGCCTATCTCTTTACCGGTCAGGGTAGTCAGAAAGTCGGCATGGGCATGGAGCTTTACGGGGTAAGTGAAGTAGCGAGAGAGGTCTGGGATTGCGCTGATAGGCACTTCTTGGACACTTATGGTGAGCAAACTCTGCACCTTATATACATGGTTCAATTCGTAACCCATCTCCTATAGGACTCCGAATTACCAATATTGTCAAAAACAACCCTAAACAACTCACCGTTCATTTTGGTGGGCGCCGGGGTCGCACAATTCGGCAAAACTATATGGACCTTGTGTTCATCAGTACCACATCAGGTGGTACTATACTACGACAACGATGCTTTCCTGATATCAATGAGGAGACCCTCTCCTACACTTTCTCATCGCCCACCGGCCTCCTATCTGCCACCCAATTTACTCAGCCGGCTCTAACGCTGATGGAGATTGCTACCTACAAGGACTTAGCAAGCCGTGGCTTAGTGTCACATAACAGCGCTTACGCGGGGCACTCCCTCGGTGAATACTCTTCACTATGCGCAGTTGCAGAACTCCTTCCAATAGAGGCCCTTATGTCCATTGTCTTCTATCGTGGCCTGACAATGCAGTTTGCTGTTGATCGTGATCAAGATGGAAGATCCGAGTTTGGAATGTGTGCTGTCAATCCAACCCGGTTATCGAAACGTAAGTCAAATCCTTCCATTGTCCTGTTACTGCAGCCATTGTGCAGTAAATACTACCCTACGACCCCCCCTTCGTTTGACAGCACTAAACTTAATCGTTGCAGCTTTCGATGGGCCCTGTCTGAAACTCCTCTCAACTGCCATTGCTTCCGCAACATCAACCCTGCTGGAAGTCGTCAATTTCAACATAGCCGGGCAGCAGTATGTGTGTGCTGGTCATGTAAGATAATGCCCCCCCCCCCCCCCCCCTCCCCCCAATGATGCTACTACTGTTACTGACCTAATTCCATAGCTGCTCGCCCTGGAGTGTCTAGGCGACGTCTTAGACCATATACACAAGGCAAGGCTCTCCTTGGAAGAACTAGTATCAGACAATGGGAGGTCCGATACTGCCGAATCCCCTCTGCACAGCCTGATTCATGCTATAGCCAACAAGGCTCCATCAACACAGAGAATCAAAGCCACAGGATTGAATCGGGGGATTGCCACCATTCCGTTAGTCGGCCTCGACGTGCCGTTCCACTCCTCCTACCTGAAATCCGGGGTATCTTCCTTCAGACGACACCTCTATGAGAAAATACCGCAAAGTGCCCTAGATCTAGATCGCATTCTGGGGAAGTACATTCCTAACTTGACTGCTGCGCCATTCGAGATATCCCGTGCATACTTTGAAACGGTGTTGCAGCTCACGGGATCGAAGGTTATCGGTGACATAATTCCAAGGGTGAGTCTACCACACCCAACCTGACGTAATTTAAATTTGCAAATCAGGTTTATAGATACTAACAGGTGCCGCAATAACAGTGGAATGAGTTCGAATCCTGGAACCCGGGGCAAGAGATGCCAGTAATGCCTACCTGTATCTACTAAAACTAGAATTTTCCTTGGTTCCGCTTAATATTTTAAGTCTAAATGGTTTTTTTTATTTTTAATATAGTTTACAACGTATATCCTTGATTCGATTCATTTAGTTGTAAAAGAAACTCTGTATACATTTTCCAATCTATTTACCGGACCTAAAAATTACATCACATTTTATTCTCTCACTGGAACTAATTTTGCGCCACGTAATTCGAACGCTCCTGCTACTTTGCGAAATTTGCTAGGCTAACGTCATTATAACGCCTGTTATTCGGATATTCCCTCCATTAGATTTGCTTCAGACCTAGAAAAAGAAGTTTTGGTTGGCCAATATTCTATCTCCGGGGGATAAGGAATGTGCAACCAGTTGAAGGATTCCAAGTATTATTACCCCACCCCAAAAGGTCTGTCGGCGACAAAGCCTCGATTTTGTACGTAAAACCTTTTGTCCCATTCCCACAATTTGGAATGGCGGAGATGTTTTGTTTCGCTGATACAAGGATAGGAATCCTGTAATTTCCAGGTGGTTAAGATCCCTCTTTTTTATACGTGTCTGCCCTACACTTGCTAATGACACAAATTCCATCCGCCACAAAGCCTATTTTTGTACATAGTACTTGTTGTCTAATTTGCACGCATGCCTATAGGAGGGATATTTTTGTTTGGTTGGTATACGAATAGATTTCTAGGGAGGCACCGACGTCATCACTGTCAAAAAAGTACATCAAGAATCCGATACTTTCCGTGTGGCCAAGGTTCTTCCTGTAGGAATTGTGCGTTTTCATCCACTTTTCCCCTTCTTATAAGTCGGGTTTGCAATTACCCAGAAATATTCCGTTTGATATTATATTATCTCACATTCAATGTTATATTCGGCTGATGCTTGGGTTAATTTTATTTTGCTTTTATCTTAGCTCGAGTCTTATATTTGTTTATTTAATATTAGGAATTGTAGTGCTATTCGGATCTCTAGTATTATTTTCACACTTTTATAGCTATTATTTATCGCCCTAGGTAACCTCGTATTGAGGACACACTTCTTGAACACCATGAATTTGATTACTGCCATTACGTTTTATCACATTTAAAGTAGCCGTTCGATCAATATCACAATTCTCTCTTTTATTCTAACACGTCATACTAGCAAAGGAAGGCTACGCCGCGTAGAACCCCTAGCGCAATACCACGAACACATCAACCAATTGGAGGCTCCCATTCAGTCCCGTAATGCGCTGGCCGCTCCACATCAAATAGATCGCCGGTAGATCAACGTTGCCAATTTTTGAATCGTTAAACTCTAATTTTCGAAGAAGCCTTATACCTTTACCGAATCCCAACCCATTTGCACGTCTCTGTGCATTTTACTGAGAAAACGTAGGAGAGAAGATTTAGATCTCTCATTGACTTGGAATATAGCAGTACATTGATACGGATACCCCCAGAATAAATCGCAGTTTTTATCTCGATTCGACCAAGGCACTTTTAAGGCTACTAAAGATACATGGATTACTGATAGCAATTCACCGGTAGATGTGTATAAATAACGTTCAGGGCGCTTAAGGGCATAAAAATAGATAGAGAGCCTAAACTCTTTATTGTTACAAAGAGGCTTGTATTCCGGCATTCAACCCGTGCCGTTCCTTAGTGACTAAAAAGTCTGACTCTGTAGTCGGGGTGGGGACACGTGGCATGCGGTCGGTAAGCTCCTCCAGTGCCAAGTTACACTATATATGCACGTAAGCCTCACCCTGGGTTCCTATGGTCCCATTATTTCCGACATCCAAATTTACCTACCAAGAGAAACGCCCGCCCCACCCTGGTGAAAATTCCTTCAGCCACGTTTTGTCAGGATGAGATGATGACTACTGGCAAGTACTGTATGGGGACCCCCATCAGGAGGCTCAAACCAGGGAATCAAACCAGAACCCTCGCGGAGATCAGCTGGCATGTACGTAGCAGCTCCTTGGCGGCAACTTTGAACACACACGGGGGTTTACCACCAAGAGAATCCCTGCAATGCCCCTGCATGTCCGCAGTTGCAGCTAAGGAGTTACCTCAGCTCAGCCTCAGAAACAAACCGGTGGATGTTTGGTTCTCGTCGGAACTCGGAAAATACCGTAGTGGTGCTGGGACCCACGCCTCGCGCATAAGGCATGTTAAAGCCCCGTTCCTGCGGCCGAACCTTGTCACTCCGTTCCGTCGCAACTGGCCAAGGCTACCTATTTTCCGTCCTTTACTCGACACCGAGAACTAGGACCTCGGTACTCGTATAAATACAGTAGATGTCTAACCTAGCTCTATCTAAAGCGAGCGACCCTGGCGAGCACATCTTTGGCAGGGAAATTAAAGGGGGTAGGCATATTAGGAGTGCGTCGTAGTATTTGTTCAGATACAACCTATGTTGCCCTCACCTAATTTTTCGTGCGAAAAGCATTACGACGATTAATCTAAAACTAAATCTCTTACCTTTTCAAGTTGGCCTACCCTGGTAAACATGAGATGTATAGAGGAAGGAAGCAATTTCATTACAAAAAGGGGTAAAAGAGACTGATCAGATGCACAGCGAGGCGGAGGCGAGTGTGAATATCGGTAATTACTAATAATAGTGGCTGCGGCGGGGACATGTTGTGATAGGGAACACGATACGAAGTAGGAGTAGCGCGGTTGGGGGCAGTTTTGGCATCGTGCGCTACATGCCTAATGTGTAGGGTTTGGGTGGTGGGAATGTACAACGCTACATGGTGGCTATACCATTCTCCTCGAAGCCCAATAATATCTGATTGGGACTCTGGCGCGACTCTTATCCATCTGCATCCAGTATTGACGTACAGCAGGGGCGTAAAGTGGCGGCTTACAGTATTCTCTACGCGCAGCCTTGGGAGGATCATATTTCTAGATGGTCCTACCTGCGTACCTTAGTAAGGTACCTTTAGGTCCTCGAGTAAGTCATTCTCGACAGAGAAGATATTCAATGCCGCTATGACGAGATATTCAGAGGACTGGAATCAGATCACAGATCTTGCACAGCGCAAGAAAGTGCAGAATAGAATCGCGCAGAGGACGTACCGTAAGTTTTGTGCGGCTTTCAGCCTTGCCCTTTTTCTTGGTGCTTTTGCTAATAGCTGCCTATAGGCAATAAACTAAAGAGAAGGATAGCGGAACTTGAGCAGTTGAATGAGGTTTTGAACAGCCAGACAAGTCCGCAGCAAGTGCCCGTTGAGGAGATATCTCCTTACCAGCGAGGACTGCCTTCATTTGTGCCGGGCACTTCAAGAGGGACCCGGTCTACATCGCGAGAAGGAGATATTGGTGATGTCGGAAATATCCACGCCGGATCGAAAAGAGGAAGCCACGACCAGAATCAATTCTCTGAAGCCCCACCGAGATTCCAAGATATTGGCACCTCTCAATCCTACACAACTCCATCACCTCAACCAAGACCACTCCTTTCTCCAAACCCGCAAATTGCTCCAGCAGGTCTCCTAGGGGCTTTTCCTCGATCAGCCATAGCCGCGGGAGATTTACTGACACCACCTCCAGTTTCACAATCTCTCCATTCCACAGATATTAATTGCATGATCCGAGAGCCCCAGTCAATAGAATCCAACATTGGGTCCTACAATTTGACGCTAGACAATGACAGCAACAACTTTTTCCAACTCCCTGACAACCAATCAACCAACCCAGTCACAACATCAATGGACCTTCTCAATCTTGATGCCGCCATATCTCCCCAACCAAACCACATGTCACAACCTTCGGACGGCCGCACCACCCTCCACCTCGCCGTCGAACACAACCGTCTGAATATCGTACAATTGCTCCTAGCTCGTAACGCAGATATCAGAGCACAAGATCGATGGGGCTACACTGCTCTCCACGTAGCCGCTATAAGAGGCCATGAGGAACTAACAAGATCGCTCCTCTCCTGTTACTCCTCCTCCTCTTCATTGTCCTACCACAGCGACAGCAGATCTCAGCACGCCGACTTTATCGATATGACTGACGCTACGGGGTATACGGCTCTTCACCATGCTGCGGAAAACGGACATTCTGGCGTCGTGGAGATCCTATTCCTAGCTGGTGCAAACCCTCGAGCACAGAATAATACCGGGGCAACATTGCTACATCTCGCCGCTGCCGGGGGTCATGGAGGCCATGAGGCGGTGGTAGCGTCCCTTTTTCTGGCGGCGGCCACGAGTTCGAACACAAGACGAAGTTCAAGAGATTTGCTCAAGCCAGGATCCAATGGACATCTGCCCAGTCCAAACAAAAACAATAATGATAGCAGCAACCGTAATCGTAGTAATAGCTGCAGTAGCAGCAGCAAACAAAACAGCAGAGCTCCCTCACCACACCTCAACCATACCCAAAGCTTCCATCAACACTTAAACGCATCAACAACATCAACCTCCAACCACGAGAATAACACCAGTGCACCCTGGAGTGTCTCGCTCCATCCCACAATCCTTCACGACCTTCCCCACATCGTCGACAACTCCGGCGCAACCCCACTGCATGCAGCCGCTCAGTCTGGTCTTTCACCTCGAATTATCAGCATCCTCCTCTCGGCCGGTGCAGCTCCCGACGTCCCTGACGCAAGCACAGGCTTCTCACCACTCCACTATGCCGCTCAGAAGGGCCACGAGAGTATTGTCCGGATCCTGGTGGACAGCGGAGCAAACGCCGGGTTGAAGGCTAGGTGTGGTTGGAATGCACTTCATCTTGCTGTTCAGGGGGGTCATGATGCCGTTGTAGCGATGTTACTTGAGAGAGGGGCGGAGGTGAATGGGAGGGCAGAGGAGTAGGGGTGCGAATTTGGAATTCCACAGTACGATTCGTCTTCCACGTAAGACGATAGTAATTATGCGGCAATGGTAGCGGGGGTATTTTGAAATTTGAATGCGTCAGCAAAGGATACCAGGGTGGGCGACACATGGTGACATGGTTTTGGTCCTGTCGAAAAGGCATTGGTTGGAGTTATTTAAAGGGGTGTTTTCTTTCAGGATTTTATGGAAGCATGGCTACGGTACGGAGCATTGGGATGATACTGGTGGGATACTAGTACAGACCGGATTTGGGACATGGCATATTTGATCAATAACATCCCGTCGGCGTCCTGACCTACCTTCCTTATAAGTCTTCCCTGGTTGTTGGTCCCTGTTTGTTCCTATATCAACCTCAGGCCTCTCGCCTATACAATATAAAGAATACAAAAGGTAGATTAGACGAGTAAATACGGGGTATAGTAGAAGGAATTCGAACAGTTTTGTATCGACGTTCCGCCCCTTTTAGCACAGTGTAACCAGGGGTTCGCTTAGGGCATGTGCGTTCAGGGGTTCCAGTTGTTTTAGAGCAGGGCACGTGCACGAGCTCGCTTCTCGTACCAAGAGAGATCGTGACTAAAGTGACGACTTACTAATATTAGATTAGTTAGTGTATCTCCGCAACTACAGCTTCCATCTCTATAAGAATCGCACCCAGATGAAGATGCATATGACGGTATCATTCGGTGTTGTTATTTCCGCAGCGGGAATAATTAGTCGCCGCATTATAGCGAGAAGGAAGCGCCGGGTCGTGTTGTGTGGGGAACGAGCCCCGCAACTCGCAACTCTCACCATGTAGGCGCGGGGTGGCTGGTACGGTACGGTACAGTAAGAAGCCTGATATCCACAGTACAGTCAGACTGTAACCACACCGCTAGGTACGTACCTCCCTAGGCACACTACTTACTTCGTACATGCACACCTCCCCCGCTGCCCAAACGCCCCCCAGAATCCAGATGTATTTCGTAGGATTCAACGCTGGGACTCTGGGGCAAGGAGCTGAATGTAATCATGTAGGAGATGCATTCACCACATGGCCTCACCCTGATCCCGCAACATTAGTTACATCACCCTGCGGCGCAGGTAGGATTCTCACTCATCGTCGGCCGCCCACTCGGAAACCGGCAAGGCTGACGCGTACCCAAGACTCGGAAAGGCTGACGACGACCTAATAACTGATGCGCAGCTATTCTTTGTGCTCGTAGGCGCCACCACCTGCCCCCAACCGACGGGACTCAGGAGATGGGGAAATGACCTTGTATCATAGGCAGCAGATTGTGGAGAGGAGAGGACTACGCAAGCAAAACAGTTACCATGCTTGGCCGAAACACCATTCATACACACCCACAAAGCTACGTAGCTACACAAGATGACGAAAGTTACTTACCCCTCTGAAGAGCCCCTCTTCGATACAAACCCAAGCGTGAGCAACCATCATAGTGATAATACTCACAACAAGAACTCGATGTACAACTCCAACTCCAACCCCAACGGTATCGGGCTTCATGACCCCGATTTCGACGCTCAGGCGATCCGCGATGGCGATGGCCGCATTACCATTAGCCTCGATACCACGGGCTCCCGGCTCGGTGACATTACCTCGCGCTTCCAAGAAAAGCCTGAGCCTGAGCCTGAGACAGATAGCGAAGAGCCACCCACATATCACCCTTATACAGTCGCCACGGAGCTAGGACCAGCACCATACATGAATATTGTGATTCAAGTTGTCGGAAGCCGTGGTGACGTTCAGCCGTTTCTCGCCCTCGCGCGAGTCTTGAAACAGGTTCATGGCCATCACGTGCGGTTAGCTACTCACCCGAAGTTCGAGTCTTTGGTCGAAAATGCTGGAATTGAATTCTTCAGCATTGGAGGTGATCCCGCCGAGCTGATGGATTATATGGTGAACAATGCAGGACTCATGCCTGGTGTCGAGGCGCTGTTCAGCGGTGATATCGCACGCAAACAGAGGTTCATGGGCGAGATTGCAGAGGGTTGTTGGAGAAGTTGCATCGAGCCAGATGCGAAGACGGGCAAGCCTTTCATCGCGGATGCTATCATTGCAAACCCACCCAGTTTTGCACATGTCCATTGTGCAGAGAAGCTCGCAGTGCCATTGCATTTGATGTTCACGTATGTTCTAATCCAGTATTTTCTGTCTTTGTGGAGAGAAGATGATCGCTAACATGTACACTTAGAATGCCTTGGACTCCATCTCTCTCCTTCCCACATCCGCTGGCAAATATCCAGCCCACAACGGCCTCCCCCCAAACCAGCAATCTCATATCCTTCCACCTTGTTGAGATGCTCATCTGGCAGGGTCTTGGTGATATTATCAACGTCTTCCGCGTCCAAACCTTGGGCTTGGAGCCCCTGTCCTCGCTTTTTGCTCCAGGACTTACATGGCGGCTCAAGATCCCCTTCACATATGCTTGGAGTCCCGCGCTGCTCGCACGACCAAAGGAATGGGGTAATCATGTTAACATCAGTGGGTACTTTAACGATCCTACACAAACAGCCCACGACCCATCCCCTGAGCTGGCAAAATTCTTGGAGAGCGGCAATCCCCCAATCTATATCGGCTTCGGCAGCATCAAGTTCGACAATAGCGCTGCAATCACCCAAATAATTCTCGCCGCAGTTGAGCGTAGTGGTGTCCGCGCAATCATTTCCCGAGGTTGGGCGAAGCTAGGCTCACATATCCTTCCTGACGAGGTCCCCGAAACGGTGCTTTTTGTTGATGATACACCACATCCGTGGCTTTTCCCGCGGTGCAGCGCTGTTGTTCACCATGGCGGCGCAGGCACCACCACAACAGGGCTGTCAGCGGGGCGTCCAACGGTTGTAGTACCATTCTTTGGTGATCAGTGGTTCTGGGGTGATATGGTTGCGAGACGAGGCGCTGGCCCGAAACCAATTCCTTTCAAGCATGTCACGGTGGACAGCCTAAGTGAAGCGATCAACTTTGCACTGCGACCTGAGTGTAGCGAAGCCGCCCGAGAAATCGCAAACGCCATGCATCGTGAGAATGGATGTGAAGCAGGTGCTGGATTCTTCCATGCAGCTTTGCAGAGTCGTGATAATCGCTGCGCTGTGTGTCCGGAGCGCATCGCTTGCTGGAAGATACGCAAATCCCCATCCTCCCGTAGAAAGCCGTTGAGGTCGAAAGCCAGCTCGCAAAACGATGATAACAGCGAGATTAAGCTCAGCGCTCTCACCGCAGCCGTCTTGATACGCGAAAATAAAATTGATGTTCAGGATCTCGAACTTCTCCGGGCAATTGAGTACGACAACTCCACGGCCAACGCCCCCTGGGACCCCGTCTCCAGTCTTCTGGCTAATACCACGACCACGGTATCTGATATTCTCAAGGGCGTTGCTGCGGGGCCTAGAGAAGCATACAAACAAGTCAATGCCTCCAAAGAGCGCGCAAAAGCGCAACGAAGCAACGCTGGCGGTGACAGTAGTATGCAGACCTCGTGGGATGAACGAACTCTTGGCACTGAAACAAGCAGCCAAAACGGTGATGAGAAGTCCGAAAAAGGCTCGATTTCCGCAGGAATCACAAATCCATCTGTCTCCGATCATGCAACACCAAGAACTTCATCCTCGTCTATGAACGCTGCTGGTGCCGTAGCTTTAGAGTCTACCAAAGGAGTCGGTCGTATCATGTCTGCCGGTCTCAAAACCCCTGTAACCTTTACAAACGGTCTCGCTCGTGGCTTCCACAATGTCCCCAACCTCTATAACGATGACACCGTTCGCCCCGAAGCCAAAATCGACGGTGTGAAGAGTGGCTTAGTTGCAGCTGGGAAAGGATTCGGCCACGGCCTCTATGACGGGCTGACAGGCCTTGTGACACAGCCCTACAACGGCGCTAAGAAAGATGGAGCGGTAGGCTTCCTCAAAGGCGTTGGTAAGGGTCTTGGAGGCGTTGTGTTCAAGCCTAGTGCCGGCGCCTGTGGTGTCCCTGGGTATGCCTTTATGGGGGTGTATAAGTCGCTTATGAAGCTTCGAAAAGGGGACGAGATTACTCTGGATGAATATCTTGCTGCGTCGAGGATTGCACAAGGAGAGGAAGAGGTAGCCGCACTGGGCAGCAAGGACTGGGAGGATATTGTGGGGCGGTGGGGTGTGGAAGTTGCGACCGGGCGAGCAAGCGGACTGAGTGGACCGAGTGAGGAGAAACTGAAACCGCAAGGGACGGGAATGAGCAACCGGTCGTTTAGGAGTGAGAAGTCGAAGGAGAGTATGAACGATGAGAAGGGATCTAAGACCGGTGATAGAAAAGAATGGGAGGAGTATGAGTATTTTGATAATGCTACCGCTGTGGCACCCTCGACTCCTGCACCGACGAGGAACATCACTGGGGCAAGTGGTGATAGTATGTTAACCGAACAGCAGACTGGAGTCATTGAGCAAGCAAGGCAGGAATTGCCAGTGAAGCAAGTGTCCAAAGATGTATAAGGGATTTCGTTGTTAGGTACTAGTTAGGTCTTTTTGGGTCGGTATTTTTGGGTCGGTACTCGGTAGCACATTTGCAACAATTGTTTTATCTAACGTTACACTAATGGTGTTATGTAAATGTGATGTGAGAACCATCTCGTGTAGGACGGCCCTGTTTTCTTCATGTATACCTACTCGCTGCCTGATACGTTCTAGCTTTCTTCTATTAAAACGTATTTCGTGGTGGTGTTAAGCTTTTGGGCGGGCGCATGGTTCGGAAGTAACTTACTTAGCCTAAGAGTAATGGGATAAACCTAAAGCACGGGCCAGGCGCACCCCCTTTAATCGTAGCTTAGCGAAGTCCGATCTTGGCGAGGGGGTCCCCCCCCCCCCCCCTTTTTCTGTCCACTGCGAGCCTTTCCACTGTGATAAGGAGACTGGAGACGAATAAAACTGGGAATAGGCAATAAAACTGGGAATAGGCGATAAAGCTATTAAGTTTAATACTAATACTTTCTCCTCTTGAAATATATTTGAAACTAGGCTTTTCCCCATTTGTAAAGTACGAAGACCAAGAACGTGAGAGAAGAGATACGGTATTTGCTTAACATCATCAAAGGATCAAAAGAACACATCTCTCACTTGAGGCGAGCCTATATTTCAACAATTTCCTCCTCGCGAATGACAAACATTCTCTCCTTCGTCTCGTCAACCGCCGCATCAAGCTCCATTTGCTCAGCCTTCACCTCCCTCCTCGAAAACTTCAACATAGGTCCCTCCTTCTCACTCGTAATCCCCCCATGATACAACTGAAACTCCTCGGGATTTCTCCTCCCCAACGGCGCACCAACCTCCTTCCCCCTCCCCGTCTCCCCCTCCTTCCCATCTACCAGCGCCAAATCAAGCGTCCACAACACCGTCGCAAACGTAAGCATCAACTCCACAATGGCCAAGGACTTCCCAATACAAGCCCTCTGTCCAATAGAGAACGGATTCATTGCCGCATTAGCAAGCGCCAGTTGTTCCGCCGTCGTCGCCCCAGATTTCAGCACCCAGCGCTCCGGCTCGAACTTATGGGGACGAGGGTAATACTCTGCATTATGATGGATGCTATAGATCGATGTTCCCACATCCATACCCGCCGGGAAGAAATGCCCATCGACCGTTACGCCTCCTGGCCCAGCTTCACGAAACAGGGATGCGCCAATAGGAGGTGTAATACGCATGGCTTCTTCAATACAAGCTCGCACGTAAACACAAGAGTTCAACTTGGCACCGATCTTGATTTCGTCCCTGGAAGTAAACATCGAGCGGACTTCGTCAACAGCAGCTTGATAGCAAGTGCGGTTATGAGCCAGGTAGAAGAAAACACTTGACATAGCCGTCGACGTCGTATCGCTCCCGGCAATAACCAACGTCGTACTCTCGGCACCCAGCTGCTCTGGGCCCAATGCGTCCTTGCCCGCCCTCCGATTCTCGCTGGAGAGAGCGGAAAATACATCGGGTCGTTTGGGAGAGGTGACTTGTAGGCGTTCATGCAGGAGTTTACCGATAAAGTAGAGGAATGCGTTACGAGCTTTGATGCAGGCGGGGAAGAGCTTTTTGTCGAGGCGGCCGCGGACGAGGCCGGGAAGGTAGAGGAGTACCGTGGTACGGATGTTGGAGCCGGCAATGGCATCGGGAAGAAAGCGGTATTTTGGGACACCGAGGAGGTTGTATTGTTTGCCGAAGACGACGTCGGACATTATGTCGAAGGCGAGGTAGTTGCCTGTTGTCAAATCTGGGTTGGTATGTACATCTCTCTCAAATTATGGTCATGGGCTTTTCTTACACAGTTTTGCCATATTTCGTGATATGCTCCATGTCTGGTCTTTCTTGTACTCGGCCTCCTCGCCTTCATTCGGTGCTATAACATCAACAAGGTGGTTGATATGGTTTAATATAACCGGTTCGTATCTGCGGATTGCAGAGTCAGAGAGACCTTCGCCGATGAGTCTGCGACGATCAGAATGCTCTTTCTTGTTGCGGATAGTGAGCACCGAGGGGACGCGGTGGACCATAGCATTGTAGCCTTGGGACTTGGTTACGTTTTTGTTGATTCCATAGATATCTGTACACCGTTAGTTTAATTTCCACCAAGGTTTTCAGAGGTGGGTTTATGATAAGGAGTTCTCACCTCTTAGTCCGTTTGCTGTGTTAATAAGCATACGATCTGGTCCGTAGCGTACAAAGTTACCTGTGACACAAATTCAGTGAGTTGCTTGCTTTGTTTGGACAAATGCATTTCAACAGTCCGTTTCTTACCATATTTCTGATGGCATCTCCACATATCAAGATGGATATCCTGCTTGAATGCATGATAAGCAGCGTATGCATGCGTGAACTTTGCCAAAAATGGTCCGGGATATTTGGCTAGTGGGTGGAGGTAAAGCATGTAAACCACATAGGCAATCAACTGCACAGAGCAGTTTCGTTAGCTGCGGCATTTCTTGGGTAATTGAGAGATACTATATCCGTTGGAGGGTGATTGATACTAATTTGAGGGAAAGAACAGTAACGGGTGTTCGGAGAAATACTCAACTTACAGCAAGACCACAGGCACCAAACAGCAGCAAGGCAGCTGGCCCAGCAAGACCAATGATAAACGACATGGCTATTAACGGTTGAATGCAAATGAGGTGGAAGAAATTGGAACGGCTTATGATTGGCCAGATACAGCTGTTACAAGTAAATGCAAAAGAAACCAAGGGGACAATGACGACGACTTGTCACAACGGTTGAAAGGAAAATAAGGGGGAGGACTGGATATTTCGTAGAGACTGCAATAGTACCTGCGTATGTTTGAAGTACAAAAGTCACGGCGGCGTTGCTAAGTACCAATGTACCGTTTTGGGGATGGAGTAAGGTGGAAGGATTCTGATGGGCTGACAGAAGGCGCCATACTGATACTGCTGGAGCCACTTTGCTCTATCGTGGAACGTTGTAACGCCGCTCGTAAAAAATAATAAAAAGCGATTGGCCTAGTTGTGGTTTTTAGAATGAATAGTGGAAATAATTACATTCTGTGACTACTCCAGTAAGAATCATTTTTTAGATCTTAGCGAGTTCAATTGTGGCTGGCGTTGTGAATCCTTCGAGGGTCTGAACAAACTGATTCGGTGGCGCTCTGCGGTATTACTCAGGTTTGGGATGTGTCAGAATCTCGGTTTCTTAGGGATTATTTCCCGAGAAGACCATCTGAAACAAAGCCACGAAATTGCAATCGTTCCTAATCTTGCTGAGAATCATACTTCGGTGGGTGTGGATAGTGGAAGTGTATTTTTAGTAACCTGATATGTATGAAGAGTCCAAATATCCTAGTACTCCATAGCCTAGTGGTTTGCATCACTGAAGTAGGAAATGACGATTGATCTATTATTATGTCTATGATAAATTCCCATGCTAGTGGCGTAAAATCCTAAAAGCTGGGTCGCGCTTGACCTGCTGTTCCGTGGCAGAACAAGATCGAATTACCTCAGGAGTCAGCACTGCGTACTTTGCCTTCATTTCTGCTTAGTACAGGTGATTATTCAGAAAATTTCTTTGGCTTCTAAATTTATATGGCTTGCGATTAAATTTTTTACTGAACATAGAGCTTCTCAACTCTCCCTACCAATATAATGGGTTTATCCAGTGAGACCTTATCCAACCTCTTCTCATCACCTACAGCTATTATCGCTGGATTAATCGGTCTCTTTTGTCTCCTAAACCTCAAATCTCTGCCCTTTTTCTGGCACGTATGTCTCTCTCTCTCTTCTACATCTACATCCCCAAGCTCTCTAAAACGAAGGGGACGAAAAAGAGCAAGAAAAAGAAATCTGGACTCACATACATAATCCTCCCAGCTCCGCATCATCTCAGCCTTCACCCAACACCGCTCTACCTCCTTCAACCATAACCCGTCCGACACCCTCAACCTCTCCAAGCACCTCCACACTCCGCTCCTATTCCGGCCCCTCATCACTACCACCCGATGCAGCATCCTCGAAATCGACTACGTCCTTCACAAATCAAACAGCACCTACCTCACCGACCTTGACATTAGTCGCGTACATCTCCTCCTCGCTCTCTTCAAGAACGGCATTGCAAACCTCCAGAAAAATGAATATGCTGCTGGTAAGAAGAAAACCGTGATGCCGGTTCTAGGAGGTGTGAGTGTGAGTTTCAGACGGGCCATCCCACCGTTGCAAAAGTATGATGTTGTGACGCGAGTGCTGTGTTGGGATGAGAAGTGGATTTATGTTGTTAGTTGGTTTGTTAAGGCTGGATATATGGGGGGTACGAAGAAGAAGAAAGAGAAGGAGAGTTATGGGTCGAGCAATGGTGGCTCGGCGAATATTGCAGGAAAGCAAGAAAACACCGAGTCATCAAGACCTATATTTCCTAAGAACGTGTATGCGACGTCCCTTGCTAAGTATGTTATTAAGGCTGGCAGTGTGACGGTGAAGCCTGAGAGCTTGATAGTGGCTGGTGGTTTGCTGCCGGTGGGTGGTAGTAACGAGGCCAAGGGGGCCAGGGCCATTATTGAGAAGGAGAGGCTGCGGGCGTTGAAGTATGGAACTGCTTTTAGTCAATTGGATGGACTGCATGGCGAGCTTGATGTAGATGTGGATACATTGGGCTTCTTTAGGGATTTAGTATAGATGCGAAATTTCTAGAAATTGTGTTAGAGAATAGATTATTAGAAAAATCCGAATTATGTTGTAGACTTGCCTCGATTTCCCTCCCTTATGCTGGGATATAATCCTAGATTCCCGAGTAAAGCGAATGCAATTCATTATTCGCCAAGTGCCTTGTAAATTGAAGATTGACTAAAGATATATCTACTCTGTTATGGCCCTGTTCATCTACCAGATGCAAACTGTCTTCATGTTCTACACTAATAGTCCAATGTTCACAGAAGCTGCTATCTTGCCTCAACCATCAATTCCCAATAGTTCCCCGACCTCTCAAGTAGCACCCTACGATAAAGTACCCTCGACTTATTTCATGGTTTCTCTCGCCGCAGCTAGCTTTCCTACTAACATCACTCCAACTAATATAGTTCATTGTTTCCCCCCATCATCTACAATCCGCAGTCAGCACACCCTTACTCAGGCCTCTAAACACGCTGGGCCAATTCGAATGATTCCGACTCACTGAGGCCACCAGCAGCGGCCCCGGCTTTGCGCTGCTCTTTCTCTAGCTTCTTCTGCGCTTTGATGGCTTTCTTCTCCTTGCGTGAGGGGAACCGAGAATCTGGACCCTGGAAAACCTTTCCAGGATGATAAACGTGGAAGGCAACGATTGCAAGGAACATGGGAAGCGTATCGAAGCAGTACTGCCAGGCCTCGTGCTGGGCAATCTGACGAGTGATTTTCGAGCCGAATCCAGAGGAGAATTCAATGATTCGGTAGATGATACGGAACTACAGAGATGATTAGCTTTCGAATTAAGGAGAATAGCGCATGACTAACAGATATCAAACCAAGAACCAAGTAGATGAGGTGGGTCAGCTTTTTAGCCTTGCTCGTATCAGCCTTGGTGCTTTCACCCGCCTTGATTTTGCGCATGAACATGACAGTCAAGACAGTGAAGCCGAGGATGAACAACTCTTGTGCACTAATACCACCTGTATAGATGTGTAAACCACGCTTCTGGACATCAAAATTGATGTTGATCGCATCCAGCGCACCGATGAGTTGAATGATGAAAGCTGTGATATCAAGCAATACGAAAATGGATGCCAGCCAAGATCCCTTGACGCCCATAATAGAGTGATTAGGCATATACATGTGAACCAGTCTCGCTACCACCATGTAGCAAAAGGCATTGGTCCACAAGGGGGCGAGAAGAACAAGACAGTATGTAACATTGTTGATGGCCACATCAGTTGGCAACATGATAGAGACGCAACGGATGATAAAGGCGAGAGTCTGCCAAATGGAGCTCATAATCAGAACCCAGGTAAAGGGCTTCTTGTAGTGAGCTGCTTGCCATATATGAGCAATCGTTGTGAAACCAAAGAGAATGGCAAAGAGAATCGACGCGCCCATCGAAGGACAGTAGGTGAATTGGTTGCCCACAGCACCCACAGCTGTTTAATTGTATCAGTGGGAATGGAATAGAAACGGTCCAGTCCAGGCGATACGTACGCAAACATTTGTACCACATCTTCGCTCTTCAATCTTTGATTTGTCCAAAGTTCCGCGTAGTGTAGTGGTTTTGTGTCAGATGGAAGTGGAGTACTAGGGGAGGGGATCAGAGCTTTAGCGAGTTCACCTATAACCTGACGAGGAAACGGGATTAAGTAAGTATGAGAGAGGCCCCCATACTTTTTGATTTATATTTTATGGTTTCTGGGGATGGCAGGAACGAAGCAAAGCCAAGAGCACAAAGGGGTTTTGCCAAGTGATATCGTACTACCTCCCAGCGCCCGGACGCGTGGCTGGCCAGGCTACTGTAACAAGTTACTAACAACCACCAACAGCCACCAAGCCTCGTTTGGTTGGAAGCGTTGGTTGGAAGAGCCCGGGCGGCTTCGACAACTGTATCATAGTCTGTATGTCGTCGCGTCTACTTTACAGCTTGCGCGGCAGTGCAGCTGTTGGCCAAGCCAATACATTCCTTCCGCATGCACTCACTTGGACCCTGAGCATCGCTTGGCGATTTTCTGATTTTCTGATTTTGTCACCCGGGAATACCCCTGTCCCAGAATCCCTGCTCCCGCGTTTGTCCCTTATTTCTTGCCCCACACCCCGCAATTTCGAGCCGCACCCCGAATTTGTTTACGACACCCCAGCCCAGCCATTCCCGTGGCTTACCTAAGGGTCACTTTCTCACTTTCCAGCTTCACACCGTCTGTTTTCCTGCAGATCCGCTGTCCTTGGTTGTCACCAGTAGTTGTCTGCCACTGCCACCGCCACCGCCCCCAACAACACCCAAAAATAAACGTACACCTTAGGCAAGCTGGCCTAGAAGGTATGCCGTAAGCGTAGGTCGTCCACTTCCATTTACTGATAGCCCTTCTTCGTCTCCTTCCCCGTCAACTTGCTGTCCGTCTTCTTGTAGTCTTGTTGCACTTTCCTTATGTGTTGCATTGTCCTTAGCACTAAACACATCGCAAGCCATGGCAACCCAGGACTCTTTATGTCCTGCGTCCTTGGACAATGCTTTTGGGCCTCGGGTAAACACCTGCCGCAGAGCTTTTGATTTTACTCAATTGTTTGAAGAGTCTCTCATGAGCATTGTCCCTTCTATACTCTTTATAGTCGTCGCATCGCTCAGGCTATTAGCACTTCATCATGCTAGGAGGAAAGCATCGCCAGGCGGCACGTTTCAAATCGCAAAACTGGTCAGTCGATTTCATACCTTTGCCTTTCACTTCGTGTATTTTTATGTTAACCGTTTTGGACCCGGTAGGTTGCCGTTTTATGCTTCGTTGGAGTACAGATAACGCTACTGGTTCAATGGGCACTAGAGTCTGAAGGGCGAACCCGAGTGACGGTACCTGCTGCCGCCCTTGCGGTTGCTAATTCATTTATCATTGTCGCTCTATCGTCGTATGAGCATACTCATTCCCTTCGCCCGTCTATTGTACTAGAAATCTACCTATTCTTTACTTTGCTGTTCGACATCGTCCGCACCAGGACATTATGGCTCATCGACGCCGACCATACGGCAACAGTCATCTTCACTTCTTCAGTTGCCTTGAAAGTAGTGGTACTTGGGCTAGAAGCGCGTGAGAAACAAGGTTCTTTCATCAGACTTAAAGACACTCTCCGAAGTAGAGAAGAAACGAGCGGTGCCTTTGGCCAGGCTCTATTCTCATGGCTTATTCATTTGATCAATACCGGTTATAGCAAGGTCCTGGCGATACCCGATTTGTATCCACTTGCTCAAGACATGCAGTCCGAGGACGTTGGTTCTAGGTTTGACCTGTACTGGATGCAAAGTGAGTCCTACACACTGTACCGCCATGATTATGCTAATTTGATGGCTAGCTCCTCAGCGTACCACCAAAGATCTTGTCTTTTCGCTCTTCCATAGCTTGCGGTGGCATGTCTTTGCACCAGTAATGCCGCGGCTTGCTATGATTGGATTCGTATATTGCCAGCCTCTGCTCATCAGTCGTGTTTTGAATTTCCAAAAAGAGCCAAAAACGCCAGATAGCAACAACATTGGCTATGGATTGATTGCAGCCTATGGGATTGTGTACATTGGTCTAGCGGTAGGTTTCTACTGAATACCTTCCTAGCCATGCATACTGATGAAATGATAGTTCGCAACAGCCGGGTACTGGTTCCGCGTACATAGAGTCACAACAATGATTCGAGGTGTCATCGCAGCAAGAGTCTTCAACAAAGTCAATGAGCGCAGCATTATGAATGTGGATGATTCTGCAGCACTCACACTCATGAGCTCCGATGTCGAGAGAATCATGATGGGATTGAATGTTATCCATGAAACATGGGCAAATCTCATTGAAGCAGGCATAGGTATATTTCTACTTGAACGGCAGATCTCTCACACCGCCCTAATATCCCTTGGGGTTACTCTGAGTGAGTCTTCTTGAAATACCTCTCCCAATCACTTCACTTGACCGTCTTGCTAATCAGATTTCCTATCGTCTAGTTCTCGCTGTTGCTGCAGGTGCTCTAGCATCCACGGCAGGTAATCGACAAAAAGCATGGATGGAAGCCATCGAAAGGAGGATAAGTAAGAGCTCCAACATCACTTGAAGACGTAATGGTTAATTGTCCAAAGGTGCAACTGCAAACATGCTCAGCTCTATGAAAAGTGTTAAAATGCTCGGCCTTTCCGAGCCACTCCGTGCAGTCATAATGAACTTGAGGAGGGAAGAAATCAAGTCTGCCACTCGATTTCGCGCTTTACAAATCATCCTGTTCACTCTGGGTTAGACTTCCTTTCGAAAATCTCTCAACTCTGTATTATTGGATCGTCGCAACTAACAATCGAGTAGCATACGTTCCGCAGACCTTATCTCCACTCCTTACATTCATTGCCTATTCCCTTCTTGCGAGGAGCAAAAACAGCCCCACACTCGACGTATCACGGCTTTTCACATCACTTTCTATCTTGCTACTTCTCGCAAATCAATTTACGCAACTCTTCCAGTCCGTCCCCTCACTTGTCTCTGCCTTTGCATGTCTCGGTCGAGTGCGAGTGTTCATGACAGCAGAAGATCGCATTGACAAGAGACGAGGACACTCACTTCTTCCTCCCATGCACAAAAGCACTATATCTCTGGCTTCGCATATCCCTGGACTTGATGAAAAAGCCAGTTATCCCACCATACCGGAATCGGCAGAACCACCCCCCTATGGGACAAATTGTGATACGGTAGTATTTCGAGACGCAAGCTTTAGTTGGAATGAACTTGGCAATCCGGCGCTGCGAAATCTCAACGTGAAAATAAAATCCGATCAGCTTACTATGATCGTCGGACCTGTCGCAAGTGGGAAGTCGACCATGCTCAAGGCTATTCTGGGAGAGCTCAAACCTACACTTGGCACAGTGGCTATTGCATCTAAAAAAATTGCATACTGCGATCAAAGCCCATGGCTTAGAAATACAACAATTCGAGAAAACATTGTTGGTTTTGCATCTTTCGACGAGACTTGGTATCGCTCTGTGGTAAGGGATTGCAGTTTGGAGGCAGATTTTCTACAGCTTCCTAATGGCGATCAAACTCCTGTTGGGAGCGGCGGCATCACTCTTAGTGGTGGGCAAAAGGAGCGAGTGGCTATTGCACGAGCAATATATGCCAGACAGAGCATTGCGCTATTCGATGACGTGATGAGTGGGATGGATGCAACGACAGCTCGATCGGTTTTCACAAGTTGTTTCGGCAACGAAGGACTCCTTCGGCGGAGACAAACTACCATAATTTTTGCAACCCATGCAGCACACTTCCTCCCAGAGGCAGATCACATAATTGTGCTGAACCGCTCAGGTCAAATCGTTGAGCAAGGCACGTTTGAGGAACTGAGGTGGCGGAAAGGCAGCTATGTTCAGAAGCTTTCTGTCGCTCATGGATACACGGCGAGCACCGACTCGATCGATGAGATACGATCCGTAGGATCAGTATCAAGTTTATCTTCTGTCGCTAATGGTGTGAAGAAGGATACAATGCATCTCGAACGTATCGCTCCGCCACCAAGTAGACAATTGGGCGACAAACGAGTATATCTGCACTATTTCGAAGCTACAGGTTTCGTCAATGCAGTCCTCTTCTTTGTCTACGAGCTTTTATTCGTTGCCTTGGAGTACTTCCCTACCGTGTGGTTGAGCTGGTGGTCCGAATCCAACACACGAGAGGGCAACAAAGATTTAGGCTACTACCTCGGAGTCTACGGTGGTCTTCAAGTAGCATTCTTGCTAGCGCTTTTCCTCGGCGCCAGACATGTCGCGAATGTTATGGTCGTTACATCTGGAAAGCGCCTGCATGAGCAGCTTCTCCAGGCTGTCATCAAAGCACCCATGGCCTTTTTCAGTGTCACAGACACGGGCATTACACTCAATCGCTTCAGTCAAGATCTCCAGCTTATTGACGCGGAGTTGCCCATCGCATTACTTTTGTTTGGTGCCAACGCACTTGGTGCAGTCGCATTAGCAGTTTTGGTCCTCGTTGCCTCGCACTATGTTGGCCTTGCATTCGTCGTCGTCTTCATTGTGCTATGGCTAGTTCAAAGATACTACTTGCGAACATCCAGGCAGCTACGATTTCTTGATCTTGAGGCCAAGAGCCCCCTCTACTCGTTATTTCTTGAGGCTCTCGAAGGTCGAGCGACCATCCGAGCATTCCACTGGCAAGACAAGTTCAGACAAGAGTACACCAATGCCCTCGATGCATCACAGAGACCATTGTACCTTCTTTACAGCGTACAACAGTGGCTAACACTTGTTTTGGGACTGATCGCCGCAGCTGTGGCAGTGATCCTCGTCGCGTTGATGGTCCAACTACGTGACTCGACCACTAGTGCTGGCTTAGGTGGAGTAGCACTTGTGAATATGATCCAGTTATCGTCCACACTAATGTCGGTCGTCATTGTCTGGACTAAGCTTGAAACATCTATCGGTGCTGTGGCAAGAGTTCACCAGTTCTCTGCTGAAACTCCCAGGGAGCCAGAGCCAGAAGAGTCTATGCCACCCCCCGAAGACTGGCCGGCGAGAGGCGCTCTGGAATTTAAGAATGTGACTGCATCATACAAGTAAGCTCTCCGGGTTTGGCTCAGGTGTCATGAGAGCTAACAAAGTCATTAGAGCCGATGCACCTCCTGCATTACAAGGGGTCACTCTATCCATTGCACCAGGAGAGAAGGTTGGTATCTGTGGCCGCAGCGGAAGGTAGGTCTTTGACCTCCAGTCTCATCATTCTGCCAATATCTACTAACACAAAATATAGCGGCAAGTCCTCCCTAGTAGCCACTCTCTTCCGCCTCCTCGACCCGTCCTCCGGCAGCATCACAATCGACAACCTCGACCTCTCGGGCCTCTCCCCCGACCTCATCCGCCAACGTCTGACCTGCCTCCCGCAAGAACCTTACTTCGCACCTGGCACCGTCCGCTTCAACGCCGATCCCCTCGGCGCATGCACAGACGAGCAAATCCAATCTACGCTCGCTGAACTCAACATCTGGGATTCCATTCTCGTTCACACGGACGGCCTATCCAGCCTCATGGAAGCCGATCTCCTCTCTCACGGTCAACGCCAACTCTTCTGCCTCGCACGTGCATTGCTTCGATTCCCTTGTCGCGGAGTCGTGGTGCTAGATGAGGCAACCTCGAGCGTGGACGTGGAAACGGACGCGTTGATGCAGCGGGTGATCCGGACGAAGTTTAAGAACCAGACGTTGATTGTGGTAGCGCATCGGCTGCATACTATTTTGGATTTTGACAAGGTGGCGGTGTTCGACAAGGGTGTTCTGGTGGAGTTTGCGAACCCCGTGGAACTTTTGGCTAGGGGTGGGTCGGCATTCGGTGAGTTATATGGGGATGGGAGTGGGAGTGAAGGGACAAGTTGAATCGAGTGAGATTTGTTGTACAATACAAGTAATGAGGACTCGGAGTTGGGGAGAGGTGTTGGGGAGAGCGGTTATACTTAACCCTATATACCTAAGGTAAATATATGATTTAATCTATTATATCTTTAATTCTTAAAGTCCTTACACTCCACCTTGCACAAAACCCCTATTTACAAGTAACAAAAGTTGTAGATACGTTAGACGAACCCCTTTTTAAGCGAGAATTGATGTGGAACGGTCTCAGAGTATCCGTTTATAATTTGCGATTTACGGTTTGCGATTTGCTTCTACTCCCCAACAACTTAAGCTTGGTTGCTTATGGTTTGTGATTCGATTAATATTGCCCTCTATCTACTAGCAGGATGCTGCAGTAGTTTTATACTTAATTTTGATCTCCTGGAGGTGTAGTTATATAGTACTTTAGAAGGGTGTAAAATATATTATTTTTAACTAGTGAAATGTCAAAACTCAGTCGGAACTTGGAAAGAGCTAGTTGCTTACTCTTCAGTGTTTTTCTTAACAATTACATCTTTAACGATTTGTAAAGCATAGATTTGATAATACGCATCGAAGTTTATTTTCAGTAATAGTGCTATCATTCAAACCGGTGGTTGTCACTATATAACGAGTGAAAAGAATAGAAAGACAAGGAAAACAGAAAATCCAAAAATCCAATACTCGAGAACCATGCTTTCTCCATCAACTCTTCTACTAGCGACCATCTAAGCCCCACTATCACCGATTCATTCTACCCATCTATACCCTAGTGCTCAGCAACCTAATAATGACAAGTCACAAAATCCCCATTGCTTTGTGAATCCGCATGAGCATATGCACCACACCAAATAGCCTTCGAAGTCGCAGAATCCCATTGATAATACTCCCTAAACGCCCCCGGCTTGTTATTATTGTCGTTGACCACCCACGGCATCTCAACGCCAAAGCTATTCTTCCACAGCGGCAATTCAAATATTTTGTTGGGATCGCAGCCGTTTTTCCATTCGAATTGGCTCGATTTAGGGTTCTTGGGGTTGAAGGGCTTGGGGTAGCCACCTTTCTTTTTATTGTTGTTGACGAGTACGAGATCGATGTTGTTGGCTGCGTAGGCGCCGGAGAATGTGGAGTCGCCGCCGGTGCTGTCTAGTGAAGTTTAGTATGGTTAAGTTGCTTGGAGACACTGGGGAGTGTTTCTAGAACTTACGGTCTGGGCACGTTATATCGCCTGTGGGGACATGGTCAAGTTCGAAGCGCTTGTTGAGGGTTTTCTCGGGGGCGGGAGCGGCGAGTACCAGAGAGGCACTCAGGAGAAAGCTTGCAATGGTGGCAAACTGCATTTTGTGCGACCGGATTGGTGATTGAAATGCTTGATTGATGAGTTCTTGTTTTAGGCTGTTACTGTTGCTGTTTGAATTGATACTCGTTTTAAGGGTCAATCTGACGGCTCTTTATACTTGATATCCGATAATCTCTCCCGAACTCAGCACCAGTTAGTACGTACAGTATCTACTCTACATGTGGGTAAAAGAATCATGTTTGCTTCGCCACTATTATGAGTTCGGAGTCGGTACAGTGTTTACATCCGAATGAAGCAATCATTTGAGCCTCGTCACTACTATGATTTTGAAAGGAATCGATGGGTTTCACCCCCTGGAGAAGTTGTGCTGACGATCTACTCTACACCTGGATGAACGAATCATGTTTGCTTCGCCACAATAATGAGTTAGGACTCGGTATAGTGTTTACACCTGAGTGAAGCAATCATCTGAGCCTCGTCACCACTATGATTTTGAAAGGAATCGGTGGGATTCATCCCCTAGGGATGTGGTGCTAGCGATCAACATAGCTAGGCTATTCTTAGAACTTAAGGGGTTCGGTTAGAGGTTACTAAGCTAACACAGAACAGAAGGATGAAAGACGTCAGAAAATGTGTCAGAAAATGTGAAGAAAACGAGACAAGAACGAGAAAAAAAGTAAAGAACAATTATTAACTGCCCCGACGATCGCTACTAATAGCTACAAGAGACAATTATTTTGAAGTTTACTACCTACTACTGTGACGTCATGCATTAGATGCAGCCGCTGCACGTCTTAACAGTAAGCTTAAATAAGTCATAATGTTCCTTTTACAAAAAAAGCCGAAAAAGAGTCACACCGGCACTTCCATAAATAAATAAACGCTGGGACACTCATTCTCACAAATTCTCTACACAATCAACATAACGAACATATGCAAACGACAAAATGGGCGATCCAAATCACCCCTATCAACTTGAAGCCTTCAACATTTTCCAAACGGCATGGCTGGACCTGCAATATGGCCAGCACACTGCATCACCGCCAGTCTTACATGATATTGCGAACCAGGCTGCCGACAGGCTTGCAGCCGCAACAGAAGCTGCAGAAAACCCAGGATCTTTTCTCTATAGCGCCTTGTCAGCTATCGTGGATCATGGATCTCAATCCCCCGCATCTTTAGACCTGATGCTACAGACTTACACACAAGCCGCAAAACAGCTTCCCGCTTCGGTATCCGGCGGCTACGGCAAAGGCATGGATGCAGCAATGGGAGAGCTCAACTGGTGGATTGCAGAAGAAGCTGATCTATTCAGCCCCCCCTTACAATTTACACAAGAAACACCAGGCCAATCATCCACATGCGACTCCTCGAATCCCCAGTTCCAAGAAAGGGATGTCAAAGATCGCCAAGCTGACGTTCTCGACAGAACCCAAGAATGGAGAAAAGAACGCGTGAGATGGACGCTGATGTCTGCAGCAATGGGTCGTTGCTACGCCCTGGACTTAGTGAGAGCGAACGAGGGTAAGAACGCCACTGCGCAGGTGGATGGGGCATTGGATATCGAGGGAGCCGGTTGGAGCGAGGCGCAGTTTGTTGGCGCCACGGTCATGCTGAGAGCTTGTGCTAAGTCGTTGGGTGTGGAGACTATTAAGGTATCTGAATGGGTAGAGAAACTGGAAGCTCTTTTGTGGCGTGAGCATGTCAGTTTCACTGTTAAATCACATTCTGAGGTAAGCATTAAGATTTCGTTGTGATTTTCTAGATACTGTACTCAGCTGACCTCTGTCTTTTTATAGCTTCTGTTGAGGAACCTCAGGGGGGGACCATATGATGAGACGAGTGAACAGCTTTTCCAAATGAAAGATTGGTTATTTTAGGCTTTTAAGATATGAAACGATTTCTGCTAGATTGTGGACTAAACTCCAATAGTGATGATGGTGACCGGGTCTTCTCATCTCTTCTAGCATTGTATCGACTATGATGTGCAGTGCGTGCCTTTCTTGCTATAATTCCATAAGTTCCACCCTTAGATGTACAAATAAGGGAATATTTAGCAATATCGTATCAAGTACTCCTAAAATAGCCCTCGCAATAGCCACGGTTAATATGATTATGCCTAAGTGATTTAACTTTTCACACCCCTCCACCCCCAAAAAACCAAATTGTAACTGCATTAATACTAAGAGACGACAATTGATATCAAGTACGCAAACAATAGATCTGCCCTTCCACCCAACCTTCTACGATCAAACGCACAGTAGTTACATCTATATTAAATTATCTACCAAATCATCCTCATAATACAGCTCCTCACTCTGTTCGGCTTCCACAGCTCTGGCCTCCGGGTTCAAAAACACCTCAGAGAGCTGCTCGGGTCGATACGGTGCCTTATCTTTAGCCACAAAAAGCGTGTTCGTCGGCATCGCTTTCTTGAAAAACCCATTCGCTTTTTTTTTCCGTTGACAGAGCTTCTCCTTGTACTGGTAAAACTCGGCTTTGCTAATCGCAGCGTATAAATACCGCGGATGAACACCGATTGCCTGGGCACCCTTTTGCCCGAAACCGAACGAGGTAAGACTAAAAGCTTTCAGGCCAGCCGTCGTTTGAATGGTGCGGTTAGGAAACACCAAGTTGTCATTCTCAGCCAGCCCAATGTCAATGTTATCTGCGTTCCGGTTTCCCGGCACGATGCCCGAGTCGAGCACCTGAAGGCATCCGTTGAGCATCCATGCCCCTGCTGCGCCTTTGGAATGGCCGGTCAAGTGTTTCTGACAAATGGCCAGCACGACACTTCCAGGCTCACGGCCTAAGTGCGATAGTTGACGTTGATTCACTTGGGCTTCGTTGATGTCGTTTAGCTTGGTGCCTGTGCCATGCAGAGACAAGAAGTCGATATCGTTGATACTGAGCCCCCAGACTGCCAGTGCACCGCGTATAGGGGCGATACTTGTGTCGTTTTTCCAGAACTCGTTGCCAAAGACGGAAAGTGCGCTTTTCGTGAGGTTTTGTGCTTCCTGGCAAATATAGGCTTTGCGGCTATGAAGTTGCTCAATATCAGTGGCGATGTCGCTTGAGTTGGCCCCCTCGATCACAGAGAGGTCTTGGTTGATTAAGCCGAGTTCAAGCTCCGTGGATGCTTGAATCTGTTCTCTCCGGATACGTAGTTGGCGGCGGCGATATTGGATATCGAGTAGTGGCGAGGGAAACCTTGATACTCTCTCGGACGCGTTTGTCAGGATGCCTTTACCTGGTGCTGGCACTGATCTTCCTATAGTGTCGCTGGCGGTTGATGCAAGAGCAACGATTCCATAAATTGGCAAGCCCATGTCTAGTGCGAGTTTTGCGGAGGTGATGACCTGTACGCCTGCGCCTTGGGATTCAACGAATCCACCGCGTGTTGAATCAGTCGGTCGAGACATTTCCGCTGCCTCTCTGCCCTTCTGGAACTCCTTCTCTGCGTCTACTGTTGCTTTCATATTAGCGAATTCGGTAGATACAGTGACATCGAGGTCATCGACACCCCCAACCAAACACATCTTTGCCTTTCCGGTAATAATAGTCTCAATTCCAGTCTCCAGCGACTCAATCGAAGTTGCACAGGCTCCTACAGCTGTACGAATCGGACCTGCGGCTGAAAGAAGAAGCATATTCACCCATGCTGAAGTCGTGTTGATAAAGGTTTCAGCCAAAATGTCACTCTGTACTGGTTTGTCGAAGTGACGGGTGCGATACATCTGCTTCAACGACGAAGCACCACCGAAGCCTGATCCAAGGCAGTTACTGATCTCCGAAACATGGGCATACTTGTATAACTCGAATGGATCGGTGATACCCGAAGCTAAGAGTGCGTCCACTGTTGCAACGAGAGTATATAGCGTGACAGGGTCAACTTGCGATATAATATCCTCCTGAATACCATAGGTTCGCGGATCCCAGCCTTCTGGAATCTGACCCACCACCCTGCGAATAGACTCGAGAGACTTTGGCAGCATTAACACGGCGCCCCTTTTGAAACTCACCAAGCGCTCTTCGTCAGAGCCTCCGGCACATACATCGACATGTTCGCCGTGCTCCGCCTGGTATTGACTGGCCAGCTCTTGAGGCACAGAGAAAGGCGGAAGATCTGCTTCAACAATAACCTCCTGGAGAAGGGTGTCCGGTTTATCGCCTTCATGGTTCGCAACGCGTATGCCGGAATTCTCCAGCATTTGTGCTTCATACAGCTTCTTCACATCTGCTGCGTGAACTGGCTTCTTCGTCTTGACATCAATCCAACCATGGTATTCTTTTCCGTCAAGCTGCCCATCGAAATTTTTGATAAGTCCCATCACCCATGCCATCTCGATACAGCCCTCGATTGAAAATGCACCGTTTGCTTCCATCTCCCAACGCGTACGAGAATTTCCCCATGGCCCAAGCTCCCCGAAACCTGTAATGACGACGACAGTGTCCAAGTCAACCATGCCATCCAACTGTTGATGCAAGGTTTTGATCTCAGCATCCCAGTCCGGCAGTTGAGGAAACGAGAGTTGGACATTCGGCTGAGGTTTCATCAGCTCCTGTTGAGGGGCCGTTTCTTGGGCAGTACCGCCTTCGGCACGTTCAATCGCTTCTTCTTCTACGAGAGCTCGGCGAATGGTCTTTTCTTCGTTGATATCGGCTCTGACTTTATTTAATAGCTCGGGGAGATTAGAAACCTCGTCCAAACCGCCTGTCAAGTCTGCATAGATAGGTTGGTCGTCGCATTCGATGGCAATCGTATTCGTCATAAGAACGAGGATATAGAACGCCATCTCTGCCTGCGAAAAAGTGCGCACTTTACGCTCTTCTATACCCATGGCGAGGATGTCATTGCCCACCATGAGACCAGTCCCTCGCGACCACCCAATCGAGGCACCACATATAGACAGGAATGGCGCCCAGCTTTCGGAATTCCACTTGTCGAACAGAGCTTCCAGGGCAATTTTGGATTCAGCATACATCCCATCACCGCCAAATGCACCATGATTTGGCGACAGTGGTAATATGACTTGGGCAGGTCGACACAAGGACTCTCCCTGTTGCTTATGCTTCTTTACAACGCCTAGTAGACGTAGAAGGTTGGTCAGCATGATACGATGACCTAGTTCGGACTTGGAATCAATTCCGTCAACCTCGCGGCCTGTTTCTGAGATAGCGGCGAAGGGGACAACGTGATCGATGTCCCATCCTAGTCCGTTGACAGGGTCATATATGTAGTCTACGAGAGCATCTAAATCTCTCTGACTACCTTGGTTGAACGGGACAATAACCAATTCCGAATCTTTGGCGCCGAATTGCATGTAAATTTTTTGATAGGCTTTCAGAGTCTTTCGCGAGTAGCTGCTGGTAGTTGTGATAATCTTGGCGCCACTGGCAAGAAGGCCTTTGAGGAGCTCGCCTCCAATAGAGTTCAAGCCTGCGCCTGTGACGAGTACATTCTTGCCTTTGAATGACACACCGTTCTTGCGGGTATTTTTCAACAGACTGATAAATTTGTGTGTTAGATCTTCATCGACCTTCCAATTCCTGTTTTTGTTCTTGGTTTTGAGTAGCAGTGTGGGGAGCTCGTCGGAGATGGAGCGTGGCACTTCTTCATAGAGGGCGTTGCCGTTTTGGTCGATTATTGTTTTCGGTGCTCGGCTGAAGATATTGGTGAAGGATGTGTACGGCACAAGACCGCTCGATGAAATTTCGTTGCAGAGATCTTTGAGGTGCAAAATGATAGCCCTGGCACTTTGTCGCCTCGGAGCTCCAGAAGGGACTGAGTCGATCTGATTCAATACACGGAGGAATCTAGGATCCGCACGACTGGCGATCAAAACGCAGCGATTTAGAAGATCCGGATTATCAGGGCTCAGAGCTCCACCCTGAACACCGTGATACACCTCTAGCAAGTCTTGGAGCGCCCAGTTCCAGGACGAATTGAACCGACGCGCTTTCACACTTGCGAAGGAATTCGAAACCCCACTCAGTAAAACTTCGCCAAACTCTGCAGTCAAATCGTCGAGCTCTTTCTGTAAAATATCGTGTTTCTTTTTCATAACTACATGCGCTTTATCACCAGCGCGTAGATCAATCTGCATACGCTTTGACAGAGCTTCAAGTTTCGCCCTCCTCCATGCAGCTTTCTCCTTAGTAATAGCAGCCAGCTCGTGGTCAGTCATCATAAGCTTCGCGTGTAGCTGACTATTGCCATCGGTTGAGCCAGAGATTTGAACGGCCAAAGGTGTTGCAAGGTTTAAATTAAGCTCTGCGGCATAGTGTGTGACGAGATCCGCCAAAAAGGACTCCGCATCCGAAGTAGTAGCAAGACGAGACGCAGGCTGCATAGTAGTGGCACGAAGCAGAACTGCATCTTGGCGCCCTGGTTGGAATCCCCAGCGTTCCTTTATGAAGGTTCTAGCACGCTGAAGATTAAACCCAGGAGGCATACTAAGGGAGAATAGCCGGTTGATCATAGCGGTGGACATCTTGCCGAGGTGCCCGCTAAAACCAGAGGAAGTCAACGCTATGCCAAGTTCTTCAACGGTCATATCTTCTGTTCTATCGGGAACGCTGCCAAACTCGCTGTTGACATCGCCAACAATTTCGTTTCCAAGCGTGGACCTGCCTGTGGTTTAGAAGCTACCAATCAGTATTCGTCGTCCAAATTCTGGGTAAATGTATTACAAGACCAGGTTGGTCTTACCTCCGGTGAGTTGCTTAATCGACTTTGTTTTATCAATCTTCCCAAATGCCTTCTTTAACTTCGGCGCTATAATTGCGAGTACAACGTCCTCGGCCAAAACTGGTACGTCAGGTGATTCCAGAACTGACGCACTTTCCTGCGCTACAACGGGAGGTTGGGGCGTCAAGACTTGCATGCTTACAGCATCTTTCGGAATTGGAGGGGGAGGCAGTTTTGGCTTCGTCGGCGCAGGCTCTTTCCTCTTTCTGGAATTTGGTGTAGTATCCGCATCGTAGTGGATTTTTGAAGCGTCTCGTGCATAGGATAATACAGTTCGTTTCCGTGAAACTGCAGCATCGGACATTTGGTATTGGGATGCCAAAGTCTTCTTCATCATCGCTGCCAGGGTATCAGAGGGGCCAATCTCAATCAGCCGCTGGGTCTGCTGTTTCTGTAGCAAAACATCCTGTGTTTCGACCCTGTCAGGAGGTTAGCGTTGATTTTGCAATTGAGAAATATATATTTGGTCTACATACCATCGAACTGGTGAAGCAAATTGATATCTGTAGCAGTAATATTAATCGTCCGTTCACCAGTATATTAGAATTTGATAACTTACGATAAAAGCTCAAGCAAGAGGGAGTAGCCCAACTGCTGCTCCATTTGGGAATGCATCTTTACGCATGCACAACAAAACCGAGCGAAAATGAAAATGAAATTCTTCACATAGGAATCGCAATACGTCTCTAGCAGTTGAAATCACCTATACAAAATACAAAAGGATCGTCCACTCGGCTTTCGGAGGCTAGCTATGGCTATGGCGCATTCTTAGAACAATTGTGCTAAAATTGTTCTCAGAATGCGCCATAGCATGTGTTCGAAGGAGCACTTGACGGGCAGTGCAACAAGGCGGGTCAGACAACCCTTCCATTTGGTGTAAAATGTGGCTATTTCAGGTGTGGGTGGAGTAAGAAGATAGTGCGGCGCTCTAACAGTTGGAAAGCATCAGAAAATGGTGCAAGTACCATCAGATATTAGCATGTAGTGGAGAGAAATGCACGTACCATGGCAAGGATTCATTTTCTGAGTAAGTGGCGTTCTCGCTTGCGGGGCTGTCCAGTGCCGGTCCAGGGCCGGTCCGTCTAAGCCCTGTTATATTAGGCAAGGCGTCTCCAAGGCATCTTGGCACGTACCTGAATAGAACATCAGCTGTGATAATATTCATAAATGGTTAGCATGGGTCTAGTAATATCAGCAGCCATAATATTTTCAACTGGTCAGCATCCCGCTCACTGATTTAAACTCGAGGGATCAATTCGAAGCACCACCATGCCTCTTACTTAGGTTCTAGCCAAAAGCATTATCCGGTTCAGTCCCGTTTCGTGAAAACCTAGGTTTGTTTTTAGACTGTAGAATCTACCGGTTGAACTATATATACGCTTCTTGTACCATCTTTTACGCAAGGTCTTCGAAACCATGCCAACTCTAAATTTTAATTGAGCTTGAAAATTCAAAATGTCTTACATAGAATCACAGTTTCCTCCTCCGCCTTTGGAAAATATCAGTATGTCTCAACGGAGGGAATACTTAGCTCCACGAATATCCTAGCTAACGAGTTTCCAGATTGGGCTGCTCTCGGAAGTGCCATTACTGAAGGTTCGAAAGACCCCTATCTGGCAGTGTCGCATTTGGAGGTGTTCGTCTCTAAACTGCAATAGACAATGGCCACGTCGAATGCCGCTACGATGTCACGACGGGAGTCTGGACAGAGCCTACACTCATTAAAGATCCTTACATCAAGGTCCATGGTTTGGCGCCAGGACTGAACTACGGTCAGCAAGCCTATGAGGGAATGAAAGCGTACCGCTCCCCAACAAACACCATCAACGTCTTCCGCCCACAGTATCATGCAACTCGCCTCGCCAACAGCAGCTCCTGCGTATCCATTCCCCCCATCCCCGAAAAGCTATACCTGGACGCCGTTAACCTAGCCGTCGCCCGCAATGCAGCTTACGTTCCTCCACACTCCGCATCCGCACTCCTATACATCCGTCCTGTAGTCTTCGGCTCTGCTGGTAATCTAGGCCTCACGCCACCGAGTGAATACACTTTTGCAGTGTACACGCAGCCAGGCAATGCCTATCATGGTATCAAGCCCATGCCAGCAGTGGTGATGGAAGAGTTTGATCGGAGCGCACCGCGCGGCACAGGAGGATACAAAGTGGGGGGTAACTATGCGCCGTGTATAAGATGGCAGGGTAAGGCGAGGCAGATGGGGTACGGCTTGACGCTGCACTTAGATAGCAAGACGCAATCGGAGCTGGAGGAGTTTAGCACATCGGGTTTTGTCGGGGTCAGGAGAGAAGGGGATGGCAAAACTACGTTGTGCATACCAGATAGTACCAACATCGTAGACAGCGTAACAAGTGATGCTATTGTTGCTATTGCGAAGAGCTTGGGTTGGACGGTCGAGAAGCGCAAGGTAAGCATTTCGTTTTCCTCATGTCGCATACTCTCTTCCACCATGCCCCTCAAAACTAATCGGTTTCCTCACTAAAGATACACTACACCGAACTCCGCTATCTTACTGAGGTACTAGCAGTGGGGACTGCTGCTTCTATCGTACCAGTTGCATCAATCCACCGACCTTCCACCGATGAGACCTTTGTGTTCAATCATAGTGGTGAGGGTAGTGCCGAGAACCCTGGGCCTGTGTGCGTTCAGCTGAGCCATATCTTGTTGGATATTCAGAAGGGCGTTGTTGAAGATAGCTGGGGATGGAGATCGGAGGTTACTGATCCTGATGCAGTGGTGAATGGTAGTGAGCCGACGAAAGAAGTCCAAGAAGTAAATGGCAAGCATGAGAAGGAGGTCCCAGAAGTGAATGGCAAGGAGCCAGCGAAGGAAACACAGGAGGTAAATTGAGAGGAGCTCTGATTGACTGATACTTTTACTCGGCTCTCTTTCTCCACCGGGTGCGTGCTAGGCGTCTAGAACGGGGTAAAACCTGTAGTCTATAGATAACTATTAGCAGCCAAATCCTAAGTGCCCCTAGTGGAGAAGCTAATAGTGTCTCGCGAGTCCCTTAAAATCGGTAGCATCTATAAAAATATTAATGTACAGCAACTAAACTATTAAAGTAAGAGAAAAGCGCACTTGTTCCGACCTTTGGCGTACTCGTAAAACTGATCCTTGAAATCCTTACGAAGCAATTAGTAAGCTTTACCTGGGTGCTTTTGAACGATGCTCAACCCTGTCTTCTATCCTCACCATAGTAATTACAAAACATCCCATTGCTCTACCGCGTATGCCTGCACCGTTTTATTTCCAGCAGATTATCAATAATCACCTCTCGGCCCAGGCTACTCCCTGTCTGCCGTACAGACACTCTACTCCGTAAAGGAGCCCGCCCCTTTCCCAGTAGCCGTGTCTGTCAGTCTCCACCCACCACGGGGCTTTATCTCCAGTCATGTCTTGTCATATACAGCTCATCGATGCATACTGTGTCATTTGCCAATACTCTACCAAGGTAGGAGAAATGGTGTTAGTGAATATGCGGATACTACACCCTAAACATGTGCGATCCTAACTAACAGATTTAACAGTACTAGGAACCGCCGAGCCAACGGGCGCAACACTGTGGTTCAAGTTTCCTAAGCACGGCCACAGATTCCAGTATGCCACGGTCTACATGAATAGCGGAAGGGATCTTAGGCGCCTGTGCCGCTATCCTCCATGCTCAACGTGCTTTGAGTCACCCGCGACGTGCATCTTCCACAGGGATTGTTTCTTGTTCGCAAAACGGAAACTTCCAACACTCGGCCTACCTTACATCTGGCATGCAGGGATAAGGTCGTGTCCCTTGGCAGAGGAATCTCGAGTACCTTGGGATTTCTCTGCATTGGTTACTCATATGCGGCAGCAGGGACAGAGGAGGAGAGAGCCATTGAAGCACAGAGTCATCGTCACGAAAGAAACCCGAGCCCAAGACAAGCGGTTGAAGGCTGAGCAGTCCATTAGCAGAGTGGCATGTGGACGAGTTTATTTACATCTGACAGATGGAGCCCGGTGCGAAGAGGGGGAAGAGATGTGTGGTATGTGTGGTAAGGATGATCGAGTAGCAGCGCACACGCCGGTATTACAGCGCGTGTCCGTGGCCGAGCAGGGGAGAGAGGCGCAAGTCCAGCACGACCAGATATTGGATAGTGGAATCGATTTCCCATCTAGTATCTTAGCCATAGACATACCATATAGCCTCTCGCAACGTATCTTTATAGAATCTAGGCCCGGTTTAGTCGAATCAAGAGATGTGCATGTCGCGAGTTCCGAGACCGTTTTAGTCATAAGTTCCAGTCCAAGTTGGACCTTAACAAACAAAGGGTCGGCACGCAGATGTCTCGAAGCCGTCGCAACAGACGACACCCTATCGAAGAGTTCGATGGCCAGTTCGGTCAGTTTTGACCAAGGGATTTGGACGGATCAATTCGAGAGTTGGCAGCGTCAGCATGAGGCTGGCGAGTCACACACGCGAGCCCAGATCCGAGCTGAGAGCCAGGACGTGTATAAGGCGAGTATCACTAACATTGTAAAGCTGCTTGAAAGGTTGTCTCCCGAGCTCTGTCAATCGGTCGCAAGCTACCGCCCCGAGTTCCTTTTGTGGAGTTACGGTGCTGCCGTCCTGTGGCCGGGCACCCTCGTCATGCCATTTCCCGAACTGCCGTTTACTACAGAAGGGGCCAAGACCAAGCTATGAATATGTAGTAAGGGTTCTCATCCATACCATGAAGGTCACCTGAAGCGTCTAATCGTATATAGATTAGTACGTTCAATAACATCAATTGTCCTTACTCCACCGTCCATTTCTCACCATGGCCCTATTTTATATTTCCTTACCACGACCCGGAGCTAGGAAATGCCATATTGGACATCCCTGGGTTGAATCCGTGTAGGATTTCTAAGATCCTTTATATCGAGACGCCAACCATGCTACAGTGCAAGCCAAGTGCTAGTGAAGATTTACACTCTAAAATCTATTTAAACCTTCCGCAGGCGAGGCAAAAGGAAGTACAAAATCGTGGCTTGGAAAGGTGCCAGATGAGTGGACTATAACATGGTGGTTTGGGGTCAATGTGATCGCAATTGTTCATTCTTGGGATAAAACGGCGAGGATTAATACACAAAACTTTCAACTCTTCTCTTTCCCTTTCCCTTCTTGTCTTTTCTCTTTGCCTTCCCTATTTCTAGCACCTCAGGATCTCGAAGTTAAAAGAACCAAAAGTACTTGGAGGTCTTTAATCCTTGATAATAAATGCACTCATACAATTGGCGATCCACCCTGACTACCCCGGCCTTCCACTGGTCTAGTGCTTTAGCGCATCGCGCGCGTCATACTCGAAATGAAGTACCGTATCATCTTCGTTTTCTTCAATCCTCGGCCAAACACGAATTCTCTAGTCATCATGTAGCGGCTCGACATGTTGAATGTCGACAACGTGCGGGCGAGGAGGGAGCGCCTCTAATCCGAATTGAGGTAGCGGTAGAGCCAGAGCAACCAACGTCGGAAGGTGCATAGCTGACTTTGTAGTCAGGAGGCTCTAAAGCCGAGCCTGCTCGAGAGCTGGTGTGGCCAGAACCATAGTTGACCATGTAGGATGCATACTCTAATCCAGGGCGAGGGTAGCTGGCGTCGTAGGGAGCTACCTCTGATGGGGAGTTAGAAGCGCCGGCCGGAGGCTTGATGCTCTGAGTAGAGGACAGATTCGGGGGCACATTTTGGAGCAGGCCTCCCTGCTTCTTTTCTGGCATCTCCTCATGCCTTTTCATGCATTCGAACCCGTCCTCAATAAGATACCCATTGGTGCTATGCCCCTCAATATACTGGTTCCTATCGGGCATGTTAGCAACCCCAGGGGCCCATTGGACAAGATAATTCTCGCAATCTACAGTCGCGCCGCGGTACCAATTACTGTCATGGCATACATCTTGTTTCGGTGAGCGGAGACAGATGTGCCATGCACGCGTTGAAAGCTTGATATTACAATTCATCGATTTCGGTCCGAGTCGCTTTTGTCTTTTTTGCCTCGAAGATAAATAGTCTATGCATGTCTATGCATTAGCCCGTCGGGCTTGGTCCATTTGTCCACAACCAGCTCAACTCTTCCAAGGTTCGCGTCCTCAACGGTGGGTGGTTGTTGTGGAGCGATAACCAACTTCTCTTCGGTAGGATACCAGGGACGAATTTGGTGCTTCCAGAATTTTGTTGTGCTCCACTCCAATTTCATCTATGCCTGTTGCCACAAGAAACGATCGAGAGCTGTACGGACCATAGACATGGTGCCGTATTTCGATGGCTATAGCTGATAAGAGACGGAGCACAAGGGCGATAACTTTGATACTTTTACGTAGCTATGGAAGAATAAAGTGCTGATTGTTTATCATCAAGACAAGGATACCATCTTAGTCATATATTTTCAAGTCATATAAATGAATTCCAAACAGCAAGGGGCTTTGATGGCTGGCTAGGTGAATTAATGAATCAATGAATGAATTAATGAATCAATGAATGAATTAATGAATCAATGAATGAATTAATGAATCAATGAATGAAGGAGTGGATCAATGAATGAAGGAGTGGATCAACGAATGAAGGAACGAATGAATACATGAATGGATGGATGGATGGACGGGTGAAATATATGTTCAGGGGTTAGTCGCCTCATGCCTGCAGTAGCCCCGCCCCCACATCTAGCCGTGATCTAATAGGAGAGATTGCCACAGCACAAAAGAAAAATGATTAAAGTGAATAGACAACTGAGTTGCCTGTTGATGCGGATGTTTAATTTTGTAGCCGGCTTGCTTTGAATATGGTATAGCCCCGTGGTATCCATGTATAATGAGGTCGGTAATAACGAACCGAAAGCGCTTGGCAATCTGCCAGAGGTCCTAATAAACAATCCAATTGAATGCATAATTGTGTCCACTTTCCAATAGAACCAAGGAACAAGTTCTCTATTGATCGGTGTCTAAAGCGGAAGAGGAGACAGCATGGCCTGGGCGGATGAAGCCGAGTCAGTGGGCGCGGTTGCCGAATCTGCGGACGATCCTAGGAGGTTAGCTACTACCACTGTACGAGGGATATAACGGTGATTTCTCAGGTTCTGTGTCTGACTATACATACCTCTGCTGTTATGCTCTAAGGCATGGAGGGCTGATTTAACATGCCATGCGCTCATACCATGAATATATATCCAACTGTCACTATTCCCAACAGCTTCCTGCATCCAATCACTATCACGAGTATACTGGAAGAATCCAGCAGCAAAGATGCGCTCTAATTGGCCTATACGGTAGCGCCTCTGGACCATAGCTAGGCCCTTAAACTGTTTTGGCGATAACCCTGTTTCAAATTGCAATCGCTCCCGAACAAAGGTATTTCGAGCTGCCTACACCAATGTCAGGCTAAATAATTGCATTAGCAACATAGTTGTTATATCATACAAGAAAATTTCTCCATCGAATATCCTGCCCGATCCAATATTGCTGCCCTACCGACGCGTTCATACAGTCAACCACAGTATTCCTTGGTGCTCTCGGTTTAATAGAGATAACTTCAGTCAGAGCAGACATGATTTTACTACAGGGTCTTGGAAAGTAGTTTCGGGTTTAAATCTGTATAGGTGGCGTATAGACGGTCTCTTTATGCAACTATCAACGTCCGGTTAGAAATCATCTGGGTGCCTAACTTGCCGCAATCATATGTGCGCTCGCCGTCAAACTAGGGTGGGTCTTGGAGGCGGGGCTGGGTGTTCTCCATGATCCGTGTAACCATGCCCGCGCTCGCCGCGAAATCAGGGTCGGCCCCGGGGGGTGCATGACCCGACATTACTCTACTCGTTCTGCGTAGTCACCTGGACTTCATCCACGCTGGGATCGAATTCGAATTCGTTGCCTAGTTTCATCTCGAATCTTTGAGGCTTAAACCACGAAATAGGTTGACGGATGCCTCCCATAGGCGAGCGGCGGAAGGGCCGAGCCGCAGCACTTGGTGGGGCCGCAGGTTTGGACGCAATCCATCTTCTAACCCGTACTCCGTACTCCGTACTTCGCCCCGGCAACCTACCCATTGCACCCATCATCCATTGCATTCGCTGCACCCATCACATTTCTCCAATATATTCCCCAAGGTGTCGTTTGTAATGAGTGCCGACGCACAGATCCATAAGCCTCTTGCCAAGATCGACTGGGGCGGGTATGCCCCATGTGAAATAGGTACCATGAACATCCAAAGCGTCTTTCTCATGGATTTCCATGGCATGTTCACGCAATGGGTCATAAAGTGGTCCTTAATTTCATTGCTTCTTGTGGCCTTTGTAGCCTACATTATTTATTTTGTTACGAATGTATATCTCGAGCATCGTGTGAGTGGAGTTCCAACCGGTCATCGAGAATGCTTTACGATGACATGTTATAGGCAGATGCTGCTTTGGGTCTCCGCCATCGTTGCCAGCCGCCTCCAGAGCTGCCATGGCCTCTTGGACTTGACCGTATAAAGGAGCTCTGGGATTCGAATTCAGAAGGCCACCTTCTCGCCTTTTTGTGCTCAATTGCCAAAAACTATGAACCTCGCAATAATCTCTCCCAGTTCTTGTTGGTCGGTCCACGTGCATTTCATATTCTGCATCCGAGGACCGTGAGACCCTTCTATCTACAAACTTTACGGGTAATTCCCCCACCTCGGGGCGACCAGTGTGACAAAGGTTTGCGGAAACACTAATTCCCGGTTGTTGTTATACAGACTACGACTTCGGAGTTCGACGCGATATCTTCGCACCCTTATTGGGCAATGGTCTCTTCACCCAAGAGGGACTGGCCTGGAAGCACTCAAGAGAACCTTTGCGAAAACAGTTTGTTCGAACAGAGTATCGAAATCTTGACCACCTCCACGAGCATGTCGATAATCTCATAGCACATCTGCCAGTATATGGTGGGATTATTGATCTACTGCCGCTGTTCTTTAACCTTACTCTAGACACGACAACTGATTTGTTATTAGGACGGCCAGTCTACAGCTTACGGGCAGACATCGACCAGGACAACGAGAACAAGTTATTCGCGGAGAGTTTCACCATAGCCCAGGAAGGTTTGGCGAAGCGGTTTCGCATGGCTCCATGGCATTTCTTATATCACCCCTCCCAAATTTCGACGAGCTTGTTCTAACGTCCATTGTTTCGTAGAGCGTTATATCCGGGAACAAGACTTGCAAAAGGACAAAGCCGCTGTCGTAGAAGCATCCTGTGGTTTTATCGACCAGGTCAGGAAGGAGTCTGTGAGTAATACAGACCTTCGCGATCAGATCCTCAATGTTTTGCTGGCTGGGAGAGGAGAGATACGGCAGCGTGTTGTTTATCCTGGACGTTGTACGTCCTGGCCTGATATTATCTACGTATTCCAAACTAATAGCTGTGTTTGTTAACATGCAGCCGCCTTTCTGTTCGCCATCCTAGCATAATGGATCGCCTCAGAGGAGAAATCTGCTCCGTCATGGGCGAATCCAAGCACCCAAGCCGCCAGCAGATTAGGAGAATGTCCTTTCTTGCTTGTGTCATCAAAGAAAGTAAATAACGTTGAACTCGCCGAGCAATACACCACAGGTTGATGATTTTCTTGCAGGTCTTCGCCTATATCCACCCGTACCATTAAATAATCGCACAGCCACGAAGTTCACTATCCTGCCGACGGGTGGCGGGTGGCGGGTGGCGGGCCAGAACGGAGAAAGTCCTATTCTAGTACGAAAGGGCGAGCTGGTCATATTTTCGCAGTACATCAACTCGCGGATGGAAAGTATTTTTGAGCCAGATGCAGATGACTTTCGCCCCGGGCGGTGGGAAGGGGACGGTCTCTCAGGTACTGGTTGGGCTTATTTTCCCATTCAGTGGTGGACCAAGGCAGTGTCTCGGTGAAGACTTTGCCCTCATGGAAGTGTCTTATACTGTTGTGAGGCTACTGCAAGCCTTTTCGCTCATCGCGTTACCTACCGGCGAAACAATTGAGCCTGTGGGGACGGAGAGACAACGACTTACTCTCGTCCTCTCAAGTTGGGATGGATGTAGAGTCAAATTTAAACGGCAGTGAATGATCAAGGTAAGGCCTATCAGCGCCGTTTTGGCGGTGGGACAGTACTTGTGGCCTCCAAATTGATTAGCCAACGGTACGTAGTACATCGGACACGGCTTCCAGTACAAGGCGACAGGCCGTCCGGAGATGTAAATCTCCACTATTGGTTTGATGGCGGATACTTGAGCTGAGGGTGGAAACAGTGCCAGGAGAAACGAGCTTTGAGCCCGGTTTATAGGGCAGGATGAACGAAATGAGAGCCAATCAATGTCGCTGCCTCTCTCCAAAGCGTTGAACCATTGCGTTAAATAATGTTGGGTTTATTAGCACTTAGGCAGCTTGCTGGAGCAGCTATGACACAGGGGTTTCTATAACCGTAGGGTCACTATAGGGCATTGCCCTATAATTAACGTGCGATAATAGTAAAGGCCATCACGACACGCCGATCCTCAGCACTATGCGTTACCTTCGATGTTACACACCCCATTTTCGTCGGGCGAGTTGGAGGAAACTGCGCGTTGAATTTGTTGACAGCTAAAACAGCTGTAAAAGCGTCAATACCCCCAATACACAGAATCCGGAAAAGATTGGGCTTCCTCTAGGCATGTTTATTACCGGAACACAAGAGTATGATTTGTGCTGGATGTGAAGTACGAAGTAGGAAAAATAACGCATGTACCTTAGGTAAGCGGCGACAGGCCACTTACAACCCAGCCCAAATTGGCGGCGGTCTAGCGCGGCAGAACGCCATGATACGACCAGTTCCTGAATCTTTATATTATTTCGTACTCGTGTATCTATTTTAGTCTCGTAGACGACGCATAACAATTCAACATCCCAACTTGACCCATAGTGGCGATTTTTGCTCTTGTCTCTTCAGCTGTTTTCCATGTAGCACTCCTTGCTTCCCATTCTTTCCGCTGTCAATTGTGAATCCGACGATCCAAGTCAACATCACTCAATCAAGCTTCCCACTTCGATGGTCTCTCGATGCCTCGTCCCTGCTCAGGGTCGTTGATGATAGCATAGCTCCAAAAGCTACCATACCGGTGTTGTTGTCAAAATCCCCTTCTCTCGCTGAATATACCGTTATTATTCTGCTATCTCTCATATTTAATTATATCTCCTGCCACCGATCTGCTGCGATCAACATCAACAAATCCACCATGGCTTTCCTTTCACAGACCCTCGCTACCACCATACTCTATCTCATCTCGAGCCTTACACCCGTATCTGCACAATCAGACAATGCTAGTGGCTGCTCTTGCTATCGAACTAATGGATCCTCTCTTGGCTACTTCACATCCCACCGTTTCCTCGACTACAGAAATGTATCTCCGGCGCCATTAACTATCCCATCCGTGATCTCGAATCCCACAAGCGCTACCAATGCTTTGGCATCTTCAGACTTCTTCGTTGGCGATGCGTGGACGAACTTTTGGACCGTCCAGAAGTTTAATAACAGTGATACCAGGCATTCTACGGATGCTACCGCCTTGATGGTCAATTCTCCCAGCAACGTCTATATTGGTAGCATACCCCTTCCATCTAGCTTCCTGACCTATTGGTGATAATGCTGACATCCTCCCCCTCGCAGAAAAGAGCCAGGACAGCGATCCATCCTACTCCACATACCTAACCCTCCGCACCGCGCGCCTCGACGACTTCCAATCCGCCGCAGAGATCGACTCTATCGAAAAGAATTTTCATTTCCTTTCCGCACGTTTCTCCGCTAGAGTGGTTGGCTCGCCGGGTGCCTGCGCGGGCATGTTCACCTATCTCGCGGGTGATACGCCCCAAGACGTTCAAGAGGCAGATATCGAAATCCTGACAGAAGGTCCACGCAACGCGGTTCAATACACGAATCAGCCATCTGTAGACACAAAGGGAGCCGTCGTCCCTCAGGCTACGGTTAACGGAACAAATCCCGGAGGCAAAGATTGGACACATTGGAATGTTTATCGAGTGGATTGGATGCCGGGTACGACGACTTGGTATGTGAACGGAGCAAAGGTTGCCAATATTGATTTCCAGACACCGAAGGATCCAGCGGGGTTGATGGTCAATATGTGGAGTGATGGAGGTTCATGGACCGGCAATATGTCACTACATGACCAAGCCTATTTACAGATCCAGTGGATAGAGCTCGCGTATAACACGAGCGGCCCATATACAGGTTCCGGGGCAAGGAAGAGAAATGAGGGCTACGGCTCCGAGGGCGCCTTGGTCAAGCGCAAGGGCACACCTGGGTGCAAGGCCGTCTGCAGTGTTGACGAGGAGATCAATACGACAGGCACTCCGGCATTGCTGTGGAACAATACCAGCCTAGCACCACTGGCCTGGAAAGGGCAGGGAATGGGCTGCTTGGCTTGGATTCCTTTCCTGTTGGTCGGCGCAGCGGTATTTGGGTATTTCTAGAGCATACGCTACGAGCACTATGATGTGTGACTCAAGAGTATTGAGCAGCTTAGAGATATGAGGAACGGGTTAATGAAGTTACGACAATGAATGTTATCTGCGAGATGGAAAATTACAATGTATTTCGTTAAGCAACACACAGCTACTCCCTACTATGATGAACCTACTTTTGACCACTACTAAAAGAACCTTAGACCATAAATCTACTCCAATTACCATACCCTCACAACGAAGGAGCCTGGAGTCGAGAAAGAGACGAGCGTATGAAAAGGGAGCAAAAATATAAAAACCTGCAACAGCAGCTATTCAATAGCAGCCAACCCACGCAACTACTAATCTGCGGATCTGAGGCCTTCATTTGACTTATACTCCGGACGGTGCCATACGGACTAGCCCTAGCTTCCTTCATCTGTTATTACCTAGGCTAGCTGTTACACTGCGAGATCTACACTAGTACAGGGACTTCCCTATAGAGATACCGGTATATCTTGAAAGCAGCGCTGGAAGAGATCGCTAATAAAAGGAGCAAGACTGTCTAATGCTAAACTGTGGCTTCATCTCGAGGAGGTACTAAACAAAACTCGTATTTCCGTAGCTTGGCAAGCACAAGTATCGCCTTGCTATTTAACGCTAAGAAGAGGGCAGCTAGGAGTTCGTTATTCTTGAGAACAGCGGGGAGTTTAACTCTGGGGTACAGTAGAGTAAAAGCGGACGCGAGTGGTCCGCTGCGTTACTCGCCCGAGGCGCTTGATTAATGCAGCACCATGACCCTAGATCTATGAAGGTAAGGAAATATTATTTTTTTCGATGCTTCGTAATCAAGGAAAGTTGTTTCCATCAATAAGACTGCTGGATCTCCCGGTTAATGGCATGCCAACGCTACCAATGTCATGTGCGCGCTTGGCGGCTCCTAAATACTTTCAACTCCAAGGAACTCCATCCCCACTCTGCTCACAAGTTTGTAAGCAATCATCGAAGAGCGATCATAATTGTTCCGTGTTAATCTCATCTTACCATAAAATCATGTACAATGACAACGGTCAAGACGCGATGCAATTCATTCGAAAAAGTGTATTGTACATAACCCACGGGGTCCTGCCTGGGCCTCGCAAGAACCGTTTCCTCGCCGAAAAGCTCCAATTGACTGTGTTAAATTTTAATATTGTTTTTGCTTGTAATTGTGCACGAGTACTCGTAGCTTGGCGAGCGATAACTCTCTATAAACCATCATTATGGGCGTTTCCAAGCAGACGGTATACTTATGGTATACCTCCATGGTAGCAGCGTCCTGTATGAATCTTTATGGATACGATGCCGCCGCTTTCAATGCCCTCCAAGGCTCAGCAAATTGGAGAGACCATTTTCACCACCCAGTATGCGCGAAGATCCAGCTACAGAACTACAATTGACGCTTCTAACACTCACAGGATCCCAACGTTATTGGTTCGGTGAACACAGCGTATACCGTTGGCTGTGTCATTTCAGGTACTCTACCTTTCACCGGGCAAACGATTAAAAACCAGACGCTGATACTAGTACTGTACTTCTAGGGTTCTTCGTATCTGCCCCAATTTCCAACTACCTTGGCCGTAGATGGGCCATGATAATAGGCTGCGTCCTCGTTATCATTGCATCCTTCGTTGCTGCATTCGCCCCCCGCAACATCGGCGCCTTCATTGGTGCCAAAGCCCTCGTGGGCATTGGCCAAGGTATAACGCTTCCCGCCGGCCCAGTGTACATCAGCGAGATTGCTCCTTCCAAGATTAGAGGTGCAGTTATGAGTTTCTGGCAGCTGTTCTTCAGCGTGGGGAACTTCATGGGCTTCTGGATCGCCTTTGCCTGCTCCAAGAATACCGAGAAACTGGGTAATTGGGACTGGAAGATTGTTATGCTTTGCCAAATTATTGCGCCCGTTTTTATTGTCTCATCGCTTTGGGCTTGCCCGGAAAGTCCAAGATGGTACATCCAGAAAGACAGAACTGAGGAAGCCGTGGCAGCGCTCATGCAAATCCGTAATAGTAGAGAGGAAGTCGACGTCGAAATCGAACAGATACAACAAGCAGTTGCTTTTGAACAAAAGAACAATATATCTGGTAGTTACGGGCCACTATGGAATGACCCGAGCGTGCGGTCAAGATTGAGTATGTCTCTGCCTTTTCCCCCTCGAAATATTCCAAGCAGCTGACATTGTCAAGTCCTGGCTATCCTCATGAACGTCGGCCAGCAATGTACTGGGCAAGGGTCAATAAACAACTACTCCACCATTATATTCCAGAAGGTATTCAAGAACAACGATACCATCCAGCTCATCAATGCTCTGAACGCGACACTTGGCATCCTTTTCACGCTCAACGCGACCTGGACAGTCGATCGATTCGGTCGACGCTTCTTACTCCTTGTCGGGGCAGTCGGCATGGCAGTTTCAATGTTAGCCGTTGCAATACTTGTAACACAGACGCCGGATCTAGGAGGAGGTTCAAAGACCCAGCCAGTGGCTATTGGCACTGTATTCCTAATGTTCCTTTTCGGCTTTTTCTGTAAGTTGAGGCTTCAGTGTTTGATCCATAGCAAGAGTTGCTAATAAACTACCAGTCAAGCCTTCGTGGGGTGCTACTGTGTGGATCTGGACGTCGGAGATCTTCTCGATGAATGTTCGCTCGCAAGCTGTAGCTATGTCAACCCAAGCCCAGAACGTTGCCAACGTAGTTTTCCGTGAGTCTCACTTGGTCGTGGCATTTTTCTTCATTTTTAACGAGACTAACTAACATTCTTCTCCAGTGCAACTTTTCCCCTTATTCCTCGCCAACGAAGGATTGTACGTTTTCTCCATCTCAGAAGCAGATTAACCAACTAACTCAAACAGCTATGCAATGTACATGTTCTTCGCATTGAACCTAAGCCTAGCCTTCTTTGTATATTTTTTGATCCCTGAGACCAAGGGCAAGTCACTCGAGACCATGGATGTTCTATTTGGCGGAGCCAACCATGCTGAAGCCCCTACATCCAACGACACACATGTACTAAGCCCTGAAACTCCAGAACATACTGAGGCGGAAAGCGTCGGAGAAAAGAGGTCGGCGACACTGATGGTGCTGGACGACAAGACGATTGTCTAAGTTTATGATAGGCTCGGTATAATCTAAAAGGTTTTAATGGGTCTGGTTAGGGTGTACTGGAGAATGGAGTTATATAATAGGATATATCTTGAAGTTGGGTTAGATCTAAAAGATTTAGAGTCATTATATAATAGAACTTAGACCGTTTTGTGTTTAGACGACAACGAGAGCGAACGAGATTCCCATTCTCCTCATTCTACAGTCGTATGTAGAATAATTATTTCTAAATAAACTATACATAGATGACAATTCTAGCATGGCCTACGAAAACGTTGCTTCTCATCACCACAATATATACAACCTCACAGGACCAGGGAATATATATAGGAGTAGGATTCTGAGTACTTTGTTTTAAGTTCGTCTGAACTACAAGGAAGCTTCTCACATTTTATCTATCTCACTGAGCTCGAGCACGGAAATGTACATATGGCCCATCCTTCAAACTCGTAAATGAATCCCGCAACTGATACTCCCCGCTCTTTTGTCTCCCCCACTCGTTATCGGGATGCCCCTCCCCAATCGTCACTCCTTCCGCCAACTTCATATCATATAAAAACACAATCCTGGCCAAACCGGTCATCAACTCTGTATACGCTAGTCCCTTCCCTATACATCCTCTAGGGCCGATACTGAACGGGCAGAACGCCGAATGAGCAAGGGCCACGCTTTCTCTCGTCACCTCAGGAGAAGAACCCTCGATCCAGCGCTCGGGACGGAATTCGAACGGCAAGGGGTAGTAATCTGGATTGTGATGAATGGCATAATGAGGAGTTCCGACGACGGTACCAGCGGGGAGGCTGAGGCCGTCGATATCGAGACCTCCGGGCAGGATTTCACGAGGAAGGATTCCGCCAACTGGTGGGGAGAGGCGCATTGCTTCGTCGATGACGGCGCGGAGGTAGATGCATGAACTAAGAGTTTGGCCGGCGCATATATCTTCCACGTCCGAGAACGTAGACCGAACCTCAGCTGTTAATTTCTGAAGAGTCGCTGGACTGTGCGTGAGGTAGAAGAAAGCCGCTGCGAGTGCTGTAGAAGTTGTATCTGAGCCAGCGATAATAAGGAGATTACTTTCGCCCCAGAGTTCTGGACCGGTGAACCCGTTTCCTGTTTCTGGGTCCCGGGCATTTAATAAGTGGAAGAAGAAGTCTTTTCGATCCGAGTCCAGTCCGATTTTGGTCCTTTCTGCCGCTTGGCCTTTGCTATATGCCATATACTCCATTCTCATGTTATAGATCTTGCTGAAGAGAACTTTGTTTAGACCAAGAGTCTTGATCATCGGATTTGTTCCAAGCTGGTCTTCCCGTTAGTTTAAATCCCGTCATTTGGTTTACTTGGGAAGCACAGAGGTGGGCTGCAGGCTTACAATTAAATGCATGTGAGCTGCATTCTCCATCAAGTCAATCACACGATGATTCTTTTCAGACTCTAGCATCTCGAATGCCTTCCCAAAGCACAAATCACCCATGACATCAAATGCCAAATAGTTGCACCAAAGAGCCATGTTCTGCGCGACGCCCCATCCTTTCTCCCCCACCTGCTTCTCCGAAAAGGTAGGCGGAGGCCCAAGGCGCGAGCAGAAGGTTCTCACGTTCGCCAGGATATACTTTTCCATACTCTTGATCGCGCCATCGGAGAAGGCGTGTGAGAGGACTCGCCTCTTTCGCGCATGGTTTGACTTGTCGATACTGCTATGTGTGTTCGCGGTATCCTTTGTGGGCGGGAATACAGAGTAGAACTGCGATTTCTGCACGTTGGCTCTATGGCCGTAGATGGTTTTCAGTGCCGTGTTTGTGTTGATCGAGAGGCTGTTTGGTCCGAAGCGTACAATCGGGCCTATTTGGCTTCAGTATTTGCTCTACAGGAGGGCAGAAAACAAAGGAGAATTACCATAAGTCTCATGGCAGCGCCAGAATTCAAGATGTCGATCGCCTTTCCAGGCATGGTAGACAGAATACCAGTCTGTTATCTTGGCCAGGAACGGGCCTGGGTATTTGGAAAGGGGGTGAAGGTAAATGCGATATATTGATAGAAGAAGTAGCTACGGCACCGAGTATTAATGCAATGCCGGATATCGAGGGGCATGGAAACTACTCACATATGAGAAAAGGGCCGTGACACTCCACATTAAGATAGAAAGCACAAAACTCAGAACGCCATTTTCCAGACTCAGCAACAGCATTGTGAATATTTTCCCTGGCCGTGCCAGATCCTTCTCCCGCAATTATCGGTTGCCTCGTTTGACGACCAGGATCTTGTGTGTCTTTCAAAAGTAGGGATTGTACCAAAGTCCGATACTCATTCGGAATACCCAGCAGAGTTCGAATAAATAGTATATCCACAAAGAGAGGGTTTAAATTGAAAGTAGAATGGAAACGAGGAGGGAAGAGAAAGACACAGTGGAAAAGGGAAAGGGAATCTCTTATCAACTGCAGTACGATTACGTATCAATCTCACTCCTCTAGGGACCATCTCGGCAAACCATAAAAGTAATCAGCACCGAGCATTCATTGGGAATGCCCAAGTGCCTGTTATTATTACTGTCCCCTCCAGATCCGCGTCATGGTCCCCTCGTGACTTCCCTTCCCCTTTGTCTGGCTGGTTGTGCCGCGGATAACCGCTGCGCTTGTCAGCGGCGGTGCGGATTGCGGGAGGAGCGGACCTGGGACCAGCGTTTTAGTCTGAGGGGTAAAGAGAGACCGCGAAGCGTTTCCGCTATTTGGATCGGTCGACTTGTACTGTAATGCTTGTGCTTGACTTTACTATTATTACTCGGACAATCATCGCCGTGGTACGAAGTACATGTACAAAGTAGTGGCGCAAAGTGGCGCAGAGGCCAAGTCCAAGTCGCCAATGCATTGCATGGCACGTGATTGCGGATAATTATATCTCCACCTTCCGCACGCACCCCATACCGGCCCGCTCGGAGCCCTTGAGGAGTTCGGCTTATTAATAAATAATTCGGTCGCGTCGCGCGGCCATTTTCGTACTCCCTATCCTCTACCCAACGTCACCAAAGGTTCCCTACTTTAATACTTTTAATATCATCGCCATGGCTAAACCCCAGTGTTTACATGTAGAGAAATGCTCAAACGACTTCATCATACCCACACTTCTGGATGAACACTTCCTTCAAGCCGGCAAAATCCTTGGCCGTGCAAGTGCCCAAGAAATCTTTGATTCAGCCCTTTGCAGTGGCTAGAGTCCGCGATCTTCAAACAGTCTATCCATGCATCCAACTAACTCAAAAGCCATATTGATACCCCCCTTCAACCCCACTCAGATATGATCCCCAGCACGTCGCACCAGGCTGTAACAAGGCGACATTTTTATTTTATATAGAGACGCCGTGGGCCACATTATTAATTGACGCTCGACCACAGGAGAGCAGTTTCCAACAAAAAATTGCCCATAAAAACGATTGAACGATCGCCCCCGGGTATTGGTGCTATGTACCGATACAAACGGGGCAAAAGTGGTTCAGGTTGAAAACACCTGGAGGTGCTTCCGTATGAGCAAGGGAGACTCAAGCCAACACGCTTCGTTTCTTCCCTGCTTCAAGTTGTCCTCAATACCGAGCCAGTTGAATTCCATATATTTTGAGTGTATCTGTCAGAATATAGCGGCAAAATACCGGCTGTCTGTGCATACGATGCTTGCTTTTCGTCTCTAAAGAACTCATATTATATTAAGGAGTAGTAGGCTATAGATTCGACCCTGTCAAGCTGTACTGGACAACCAATTAAAAATTTACATCCTCATGTCCCGAGAATCCTTCGGCTTCGGTTATGGCTCCATCTCTCATTCTATCCTATTTTTCTAGGACTCGTTTTCCGCTATCCCCATATTAGCATGCCGCATTCAACTCAACGGGAAGAAGACGGCTTACCCTGGGTCTCTGAAATATCTCCCCTGTATTCCATTTCAATCTGCCCTTCCAGCATAACAGTATTAACACTATCCCTCCACTGGGCCACACGATCTATTTTGGAAACTGGTTTCCTAGGTTTGCTTTTCTTTTCTTTTTCTTTTCTGTCCTTCTTTTCTTTCTTGTCCTTCTTGTCTTTCTTGTCCTTCTTTTCCTTCATTTTCGTCTTTTCTATCTTTTCTACCCTTTTTGGTGCATTCTTCTCCTCGGCTGGCCGTTTGTTTTGGACCGAGTCAGAGTTTCTCTCTCCTCCAGCTCCGCTTTCACCTTCTGTTTTGAGGTTTGTCCCAGAATTCTCCTTCTGGCTGGAGCTTATTCTGCCATGTTCCGTGCTCGGCATGTTTGAATGTTCGTCCGCAGGATTCCCAGATTCAGCACCAGTAACAGAAACATGCGGAGCTAGAAGACCAGCAACTGCGGAGATATAAGTAGGTTTTAGTCGTTCAGCATAAATCACTTTCAGGTCTTCTTTGGGATATTTAATGGGCGGGCGGTGGAGGTATTTGGCCGTGGTTCCGGAGGTTTCTTTTGCAGGAGAGTCAAGTGAGTCTGAGCTGGGATACCCATATTCGTACTCCCATTCATCTAAGATGGATTAGTACATATAATTACCCATATCTACCCCTAGACCCTACCATTAACGCCCTTCCGAGCACGATAATAGAAAGCTCCCTCTGTGCTAAATTCCCAGCTGGACCAGGGTGGGTGTTTGTCGCTCTGAGACGAAGGAGTATCTTTTAAATTAACTATAGATTCTTTCGCTGTTGCCTTGCTACTGGACTTTTTGGACATAGCTGCTATTTTAGTTTGGAAATATTTGCTTCCGTGAATTGCTGGCCGGCCAGGAAAGCAAGGACGCTTTGAATCCACTGAAATATAGGTAAGGGCAGGTGGCGGTCTTTAACAAGGCTGGCTCAGTATAAGATCGCCACTTCCGGTGTACGCCATGTACTGCAGCCCAATCTCCGCTTTCGATATTGCTCGTTATCAAGCTCCTGCTATCCGCTATGCCAAACCAAGCTTTTGGTTTCGAGCTGTCACCTCGCCCCGGATGTCGAGCTCTGCATCCGGTCTGCAATACGTTCCGGAAACCATACTCGGGGATACAATTGGACAATTGTGGCTGTATATCTGGACGACTCCGCCAATGGCCGCGAGAACCAACAGCCCATTGCCACGTCGTACCTCTGTACTGCAGGAATACGGGGCCAGATCACGTGGATAATGCTGTGCTGCCTGATCTAGATCGTTGATTCCGTGGGGGATTACCGTCTAAATAACGCATAGATCTCGAAGCGTTCTCAGGTCGGTGGCGAGGCTGGCAACGGTTTGCATACGTAGGGCGACGACGCGACGAGACTAACGTAAATAGGCGTGGAGGTGAGAGCACACGTAAGTTGGTCTCTCGGACCACGACTTGATTAATCCCCAAACTTCCAGTACCGGATATCATCTGAGCTTGATGATTGACGCAAAATATTAGCTCGTCCAAATTAGCCCAACTCTGTCATGTCAAATGCAGGTGATTGGGAGCGATTCTAGAGTCATAGCCAAAGGAATAGCTCAGGACTGCCGCAGAGAAGCTATACAGAATAATAATTACAAAAGGTTTTGCCTCGGTATATATGGGTATCATGGTAATATCAATCCAGCCTATCTTTACTCCGTGAACGTGGAGTGTCTACTCCCCGCATCGTCGTCGTCCCTTGACCCTTAATCTCAACAACTCGCATGTCTAGGTTTACACGGAACTTCTTCCCTCGCCACATTACTGTTGTACCGCCCAAGCAAGCCCATGCCCAGATTGGGAGCGCAAGAAACTCTCGACCTAGCCAGGCAAAAATCCACTCTCTGGCAGTCCTTCTAGAAATGCCATCGGGTGGTCGCGCAAATGAGGGGGTATCAGAATCCAACTCTATTGAACAGCCGGAATGGAGCTTTGCGTATACCAAAGAATCAAGAGCCATCCATGCCAGTACACTGCCTATCCAAAACAGAGCGAAGGTAGACCAGGTCTGGCTTATACCGAACTGATCGTGAAACCAAGGTATCGTGGTGAAAGCAAACGCGCCATATGCAGAGCACAAAAAGGGCTCAACTCCAGGCTCCACGAAGGTCGCTAATGGAACAGTCCATTTCCTAACACGAAGCCATCGGACTCGCCGGGCAGTATATTCAGGCACTGACAAGCCTGCCATAGGCTGGATAGCAAGATCACCAAGGACAAGTCCGTGTTTATGGAACTTTGTCCCGGCTTGCTCCTCCTTGACCTTCTTCCGCCAAAGAAGGTCTCCAATAAGATGATCCTCGCATATATTCTCTGAGAAGAAATCAATGCCAGGAGAGTATAGTGAGGACGAGGATGTCAAATAGTCAAGGTGTGATCGTCGGAACATGTTGGATTTGCCAACAATACAGGGTGCTACGGAGACAGTGTTGATTGCTGTGTAAAATTTTGCATGTGATGACGCCAAGAACATTTCTTCGAGGCGACCACCGCCAGCCGGGCAGGGAGTATTCAGGTGTGTTTCGATCGGTTTGGAAGAGCTGGTACCTGAAGTTTGCGAGTCTTCGTCACTGCTCTGTTGTAGTAGCGCTCGAGCTTCTTCACCAGTGCTTGCACCAACGCTGTCGACGACAAGTGGCAGTTGATGCACAAACTTGTACGGGACAGTCCTCGTCCCATCGACTTTATACCCGCATAGCTTGTCTACCATGCGTCCAGCAACGCCTGGCCCAATCCACACATTGCAATCGAGAGTCCAGATAATGTCCCCTTTAGCTTCTCTATAGCCTCGACTCATGTTTCTTATCTTCGGATTAGGTCCCAGGTTATTTGCCTCTCCACTACCACTAAGATTGGGATCTTGCTCCTCCACAAATATTTTGACGTCGAACTCGGGAAAGTCTGCCAACAGGCGTTGCAGAACTGGGAGGGCAGGGTCATCGATCGTGGCTATACAAAAGTATATTGTCAACTTCTCCCGGGGATATGACTGTCGGAAGGTTGCAGCAAGGCATTCGTATAGCTGGGGCTCCAGTCCTTTAACGGGTCGAAGAATAGTAACATCGGGAACTTGGTCGAGTTTTAGCGTGGGGGAAACAGCGGGCTTAGGCTGGGAAGAGTAGTTGCGGTATCTGATTAATGTAAGTCTTCATACGAAGATATTTAAGATTTCACGGCATTGCGATTCACATACAACTGGGTGACACCAATTGCTTGGACGACAAGCATGCCAATGTACCAGATTCCACACGCTGCTGCGATTGCCAAAATCCATGGCGATGGCAACATTTCATAGCGGGCAGAAGCCACCGCCGCTGGCCCTCTTGTAGGAGGATTCGGAGGAATAACGTGCATACGGATGGAGGTGCAAGCTCCCAGTACCAAGAGGCCGACAGGAAACCTAAATAATAGCTATATTTTGATTACCAAGTGGGAGCTGCCAAAAATTTTAACCCTGTCAATGGGTCACGTGGTCCCAACCTTCTCAGCAAATATTTTCCGAGTTCTCGGGCGATAAAAACCCTCACCCACTACAACATTTACATGAATTCCACAACGTCCTCCTAGCCTCTACACTGAGCATAACAATTGAAGCTGTAAGTCTGCAATCATTCCTATTCTTTCTTTAGGTACACACGGAACTGGCTCGTACAACCTTGCATGTGGTGATGACACATTTCGATGCTTAGAAGAAATGACTCTGACTTTATGTCGTTCTTCAATGCTGGCTTCAATTCTTTCGAGAAGACTACAACGGTATCTGAACATGCAAAAGAGACCATTGAATTCATATTTTACAAGAATAGTACAATATCGAGCGAACGTTTTGCTAACGTCGATATTAATAGCAACCATCTCCGACGCGGCATGCCTTCACGATAGCATCGATTCATCATCATGGCAGACACAACGCCAAGCCCTCCCACCCCACAAGGCGCGGTTGCCGCCGATACAAGTGCAAAATCTCCTAGACCTGCTAGACTTTCGAAGTATCAGCAGCTGAATCAGCTATATGCTCTCCCAGCTCCCCTTCGAACCTTTCCTCTTCCCGCTTTCATTCCTCACAATCCGCTTTCCCTCTTTCACATAGTGTACGCATGGGTATCTCAAACAATCCACCCTACCTCTTCAAACTTTGAACCTTTGTATCAAGGGTGGTTTTCTGCAGAGACCCGGTCAGTACATGTAACTGATGTCCGGTCTATGCGAGGACTTTGGGAGCAAGGTTTCTACGGAAAGGGGAGCTTGAGCCGTAGTGAACCCAATTGGTTAAATAGAGAGAAGTTGCGAAGTGGAACCCAGTCGAAGGTAACGAGCGAAGAGCTTACTCGGCGCAGAAGGGCCGAGCGACAGCAAGTAAAATGGGAGAGAGCAAGGAGAGAAAGGGAGGCCATTGAGCTAAAGCTGTTAGAAGAAGAGGAAGCAGCTCTGACCATTGAGCTGAAGCTGTTACAAGAAGAGCAAGCAGCTTGGTATGCAAAAAGAAATACTTCGGAACCTTTCCCCGTCACGGAAATGGCCATGGATAGCAGTTCGCTAGTTTTGAATGATGACCGCGAATCGTTAAACATCTCCATCTCCAAACTTTCCCTCTGTCCCGTCGGCCCAATGGAGCTTCTATCGCTTCCGAATTCTGCCGCAGAACTTCTTCCTGAGTCCAAAGGTGCCAAGGGTTCTCTAGACAACTTTGAAGTTGTGTCCAGTACCAAAACACCAGATTTAGTCAAGCAACCTGTCACCCCCAAAGTTTACATCCCGCCTGTGGGTCCGTTGGAAATCTTGGCATTGCCGAATTCGATTGAAACCTCTCTACCCACGGATACCGGTTTAATAGACGAAAGCATCGAGACGTTGGTTGCTGACGTGGTAATTGATGATCGTGGAAAGGACGATATTCTTCCCGAACAGGAGGACGTTGATGACTATAACGGCTCGGATTTCGTTAATGGGCTTGGAGTAAATGGGCATACAAAAACCGAAACACCGCTTGCTTTGGATAATATCAACGTTGGTGTCGAGGTGGGTGAGGAAGTCATCAACGGTTCACCAGATTCAGGATCATTCGACGCCCCCAACGGCACAGCAAAGTCTCCTTCGCTTGCAAATGGACATTCTTCCTGTCGAGTTATAAAACGCCAGAAAAGTGTACGATTCTCGCCCACAGTGGAACAGAATACCTTCCTCCAATCAGAACCGCCAAGTCCCGAACGAACCACAGAGGCGCCCATCATTGACGAGGAACCGGCACACATTAAGGAGCAAGAACATACCCAACTCACCCTCGAGGAAGCATTTTTCTTGTCGTATGGTCTAGGTGCTATCAGCATCCTCGATCCCGCCACAAACTCAACGTTATCCAACGAGAGGCTCTTTAACCTCTTCCGAAAAACATCTCGCTTCCCGCCCCTTTCAAATCCTAGCCTCTCCCCTGACGACCCCTTCATGGTTAATTATGTCGTTTATCACCACTTTCGTTCCATTGGCTGGGTGCCTCGCTCCGGTATCAAATTCTCTGTAGACTATTTGCTCTACAATCGTGGACCGGTTTTCTCACATGCTGAGTTTGGCGTCATCATCTTACCGTCATACGACGATCCTTATTGGAGTAGTACTGTAATGTTGCAGAACCACGCAAAACAGAACCAGAGACGAACTTGGGCATGGATGAACTGTATCAATAGGGTTATCACCCAAGTGAAGAAGACGTTGATTATTGTCTATGTTGATATTCCGAAGCCGCTAACTGCGGAAGAGGAAGCGGAGTTAGGTATCGATGGCGTTTTGAGTAGGTACAAGATCAGGGAGTTTGTAATGAAACGGTGGTTGGCCACTCGGAGTCGCGGATGATCCGATAGTTTGGCATCAATTGTTGGATTATAGCTCTGGGTTTATCTAGGCATGATGTTTTATCAGATGTCATATGCATCTCGAGGCCGTTAGCTGCTTCGAGCCGTCTATGCTGGATTTGTCTTTGATGGATATGCTAGCTAAGGTTGCAAGCTACCGTCTTGGCGTGCCCGTTAAAAATGTGGCAAGCGCCGTGAGATCCGATATTGATCTAGACGAATCCTCGCAATTGACAAGGCACTATCTCGTGCAGTCCACCGCATCTAATCAAGTGATTTTATTTGTTATGTTCTATTGGTGGAGCAATCAATGTTTGTGAAACATCAACCTGTTGGAATATGCATGGAGCTCATTAAATCCGCTGTCGATTGTATGATTACTGAGCGTCAACATGGTTAAAGCTATCTGATCTGATTACTTACTCTAGTACAGTACACACGTAATCTATGTGTATATTTAGTATATTATGAGGAATAAACAGTATCTTTAATGTTCCGTGATTACTGAGCTTTAATCTAAATAAAAGACAAGCCAAGCTCAACACCCATTTCCAGCTCCTTGAATGTACATCCGAGATATTTCCGCAATTGAATTTTGCTTTAAAACCGTCCTGTCCATCCGTCCTGCCCATCCATCCTGTCCATCCGTCTAAGTCGAACCCAAAGCCCTTCCATCTTCTCCTCACCTGAACACTTCTCATATCAGTATCATGCACGCTCAACAAGCCTCCAACATCTTCGTCATCGGCGGCACCGGCGCTCAAGGCATTCCAGTAGTCCAAGCACTGGTTGAAGACAAACAGTATCGCTGTCGAATTCTCACTCGTGATACTGCCTCAGCCCGGTCCCAATCCCTCCTTGCTCTCGGTAACGTCGAGCTCGTCCAGGGGACATTCGCCAATGAAGATGACTTGCGCAAAGGCATGCGAGGATGTGACGGTGCATTCATCAATATCGACGGCTTCAGCTCCGGAGAAAAGGCCGAGGTATTCTGGGCTATTCGCAGCTACGAGATCGCCATCCAAGAAGGGATCAAGTTCTACGTCTATGCAAACATAGACTACGCCACCAAGAAGTCCGGGTATGACCCTAAGTTCCGTGCTGGTCATCTAGATGGGAAGGGCCGGATTGGGGAGTGGGTCATGTTTCAAAATCAGGACAATAAAGAGCGGATGGGTGCAGCGCTCTTTACAACCGGTCCTTATATTGACATGGTCATATCCACTCCAATCATGGCGCCCACAGTGGAAGACGGAATTGCTACGTGGAGAGCGCCACTCGGCGATGGCGCCGTGTGCCATGTGGCGCTCGAAGATTGCGGATACTATGTTCGATGGCTTTTTGATCACCCGGAACGTGCTAATGGCATGAATCTCGATGTTGCTGTTGCGGATATAACATACACTGAGCTTGCAGCAGCGTTTGAGCGCGTTACAGGACACCCAGCCAGGTATATCGATACCGATTTGGATACGTATTGGAATATGCCAGTAAGAAAGGAGACTGCTGGCAAGGTTGTAGGTTATAATGCCGATCCGAATGACCCGAGCTTGATGAAGAACAGAGAGAATTTTACGGGACTGGTAAGCGTTATCTTTTTCTTGTAGTCTTCAATCTTTTCAAGGCATTTCGCATTATCATTTCCGTTCAATGCCCACAATGTTAAGTTTATATGCTTTTTAATTCGCAACATTATAAACCCAATTTTATATGCTAATATTGTTCTTACAACCATATAGTGGAATGTCTCTAAATACCGCCTGCTTAAAAAGGACTATAAAAAGATGGATGAGATCCATCCAAATAGGATTAAGAGCGCGGAAGAGTGGTTTCGCATGGAAGATAAAAAGGGTCGAGAGGAAGGGAAAGGGTCCCTATGGGAGAGGATCCAGGCGCAGAGCTGGATTCCGATTCTAAAAGATCATGAAGATAGTGGGAAGGGTAGTTTGTAGTAAGTGACGTAGTAAGGGTTGGCTTGCTTCTGAGCTAATGCCGCCGTGATCCAACGTCGACGACCATATACGGCACCATAAGTATTTCTTCGGAGGATTTGTCGTGGCCTTCGATTATTTGTCAGTTATACACAAATACCACTAATTATATTAGAGATGTTTAGTGATGATTGCCGCTTAGAAGTAGATATTTTCTTCAAACTGGGTGTTGTTCGGTAAGATACTACCAAAGTGCCACCTTCGCTGATCATCGGCATAGTTTGGATACTCAGAACCGTTACTAAACAATCCCAAGCCTGTTGAATAATGACAACACTGTATTATATATTAATTAATTTGCCATCGATAATATGCCGTTTAGTAGAGTGTAAACTTTGTAATATTCCACGCTTCTCTTCGTATTAGCCGCACGAATACAAAGGTCTAGACGGAAGTTTTCTTGAATTTTGCCCCAAACATTTTCCACCCTTTCTCTACTTCTAGATCCACTTTGCTGCTCTTTCCTGGAATTAAGAAATCAGTGCCATCTGGATCCTGGACATACATCACATATTCATCCTATTGAGAATAATTAGTGTTTGTGACTAGTGGGTGTATAGGAATGCCAGAATAGCCTACCTTTCCGAGGCTCAGTTTTAACCCCCCCTCGGCGGCTATTGGTGAGTATTTCTCTAATTCTTTATCATTGATCAAAGCAATAATGTTTCCTCGCACAACCTCAGCTTGCATTGCCCCCGATCTTGCCATCCTGTAGCCGTCGGTTTCGGCGACATCTCCAAGCGCAAATACATTGTGCAGCTCTCTTGATTTCGGGTCTTCACCATTCCTGAGTTGGAGTGTCGATTCGACGAGGATTCTACGAGTTTGGGGTGAGATAGATGATGGTGAAAATCCGTCTAGAATTGATGAATTTGGGATCTGCCCAATGCAAGGGACCTGTTGGGGTCAGCAAACTACACCGTGCAGGAAGTGGGACGATAGGCATACAATAACATCAAAAGTCTCCTTTCGCCCATCCGGGAAGACTAGATCTGTGCCGGTCCCATCTCCGGTCGAAGGTATTGCTGGTCGTTCCCCCAGCATCAGTTCCACTCCTAAATCTTGCAACTTATCTACCACATACTTATGCAACCGCACACCGAAACTTGGGAGCAACTGATCCCTAGAATGGATAAGCACAACATGTTTATCAGGATAAAAACTCTTGATATCTCCTGCAAGTTGTACTCCCACCGCTCCACCTCCGATAATACCTATTTTCTTCCCCCCGATAATCCTGTCCTGCAATGCCTTCAGCTCAGCACATGCCTCATTCTTTTCGCTTGAGAGCAATCTGGCCGGTGGAGGCTGAAGCGCCCCTGTGGCAACGGCGAGATATGCAAATGGTATGCGTTTCCCCGAGGCCAATTCGACCTCTTCGTCCCTAATACCAGTAGCTGTGTCCCGTATTATTTCGAATATTCCTGCTGGCGTACCGCTAGCTAGTCCGTCGTATGGAATGAAGGCGTTCTGCTCATGTCCCTGTACGACAGAATACCGGGGAAAATTGAAGCAGAAGTTGAAATGAGAGTTCTTCTCGATTAAAATGACTTTATAACCTGAAGGAAGAGACTCTCCCAGTCGGCGAGCGAGGAAGGCGCCAGAAAATGACCCGCCCAAGACGACGACGTTCTTACATGTTGGAAGGAGATGGTATGTAAAACGGTGGGTAAATGCTTTAATGCGTTGGGCGACGAGAGTAATGGTGAATTCCAAGAAAAGGGGCCAATATTTGCGGACGAAACGTAAAGTATCAGATGCCATAGTGAGAGATGTTGATTCCTTGACCCCTCTAGAATCGACAAAAGCTATGAAGATGGGAGCAAATATATAAATACAGCACGGGAGGCCATTCTTAAGGCACTTACCAGCCCTGCTAGGCAGGGGAGATCTAGTAACTAACGAATAATAGACCGATTTCCACGCGTCTTATCAGATCCAATCTGATACACACCGGGCCGGTCCAGTCTCGGTCAACGGAGGTATCTGAAGTTTCTTAATTATATCCGAATTCACCGAGTTCTCCGACCAAATCTCCGACTCGGATAAGACAGAGAAATGTCCGGTACCGGGACGGGCAGGCCCCTTGACAGGGGATGAATGCTAAGTAAGAGGTAAGAAGGTACCTAGGTAGGTGTACCTACCTACATGTTATGGATGTTATTGTTGTTTGGGGTCGAAAATCATACCTTTACGGAGTATATGGAGGTGGAACCGAAGCCCCTATTGGCTAAAGGGGTGAAAATGCAAGCTGGTCCGTGCGGCATCACGTGCGATCTCCCCTCCTATGCGATAAGATAAGATACTTTTTGTTTGCCAAAACACTATTTTTCCAGTATCCCACAACCTCAGAGCCGACAAGCGAATTTCCGCCGCCAATATGTCCCCACACCTCTCTGAAGATGACATCGATGATCTTTTGTACATGGCTCGTGCCGGCGAGGAAGGGGAATTCCGCGCCTTGAAGGCGGAATTATGCCAGAGGGAAAACATTGCGGTACTTGAACTGCTGGAGTTGGCGCGGGATGAAGGGAGTGGGAATGGGGTTCTCCATATGGCGGCAGCGAATGGACATGCCGGTATGCTATTAATCTCGCCCGCTGAGCCCTAGAGGTATCGTTATCTTGAATCAAATAAATTTCGAGAAAAGTTACCACTGCTGCTCCATTCGCACAATGCTGATTCTAAAGTACTTTAGGCCTCATACAAGAACTTTGCAAAGACCTCTCAGATCCCTCTCCCCAAAACCCGCCTATGCTAGCCATAATCAACGGACAAAATACTGCCGGGAATACTGCCCTACATTGGGCTGCGCTAAACGGACATTTGGAGTCCGTGAAGGTGCTTCTGGAGCAGGGGTCGGATCCCACAATCACCAACCAGAGAGGACACGATGCTGTGTATGAAGCGGAGTTGAATGATAAGAAAGAAGTTGTTGAATGGGTCCTTACGGAGGGAGGGGAGGGGTTGGAAGAAGCGGTTGGCGGGGATACTGGTGATGGTGATGAAACAAGTCCTGAGGAAAACATGGAAACGGAGCAAAATCCCGGCGCAGAGGAGGTGGAGATTTCAACAAAGCTACGAGAAGAACTGGGGAAAATTGGCATCCAAGAGCCTACCTCGAATACTTGAGAGGGCCGGCAAGAACACCGAGCAGAGTGTTGCTTCCGCAACCCTAACTTGTCCATTCCTCTTCATGTTCGGCCAATATAATGGCCAAGGATTGCTGCTCTCAGCCAAAGCCAGCATTCGCGTTAGATGGCAAGTCGCGAAATAAATCCTAGAGGTTGGCTAGCTAGGACGCGCATGGAGTTAATGGCCAACTCGCTGCCTGCTAAGTCACTGCGACATAACTCGCTACATGGTGCCGTGTAAGTAGCTTCATCCTCTGAAGTGCCCTAGAAATGGTGCTCGAGGAATAATACTACATATGCCGCCCATTTTATCTCCGCCGTTTGCAAAGTAATAGAAGTGAAATATATTGTGTTGTATTGCTTGACGCGGGGCCATATCGGTTAGAAGGAGGAGGACGGGGAGTCTGGAGCAGTGGTCATCTCCGCACACCTACGGAGTATGAAAATGGGGCCCCCCGGATCCGGGAACGAGTCGATATGTCTCAGCTGCAGCGAAGCCACATTCGTGTCGTTAGCTGGTTAGCGAACCACGTTCTCAGGGACTGTCAGCTAAAGTACTTCCTCCCTCTTCAACCTCTTGTCTAAGATTGCCATGATCTCACATGTAGAGTTCAACCCCGTATATTTATATATAGCTACACTCCCAGATCCATACAGTAGTTCTTCAAGCGATCACTCGAATTGAGTACCAACTTTTTTGATAAGCACTAGGATTATTTTTCCCAGTTTTCGATCCCTGCAACCGCACGTCATCCTCCGAAACCAAATATACAGGTATTTGGTGCATTTATTATTTCGACCTATAAAGTAGCAAATAATCTGTAGTTTCGCCTTTTAAAGTTTCCAACTTCACGAAAATATTTATTCTCATCATTAGTTCTTCTTGAAGCTTTAACAACTATGTCTGACGAGTACGAAACCTTACTTCTCTTAGGATTCCAAAGCTTACCTGTTAAATAGCATGAACCAAGGAAGAAACATGGAAACAGAGGCCGAGGAAGAGGAAGAGATGGTTCCTCAATCCGAGTCGGAAAAACAAATGTCCCTCAGAAACGGCAACGTCAGTAATCAAGACCTGGCTCCAGTCAAGAACAACCCGCAGCAGCAGCAAGTCGTTCAGCCCCAGCCTGAATACCAGCCTAGGCCCGAGCAGCCCCGCATTCCCCAACGTGCTGAGGGCTACAGGACCTCCGCTATACGAGAGTCTCGTATCAAAGACCGGCCAGTCAGTAAAACTGGGGCGTCGGACAGCGCATTGAAGATTAAGATCGAGCTTGACTTGGAAGTTGAGGTTGATCTTTATGCTAGAGTTAAGGGCGATGTTACAATTGGGTTGATGTAGAGCGATGCTTTTTTGTTGGGTTGAGCCAGAGGGGAGGAACTGTGGGGTTAGAGAAAGCCAATAGGTGATTTGTCTACTTGGGGTTGGAAGCTTGGGTTTTTGCGCATGATAAAGGTTTCACATCGTTGCGTATTATGGAATATGCATAGGTTTCTTAATAAGAGTTGGGTACCACACGGTACCTCCCCTCCATTACGAAACAGTAATCTCACTTACCCCACTGGTATATTCCCCTACGTCGCCATAATCTGATAATTATACGTCGTTCCCACTTCATCCCTAGTTTCGCCCACGCGGCGATGTTAATCTAAATGAAATCATCTGATTGATCTCCAAAGTAATGTCATCGACTGCTTTTCTCGCCGAAGTCGGCACGTCACAACCACAGACGAATCACCACGCCACTATCCTTAGATCGGAGGAAACGTTAAATAATCTTCAGAGGTTTGTATTATGCAAAAGCAAAAATGCTAATGAAATTTGACATAAAAAACTAGTACAATTACATTATTATTGGCGGAGGTTCTGTGGGCGTCTCGACCACTTCCGCGTTGCAGAGAGCGGAGCCAGAAGGTCGAAACTTTTTAGGCTTTTAGCGCTTCTACAACGGTCTTAGAAATGCCAATATCTTGCGATTTGATTGACCACAATGAACAAAGGTTGGATGTTCGGGAATTTTTGTCCTTGGGCAACGAATTCCCACCCTGTAACAGGGTGGTGGATCCTTGGGTCTAGAGAGCAGATGCCTCGCCTCTTATATCATCAAGCTGAAATTATGAGTAATGGTTAAATATGGTGGTGCAATAAGGTTCCCGAACGATTTGTAGGGTGGCCACAAAACCGATTCATCCTTTTCCTGCCAGGCTACTACTACCTCACCGTTTTGATGGCGCATCTCGGAGGAGCCACGGATCTCCAAGCAGCTCATTCGCTGTCTTCCTGTTTTCCGGCATCCACTGAAGCATTTTACCTACAAATTCCAAAAATAATTCTTTTTCTCCCCCTTGTAGAGAAGGGGTACTGTCGCGTAAATTAAGATCTCCTGGAATGAGCTCTTTATGCAGAAACTCGCCTTCGAAGTTTGTCAGTATAGCTGTGTGAACAGAGATGACTAGGATGCAGTCTCGGAACTTCTTACCATTGGAGTCGAAGAAAGGGCCTCCAAAGTAATCACTAACGCTCGTACAAATTCTACCTTCAGAGTTTTCAACCGGAGGTTTCCATTTCCAAATGCGTGCTTCTCTTTCCCGGTCAACAAATTCTTTGGGAGGATGGCCCAAAAGTGCTATCATCTGTGCAAGATGTTTTTGATAATTGTACTTTCTATCGTTGGAATGAATCTGCCCAAATAGATCTTTATTCTCCAATAGATTTCAGATCTGTAGCACCATGAGAAAATCCTGCATACGTATGGAAAAGATTGGAATATGCTTACCAGTACGCCAAGATTCCAAATATCAGCACTGTAGGACCAGCCTATTCCAAGAACGACTTCAGGGGCACGGTAGTGATCAGGTTGAATTGGATGAATATTGCGACGAGAATCAATTATTATGTTGGAGTGGCCAAAATCGGCTATCTTTGGGAGTATACCAAACGACTTCAGCGAGCCAAATTGGTTGTGTGATTGATAGGTAACTCGGCCATCTTTGATCTTGCGAGCCATAGGATTGGACCCTTGCAACCGGACAAATTCATTGATTACTGAACCGTCCTCGAATTCAAGTAAGATATTTTCCGATTTGAGATCTACTTGCGTGAGTCAAGGATTAAAAATGTTTTGAGGCCATGACCTACCTGTATGGACAATGTGACACTCGGAGTGAAGATAGTCTAGCCCCCGTAGCAAGAAGGTCAAATAAACTTTGACCAAAGCTAAGGAGAGTTTCCCATCTCTGCAGCGCCTTTGGAACAACCAGAGTGGCTCCCTCATGGGCTCATAAACCAAGCATATATGTGAGCCGTCTGGACCCGCTATTTCGAAGCTATTGAAGAGCGTTCGCACATAGGGAAAGCCTCTGTGCAGCGGGTTCGTAGTAGCCACAGTCTTGGATATCTGCAGCTCATGCTGAGCTGCATTTTTGTCGTCGAAATCGCAATTGTTGATCTTTAAAGCTACGTAACGTTTCGACCGCCATCTCTGACTATAGAAGGTGAGCTTGACGAAGTGTCAGAGTCAAGTTGCACTTACTGTTTAATATCTCGAGCAAGCCAAACGGTAGAAGAGCTACCCCACCCGAGCTTCACAATTGTTTTGTACCTCTTGTTAAGAAATTCGCCGGGATTCGCAGGGTAAAAATTGTGGAGATTATAGTCCGGAATCTGCTCTTCTTCGATAGCAGGTTCCGCCGGAAGGACAACAGCATGCTTGAGAGATGCTGTCGAGGCAATTCGATATGCTCTGTAAGCAGAATTTAACAGCAACACTGGGATAAGTCAAATTTTGAGGAGTTGCGAGAGACCGAAACGTGAATATCGATAAGAACTTAAACACTAAGAAGCATCGCTCTCTACGAGACGAGCTTCTTTCTCAATCCGACCGAACTGACAAACGTCGGCTGTGGTTTCCTAGTTCTAAGCGACACACTTCGACAGGCACCAAATGCAGTGTCGTTCACGTAGCATCTGACGTCTGAAACTATATTAGCTTACCCGTCGTCTCAAAAATATTATCAGACGAGGCGTCGAGGCATTCCTAACTTCCTAAGACGAGCCAGACCAGGAAGTTAAGACTGGACAAGCTCTTACGAGAGATTCCCAGATTCCCCACAATTGGCATGGTTCGCCGCGATTTGTTGCACAGACAGTGAGCTGCAGCTGAGCCCGACATCGTGAAGCATGAATGCATGCGCATAGGACAGTACTTGAGTACAGACAAGAGTATTTAAGAGCAGGTAGCCACGTACTCTTACGCACTTCATTTCCATCCACCCCATCACTGCCTCACTGTCTCTCACTCCAAATCACGTTCGTTCTCTTTTCAGACGAGAACCGCTGGCCGGCCGCCCATTCATTTCTATATCCTTCATCTTGAATACTATACCGTACTATACTATACTTTTCTTTATTATATCCCACCTCACCTCTCCTTCCAACTTCCAGGCAAAAAAAATGCAGTTATCTATCACCACCCTGATCCTCGCCCTCGGCGCCCTCGCGTCCGACGCCCAGTGGTGCATGCTGTGTCGCTGGTACGAATCTCAAGCAGGATGCTTGTACCAGCACCTCGGGCGCCACTGGCCGGTGCGTCCCCGGTGGTAACAGCTGTAAGTCTTTCTTTTCTGTCTGCGTCTGCGCCTGCCCTTCCCTGCCTTCGTTCGTTGATTATGCATGAAGTGCCTTTGAGAAGTGACGTGCGTGGCTAACTTCTCCTCTTCAGGCGGCGGCGCACTGAGCTGCGTAGCGCAGGCAGATTTGTCGTGCGACGCGAGCATCACCGAGCGTGGAAATTCGCTGTGCCGGGCCAAGGCGGCAAATGGAGGCTTTATTGATGGAGCAAAGATTATCACGTCACTGTCCCAAGCCACCGTGTAGTAAAGCAAGAGTGCAGAGGCAGGGCTGAGAGTAGGTGATAGCCCCCTGCTACGCAACCAGACAACCAAATTCAGAACCAAGATTGTCGTATATTATCAGATCGTCATGTATCGTTCACTATCGAGACTTTGATCAACCTGTGCTGATCGTGCACGTGGCGTAAGTTCAGATTCGTGACTAGGCACATTCAGCCCTTCTGGTGCCTCACCAGCGGGTGACAGGACTCGTGGACCACCCGGAAAGAACACACCATATTTCCGAGTCCTGCACCACGTTTACATGCAAGAAAAATATACCTGAATATATACACAAGTGTGTAGATTCTTGCCTTCTTGTTTGATTTTTGCTCCTTGTAACCGGGATGCTTTCGCAAGCATCCTTGTTTCTATTATTTGCATATATATTGGTGGCACGTTGCTATTACTTCTCATCAATCATTTGTGTTTGTTAGCCGCTATGAGAGCTTCCGCAGGTGCGTCAGCCACTGAAAACAAGATATCCCGCACCGGCCCCCGCAATTGCGTTCCACTCCAGCCAAAGGAACAATCCCTCCTAAAATAAATAATCGACAGCAAATGGTTGAAGTGTCCCGATAGTCTGGTTCACTCTCCCCACTTGTTGCTACCTGCTGGTTTGTTGGTTAAAGGGACTGGTCGCTACACTGGAGGATAGCCTTTTGCATCCTATTTGTTGATGCGTCTTCCTTAACGCCTGGGTGCTTGCTTTGAATCACAACGGTTTATAGCATCATTTTGTTGTATATTCTATCTTTCGACACATGAGCCCCGTCTCCGGATCGGACTAGGAGCTGCTGCTCGAACGTATGCTGTGGCACTGAGCCTTCAAGATCCTTTCTACTAATCCTCCATAGATTAGCTCAAAATCTATACAGAAGCAATGCTCGGTTCCTCTTCGAATTGATCCAAAATGCGGAAGATAATAATTACTCCAGGGCCAAGGCTGTTGGTGCAGAGCCTTATATCAAGTTTACGATCCGGCCCGGTACAATTTGCATCGATTGCAACGAAGATGGCTTTACTCCGGAAAATGTTAGAGCCATTTGTAGAATTGGCGAGAGCACTAAGATAAGGGCAAATTCTCAGTACTACATTGGCGAAAAGGGAATTGGATTCAAGTCAGGATTTATGGTTGCATCCAAGGTTCACATCCAATCTGGAGCATTCTCGTTCTTCTTCGACCACGAACCTGGAAACAACGGGATGGGAATGATCACTCCAATATGGGAGCCCGCTGATGTTACTTTGGCGGAACCTCTCACGAGAATTACATTGACCCTCCCTGACTGGTTGGATCTTGACGAGCTTCTTTCGCAATTCGATGAGCTTCCACAGACGTTACTTTTATTTATGAAGAAGTTGGGTAAAATCATCATGGATGAAGATGTGCAAGAATACCGAGATGTGCAAGTAGTAGCAGACGTGGAAGAGGAAGAAGAAGAGCAAGAGGATGAAGATGATGAGGAGACGGAGCCAAATACCAGGGTGAAATCTATCACGACGTGCTCCTGTAAATTCGATCAGAATATTGGGAGGGGCCAGGTGACTGTGTCAATAGATCGAGGCGAGGAGGCAGTCGCATGTTCGGACGAATATCGGATCACTCGTAAAAATTTATCGAACTTGCCAGCTGATGGGCAGCGTGGTTACAACACGGCCGAAGTGATCCTAGCCCTTCCCTGTCATCGATATTCGCGGCAATGGCTGGGCTTATATTGAGTCTCAGAAAGTTTATGCCTTCTTGCCTATACGGGATTTTGGACATCCAGTAAGTGTGACAAAGGGAATATTGACCAACTCGCTGATCACGGATTAGTTCATAATCCACTCAGACTTCGTTATGCAAGCGAGTCGGGAAGATATTATGGAAAATGCGGGAAACAAAGCTATCCTTGAGGGTGTAGCTGAAGCATTTGTGGATGCTGTCTTACAATTCTATCAGCACCCAGTTCTTCAGTATCAGTGGATGAGCTACATCCCAAATGATGATAAAGTTTTGAGCCCCTTCTGGTCCGACCTCTCGACTCGAATGAAAGGGAGTTTGAAGACAACACCAGTTCTGTGGCCACGAAGCAGAAGTCGTCTTCGGCTAATTTGTCAACTTAAGATTGTCCCAAAACAACTTAAGGACTGTTATGGCAAGCCCCTAGTTCCTGATTTACCAGAGGAGAAGGAGATATATCTTCATCAAGATTATTATACTTTGGAGCCCTTCGTGCTCCTAAAACTCATAACACTCGGGCCGGAGGCTATGAGCGTTCACGATTGCGTCGAAGGAATCGGACGAGTCGCAATGTCATCAACTTCGAATATGAAATCGGCTGATGACGACTGGCATGAGCGTATTGCCCGCCTACTCCTGTTAGTATTCGAACAACCACACCTGAAGACGAAAATCCCATATCTGAGGAGTCTGCCTTTGATTCCTCTTGGAGATCAGCGGTGGGTTTCGATTGCCGACAAGGCTGTCTACTTCCCGGATACTGACGACATGCCGATACCTTGGGATCTTGGTTTGCGGCTGATCGAACCCAAAGCAATAAGACACGCCGCGAGAAAGACACTATTTACAAAACTAGGAGTCGTGGACGCTGATAAGGACATTGTGAGAGAATTAATCCTGAAGAAGCATAGGAGAGGATGAGACGAAATCACGCTCAAATCTTCTGTCAGCCATTTGCGATATTTATATTGGACGCGACCACCACCGCCTCTATCGAGCAGTCCCAGTGTCGGATTTCGCAAATCGTCGCCTTTCTGCTTGTTCAACGATTTCAATATATCCGTCCACAGCGATCATGATCTGTACCTCGAGAAAAACGAGAAGTATGGCACCAAGGAGTTCTTGAGGTTGGTGCGCGAGGAGAATCCACCAAAGGATTTGCATTCTTTCGGCTCCTTTATAAACCACGAGTATCTCAACTCGGTGCCAAAGCAGACGAATGGCACAGTTTCAACCTTATTCTAGGCTTGGTTAACATTCGAGGTGCAAGTTAACCAACGTCCCAGACTTGCCGACCCGAAGGATCCTTCCCAGTTATCGAAGTTATTTCTCTTCATTATCGAAAAACATCCCGAAAAGATGCTGGGAACGTTGAAAGCACACTGGGGCATGTACAAAATTTTCATGGAAGCTCATCCAAGATTGAAGCAGAAGATCTCCGACGCGATGGTTCCCTCTACCAACGTTGGGAAAAGGGAGTTGCGCCGGACATTTTTACCACTAAGGGAACTCGAGGCACGCTGCAGCGAGTTTCTCTAGCCTCAGATCTTTCCCTTTCTTACGTTTAATGATTTTTCCAGCGTCGAAGAATGGAAATTTCTTAAAATATTTGATGTTGGTGTAGATGATAACCCGGACTTTTGTCTGGAAATCTTGCAGCGGGTTAAAGAAAGTCAAACGACCTTCAATTAGAAAACATTTACGAGGAAATACAACGGGAAATCTGGGTATCTACTAATCAAGATGCCGATATAAAACGTGTCCAGTATGGAAAACTTAATATCTTTTATAGTTTCGTCCTTCACTCAAAGCTAACTGGGACATAGGGACGCTATCTACAAGGAAAATTTAGTTCATCTTCCTGCTTGTTTGAAGTATGGGCGCCGGTAAAGTGGACATGGACCACCCGATGTATCTGGGACGGGCCAAACTATATGAGGGCAACGTATACTTTGCGCCCTGCTCTATCCGATGTGAACAACGCGACTCTCACAGCTGTCTTTGTGGATACTCTCCAAATGAAAAACGTCTCATATAAAAACTTGACGGATGAGCTTAATATATCGACAAAGGAATTATACCGAACATTGAGAACATTCACGACATATATATCCGCCTTCAGATTATGGCCTCATCCCTGAGTGCCGCTGAACTAGGCAATGTTCGGTAAGCAAACTTAATAAGATCGCTACAATAGAATGACTTGGAGCTAGGCTAATTTCTGATAGGGCTTTGTTCGAACAACATGCTCTCATATATGACACTATTGGCAAGACCTGGGCACCTACATCCTTATGTCTTTGGTCCAAAGATGCTCAAATACCTGGGAAGGTGACAATCCTTAGTCAATATGGAGATCTGAAGGATTTCTTCGTCGGCATACTAAAAGTTAAGATTCATGACCTTGGCATGCTTGTCGATGAACTCAGCCAGGTCGCGAGTTCGAAACTCACAGTGGATGATGTGAAGAGTCTCATCTGGCAGATAAATAGTTTCTCTCCGTCACGCAAGGCTCTCGAAAAACTGAAAACTTTACCAATTTTCCCAGTGAAAGCGGCAAGCAGAGGATTGGACCCGGCCGTGCTGCGAGTTAGAAATGAGAAGTTTTCAATCATCGACCGCCAACCATGGGCCGATGCATTCCAGGGCAGAATCGACTTTCTTGATTTTAACCTCGAAGAGGTCCGGAAATTGCAGCATTTCTTGTCTTCTTTCGATTTTGAGAATTATTATTTGTCTCGTGCTATAGCAGAGACGTCATCGTTCCAGGGTGAGGTTCGAGAGCCCAAGCAGCAAACGGACGAGACAGCTAAGAACTCGTGCATATCCGATGGCTAGGTGAGCCTCCCAAACTGCATTTTCACTCGCAACAACTGATTATGTCACAGATGTGCTGCTCACTTTAGGAGCCCGAGAATCCGTAACGACTGCATGTTCATCTACCGTCTACTTCTTAAAGCTGAGGTATACGAAACAGACGGTATAGTCAGGAATTTAGTGCACACTCAGAGAGCGTTGAGACTGTAACGGTTGAAGTACACAAGAGCAAGCTTCACATCTCTGAAGATTCTGGAGTTCTGAAGATGTACGTTCCGAAGGACAGGAAGGACCAAGAACTCTGTTTCCTTCAGCTTTTGCCAACAAAGCTTTTCAACGAGGTGATGATGGGAAAGAAAACCAACAATTCAACAGTAGCATCTGACTCTGAAGCTGTCAGAATCATAGCTGCCCTCTTCATGTCTAGTGATGAAGTTGTCTGCGATTTATTGGATGACGCAGGTATCATTCCCGTGCCGTACCCTGATGAATATACAGCGAAGCTTCCGATCTGGCTATTCAACATGAAGACCACTCGCGGGTCAATAGGGAGATTGAACTAGATGCACCACCGAGGGAGGATAGAGGACAAAGAGCAGAAGAAAGTGCCTCTTCACCCGGATCTAGACTTTTGTCTCCAACCCCCCCTTCTTGCTACAGGACCAATTATCGAGCAGCAACACCCACATATCGCCAGCCTTCCACTAGCTCTTTCATCTCACGCCCTTCTGCACCCCAGAGGAACGAACCTTCGCCCTTTTCGGACAATAGTGGGCAAGCAGAATATCGTAGGCTGCTCAGCAATGTCATTGCAGCAGCGAAAAGCCAGAGAGGTGGATTTCCAACCCGAGGAGCATTCAACCTCGATAATTTGCTTAACGCTCTCCCCATCGAATCAGATGCCGAGCCAGTTTCTTATGGCCTTCCCTTCGGCGTCAGAAGCGAGAACCAGCTTGCTCATGACATGAAAATAGGCGCGGTCGGGGAACTATACGTAAGATCCGAAATGGGAATTGTTGGCGTTCCGCTGATTCATTCATAGGCGTTTGAAATTCTATCCCGATTGGAAGCCCACATTCCTGGGTTTGATCGCGGCAACTGGCAGAGCACTATCCGCCGACATGTGACTGTTCATGAAGACTATTACGGCATGGACCCATGGAAAGGAGCGGAGACTGCCGATATCACCTACGACGACACAGAAGGAGAGTTCACCAAGCTCTTGGTGGGAAACGAGTATTTGGAAGATATTTGGATTGGGGCCAAGCCCAAATTCTACCTCGAGGTAAAAGCGACTACGAAAGAATGCAACACTCGGTTCTTCGTAAGCAAGAGCCAATATCAAAGGGTATGGGAATCTAGATCAAAACATATGGTAGTTGGAAACTAACAGTCATAGATGGAGCGGATGAGATTGATAGCTGGAGAAGTCTCCCCTGAGATTTACATCATTCTTCGTGTGTTCAACCTCGGCAAGGATACCATCGACATGCGCCTCTTTGTGGATCCGAAGAGGATCGAGGATGGAGGGAGTTTGACTTTTACTCCAGAATCGTACTCTGTCTTACCAGCAGGAAGTACCAACACTTGATTTATAGGAGTTTCAAGCAGGGCTTTATAGATACTTCAATTGCACCCCCTATTTTGGATGTGTCTTGCACCACTCTTCCCTTTCCGTGGCCGCAACTAAGCTGCCAATCCAGTGGAATATTGTACTCTTTCCAATCACTCCCCATGTTTATGCCGCGTATATGTTTTTTCAAACAGGACAAGTACGATCTGGATCGATGTTACCTACATCACTTGGGAATATTACGATCCTTAAACGTTTACGGGCTTCGAGTGGATAGATTCCTGCGAATAGTCGCTTGCTAACATTACGACTTAAAGAAGTCTTCAATCCGCTGGACAGAATCAGTGGGATTCTAGGATGTATTGATGATGAAATATTGGAATGCTAGCTGCGTATAGGCTACTTAGAAATCAGAACTGACAAGTGTTGGCGACGATATCTCAGAGTAGGTAAGGACGGCTCTCATAGAAAGAGACCCTATCACGATGCTAGCAATGTCTGCTTCGAGTCAACGACACAGCCCGTAACCACTAGTCTCTCTCCACCGTCCGAATCCCCTACTCGTGCTTATTTCAAAATTCCACAAGGCCCACACTGAAAATTCAACCGCTCATGACACAGCCCCCCAACACAACACCTAAACGCATACGGCTCACTACAAGCCCACGTGGAATACTCTTTGCGGTTAAAGCACGGACAGCTATCCAGCACCGTGTACGTCTTCGCATCTATGACGTATGCTTCGAAGAGCTGCTGCCCATACCCGAAATCACCGAAACTCTTTGTGGGGTCGACCAGTGGCTTGTCGAACTATGGGGGATGTCAGTCACATCACGGTCAGTCGATCTGGGGATGGGGAGGAGGGAGCAGGGAAGAGGGAAAGGGAGATGTACCTGGATAACATATTTCCCAGTGGGATCATCATACTGATTCTTCAAATAAAAATCAATGTCGGAGTGATCATACCCCCAGCGTCCATACCCGACGCCATAGAGATTAAACGCCGTGTACGAGTGGCCGAAGCACCCGTCGGCATTAAACGGCGACGTGTTCCAGGAGTTGATAGTGGTGGGCGTAGAGTCGCCGAAGTCGATGGGATTTTCGCTGGACCCGAGGCCAAGGCATTCGTAGCGGCAGTCGCAGCAGCCGTCGGAGTCGAGGGCGGCGAAGTCTGGGGTTAACCCTGAGCTGTAACCCGGCGGTGGAGGATTGCTGGGAGGCGTGGGGCTGGGGTTGTCGGGGTGGTTGGGGGAAGGGTCGGAGGGTTTCCGGGGGGCATCGCCGCCGATTTCGAGGCCCAGCGGTTTGGGGATGGGAAGCAATGGGGATTGGATGCCCTCGGCAAGGGTGAGGACAGGCGTGAGAAGGCCCAGGAGCAGAACAGCGAGAGCGTTCAACTGCTTCATATCCAGGAGAGATACCTACAACAACGTAGGAAGAAATAGAAAGTAATTTAGGTTCCTTTCTTCTGACTGTAGCGAGGAGAAGAGGAGATTGAAGACTTCGGAGTGGCGGGGAAGACATTGACTTTACTTTATAGACGGTCAAAACCCATCCTCATCTCACTTAATGCCTCGCACAAGGTAGAGCCTAGACGCATCTTATTTAACGGCAGGCAGTATCAGCGATTTGAGAAAGCCAGTGTCGAGCCCGAATTGTAATATCGAATGAAAACATCGTGCTTGATGCCGACGTTCCAATTAAAACAAGGCTTCCCTTCTCTTCTGGGAGACGACAAGCTTTTCCCCGGGGGCGATAAGCTTTTTTCCGGGGACGACAAGCTTTTACCCCTCGACAGTATACCATGTTAACGGTAGGCCCGCATCTGGCAGCTGACTCCTTCTACGCCTTAATAATGCTCGACCAAGCTTTTTGATTTATGTAAGCTCGTGGCGTGCGGTTTCGCCGAGCGCAGCGCTTTTCTGCACTGGCGAACTGCGAGGTAACGGCATTGTCAGCTTACTGCATGAGAGCTGAAAATGAACTGTTGTTGTCATGTGCATGAGAGCGAAGCGAGACAACGAGAGAGCAGAACAGAGCAGAGAGGAACGAGGAATAAGATGCGATAAGGGTACTAGTAGTGTCAAGATCTTATCGTATTCTCCGAGCATGTGTCTATGAAAGTTGTATAGGCAGGTATTCAATTGTTACTAGTAGGGGGGGTGCTAGGGCAGGGGTCTCCGGCTACTAATATTAATCCGCTACTTTAACCTAATCTCTTACTACTTTAATTGAATTGAAGTTATTCTAACTAACTCCCACTTATTAATACTTTGTATATATCCTATTAGCTGTAATAACAATTTCACAGCGCGCCTTCATAGTTCTAAGTAAAGATATAAGAAATTCTTCCGGAACAGTTTCCCAAGCTTCTATAACTACTTTCCGTAATTGGTCGTAGCTTATAATATCGTGAGGATACTTATTCCAGATCTATTCTTTCATCTAATTCTATACATTCTCTATTAGATTAAGATCCGGAGAGAAAGGAGGCTATTTAATCTTCCGTATCCTACAAGTAATTAGATCAGTAACTATATCTGTAGACGTATGTCCAGGAACGTTATCCTGTATAAATAATATATAGCCTGGGTTCATTGTCATCCATCCGTGAACAAGGGGGATTATATGTTGTTGGTATGTCTCTGAGGAAATAGTTCCCCAATCCTTCTCCCAAAATAGGCCAGGACCCTTGCCTGACTTTCCTAAGAAACATCCCCAAAACATCCACCCCCCTTTTCTCTGTACTCGCTCAAAGATACAAGTCAGATCAAGAGCCTTATCCGCTAAACGCGTTATATAGGTCTTACAATAGTTTCCTGCTATAACCCAAGTTTTGTCTGATTAAAGGATCTTATCCCATTAGTTGTCTGTCTAATTAATATATTCGAGGGCGAATTCGAGTTGTAATTACTAGTTCTTTTCAGTAACAGGAAGCTTGCGGAATACGACATAACGCTATTAAGAGTTAGTTCAAGAGTTTATAATAAAAGAGTATTATTACTTTATAACTAACTCGACGTAAAGTACTTTGAATTGAATAAACACTTATCCTTCCCAATTTAGCTCAATAGCTATACGCTAAAGGGCTATACGACGGGTAATTTTAGACTGAGAGATAAACTCAATAAACTCTTCTGTTTGAGTCGTATTAAGCGCTAGCGGACGGCCGGACTGGCGACGGGGTGTATTAGGCTGCCTACAAGTATATCCTACTTGATTGACAGTTAATCCAAGAACAGCTGCAATATAGGCATATTTAAAGCTTACGTCTTTAAAGTAACGGGCGCGGAAGCGTTGATCGCGTTCTATAAAGTGGAATCTAGGGTGTTTATTGACTAGTAGTAAGGTAACTATATTAGTCAAAGTAAAAAGAATTGGTCGAGGTAGTAGAGTCTGTGGAGCGTTTGGAAGTATTTCCGCCGGTAGTACACTTGGTGTTGAAGTACCTTCTATTCTTAATAAGTTGTATAGGGATCAAAGTATATTTTCATAGTCCTGACACGTTCTCAAATTTGTACAAAACAGCGACGTGATTAAAACACCAAGAGTTATTCGGCCAATTAGGCCCCTGGCTCACCCCCCTGCCCTGGCACCCCCCCTACTAGCAACAATTGAATACTTACCCATACAACCTTCGTAGGCCTTCGTTTAACCACGCGAGGCGAGAGGAGACGCTGGTCGGGCTTTGCCTCGTTCTAAAAGGTAATTCCACATTCTCACAACACGCTTGAACGATTCTCCATGTAGAGCAAAACATGTTCTACTCCATTCCCATCTACCAGTTTAAGATTTTGCCCGGAGGAGGAGGTGACGTTGCGCTTGACTTGTCTCGTGATCTCTCGGGTGTTCATTAATTGTCAAAACAAACGTCAAGATGAAAAGGAAGCTAGAGATCAGAGAACTAAGTGGGAAGAACGAGAGAAGGAGAGCGGGCGGTCACCATTTCCATGTGCTTGATATCCTGGTACAGCAGGGACCATTTATCGGTATGCCCGATTGAAGACTCGAGGCGCACGCCCTCGGAGTTGAGAATTAGACCAAGGGGGGGGAGGTGTTTAGAGATGTAGGTGTTGATGTCGATGTCGATGTAGATATGTACCGACCTACATAGATGTAGGAGCCGTTTGTTTTGGCCATGCTAGATAGAGTATAGTGGAATTCGCGCAGTCACGTGGTTTGGCGCTCACGCGACGCGCTTTCCAATTGCTTACCTAAGATATACATAGTGTAGACGCGCTTTGTGGTACCGAGATACTTCGTGCTTTCGTTCTCTTTTACCCTTTACTTTCACTTTCAAATCAACAACCACCCGTCTATAATTATGTTTCTGCACCAAGAAATATCTCAACCATGCAAGCTGCGATAGAAGAGGAGGTTCAGGACTGGGATTCCCAGCAGTGCAAACGCCTACAGGCCGATGTTTTCTCGGTAGGGTCGCCGCATCATCTGCAAGGTTGGGCATGCACGGACTGTTACTGACCATCGCGCAGAGTTCAGCGCCACCAACAAACAAGAACAAGACCGTCGCGTCAGCCTTGTCGGCGACGAACTTCGCAGTCATTACTCTCCCTTCTACCATCGGGACTACTCTGGTTCACCAACCCAGCGACGCTTTTCCTTCCCAGAGACGTCGAGCATCGGGAGCCGTAAAGGATGTGGCTTCCACATCGGAGACCAAAATCCGCCAAATCCACCATATACTTGCCACTTTTGCCCAACACCGAACGGCGATGGCGCACGATGCAGCCAGCAAAGATTTAGATCTTACCCAGAGAAGTTCAATGTCCTTGACGCAGGAGAATTCTTGTTCGGCTTATGAGCTTTTGGGCATTCGGTCATTCGTCCCGGGACAGCATGCATCTATTGCATCGAGAGATAGATATACAGATGGAGCGGAGGGCCGTGGGAGACAATCCGCAGACGAGACGGTGGCTCGGGAGCCTGTTAACGACAAAGAACAACATTCTACGCGTACTGATTTAGCTCCCCATACATATACGGAGGACGATACTGGGCACATCGTGCTCGAATACCACCCTGAACAAGACAATGCGTCAATGGAGCAAGCAGATTCACAGGATGCCTCGTATGCTCTGCCACGAGTGGCCCCGAACTCACAGCCGCCCTTATATGAACCACAGACCCCCGCCGCGCCCATAAACCCATTCATGCATAAAGGAAGCGTCCTCAAGGGCTTCGAGATGTTTGGTGCTACCCAACCCTCTTCGATTGGTCGTCATGTAGCAAGTCCGACTTCATCGCGACCGTCACCCGATGTTTACCATGACTTTACATCTCCTCCTCGTCACTCAGTCTCATCACCTCTCCAGCGGCGAAATTTCGAAGAGGAGAAGATTCCAGTTCAATCCTCGTTGCGAAATATACTCGGCCAATACATATCGGACGAATCTCCACAGACAACTACTCCTCGAACATCAGGCATACAGTCATTCGATGCCGAACGATTATTGCCCCAAATAAATCCGATGCCTGAACCACGGAAGTACAACTCAATGAGAGCAAGTCAAGAGCGACGAAAGAATCTAGATTCTACGCCTCCTGAATCTAGCAGTGATGGCTCGGATTCGGATCTCGACTCCGAGCCAAGAAGGCGACATCAGCGGAGAAAACGAGAGCGGGACATACAGAGACAATTATCTACGGTCGAGCTGCATCGACGAATGTCACCGACTCAGCCCAGTTCATCTTGTTCGGCGTTGGTTGAAGTGCCATCGACTTCGACTCGTAGGCGACGAAGTATTCAGGATGACTCTTTGGCTCAGTGTGAGGGGGTCGATGCCCGAGATACACAGCAAGATGATTTTATTGCAGACTCACAGAGCCGTTTTACAAACTGCGAGGATGTTAAAGCGATTTCGCCCTGTAGCTTACTGCCCGCGAATTCCGCCGCCGCCCCTGGAGAAGCTCGCCGTGGTAATAAATGCCCCCAAATACACTCCAGTGCTTCCTCAAGGCAGTCATCTCCTCCTCAGTCCGATCCATCCCACAAGTTGAATACTATGCTCAACCGAATCCCAGAAGCTGATGCGGTTCGGTCACTTGATGCCACGTCATCGAAGGGCCATCCTGAGCCTAGCCTGCCACTTCAAAATGTTTCGCTAAATCGCAAAGACCTGAATACGCCTCTATCGATGAAAACCCGAATGTTCTCCGACCCAGGTGTTGCCACAGTTCCAGAAACCAGCCCCGCTCAATGCCAAATTCGTCCCATGGGTGATATTGGACTGTCGTTTGGGCCCGACGGAGATGAAGAATTGTCACAGAACCCACCAGGCTTTACTCAAGACGACGAGTTCTTCGATATCCTGAAGCTCGGGGCCTCTCCCGACGCCCCTCCACGGGCCCGTAACTCCCGGAAAAGGTCACTCGATATAGCCAACTCCCCCCCTCATGATGAAGCATCCACTACTTTTGAAAGTAACCCATCGACCGAATATCCTTTACTCAAGCATGGGTCCAACCGTTCGTCGACGGCTGAATCAGATGTTAACCCTGGGCGACATCGACCAACTAGGGCCACCACAGAAGGTGGACAAGCACCTAATCATTCACCAGATGATCAGAAATTACCAACGCCTCTAGACGACCAAATGGAGCTGAGATCAGAGACGGAATTGAATGGCCCCTCATCACATTTAAGCCTTGCTTCTGTGTCATCTGTCGCCCTCGAGGAGTTTACTCTCGATCCCCTTAAAGGCGCAAAGCCTAGTTCTAGCGCAAATTTGAATATGTCGTCTTCGTCCGAACTCTCGTCCGTCCCCTCCAGTATGGCGGTAACACCAGCCTCGGCTCCCTGCTTATCCAGAACCAGCTCTGTTGCCACGCCTGCTACCCGCTCTTCTCAGCGACTCACAGTTCCGAAGAGATCGGCGGAGGAAGGTCGGACACTTGCTCGAAGCCCTTCAAAGCGCAATGCAAAGCGCAAGTCCGTTTCTGCAGATGAAAATCCAACGAGACTGCCTCCACGTGCTTCGAAACGCCAGTCAACAGGACGGGGAGTTAAGGAGGACAGCGTGGATCCTCTGTCTCTGCCTGCTCCAAGCGTGGCTAACCAACCCAAGACGAAGAAGGGTATTCATAAGCTCTTCGAAGGGATGGCCTTTGCAGTTTCATATGTCAAGCAAGAACAGGAGAAAGATAACGTTATCAAAAGTATTGCAGATTGTGGCGGTGAGATTTTGGAAGATGGGTTTGACGGTCTGTTTGAGCTTGGACCGAATCCTGGAGGCATCGCGGATGACGATAAACAAAATTTGGTTTTGGCTCCCGCGGCCGCCTCAATCGGATTCGTGGCGCTAATAGCTGACGAGCACTCAAGAAAGTCTAAATACATGCAGGCGCTTGCTTTGGGCTTGCCGTGCATCTCGGGGCGGTGGATCATGTGCTGTATTTCAAAAGGAGCCATCCTTGACTGGACGCCATACCTTCTTTGTGCAGGGCAATCTTCGTTCTTGGGAAATGTCCATCTTAGTCGCACTCTTAGGCCCTATTCAGCCACAGAAGCCACGCTGCAGACCACATTCGCATCCCGGGATAAAATGCTTGAAGGAAAATCCATCTTACTGGTAATGGGCAAAGGCAGAGCGGATGACAAGAGGAAAACATTCATGTTCCTGACCCGTTCGTTGGGTCCTTCTCGCCTGGGCCAAGTAGCTGATTACACTGAAGCACGGCGACGACTTATAGACGCAGAATCTTGCGGACTAGATTGGGATTTATTATATGTTGATAACGCAAAGACTGCCGAATCCACCATATTCACCTCTGTGCAGCCTTCAAAGGGGCGATCTAGTAAGCGAAAAAAAGGGCCAACTAGAGTTGATGGAAGTGCTACGCCAACCCCCAAGAGAGTTCGCGTGCTCACCGACGAAGATATGGTTCAGAGCCTTATCCTTGGCCAACTAGTCGAGGAGGACTGAAGCCATCGATCATCGGCCCATCATTTAATCGTCATTGTGACCTGGCGTTCCGGGGCGACTTTTAATTTTTTTGCTGCTGGTTTCTTGTCGTATAGGATTCACGGGAAAGATATAATGGACTATCATACCAAAGGGAGTTGCCGATTCGTTTGGTTATTAGTTGTATGATATGTATCGAGCGAGGCACTGTCAATCGCGGTTGGAGTTCGGTACTATACCATATCGTTGAGCGTGGTAGTAGATAGTATTTACGTAACAAAAGTGATTGTTGCTCATAAGCGTGGATCCTACTCTTCACTTCAATGATTAAAAGATAGGAATAAGGCCATCGATGACGCCATCACTAGTTCTATAGCTGCGTTGTATATGTGAGCCAGGAGGTTTTGCTGACAGCTCCGGTTGTGCCACACTTAGCTCTTAGTGGCTAAAACAGTATATCACTCGTAATATTTATATGACAAGGGCCCCAAGCATTTTGGGGGTTGTGTGACCCCCTAACGCTACGGTATTGGTGGGCGTCAGTCCTGATGTCTCGTTTTCACTGTCCACAGTGAGGTGGGCTTATAGGCTAAAATCTATATTTGTTTACATATTTAAATACTAAGATGAAGTCGACGCGCCCAAAACAAAAAATTATCAGTTCCACACGCCGGGTGCGGAACCACGCTGAACATCTAACCCATTTTCCTCTCGCCCTCGTTTCCCATTTAACCACCCAAAAGATTACCAGTTCCCACGGCTTTACATATTTCTCTCCCAAGCCATTCCTCGGCGCTGGCCCTTCAACTTCTGTGCAGCGTTATCATTAGGTTGCGCATCCCCAAACCCGCATCCGCCATCGCGCTCTTGGGCGACGACAGGCCCCGCGCACTTCCCAGAGTTAAATCCACAGCATCCAGCAGCACAATCAGCATCACTCGTGCAAGCTCCCGTAATGAACTGCTTTCCGGCACCAGCTGCCGGGGCGGCGGACGCGGCCGAGGCGGCTGCAGCTTTTGCAGGGTTTGCGCTAGCAGAAGGAGACGCAGCTGCAGCTGCGCCAGCAGCACCGCTTCCTGTGGAGGCGGATGTGATTCCGCCGGTGAAGCCCAATGCTTTAGCGGCGTTGTCGTTGGGTGTGGCATCACCGAAGCCGCAGCCTCCATCTCGCTGAAGAGCTACAATGGCGCCGGCGCATTTTCCGGAGTTGAAACCACAGCAGTTGCCGGCGCAATCGGCATCGCTGGTGCAGGCCCCGGTAATAAATTGAGTGCCGGCTGAGAGGACGGGGAGGGATACTGTAGCGGAAAAGGTGTTAGTGATGTTAATTATGCTGCAGATGGGGATGGTTGGTTGTGAGATAGGCAAGAAACGGAGGGAACTCACGGTTGAGGAGGACGAAGAGGGAAAGAATGGTCTTTGAAGGGGAATGCATGATGATTGATGGATGCAGGCTTGCTGACTTGATATTTGAACTTTTGATGATATGAAATATTCTTAAGGGAGGAGATCCGAATAGAAAGTAATATTTATGAATGAATGAATGAATAGGTTGAAGAGGATAAAGAGTGAGCAGAAACCAGTGCTTGCCAAAAATCAAACGGAACTTCAGCGCCAAACCTACATCTTAATATACAAACTGAACGAGTAAGGGGAACACCGGAAACACGTCGTGCCCGAGGCTAACGACTTCTCGAAGATTCAAAAAATTAATGATCTGCGTTTTGAAGATGGATCGTCTGATCTGTCGGCTCAATTTCATGCGGATATCGACGCTTGGGAATTCCCATAGCGGGCTCCCCGGTTTCGTGCCTTGATGTTTTGCTAAGACGTCGAGGCCCGGGGGCGCGCCTTGTAACAGGTTGTGTATCAGCGAGATCAGGGCCGAGGCTCAGGGGATTTTGGAATTTGCGCGATTTTGAGAAGGTACGCGTTGCAGCGTCTCATTTAATGGTTTAATGGGGTAACAAATGGGGCAGGTTTCGTCGCGCTTTGTGCGATTAAGATATTGGCGACCTACTTACGTATATATGGAAGATAGCGAGGTTGAGATAAAGTTCACTGGATTGTACGTTATTACCTTCGTAAATGCAGAAAAGTGCCTATGTGGCGTTTGTGGCGCATGGCCTGGATTCGCCAGAAGTATCACTTGTACCGTAGGTACATGTACGTGCGTGCGGCAGTAAGCTAAAGAGACCATTCACAAGCCCTTTCCTTGCCCAGGGAACCTATAAACCAAGGCACTAAATTAATATCAACACCTTTTATGATGATCTCCACGGTACCACTTGCCCAAACTCGGTTCATCCGGCACTCGTTCGGACGTGCCCCTGAACAAGCGAGGAATCGAAACACCTCAGCCACGCCCCTTTTTCGCTATTTACTCTCCACGTTCAAACATCACAACTTCACAAGCTCCCCGTTTCGGGTCCCCACTCTTGTTTGAGGATCCGCTGTGTTGAAGCAGGGCGCCAATGGTCATGTTTTTCAATGCAAAGCATCCGTCTAATGATCTTCAGGACTTCGTATCTGTGATGCTGTTTGGCGCGGGGAAGGTGTTAGGGGGGACCCTTTCGTATTGGCCGAGTGAGCGGTGTTTGGGAGCTGTTGCAAGAAAATCATCCAGTAGTAAGAGGTATGTCTTGCCGCGAGGGTATGGCCCACAGCTTTGTTCGGTCGGCGAGCCAGAAGGCTAGACTTACGAGTCCCGTTCGGTTTGTCTGACTTCCGGAATCCTTCTGTACGGGAGACATGGTTATTACATATGGGGTAACTTGCGTGTTGGCAAGAGATTTGCGATTAATGCCGGATTATCCAGTAATCATCTAGATTGTGAGCATAGGACATTTGCAAGGACGAACGCCGTCATCAAGGTCGTCTCATGAATATCGGATGGTTTCAACTCATTCCCGTCACTACTTGCCTCCTAGAGGAAGTCTCTAATTCGGAGATCACATGTGGCAATATACGAATCTCAGAGAGACTTGTCTCGGAAGGAGAGGACAGTAAGGAGCCATTGGTAATGGCTAGCTTTGTTGGGACTGGCCCGTTAATGAAATCACTTGAGCCGCTAATGGTTCGTAGTTGGGACTGAATCACGTCTACGTTCAAGACATCGTGTGAGGTACGGTACCGCTGTCATGCCGCACTCCGAACATATTATTCCATGAGAAACCTACTGAACAGGTCTGAATGGATATGAAGGTGGCGGTGGTAGAAGGGGATTATTGGGTGATAATTAAACAATTAGGCAAACCCCCTCTTGCAGTCTGATTCTGGCACCTCGGCACCCATAACGATTTATGACATATCGAAGTTATCATGTTATGGGTAGCTTTGCACAATGTCTCTTAGCAAAAGCTTCGTCTTGATCCAATGATGGTTGACTAGAAATCCCAATTATGTTGAAACCTCACTTTTATTCTCCATCGAGGTGCCCTCATCTTCAACTCCCTATTCAACAATTACAATTCCCTTGCTACAAGTGACAAGTCTAAATATGTCTCTAGAATTGAAGATGAGATGTTAGCCCTGATTTGCTCAAAGGTGAAATGATTCACAATCGAATAACCAGAGCCTGGTCACCTTGTCAAGCGGCCCTGCTCATCATCCCCAACCAACCTCGATCTCCCACTTAGCTCAACGACAACACATATACCGACACCATTCTCGAGCTTCCCCATCATATTACAGCAAGATGCCTCATTTGATCAGGGTCACCTTTGGTGTGTCAAAAAGTCTAAAGGGTCTCCAGACAACGGCAATTGAAAATGTACGTGGAAATACGGTTGGTCAACGAAAGGTGAAGGCTGACCTGATATTACGGAACTTGAAGAGGAAATACAACACCAAATCCAATGATGTCTCGCAGAATAAATTGAAGAGAACGGCGGATGCAAGTGGCTATGATGATATCATCCTTGCCAAAAGGCCAAAGCTTGACCAAGCCATCCAAAAGGGTTTGAAGCAAAAGGCAATCGAAGTTACATCTGGTGTTATTATCACTCGCGAAGAATCGGTTTCGAGACAGGCGTCGGAGAAGGGCTTCGAGAAACAAAATGATAGGGGCCCATCGGATGATTTGGGTCTTGACCAGGGGGTTGAATCCGACGCTGAGGTCCAGGTCCAGGCTCACCAAGAAATCACAGCAAAGTAAGAATCAAAGCTCACCCACAGGTACTCAGTCAATTTTGTCAGTCTAACAATTCCCAGGATCCTTTTTACCAGACCGTCTATGGTCAATGTTAAACCTGCAGGCATTACCGCTACCGCTTTCAGCATTCACGAAGACCTCCTCACCGTTCACATCCCCTTTCTCGCCCAGGCCATACTGCCCAGCAGCCAGCCATCAAACTCAATGCGCCAGCTAAATCTCCCATCCTGGATCAACTACATGGATTTCACTATACTCGTGTCATGGCTCCACACCGGTACCCTACCCATGATCGACATCGATTCTCCATCCTCCCGGTTTATACATTGCCATCTAGCAAACCTCTGGATGTTAGGGCACAGTCTCTCCATTCCTGCATTCCAAAATACGGTTATGGATTCCCTGAGAAAGCTTTGTGCCGAGAACCAAACAGGCGGCTTCAACTATGCATGGCCTAGCTTTCTGCAAGCAGAGGAGATTTATCAGCGCACTGCAGTGGGTGCCAAAATCAGAGCATTTGCTGCTGCGGCGCTGTCATTCAAGAGACCAGTTGATAAGATGGGTGAGGACAGCGAGGCGTCGAGAAGATGTTTTAATGTATGGAAGCGGACCCCAGAGCTTTTTGTTGACCTATGCCAGGCTAGTCTGAGACCAGAATGCCCATGGCATGACGAGGCAAGAAAAATGTGGACGGTTAAGGAAGATTTGAGCTTGAAATACAAATGGGAGGAGTTGGCGAAGGGAAGAAAGCTAACAAGGGCCAAAGTCAAGGGTTGGAACGGGGAGACTTTGAGGGAGTTGACAATGATTTTGTGAGGAATTTATTTGATTATGTGGAGATTTGCTCAGCATGCAGTGGACTTTGCAGTATTTGGCCTAAGTGGCGGCTGTCTGGTATGAATACAAGTAGATAGCCTACCTCTGGACGTCGACGAGGTCATTGGCGATACAATACTGTATCAATTATACTGATGCAATAGTCAACTTAACATTGATTGCGATTGCCCGCGCCCATATCCTAGTCTCCACCCATTTTATTCCTGATCACAAATTGTACCTCCACACCTGAAATTTCTCAAGAAACTAGCCTCGCCCTTACTCAAGATACACACAGCGACACCTCTGCCTGAAACATACGCAAACTTCCCGCTCGCCAACCGCCAGAAATGTGTTCCATGGAACGACCCCTTTCGCGCCAGTCCTCAAATTTAGCACCTGACATTCATTCCCGGAATGAGATACAATTTTGACGAAATCCCCCACTTGCATATTCTCGACTTTCTTGAACTGGGTGCCTTCAGAATCCCTGATAAATTCCGGGGTGCGCATAACTAAGAGAATGGCTCCTGGCTTTTGTCCTTCCATGCTCAAAGGGTCGACGGCCGACTTTGGAATCCAGCCTGCAGATTCGTCAAATAAGACGTCGTCGCCCTCTATATATTGACCTCGCCATGCCTCCTGCCACGGGCGAACGCCATCCTCATTTTTGATTCCGTTTGCAGTGCACCAACGGATCTGGAGGCGCAATCCTGGGTCGTTCGATTCATGAGGGTCAACGTCGTCGGTCCAATGGATTTCCAATAGAATGTCTTCACCGGGGGAAATCGGGGTCCAATGGTCGTATGACGTACTAGATGAGTACTCAATGCTATTTCTTTGAATTGCAACAGGGAGTGGCAACCGGTGATGCTTGTTTGTACTGGCCACCAAGTACCACTTGGCCAGTACTGCGACACGTTTGGCCTGGTTATCCAAATCTTGAGTAACTGGCTGAAGTACCCAATCTATATCAACCGCGACCTGCCTCTCTGGTGGGATGGAGCTCCATCCAGGGCCATGAGCCGGTCTGCTAATTTTGTTCCAAACGATTCTCCCAATCTGAGGTTCTGCTGCGAGCAATTCGGAATTTGGAGATACATCAGCAACTGCGACGGTATTTGAAGTAGGCTTTTGCGTGTCCTGATGATCCATACTGGAGGCGGTATGTTTGATGATGTTGAGGCGGGTTGAAGAATTTGCCCGAAGAGATCTTTAAATGCAGAATTAGCTTGGAGTGAGTTGAACTGCAATCGTGTTGGAATTCTTTCCGGGCATATACACTATCCGTGCGAGAGAAGGGAGTATAAGAAGCGGATTGAAGTCTCAAAGCTCCGGAACTCTATCACAGGAGCCATTTTGCTGCCTAATGCCATCCCACTGTTTGTTCTGAAATGCATCACTTCAAACAAAGATTATTTCTCCTCAATTTCAGGCCTGTTCCGTCTTTTTGCAAGCCGGCGTTTGAAATTACTGCTTTGAGTACCTGCCGGCAGCCATGTGGCAGTAAAACATACGAGACTATGCATGTTGCCGTGTCCAAGTTGGCGGCCTCCTACTGAGTTCTGAAAAGCAAGTTATCTTTGAAACATAAACTTTGCACGTCCACTGGACCAGAATTGCTGTTGATAGGCCAAGGGATCAATGTATACCGACACTTGTTCAGCCTTACTAAGAGTCTTGCGTCATGAACTTCACCGCCATTTTACTCCCAGCCTTAACGTAAGTTACGAAGTAGGGGGGTCAAAAAAGATTTAAAAATTTGTTCACATGTTAGTGATGGCAGTCTGGGTGTAGATTTCATGTAGTTGGCTTCCCATCAACTTTGTCCCGAGTTCGTGGGGCTTTCACCCAGCACGCCGTTGCCCCGCCATATGATGTCCTATTTACAATTTTACCTATTTATCCGCCCCCCTTTTTCCCAACCCCTCCATCAAGCACCACTTTCTATCAGCGCTAGGAAGGTTGACAACCCGACAACATTCCAAGCATACCATTCTCGGCCATTATACCATCGTATTTCAAAGTGATGATCCTTCCAATATTTTGGTTTCCGTTATCCGTTTGTATGGGGAGCAATTGTGCCTAATATGACGTAAGGATCGTCCAACATTACCTGCAGGTACGCCGGCAAAAACTGGTTTACCCTGGCTTGAGCTCTTGGATAGTCACCAATCAGGAATCTTATTGGAGGGAAATCGCTTTTGACATGAAAAAGATCAGGATGAAAAGAAGAATATATTGCATCCCCGGGGCGCCGGCAGAGGGGGGATGATGCGGAGAAAGGGTTTATGGCGGATACAAAATGACGTCTCGAGCCCGTTTTGAAGCTGCTGGAAGCTGCGACACGGCCAGGAAGAAATAAACAGCGGGCAAGATGAAGGGAATTCTGAGGGCCTCGGCGTTGTTTTTGGGGTCGCCCTGCATGGGAATTGCAACTGCTTCTTTGCAATCGCCCGATACTTACTCCATCCGCATCAACACCCCCAAAGGCGGCCTCATAGACAATGACGCGATTCTCGCAGGTAAAACAAATGACACCACATCAGCAGTTCCCAGATCCAGCTCCGCCGGTACCAATGGCGTTCAGATAACGCAACAACACCCCTCGTCGCAGATTCTTAAAGTTCAAGTATCCAGCTCAAACCACTCCGCGATCGGCGCTCGTTTCACCACATCCAAAGATGGGCTATTTTACGGCGTCTGGGAATATCCATTTTCCAACCAGCTCACAAATCAAAATATAACATTTGACTTAAAGGGCATTGGTAACGCCGAGGGAATCAATTGGGCAAGTGCCCGCGCACCATTCTTCATCAGCACTGATGGGTCCGGATATGGCGTCTACATCGACACCCTAGCTATGGGCTCCTTCTCCTTCTCCTCAGGACAAGCACAGTTTATCTTCAATACAAGCAATCTTCTCTACTACATCATCCAGCCTGATCGCCCGGGAGATTACAAATCAATTATAACACAATACACAGCTCTAAGTGCGAGAATTGAGATGCCTCCTGACTCTGGATATGGCCCGATCTTTTGGAGTGATGATTTCGAGCAGGATTTCCACGAGGGTGTCACAAATGCGGAGGAGAACTACTATGATGTTGTCAATCATCTTTATTCCAATAAAATAAGGGCAACCGCGATGTTTGCAGATCGTAAGTTCTTTCCACCTTACACCATCAGCTAGCCTCTTGAATATTGATTACGAAAAGGCCCATATGGGACGGGGAACTGGTCCTTTGGCAATTTTGATTTCGATCCGAAGTATTATCCAAATCCCAAAGAATTTATTGCGAATTTGTCGGCATCTGGATTTGATTTACAGGTAGGAGATCCCAAGAGTCGGCCACGACGATGACGAACATACTAAATAAAACTAGGTCTGGGTGGCCAATCGAGCATTCCTCTATACGGAACTTTACAATGTCTCTGTGGCCAATAGCTGGCTCTTTACTAACCAAGATCCACACCAATACCTCGGTCCAGCGCTCAATCTCTCTATACCAGCCGCATACGACTATTTCAAGGAGCATTTGAAGGCTTTCACAAATCTGGGCGTAAAGGGCTATAAAATTGATCGAGGCGAGGAAGATGAAATGCCAGGTATGTACCGGTGGTGCTACCCTTATTATGGCGAATATATTCTTTTAGCGCGCAATTTCTCCCCTTTTGGACTTATCTGACAAATAAACTTTGTAGTATACGAGCAAAATATCCAAATGGGCCTGTTCGAACAAATTTGTTACGACAACATGGTTGAGAAATGGGGAAAAGGGAACTTCTACAACTTCGCCCGCAGCGCCGTCGACCGCTCCCGCGCTGTCACCCACATCTGGAACGGCGATTCTCATTCCGACTTCACAGGGCTCGCATATTCTGTGTCCTCTGGTATTCGTGCAGGTTTGCTCGGATACTCGATGTGGGGTTCCGATACAGGAGGGTATTCACGTGGGCCGGACGACCCAAGTGAAGAGTTATGGGCTCGTTGGATGCACTTCAGTGCCTTCTCAACGAACTATGAGATCATGGTGGGATCAAATCATACGCCCTGGTACTCCCCATATACACCTCGTCTAGTCAACGTCCTGCAGCAGACAGCCCAGCTTCATACTGAGCTTGTGCCTTATATCAAGTCTTCCATGTACCAGTCGACAAAAACAGGTGTACCAGTCATGCGCGCTCTGTTGCTGGAGTTTCCACAAGATAAGAAGGGGTATGAAATTACGGATGAATATTCCTTTGGGGATGCATTCCTGGTTGCACCTATTGTCAGTGAGGGAGGTAAGAGGGATGTGTATTTCCCCACCGGGAATTCCTACCTCGACTACCCCTATACCAACGCATCCAAAGTCTATGCCGGAGGAAGCACCCGCTCCTTCTCAATGGAGCTAGAGAACTCACCGACATTTGTCCGCGAAGGTGCCATAGTTGCCCGGGGGGATATTTTCCAGGGGAATGCTAAGTGGGAAAAGAAATGGGAACCGTGGCTGGAGATTGAGATTTTCCCAAGTTGGAATATCAAGGAGAGTGTGTTCGAGTATTACAGTGCAGGAAAGAGGAAGGATGTTGCTGAGATTTCGGTTCAGATGATAAAAGAGGGGAACAGCGTAAAGATCGAGTATGATGATTTGGGTACTAAGGGGATGATTGTGGTGCATGGGAAAGGGAGAGATTATACGTATAAGTTGGAGAGAGGGGGCGGTGAGGTGGTGGTTAGGGACTTTGACAGTCTGTTTGGGCGATAAGGATAAAGTTGGCCTCATAGAATCCATGATCATGACATCTCCAGTTATGCGGTAGGATGCGAGCATTTTGCAGACTTAGTGCGTGGTAATAAAGGAAGAACGTATATACAAGACAATGACTTTTTTCCGTAGTTCGTTGCTATCATACTTACAGTCCTACCAATGTTTTAACCCCTTCCATCATCCTGCCCTTTATATACTTTCACTGTGTGCGCGCCTTAATCATATCCACGGCCTAGTACACCTCGTTAGCGGAGAACATCAAATACTACTCGAAGCGCCGCAGTCAGGAAGCCGGTACCTTTTCAGCAAGCATATAGACAGTCTGTTGGGTGTTTGCTCCCGGAAGCAAGGGCATAATGCTCCCATCAGCAATGCTAAGCCTCTTGGTGCCGTGAACCTTTAGGTGCTCATCCACCACTCCGCCTAACTCCAGTGGCTTCTTGCTTGCTGTTGCAATCGGATGGTAATTAGAAGGCACATTATTAGCTCTGATCCAATCCTTGAGCGCCTCCCCTGTGACATTTGATCCCGGAAACACCTCCTGCGCCTGATATTCTGCCAGGTCCGGGCTATTCATATACTTGCGCATATAGTTGATATTCTCGACCATGATATCCATATCGATAGGGTTCGAGAAGGCGCGGTAGTCAACAATGGGCTCGGCATTCGGGTTAGCTGGGTCGATATTTATAGTACCGTGGCTAACTACGTGCATACTCATTACGATGCCTCCTGGGCTTCCTCGGAGTGGGAGCCACAAGAAATTAGCATTCTTGCTACGCAGCAGTTTGACGTGGAGTTTTTGGAATGCCGCGTAACCGGCTACGATTGTGGGATCTGAGTTGGCGGGAAGATATGCTGCTGGGTCTTGTGCTTCATATCTAGCGGCAATCGACTCGAAGTCGTTCGTGATAGCGGGCAAGCCTATCCAGGCACCGACGTTCGGTCCTGCGACAGTGCCTGGATCGCCGCTCAGAGTCACGTTTGGAGCCGGGGGCTGGCCATTACCCCCTGAGTTTCCGGTTAGAAATGTTATTCAAATATTTGAAAGGAGGGAGGGCGTGGGTTAGGGATCCGAGAGGCTTACATCTATAAGCCACGCTTAACCAAGCATGGTCCTGGAAGTTCTGCCCTACGCCCGGAAGATCAACTACAACCGGAATCTTGGCACTTTCTAGCAGACCTTTAGGTCCTATTCCGCTGAGCTGCAAGATTTGGGGGGTGTGGACTGTGCCTGCGGAAATAATGACTTCTTTGTTGGCTTTGACAGTCACGGGGGTTGGGTCGTCATCATATCGATTAGTAAATTGTACGCCAGTTGCTGTCGTACCATCAAACAAGATTTTGTTAACTTTATTGTTGACGATAACTTCATAATTAGGACGTGTGATGTCGTCGTAGTGACCTGTCCGGGAGTAAGAGCGCCAGAATTTTTTAGGGTCGAGGGAAGTTGGGTTCCAGAAGAGACCGTTGTTCCCGCCAACTCCGTCGATGGGAATATCCATCCCAGGCATTTTCGCCATAGCCTTGTACATAGGTACTATTTTAATTGTTAAGCCTGGATTAGGTGACAAGAAGTGAATGGGGTTGCCTACTCAAGTTTGGGGTTTGGTAAGTGGGGAACGTGGCATAGATGTGTGTATTGGGTTCCTGACCCCAAGCATTTGGGTCCCAGGTGATGTTGAATGCTGCCGCTACATCATCTTGCGGGGGTGTGAAATGGATAGCCTATAGTCGCAATTAGCACCTCAGAGCTTGCAATCATATATAGCACAAGCTGATACCTTCTTGAAATATGGCAAGACACCATCCCAGTTCCAAGTCGACTCGGGCCCACCCAACTCGGCCCATCCGTTGTACTCACTTGCGGTACCTCTGACCATCACCATGCCGTTGATTGCGGAGCTACCACCGACACAACAGCCTATTCTGACATCCTGGGTCCTATTGTTCATGTCCTTCTGGGGAATGGAGGTGATGTTATAGTGGGTCTTTGGGTCGTTAAAATTGCGACCACCACCTGCCGCGATGACCTCGTCGGTGACTGCACACTGATCAGTACTAAACGTCTAGTATGAATTCAACGAAGCTTACTCAAGGTACAATACTCAATAACCAAGACAGAATCTAGATTAAATATAAGCATCCTACTAGCTCCTGTTCTCGGCCTTCTCCATTTACTAACATTTCCCGTCCTCAGTTAGTCTGTCGGCTATAGTCAAGCCCGCAGTTCCACCGCCGACGATAACATAGTCGTACGAATCTTTGACCTGCTCCGATCTCTGAAGAACATTTGCATACTGGAGAACGACTGGCTTCGCAGCAGTGGTGCAAATTGTCGCCCAAAACACCCCGAGAGCGGTAATACGAGTCAAGGAGCGCATATTGTATTATCCAAAATGTCAAGAAACACGAGGTAGAGACTAGTGGCGAAGACAAGAGAAATTCTTACTAGTTCAAAAGAGAGGTAGACGTTCTTTTGCCTGGAAAACCTCGAGACAGTCGCTGCGAAGGGGCGCAGAGCCCAAGATGGGGGCGATGACATATCTTTATGAAAACAACCGTATGAATTGAGCTGCAGACCAAGAAAAACTTACCTAGGATTATGAGAATTACCTTTCACATCGGTTGGAAGCGGGGAGGCCCCCTCTCTGGATATATAGGAGAAATTTGAAGACTACGTCATTAATGACAAACTGGGTGCACCCTGGGTCGCGGGTGATCAGCAATTGGATCCCGAAGCAAATAAGACGTCAATTTTGGCTGGAAGTATCAGATATAGCTGCCCGGCAGTTCATCAATACCGTCGTGAATTCTGGCAATCCGCATCCACATTTAGCCTGGAGAGAATCGCCCGATCAAGCCCCAGCGCCGCTTCCGAATCGACGAATCGAATTCGTCTTCGCCTTGAAATTCCACATGATGCTCTGGAAAAGGTAGGATAAGTAACTTCAGTAGCTCGAGTATTTTAGCAGCCGGCAGTCCGGATGCCAGCCGATGTTGTCGTAGAAAGCCGGGCATAGCACAAGTCAAATCCAAAGGCCGATCGACGCGTTTGCTCCGTAGAAACGGCGGCTGGAGTTCCATGTTGAGATCTACTGAAATTTATTCGGAGGAGGCGCAAGCATGGAGGAATATCGGCTGGTTGCGCTCTCCCCTGAGTTCCCCTGGTTTCCCCTGGTTTTCTATTGCAGAGACCCGTATCATGGGGCACAGCAGGACCAATAACGGATTTAAACAATGGTACAGATCATCGATGGTGGCCTTAACCAATTGCACGTGGGATAGATCTGAGGACCGATAAATACCATGTGTCCGAATTCTAGTAACAAAATAGGAGGGTTAGAAACAGCAATGACAAAGTCGTGGTCGTCCAACATCCAGCGCACCCGACCGCGGGGACATAACTCCGGATTTGGGTTCTTTTCCAAGGCTAGGTACGTGGTACACTCCTTGAGATATCGCTCAATGTGGACTACCACAAAGATTGTAGCCCCAAGTGGATCAGTGTGGCCGAGATACGCGCTGACAGTGGAGTTGGGGGCCGAAATTGACGCTGGAGTTGTTGTTGAGAAAAGGATGGGCAATACGACGCTACAACTACTCCACAAGCGCACTATGATAGCTCCGAGACTTCGCCTTGATTGTTCCTCTTCTACTAGGTACCCTACGTATTCTGCTTTTGTATTCTTCCACCTCAATTATCCTTCCAGCCCCGTCCCAACCGCATCTATATATCACATCCGACCGCCGCCTCCGCATGTGTATTGCCTCGTATGGATATATTGCCTGGCTCATTTGGATTTATGCGGGCGCCCCTGTTAAAAAAGCTTGATTACGCCCACCCGCATCCTCCCAAGACCCCGCAACAACAGATCTTCCGTTCTCAATATTGATGATTCTCATCTACTTGAGTACCTCCATGGCTGCATGAGTACGATCAGCAACGGCAGTAACAACAGCCACAAGCAACGTGATCCTCATCATTGATGTCACCAGCAGGGACTCCAGCAGCTTCCCTTCCTCTCCGTCAAGGGTAAATACCGGTAGCAGTGCAGACGACCACGAGCATACCATGTCAATATTGGAGCCCCAGCTGCTGGTTACGCAACCGAACGACCATTCGCGGCAATCGATCTGCTTCCAGAACTGTTCAATGATCTGCAATTTTTCCCCAGGCTTTGCTACCCTTCCTTCCACTGGCCGACGGCCCTTGGGCCATAGTCCGCAAATTTTGCTACCAGCTACTGTGAGCCTCGGGCTGGCGTGTCAGGTGGCATTATTGTGTAGTACGTAGATTTTTTGTGGATGCAACCCGCGGATGGACCGTTCTTTGCTACCAGGTCCAACGGCCCTGATCTACCATGCATGCCACATTGGGTCCTCAATGCCAGACATGGTTGCGAAGCTTTTCGCCATCCCAAGTGGACCTTGTATTTTCGAATACTACGTGAGCATATTTTCCCGTCCGCCACTCCTGTAGATCTATAATATACCGAGGGAGGGCTCCCTGATCTCTATTCTTTATTCTCAACATCCAAGACACACTTGACAGCCCGGAGAGTTTCCGTTTGCACTCTATCAAGATGTTGACTATCACTCTTTTTAAGGCCGCTCTTTTGGCCCTCTCCTGCTCCTTGGTTCATGCAGTCCCTGCCGCAGAAAAATCCAAAACGAGCGCAGCTGTGCCAGCAAAGTCCAGTACATCTACAGCAATACCCACTGTACACAAGAAGAAGGCAGAAAAGGAGGCCATCCGTGTACCAGTAGCCACTCGGGTAGCAGCTCCAATCGTGCCCACAATATCTGCGAAGATCGACAATATTGTCGTCAAATTGAATACCTCGAGCAGTGCTGCAAAAATTAAAGCTCCGTCCCCAGGCGTTTCCGTAACGAGTGCCGCGGGCACAGTTCTGATATTTGCTCGGGATGCAGCATCGGCATATTCTGCGTTCTCTGGTCTCAATGGATACGGCATCTCATACCAGGTGGTCTTGGTACCGGACGGGGGGATTTCAAGCCTGCCAACCCTCAACAGCAGCGCAACCGTTGGGAACTACGGGGCAATTGTTGTGTTATCTGAAGTCAGCTACAGCTCACCGTCGGGGGTATTCGCGAGCGCGCTTACCGCAGATCAATGGGCCGCCTTGTATCAGTACCAAGTTACATTCGCCGTCCGTATGGTTCGGCTTGATGTCTATCCTGGGCCTGCCTTTGGGACGACAGCAGTAGGTGGCTGTTGTGACACCGGAGTTGAGCAGCTCATTAGCATTTCTAATGCGACAGCGTTCCCTTCCGCTGGCCTCAAAACGTGAGCCTAACCAAACATTATTCAATTTGCTACACTTGCTGACGACTCTTCTAGTGGTGTTGGAGTTAGTACTACTGGCCTCTGGCATTATCCTGCTACCATAACGGACAACACCATAGCTACCGAGTTCGCTCAATTCGCCCCAGCTACCGGATTTTCGGATAAAACAACAGCTGCAGTCATCAATACTATAGAAGGTCGGCAGCAGGTAGGATCCAAGCTCCAGCGGCTGATAAAGTACTGACAAGTAGCAGATGGTTTTCTTCACTGGTTTCGCAACAGATTGGAGTGCAGCCTCGAATTTCCTCAGTCACGCATGGATCACCTGGGCGACTAGAGGGCTGTATGCTGGTTATCGGCGTATCAATTTAAACACACAAGGTCGGTCCAGTCATTTTTCATAGCCTAAGATGTTTCTTAACAGTGCCTCAATGTAGTTGACGATATGTTCCTTATTACGGAATTATACAGCCCTGAAGGTGCCGAATTTGGGATTACGCCAGACGATTTGGCCCAGCATATCACATGGATGAAAACAATCAACGCAAAACTCCCGGCCGGCAGCTCATACATGATTGAAATCGGCCATAATGGCAATGGAAATATTGAGGTACTGAGCACCTCTATGTAATAGCAATGGACACGATACTGATTTTACCTAGGACGCCGCCAATACCACAGCAGGCGAACGACAGTGCGGAAACGGACCTATCGAGTACCCAGAACAAATTGATACGCCCCTCGAATTCTCCAAAGTTCTTGGCACTGGAACAAATCTTTGGCCAGCATGGGCAGATGACTATCCTTATACAGTCGGCTGTAACAATCTTGGTGCGCTCGAGAAGTGGTTTGCCAAAGCGGCGAATCGTGATGCATTCGCTCATGTATCCCACACGTTTACACATGAGGACCAAAACAATGCCACGTACTATGACGTTACGAGAGAGATTTCTTGGAATGCAGCTTGGCTCAAACAAGTAGGCATATCATCTGCCGCAAAATTCAGCCCAGAAGGGATAATTCCACCTGCTATCACTGGTTTGCATAATGGCGATGCCCTGCGAGCCTGGAAGGAAAACGGCATCATCTACGTCGTTGGCGATAACACACGTCCAGTGTTGATGAATAAAGTAAGTGGTATCCATAGTAGGTGTATAACTCATTAGTAAACAATCATCCTCCAGGTTAACGAGCATTGGCCACTTATGACCACCAAAGCCGACAACGGCTTCGATGGAATCCAGATCAATCCCCGTTGGGCTTCGAACATCTACTATAACGTATGTTTTTGCATTCGGATTTCTAGGTAAATTGTATTCGCTAAACTAAAGTAGTGCGCGGTTCCAGACTGCACCGTTCTCGAGTGGCAAAATACTTCGGCGGGTAAGGGCGATTGGAATGATCTGTTGGCGATCGAAAAGAATACAAATGTACGACATCTTCTTGGCCTCCACCACGACCCGTTCATGTTTCACCAAGCCAATTTGAACTACGTTTCTGCGCCAAAGATGACTATCAACGGCGTCACCGCAAAATACTCTCTACTCCAAGCCTGGGTCGAAACTATCGTAGTAGAAGTAGTTAGGCTGTAAGTATGACCCCATTAACGCTAAATTTGCAATACTAATCTACGTGCTGTAGTGTTACTTGGCCCATCATTTCATTGAAGCATGACGATGTGAGTAGAGTCGTTTCCGATACATTTGAATAAAACTGACATGGTTTCCAGATGGCACTTGCCTTCCTCAATCGCATGCAAAGGGATCAGTGCAAGCCAGTTCTCTCCTACACAACAAATCCAACAGCCAAGACTATCACTGCCGTTACCTTAACGACCACCAACAATCGGTGCGATGCCAAGCTCCCTGTCACAGTGCCCAGCGGAGTCACAGATGTCCAAGACTTTACTACAGAACAACTAGGTATGTTGTGTGGTTCATATGTTATATATCTGCCCACCCTACTTATCCGAGTGCTAACTTGGTGCAACAGGTACTGATCCTTTGACCATTTGGGTCCAGATGTCTGGATCTCCTGTCACTTTCACCTTGAAGACACCGATCCCCTTCTACACGTAGGGCCGCCAACATATTTCATAAGCTATTGATAATCGTGACCAAAAAGACATAATTTTGCGTGGATAGCTGGTACAAGGGAACTTTTCTTCTGTCGCGGTTTCACTTAGGGCATAGTGGGCAGGGGGTGTATGCATATACAAATTTGCATCTACATTGTACAACGTCCCGAATTCGGGGAATCCCCATTAAACCTAATGGGTTGCAATGGAAAGTAACGTTTCTTTCGTCGGTTGATTTACCCATATTGAGACAATGTCCCACATCCTCTTTATATGAGACTTTTTCCTTATGCGGCTGTTGGGCGTGGAAAGTACCCAATACTTGGTTTTCAGCATGGCAAAGTGGTCGCAATGCATCTGCATCTCCAGATGCCAAGCGGACACCTGGCCATGAGTCCTTGCTCTCCCGCAAACGCGGCCCGGAAGAACATACTCATCCTTGACTGCATCAAATCAGATCCCTGTCCAACATGGCGAAGGATGACATTCCCGTTTATTGCTTTGAACCTATCCGATACTTATTTCATTTGGATATTGACTTTGTCTCTGTGATCATCGAAGTATATCTCTGTTAGTGGTTTGCGGCCTCAAATTGCCGCATCTACAACATTGATTGTAATGAAAACGGATCCGCTATTACGGCGCGTCTTTGCAACAGACTGATTAAATATGGCCGATCGTGCAATTAAATTACGCTCTCCTAGAGAAAATTTTGCCCCGCATTTTCGAGCTCAGCCCTGCCGGGTAAAACCCGTGATGACGAATCTATTTTATCTCCCTTGCATCCCCGGGGCAGATCATACCACTTCTGGATGGTCGAGGAGATTTGCCGGAACGGTTGAAGTGCAGATACCTGTTCTGGGTTGGGGTCCGGGCAGGGTACAAATATTTTTTCCTCTTCTGTTCTTAAATCCTTCTCGGTTTCTGTTCCCGGTTCCGTTGCATATCCAATTGGCATCAGGTGGAAGCACTTTGAGAACTCAGCTATGGCAGCGCGGCTTGTGGGTAGTGCTGGTATTGTCTACTCAGCCTCTTAGAATATCTTGGGCTTGTGTGAAAATTTTCCGCATGCAAGTGTTCAATAAAAAGGACATGATCGGTCTATTACCAAGTATTAGGCAAGCCAGACGTCCTGCAACGGCTATGCTCTGCTCTAAGGCGTTATTTACAGAAGCTGAATACGAATATTTTAGCTACCAGGGGCTTTCACCAGTTTCGTCCCAAGGTCGGTTAGTAAGCCCGGTCACTTCTAACGAGTCCTCTGAGTTGCCTCGATCCCCAGAGATTTCTTAAAGGTGCTGTGAGTACTGCAGATAATGCCGATAACCCACTAGTAACTTGCCTACCTTTATAGTAATTGATCATTTAGAAGGACATGATTTCAACGGCAGGAACTAGACTGAATACTTCGCTATACTTAGTACAATGATGGAGGCAAGTATTCCGCGGTCAAACACTAAGCTTTCTATAGATGGTAACCTAAAAATGGGTATGCCTTTCCTTTAGAAGTATATCGCAACACAGAAGTTAGAGTATATTTTCAAATAAACATGGCAACCAAAAATAACAATAACGAAAATGGCAAAAGACCAAACCCCATGGGGCTAGGAGAAACTAGGCAAACTGATTTTAATCGGTTTGAAATATTTCAATGCCTCTACCACATCCCCAGATGGACCATACCATCATTGCCTGTTTGTTCATTCAGTTGGTCGTCTGAATAGTTTAGGCCTGTTGCGGAGCTTACCATTGGGCTACTAGGGCTTGGTAATAAACGTAAAGCCTTATTATCGTTTATATACCTTGCGTCGCGTTTCCTTGAGCCCTCGTCTACAGCAATGCTACGGCAAAGGCGGTCGGGGATATTTAGTAGAGTTACGCAAAATTAGCATTACTCGAGTACTTGTAAATCGTACTACACAGTATTAAATAGTCTCCGGAACTAAATATCGCGTTTAGTTACTCAAGGGTTATAAATTATAACAATAGTGTTATTAAAACTAGACAGCGAACAAATTCGAGATGCATAATTTGTAACCCCCTCACCTCGTTATAGATCTCATAGTAACAAAAACAATGGCTTAGGTGATAACACCAGTAGTTACCCTCAATAGTCCACTTGCACTCTAGACTTATTCACAACCCCTTGTACCACTATATTTCCCTGTGCTTTTTTTCTTTTGTTATTCTGTCCATGCGAACCATGGCAAAGCGATGGTCATGTAGCTTCGGAGGCCTCGCTTGGGCCCAACCGGCAGCCTTCGACCGACAAACAGCCACAAGCGAGCAGGTCTAGATCTCTTGTCGGGGATTAATTCTTTTGTTAAGTAAACGGTTAAAAAGGAGCGCCAGAACAGATTCCTTGCGTGATAAGTTGAAGCCTAGGCATACTTCGTACAACTGGACTAGGAACCGGTAGCACGGCCATAAAGGAGGCGGAGCCGGTCGTCAAGGCCCAGAACAGGATCTCAGCCCTCCTACCAAGGGTGCGCCATAGCCCAGGCTTTTGGGCACGAATGCTCACTGTCAGCTCTGGTTAAAGTGACTTACCTGTGTACAAAGTACAAGATTGTGCGACCGCCACATTCATTAATCTCTGGAGATCATGCCTTGGCAGTTGTTTTTATTGGGACAGTCTCAGGGGATTTGATCATCGACGCCTCTCGAGCATTTTCCCTTGTTCCACAATCAGCCACCGCAACGTGCACTTGCGTTCATGCCTCTTGCAATGACACCAGATGATACAAGCAAGCAGGCCGCTACACCCACCACTTCAGCACAGAGATTATGCTTCTCTCCACGAACAAAGCGTTTCTGGGTAATACTTGGCCTCCTGGTCCTAGCAATCGGCCTCGGCGTAGGGCTGGGCGTTGGTCTGACTCGAGGTTCCTCTGATAATGGCGATGATGATACGCCATCTCCTCCGAAATCTCCAACAAACAATACTGGCCCTGCAGCAGGAACGTATTGGAAGCCGGCCGCGGGCACAACATGGCAAATCGTGCTACAACAGGCTCTCGGGACTACGGCGCCAAACGTCTCAGTCTACGACATCGACCTTTTTGATAACAACGCAACTATAATCAACACTCTACATGGCATGAACCGCAAAGTTATATGCTATTTCTCAGCTGGCAGTTATGAGGATTTTCGTCCCGATTCGGACCAATTCAAGAAAAGCGACTATGGGAAGGAACTCAAAGGCTGGCCCGGCGAGTTCTGGCTCGATATCAGATCGGAAAACGTGCGGAGCATAATGAAGGCGCGTCTCAAGGTCGCGGCTTCTATGGGCTGTGATGGCGTGGATCCAGACAACGTGGATGGATTCGCGAATGACAGTGGGTTCCCCCTGAATACCACTAACACGCTGGATTTTCTCACTTTTTTGGCCGAGGAAGCACATGGGCTGGGGATGGCTATCGGCTTGAAGAATGCGGGCGACCTCGTGGGTGCTACGGTAGATTTTTTGCAGTGGGAGGTCAATGAACAGTGTGTGCAGTACGAGGAGTGCAAAAGTTTTCGACCGTTTGTTGATGCGGGCAAGCCGGTTTTCAACATTGAGTATGTGGATGGGAAAGGCGTGAGTACGAAGCAGAAAGTTTGTGGAGATAATAGCAGGAGTGGGTTCTCGACTCTGTTAAAGAATATGGATTTGAGCGATTGGGTGGAGGCGTGCTAGAAATAGAAGATAGACTTGTATCAACTCCAGAAAAGTTTGGGCTACATGTGCTCCTGGCGCTCCTTTCTTATATTAATATATGCTGCTACATCCTCAATCTTAATTCTCATACGTCAGTTTCGTCCCCCTTCACATCATCCCAGGTGATCAAAAACCTGCCGCATCAAGACACCTTACATGAAGGTAAGAGTAATCATATTTCCATGAAATATACTATTCGACGAAAGAGCAATATTTAGAGCGAGCCACATGCTAAAGATGTTCATAGCCACTCTTTTATTTCATACTTCAAAACCATATTTCATTTCTGAGCAGCAACATCTTGGACGAACCCCTCCCATCCATTCCAAAAACTCGAATAATAATCCACGCTCAAACCCGTAACAAACACATTTCGGCTTATGCCTCTCAAGTCTTTCACTAACGACATCTGCCCCTTCGCACTCACGGAACTAGGCATTGAGTGGACGATAGTGGCAAGGTTATCCCTTGTGCAAATTTTGGAATTTTGGCTGAGGAAGGTGGTGATGTTTTTCTGCATTTTGTATTTTTGATACGTATCATAGGCGCCTTCGAATACTACTGTTTGGTTGCACGAACTGAGGTAACGTGGGTCGGGTATGACGCCGGGGTTGTGGATTATCTTGTTGATGGAGTGAGTTAGTTAATTAGATTGTTGGAATTGAGATGGCGCGTTAAGAACCGTGGGGGGCCAACGCGCGTCGGCTTATATTGCCTGAAATGAGAAAAATGGAACGTGTCTCTCATAACAAATAAACCCCAAAGACGAAAATGGAACGTAAACATACCAAAGGATCATCTCCAAACCCTGGTTGGGATCGTACCATTGCTGCAACGGTTCCATAGAACCGTCCACTGGCTGCGGTGTAGTCGGCCGGCGTCTCATCAAAGAAGATCCCACGCATCCCGAGACTTTTGATAGTTACGTTCCCTCCTGACCAGCCTGCATACGTGCGGATATCCTGCAGCACGGCAGAGATATCCCGATTTGAGTAGTTTGTTGAAACGTAGCCTACAGTAACAACGTTTGGATACGTGGTAAGTCTGGGAATCTGTGACGTGTAGTTTGAGTCAGGGAGAGAGTCGTTGCCGGGACCACTCTCAGGATTCATCACCACCGTGAAATCGAGAGTTGGATTTTTTTCGATGCTATCAATGTTAGATCGTTGCCATATAAAAATAACATAGGAATTCGGGTGGCCTACGCATCGTACAAGGGATCCCATGCTCCTGGGTCGGGGTAGACATAGAGTGGGACAAGGACACTCGATTTTTGGATGTGCTTCTTTCGCCCAAACATGACCGCAACTGGGACCACAATGACGATTATGGCAACCCCCAAGAGTACCCAAAACACGTACTTGGGGACGCCAAAGATTTTCGAACCGCAGTAAGATTGGACTTTTCTGGAAGGCATGAGGTTAGAATGTGGTCAATGTAATTCTATGGATTGCAACGAAGAAACAAGTGAAAATCGCTACAACTTATTCTGGGGACTTGCCAAGAAATTCAATATATCCCTGGGAACGGGGTTAGGGCTCTGTCGGCTGTATAGATTACTTACAGGTTCTTTCATATATAGATGTTCCACCCCGCTTCTCACTCGACGAGGACAGGTTTCATGATAATTAGTCATGTGACAGTTTCAGAAATATTATATTTCGAGAAGACTGATGGAGATCACTTCCTTGTGTCAGGGCCAAAAGCAATAGCACGTCATAAAAATACGTACGCTTTTGCGGACCAAAGGGAGAGTTCCCACATTCGCTGTAAACCCAATTCATTGTGCCAGGTTATCCCTGATAGGTATCTTTCCAATGACCGTCGCAAAAAGTCGTCGTCGTCAGACCAGTTTTGAAGATGCTGCACTCTCCACTCAACCTTCTGTCTGATCATAGCACTGATACTTGATTCTAGCAAGGCCAAAACAATTGGTTCAGGCACTCTCACAGCAGCTTCGATGTTCTAGTATTGTGAATCAATTTTTCTCTCCTAAGCTTCGTATACAGTTAGTAAGCTTGCTGCTCTTGCTCAGGCGTTAATCACCTTCGGCTCACCTTCGCCTCAGCAAGGTCACCTAAGCAGCGTGAGCAGGATTTAGCAGATTGTCAAATGTTTTGAGTTCTCGCGTTTTTGCTACACTTGATCTGACCAAGCGTTCTATAATGTCATTTTCGTCAAGTTTTGACGACGATGCTCAAGGAGCCTTGACAAGCTTCAAGGATTCCAAAGTGGACACTTTCCAAATATAGCTACATTTGTAAAGGTCACCCGAGCATGATTAACTCAGCACACACATACAAGCCGACGATTGGACATTAGGAGCATAATTAATTACAACATATAGATCTTCTTGCAACTAAGGCTACAAGATAACCAAATTTACCCGCATTTACTGTACTTTCATTCAACTGTAACCTCCTTAAAATTATACCCAGGTTGGCGGTTACTCATATTCCATATGTGAGAATGTTCGGCTGAACTAGCCTTGTTGTCCCATAAGCCGCGTCTTCTATACTCTATTCCTGTTTCTGAAATCCTTTCTACTATAATCCCTATAGCTCTGTTACCTGAGAATCCAAGTAATAGGCCGTCCAATAAGGTCTTGCTATCCTTCTTTGGCCAAGGATGGAATTCGACATTGTCATCTGTGTAGAGCGCTTTACAATCCGCCCAGTAACTAATTTGCCTCCAACCCATGTTATACCTAAATTCGTAACAGGCAGCACAAATAGTCAACCTACCACCTGAGAAATCAGAACAAAGCAACCCGGAACTGTGAGGTAACAGACAGTCTACCAGTTCTAGCTTGATATCTGCTACTGGTAAGAAAGACACCTTGGCGAGTTTCGACAACCACGACCAAGATAGCCCTTCGAGCGGGTATTAATCGCCTTTTTTGATAGACCGCTGCTCTAAGGCCCAAAGCATGTCTTGTTCGACGCGCCAAGCAAGATCGGCGACAAATGTTCTTCGCCATATACCGGCAAGATATTCATCGTTCCAACAGGAAGCAGTTCGCTAACAATTCCGGAAATAGCACGACTATAGTCTGAGCGAATAGTAAGCGTACGCCTAGTGTAATCCTCAACGATACTGTGCCAAATACTGATTTGATGTCTCTGCATCTCCTTCTCAGTTTGCTAACTTCAACGTTGTTGAAGACACTGAATGGCAAGGCTTTACTGGTTTTAACTCCTCTATCGGGGACCTTAGTGATAGCTTCCGATTGGCATTTCTATGTTATCTCATTTGTGCCAAATGAGAGTAATCGAGGTGGTAATAAACCCTCCTGCAAAGCCCAACCACGTGTGTTCAATGGCTCGGGTTGACTGCCAAGGAGCATAGGTCGTTTTGCGCGGGGCATGAATGGATTTGGGAAAGAAAACTCCATTAAAGAGACATCCACGCAAGCAAGAGCTTTGTCAGATGCTTGGTAGGGAAGTTTGAAATGTTTTGCTGCAGGTACTTTACGCAAAAATCCTGCTTCTGTATCAATCGCATTCGATGCAGCGAGAGTCAAAGTGGAATTCTTGTGGATGGTACCCATGAAGCTGAGCTCGTCATTTTTGTCTTGAGCAGAAACCATGCAATGCTCTACATGTCCAAATACAATAAGTCGCGTATATCCCCTAGTAGAGTATTCACATCGACCTCCCCAACTTTCTATAAGCCCACTAATTAAACTCCCCGTCAAACAAATTCCATCCAAGACTTCTCTCATATTATTCCTGTCATCTGTCCTGAAGTGCATCCCTTTATCTTCTTGGCACTTCATTCTACTTTTCTCTCAAAAGTCTAAACTCTCTAGTGATCGTCAGAAGTACCATACAATAAATGACGAAACGCTTTGTATGTCACGAACACTTTGCATGCTGAACGTTGTGTCAGAGCTATGTGCTACTTTGGATAAAACATCTGAACTACAGAGCTAAGAAGTAAGGAGCAGTCATTCCTCAAGTAAATTAGGCGGAGTCCGCTGTCGAGACCTTAGCGCCATATCAGGCGATATTGGGGGTTCGCATATGATGCATATTTGTACATCGTTCATTGTCAATCCACGTGTCCCTCCTGAAGCCATCTTTCATTCCCCGGTATCTCACACACCTCAAATCTCCTTCAGAAATCCAACCTCAACCAAATCATTAAAAGGAATATTCATATCCGCCATCTTAGTCCTGCTGTTCTCCCGAATCCACAAGAAAGTCATCAACAGCACCCTTCTAAAAATATTCGTCCCTTGCTTGATCTTCATCTGTTCCTTGCCCATTATATATACGATCTGTGACTCGGCTGCTTTATTGATGACTTCGAGCTCGGTTTGGATTTCAGGTGAATGCTCGACGGAGGAGATGTTACTTGAGGTAGATGCTGTGTCGCGGGTAATATAAAGGACAAGTTGCTCCGTGACCATACGGCCAAGGTTAGGGGTGACAATACTATCTGTATAGCCGTGACGAACGGTCATGCGGTAGCAGCCTGGGATTGAAGTGTGTTGGATAACGTATCTCTCTGCCTCTGGGATAGAAGGAGTAGAGAGAGGACGCATGTGGAAAAATACGATAATCTCTGGACGAGCGCTGAACTTACGGACGAACTGCGTAAAGACAATGGGCACCATATCGCCGATTTTGTCAAAGAAGATGCCAACACCATTGATTCTGGACACAACTCCGCCGCCAAATGCTTCAGCAAGCTTGACTTCGCCATTTGAGGTTGATGTCAAGAGGTGAGAAGCCTGGAAGTGGTCTTGTCCTTCTGCAGACCATTGCTGTTCCTTGCCAAAACGCCAAAGAACAAAGATGGTTGAGAGTATGGCAGCGAGCATGATCGTGAACCAAGCTCCCGTTGGAACCTTGGTCAACGCACTTGACAAATACACCCCGTCATGAAGGGCGAAGACAAAGAAAAAGAAGGCCACGATAAGGAAATTGAAGCGCCATTTGATCAGTGCAACCAGGGATACCATGCAGGTGGTGATAAATGTAACGAAGATGACACAGACCCCATAGGCATTTCCAAGTCGTGTGGTCTATTTGAACTGTGAGCATAATGAATGATAGAAAATAGGTCATTTTGTTACTTACATTACTGTAGGCCGCAGTGACAATAACAGTGCCCACCATCAACAACCAATTGGCGAGTGGCATATAGACCTGACCATGAAATAGCTTTGAGGTGTGGACGCTCTTGATGTGAGGGAAATACGACATGGCCATAACCTGTGATAAGAGTTGAAAGCTTCCAGTGATCATGGCTTGAGATGCAACGATAGCAGCTAGAATGGCAAGGACTAAACTGAACCAGAAGGTTCCTGGTGGAACCGTGTTGAAAAATGGGTTGGTGTATGCTGTGCCAGAAGCATCTTGAGATATATATGCAGCCTGACCGATGTATGCAAGTAGGAGGCAGGGAAAGGCGAAAAAGAGCCAGGAGATTTGAATAGCTCTTTGGCTGAAGGCGCCCAAGTCCGCGAAGAGGGCTTCAACTCCAGTGAAAGCCAGTAAAAGACCACCTAAACTGCGCCATCCTTCTTCTTTGTTCCGAACTAAATAGGACCCAGCGAAGTAGGGAGAGAACGCCTTTAAAACAGAGTGGTCGAATTTCGCGAGATTGTAAATTCCAGTGCAAGCATTGAAGAGGAGCCAGACGATGACAACAGGAGCGAACGTGCTGGCAATCTTTGTTGTGCCAAAGGGTTGGATTGCGAAAAGCAGTACGAGGATTGCGCAAGTTGTACCAACAATCGTGGCGCTCGAGATATTAGGGTGCGCGACTTCGATGCCCTGAATGGCTCCCAGGACGGACTGGGCCGGAGTGAGGACACCGTCTCTAGAAATCATTAAATTCAAATATAAACCACAGCAAGATGATATTCTGCTTACGCCATAACCATCGAGACTCCCAATACTCCGAGAACCTTCAAAGCGACCCTTGCGACCCGAGAATTTTCGATGAATGATCTGACCCCTTTGTTGATTGGCTTCAAATCTCCAGTGTGATAGCGCTCCATCTTGATAGTTCCAGCAATATTGGGATCGCGGCGCACTATGTGAGCATATCGTGCCAGCAAACTGTAAAGCGCAAAGGTTCCTCCCTCTCCATCATCATCCGCTGAGAGAACGATGCAAACATATTTCATAGTAACCATGATGGTTAAACTCCAGATGATGATCGAGAGAGCTCCGACAAGATCTTCATAAGAGGGCTGACTTGTGAATGTTGATGAATAAACGTAAAGTGGAGAAGTCCCGATGTCTCCATATATGGTACCAATACTTTGGTACGCCAGCCAAATGAGCATCCATCCGGAGTGAGTCTACCGAGAGGTCAGTCTCCAGGAAACGCGAAGAGACCCAGCAGACATCAAGAAGACAACAGTTCAAAGGTGTCATCAATCAATCGCTACGAAAGGGCAACGAGAGAATACCTGATCAACTACGCACCTGCTTCTTCTTGGAGTTCAAATCGGCATCCGCAATGCGGGCAGCTCTCCCTTCGAGGTCATAGCCGCCCTTTTCAGAGATCGAGACCGATGGAGCCATGTTCTGGGCGGTAGTATAAGCACCAGCAGACGTGACAGGGTGGATATCATCGCCGGACTGGACGCGTTGAACAGGCGTTGATTCAGTCATCGTTGTGCGGTTGTCCAGCGAGCAGTCAAAAATCACAAAAGTGCAACAACAGTTCGGCGAGAGCAATAGGAGTAAAATTGAGGTTTGATCAACAGGGAACGAGAAGAAGTACTAAAGGAAAATGCGTTTCACTTAAGAGTATTCCACCGGCCGCCTTTGGAGCTGTCGGTGCCAAAACGCGGCCTGCAGCTCGATCTGGAAGGCAATATTTGACAACTGATGTCCACATCGGTCACGACTAACATTCGGAATAGGGTGATAGAAATTGAAAAATTGAATAAAAGCAGATAAGGGCTTTTTATCGTCGAGACCAGATTCGAGCAGGCGAAAATCGCGCATCGCGGTGATTGTCCAAAAATCCCTCAAAACGTCACAATCGCATTGCTATATCTGGACAAGGCTCTTTAACGTGGGGGTAGCGTGGGACTCAAGATCAATTTCTTTTATAGCTACCATCTCTAAATTAGACAAAATCAGAAAGTGCGATCAAGGATGACTAGATGCCTTTCGCCACTTTTTGGAATCGACTCTGTTGTTAGGATATATCCCGTAATCGGGGAGAGACATATCTGAGGCCGTGAGAAATACCCTACAGCCTATTAAAATCGACGTCTGGAAAGTGGCAGCGAAAAAACTGTCTTTGAAATCTCATACTATCTCCTAACCTGATACGATGCCCTCTTCGACACCTTATTGAACTCGTTGTTAGACTTACCGATGCAAACTCGCCCTTGATCTACTAAGCTCGGTTTGGCAACTTAGCTTGTTTATTAATTATCTTAAATATTATATTATAACGCTAGTAAAGTTATAAATTACTTAAGATATTATTATATAAGAAATTCTTATTTGTTTATTTAAGATAAATTTTTTAAAGGAGTTTAATATTAACATTCCGAAAGTAGATAAATAGGAGTTTTGACGAGGGGAATTCGCTGACAAATTATAAGGATTTGTATGTACAATTGACGTATAGGGCATGCAGTTGACAAATTGCCAAATTGACCAACAGGACGCTGCAGATCGAGTCGCAAGGGAGTTAGAAAGGGTACCACATCTGCCCACTGTGTAAAATGAAACGCGCTACAGCATATGCATAGGTACCTTAGGTAGGTAGGGGATACAGCCCCAACCTACAATGGTCGTGGGTACTCCAACAACTCAGCCCCAGATTGCAGGTACTTCCACCTTGCAAGGGCTTATTCTGGGGTCAGACAACGCAGGTTCATGGAGATAGGACAAAATTTGACTTGTAAATCCGAACATCGCATTGTCAGTAGGTACCACGCACTCTGTATTCCAATAACTAGGCCCCGAGTTGGTCAATTCATGGAGATAAGACAAAACTTGACTTATGAATCCGATCTTCGCCTTGTCGGTAGGCAACCCGCATCTGGTCTTCCAACAACGAGGCCCCGAGTTGGTTGAGCTCTAGGTGTGAACCCAACGTCAAAGGCAGGCTTCATGGAGATAGGACAAAGCCTGACTTGTAATCCGAAAACCCTTCTCGCCGCTACAGTACAGAGAACTTCTTAACAAAGCACTTTTGCTTTCGTTTTCAGTTTTCCGTCCTACAAGTCAGCAAGTCATCCTTCGAACACACGGCTCTACTCGAATCTCGCATCGATTGACCTTTGACCTGCACTCCATATCCTCATCCATATTTCCTACCTTCCTGGCCTTCTAGACCCTTGAAATACTTAGCAATCATTTACTCACTTCCAAACATGGCGACCACCTCTCTACCTCAAACTGGCTTCGGTCTGTTGGTAAGCTACCCTCCGAGGGTCTTTTTACCAATTATCTCTTGTGCTTTTCTACTTTAGAAGGCTATTACTAATACTAAATCGTATAGGGATTCACCTGGCGTCCAGCACAGGTGCCAGACGAACAGGCCTTCCCTACTATGAAAGCCGCTGTCGAGAATGGCGCCACTATCTGGTCGTCCTCCTCGATCTATGGTTCACCTCCGAATCCACCAACAGCAGGCCGCTCGCTTTTGCGCCGCTATTTTCAGAAGTATCCCAAAGGATACTTCTAAAGTAACTCTCTTTATCCGAGCCTGCTACGACTCTACTACGTTTTCCCCGACTTGTACACGAGATGGTGTACGCACTAGCTGGGAAGAGTGCAACCAAATTCTCGGCGGCGTTAAGAAGATTGATGTCTTTGGCCCTGCTCGTATAGATCAAAACGTTCCTGTCGAAGAAACTATTAGTGCCCTTAAAGAGCTTGTGGACGAAGGCAAGATCGGTAGTATCGGCCTATCAGAAGTACGCGCCGAGACTATTAGACGGGCCTCTGCTATTAGCCCAATTAAGTTCACTGAAGTCGAATTCTCACTTTGGAGTACTGAAATACTTGATAATGGCGTCGCGGCTACAGCAAAAGAGCACAATGTTATCTTATTGAGCTATGCTCCTCTTGGGTATGGCTTCTTATCAGGCACAGTCAAAAAGCTCGAAGATATCCCTCAAGGTGACACTCGTCATATGTTTGGTCGATTCCAGCCAGAGGTATATTAATCATCTTGCTCTTACTGGCTCTTTACTAACCTTTCTACCTCTTAGAACTTCTCAAAGAATCTCGACTTAGTTGATAAGATCCATGCTTTTGCAAAGAACAAAGGTATGACGTCTGCACAGCTCGCGCTTGCGTGGATTCGTATACACTCTGGTACTGGAAACTGCGGTATAATCATCCCTATCCCTGGAGCTACGGGTGTTATCCGTGTCAATGAGAACTGCAAGGCAGTAAAAATAACTACTGAGGAGAAGGAGGAGCTTGATAAAATCATTAAATCGTTCGATATCGCAGGACATCGACAGATCCCTGGGATGGATAGTAATATCTGGACTTAGTGTTCAACTATAAGCCCTTAGTCCCTCTCTTAATATAGATAGTATTGAACCCAATGCCAAGTATAAAGCGCTAACTCCCAACATGAGGCTCAGATTGAGGTTGTAAACACATGAACTTTTAGGCTTATTTTATTAACAACAGCTCAATACATTCCGAGCTAAGTAACAGGTCTAGAGTAATCAAGTAAAGTAAACAACATAGCCGTCGCATCTTCGAGTTGGCTCAAAATGATACTCCAGCAGGACGAGCTTATCAACCGCATCGATGCTGGCATTCAGCAGCTAAATATCGACAACGCAAAGTTAAAGAAGGACAACAAGGTCTGAAAAAGAACAACGAGGACATTGAGGACCTCTTGAATAGCGTCCGAGACCACGTCAAGTCGAACGCTGGCAAGGGCAGAAAGAATCCTCGGGCCAATCTACCCCCACCACCCTCTGCTGGTTTAACGGAAAAGTTGGTTCCGCTAAGCGTCATTGTTCAGAATGAGGATAAGGGGAAATGAATGTAGATGAATACTCAACATATTTATCAGCACGGACTAACATTTTTAGATGGCGCGATCGACTCGAATTGCATCATTAGCACAGAAGTGGTGGGATGCAATGAAGACATAGTTAGACGATGATGAGGTCGCTACCCTCGAGGCCCTAGACGCTTACGATCTTCAACCGCTGTAGACTGTAACTGCTCGCGCTTTGCGAACCACAACAGGCCACGTTTTTGTGGCCGATAAGCCCCGTGCGAAGGACAGATCTGCATGTAAGGGACAAGCCTTAAAGACCGCAATGCCGACGACGAAAAAGGGTGAGAGCCGTAAGAATGATGATGTCAGCTCTGAGGGGAATGAAAATTCTAGCGACCACCGACGAAGAACCCCCGACTAAGAGAAGAGTGACCAGCGGCGTGCAGCGATCAAGTTGGGAGAGTTCCATGTGCTGCGCGCCGTCTCCAAACTCAAGTGAGGTAGCTTTTCTGCTCTCACGCCTTCCATTCTCTGTCCCGCACTTGATCGCGGTTTTATTATAGCTTATCATGCCCCCCGTTCCTAGGCTCGAATTTTTCGATGCTAAAGGTCGCGACAAGTACCATAAAGGTGGATTCTGTCCCATCGACATCGGCGATCGGATTGCAAATTGCTTTACCACTATCCACAAACTCGGTGACACCGAAGGAGGTAGGTGATATTGCTGAGTTGGGAAACACGAAGCATTTCCGAGGTTTCTGGCAGAATAAGTATGATGGGAGGATAGGGATTAGTTGCAGATGAGAAGAACGATAACGAATTACGCATTGACGTTTACCCTGTTCTGCGCTTAACGCGATATCGTACAAAAGATACCTGTTTGTCTTCATATGCCTTGCTCTGCCATCATGAAGGCAAATCTATTTATTCAGCGGCTTGGTGCAAATGACTTTGGAAAGGGACATCCACTCCAAATTCAAGAAGTCTCCTACATCGCAAGTATTCTCCCAAAGATTCGGACAATATTCAACTGTCAGTTGTGAAAAGAGACATCCTCGCTTATATGCCTGAATGCGGTAAAGTATTTCTGCCGCCCCGCTTCAGCTGAACATCAATGAACATGGCGGTCATGAGGATATAAATGTCTTTCTGTGCTCTGTGGTTAGCGCGTTGGTTGGATATGTGATAATAGTCGTTTCATGGATCCACTTTCTGCCCTTTCGGTGGCTGGGTGTGTAGTGCAATTCATCGACTTCACGTGCAAAGTCGTTTCCAAAAGTTATCAGCTCTACAGAACTCCTGATGGAGTCTTACAAGAGGATTTGGAGCTCGAAGCTATTGCTGGGAATTTCAGACACCTCACCTCACGGGTGACCAAAGCCTTGCCGTCATACTTGGAGCTACGTGAGCAGACGCCGGATGTTGTTGCGTTCCTTTATATGGTACAACAATGTCGAGAGACTTCATCAAAGCTTATTAATGTGATTGAGACGATTCGGAGAAGTGGCAAGAGTGGGAAATGGAACAGTTTTCGCCAGGCATTGGTTTCCGTCTGGAAAGAAGATGAAGTCAATCAATTGACTCAGAGAATGGATCGGTTGCGACAGTCGATGGTCCTAAATTTGGTCTTTGCGATGGGGTGAGAAATTATGTTCTCTTGCATGAAATATATTGACAAATATTCAGCAAGCAAACCTCTACACACAATGACCTGCTAGAAAAGTTGTCTGAGAACACCATGCGAATGGAAAGGAATATCCTGCACGCTATAGAAACCTCCAATTGCAACCCACAGAACCAGCAACACCTCATTTTCCTTGGTCAGCAGATGTCAACTTTGGCCCAAGAAGAGTTGGAGCTGCAAACTGCTGAACGTCTTCGCGAGACCTTATGTTTTCCCCGGATAAGAGAACGAAAGGCCAGGATACCCGATGCTCACAGAGAGACGTTCGGGTGGGTCTTTGGGTTAAATCAGACGCAATTGCACCAAACCCAGACTTTTGTTAGGTGGCTTGAAGAAGATAAGAACAGTTTATATTGGATCACTGGGAAGCCAGGATCTGGAAAATCGACCCTGATGAAATATTTGGTCGAAGAATCGCAAACTCAAAAGATTCTACAAGATTGGGCCAAGCCAAAAACACTCCTAAGGGCAGATGTATTCTTCTGGAATGCCGGTACCCAGATCCAGAAGTCGTTGTGCGGATTAATTCGATCGCTACTGTACGACATGCTCTCCGATAGAGCCGATCTTGTATCGGCAATCTTCCCAGGTCGTTGGCGTATGGCTCAATTATGCTTCATTATTCCAGGTGATTGGTCCGAGGTGGAACTTTCAGACGCATTTGATCTGTTAATTTCATTGGTCTCCAAAGAAAGCAAAATATGCATATTTATCGACGGCCTAGACGAATACGATGGCGATCATCGACAAATCATCAGCCTGCTCAAGAAAACGTGTTCGCATACAGATGTGAAGATCTGTTTGTCAAGTCGTCCTTGGATCGTTTTTGAGAAAGCCTTCCGGGATTGCTCAAACCTTCGAGTACACGAATTGACCTATCGAGATATCACACGTTATGTTGAAAGCACTTTGGCCGCTAACGAAGACTTCATGGAAATAAAGCAGACCAATGCATGTGTTGCAGAAGAAATTATTCGAGAAATATGCGTCAAGGCCCAAGGAGTGTTTCTATGGGTTGTCCTAGTAGTTCGGTCATTGGTCGAGGGTGTGGAGAACAATGATCACATGTCCGATCTACAACGACGGTTACGGATGCTACCATCAGATCTCCAAGAGTACTTCAGTCACATCATGGCTGGTCTTGAAGAGTTCTACATGAAACGGGCTTCTCAGTTCTTTCAAATTGCCCTGAGCTCAGATGGACCTCTCACCCTTTTGACATATAGTCTCATCCACGATGAGACAATTACAAGTCATAGTTCTTCGGTAGGGCCATTGACCGATACCGAGATTGAGAGAATGCACAAGAAGGCGTCCGACCAAATAAACGCGTGTTGCAAGGGCCTCATGGAAGTCAAACAAAGGGAATTCTTCCCCGGGATCTCACAATATTCGGTCGAATTTTTACACCGAACGGTGAAGGACTTTCTGTTGAACAAGATCAGCGATGATTTTCTCAAGCAAGGCAAAGGCCCTGACTTCGACTTACCCGTGCTCTTGTCTCGTGCGTTCTTGTATCAAATCAGACGTGTCCCAACTCACCACCCCGAAGAGTTGCGAAAAGACTTAGGCCTCTTGGTTGACAACCTCACCTTTTACGGGAGTCAAGTTGAATCTCAGACACAGAGCTGCGAATTTACTAAACCAATGATGAATGAGGTGGGAAACTTATTATCTACATATAGCAAGTTCAAAGATCCAGTAACGCCAATCTTCATCGGTCGCGAAAGCACGCAAGAATATGAACCAATGCTTTTCGGTAAAGACTTCGAGGCGAACCCAGCTGCACTCACAAAATCGCTCCTCATACTCAGCATGAGAACAGATATGAGATTTTACTTTGAGGCAAAATTGGACGAAAATCAGCATCTTTTGCTAGATGAAACATATCGTCCCTTGATCGATTATGCGCGCCGAGCACCACGTACTCCAACAAAACCCGCCATATTCGAGCTCCTTGACTGTCCCGTTTCTTTAGCCAATGTGAGTTTCGAGCCTTGTACTTGGGCGGTGGAGATCATCCTTCGGGCACGGAAAGATGTAGAAAATGCATCGTGGCGACCCAAACCTAAACACCCCGCGAAGTGGTTCGAGGCAGGACGTCCTAAAGCAAAAATACCCGCAACAACATTGCAAGAGGCAAACCCGCAGGTGACAACCCTGCAAGACACCAATCTGCCAGTGGTGATGGAGCACAAGACTAAGAGTCCTTCATTTCTCGGGAAGATCAAGAATCGGATAAAGTCCAAAAAATAAGCCAATTACGGCCTGGCTTTTGATGACAGAAAGACTTATGTCATGAGGTAGCGTCCGGTAACAGATTGGTCAATGTTGGCTTTATCGATTGGTAAAGAGGGTCTCGCGTGCTGGTAAATGAATCCGTCTCGCTAGGCACAGATCGCCCCTGTGCTATATGTTGTTTTCAGATGTGGGCTTGTGTGTCTTGTAGTTAAGCAGAGAGCAAAAGATGAAAGTGTACATTTGATTTCGAATAGATGAAACCTACTTAGAATTTAAATAGATCACCTCCTTGGATCCCTTCGCAAGCTCCGGCTGACTCTGCGACCTGCTCAGGGGCTCTAGACATAGCTCAGACTAGAGCAGCGACTGCTCAGATCTAAAGACGGAAATGGAAAATGCCATGAGAACATTTCCATGCGAGATTTACTGTTATACAAGGTAGGTAGTATAAAAACTACAATAGACGCAAGTCAGTCCTGAATAATTATGTATAGATGCTCAACTAAGTTCCCCACCTAATACCCTTCACCTAGACAAAAAATCACCACCCGGGCCGCTGCCTATAAAAGTCGGGGGCCTGGAGGCAATAGGCAGCGATACATTGGCATTTACTGAAAATGCTAAGTCTTCTTCTATTAGCTTTTCTTTCTAGAATCGCGACTTGTTTTGACTATAGATGCAAGCTGGTTATTATTCTTTTAAACAGCATCTTCGTAATTATCCATATCTTCTTGGTCGTCCTTTCGACTCAAATTGGGCTGGTTGCCCTGATTGCCGCTGCCAGATGCTTGACTTGCCTAACTATATTAGAAGCATTTTAACACACACGCAGCTAAGACAATCTGTTAGATAAGACGCCCTATAAACGAAATAATTAGCATTAGCGGTCTTCTATAAATTATTAATTCGGGACAATCGGTCCTATAAAACAGTTACAAAATTCACGACATTTGGTGGTGATCGCCCCTGAACATTGCGATTAGTTGTAATTATTCCATATTCTTGCCAAAGATTAATATTTGGATATTGAATAATGCCCAGTCCTAGGTCTCCCAGGTGTTTTGATACTATGCAGATCCAACAACTACATAATTCGCACTAACAAACACAACCTGAACAGCGGCGAACCTGTCCGCAACCACGCATTAGTCACTTATCAGCAATTCCCGCTCTCTTCCCACCACTCAACCCCGCACTCAAGAAAAAAAAAGGGGGGATGCTCACGCAGAAGTCGCCGCAAAAATCTCAATCCTCTTCGCCTGCGTTGTCAACAGCAACGTAATCGAGAAAACAGCCGTGAATGCTACCGCAACACCTAGTCTCGCCCCAGCATTACTGACAAAGTAGAGGATGACAATAGACAGTATCGGGAGAAGCGAGGCGATGAGCGTTCCAAAAATGTGGACGATTTTGAGGAGAGGCTTTTCATCGTATTCCGCTATTTCCGAAGCGGGTGATTCGGGGATGGGTTTCTGATTTTGGGGTGAGAATTGCAACGCATACGTCGCAGAAGATTCCCTACCTTAATACGACTCCCGCATTTAATGTGGAACCAGGGCACGAGGTTGTTGATAAACCACCTCGAGATTGGGTCACCGTGGTCGCGACGATGGATAGCGATTAGATCGTTCGTGTGTTCTTCTGCCCATGCGTTTTCTATTCGCGGCCGAGAAGTGGGAAGTTGCCCATATTCGGCCGCTGAAGCCAATCGCGGAAAAATGCAAGGTCATAGGAATTAGGGCCTTGAATGTTGGAGAAAAAGATCTGTTGTGCAACGCGGGAATCTATTTATCGTTCGTGTCAGGACTTTTCTTCTTCTTTCACTGTTTGGTTAACGTGCTATACGCCTCAAGATTTCTACGAATCTTTAGGATGATTGTCCATTGTAGTCGCCCTTCCTCGTCCTCGGCATTAGCCAAGGACCACCAGTCTCTAGAAAAGAATGTCCGATTCCGGTTTTCTTTGTCACTCAGCGCTTACTCTTTCAGCTCATCATGTAAGTGAATGAGTTCTGCCTGCAAATAAAGTATATCCTGCAAATTCAAGTCCCGAAACCGTCGAACAATTGTAACATCGTCATGGTTGCTCATGAACTGAGTGATTGCAGCGTATCCTTCCATTCTGTGAAAAGTTTGCGGCTCAAAAAATCGATGCTTCCTTGAGTATTGCCGGCCAGAAATGAACCTCTTATGGAGCGCGACGTGGCGTAATCGGTGGGGTACTGAGTAACACCGTTCGCCTCACTTTTTGATGGTTGCATGTAGGTTACTCGTAGGTATGCATGCAATTTTGACCCTACCGAGGCTTAGAAGTACTACTTGATGCTGCGGAAGGCTATGCCATGTACGTACCTTACCTACGCACATTTTTTTCGAAACAGGTTGATTAGAGCCTTGCTAGAAATGACACAATAGCAATATATAAGAGGGTCGGGGTTATAAAGAATTTCAGAGATAAAAATACAGAAGAGATCCAACCCATGAGACGATATTTAAATGAAGTTGAACGCCTCGTTCCAGACCACAGCCTTGCGTCGATATCAAATATAGCTCGGCCCATTGCTACCCAGCAGCCCATCAGCACAGCCCAGCCGAGTAAAGCCACAGGAATGAAGGTGCAAGTTGGACTCATTCAGAGTGGCGTGCTGAGGGCATTGCAAGGCCCCATGAACCACTGGGTCCAAACGGCGGCGGCTCTATACCATCTGGCAGTTATAATAATGCCACATCCAGCACTACAAAAGGCCAAGCATATCATCTTCTCCCGCCACTGTTTCCAATACCTACCTTCAAATTGAAGCGGACATTCGCAGCTTGCGAGGCTGAGGCTCCATCCACCATGGCGTATGATGCCCGAGACCGCCAGAATATGGAGTTGGGAAAGAAGAAAATCGACGCGATGTCATATGGTTTCTTCAATCTTCCTTTCAGCGTGGACGGCGCGGAGCCTCCGACGGAAAGTGTCAATCGACCCGAGCCGGCTGAACCAGTCGATGCTGCCAGTCGTGCGTGCGAGGTAATAATTCCACAGAACTCCTCGAGGATAGAGATGCGACTAAACATTAGCTAGCAGTACAAGCGCGATGACGAGGAACGATACTCGAGCCCTGCCATTCAGCATATCACGATGTTCTCGGGGGGGTGGGGGGGGGGGGAGCGCCGCTGCCATTCGTCTCGACGCTCGATACTGGCACCACCGGCAACTGGATCTCGGACGACGCCCTCCAGCGGCTCCAGATCAAGAGCGTGGCTGAGGCGCCCACGGACTGGATCACGTTCAATGGCAAAACGGTGCGGTCGGAAGCGGTGGCGGAGATCACGTGGACTGGCGTTGGCAATCGCAAGACACGCGTCACCAGCTTCCGCGTTGCAAAGAAGCCGCCCTTCGATGTGGTCTTCGGGTCGGAGCTCATCTTCTCAGAACAGATCTTCTCCTTCGACAAAACGGCGTGGATCCTAGCCAGAAAGCCAGCTACCAAAGGTATGTTGGGGCCGTTGCCGCGCCTCGATGCATAGTGAATGTGAATGTGAATATGAATTGAATGCAGAACAGCAGAAGCGGAGTTGATGGCGAAATGCAGCGAGGAAGTGCAGCGGGACAGCAAGATGCTGGAGGAGCAGCACAAGCACCGGGCCAAGAGTGTGTCGGGGACGGGCGTGGGTGTAAGCTTGAGCATCCGGCCACGAAAGTCAGACCTGGAGGTAGGAGGGCGTGTGTACGTGGCTTTATGATGATATGATGATATGGTGATATGGTGATATGGTGATCCTAATCTGCAGCCAGCATGCCCTGGTACAGTACAGTACAGTACAGTACTTCGTACTTGGCCCTGTACGACCGTCCTCGCTACTGAATTTCTTCCCCGCTAGGTCGAGGCCCCCTGCCGTCTAGCTAACTAGGAACCTATGCAGGTAGATAGATCCCTTATCCTACCTACAAAGGATAATAAGGTGTCTCTTCTCCTTTTGCTAGACATAGAATAGACACACCCCGCGCTGTGTTGTTGAGTTGATCTGGTCGGTGCTTCGTCCCACCACCAGCCGACCCCAACCCAACTTCAACTTCTTCCACCCCATCCTGTGGATCCTAAAGTTGGGACAATCGTTACATAAAAACTGCGACCAAACCCACTAAATTCATCTACCCTGTATAATCCACGGTTCCTTGCTCGTGTAGCAACAACCTACTAGAGCAAACTGAGGTCTGGTCGTTTGCTTGGGTTATAACATAGAATTTATGTGGTGAGTGGTATTCATATTCATAAGCCTTGAAAACAGAATTCAGCACATGAGTAGAATTATTCCTCAAAGTGAAAACAAAACATCCTACTATCCAAGTATACCAGTAAGCAGACGCAAGAAAATCCAGCGATCCAATTGCACCCTGATCTCCTCTACCTAATTTAAGAGGCCAGCGTAAAGAATCTCCCGCCTACCTTGACACTACCACTCTGGCTCTCATTGCCATCACTACCATCACTACCATCACTACCATATTCATCTGGGGAATAACAAAGTTCCGACAGTGTCTCCCCCAAAGGGCCAACCGGCTTTTCCCCCACGCTCTGTATCTCTGCGCCCTTGCCCTTCCCCTCCCTTTCAATAGGAGTACTTTGGCCGATATTATCAATTCCAAAATAACCCTCAACTTTACGTCCAACAAGGTCCCTCCTCTCCCACTGCCTTCTAACAATCTTCCATTCGGGATTGTGATACTCGTAATCCTCGAGGTACTTATTATCGACAATGAGCCTCCAACTATTGGTCTTCTCATTCTTCTGTCCAATGCGATGGATTCGTGCATAAGCTTGCATCTCGCGCCTGAATTCAAAATCGGGCTCCATGAGCACAACGTTAGCTGCGCGGGTGAGATCAAGACCTTTTCCAATCAAAGATGTAGTGCCAACGAGGAATTGGATGTTGTCTTTTTGTTTGCGTTGCCCGTTAGGTTGCAGGGCGTCAGTGAAAGATTCGAGCGCTGCCGCGCGGAGGCGAGGGTGTGTGCCAGTGATAACGAGGCCGACCCGCTTGGCAGTGGACGGTATGTAGCGCTCAATGAACTCAAGGGGGGATAAATGTTAGCTTAAAAATATAAAGGTGGATCAGGGGGGGGCAGAGGATGGGACGGGTTTTCGTACCAGTTTCACTACCAAAGCTACAGCGTTGAATCGGGTCAGAATAACCAGTTTTTGCTCCTGGCCGCTCACATCCCTCGTCTGCATCAACTTTCTGATGAACACATATAGCCAAAGGCATTTTGGGCTGCTCTCAACGATACTTCGGAGGCGTTTGCAGTACGGACTACGTTTCTCGGATGAAGGAGATGCCCATTTGCTGCACTCTTTGGCTGAGAAATCAAGATAGCTCCAGTCATCTGGTGGTAGCAATGCAAGGTTCACAAGATAGGGAAATGTGAGAAATATGTGGAGTTTCCAGCCCACACAACACCGACTACCGAGGGATACATCCGTCGGCCGCGTTGTGTGCAGCCTATCGCGCAACTCATGAGTTGAACCCCATTTGGCATCCCATTTTGCCTGCATATCTTTAAGTTTTGTATCCATCTCAACCCAGAGGATGCTTATGAACTTGTTGAATTCTTCGCGGTAGCGATCCATATGTTTGAGCTTAACATCGTGATGATAATGTGGTTTGAGTCTAACGAGTGGATGCCCAAACCAAGACGACTCTGCTGTCCGACGTATCATGAACGTGGTAAGGAAAGGCATTATATGGCCTGGAAATTTCTGAGAACGTTTTTTGGAACCGTGGGTCTCTTTGATATGGGTCTCAAATTTGGTGCAAAGATAGTCCAATGCCTTATTGCTGAACTTCTCCATCTCGGGGTCCTGCTCCCATCCAGTCTTGGTCATGGATTTTGAGTCAACACATTTCGGCGTCTGGGATTCTATCGCCCATGGCACACCCTCCAGTCCGCGAGGACTGTTTAACAGTGGAGTCCCGGAGTAGCCCCACAGGAATGGACTTTCGGCGGAAGGAAGATCAGCGAGAACTGACGACCTTCCCTTGTTCCTGCGATATTCCTCATGGCACTCGTCGATCATTGCAATGCCGAAGACAATCCCCCGATTTTTTACCTTCGCATGATGTGTTTTGCTAGACTTGTCGGTAGACAATGCTGTCGTTTCATATTCAAATACTTTTCGAACCCAGCTCTTGTATACCTCCGCCGTGGTCAGAAGTAATAATCTCTCCTGGTTTGGCTTTGGAGAGTCTTTGAGGATTCCGCCTTCAGCCTGCATCTTGACCTTAGCCGCGCCCAAAAGCGTTACGTTCCTGGAGCGTCGAGCGTCATCGTTATCATGCAGGCTTCCAACAGCGAAGGAAGGAGGATGAGCTACTGCTAGGCTCATCCCGAGCGCCGTCTCCTTTTCATCAACATGCACCTTCCATTGTGACATCCAAACCGGAACGAGGGGAGGAGGAACACAAGCGAGTCTGACACCGTGCTTAGCTGTCATTTGTGAAGTAGGATTGGAAGCCACGCAAGGGCATGCAATCCAGTTCGGGCGCTCAGAATTACTTGGACATGCGACCTGATCCAAGCCTTGCTGATCCAGGAAAAGATGCTTCCCATCTCGACTCTCCCGAGACTTGGCTACATCGTGCCATAGCCATGCTAGTTGCCTTTCCACTACAATATAGGCCAGGAAAGTGAGCGTCTTCCCAAGCCCCATCTCGTCGCCAACAAATCCGCCCCCAACCTTTCGAGATGTGGTCATCTGCCAATAGATTGCAAAGGCCTGATATTGATAAAGTTGACTCTTTAGCCCGGTAATCTTGACTCTTTCATCAACACCAACATTATCCGGGTTGATCTGAAACATACGACAACACTCCTGCCACCGGCTGAGGTTGGCTTGTCCAGCCACCGTCATCTGCGATAGTTCTTCTGAGTTTTGCAGGGCGTGGAGCCTTCAAAACTGTTAGCATCCGCATTCAAAACACATGACTCGTCGACTATAGGAAGTAAAGAAACGACTTACTGTCGCATTAAATACTCGAAACGCGACCAATCTCCCCAAGCCTCCTCCTCGACGTCGAGCGGATCTTCGCTAACATCCGTATCAGTCTCACGGAGAGTCGGTATTGACTCTTCGTCTCCATTGAGTCCCCGGACAAAGGTTTCTATGCCCGCTTCTGTATACAAAGATTTGAATCTAACATCCTGTTCTTGATATTTATCAGACCCCCGTAGCCCTGAACTTCTTTTCCCAAAGGAAAATGACCTTCGAAAAAGTCGTTTCCAGGCGCGCCTCAAGCTGGCGGGAGATTTCAAGGACGGCGATCTATTTCGCATAGAAACACGTGAAGAACCATGAGAGGGTTTCCCTTGAGGAATTGGTCGCACCCGGCTTGTCAGAGTCTTAGTCCTAGGGCCATGTCTTCGCGGATCCTTTGCAGGTGCAGAAGTGGGAGGTTGAGATGGAGTGGCCACCTGAAAGACTTCATTTTTATCCTTCGGTGTAGGTGCTGGCTCTCTTCTAACAGACCTCAAGCCGTTCGCATGAGCCGTATATCTAGTTGAAGCTCCTGATTTGGTGGTCTTCGCCGTAGGCTGTGGTAGTGGTTTTGTGTCTGGTGACTGCTGTATACTAGCAACAGCTCCACTTGGCATAGCAGTCCTCCGAGCAGCTTCTTTTAGCTTGTAGACTCGCGTCCTCTGGGTAGCCTTTTCCACATTCTCTCTAACTCCCCTCTCCTTCGCGGTTTCTGGGTGGAATTCAAAGTCGAGAGTATATTTGCTTCCTCTGTTTGAAAACAAGTAGTTAAGGGCTATTTCCAAATGTTCTTGACGCCTTATGACTTTGAAGGTGTCACGGATGCTGTAGCCTAGATGGCCATGTTTTAGATATAAACGGTTGTTTTCAGACTGGCTGTCGTTTATTGCGGTTTCGAACTCCTTTAGAAGCAGGTCTAACTGGTAGCTCCTCGCATTATTGGGGTTTCGTTTTTCAGACAAACATTTGCTTGGTGTGGCCTTTACCACTCGACGAGTATCGTCCTCTGATAAGACAACAAGAGTAAAGGCTTCCACCTGGCCAAGTGCGGCTATTTTAGGAAGTGGCTTGGGCGGTGTATCCGAAGATCCTCCCTCCATAGCCTCATTGCCCACTGGAACCACCACCTTGGAAGGGGGCCCGCCTTGGACATATAATTTACTGGGGGGTTCCGGCATCTTCAAGCGCTGGTAACAAAATTCGTTGATCAACCAGAAGTTCTAAAAAAAAATGAGCCTGATAATTATTCCCATTCCTAAATTTTCGACGGTTTTGGAACCTCCAAACCATTTTAACATCTTTTTTTAATAAAAGCAACAAGGGCACGACTCCTTTGTTGAGGCTCCAAAACGCCATTTCGCTGAATGCGGCGAGAAATTCCATGAGAGATAAAGAGAGTCGGACGTTAGGGTGGATAGAAGGAACTCTCAGACAATTATGAACAGCAAGAGGCATCTTCCGGAACGGGCCACAACTTGGGCTCACATCGCTTCGCTCCTCATTTAGACGCAGAACAGCCTGCTAATACCATCAAATATGACAACGCTATATACCTCTACCTCCAACATCGAGTAGCTCAGGAGGTGCTCGAAAAAGGGAATCATCGGACTATAAGCTCACAACCCCCGAGCAACTCCCGAAGACACTTCCGTCTCATCATCTTGTAGCTTTCCACTAGGAGATGCCTTAGCTCAAAGGAAGCACATAGATCAGCAGTAGGTGCGCGGAGTCGCGGACAAACAAAGAAAAGATGCTGGCATATCGATTTGAAGGAGCTTGAAGGCGTCGTCGAGTCAAAGCTCGGAATAAAGTAGGCTAAGCCTAAACAGGACGTTCCCTGTTGGCCTCTCCTCCAGCCGACCCATTGAATCCATTGGCAGGCACCCAGTTACCTAGGGAGTTGATTTATATGGTCGAAGTAGCACAGGTGGTAGTCCGAAATAGAGCTATTCCTCTTAGTAATGGGCCTGTAGCAGAAGGTAAACGACGCTACCCTCGAAGTTTCAGGCAGTGCATCTTAGCAGCATCCCCTCTATTGCATAACATTCCGTATAGTCAGAGAAATAAACCCCAAGCACCATTCGGCAACAAGTAATGTAAAGGTTTGGTTTTCTTCATTAAAGTAGGGTATCTAGGTTCGCCCTTGTTTGCGCAGTGACATGCCTATGCATCTGCCAATATTTACGCCGACAAATCTGGCCGCCCGGAAGTGGATAAAACTTCCCTCATCATAGAGTGCTGTAACCACTCTGGTGTTTTTTTAATATCCTTCAGTTATGTCCCTAATCTCTGCTCCCTAGAAACCAGAAAATATAATCAAGAGGCACGAATAAGATTTAGAACTAGTCTACTAAAAGACTGTTCCATCCGAAAGAATTGCGATCGGTGGACACTGGGTATTTGGCCGCGAAATTTCAGCCATTTCCCTACCTCCCTATTGACACATATTATTAGCATTTAATACTTGGATGTAGGGGAGGAGAATTTTCTTACCTTCCAGCTCCCAGCCTCCAACATTTGTGGCAGTGTCAGCCTGTCAGGCCCTTGTAGACCCAAAGTCCTGTTCACCTCCTCGTGGAGTAAATCAAGAAATACAACAGTCACAGCTCGCCACTCAACAACCACGTCATCATCAGGTGCAAACATAGGAACAATTTCCAAATCTTTCTTCCCATTTTCCGCGCTGTTGCGCTTGAAATTCTCTACCCCTCGTGCCATATCATCCTTCTTCAGAGACAGGACACCGGTGTCAATGAACAGGCCTCCATTGCGGTACTCCGGCAGTCCAGTCATAAGCTCGGCACCTGCGAAGTGGATATTCATCAACCTAGTCATCGGTTGCATAAGGGAATAGCAGAGCCACTGCGTTAACTTGTGGAATGGTACGATGGTTTCCCATGGTGCGGCAACGGGCCCAGTGGGCATGGAGGAGAGAGGCCAGGCATCCCCCAGAGGGGTTCCGTCGATCGCAGTACGGGATAAGGGCCAAATTGGTGCAAGGCCATCCATAAGGACGGTCCAGAGAGTAGGCAGAAGTATTATAGGGACGGAGGAGGCTTGTGTGGTTGGATGAGATATCAGAAAGTCTATAAATATCAGCGCATGGTCAGAGTAATTCAGTATTGCCCTTACCGAGCATATTTCCGGGTCTTCCATCAGCCCCAAAATAGTTGTGGTTCTTCATTGCATCAGAGAGCTTAATCAGGAGTTCCGTTCGGCCTTCCAATCCAGCTAATGGGTTATGCTCGGAGACTTGCAATGCAGCGCGTAATTTATCAACCGTTAGGCTCCTCAACCCTTCAGCGTCGACTTGGTGCGGCTGGGTTTCGTTACTGCTGAACATGCCGGTTTTGAACATCTCCAAGCTTGCAATTGCCAACCCCTCGCTCCGCCTATACGTCCTCCCATTTTCCTTACTCTTATAGGACCACGAGGTTCCCGCACCAGCATCCAACAGAACCGAGATGAGGAAGAGATCGAGAAGTCGGCGACATCGTTCGGACGGGTCTAACTCGCTTGGCCAGGTGTTTAAAAGCAGCGCGATACGATCTCGTCCACCGACACTGAAATGCTGCCAGCGCCCGTGGGGAGGGATGCTCGCATAATCTGTGCCAAAATCTCGCTGTTTGTAGGTCCTCACGTCAGAACTGGGGAGGCTCAAGTAAGGCAACAGGGTGGAAGGGGGGCGCGACAAACCTTCATAATTGATACAACAAATTTGGTAGTATCGGCGAAATTCTGCATTTGAACGTCAAAGTGATTCAACTCGTTTCTCCTGGCCTTCTCCAACATTAGGGAACACCTCTCTCGCACAGCCCCAATGCTTCTCAGGTATCCCGCAGGGTCGACCAGAGGGTCCGGGTTCTTGGGCAGGGCGATCCTAGGAATGGTGATGGGAAGCGACATCATGTTATTATGGCCAGGCGTGGTTGGCGACCTCAGGGACGACTGTGAATGGGACGACATGGACTGTACATCGCCCGGATCCTTGCGGGCGCCGCTCGAGGTCGTGGACGTAGAGCCAGACTTGTCCTTGCGTGAAAAGAGACCCATATTGGGCTTTGGTATTTGGTATTGGCGACCTTGTCGCTGGAGTCAACCTGTTGGCTTGTCCAGATGGCACAATGGCCTATTTCCCAGTTGTAAAACAAAGGTTTAGTGTGAACTGGTGAGATGGATGAGTGTTATCGTGGGCACTCGCAGGCACTCGAGGGATCGAGGATTGTTGATACAAAGGGAGGTGTTGGTCGCTTCACAAGCGAACTGTTGCGATTGTGCGGGGAGCCGGAAACGGGATCGGGAGGCGACTTCGAACTTCAAAGCTAGAGGTCCCGTTATAGAGATGTGACTCTAATAGTGAATTCGACCCGAATATTGGACTCAATTACCGGTAGCACGTCTATAAGGACGGTCAATTGTGATGCGACGACTGCCAGGAGTGAAGGGCGAAGGGTGGTGGTGCGTGGCGGGCCCAGATAAACATAGTCGCAGTGGCGGAGACGGAGATAGATGCTTCACTGGCATGGCACGGTCACAACCGCATCCTCGGAGGCTCGGCCACGGATCCATACAAAGGACGAACTGCTACTCAGTGCGAGTAAGCTACCCCGGGAACGTCTCCTACAGTAGGTGCTTTGTATTGATATTGATATGGCCCAGTTATCAGTTAGCCAAGTCGAACCAGATCGACCATGATATATTGAAGAGTTCTCTCTAAAGCGTACGAAGCAAGTCAATAGCTCAACTCCTCGACTCTTCAGCTCAACAGCTCTTCAGCTCGCCAACCCGCCGACTATTCACACTGCTTAGCCCCTCGACGACTCCTCAACTCCTCAACTCGTTAACTCGTCAACCCCCTCAGTGTTCACTTTCGCCTCCCCACCCCCGGCCACGACGCCGACCTGGTGCAGCGCAGGGGGATTCTACGCCAGTCCCCTGTCGTCCTCCTCCTACTGGACGGATTCGCTCGAACTCAGCGTGACAGGACAGCCCCCGGATGCCCAAGGCCCTTTCCGCGCTCGCCAGAAGCATGGTCTGGTCCATGTCCCCCACCCAGTCCCACCACCACGGGTCCCGAGGGGTCGGATAAGACACGCGTGATTAGGGTCTCAGTGTTCTAGCTGGATAGGTTCCAGACTCCAGCTCAAAGTGGCAATAGTGCTGGTAGTGTGGAAGTATTGGCTATCCAATACCGTCCTAGACAGGACCAGGGGCCCGCAGGGTGAATCGCTAGAAGTCCCCCCGATATGGTCGATGGGATCATGGGAGACGCAGATGGCGATGCAGGTACCTACATACGTCAACAGCAGACCTCATTGGCCCGGTTGCGATTACGGTACGACTTTGGCATTTTGATATTAAGGGTCGTCTTCCTACGAGGATAACGTTCGAGGGGATAAATTGCTCGATCGAGGGAGTCGCACTGAGTGGGCCAGCACACTGCCAAGTATCCGGTTTCTCTGTTCGCAGTCTAGGGGCGATTATTAGGCGGTAGGCTCACGCTATCCACGGTGCTTTTGACCTCTTCGCGACCGAAGCCCGACGGTTAACGCCCCAAGAGGATCCGTACATTAGTCAAGAATTGGATAAAGACTGTGGGCTGCTCCGTCGGTATGCGCCCGCCACGCGCGGTTCAGGAGTTGACCCCTTTCCCCTATCCTTCCCCCTGAATGAAATTGTGGGGTCAATTTAATCAACAACAAAAACAGAGGAGATACCGGTAGATACTTGCAGACTCTGATCAGTGTGCCAGAACCTACTCCGTAGGACTGAACTGTAAAAATTCTGTAAAGAGGGCTCTCTAGACTCTAGAGTCTAGAGTGTTATTTCATAGATCCCAGGGGCAAGGTAGCAATGGAACGTCGCACTTCGTAAATGGGACAATAGTAATAAGTAGACCGCACTTAATCTCCCGGATGCAACCTCCCGGCATGTTTCTGCAACATGCCTAGCTGATGCACGTGACTATAATGCTAGGCGATAGATGCTGCCTAACGATCATTCATCGAGCTCATTCACGAGCGCTTTAGGGACTGAAAATTTCGAAAGTCGTAGCAGAAAGGAACCAGCAGCCAAAGGCGTCAACACCTACCAAAAGCCTCGAGACAAGTACACATCAGAGAGACTACATATATGAACCTATATGAACTACGTACCTAGTGACATGGAGATTCTCCTTATTGGCGGGGTAGCAGGGGCATATGGCTCGCCCCGACAGCCGACAGCCGCCAGCCGCCCCGGAGTCGCGCGTCAAAGACGGCGACCCAAACCAACCTCATATGCAGGAATAGCACAACACAGTTAAGTTTGACTTCATGGGAATCCGGATCCAATTCTATATGAAATCCGTATAACATCCCCCGCAATCCCTCAATGCATTTATGACACACACCTTGGTTTGAATTCCTTGAATCTTGTTTTTTGTCCTTGCCCCGATGGATGATTTAAGCGGCCTAGAGTGGTCCGCTTCCTCCACCTCGAATACAAATGCTTCAAAAGCACCACAGGGCTCTGGGAACTACTACCCCACGTTACGGCCCACGCCACCACCCCAACTCTCGGGACGCACCACTACTCTCTCTAATCAGGCTTCTGGGGCAGCCACTTCCAAACCATCCGCCTTCGCCGCTCCAAAACCCTCCTCCACCCCCGACAGCTTCTCCAATCTCGTATCCTTCGGGTCCTCGAAACCTAATACCCTAACCCTACAACAACAGCAAGAAAAACTACAGGCAGAGAAGCGGAAGCAGCAAGAAGAGACAAGAAAACAATATGAGGCGCAGTTTGGAGGGTCACAGTCGTGGGAAGGACTGGGGAATAGGGACCCAGGTCGGAACGCCACGCCAACGACGACCTTACGGGGTAACCCTCCCGCAATAAATCCTCTGCCAGCGAGTTTTGCAAGAGCATCTTCTCCGGCAACTATAAACGGTGATAGTGCTACCAACGGTGGAGATGAAGACCTTTTTGCGGCATTCAATGCCAGCACCAAAGTCGATAACTCGAGTTTCTATCCTCCTCCCTCTCTCTCGAGTAGCGGTAACAACACACCGGGATTTACGAAGAACAAGAGCCCGGACTTGAGTCAGCCACAGGCTTGGGAACAGCCGATGGGGTCCTTGGGAGGCGCGACCTTTGGTGATGATGATGACCCTTTTGGATTGGGTCAAATGAAGTCCCAAGGTTCTACATCAGCACCTGTTGTAGATTCCGCAGACAACGATGATTTCCTTGGGGATCTGGCGAAGCCTGTGGAAGAGATCAGGCGTCAGAGACCTCCAGCCGCAAAAGCTACTCCTGAGCCAGCGCGGGAACCCGAATTGGATGATCCATGGGACAAGGCTGTTGCAGAACTCGTCGATATGGGGTTTTCGGCCGAACAATCGCGGCGTGCGCTTACTGAAAGCGGTTCTGGTCTTGATATCCAAGCTGCTGTTGGCTGGATATTGAACGATGCGCACCGGCAGGCCAAACAAAAACAACAGAGTCGAGATTCGAGTAGGCATAATGGCGCTTCAACCGGTGAACGAAGAGATGCATCTCGGGACGGGGCTAGAAAAAATAATACCCAATCACGGATGCGTGAAGATGGCCAAGACCATTCACAATCCCGTAGGGAAGATAATGGTTCACCAAGTGGAGAGACGGATCTTTCCAAGACCGCAGCTGCTGTTAGTAGCAACTTATTCAAGACAGCCAATTCTCTATGGAAGACATCGCAGAAAAAGGTGCAAAAGGCGGTGGCTGAATTTCAACAAGAATCTGATCCCAGCCAGCCAAAATGGATGCGAGAAGCAGCTGAACGGGAGCAGGCTGAAAGGCAATCCACAGCAGACGGACGAAGTCGACGGCCAAAACCTACCGTTCCTGTAGTTACAGATGAGGCACTCATGCTTGAATCTGGCTCCCGAGCCCCACAAAAGAAAGCAAAAGCCCCTGAATCTCGATTATCTCCCTCGGGCTCTACACGTGAACAGCCGTCGACTCTAGGAAGGCCACCACCAGAGCGGCCTACATCTACACCACGATGGCAACAGTCAGCCCCTATGGATCCTCGCTCGCGGATGAAACAAGCTGTCGACGAACAATCTGCAGAAGCATATATAAGCCCTGCGCGACGGAAAAAGCCTACACCTCAACCCTCACAGCGGCAGCGGCAGCGGCAGCCGGAACCTGAGCCTGATCTACTACTATCCTCAACCGTTCCATCACAACCAAAAGCCACCTCGTCTCGTCAGACTCCTCGAACAACGCCCGTACCTTCTAAGCCGTCAACACCCATTCCGACACGCCCCAAAGCGCCACCACGCAACATTCCGTCTCTTTCGCCGACCGCTCTTGCAAAGTCTAACGAGCATCGCCAGGCCGGTTCTGATCATTTCAAACGCGGCGATTATGCTGCAGCGCATCAATCTTACTCAGCTTCTCTGCTTTCTATTCCTTCATCCCACCCTATTGCCATCATTCTCCTATGCAATCGTGCTCTTACCTCGCTCAAAACAGGTATCCCCAAGTCCGGGGTCTCAGACGCTGACAGTGCCTTGGAACTAATCGGGCCTGCGCGCGGCGACGGCGAGACTATCAAGCTAGGCAATGAAAACAAAGACATGCGAGAGTTTTGGGGCAAGGCGCTCATGCGGAAAGCGGAGGCTCTAGAGCAGATGGAAAAGTGGCGGGAAGCCGGTGATGTATGGAGACTATGTGTCGAGGGTGGTGTTGGAGCCGCAACCGCCATTCAGGGGCGATCCCGATGCGAGAAAGCCCTCGCGCCAAAGCCTGCCCGAACTGTTACTCCCAAGCCCAAGCCAAAGCCGAAATCTGCGCTGCAGGATTTAAATGGTGGTCGTGATAGCGCTGCCGTCGAAAGGCTACGGAAAGCCAATCTCGATGCAGAGAAAGCGGACGATGAGAAGTTTGCTCTAGCAGATCAGGTGGAAGCAAAGATTGGGCAGTGGAGGGATGGGAAGAGGGATAATCTCAGGGCGCTAATTGGGAGTCTGGACTTGGTCATGTGGGAAGGGAGTGCGTGGAAGAAGGTTGGGATGCATGAGTTGGTGCAGAATAATAAGGTCAAGATCAATTATATGAAGGCGATTGGGAAGTGTCATCCTGATAAGGTACGTTTTACAGCTCCCTCGCCTCCTTATCTCCAGATAAGAATCAATAATGCAGTGCTAATATATACATGGAATGTAGCTGTCGCAGGATGCGAGTACTGAAGTCCGCATGGTCGCTGGCCTCGTCTTCGCTACGCTGAACGAGAGCTGGGATAAGTTTAAGCAGCAGAATGAAATGTAGATATGTAGATGACACTGATCTGCCTACCTAGGTATTCTACGTATTGCTCTGACGATGATTAACGAGGATCGATCTGTGTTTATTAGCGGCCGTGCTATATGATGGAAGTACTCGTAAATAAAAATGGAAGCAAAGCATCGGCAAACAAAAGCCGATCTAGCATTTAATTTCTGCGGAGTAGAGAGATAAAGGTACATTCACATCTACCTATACCTAGATGCAGATATCAATATCAGCAGTAATATACTTCGTACAACGCATCATCCTCGTTTTTGGCCGACAAGACAGGGGTTCGGCTCAGGAAACCCGTGCTCCGTGCTCCGACATCTCCCCGCAGTAAGTTCCAAGGTTACTAAGGATACAAGTACGAGTGCTTCCTCCACCTGTGAGCTTCGAGCTTCCTTGCGAGATCGACAAACGGACAGCCCAACAGCAACCGCAATTGCGCAGATCCAATATATTCTGCTTTTGATTTTCCCTCCTCCGCCACCCCATTCCTGCTCCTGCGCCAACCGCCTCCCAGAATGGCCCAGATGAACCAATTGAGTCTCCAGGACGAGCCAGCGGTTTCGCCAGCCTCAGAGCCGCGGAAGCAGAAGAAGAAGAAAGTGCTGCTGATGGGCAAATCAGGCTCCGGAAAGAGCTCCATGAGAAGCATTATCTTCAGCAATTACATCGCCAAAGACACCCGGAGGCTGGGAGCTACGATCGACGTCGATCTCAGCCATGTCAAGTTTCTGGGTAACCTCACGCTGAATCTGTGGGATTGTGGAGGGTACGTATTGCATTCATGTCTTTCTGGGCGTCGAGGCATTGTGCACGATGTCTGCCAGCTTCGCAGATTGTACTGGAACTTCAAAAAGGTCCACCTTGCCTGGGCTTGTTAGACGGGTCGTTGCCTTCGTAGCTTGAATGACTGCTATCAATGCCTCAGCCGCAACAGGTACACGTCGAGCAGCACAAACCAAAGCTAATACCTCGCAGGCAGGATGCTTTCATGGAAAATTACCTCTCGCAACAACGCCAGCATGTCTTCTCTAATGTTGGCGTCCTCATCTACGTCTTCGATATCGAATCCCGAGATTTCGATCGCGATCTCCTCACCTACCGCTCCATCATCGCAGCCCTCGGTCAATTTTCCCCAACTGCCAGCGTATATATTCTAATCCATAAGATGGATCTCGTTGTCCCCAACCAGCGTGAAGACATCTACAACGACCGCGTCTCCCTCATACGATCAAAATCCGACTCATTCGACCCCACTCCATTCGCAACCTCCATCTGGGATCAATCTCTATACAAAGCATGGGCTGAAATAATCCACGACCTCGTTCCGAACCTCGACCAGATTGAGAAACATCTTGGTAGCTTAGGCAAGCTTATAATGGCGGAAGAAGTCCTTCTATTCGAGCGTACCTCGTTCCTCGTCGTGTCCAGTTGGACCTCCAAGGAAATCATCACAAGTGATAAGGACCACCCGGCCCAAAATCCAACATATGATCGAAATGAGCGGCTATCCAACATCATCAAAAATTTCAAACAAAGTACGAGCAGGTACACAGGAACCCCAAAGAGCGCAGAACAGTTTAGTGTCTTCGATCTTAAGATGCCAAATTTCTGCATGTTCCTTATCAAGTTTACAACCAATACTTATCTTGGTGTTGTTCTTCCCCCAGGCGAGGAACGCTACAATTCTGCGAAATTAAACTGTTATATTGCTCGAACGCAATTCGAGGACCTTGACTCTCCAGCGAGGAAGAGTGCTGATAGAGGCGCCACATCTGAGTCTCAGGATGCGGTGTCATAGGTCTTTGTTCCAGGTCTCGGACGGATTTGATGGATACGGCGAAAATATATTGTGCTTAGCATAGATCTAGGATATACCCAGGCGTTCAAAAATGGATACGGATTGCACCAAAAGTTTTTCGGTTTCGATCGGGCTTGCCCCTCATCCAATTGATTCCTCCCCCACACCCAGGTTAATATAATCGAACCTGTCCTCCTACGCGTTGAATTGGGGCTTATCGATCCATCAACTCTTTGATTAGCATGCTCAGTAGGCATGGGCATGGGAAAAGTTTACATTGCCCAATAAGGCCAACGAGCATACTCGAGCTCCGAGACATCACTGCATCGTTTAATAGTATGAACAAATGCATTCCCGAGTATCAATATCATTCAAAGGGTACAGTGGGGTACCGGAAGCTTAGGAGCTACAAATGAGGGCATACGGAATAGGGGGAGTTCGTCCGCATTGGATACCAAGCCAGCAGCTTACTTGTATGTTCTTGAACCCATTTACACCCGAAAGAACAAACAAGCCAACTTTGCTTCATCATGTTGCCCTATGTGCGATAGATGCTTATAACCGAAACTGCCTCCGACTAGTAGATCTAAGTAGTCCAAGTGGCACATCCCTTGCGAGGTTCAAGGTATACTCCCAGCAAAGTCGCTTTTCAACACCAGGTGAGTGACTTTATACGCACATATACCTACTCCCCTGGCTCAACTGTCAACCGGAACGCGGACGGGCTGGAACAGCATCGCAGTACGAAGGCTTCGCTGAAGACTTGTATACATATCACAAGCACATCTCGTTTTGCTCCAACAATCTCCGTAGTGCCTTTTGTAGCCGCTGTCTCCAATCGTACATTCGCCATTGCCAGCTACAGGAGCTGTCAATATTCCACTCACAAGTGACATTGCCATTGGTGCGTCCAGTCCACCCCGAGCGCTGTAAACGAGAACACGAAAAAGGTCAATGGGCTTCTAGAGAAAGTCACAACGGCCGAACCGCGTTAGTATGAGGTGTGAGTCGCCAAATCACCAAAACTCCTCTTCCCATCCCAGGTCTATCTACCAAAAGCCAAAGATACTAGCATCTCCTCTCGTGAGAAGGGTCGCGATATCCCCTTGCGTGTCTATAGCTGACAATGGCGAGTCAAGCAAGGGCATTTTCTTGCACTTTCATGGCGGTGGATTCATTATCGGGTCGCAGAAGCAGTAGGTGATGCCGCAATCGTAACCTTATAATACTATACTAATCAACGTGACAGCTCTAATAACGCCTTGAGGCGATATGCAAACCAGTGTCAACTTACAGCGATTTCGGCCGGCTATTGTCTCGCTCCAGAAGATGCTCATCCTGCCGGACTAGAGGCCTATTTTGATGCAGCAGCATATTTTGTCGACCTTGGACAAGCAGAGTACAGTGCCAAGTTGCTATTCATCGAAGACAAAGTGCAGGCGCAACGCTTAAGGTGCAATCTGTAATTGAAGAGTACGGTTACTTTGACTTCACCAACCACCTCCCCCAGGCTTCATTGTCCAACAAGCCGATAGTTAGTGCTTAATCTGGAAGCTCTCAATCAGTTCAAGGACGCCTATGTTCCAGGCAAAGACATTGCTGAACGACGACATCCTCTAGTGTCCCCGCCGTACGAAGGTATGCAGGCATTGGCGCAAGCAAGCAAGTCTCTTCCACCGGCACTTCTCATGTGTAGGACGGAAGATCCGCTGCCGGGTGACACGTTGTTGATGAGCATGAAGTGGCTGATAACGGGGAACGAGGCAATTGTGAAAATTCACCCTGGTTCTTCACATGACTTCTTCGCATTCGCCGGCGTCAAAGTCGCAGATGGAGGTGTCGCGACAGTTATCGAGTTCCTCCAGGAAAAGCTTCAAATTGCAAGATGAGACCTGTTTCGCAAGCGCTTGGCTGACTACACGGTTGAATGGGATTGAAATGGGTCTGATTGGTAGCTGATGAAGGGGTCCAGGAGCGAAGATAATGCCGAGATTAAAGCATAAACAAGACATTGTGTCATGAGACGAATCATAATCAGAGACTAGGAGAGGGGAGGAAGAAGACTACGTAGTTGATCCTACAATAGAAAGCAATAGTATTAATCACCCCTAAAGGTAGTAGGATTTATCAAATAGATGATATTTCACCGCACCCGGCCCCGGAATAATAGTAATTAATCCTATCCCGGCATACTGTATCACGAGGAAACCTCCGCCTGTCTTCTGACATTTACACGTGTGTAAAGTCCAATTAAATACTATTGTCTAAAAATATCTTACCTCCTTTAACCCCTTCTCAAATTCCTTCAATTCCCACATAAAGGATTTGCGCCTAGGAATAAATTACCCCTAGAAGAAGTGGTGGTTACAGAAGTCAACCAGAAGTCTAGAGATGAAAGCTAATAAAATATTTTGAAGTACTATCCTATACAGAACTGTCCTATGTAGAGCTTCATAGATAAGGAAATTTGTATTTAAACAATAGGTGCAAGGCACAGCCATCCTTCCGCCTGTAGCCGTCGGGAACTTGCCAGTGGTAATTGCCCAAGGGCCAATAAAATATATTTATTATCTAGGGGCCTAGATTACGGATTGTAATGTCCCTTAATACCCTAGATCGAACAAACAATTTACAAAGGAGTCTCAGTTAGAGTTTTCACAGTATTGTTATGAGAGGATTTTGCAGCGTGCATATAGCTTTCTCCCTTGGCATGAGCTACAAGTAGTAAACAAGTATAAGGAGATTTATAACTTTTCCTATTCACATCGAGCCGGCGCACTATTACCAGCTAACACCAACCTCGACAACTGCTGATGGGTGGGTTTACTAATTTACTTATAGGGTAGTTAGTTGGTAAGGCAGACATATAATCGACCTACTAAGATATTCCCTATATATACTATAGGTGTTAAAGTGTGCGGCTAGGATTGTTATACAGTTGTCAAGAACATATATGTTTGTTAAGAAAGGGTATAATTGTTATGCGTTTAAATGTTTGCTATTAGGCTACTTTCTAACGCTTTGGAAGGTAAATTTAAAGGGCTGATTTGCTGCACGAACTAATATGGAAGGCGATAGAGAGTACCGAGCCTCGAGGCTACATTAAAAATTTCACGTACACCGAGCGCCCTGGAGATTTAGAAGCAGCAGCGATCAAAGGATCCAAGTTATTAGCAAGCCCTCAAAGACGAAAACAGCTCCCTGGTATTTGCAGTTGCAGACCATCCGCTTCCCACACTGTGCCGCCAAGGGATAACGCAAAATACTGTAATAGCTTGAGACATTTAAAACCCAATAGTTTATGCACCGGTTGATGATCAATTGGGCCTTCCTCTCCGGAATGTAGATGGAGGTTGGGGATGAATCCAATGACCACGCGTGACTTTGGGTGGTGCGAGATTGCAAAAGAGTCGGTAGGATTTGGCGAAACAACTCGAAAACAATTGGCCTTCCCACGACCAAAGGATCATTGTAAAAGGCGTAAGAACTTTAAAATGAGGAATCCTAAAAGCTTAGCCGTAGATCCCGCGATAAACAAGTCTTTCCATTTATAGCGCAAAATCGGGATTTGTGCCAATGAAATGCCGCAATATATGCACAGATATTTGTAGCGAAACAGAAACTAGCAGTTATCAGAAGCTTGAGTGGAAAGGCGAAGGGAGGTTTCTAGAGGGATGGACCGGGTTCTTGGCGCTAATACACGCTGATCAGACGATGGTGGTTTGACGCCGAGGAATGGAGATTTGCATTCTAGAAAGGGGCAAGCACGGAGCGCCTCTGGCTGACGTTATGATGACTTCGTTTGACTTGGAGTTTGAAACATCAACGGAGATTCGGATGGCGCAAATACCAGAATACCGGGTAGCTAGAGGAATAGAAACGCATCCGATCCCCGATTCGACGATAAGTTGCCTATCCGGCTGCAGCCTGGGGAGGACAGCATGATCAGATTGCGTCAGGGGGCTTGGTACGCCGCAATCCGGACCTGTGTGTTTGTCTTGTGCGTATGCTGGCAAATCCTGTCAAGCGCTGACTGCTGGTAAGATTGATTGCTGAGGGAGCTGAGAGAATGTTCTTTCTTAGTTCTTGTCATTTGGCTAGAGGTCTCTCAATTTCCAGCTCTGTGATCTTAATCTTCCTGAGTGTCTCTGCTCATCTTCCAGACTCCACATCTTTCACATCTTTGTTCGTCTAGTTCCGCCACCCGCTTCCGAGCATGGGTTTGGCGTTGAGATTGGGCGAATCATCGTGGGATTGGGTCAAACCAATGACGCTGTGGTGTTGTGCTCGCCCACGCTGGGCTGTTTCATATAGACGCCATCAGCCCCCAACCTCGAACACCCTGTGGCCAGCGGCCGCAGATCCAACGACAGACAGACGAAACATGATGGCTGAGTAGGAGGCGGGGAGGCATGGCTCTCCCAGAAGTTATGATCATTATTCCATTCCCAGTGAAGGCGGACACCCGGGTTTTTGGCTTGAAAATAAAGGGATATGAGAGGAATGTGGATTCACAGCGCCTACTGCGACCAAGCCCAGCCTCTAGTATTAGTAGTGCCTCTGAGAACCATAGCACAGAGCATTCTGACAGCACTCCGTCGGAGGGGTGCCCCTGGGAATCGCCTGTCTCATCTCATCACGCCAACACCAACCCACCATCCCCGGCTATGTCCAGGGGTTCAAGATTATGCTTCACCCTCCTGCGGTACTCCAATTTCTGCGTGCCGCACAGCTCTTCGTGGTCCGCCCATTTCGTTGTCGCTGGTTGTGCAATCCTCCATGGGGGGGGCCGAGGAGGGAGGCCGGGGTAATAGGACCAAGGAGGGTCTTGGGGTCGCTATTCCAAGCTTTCGTTTGTGTTATCGTGAGATCCCTACTACTCTTCTCTTCTCCTCTCCTTTCCCTTCCTCTTTCCCTCTCTTCGTTCTCCACCTTCTTTCTACGCTTCCAGCTTCAGTCACCAAGTCCGCCTCCCTTACTTGTAAGGCCTTCCATTCCTTCCTTGCAGATAGCTTCTGCTCGCACATTCGCTCTTTTGTCACTCGTGGCTAGGACACGATCTCCACATTCTTTTGAGGTGTTTGAAGACTTGACTCGTTCATTTCGCAAAGTGGTGGAAGCAAGAAAGAAGGATATCGTCATCGTCTGGAACCAGAAAAACAAGTGGCTGTGATAGAAGGATTCTTTGTCGATCGATATTCCAACGGAAAGAAGGATAACTGTAAAGAGACTGTCATTGCTGTGTCTTGGTTCTTTGATATTGGGGTTGTTCGGTTAGGCAAGAGCTTCTTGCATCGCCATCGAGGATAGTTCGTCAACCGTCAGAGCCTTGGATTTGGCGCATCGAAATCGTCACCGCCCTCACTTCCGCGAGATCTCACGGGGCAGCTCAAACACAAATCCCTTTACACGTATCTCGCCTCGCGTCTTGATCCAAAATCACTTTCGTCGCGAAACCACATTCTCTCCCTTATCCGCGACCCCTCACTTTCCCCCTCCATCTTGCGACGACAAGGCGATTCCATTCCCTTCTCGTCCGTCAATATTTTGTTGTATCCACAAGCAATTTATTTCCTGATCAACCCGCCGCGTCGCCGACATGAAATCCTTCACTTTGACCTCCGTCGCGCATGTCCTTGTGCTCGCGGGACTCTCAGATGCGTTCTGGCGCATGGAGTGCCCAAACCGCTCGGCACTTGCGCGTATCGATCCATTGGTGTCTATTGGTAGTGCTGCTCAGCATGTCCATGCGATCCATGGATCAAGTGGTAAGATCTCACTCCTTATCACGTCTCTCACATGCTGCCCTCTCTGTAACCCAACTCAGACGGCCGCAGGGCTATAGAGACTTTCTACAATGACGCTTTTCATTATTGTGCAATGCTGATGCCCCCTTTCTAGGTTTCTCGGCATCTTCTTCAACTGCGGACCTGCTTGCCGGCCAATGCACATCTTGCAGAGTCTCTGAGGACAAGTCTGCCTACTGGACTCCTGCTGTTTACTTCAAGAGCGCCTCTACCGGCGAGTTCACTCTTGTAAACCAGGTTGGTGGGATGCTCGCGTAAGTCTTGATTGTTTCTCACTTTTGGCTTTAATGTTGGTTCTGCACCGCCTTCCACCGTGGGTGGCCATCATTACAGAATCCATAGCAGCCGGTATCTATGCGCTCTGTGGATCGATTGGACGGGACTGCTAGACGCAATAGCGAAATTCTAGCTAACTGGCCTTTAGCTACTACCTCCTTTTTACAAATGCTGGCGAGAAGACTGTCACCGCATTTCCACCTGGCTTTGAGATGATCTCGGGCGACACCAACCAACGCAATTATAGTTACCCCGTTCCAGATGCTGTAGAGAAGTCTCGTTGGGCTAGTACTGCTCCCTACAATACCCAGGCTTTCCTCCGCCAAGCTGCCTTGGGTTTCAACTGTCTCAACTACCAGAAGGCCCCAGAGCCCTCTCTCTACCGCCACTTCCTCCCAGACAAGGCATATCTTGATGCTAACTGTGCCGATGGTGTCCGGTTTGAACTTATGTTTCCCAGCTGCTGGGATGGCAAAAACAATGCTCCCAGTGATAAACAAAGCCATGTTGCCTTCCCTGATCAGGTTATGACTGGTGAATGCCCAAAGGGGTTCAAGACACGTCTTCCTTCCCTATTCTATGAGACTATCTGGGATACCCATGCGTTCAGCGGCCAAGATGGTCAGTTCGTTATCTCAAATGGCGACCCAACTGGTAAGTTGCCTTTATAAGCCGTCTACTCGGCACAGTCCCTCTTCTGCCCACGCTGACATTGTATAACTAGGATATGGATACCATGGTGATTTCATCATGGGTTGGGACAGTGACTTCCTCCAGAAGGCTGCCGATACTTGCACGAACCCTTCAGGAAGAATTGAGGATTGCCCTCTATTCACAATCCAAGACGAGGATGCATATTCTTCTTGCAAAGTCCCCTCTAGCAACATCCCTATTGCCGCCGCTAAGGACCAACTGCTCTCAAAGTTGAGTTCGCTCCCGGGCAATGTACAAATCTTTGCTGGACCCGGTCGTGCCGGCGGCGGCAGTGCAGCACCATCAATCGATCTTCCAAGCCCCAAGAAGCCTTCTGCGCCTGCGCCCACTTCTGACATCGTGCCAGTTGTACCGACCGTGAGTTACAAGGCAGCTACATCTGCATCTAGCGGTGCGTACGTGCCTGGTGGAGCCTTCGCCGAGCAACCATCCAGTCCTGCTGCGGCAGTCACCCCCGCCCCCAACGCCGCATCTCTAGGCCCATCGGAGAGCTTTTTCTCGACACAATATGCAACCAAGGGCAATACCGTTGAGGAGGTCTTCTGGGTTGAGGAAGAGGTTACTACCACCATCTTCGCCACCGAAACTATGACTGCTGGTGCCAACAAGGGCCGAAAGCGCCACCTCCACAAGCATAGACGTGCCGGAGCCGGTCACTAAGCAAATTGGCAGATATTGGTCATGGGATAGAAGGGTTGAACCCACGGTACACATGGTATATCACTATACCGCCGCGCGGAATAGATACCACACTGAGCATATGGGAATCTTTCACACGGTTGCTTCACTCATCTTTTCACTGTATGTACTTCAGTACCTGCACATTTGGCCAGCTTGCTACTTGCATTTCGGGGGTTTATAAGGCATCATCGTGGATGGCAGGCCTGCCAGCTTCATTTGCAGTCAACGGCGTGTATATTAAATGAACGAATAAGGGATGGTTACTCTACTAGGCTTTCAAATCAAAAGAGTTGCATAAATGACCATGAATCAGCGCGCGCTCTGCAAATTGTGAATTTCTAAACTGTGTCTTTGTTGTGTGGTAGGGTTTACTTTGCTTTAAGGAGACACAGTTGCCGCCGCCTGACTTCCTGCTCAACATAGTAAGCCAGCAGTCAGCTTTCCAGTGTCCTCCCAAAGCATCATTATATTCGGGATATGATTATCCTCCAACTGACAGCATCCATAAATCTAAATACACTCAACTCATTGATCGACAAGTTAAATTGAATTGTATAATTCTAGTTGTATAAGCAGATTTTTGTACAACAGTGAGGATTCTAATTCTACAAGGTTATGGCCTAGCGTATCACAATGCCCATTCGAGCTTGCAACAGCAATCATTGACTCTTCCTCGCGGCCTTCCTCGCGGCCCGCTCATCACGTGACCTCTGTTCCCGCTCCCACTTCTCTCTCTTCAACTCTCGCTGCCTCTTCTCTTCATACTTTTGAGCGTCACCGCGCTCAGACTTCTCACGTCTGGCATCCATCTTCTCATTGGCCATATCCATAACGCCCTTCGTTTGCTCCTTGATTTCCTGGAAAGGTTTGAGAGCAGGTGCCAGGTATTTCCCAATTCCTGTTGCCGGAGGGCGAGGGAAATTCGCCGAAGTCTTCTCCAAAGGGGAATTCGGCCCTGACGAGACAATGTTGGACTTTGCCACGTTTATCGTGCCTTTGTAAGGGGATATGGGAGTGGTGGAGGGCTGTTCAGGGAGCGGGGTCATATTGAAAATGCGCCGGAAGCTTGGAATTCTCAGCAGTGATGCCTGAACGAAGGATAGCAGGCCAGAGACAAAGAAGGAGAGCTGCACGCCAGCTGGCAGCCACCAGGTAAAGGCGAGGGAGAGGCCGGGGAAGCCCCACTGCATTGCCTTTTGGACAGCAGGAGAGAGTGTAGATGTTCCAGTTTCACCACCCCGCTATTTGAACGTATATGCGGTTAGTACTTGATTCCTAGAAACAAAACACATGAAAAAGAGAGGGGTCTTACGCGCATAAGCCAATGTAGCACACCAGCAGTGGCAAGGGGAAGTATAAAATACGGATCCGGAATAGTCAGGTTGTAAAACCAAGCCAGACCACCCTCCTGAAGGCCAGGAACTGGCAATGCGGCCATCCCTCTCAAGAGTCTGAAGGTTCCATAAGCAGCAAAACCTTGAATCATAGGCACGAACGATTTAAGCGGGCTTATTCCTGCCCTCTTGTTGATTCTCGTTATCTCGGTCCTATGTTGAAGCATTGCCGTTGTATCTCCAGCTATCCGAGCCGCATTCATTTTGGCCGCCAACGGTTTGATGATATGCTGGATTGTGACCATCCTCGCAGCGTTCTCCGCAGCATCGACGTACGGTTTGAATAGCAGAATCCGTACAAGAATTGCAGTAAGAGCGATGGATCCCCACCAGGGAGTTTCGGCAAAGATGTGAATATGCTCCAGAGTCCATTCCATCATCGAAGTAGGACCCCACCCGTAATCTAGCCCCAGGGATTTGAGGTACCCAATGTGTTCGGCGATGTTCGGGAGGCCATCACTTGTGAGATTCATGGAGTCATCCAGGGAACTGGCGAGTTCCGAGGAAGATGTTGTTGCGGAACTCGCGGCTTGATCTGGAGTAATTGGGGCAGCATTGGAGACAGTTGCGCTGGGAGCTGGGGAGGGCTGGGGAGTTGTCGAAGCAAGCCGTATACTCGTAGCATTCCGTATTAAAAGATTCGTCTTTGGTAATTGAGCTCTAGAGGAGCCAGAACCCCCGAGAAGTGAAGTAGCATTGCGCGAAAGGAGCGTATTGCCCGATATGGGCCGGTGCTGTACTGAAGAGAACTGAGGAGCGAGGTTAGCAGTAATATGAATACCTGTTCATTTGCACCCTTACCTGTCTGGTAGAAAATGCCCCTATCTGCCGCCGAGCAAGACCTACGCTCTGGCCGGACCAGCGAAGGCCTCTGCTAGGTATCATCTTGTTTGGTTGCAAGAAGGGATTGTCGCGAAACATAAAATATTTGAAGAGGTGCAATTGGGTGGATGCTGCACCACCCTTCTACGAGCACCCCTGCACAATTATAGTTGTGCTATGTACTATGTACCTAGGTACCTATGCCAGCCTTCTAGCGCGCCAACTTCGAGCCTGGAAGTTTGAAGGCGGCGAATGTACAAGAAATTCTATTCGAGGAGCAGCCAATATCTTTTGTGCTAGACCGGTTTTATAGTCAGCGACATGGTCAATATCCTATATCAATATCCATGTGTTATATTGGAGCGCTAGCTTTTATGTGTTATGATACATCAATCCGTCCACGCCCATCTCCAATGCTAACAAGACCCAAGGCAACAAAGGCAACCAGGGCAAACTTCATGAGGCGTAAGGGCTTCATTGAGTCGTAGCTAGTACCTTTCGTGCGAGGCCTCTTTTGCGTCCAGCCTTCAAAATGCCCCCCCTCAATCGATGGCTTTATACTATACGAATCCCATCCCAGACGCCTTTATTTCGTGCACGTATTACATATATCCAATCCCTCATTCCAAGCTTGTCAAATCATCTAGTTGTCCGCCTCTTCTCCTTCGCTCAAATGGATTATCCCGGACTTCTATACCAGGTCCTATAGCATGCGCGCTTCGCCCGTTTGGGAAAACCTAATGATGACTTGTTAGCACATGCAATATTATGTAGTGCCATAGGGAATCCGAAATCAATGATTATACGTAGAGGAGAGGCGTGTGAATTGTAGCCTGTGGACTTTGTGCTCTATAATTACGAGCGGGCGCGAAATGCATACCTTTGTTCCTCCCCAGCCTAACCGGAAAGCAGCCTCATGGGCAAACAACTCCCCAAATCCCAACATGAGCCCATTAACGAAGGGCAGAAACAGATTGATGGCCGCGCCTCGCAAGAGCCCCCATAAGGTTGGAGGGGTATATAGGATCATCGGAGGTGACGCGGAAGAGAATGGGGGAGATGGGGAGAGGTCATCGTTGCCGGAGTATTGCTCGGAGTCGGAAGGAATCGTCATTGAGGATTCGGTGAGAGTATTGGCTGGGTCATTGGAAGACATTGTGAGCTTTTTAACGCATATGCAGCCGTGGCATTTACAGATATGATGAAAGGGGGCAGGTAAATAATCTTTCAGAAGACGAATTGCGGTACTTGTCGTTTTTGATATTGGCGGTGGTACGTAGGTACATGTAATCGAGCCGCCCAGGAACGGAGCTCTATGCCCGACTCGGCTTAGCGAGGGGTGACGTCCAAAGAGCTGCCTCTCCACGATCGTTATCCACTGTAACGCCAAACGCAACAATCCCCCAAATCCTGCTTCCACTGTTCCCAAGGACTCGGAAAGCAGATTTACTTTCAAACACAGATACAATACCACATTTTCCACCATGGCTGACAATACAAGCCATGACGACCTCATCACAGAGTTCTGCGGGCTGACTGGCGCCTCACCCTCGGATGTAAGTGCATATCGCTCCCCTTCGATCGAGTATGCGTCAAATATTGACAGACCTCCATATAGGCTCAGCAATACCTTTCGGCGAACCGATGGGAACTGTCAGGCGCGGCGGCTGAATACTTTACGGCTCAGGAAGAGGGCATACAAGGCGCACAAGAAGGTGGAGAGGACGATCCGCAAGAAACAGAAGCATATACGGGTCCACGGACACTGGATGGCAGACCAGCCCCAGCGGCTATTCCAACTGTTGCATCCAGTTCACGCTCTGCTGCGCCGCCAAGAAGTGGCGGGTTCGCTACTTTAGATTCTTTAAACCAAAGCTCATCTACTAGTGCTGGCCATGGCCATGCGCATGACGATGACGACTCCGACGATGAGGATTTTGAACCTGAGAAGCAACCAAGAGATTTATTTGCTGGTGGTGAGAAATCAGGTCTGGCAGTTCAAGACCCTTCAAATCGAAGTGATCCAAGAAGTCTTGTAAATGATATTCTCAAGAAGGCCAGAGCGTAAGCTTTTCCGCCGCAGAATCACAGAGCAACTGTTAATTATTTACAGTAATTCTGCGAGACCGGGCGGAGAACCATCAACGGCTTCAGCGTCCCGTTTTCGGGGCTCAGGGCAGACTCTGGGCGGCGATGATGCCCCATCTCAGACAATCCCTGATCCGCAACCACGAGTGCCAGATCCAGGGCCCACCCAAACCCGAACATTGCATATCTGGGAGGATGGCTTTAGTGTCGAATCTGGCCCTCTACACCGCTTCGACGACCCCCAAAATGCAGCTGATCTCCAAATGATTCGCCAAGGTCGTGCTCCTCTTCATTTGATGGGTGTCCGCCCAGACCAACCAATTGATGTGCAGCTGGTGAAGCACGAAGAGAACTACAAGGCGCTTCCCAAAGTATATAAGCCCTTCTCTGGTGGAGGTCGCCGGTTGGGCAGCCCCACCCCAGGACCGTCTACTACTACAACCGCCGCCCCTACCACCTCTACTAGTATGCAGACCACTTCAACCGCACCAGCCAGCGCTGCTGCACCAGAGCCTGAAATCGACTCTTCACAGCCCACAGTCTCGTTGAGAATCCAATTGGCAAATGGCACAAGATTGCCGGCCAGATTCAATACCAGCCATACAATCGATGATGTATATCAGTTTATCGAGAGGGCATATCCTGGTAGCAGTACGAGACCGTGGGTTTTGGCCACTACATTCCCCAATAAGGATCACACCGACAAAAGCTTAGCGCTAAGTGATGTTGTGGAGTTCAAGAGAGGTGGAACTGCAGTGCAAAAATGGCTTTAGATGGGGACGAAATTTAGATGAGTCAATGTGCACCATTGAAAAATAACGCGGTAGAGAATGATGCCTACCCTGGTAAGCCATTTACTTTACTGCTGCTGCAGGCGTTTGGTGTATGGGATGCATGGATTACTCACGTACCCAACTTGGGACTTTTAAAATACTTGATAGACAGCAGACCCATCATATGGTATACACAAGGCTTTGCAAATACATACTCTCTCTGATGCTAGATATCTGTTTATTTCAAACCTTCGAGATGTGAAGCTTTACAATGAGAGTTTGGTTTGATTTTATGTCTCTTGTGCCGCACTCATCCCTTCAGCACCGTTCCCCGGATATTTCCCTGTAGGTTTAGCAAAGGTCACACAGAATGAATTCTAGATGCTGCAAGGTTTCCTTTTCGTTTTGCGCAACTCGGCTGGGAAATAATTACCCGTTGCAACTTCAAGAGCCACCTTTATATCCACCTGTCTACGTTTCTCTTTCAAGGCAGATTTATTTCGCAGGCCCATTTATCTACAAAGATAATTGACGGTATCAATTCTACTAGAATCCGAGTCCTAGCCCTTCTCTACAGTATTATCGGGTAGTTCTCCAGTGGTACCCAGTTTGTAATTTGACTGTATGGTCTATAGCTCTTTAAACTCGCGCTCCTATTCGCATCTGTTTAAAATCAGTTAAAAAAGATTATAGACTCCCCCTTTTTGCTGGCACAGTTTTCGTATTACTCCTCCCTTACGCTGCCTGTCTCTACCCAGCTTATATGCCGGTCTAACAGTAACCCACTTGATGGCCTGCAAGCTGCCGATCAGCTAAAATAAACATTTGCCTCGAGTTATAACTAGCACTGTCGCTGTCTCCTCTCCTGTTTCAACTCTTAAACTTCAGTTTCCCCGAGATACGAGTTCCGAATAAGCAGGCTCACCAGTCCAAACTTCAAAGGTGATGGTTGCTTTGCGTTTACGCGCTGTCTACAAGTGAATTGTAAAGGGCAGAGTAAAGGCGGAGAGCAAAAGTGTCGGGCAATTCGGTAACTCAAGACAACCTGCAACAACTTGAATAGGCAAGATATAAAAAATACCCCGTATTAAATACTACAAAAAAAGATAGAATGACTGAGGGCAAAATGGAGTATGAGCTAAAAGGGACTTCATTAAATGATCTCAGGGAAGAGGCTGCTCTCAGAGTATAATGACAATTCTAATCGAAATCTACTTATTGATTGCACAGCTCGATTTGAGGAGGCCGAATTGCCATCAAGGCAAGGCGTAAGGATGTTGCCCGTATGATGATGTGGTTCTCTTGAGACCTGCTTCCAGTGAATTAACCGTTGGCTCCAGAATCCTATTATATCAACAGCGCGTAGATGTTTTATATAGTCCTATGTCGTATTTAACTTTTAATAAGTTCAAGTTCTAAGCCCAAGAGAATCTGCCTTAGATATTTAATTGAGTTAAGTATTCGACACTCTTACTAACGATGTAGAAGCCGAAGTGTAACTAGATAGATAAATATGATGGCTATTTATAAAATCAACCTACGACCTACAACCCGAAAGTTCTTAGTGCCCAACGAATCACTGTTGAAGACAAATTTGAAATTGCGACATCGTCTTGCTCTCCTCCTGGGAGGCTGGCATCAAGTTAAGTCTATAACGGATACCTTAAGCCGAAACGAGGAAGGAGAATATTATACAAGGCATTGGGCGTCAGACAATGTGAAGAGAATTCAAGTCGCGAACACCACCTGGTGTCTGACTTGTCGTTGTAGCACAGGTAGCTACTCATAGTCGCCTTCAAAATTCCTCTGTGTTGATATATCCTAGAATGGCCGCAAAGACCGTGCGGAAGTTCCTCTATAGTTACAACCAACTCTCAGCTAGAGAATGCTCATCAAATTCGATGCAACATCGTTTATATTAGTACCCCAGTATTGTGGCGTGGTCTGGCAGATCAATTAGTCTCAATGCCAACTCTTCGAACCAGCAGATAACGTACCTGCAAGACCAGATCACCATCTTCAAGGACAACTTCGTTATATGTTTCCTTCTGCAAGTTTTCCACAATCCTCAACCTGACAGATCCGTTCGGTACGCACTCTGCCAACCCCTCCCTTAACAATTCATCCTCACCAAACTTCTCAGATATCAAGCTATCTACGAAGCTCTCATAATACTGTCGCGCGAAGGTGCCTAGATTGCTCTCCCAGTCATCTCTCGCGCCTTCCCCATTCTTGAGCATCCTACCCAAGTCGTCAAAACCCACCTCGAACTTGAGAGCCGGGTTTTGCAACACTTTTATAGCGTTCTCAAGGATGGGACCAATTTGAGAATCATAATCGGACTTTATGGAGTGGCGCGCTGTAAAACTCAGGGGAGGTGCTCCTGCGGGCTGGGGGGCACTCGAGACGACCTTTGCAATATCTTCCGCGACGCTGTCCAGGTTGGATCCAAGGTTATTAGGGTGAAACAAAATACGCAACATGCCAGACTCGATGTCACATCCGCAATAGTTGACTGTAGTGGATGCGGCGAAAGTGATTGCATGTGTGGCGCGACACACAGAGTTGAGTTCCGCTTTACCCTCTTGGCCATATGTGTCGAGGAATTTTTGAAGGTGGTAAATGAAACCGTTCATATATCTTTGGAATGATTAGGCGTGCAGAATTGAGTGTAGGGGGTAGTCATACGCAGCAATGCATTCGCCCAATGAGTGGTGTCCATAAGATCCCTCTTCGGCGTATGGATAGATGGCCAGTGGGTTGATATCGAAGGTCCATGGTGTTCCCAAGAGAGTGGAGATTTGCGATTCCAAATCGCCTTTCTTATTGTCCCATTCATCCCGGACTAGAACCAGCGTTAGGGACGATTACTTAGAACTAATATAGAAATAGAAATATGGATTGGGTTCATACCGTTTTTCCGCACCGCAAGGGGTAGCTTTTCGGCCGGGGCTTTGTCGGCAGACATGGTGAAGTGCAAGCTTGTTCTACTGAACTTTGGAACTTGTGTGCTAGAAGTATATACGAAATGGGCTGAATTGTTAGTATTTAAATAGGTATTTGAACGAGTCAGCCTACTGGTATCCACTATGCAGCCACTTACTTTAAGCAACCACCCACTTTACAGCGCAACTAACTTGCCAAGCTGAATTTATAGGGAGCTTTAGAGAGTCAAACCTAGTAAATTTAAAAGTCTATATCAACCGTTACATCTCACAAATATTCTAATAGTAAGATTTTGAGACGACCTAACACATTTTATACCTTGAATTTCAAGGGGTTTAATACCTTGGGCATATTAATATTTAGAAGTGGACGGCTGCTTAGGTGGTGGGTACGGGAATCTATAACCTCGGATGAGAACGGCTCGTGTAGCAGTGCCACTGGCCCCGCATGCGGCTGAGCAGCGGTGTGATGAGGCGTACTGAGGCTTTACGTGAGCCAGTAAACAAATAATTCAATAATTGCTCGCCCCAGAAGGACTCACTATGGGAGGTTGCGGCGTCATAGCGCACCACTGCATGATCATGCAACATCGGGAGTATTGATAGATGCGGTACGCAAGATTGGGGTTAGCGCCTCCCGTACCTGCTCTCGAATGTGCCCTCTGTTGTGAGCACAGAATCTTTCACAAATATGCCTGCGGGTTGGGTCCATGTGCAAGAAAGGGTGTAACCATGGAACTTGGATTTTGGAAGTGCGGTGCTCAAGTTACCTAAGGGTAGGGTACCTAGGGTGTGAGATCTGGTGGATCATCGCCAAGCCTCTCATCCAGCACAAGGAATGTAGAACATATCATAGTATTTTATAGTTCAAAGAAGCAAAACAAATGACACTAAAGACAGAAAGATGCGTTCTCATAAGGTGGCTGATTTCTTGGGTCCCAGTGACATATGTTATGTCGTTGAAAAATGCAATGCAATTGAGGAACAGGACTGATAATCCTCTCCCTCCGGATAGTATTCTATGGAAACTAACAATCTAGACTTGCTGGTACTACCAAGTGAACGACAAGGTTCAGTACTGCGTGGAATTGGACACACTCGCACTGGACACCTAGCTTGGCCTCCATTCGTAAACTGACTAGTTATGATGCAAGGTCGGGCAAACTTGAAATAAAAGAATACCAAGAGCGACTGGCAACTCTAGCCGCACAAGTAACATAATCGACGAATTTGCTGATACGAAGTCGAATAAGTAGCATCCTATATTTAGCTCTCCAATACTCACGGCCACAGGAGGACAAACCCAAAATCGACGCGACGGATTTCATGAGTCGGGATAGTTGAGTCTCGCAGACCATGAAAGTCTGAGGGTGAAGCCTATCCTTCGTAACACTGACCGTTATCGATGCTTATATACTACAACACTCCCGCTGCTCAGCCACTGATGGGGAGGAAGTTATATGCACCATGACTATTCCGAAATACCGACCAAGATAGGCCACGAGTGATCAACCAGACTGGGGTCTCACCGCTATGACTAACGTACAAGTCTAGACTAGAGACCAAACAAGACGATGAATAACTAGGTTTGCCTAGAGGATAAAAAGGTAAGGCATGCATTGTCGTGTAAATGCGACGTTGATTTCCTCGTCATGGTGACCGGAAGGGGCACAATCAATGCCCTAGGATGCATCTCCATCTTAAGTCATTTCAGAATAGCAATTGTCTGAGAATCAATTTCATATTTGGGACCTAGATAAGATTGCGGCATATTAATAAAAAGTACGACAAGACGAGGTTACAATCTGAGCTTACTTTTGTAGACAGTGCCATTTCCTCCCACGTAACCCATGCACCTGAAGTGCGCCTATACTCGCATGTTCTCCAAACCATTCCCAAGCAGTATGCTCATTGAATTACGACAGGAGATCAGCAACATTCATTGGCATCTCGTCAATTTGAGTTGAATAGTACACTGTATACGGTTAGCTGCGCAACATATCCAAATTTGAGACAATCACGTACATTCAATATCGCGTAGGATTCTGACATCCTCGCTCGTCACGAAGTTGATTGCAACACCCTTCCGTCCAAATCTACCACTTCGACCAATGCGATGGATGTAGTTCTCACGGTTGCTTGGCAAGTCATAGTTGATGACCAGCGATACCTGCTGAACATCGATACCACGAGCCCAGACATCGGTAGAGATCAAAACTCTCGAGTTCCCTTGACGGAAGTCCTGCATGATGCTATCTCGCTCCTTCTGTGGCATTTCTCCGTGCATTGAAGATACTGTGAAGTTGGCCTCACGCATCTTATCCGTTAGCCAATCGACCTTTCTGCGTGTGTTACAGAAAATAACGGCCTGGGTGATGGTAAGAGTATCATAAAGATCGCAAAGGGTATCAAATTTCCAGTCCTCCTTTTCGACTGCAATGAAGTACTGCTTCAAGCCTTCCAGAGTCAATTCATCACGCTTAACCAGAATGCGTACAGGGTCGGTCATGAATTTCGTGGTCATATCGAGTACATCGTATGGGAGTGTAGCAGACACGACCACCACTTGAGTTGCAGGAGGTAGGTATCGGTACACATCGTAAATTTGCTCTCTGAAACCACGGTTAAGCAGTTCATCAGCCTCGTCAAGAACTAGCATCTTGATATGCCGAGTTCGAAGATTTCGACGGCGAATCATATCAGCAACCCGACCTGGCGTCCCAGAGACAATGTGTTGTCCATACTCGAGTTTTCGAATATCCTCACCCACGTTTGTGCCTCCAATGCAAGCGTGGCATTGGACATTCATGTAATCTCCAAGAGCCATAACAACCGACTGGATCTGAGTTGCAAGCTCTCGAGTTGGCGATAGTACAAGAGCCTGTGTTTCGCGAACAGCCGTGTCGATAACCTGAAGCATGCTGATCGAAAATGTAGCTGTCTTACCCGTTCCTGATTGCGCCTGGGCGATGGTGTCGCGACCTTTGCAGATTTGAACGATGGCACGAGATTGAACAGCCGAAGGCGATTCGTATCCATAAGCGTAGATACCGCGGAGAAGATTCTCTATTTTATGTTAAATTGGCTTCATGGCTGGCGCAACCCTTCGTACCTTTCAAGTGCATATCAGAGAAGGTGGGAACGACGGTCACATCCTTGGAGGTTGAGAACTCCATCCTCTCCTCAGCTTTGCGATCGATACCGTCTGCCATGATTGCGATTTATCTGAGCGTTATGTTAAGTGTCTTTAGAGTGCCGAGAGAAATGTTTTGTTTTGTTTGGAGTTGAACGATTTCGCGGTCATCGTAAATTTTAGGAGCAGCCTGGCGCGGCCAGGGGGCGGTGCCACTGATTGGCTGGGCGCAAAACCCGTCCAAGAGCCTCTCGAGAGCCTCAAAAGTTCGAATCCGCAACAACAACAACAGCAACATCCACCGTCAACGCAACCACGGCGACCTCGCAGATTGCCCTTCTTGCCATACGACAAGTCGTACACACAGCGAATATGATTCTAGAAGAGCAGAGATTCCTCCATGAGGATCTTGAGAGGCTGGAGCAGGCTATAAGTGATCGGGTAGCTGAAGAGCCTCGACAGGTAACATTCCCAAGTCGTCTTCTTCAGCTCAGCAGCTCATATGTGTTTTACTAGGTCCGGGAAAGATTAAATAGAGACCATCAGATCGCTGGGTTCCTTGATCGCATACAGGACCAGTCCAAAAGGTTGCTCGATATCTATAACGATGCCGACGGCGTCCGTACCAAAGAGATCCAGTCGATATCTACTGGCGAGCCCTTGAAGGAGTTCTACAAACAGCTAGCGGATATCAAATCTTTCCATCAGAAGTATCCTAATGAGCCAGTTGAGAATTTGGAGAGGGCGTATAAGAGGAAAGCCCCAGCAGAGGGAGAACCCATAATATCTGAGGTCGACAATATGTTCACTGGAGAGGAAGCATTTGGCAGGTTCCTCGATCTGACGACAATCCACGAGCTCTATCTCAACCTCCCTGGCATCAAGCGCCTCACATACCTCCAATACCTAGACGCGTTCGATTCATTTATACCCCCACAGTGCAACGTTAAACGGCCCGACAAGATGACCGATCAATACTTCAACTACGTTGGGCAATTGGCGCAATACCTCGAGGGCTTTATGAGACGGACACGGCCGCTGGAGAACCTAGACAAGCTGGTCAAGAGTTTCGAGGAAGATTTTGTGAAAGCTTGGGATGCCAACGATGTGGATGGGTGGAAATTAGAGGCACCGCCACCATCAGGCGGACCATCTAGTGATGCTATCTCGTGCGCAGATTGTGAGAAGGAGTTCAAGAACGAGAATGTCTACAAAGCTCATCTCACTGGGAAAAAGCACATTCGGGCTGCGGAGTTGAGAGCGGCACGTCAAGGTGAAGCTAACGGAGATTCCGATCGGCCGGTAACCAGCGCATCATCGACCTTGCGATTAAAGGAACGCGCCATCGCGGAACGTGAATACAGAGTAAAGCGCCTTGCGGCGGCCATGTCACAGGAAAGGAGCGATACTCGGGTGAACGTCGAGAGAAAACAGGGCATGACCGAACGCGAACGCCAAATGGAATTGGATGCCCTTTTCGCGGAATCCACTTCTACGGCTCCCCAAAATGGAGATTCGGACAGTGATTCGGACGACGATGAGAAAATATATAACCCGCTCAAGCTACCACTAGCCTGGGATGGCAAGCCAATTCCATTTTGGCTGTATAAGCTCCATGGTCTGGGAGTTGAATTCAGGTGCGAAATATGTGGCAACTACGTCTACATGGGAAGAAGGGCTTTCGATAAGCATTTCAACGAGGCCCGTCACATCTACGGACTTAAGTGCTTAGGAATCACAAACACGACACTGTTCAGGGAGATTACCGATATTGCTGATGCAGAGAAGCTGTGGGAGAAGATTCAGCGTGACAAGAAGAAGCACAAGGTCGATGAAGGCAGTGTGGTGCAGATGGAGGATGCCGAAGGCAATGTGATGCCCGAAAAAGTGTACTATGACCTGCAAAAGCAAGGCTTGCTATAAAAGCATAGGGCGCTATCCCGTGCCCTGAGTATGTATATTACCAAATCACAATCCGATATGTGTGCGATGTGAGGTGCCTAATGAAGCTTAATTGAAATGATATTGCGCCGTCGAGAAGCGATGCATTAAAACGTGCTTTTCGCTACCATGGTTCTAGTAGCCTCATCACCTAACCTTCAAGTGAGCCTTGGAATCGAAGCACCCGTACTGTCTTCTAGTGTGGAACGGCGACAGTTACTCTAGGGCGTAACATACAGTCAGATAAGCTAGGAATTTTAAATGGGAGATCCCTTCACTGATTTTTCCCTCTCTCTCTCACAAACTCTTCTCTACAACATATTCTTTACCATCATATATTGGAGGTACTCCACTATTTGCCCCCCACATACCACTTCACAACTTGTTCATCTTCAACCCGGCTCAACATTATCATGAAGCTCTCCACTTCCACCATCGCTGTCATCGTGGCAGTTACTAGCGTCTCAGCGATGCCAACACCCAGCCAGGACCAATATCCCGGTGGCTGGGACTCCCAAGTTCAGGCGGCCACAGGTCATGGAAACCTCGGTTTACGCATGGTTGCTTTCGAACCAACTCCATACAATGACCCCGGTGCCGAGGAAGTGAAACGGGTAGCTTCACGCCAGGAGCTAGAACTGATTGCCCCAATTCCTCTTTCTGTGAAAACAAATGGCATCATAGAACCTGGAGTCCCGGCGACCCTACAAGTTGATACCTATATTGCCCGGGAAGACAGTAGCACTGGGAAGCGAAGTGTAGGCAAAGGCACCTTGATGGATGCTGCTTTGCCGTCTCTCCTTGATTCACTTATCACTGCCGTTCCTAGACAGGAGCTTGATTATGGCTGGCGAAAGGGGCACGACGGAGAGAATCATCGATAAAGATGTACCCTATGAACAGCCTGTAAGTTTAATGATGGGTGTCGTATCTTTTAGGTTTATACTGATAATTCTGTAAGTGTCTTGAAGACTACGGTATCGGTTTCTATGGCTTGAAGCCTAGTGTCCTGCCCACCTCGGCTTGTACGGAGCTCTCCTTGCTTCTAGTCACTGTGGCATTTCTTAAAGTTTTGATGATGGCGTACGGGAGGAGTTTACGTTGATAATAGGGTGCCGCTTCTGTAATTGATTGCTTTTATCCGAGGTTTACAAAGTGTTTCGCTTTTCGGCTTCTTTACTATTTGGCGTTGCGCTATAGGCGTTTACTTGTATTTGGCAAAGGTTAATAAATCCCTTGGGGTTTACACTCTAGTAGTAGTAAAGGCGCAAGCTACGTCAAACTTTGGTAGAAATATATCAAGATCTCGAGAAAGAAGTAGCTCCTATAAGTGAATAAGAGCTAACATATAAAGGGATCATTATTAGCAACGACGGGGAGCTGATCCAAAGTCAGATCTAAGTCAAGACTGGCCCTGTAGAGTCTGCAGCTGTAACTGAGGGCTCACCCCGACCTCATCCTTCGTTGCCTTCACAGATAATATTTTCCATCTCCCCTGCCTCAGTCTGAAGCTCAACGTTCTGCTCCCGCTCTCGCCTCTCGATTTCGTTTTCCGCCTCACACACCTCACACCCACACCCATCCTCGAACCACTTCTTCAACCAGCCCCTCTTCGCCGCTCTGCCAGTTTCCCGATTATCATCAACTATTTCCTCCCACGCAACACCCCCTATGGTCCCTTTGTTACCTGCCACATCCTCGCCCGTAAACTTCGCTCCCAAGGCGTCCCCGACATAGCTAATTTTCAATTCCTCGCCCCTTACAACATCCCTCTTCGCGATACACCTAACCGCGCTATTTCCAGGTAACTGCATGCCTCCATCCTCATCCGTCACCGGCGACATGCCAACATCTGGGTCGGGAAGCGCGGTATGCCAAGAAGTGTTAGGAAGGCAAGAGTGATTGAAGAAGAGGTAGGTGGGGTTAAGGCTTGTGGTCCTAATTGAGCCACCTTCGGCTATAAAATCGCCGGACGTAGGATGGTGTGGGGAGGGTAAATTGGTCGGTAAAGATTGGGTCTTCTGATGTTTTGGGCTCTTCGAAGAGGCCGGTTGGGAGGGGGGATCAAGAGGAGAAGATCCAGGGAAGAGATTCGCAACGCCCATATTGGCATTGTTCTCAATCCGCCAGTACACAGTCTGCACCACTTCCTGATCCCAGTCCCTGGTTTTGAAAATGTCAACCCCAAGATCAAGGAGGATTTTCGCAGGCATTACGACATTTTCCAAAAACTGCCAATCGTGGGGAAGGTCTGGTGTCATTTGTTGGTGCGGTGCATAGTTAGCTGCCATACGTGCAATGAGGTGGTGTTGGAGGGGATGTGTAAGGCCATTTGAGGAAGGTTTCCGCATATCTGCTATAACAATAGCCACAAGGCGTAGGAAGAGTATGGGGCGCCAACGTGTGCCTGCTCCTTGCGTAAGACGGCTACCGGTACCTGTCTCCTCGTAGAGCCAATCCATATCTCTACCGCACAGAACGGGGTGATAACTCATAATTGCTGTATCATGGCAGTGCTGGCTGCAGTACGCAACAGATTTGCAGCAAGATGGGTGGACGATTTCAGCGGGCCCACGATAAGGGGGTAGTAGGCAGGCATGACAGGCGTCGCAGTTGTAAAGGCGACTTGAGGGGATATCTGAGATGCCGAGAAGAGTTTTATCTACCAAGATAATTTCTCCCTTTCGGATATCGCGGGTTGCGAATACCCCGAGTGGACCGACATCTTGATTTTCTTGGACAGGCTCAGGCCTTGATAGGACTTCGGACGGTGGACCAAAGACGACCGGCCTGACCTCGCAATTTCCATTTTTCAATGTTTTGTTAACCTCCCTCATGAGAGCAGGGGTACGGAAGTAAACCGCCTGATCCATCCATGGATACTTCTTCTGGTAGATATTTCCAGTCCGTGATGCCGCCACCAGATCAGCCACTTTGTTGCCCAACTCCTTGAGACCATAGTGACGGGCCTTGAATACATCCTTTAGATTATCTCTCAGTTCGAGTAATTCAGAATCGTCGGGGAAAAGCTCTAAGGCGACCTTGGCTTCCCTTAGGCCGTCCCAGAATGCACCACATCCCATCAACCCATCCAAAATCTCTCGGTATGCTTGTAGCCTCAAACCTTTGAGATTGTCATTGAGGAGTCGGGACGAGATTCCCAGCTTGGAGTTGAGTATACTTCGCACTTGAGCTCGGAGTTGCGGCAAAGATGGGTGAATGGTGATATCTAGAGCTGATTCTATAAGAATCAATGCTCTGTAAGCATTGCCTACTCCAACATCTGTGAAACCAAGTTTGTTGTCTACCTGGCTCAAGTCGATGTAGAGAGAAGGATTATATGGAGTGAGGGATAAATCATGTAGAATTGCTTTGCGGTAGTCTATTAGTTTATCCAAGTCGCCCTGCGGGTTATAAATTTAGCAAATATTAGGAGAGTTAGTTAGTTAGTTAGAAGGACTTACATTCACTTGTGCAACAATAGCATGCTCCGTGTAAAACTGACTGGTACCAATCCACTCATTTCGGATGTTGGAGTTAAGTATGCTGATTCCCCCCTTCCATTTCTCATCAATAGTATTATATTGAGAGGATGACCCTAATTCCCTCGACTTTCCAGAAATCTGATCAGTCTTCCCTACATCATTTGAGGCATTGTCCTGAGGCCTGACCGGGATCGGTATTTCTTTGCTGTTCAAGGAGGCTAGCATAACCGAGTTCGACCGGAAATTTTCTGATTGAGTTATTGCAGACATTGTATGAGTACCAGAAATGTCAGAATCACCTGTTATTTCCAGACCTGCAAGTTTGGCGTCCATATCACCCAGAACTTTCGACTTATGCCCTTTTCTCAAACTCGGAGACTGGAGCTCGTCTGCAGTACTTGTATCTTCATCGTATAGAGATGCTAGGCCCATAGCGAACTTCTTTTTAAAGTTACTACCCCCTTGTCCGGATCCTGGAGTACGAACAACACTCATTTCTGCGTCGGTAGTGGAAGGCGGAGATAAGTGATGCTTTGTGGGCCTCTTTGGAGTTTGGGGAGCATCACTCCATTGTTCTCCCGAATTCCGAGACATAATTTGGCTGCCTTGATATGTATGTTGGTAAGGTTGTGGAAATTTGTAGCCAAATCTGAATAGGATGACCGAGACAAATGGCGAAGTTTCGGATGTCAGGCGACTTAGGGTCAACTTGCCTAAAAATGTGTTGGGAGAATAAATAACGCAATTAGAAGAATGGAAGAGCCAGCAGCGTGATGATGAAGAATTGAGGTCGACAAGGTAACCCTTCTGTTGTTTGACTTTCCGATATGGTTTGAGGCAAGAGCGACCTGCAGGACAGCGAACCCTTGGATTCACCTTACCATCCGATCTTAGGAGATATGTTCTTGATGGAAAGCTGAGCAGGTATTATATCTTATATCAGGTGGGGGGGTGTTCGTAATATTCGTAATGTCCACGAATTAGTGGTGAATTGGATGTTGGTAAAGCTAAGGTCGGGGTGAGGATGGTGGATGAACGCAAGCTTTTGTTTGAGTGTTGTAGTTAGCTTCGACAAAATATAGGAGCATGTAGAAGAGGATGACGATCAACGGCTAACTGCATGAAACTTCGGGGGTGAACAGATCGATCCAGTCGAACCTAAGATTATGTACCAACCTTCTAATCGGCACGTAACCGCTTTAGAAAAAACAAATTGCATTAAATGACTGCTGTATAGGATGGTATAAAGACGCAAAAGGCGGCCGCAAAGGCGGGATTGGAAAAGACACCACAATCTGCCTAAGATTACAAGGAGACGAAAATTGAACAATAGTAGCTCGAAAACAACTGGGTTCGACAATAAGATGGTGACTGTTCCACAACCAACTTTACCAGTGATAAACAACAGCATCAACAGCGCATGCAATAGCACTAGCACAGGAGTATATGAGTCACCACCATTATTCGTCCTACTAGTAGCGGCTTTATTAACTGGCAACTTCAGCAGATCATAGCAATAACGGCTTGGTTGACTCTAGCTCAGATGGAAGGTGTACTGCAGAACATGAAGGTAAAATTGAATACTGTGTTAGACAAACTCTGAAGTCCACACAAATCACAACCCTTTCTCCGATAGTCCGCCGCTGAGGAAAATGTTTTGGTCACGGTTGGGCGCAGGAAATAATTAGGAAATCAAATATCAGAACATGGCAGTGACGGTGGCACGATGATGCCAGAAGCCAGGTACTGGCCGGCGCTACCGACTTTTGAGTTATGCTTCGTGGGGACTTTTGCCGCTGTGACTGTGCTAGCTATAGTGTGAATAGGTAGACTGTGTGTAAAATATTGCCAAAAGAATGCGATAGAATGCGATAGAATGCGATAGATTGGGATACGTTGGTAGAAGCAGCTGACGCTAGTGAAGAAGTCATAACATATATTGGAAGTTGGAACATGTTGACAGGCAAATCAGGGCTTTAAAAGCGGCAAATCAAATATGATTATTTTACGTTGCTGCATCTCGCGGGAGATGATAAGGGCATTCCCTGGAATACAGTAGGAAATATGCGTAGGTAGGTACCCAGATATCTATAATCCCGAGTACACCCATCAACTGGTAAAGGTTTGGACACGCAAACCCATGGCTTCAAACGGCCATAGTGGCCACTAGCCAGGATGTAGACTCTCGTGGCGATGTTCCACGGTATGCGAGAGGTTGTGGTCCTCACACTGATATTAGCAAACAGAATAAAGGGGTCCGTTGAAGCACGAAATGGCTCCTGTTGCTAGGCGGACTGGGCTGAAGCACTTGCAGCGTTAAATCGTAAAACACGACGACAGAAATCCCCAGCCATGGAATTCCCTGTTCAAAGATCCAAACGTTAACACATGTATTTTTGTTGTGCAAGCACTAAAATCTTCCTCCTACATGGCATGATATCCCACCTTCATCTCATCCTTCTCTCCGGCTCCATTCCATTTTCGCAATATTCTGTTGTATCGTGCATACTCATTTCCAATGGGATCCTTCAGAGGTGGCCTCGGCTTCGAAGTGATGATCCATTACGGGCTGCTTGGAGCTCCAAGAGAGCCTTCGACTTATCGAGGGATTGCGCCTTGCAAGCCGTCTTGCGCGATATGGAGGTTAACGGAATCATAGTCTCTCGCCCTTCGCCGTGCTTCTTCATTTGTCTTCCTCCCTGGGCCTCCCGTAGAAACCAGAATCGATATCCACTATCCATCACCCCCCACCGAATATCAGATCGCCCTCGAAATTGTTCAGGTCGAGTCGGTATCCGCCAAGGTCGGGTTTGACCAAGGACACGGGTACTGCCTAAATACAAGAATATCAAGCGGTAGGTGGCAGTAACGTGTATGTATGCCTCGTGCTATCATCTATGATGGGTCATGGTAAAGCGTAATCGATCAGTCGCGAAACCCGAAGCTAGAGAAAGGCATGCCTCTGTTTTGTATCGCAGTCCCCCTTTAAGCTCGTTGAATCTTTGTAGCTGGCCGGAAATGTATCTGAATAAGGACAACTAATGGCACTCGCCATTGGGAATTCAGCCTGCTGTTGGTAAGTTCTGTTGGTTGGGTACTCCGTAAGGGTGCAGGAGGAGGGATGCTTCGACTGTGCCTGGTGCAGTATGCGAGTCTATGGAGCATCCTTGTGCGATTTTGGTGCAAATTTGTACTTCCTTCACGGCGTCTTGCGCGCAAGAACGTATCACCAACACCCTGTGCTGAGATGGACAGACCCGGCATATTCAAACCCCAAATAGAACAGTAGACACATTGATCCCACCTTCGAACTCAGCAGCTCTGATATTTGGCCTTCCATATTTGTTCATTCTGAAGCACCCACGATGCTCGAGTCACGCAAACACATCGACGAGACTAGACAGCATGTCTCCGCCCGACCCTCCTTATCCCCTCCGAAACAGCCTCCTCCCTCTAGGGGTTCGAAATCGAATATATGAGTTTGCATTTGGATAATATCGTGGCTTGGCAAAACTACAGTGGAATGGGGGCGCCTTAGATGTTAACGAGGACTACGAAATCAAAGCATTAGCGGCATATCTCGTGAGGTTGCTCCTATATTCTACGGCAAACCCCATATTCTGGTTCTTCGGCGACTACTCCTGGGATAACGTTGTTTACCGGCTCCAAAACAACCGTCTACGGAATAGAAGATATCTGACAGGGCTAGAAATTGCTATCATGGCAAGAGCTTGATGGTATAGTACCGAATTTAGGGATCATGGCTTTGCCGGCCGTGAGAGACTTTTTCGGCGCAGTCCTTGCGTGAACTTTCCTCAGGGGAGCATTAATCCCGCTTTTGAAACTGTTTTTGAGCTCCTTGGCCATTTGAGGACAGAGCTTGATGGGCATTTGGTAGCAGCGGAGCCTTCTCCGTACTCGTTTAGGCCATGATGATGCTTAGAGCGCGATCTGATCCTCGGGCTATTGGCTTATAGCGTCTCATGGGAAATCACTGCCTAGTAGTGCCTATGCTGAGGCCGTTTCACTATGGGACAGACAGGTAGGCCCTTCAAAATATCCTCAAATTGCATCCAAGATTCTACGCGGTCACCACCTTGTGTTATACTTCTGATCTAGCCACACTTAGCTCTTTAAATTAAAATCTAGTCTATCTTATCGCCATAGCTTGAAGCTCATTCTAATAAGGGGCAAGGGACTCTGGCAGTATCTGCTCAAAATAGGGGGGGAAGTCTGATCTAGGAACTATGTACTGTACAGTATCGCTGAGTCGGCTTGGACAGGACAGCAAGTTAAATGAAAAGCGCTTTTGAGGATATTATTTCTCCATGACATGTCAACAACCCCCATCGACTCGTCATCACCGGTCTATGGCAACTATTTCCAGGTCGTCGAGATGGGACGCTTCAACGTAAACTGGGTCAAGCCAACCGCACCTTGCATCGCGACGAGCAATTATATATTGAAGGCATATAATCCAAGCGTCTCCCCACGGGGTACCCCAGGACTCTTGGACGAGATTAGATAGTGTTGCCATCTGGCGTGATTGGATATCGATACCTCTACTTCGTCGGAGTCTGACGGATAACTCACGCCATTTACAATATCTCTAACGCCTGGTAAGAAATCGCAATCAGACGAGCTTGTATCGACTCGACGTCCACTGGGTGAAGCCTTCCCTGCACCGCACATATCGCTTTGAGTCTACATATTAGAAGCAGGCACAAACTCTCCTCAAGTACCTTGTCGATATCGCATCCACTCCTATCGCTCTCCTACTAAAACGCCACATGGGTTATGCCGAACGTTTAACCTTCGCGATAAGAAGCTGAAAATTGCCGTTGCCTAAGCACGTCTTCAGTGGAATCGGGATTTGAGGAGTCGGGACAGCTTCTCGCATTGATGCGGCATACAACGGATGAGGCGATTCCACTACTCGTAGCGTACAGGCAAGGTTTTATTGGGATTACTACGAAAGAAAGCGTCGCGCGGAGGCGTATGGAATAAGGAACAGATGTGCAACGCCAATCAACATCTTATGGAAGCCAATCGTGCCCTGGAAACCACCGCTGCTAAGAGCTTAGTGAACGCCAGCTTGCATTGTGGGTAATATTCGAAGTCTCCACTGAACTCAAAATCGTCAAGATTTCCCATTGATTGGCGGTACATTCTTCGTACCCCGCTCCTGTGGTGCTACCAACTGCGACGGACAGTCTATATTGCTGCGACGAAGTATAATACAGCCCTGTACACGCGTACCAACCGGGATTTCGAAGGCACAGGATGGTACAGCTCAAGGTATTATCGGCTCGCGAGTCATGCCCAGATCCTCTGGACAGACGATGCACTCAGATTTGTTGTTGCTGTACTGTACATATACATGTGTGCGGTAGTGTGGCTTTTCTCGTCGAATTACTTCGGAGGTGCTACGAGTACAGGACCGACAGAACAAGCTACCCCACCACAAGCGAGGAATCCTACACCACCCACTGTGGCTGATTCTTTTTCAATCGATCGATCTTTTGGGTTTATCTTAACGTCCTACTTGGCTGGAGTCTGATGAACGAATCGGCCTAGGCGTGGACCCACCGCGAAAACCCGGTACACCGATCCTTGTAGATTTATATCAGGTTTTTGAATTTCGATTTCCCAATGGAACACGGCAATACTTTCAACAATCACTCTGGTGTAATAAGTGGTTTGCGGGCAGCCACTACCACCGGGTAGCTCGACTGATGCTCGCTACCTATTCGTGGGTACTTTGGAGATCAATTACTAGATGCGCTCTTCAAGGGCCCAGGGCTATACTTGGTTTTATTCCATTTCGAAGCCTGGGCTGCATGCAATACAATACTGTACGGTACATGCTTGTACGAATGGCCCCAAGCCATGTACTGTGTGTGTACTCGGTACCTACGTATGGGGCTTCTCGTACGAGTCCTGTAGTGGTGCCCGGATACAATGGCCCGACTTTAATGGCCCTATCCTACCTAGGCACGAAGCACTCTAAGTTTCCCCCCTTCAAGGTCTCTGGTCTAGACCCCGCAGGGCTACCAGCATAAGGGCTAAGAAAGATGCAAATTCATTACTAACGTTGCACCAGGACGTCATCCACGGCCTGGTTCGTCAATTATCTGTTCTCAACTTCTCATCGCAACATCCGGAGGACAACTCCAGTGGTTCGCCACCACTCCAACCCCCCGCCCGTTGCCCCTCGTTGCCCGGAAACATCTCCATGCCATGACCGCGCCCTCTCCGCGCCGCCCATTGGCTCCACCGTGCGGATCGCATTCCGTTTGTTGCATGTTGTTGTCCATGGGAATCTGTTGCCCTCTGCCAAGTGCTTGAACACAGCTCACTATCGCGCCTCCTCATTGGTGGTCCACATTGCCCACCATATGACATCGCAGACACATCCGCATCCGCACATGCCAGTGCCAGTGCCAGTGCCAGCGATCCTCTTTATAAACACTGGATTGCTGGTTTCTATATCTACCTTAAGTCATGTCTCAAATTTTTTTGAGGCGCAAACAACAAACAATCAACAATCATCCCCGGCCGTGCTAAATAGGGCCTGTCAAGTCCTCTACATTACGAAGTACATCAATCACAGGCTACAACCGCAGAACCCACACCATTCGAACAGACACAGTCGTCCTGTCCTGTCGCTTGATTGATTAACTAGCTGCCTGTTGCCATTAAACGTTTAGCTGGCACCACCGGGCAGTGGTAGCAATTGAGAGGATGGCAGCGATAGATTTTATCTCGCCCAGTGCAATGGGCATGGGCATGGGCATGAGCATGAGCATGAGCATGAGCATGAGCGACATGGACACTGACCGTGACACTGGCATCGACATGTACAAGACTGGCCTCCTCGGCGATACCGATATCGATCTTGATATCTTCTCCGTGAACCCCTTCGATTCCGGTTTTGACCTCGCTTCCTCATGTCCCCCTGAACCGCCTACCACAAGCTTCGACAGCCCGCAGGCAAATTTTGCTCCAATCACAAACGCATTTCAACTACCGGACCTTCCCCCCTGCACGGCCGATGAACAGCTGCAATTATGGTCAATGGTGGATATGGACGATGGATCCGACCACCTGTCGTGGGGTACACCGTCACTCCAACAAGACTCAAGCACGAACGGCGACGAAGACGCCACATCACCAAGCATTAAATCATCCACTTCCATAGAAGGGCCAACCAATTGTCTCCGGGACGCCTCGTCTCGATCAACTTCAATATCTGATACCCAAACACGAGTCGCAAACCGAAAACCTCACCCGCGCACCACGTCCGCCATAAAATCTTCGTCAGATCCCAAAAGGGAACCCCGCAAGCGCGGGCGGAAGAAAAAGACCCCCCGCAACGAAAGCGAGCAAGAGGCCATACGGTCACGCTTCCTAGAACGGAATCGTGTCGCGGCCTCAAAATGTCGAGAAAAGAAGAAGAAATGGGTGGATGAACTGGAGACTAGGAGAGTAGAGGTTGAGATGGAAAATTCGAGATTGCGCAAATTGCAAGATGAATTATTCGCAGAGATTGGTTATTTGAGAGAAGAATTAGGGAGGCATGAGGCTTGCGGGCATGACAAAATAGAGGGACTCGCTGAGAAGCGTCGGCCCTCCACGATTGGGGTTGAATGGACCACTTGTGTGGAGGATCCAGTTCCTGAGAAGACTGATTGCCTGGAAACGGCTGAGGAGGAAGAGAAGTTTGTGGAAATGGCTGTGGATGATACACAGCATGTCTCCGAGGCTATCCACAAGGCCTGAGATTGGGAGAATGACGGGTTAAGAAACGATGCGCGATGATAGTGTGGAACCTACCCGGTGTAGCAAGGGCTGCGACTTGGCCACGACATACTGATACGGTTGGGCTACTCTATGTGTAGTAGTAGAGCAAATCGCCCCATCCATGTTGCTCCATGGTGTAAAACAACTGAAGCACGCTGGCACTGGCACTGGCGACAAATGAATGACGACACTGATGATAATGATAGGGGTAGATCTCTGCTGATATCTGGGATATTTATCTGGCAATTAAGCAGATGCCATCGTCTTCGGTTGGGAAAAGCGGCTACTACAATGACTAGTAGCGACAATACTCCAATAATAGGAAATAATAATAATTACTCTCGTTACCAACTTCTCCCGTTCAACATCTAACATCCGGGACTTAGCACGCTCATATTCTCACATTCCTAACTTTTTTACTAATATCCTGCATGAATGATGATGGTGCATGCATGGCTCAGAAGTCTACTTATACAGCTAACCAATTAATTTTCGGCAACTCGGATTTGCCTCTTCGTTTCTGCAGGATAAATAAAATGCAGACATCTGAAGGCATTTGCCTCCTCGGTAATTAAAACCCCAAGCAAGCGTTGACATTTTTTGGCTGCTCCTCTGGCCTTGGTTTCTGTGTTCTTTCCGCTGTCAGTTCGGGGCCCGCTTGCGGCCCGTACCGATAGATATTTCTGAGACAATTGCTTGAAGTTGTGAAGTTCGATTTGGGTTTGAGTTTGAATAATATTTACCTAAGTAGGGAGGTGATTAATGGCCTTCTTATCTTTCTTGTCTTTAGAAAGACCGTCTAGTTCTATATCCCGAGATCGGATGTCGATAGGTGTTGATGCTTCCCTTCGGGATAAGTAGCAGCGGGGTTGTGTAAACCCCCACTTTCTGGCCATTATCAGTATATCAACACAACTCATACATATATACTTCATTCTTATAGTTCGTTATCTGAATCCATAATATTTTATTTGGTTTTTGGTTGTTGACCAGAGCTCCTAAGAACGTTCAATTGTCTCACTTCAAAACACCAACCCATGCCATTAATCATGGCAACCATCACACTCCCAGAACCATTTGCAAGCATTCCTCGAACAGATTTACTTTTTGGCCCTTCACCAATACATCACCTTCCCAGGATATCTGAAGCCTTGGGTGGGAGAGTTTCCATATGGGCAAAGCGGGAAGATTGTAATTCTGGGATTGCGTTCGGCGGTAATAAAACTAGGAAGCTCGAGTAACGAAGATTCTTACCTTGCAAAGATAAAAGAAAGAACAAGCTGCTAATAAATCCCAGGTATCTTGTCCCTGAGGCTCTAGAGCAGGGCTGTGATACATTGATTAGCATCGGCGGGGTGCAATCAAATCACACACGTCAGGTCGCTGGTGTGGCAGCCAAACTCGGTCTTAAGGCAATATTACCCTCCCTTCGATATATTATCCAATTCAACCCATTATCTAACGCATCACACAGGCGAAGCTTGTCCAAGAGCATTGGGTCGACTGGTCCGACCCAGGCTATGAGAAGGTCGGCAATATCCAAATATCTCGTCTCATGGGCGCCGCCCCACGTCTAGTCCCCTCAACCTTCGGCATCGAGCATAAGCCCACGCTCGCAAATCTTACTCAGGAAGTTATTGAGTCCGGCGGGAAGCCATACTACATCCCCGCGGGAGCATCAGATCATCCCCTGGGCGGTCTGGGATTCGCCCGCTGGGCCTTTGAAGTCCACCAACAAGAAGATCATCTGGGTATCTTCTTCGACACCGTTCTTGTTTGCGCTGTGACTGGAAGTACATTCGCTGGTATGATCGCTGGCTTTAAACTCCTAGAAAAGAACTTCGGCACCCCCAAGCGTCGAGTCATTGGTATAGATGCAAGCGCCAAACCATCCTCAACGCGCGCTCAGGTGCTGCGAATCGCAAAATTCACAGCTTCTAAAATCGGACTCTCCGAAGACGATATTACCGAGGAGGATGTGGAATTGGATGAGAGATATCACGATGGGTGTTACGGAATTCCTGGGGAGATGACCAAGGAGGCGATGAGGTTTGGGGCTCAGACCGAGGCGTTTATTACGGATCCTGTTTATGAGGGGAAGAGTCTTGCTGGATTGATGGATATGGTGAGGAAAAGAGAGATTACGGAGGGAGGTAATGTGCTTTATGCGCATCTTGGAGGGCAGCTGGCGTTGAATGCCTATTCAGATGTGTACTGAGTGGCTATTGGGTTACCTACCTAGGTACCTAATTTGCAGTTCTAAGATGTGAGCTTTTCTCAAACATAGGCGATGAATGCGGAGTTTTAAAAGTTTCAATACAAATAACTCATTATTAATAAAGAATAACAGGCTTCTACATAATTAATGTTTAAATAGATCATGTGAGGTGAGCTGCACAACGAACGAGCCAAGTGGCTGAAATAAAGTGTCCGACGAGTACGAGGTTAGAACAGGTTGCTCGGAGAGATGACCATACTAGTATATTATGAATTATAGGAAAGCTCCGAAAAGTCTCCAGAACGGGAAATAAAAGGTGCAATGTTTCTTCCCTCTTCCTTCTATTAATCTCGACTCTCTCATTCACGAAAAGAAATTTCCAGCTCCCAAATTGATACAATTGTTCAGCAAAATCCCTGATAGATTTTTCATCACCTTTACAGACTGCTCGGGAGCAAGATCTAATACATTATATCATGGCATCTAAAACCTCTCCAGTTTCCGCCCTCATTATCGGCGCCGGCCCCGCAGGCCTAGCATGCACCGTCAGCCTTTCCCGTCTCCTGCACACCAGTATCGTCTTCTCCTCCAACAAATTCCGCAACGAATTAGCTAGCCATATGCATGGCGTTCCCACATGGGAACACCGCTCCCCTACGGAATTCCGAAATGCGTTTAGGAAAGATATCTTGAAGCATTATGATACGGTGGCTTTTGAGGATGTGGAGATTAAGAAGGTGGAGAAGATAGAGAATGGTGGTGCGGATGGACGTATGCTTTTTAAGGCCGTGGATGAGAATGGTAGGGAGTGGTGGGGACGAAGGGTTGTGCTTGCGACTGGGATAAAAGATATCATGTTAGATCTTGAGGGGTATGACAGTTGCTGGGTTAAGGGGATGTAAGTTTTCCACCACAATTTTCCTCCCGTCATGAAATATTTTCAACATAGTACTAACTACCGGAAAGATTTCATTGCCTTTTCTGTCATGGATTTGAAGAAAGAGGTGCTGCTTCAGCCGGGGTCCTTGCAATAGATGATTGTGCCCTGGGACCAATTGCTCTTTATCTCGCACGCTTCGCAGCCCGCCTTGCGGACAAAATCACGATCTACACCAATGGAGATGAGGTTGTAGCTAAGGGGGCCAACGAAGCGTTGTCAAAAGCAAACCCAGGGTCCAAAACTAGAAAACTCATCTCTGTCGACGACAGAAAAATCACAAAGCTAGTGAAGGGTCCTCATGAGTCAGAGGTTGAAGTCGTCTTTGAAAACGGAGAGAGACAGACGGAGGGATTCTTGGTACACAAGCCAAAGGGGGAATTAAACGGGCCTTGGGTGGAGCAGCTGGGTTTGGAGATTACGCCAAAGGGAGATATTAAGGTTAACGGGCCGTTTGGCGAGACGAGTGTTGCGGGAGTATTCTCGGGTGGAGATTGTGCGGTTGAGATGAAGGCTGCGAGTGTAGCAATATCGTCCGGAGGTGCGGTTGGGGCTGGGCTGGCAATGTCTCTAGGCGCGGAGAATTGAAGAATTGACTCTGAGGGAACGGAATGGATCGGCAAGTATGATATGTTTTTGGGCGATGACGGATCAAGTACCCTGTTAATAGATCATCATTACCCCTTCTCACTTATTTAAGTGGGTTTAGGACTCAGAGACACTTTCTTAGTTCCATTCTCAAGAAATGCCAAACTTACTGGCGTTGATAGACGACAAAAGCTGCCATAGCAACGTAACACCGAGGACGTAAATAGTTTAGAGAAAGGGATAAACGACAATCTTGTCCAATTCGTCTAGTAGCCTTTGATTAGGAAAATTTTAAATTGCCGTAGCAAAGTGATACCGGTCTAATGCCCCTGTTACCAAAATGCTTCTTAAAGATTCTGCTTCGGAACTGCGGAGGCGATCATATGCATGTTCACAGGGGTAAGTGCGCCTTTCCCCTTCAATACTGCGTCGATGTTCCGCATGGAGAGCTCTTCGAAGCCGATATGCCTATGTACGCTGTTAGCTATTTGTTTCCCATTTTATTCTCTGTATGCAGCTTCAATTGTACCAGATTTTTCTGTTTAATTATTTTCGATTTGAAGGTGTTGAAATCGTGTGGAAGCAGGATATGAAAAGGGGGGAAAGGCAAGCATACGTATCTAGAGTTCCCCCTGCATTGTGTGCTGTAAGCATAACCTGTCTCAACCCCTTCAACCTCTCACTAACTCTCGGCTCGTTCTCATGCACATCAAGCCCAACACCAACAAGAGTCCCGTCCTCCACAGCATCAGCAACAGCCTCCTCATCCACCAGGCTTCCCCTTGCGATATTCACAAACCTACTTCCCTTCTTCATCTTCCCGAGACTTTCCTTCGTAATGACTTTCTTCCCGTCAGGACTCGCGGGCGTTGCCAGGACCACACAATCGCTCCGAGAAAGCAGTTCCTCTAACGTGGGCGCAAAACTAGCTGCGATTTCGGCTTCTTGAGCGGGTGCCTTGCGGACCACATCATAGTAGACGATCTTCATGTGGAAGGCGGCGTAGGCTTTACGGGCTATTTCGAATCCGACATTTCCCAGGCCGATTATGCCGAGGGTATGGTTGCGTGGGTTATGGGAAAGTACCGCGGCGTTGGTGTGGCAATCTTGGAAAGATGATGGAGAAGTATATGGTGCGGTGGTGCACCTGAGTAGTTAATTAGAAGCTTCGACGGGCACTGGTATGAAATTGGACTCATTGGAGAGGAAAGGGGGAAATATATATGAAAATTGGACGGCATGGAAATGGAGAACGGGCTCGGGGCAGTGAAAGGAAAGATAAAATACCATCTGAGATTCCTGAATGTGGATAGAATGAGAAAAAGTGTAAAATCGGCGACGGACTCGGAGGAGGCGGCGGCGCTGAGAGATGAAAAAGACGTTAGACATCAATTGCACTTAGATGAAAATGAGTGGGTTTGGGCAACGATGTACCTGTTGCAGTATATAATTCCTAGAATAATATAATAATCAGCACTTCAGCATTTTTAATATCATCAGTGTTTCTCTTTACTTTTCCAACATAAAAAGTATCAAGCATACCTCTTGCAGCCAAAATATCAACATCAGCCCAATCATACCCGGCGCCCGCCGAAGCAAACACCTTACAAGTCTTGGGAATGAGTGGCACCAGTTCACTGTCCCATCTCCCCATCTCGCCTCCAGTGTTCCAGAACGGTCTAAATATGGCGTGGAAATCTCCCCATCGTTTTTCCTTCAGCGCCTTCATAAACTCTCCTCGTTTCCGCTCCTCTGTCGAAGGCCGGATGACAGTAAAATCTTGGGAGAACTGTGCGTAGAGGTCTGTATTCCATTTTACAGGGTCGCCGATATGGAGGACGACAGGTTTTCTCAATGAGGTTGCCATAATGGGGTGCTGAGAGATGACTGAGTCACTGAATTGCTTTGCTTGTACGAAATAACGGACAGATATATACTCGTACTACAAGAGCGGTGAGGGGAAACAAACACGACTATATCAGCTTATATATCGCCCCACAAACAATATTAAACGCTTCTTAGTCCGTATACTGACAACAGGTATAGAAAAATTCCCTACCAGTTCCCCATCACTTGTTGGGGCCCCTGAGGAGGTGTTTTGGGTAGAAGGATGAGAGGTTGTCGTTGGTGTCGCCCAGAGCTGTTTCTGACATGTGCTGGACCAATAGGGGACGGATCCGGAGTTTGAAATAGAAATATAACCTTAAAGCCGCCCGTTTATAAGCCCAGCGTCAAACGCCGCATTGTGGCTAATGAAGGCGTCATATTCATAATTCACGTTCATATATTGTTTTTGCTAGGATGTTGGAGGCGCCGAGGTTCGTAAGGATCAATAATTTGGACCGCGGATCGTTGAACTGCCGTACCTCGTAGAGTACTTGAACCCCCGCGAGGCACATAAAACCAGCTCAATATATATCATACCAAAACCAACCTCATATTCACATCAATTACATCAATATAAACATCAACGTCAATAAAATGGCGACAGCCACAGCAGAAGCTACGAGTGCTGCTCTAAACCCAACGCCGAGCACAGGAAGCGCAGGAAAACCAACCCTTCACCATCTCAATGTTCGCTATCCATTACTTTCACATCCTACTTAAGAACCCCAGCTAACACAATGCAAAGAATTCCCAATCTCAGCGCATCCTCTGGTTGCTCGAGGAGCTAGGAATCGAATACAATGTCGTCAACCACAAGCGCAAACGAGGTCGCGCACCAGCAGAACTCTCAAAGGTCCAGTGCGTAGGAAGATTATATCCAGATCTTGAACAGAACACCTACTAACAATAATCCTCCAACCCCAATAGCCAATTAGGAAAATCTCCTACCCTCGTAACTAGCACCGGCCGCGTCGTTGTCGAATCCACCGCTGTAGCCTCCTACCTCATCGAAACCTATGATACAACCGGCAAATTCGCAACCCGCGACCCCCTCCGCGACGAGGAACTCACCTCCTTCGCCGGGTCCTCCCTCGGCAACGTCACTGCCATCGAGCTGCTAGTTGACCTCCTCGCTACCGTACCGCCCTGGCCCATCTCATGGTTCCTGGGCACCGTACGTTCTCAAGTCCAGAAGACCTTCACAACGGCCGAGTTCGAGAAGGCGATGCGGTTTTTGGAGAGCGAGTTAGGGGATCAAGAGTGGTTTAATGGGGAGAACCTAGGCCGGAGTGATATTATCATAAGTTGGCCGCTGGATTGTATTGCGGGGAGGAAGTGGGTTAATTTTGACAAGGACTATCCGAAGTTGGCGGCGTGGAGGAAGAGGGTAACGGAGAGGGACGCCTGGAAGAGGGGCTTGGAGAAGGGGAATGGATATGATTTATCGGGGGTGGATCAGGATTAGAGGTGGTAATGATTATAATACTATGTGCAATGTTAATGGGCGGGCCGTATTAATCTATAATCTTAATATTAAACCTCTAGGTTGTCATTACCTAGTATATAGGTATCTTGGGAAATCAAGGAATATGCATCATACAACTGTATCTCTGAATTATACTTTAGTAACTAGCAACTGGCGACCTATTTATCTTTATCTCTGCATCTCCACTCTTTAAAACGATGCCTTCCAAGCGTTCCCCCTCTTCAGCAATTAAACAGCATCTAGCTAGTACACTCCCCATCCCATTTCTCATATCCCCTTTATTTTACCACCTCATCCATGGCCGTGCGGAGGAAGGCCATATGCAATGCAAAAAATTGTACATGGGACAAGAAACCCCCTTCGAACCGAAACTGAAAATATACAAAGCAATAAAACGCCCAAGCCCCATAATCGAGCAAAATACCACCTCCCATGTGTCCGTATCCCCTTATAACTCCCCGAGCCGTCTTGGGGGCTAGGCTTTGAAAATGCCAGAGTGCGTGGGTCATGCCATGCAATTATATGCAAATGAATAGAGATTTTTTGAAAGGAAACAAAAGAACGATCAAGGTCCGTCAAAAAACAACTCCATATCTTCGTCCCCGTCACCCCATTTCGTGTCTCTCTCTTTCTCGCGTTCAGGCTCTCGATCGACCCGCTTCTCGCCCTTATCATCCTCATCCGTTTGATTTGTCAGGTCGTTGAACATCTGTTGAACATCTGGTCCGCTGGCAACCTGAGCGCTACCGGTGAAGGCGTCTCGCATAGGACTGTCACCACCAGAGCCACCAAGTGCTACAGAGTCTATCCGCCCAAAGCCTGCGTCATTGAAGATTCCGGCTGCTCTTGGACTGCCTGTTCCACCAAAAGGTGGGCTTTGAAGCCCGCCTCCATGCAGAAATGCGTGTGGGGCAAAAGCGGGCGAAGTGCTATTCTGCGGGCTCATGCTGAAGTGAGGATCCTGGACACCAGCAAAACCCCCAAAGTGTGAAGGGTGCGCGTGGCCATGCTCGGGTGGGATTCCTGACAGAGTCGGACCCCCAAGGGCATGCATGGGTGCGACCGAGGCAGGAAAGGTATGAGAGGTCGGCGTCCCAGAATCAGATCGTCCAGGAGCAGGTTGAAGGGGTTGAGGGCGAGAGGATGATGGCTCGCTGGATTTACGCTTGTTGAAGTTATGTGGCTTAGTACGAAGGTTCTGGGGCAGCTGTTCAGGATCGTCCACGCCGTGCTGTGCCATCAGCTTTTGAAGCTTTGTTGGACGGGGTTTTCGAGTTGACTTCGACGACTCTAATGCTGGAGGAGGGTCGGGCGCAACCGGAGACCATTTGTGGAGTTCATGCCTGAAGAAGTTCGTCTCATACGCCAACAGGATCTCGGCTCCTTCAATCTTGCGAAGATAGAAACGCTGCGTCTCACATTCGTCGGCAGTTGCCATAACCGGGTTACAAAATGGAGCAACATGATGTCGGAACTCTCGAGCATTTTCGATGATTTTGTAGAGGAGTTCTTCTTCGTCGGGTTGGAAAGGAAGACCTGGAACCTCATTCTGCCAGTCTTCTAAATCCTCCAACTTTGGTCGCGCGGCATCACGAGGAATACATACTCGCCAATCGCAGATGGGGCAAGTATACTTCTCCTCCTCCTTGACCTTCCCCCGAGCGATTTTAAGACATCTACAGTGATACCTGAGTAGGTTAGCATGGCCATAGCAAATATTCAAAGTCGTAGCAAGCTCACCACTCGTGACAAAGTTCGCACTCGATCATCATTCCAGCTTCAGTACGACGACAGATGCAAAACACCTCACGAAACCTGGGATCCTCCCAACTGTGCAGTTTTGCCTCAGAAGGACTAGGTTCCCGCGAAGCAGGCTCGGCTGGCATTCTCGGCTTATCCACATGTATATCGAAGCAGTCGAGGTTCCGCTCGAGAACGTACTCCATATGCGATTTCAAAATGTGTAGGGGAGCATTTGCCTTGCCGAATAGCTTCTTGCCTTTTCGCATCCAATCTTCGTGTCTCTTCTGCTCTTTTTCTAAATCTAGAGTTCCATTTGGCTTGCTATTTAGTTCCGTAAGGTGTTCCATAGTCTCGCGAACTTCTGCATACTTGGGTCGTTTGCTGAAGTCTTCATTCCTGCTGCGCTCGTATAACGAGACAATTTGTCGATGTGCTTCTCGCTGCTTATTGAGAATTTGGTCAACTTGAGCTAGCGTTTCCGCTGACACGGGAAGTGCGGCTGCTTGGGCTTGTGCAGATAATGCCTCAAGTTGAGGATAATGCACTAGTTCAGCGTTCACCAACTCCTTCGCCTTCGCTTCCCATGCCATACCAGCATTTCTCTGGTCCTTGTAATGGTTCAGATAATCATTGTACTCTGGGATTTCAAGCTTAACACCCTCTTCAATAAGATCTTGGACTTCCTTGAGGTTGAGAAACTGGCCACGGTTGTCGCGAGCACGGTCATTCCATTTCATCTGCTGGACAATTTTATCTAGCTTCTCAATTTCCGGCATATCGACGTTGAATCCTCGCCCGAGCTCGAGAAGATCTTCAAATTCTTGTGTTTGGCGCAAGACAACATTGGAAATCGCTATTCGGGCATCCCGCTGGAAACTGTCGATGGCGTCTGCTCGTTCTCGTAGCTGCGTAATCTCTGGACAGTCGAATCCTATCTTATCAGCCTCCTTGAGGAGCTTTTTGACATTCTCGACCTTTCGAAGCTCCCGGTCCCGCTCCTCCATTTCTGCTGCTTTGCTACCCTTTCGCCAGGCCTTTTCGTTCTTACGACGATTTTGTTGCTTCCGGACAATGTAATTTGTTGCCTCATCGACCCATTCGTTGCATCTTTCCACAAACGCTTTTAATGTTGGCAATGATTTTAAAGGATAGGGGATGCGCTCCCCTTCGTTCAGAAGTGTTCGTATGGTCTTGAGTGGCGGGGTTGGATCGTCTTCAAGCAGGTTCTCCACCTTCTCCTCCCATTGCTCTGGCAGAGACGCTTTCTCGGCAACCTTCTGGCAAACAGTATCGATGTATTCTGCAGTTCGGCGGTAATGCAAGGTGTGATTCTTTCCCCCGTAGAGCTGGTCCGGAGACATGGTGCAGCATTCAAAGTTGCCAGCGTGAAGCATGCACATGACTTTACCACTATTATCGCACTTGAATCTAGAGAGGTATGTATACGCCTTGCAGTATACGCATTGATACTCTTCTTCGGGCACATCCTCATCGTCAATGACGAAGCCTAGGTGACAGCGAGCATCAGCAGCTTCAGCACTATCAATTACACAAGGGCCTTCGTGTTCTTTATGCTTGTCAGCGAAGAGTTTTCTTTGGGCATTCTCCCGATCTCGAAGGCGTTCAAGCGCAGGCGACAGCCACTTTGCTGTCTGTATTGAAACTGCACCGTTGGATCCTTCTGCCGCGGTTAACAGTAGCTCGTCATGTGAGAAGCAAGGTTGCCGCCGGAATTGTTGCAATCTCTCAACACCCGCATCGCCGAACGGCTCCCAGTCACTAGGAGCAAAGTTAACTGCCTCATTGAAGTTGAACCCATGATTAAAGCCTGCATGGTAAGCCTGTGGGAAGGTAACGACGAATTGGCCAGCTCTCTGATCCAGGGCGTAGACTCTAACACCAGCCTTCTTCAGTTGCTCAGGAGTCAAGAGTGTGACGAGCTGGAAAAGAAGATCAGGTTGAGTCTCAAACAATTCCGGCACCGCTTCACGCATAGCATTTTCAAACTTCTCGGCGTCTTCTCCAGGGATGCCGTACCATGTCTTCGTTGACCCAAAGTGTTGGTAGTTAGCTGAGTACGCGTAGTGGTCCTCATTATGCCAGCAGAAAGTCGAGAAGATCATTCCCACGTAGAGCCAGGGGACGGTCATGCCGGAAATGTCGGATTTGATGTGTCGAAAGAGCGAATCGGCGTGGTATGGCATAATATTCAAATTCCAGGGATCTGTCGAATAAGGATCCTGAGGATTCTTCTCAATTGTAGGAAAGCCGCTGCCATGAGTGGTGGAATGAATGTCTGCTCCATACTCGACCTCAACAGTCTCCTCCAAACTAGCCACAAGCCGCCAGAATTCTCTTTCGATATCGTCTTCGGTGACCGGACGCGGGCAATTGAGGACGGGGTCGAATGGCATTTTATTTTGGAAGTAGCCCTCCTTGAAGTCGGCTGCCTTCTGTTGGAATTGTCTGAGTGAGTATATTCCGCCTTCCTCAAATCCGAATTGGCCATCGCCCACAAGGCATCTGGGGCAATGCCAGTCGTAATCTGGTTTCTGTGAGACCTGGGGATCAAGGCAGCCCATGTGATAGCTATGATCGCAAGATTCGCAAATCAACAGGTTCCCGGAGTCGCCATTCTTTCCGCAATGTTCGCACTTCTGACAAGCATCTAAGCATTCATTCTGGAAGGGTGAGGTTTCATTAGATTTGCTTACCTCTCCAGGAGCCCCCGAACGGTGCTCCCCAGGGATCCTTGGGGGCGTTGGTCGGAATAAGGTCATGTGCGATCCAGCCACAGTCGGCACAGCATCTGGAGGCCAATAATTAGCCGGGGCGTCCACAGCCAGTCAAGAGACGACCAAGACGGGCAAAACGCAAGACGCATTGAACGCATCCCTGGTCATCATACACCGACAGCGAAGCGCATCCTGCTCTATATTGAAATGACAGATGCGACCATGGCCACGTACCTTTTTTGAGACGCTTACTACGTCTGCCTCCATTTTCGCTATCATCAAGGGGTTGGCTTCCTTTGCGGGATCGCGAATCAATACTGTCATGGCTTAACCGCCTCTTGAGCATCGGATTTGACGTGAAGCCATTTACCACGGGAGCCGAACTGAGAGCAGAAGGGCGATATTCCGGCGTGTTCTTCGCGGAGCTCATTGGGCTGTCGAATTGTGGTCGTCTGGGTGGCGTAAAACTCCGCTCTTCCCGATCCCTCCTGCTCACATTTACGGGCGCGAAGGTAGTTGGTGCGGCATTGACCGGTGTGAAACCACCAGCATTAACGGGAGTAAATCCCGAGGTAACTGGTTGTGGTGGTGGTGGTGGTGTCGGGGCAGGCGCATCGAGCATAGGGATATTCTTCATATTTTTCTCGAATTCGTCCTTCATAGATGAATTGAGCGCGTCCGACGCTCTGACGGCTGGGGAGTCCCCTCGTAGACTAGATGGGGCATTTTGATAGGACTTTTTTAGTGGCGAGTTCGCTGGAGATGGAGTAAGAGGGCCTCCATATTCGTACTCCAGCTGCTGGTGAACGCCCGGTTTTGCCAGCCGTAGGTATTCTTCATACGGGAATAGCCATCGTTGGTAAGAGTTTTTGAGGGATGTTGATAGAGACGACATGATCTTCCCGCTGTATCCGAGGTCGCGCCCTATCTCTGCCCATTTCTTTAGCTTACAAACCTTCTCGAAACCTCCTCTCGTCTCGACCGCCTTCTTGAGTTTGTATAAATCGAGGGGGCGCTTGTCGACACTGGGGAAGCGATTGAGATTGGTCCCATGTTGCTTGTGGAATTTCGCAAGTTGGTCGAGATATGTGAGATTTGCACGAGTACCTGATGCCGCGAGTTAGCACCGCAGATGTAAAATTGAGCAGCGTCCAGAATAATGGAGCCTTATAGTTGATTTGCGGGAACTTACTGCCTTCGACCGAGTTCAGCTCCTGCTTTCGTGTGCGAAAATGAAAACGCTGCAGCGAGTCAGTCATGGTTCCGAAGGATTTGGAGAACCAAACGCCCATGGAGAATCGCAAGGGGAAGGAATGAATTGATTAAACTCGACCTTTGCGAGTATATTAGGCACCGGGACGTACCTCAGTATCGATGGCGAAGTCTGGTTTCCAAGAATCCGGCGGGATGATCTTGCAGATACCATATCGCGAAGCCTCAGGAGCAATCTTCTTCATGTATTCAAACGGGTCTCTGAATTCTTCCTCGGTAGGTTTGTATGTCGGGGCCTCTTGCAGGCCATGCGGTCGTATCCTCTTGGTGGCCTCTCGACTCGCTGTGGGCTGGCCTCTTCGCTCGACGCTTGTTAAGTCCAGAGGAAGGGAGTGCATCGCGCTCAAGGGGAGGGTTGCGGCCGCGGGGTTATTCGCACTCGCATTCCCATTCCCATTCACAGCCTGTTTCCCACGAGTAGATGTCGCATTGCTGTTGGTACCGCTTGCGGGCGAGGCTCGCGCGGCGGAGCTCGACGCCGTGGTGCTCAACGGCACCTGAACCATGGCGACGGGATGAGGCGGCTCGCGGGTCGCTAGATGTTGGACGAGTAGTTTATATTATATATTGAGGAGTTCAGATATTTCGGGTTGGCGGTATATAATCCACATGAGGGGGGTAGAAGTGGTGGAGGCGGACCCAGCCTAGGGGAGAGGCAGGTATGTTGAATCGGCAGCAACCGGTTCGCAGAGAAGGTATTGAAAAGAACGACCAAATGAATGTATGCGCACCACGAGCGTGGGCTACGGCATATTATGCGGTGCCGATCGTCGACAGGGTAGAAGAGATTTACTGCCGAAGGGCGGCGCACCTAGAAAGAGGGATGTCGCGGATGGTGTTCGGATATCGAGGTCAAGGGGGAGATGAAGGCGGAGAGATGGGATGGGATCATTGATGATTGACAGGCGAGGATGAGGATGCGGATGCAGATGAGGGTTTCGATATTGGCATTTGGCGCTGGCGCGGGCACCGGGGCGTGGGCTAGGAGGCTAGTCTGGAGCAGCAGCAGCACAAGATACAAGAATAATATAGGTACATACGGTACCACATGTATGTACTCACTCCAATGTACGTAACATCCCCTGATCTTGATTATTTGATATCAGCTCACAGGTGTCCACGCACCCACCTGTCACAGCCACAGGCCCAATATCAATAACGATACCAATATCAAACAAAGCCCTCGACTGCCGCTGTATCATGTCGATGCGCAGTAGGTCAACGATAATGATGTTTTCCGCCACGTCGTTTGGTGTTCCTTTCTACGCCATGAACTCTATGTGCGTAGTACGGAGTAAGCAGATATCGCCTTTTTTCTATCTTTTCTGTTTTCTATTTCCATTCGACTTCTTTTTGGTTTTCCTTTTTCCTTCTGTTTCCGACCTTGACGGACTCGCCGTCCAGTCTCCCGCATCCAAGCCTGCAAGCCTGTTTTCACCGATTCTTGCAAGTTAGGCGAGTGATATCGGTTCTCCGGAACCAGCGCCTAAGGCAGCAAGTGTCGGCTGGCAGCCAATCACAGCGACTTGACGTTGGGTCGGCCGTCGGCGGTTCCAGGGTGGTTTGTTCCGCCCGATCCCGAATCCGGATGCAACCAGCAATGCTCCTCCGTACTACGTACGTAAGCAAGCAGCAACCAGGTAACCGATATCTAACTACCCAAGGTACCTTCGTAAATCGATATGTCTTAAAGGATGAAGCATCGTTTCTAAAGTTTCTCTTGCTCATCTGATATAATTACTACGCCTTATCAAGTCCTTATAACTTATACCGGGACAGATACAGGAGTACTGAATGGAGTTCCATTCTAAGCGTGTTTCAAACATTTTCAGCCTAACATGGCGAGAGAAACTACCCAGCCACCCAGGTACATATGCCAGAGATCTGTAATCCAAGAAACCGTTCGGCGATTATTGCGAGTTTTGTCAGCCCATTAGCCACCTGTTACGCGTTTTTCTAGCCTTAGGCTCATACGAACGTTGCCATCGTCGGATTGTCATGCTTGATAAACGTCACATGATATTTTGCTACGGCATCAGACGGATAGCTTGCTACAGCCGGACTTCGCTCTCTGCCAGGCTTGGGCGAGCTTACTCGAGTATGGAGCAGCGGGCGAAAGTCGACGTCACGCTAAAAGGGGTGGCCGAGACATTGTTCATCCCTCTTGCAGCACGAGCCTTCGACGCGACTACACAGAGACCGATACTCGGCGATTCGTACGCCAAAGATGCCTTAGATAAACTCGACTACGAGCTCGACAAAGCGGCCCTACCACCAGGCCAATGCGCCAAGATAGCGTTGCGATCACGCCAGTTCGATCGATGGACTGCGTCGTTTCTGGCTACCCATCCTCACTCCACGGTCCTTCACTTGGCGTGTGGGCTAGACAGCCGCGCGCAGCGAGTCGAATGGGGTAGCGATATTCGCTGGGTTGATATTGACCTACCTGAAGTTGTTGCCCTCCGACGACAAATCCTCCCACAGTCGTTCTCTGGACGTGACTACCGGCTTTTAGGCGCCAGCGTGACCGATAGCGCTTGGTTGGAGGATATTCCGGCGGACAGGCCGACCGTTGTAGTCATGGAAGGACTGTTATCCTATCTAATGGAGGAAGACGTAGAAGGATTGCTGTCGCACCTGGTTGACAGGCTTCAAGAAGGAGAACTGCTGTTCGAGTGTGTTAACCTGGCAGTGCTGTCTTCGCTTCGTAAAGGAAAACTCAAAGCTGTTGAACAGACTGGGGCCCAGTTTAACTGGGCGGTTGACGACCTGAAGAAGCTGGAAGATATTCATCCTCACTTGGAGATGCTCGAGTCCATTAACTTTATGGAGGCACCGGGAATAGAGGAGCTTTCGTTCACCAGCCGGGCTACAATGTACCTTTTGTCGTGGCTACCCTCGATACGAGAAAGTGTGCGATTTGTACGATTCAAATTTAGCCCTAAAGTATCTAGGCAAGCCTCCGATTAAACGGACGGCAGTCTTTTTGCTTTACCCCATAACATTTTTACCTGCTGTTTTCCAGCGAATACTGAACTACATCAATTGGAATTATTTAAGAAGTTTAAACTGATCCCTGGAAATTGAAGCTTCTTTGCCGCATATACGTGGCTTGTCTCTACCTCACTGCCTATAATCGTACCACCTCCTGCTCAATCACTTTCCCTATGCTTGCTAGGTTATTCCTCTTTCCCTCGACTCGTACTTCTCAAATTGCCTGTCTGACCTGGTCAACGTAGTATTACTGCCTCCACACCTACCTCGTTGCTTTTGCATTTGATATCTTCGAAACCTGAGAGACCGGCTTCTTCTCCTACGACAATAACAGGTTACTCTTCTTACTATACCGTGCTTTAGCTAGCCTCTTCCAACAATTTATGGCATGCTAAAGCTTGGGCGCTTACTATAGCAGATAAATTTACGTCCCTCCATATATTTCTCACCAAGCCAACAAGCCCATGGATCCTCATCAACACTCTAATATAATAATTCGACATGATATAAGTCAGGTCTAGCAGAAATCAGGACTAGAAAGAGAAACAGCATAACGGCGTTTTCAAAGTACCTTTTATATCAGCAGACAATCACCTAGGCACTCCTGCAGGATTTTAAGGGCCCACTATGCCTTGATATCCTAAATTTCAATAACTATTAGTAGATCTCGTAGAGAAAACGATAGCGTTTCAAAATCGTCACGGCATTCTCCAACGTGGGTGGCTATCTCCAGGTCACATGACTGTTTCTGGCTTCTCCGCCAATTTTAGCCCGTCAAATCAAATCAAATTGCATCATTATCAACATCAACAACAACATCAAATTGCACAACGCCCACATCCAAAGACCCCGCGGATATCAATATCAATGTCCTTCGATCGCCCAATTCCAGCATTCTACTGTTGCTACCTCCTGAGATCTATAGCGCGCAAAAGTAGTGTTTACGTTGGCTCGACCACAAATCCAGGTGAGTTTTGGCGCACCAACGCGACTTCCTCGCTCACACAAGCGCCCAGTCAGACGCCTTCGTCAGCACAATGGACTGGTCAAGGGCGGCGCCGCGCGGACAGCAAGAGCGAAGTTAAGACCATGGGAAATGACCTGTATTGTCTCTGGTTTCCCAAGTCAGATTGCTGCACTGCAGTTTGAGTGAGTGCTTCCCCTACTTGCGGCTTGTCACGTGCCAGCTTTATCACGTGCCCTTCCCTCATCGTCGCTCAGCACTTGTACTGTACTATGTGCTTTGTACTACAGAAGCCAGACTCTGACCCTGCCTGTAGATGGGCCTGGCAAAATTCCCACATCACACAACACATCTCCCCAGAGGACAGGATCCAACATGCAACGCAAAAGAAAAGATCTGGCCAGCCAAAGCGGCCCCGTCAGTCAAGTACCTCACTTCTCTCCAACCTACATCTCCTCCTCCGGTCGCAGTCATTCTGTCGATGGCCTCTTGAAATTCGCTTCTTCTCTGAAGATGTTTACCATGCATGGCTCAAATGGACCCAGATGACGACAGAGTCAATTAGAGGATCCATCCGAGTTCTACAGGACTTTCAAACTCCAAATCCATTATTGGGCGATGAAAACACTGGTAATCTGATACCCGCGTTGCCTATCGATTACGCAGGCCAAAAATCTCATGTTGAGAAAGGGAAAGATATCTTTGATTTTGAGCGTGAAGGCACCTGCGCTGTTTGCCACAATGAACTCGAACATCATAGTGGTATTTACACCGTCTGCCCGAGTCCAGGATGTGAATCTGTCACACATATGACGTGCCTAAGCAATCATTTTCTGAAGGAAGAAGATGATGACCTGGTTCCTATCAAGGGCCATTGCCCGAGTTGTATGGCCGAATTGAGATGGGCCGATGTTGTGAAGGAGGCCAGCCTGCGAATCAGAGGTCAGAAAGAAGTCCAAATACTGCTGAAGACAAAAAGAGCGAAGAAACTGAAAGATAGAACCTCATCTCAAGCGATCATGGAATCTTCTGATTTTGCAGAAGACGCGGATGACGAAGAACTTGATCTACATATCGAAGATCAGATGGGAGAATTACAAGATTCTGTGTCACAGAATGACTGGCATGTCATTGGTGATTCGGACGACTCAGCTACGGAATCGGTTAATAGTAACTCCTGGCAACCAAAGAACGATATGTCGTGTCAGACGGCAAGGAGCCGCGCACTTGATGCTGTTATTGAAGATAGTGACTGGGACGACATCGAGATTCTGGATTGAACTTGGACAAGCATGGATGAGCGTTAAGAGGACGTTAATAAGTACTCCGAGAAAATATTATTAACGCCTTCGCTACCTGTCACACATTGGGCTCTTCGGGTAGCTTTTTTTTACGCCGCTAGCCAGTGGGGTTTCCGCCACCACCCGGAGCTTTGCGTATCATCCGAATCCGAGCAGATATTCCAGCACCGCTTCAAATTACGTCGTGCGTTGATTTGAGCTGCCTCCGCTCTTGAAGCCCGGAGAACCTTCTCATTGTACTGAGAGTATGACATTCGAAATCGGGCAACGAAGCGTAGCAATCTCTTGCAATCCCGCCTAATAGCTGGCTGTAGCTGCAGCCAACGTGAACGTACATCAAAATCATCATATCCGTATTGACATCTGCCTAATGGCGATGTACACTGGAGGTTCCGAAATCCATTGCTTTCAGCCAACCTCACTCCCCTCCAACATAATTGCCGGTCGATTCTGGAACTGTTGAGATAGGGATGGCAAACTGGGTGAGCACTCTGTAATTAGAAGTGCCAGTAATTGGGAAGCCACACGATTGAGAGATAAAATGGAGGACCTTAAGCATCAAGTCTTCTATCTCGTCATCGAATCCACTAAGAGGCTGTGCGTTTTTTCACGCGTAATCTCCGAGCTTGGCCATGCTTATTACCACTCCTATCACAGCGTAACAACTTGTCGAAGGCACTGGATCAAGGATTCTTACTAACATGGTGCCGCGCGTTGTCTCTCTCTGAAAGCACAGCTAGATTATGGAGTCCCATTTTCTAATTGTGCTGGAGATGCCAAGACGGGGTCAACATGGTCGTACCCGCGAATTTAAGTAATTCTCCTACTCTCCCTTTTAATAGGTTTTCTCTGTTACTGCACACTGCATTTTTAATTCTAGTTCATCGCACCATCAATATCTGATTTTCTGATGCCAACGTATAATTTTCGCGTCTAGAGGATTCCTTGTCAGGCTATCTCTCTATTGTAGCGACTTTGAGGCAAAGTCTATTTTCTGGCCATCTGATAGTTCGGATATCTATCTCATGAACGAAAGTCAAAGCGTCCTTTATTACGCGGCGTTTAACCCAGCGGAGAACTGGGTCTCGTTGGGCTAAGTGCGGATGAATGGCGCCAGAGGGTGGTTTTCATGAATTTTCGGAGGCGCCCTAAAGGATCATAGCTCAAATAATGGCTTGCTAGCGTGCGGGTATTTCTTCAGCTTAATAGTTTAATTATCATGGTCTGATCAAGTTGCATTGCCCCTGACTCCAGAATTTCACTTATGTTATTGGGTGCACTTATTTATCCGGGTCTTCAGCCTTGAAACTCGCTAGCGCGAATGTTTCTCGACGTTCTTTTCATCATTCCCGAGAGTCAGGACCTAGCGGAAGAAGTGCCCTGCCCGTTTAACAGCCTGTAATTGGCGATATATGCAGGGTGGAGCGACGTCATGGCTGACATGTTCAAACACGTTAGATATGCATGCGTGGCCAGGTCGATCTGCGGGGAAACTAAATGCCGAAGTCGTCAACCGACTACCGGTATAGGCATTGATCAGACTCTCGAAGTGTACCTTGGTTGCCCTGATTATTCGGAAAGTAGTCCGAAATGGTCTGGACTATCAATCCCTTCCATCGCTTTTGATTTTCGTGGCAAAATGAATTTCCAATGATGAACGGGGACTCGCCTGATATTGATGGCTGGTGGAGACTTTCCAATTTATGCATAAGGAGTACCCCCACAACTTTTCTCCCTTATAGCTACATGCAAATTGATCAAAGTTTCGCAAGGCCTACCGGAGAAGCCCTACCGATCTATAAGACCTTGTGACCTTGCCAAGCCCCGCCCATCATCAGCCGCGAGTATGGGGTACGGGGGAAGGGATAACCTTAACTCCACCTTTATGTTTTTTGGCTGAAACGATATCCGATCCAGATATACCTAACCCCCTGGTCCCCCGCATTTTCACATATACTCTACACAGGTACGATTTAAGTAACTAATTTACGGTTAATTTAATCCACGTCTCGATTATCTCGGGAGGTTAAACCCTCGATTCTCTAGATCTTGGAGCCGGAAAAACTCAGGATGCGAAAGGAGCTATCATAAATAGCACTGGATTCCTTCCTATCTTTGTAGATCCGTCTCCAACCCAGCTCCATCCCAGCCAATTTTACAACCATCACCATCAAAGGTCTTTATACTTGCACATCTTTCACTATGAAGTTGACAGCAGCAACCCTCATCTTTGCCGGCGGTGCCCTTGCGGCCGTCGAGGAGCGACAAAGCTGCCCTAAGGTCCACGTCTTCGGTGCCCGCGAGACTACCGCGCCAGCAGGCTACGGAACCGCTGGTGTCGTAGTCAACCTTGTCACCCAAGCATACCAAGGAGCCACGGCCGAGGCAATCAACTACCCGGCATGTGGCGGGCAAAGCTCATGCGGTGGTGCTAGCTACGCCAACTCAGCACTAGCTGGGACCGCCGCTGTAGCCAGCGCAGTCAACTCGTTCAACAGCAGGTGCCCAACCACTCAGCTCGTCTTAGTCGGATACTCTCAGGTCAGCCTCCCCCAGACTAATAGGGAACGTGGAGCATATGCTGATGAGTTCAATTTTTAGGGTGGTCAAATCATGGACAATGCTTTCTGTGGCGGTGGTGACTCCAACATCGGCCTCAGCAACACCGCAGTTCCTATCCAGGCTGCGGCTATTGAGATGATCAAGGCTGCCATCTTCATGGGCGACCCACGTCACATCCCAGGTCTCCCATACAATGTTGGCACTTGCCAAGCCAGCGGCGTATGTCCATTATTCTTTCCTTCGCTTGCTGCGTTGGTTTAGTACTAACAGTAAATTCACAGTTCGCCCCTCGCCCCAGCGGCTTCACCTGCCCATCGGCCAGCAAAATCCAGTCTTACTGCGACTCCCCTGACCCATACTGCTGCAACGGCAACGACGCCAACGCCCACCAGCAATACGGCAACAAGTACGGCCAGCAAGCACTTGCCTTCATCAAGAGCAAGATCACTGCATAAGCAACCCCTTCTTAAGAGGTTCTCGGTGGTTAGCCAGCGGAGGAGAAAAATTACAATCCATTATTGTATATACTTATTCACATTGCACATTATCTTGTATATAAAAGCTATTGGGCCCATATTTTGCTCCTCTCTGTTGTTCAAGTGATTTTGAATGAGTGCAAGATCGTAATTCATATGATGTTGCCAATACGGCTATTAACATATCAATATTCTAGGAGCCCAACCAGGTCCAATCGAACTATCCAAGCCAAGTTAGAGAACTAGCGTCAAGGTTCTCAACCGTTTTACGGGTTCAATATGGCTACCTTGTCTTCTGTTTCTGGAAATAGGAAATATATGGGTTGGCGGGTCAGAAAGGTTCAAGTGGACGTGATCAAGAGCGTGTGAAAGCAGATGAGAGTTTGATAACTCCGCAGGCTGGAGGCAACACTAGGAGCTTCAAGGACGCAGGGAAATCCGGGACCTTGCCAGAGTTCCAAATAGCTTTTCTCAAATATTTTCAATCTCACTTCAAGATTAGGGAACCAGCTTCGTAGTTGTCGAGCAACACCGGCGCTTCGGCGATAAACAACCCTTGGAACCTCTCAGACTGCGCAATTCTCTGCCAGGTTTGTTCCCGTATATTTAAACATTTTGCGAGCACTCTCGATCCCTTCGCTCCAGGGCCAGTGAGCAGAAATCCCCAACAGTGGGCAGACCTGTATTGGCGTATGCCCTGTGTAGGCAATTCTGACAGCACTGGCGGCCGACAGTGATCCAAAGGCACACCGCTCTCATCTCGGAATGTCCTCGTACGGCGAGGTTGGTACTGTTGTGTCGGCGAACTTGGCGCAAGCCTTGAACAGCATGAGTGCGAAGTAACATTGCCAAGAGGAGAAGTGCTGTTACCCCATGCCAGACACGTGGCACGCGATGGATGATTTACATAATCGTCGGCCATGTTTGTCGACCGTGATCTGAGGTCGGATACTTCATAGGTTGGTAAGACGTACACTTCTTAACCTAGAATAGGTACAACGCAAGAAGTATTTCGGTCTTAGTATACTTTTGGGCGCACAGCCACCCGAAATGTCGGAGGAGCTTACTCGAGTAGGGGATTAGCGCATACTCCGTAAATTAGGGCTGAGCAGTGTGGCTCACCTGTACCCGGGGCCCCAAGTAGCCGGCGAGCTCTATTTTTAGGCTGCGCAACCTTGAAGCGGCCAACAAACCACAACCACGCAAACTACGATCTTGGGGATCTCTAAAGCTCCCACGAGCTCTTGTCCTTACTCTTCCCACGTTATGGCCGCCTAGTGCCCACGTTGGTGCTGATGCTCGGTGATGTCAACTAATTTCCGACACCGCCGCCTTGGTACCGCTACTGATACCCGGCGGCGAGGATGGGTGCTGGATATTGTTAGATTTTCTCACCTCACCTCCCGACTTACCGTGACGCCGTGCCCCCAGATTAGCAAACAGCAGCCTCCACGGTAGTTGTGTAGCTGCCATGGGTACACGGGTTGGCTTGGCATCTATCATCCAGCGAAACATCAAGATGTATAAAGACAAGTTTCGTATCTCATTAGTTTCAACTTCATCTCATACTCAACATCCAAGCATCACTTAGGAACATCTTCAGATTTTCTTCTATTTCCTCCTATTTCCTTGGTTATCAGTTTCATACATTTCCTACTTCACTCCAGTCAAATAATATCATAATCAGCGAAATGTATACCTCACTCAGCACCATCGTTGCCTCGGCTCTCATCATTGCTAGCTCCTCTTTCGCAGCACCAACACCTTCTTCCACCGCATCTACATCCTCAAGCGGTCTGACACTGTTCCAACAACTCGTGCTCGCCCCGAATGCCGTCGAACGCACCAAACTACTCCCCAACGACAACGATTTCCTCTTTGATTTCAAGAAAGCCACAGTTGGCATTGCAAAGGGCGAAGGAGGATCCATTGTGCGCGCTGACCACGCAACATTCCCTGCTCTCGTCGGGTCTGGGGGCACTGTTGCAGTCGCTTTCCTCGGCCCATGCGGCTTCAACACACCACACGTGCACCCTCGCGCTGCAGAGCTCAACTTAGTGGTCCAAGGACACTTGGTCAGCCAAAGTGTCCACGAGAACGGTGCTCGTGTCATCAACCACGAGCTCAGTCAGTGGCAGATGACTGTCTTTCCTCAAGGCGCGGTCCACGCCGAGTTCAATCCCGACTGCACAGATTCAATCTTCGTTGCCAGTTTCCCAGATGAGGACCCAGGTGTTGGACAGATTGCCCAGGAGTACTTTGGTCTCAGCAATGAGATTGTGAAGGGCTCGGCTGGTGCTGAGGTCAGCATTGATGGAGCTGATATCGACCACTTCCGAAGCAAGATCCCAGAAAATGTGGCCAAGGGTGTCGATAGCTGTTTGGCGAGATGTGGGATCAAGAAGCGCTCGCTTTAAGCGGGGCTCATGATGAATAGGATGACTGAAGGTGTTGATGGTATAATAATTGCATATGATTCCCGGTCTGAGCATAGCGCGGCGTTTTTGGTAGACTTCGGGAGCATTAGACATTATATAATAATATTAAATTAACTTACACTCGCTCCTTGCTCCCATCAAAATGTGTGATTGTCTTCTGTAGCTGGTTGTCGGCTTCAATTGCTTTGAAGAGTTCCGTTGTGGGAAACTCCAAACTCTCGGGTTTACGGGCCTAACCGACAGAGAAACGCACCTTGGAAAATAGAGAAGTGGGAGGATTTAGTCGATGGTATACGTTTGTGACATATTACCAATAAAGTAATCGACTTGCGTATACTATATAGGACTGGTCACATGACTGTCCCCTTTCCTGCGCTCTGCCTCTATATAAATTAAAATAAAGCAATTTTGTGTTAAGGAAGACAAAAGGCGACCACTTGGCTAAGTGGTTCAGGTCAAATTGTCTTCTGGAGATGATCGATCGGGACAAAAGCGACAAAAGCGCCAAAACAATAAAACCATAAAACAACAAAATCGGCAAGAGATGTAGGCATTCGACACCGGGCCGAACTCTTTTGCTTCTGAAATATATAATACTATATTCGGGCGTAATATATTTTCCTGTATTTCCTGCCTTTTTGAGGGATGCTGAGTTGTTTTTTTTTATACCTCGCGTATTTGTTGATTGTTACGATGTCAGCGAGAGCGCCTCTACGTAATAGAATTGCCTTCCTGTCTGTGTAGTCTCTTCTACAGTGCTCTCTAGGGGTGTTGTTGCTGATGGAGGTACCTAGGTACTTAAAGCCCGACGCGTCCAGAACTTCCTACCAACCCTGCTATTTATCCAAACTTTGATTTGGCCATTCCTCTTGTCTCTCTCTCGGAATATTAACATATTTGTTGAATTATAGCCCTTGTTTATATTAAACGAATTGTAGTGTCAGACGAAGGAAGAATGGTGACGACGAGACGCGACAGGCTTCAATGCGCCGGTATGCGACAACGTAACTGTTACTTCCGCGCTGGCTTTTCCTCCTAGCGTTTAGTTATTGAGATGGGGTAAAGTACTTAAATAAATTGATATCTTAAGACCTTGATTTTCAATACAATTTACTTATATTAAGCTTCACTATTGTCTTATCAAGGAATATCGTATGCTGGATCCTAGCTTCGCGTGCGAGGTGTGCTAGGATGTTCCTCTCCGGACTCGGGTTTAAGTCGACGTCGGGCCATGAATCTCCTCTGTCGTCGTTAGCCTCATACTACATTCTTAGAGTACCAGATAACCGCTGAAGATGGCAAACGCAGTCAGCCAACCGAAAGGGTACCTTGATTTGATTAACGCGGTTGATAAGTAATTCCACGTCAACCAACTTCTCTCATTCTGGATCTAACGATACGTTATAGCGTCTCATATGATTTTGATTTCAACACGCTCTACCGACTCCTTCTACCAAACGATCCTCGTCCTCATGGCTTTATCCTACCATCTACCGTTTCCGAAATGCCCTGGACCTCAGACTTTATCATCGATAACAATTCTCGAACAGTTCAGCTACGTGGTGTATCCGAGGGCAAAGACACGGCGAGCGCCTGCAATGCCGCTTTTCAAAATACTATCAATATCGCCATAGACAAAGGGCTCCCTATGATACAAGCAAAGCATAGTGAGATGTATAAAATCATGGGCGCAAATTCCTTTATGTACTTGGAGCGTTTTACAGCCCCCCTCTTCGGGATTGCGACACGCGGAGCCCACATGACCGCCTACGTCCGTACAACCGACGGGCTCAAAATATGGGTTCCTCGACGAAGCGCCCACTTGTTCTCTTACCCGGACATGCTTGATACAACCGTCGCTGGAGGAATCAAAGCAGACCACTCGCCCTTCGAGTGCATCCTTGCTGAAGCCGATGAAGAAGCTTCATTACCCGCTGGTTTTGTTCGTCAGAATGCCCGTGCTGTCGGCGTCGTCACATATGTCACTCGGAAGGAGAAATCAGGACTAATCCATCCGGATGTTCTCTATGTATTTGATATTGAACTACCGGAAACTATGGCCCCAAAGCCCCAGGATGACGAAGTATCCGAATTTTACCTATGGAGTGTTGAGGAGGTCAAGCAGGCTATGCTAAGACGGGAGTTCAAACCGAATTGTTCGCTCGTCATGATAGACTTCTTTGTCCGGCATGGTATCATCACACAGGAAAATGAAGATGATTATGTCGAGATTGTTTCGAGGTTGAGAAGAAAGTTGCCAGTGCCTACGAGGCCTGAACGCTGACCAGGCCATATCGACTTTGCTATATTATCAGTACAAGTGTCATTTTGACGTTGGTCGAGCGATAAGCCTAGCGAGTACGCTGGGTGATATGCCGGCCACAATAGCAAGTTGATCATATGTTCGGCGAAGAATTAGGAATATTCAACTTAGTTTTTATGCCCTAGCATGGCCCTCTCATGAGGCTTGGTAGCCCAAGTCATGATACGCCAGGATTGAGTCCACCAGGGAGTAGAATGTGCCGGAGAAGAATGTTGATTGACGACAGTAATTACATTAAATAGGTATGCATATTTCATAGCCGCTGGTTGCTATAATTGGATCATTTCATTAAACTCCAGGGCCCGCCGCCGGATTCCGTGGCCTCCCTGCTGCCCAATCCCAATTCGAATCCAACTCCGCCGGTTGGCCTGGTCTCATCGCCTCTGCCCCCTGGATCTCTGGTATATGTTGCCTCACCTCTCCTTGCATCTCATTCACCTGGGTTGGAACTGGCGTGGCCTGATGGTAGACCTGCGTCTCCTCTCCCGATTTAAATTCGTCCGCCTGCTGTGAGACAACCGACGTGCGTACTGGAATAGTCGCAGAGTGCAATTCCGACTTCCCCTGCGGGTGAGGGTGAGGGTGGGGGTGAGGGGGCCCTTGATGTTGCACCAGTACTGGTGCCCGTCTTTTCCGCCGGCTCAGGCATAGCAATATAGCAGCGCCGATCAATGCTATCACACCAACTACCCCGACTACCACACCCACAATCAACCCTACATTGTTTTTCTTTCCTTCTGATTTCGCCCCAGAACTTTGTGCAGCAGTGGGAGCTGCAGTTGTCGTAACTGTGGCCACAACCTCTGGGTTCACAGTGGTAGGTGTGCTTTTACCGGACCCAGCTGTGACAGCGGTAGTGCTTTTAGGTGTCAAGCCTGTGGCAGTAGCGGTTGCGCAGACGCTGATGGCGACAGAATTGTAGAGGAAGACGTCTGATGATGAGCAGGAACTGATAAGGCAGGATGTAAGTTGGGATTGCACTGCGGAAGTCCGACTTGCTGGCCCGCATTGGCAAACTAGGTCGGTGCTGCCGCAGCCAGTGAGTGCGATTGCTTTAGTATAGCAGGAGACCTAAATGTGCGGAGTGAGTTAGAGGAGTTGGACACATTGAGAGGATGAGAAAATAATTAGAACAGCTCGTACGGAACATATTGGGAGTTGATCAATTTGTGCGAGAATAGGTAACGAGAGGCTGAGGAAAAACAGCTGAAAAATTGCTGCTGGTAGGAATATCTTCATCTTCAGAGATAAGTTCAGATAACAACCTAAATCGAACGTAGATTGAATATCAACACACCCCAATGGCGCGGGTACGTACTTAGAAGAAGCGCAAGCAATAACGATACGGTCTGTCGCGGTGAAACAGGAACGAGAGTTAAGATCTGGGCCTGGCCATTTGTGATATATTGGTTTCCAGACGGGGCCTAGAACCCTACCAGCTGAAGGCTGAGTTCAGCCACCAATAAATAAACATCAGTACTTTCGTAAGGAATCCAATAAATGTCCCTGCGACAAGACGGGGTCAGGCCATGACTAAGGGAAGTCCAGGGATCTCGTTGGCTGTATGACCCTTCGAACATTGCGGCGTACATATTCCTTATAAGGTTATTAAACGGGTCGCTGTCATAGGAGTTGACATTGACACCCTAGGTAGTCGATTGCCATCCCAGTTCGTGAACATTGGATACCTAAAGGTATCTTAAGTAGATGCTTACCCATATCACGGCGAATAGCTGCCTTACAGAATCCTAGCTTAAACGAGTAGGTCTTCTTTTTTATTTTAATATTAGCTGTGGTTGTGGTGCTGTCTTTGAGTCATTATGTATCCTTCACGTGCCGAGCTTTGCGGCTGGCCACTTCGTACCAACCCCACCAACGCTCGATAAATTATCAACTAATTAAATAATTTTCACCGTTAGTCTCTATCCTTCTATCTAGAATCAAATATATAATCTTAGTTGTGGTGTTTACGTCGGTTCTATAGCTGACTTGTGCGCGTGAGGTCGGGATTTAACGGGTCTTTTTAGTTTTATTATTTTTATTATTTAGGCAACGAAGTTAATCAGCTCATGATAGCAATGACTACTAGGAATCGATTGCCAGGCGCAGTAGCTATATAGGTACATAATACCTCTGATTCTTGTACCCGGTAGCCGCGCTGTATAGCAGGACCATGGCCGTATGCGAATATTTAGGTTATTGATGACGAAGTCCCAGTGGTTTACTATTTATTAGATAAGGTCTACGAAGGTAGAAAGGATGGAATTTAAAACAATATATAGATATACCTTAGCTCAACCCCAAGTGGTACTTTTAAAGATCTGGTCTTTGGTAATAACATCCCCCTCCATGATATAAACAGGTTGCCAACAATCGATTTTGCCCTCCTCGTAAAGCCGAATAACGGTTCTGATATTGACATGTTGCTCCTTAGGTTGGTATTCGGGGTCGTCCTGGTCAAGGTAGCCCTGGTGCTATTGGATGCGTTTTGGACGTCAAAATCTACAGGAATAGGCATTGCAGGCAAGAATTCGATCTTGTTCGCCATTTTATTGATAAATTTCTAATGACTAGGCTGGGTTATGTGTTTGAAACAAGAGGTCATGGTTTACTTAGTGATGACTTGTATGGCGTAGCTGTAGGTACCTAGGTACTTTGCGGTGCTTGGTACTCCGCAAGGTACTTCGTACCTTGGCCCACTACTGTCCGACTCGGCGATTGGCGTCGGGCTTATCGCGGGCCGTCTACTTCTACTCCGCGATGCATCAAGTTACCTACTCCATTTGAATGTCAACAACACCACAATCGGATATTGCATTCTTTCGACTTCTGGCTCCCCCCGACTCTCTACCTCCTAGGCCTCATATATATGCACGCGGCGTATGATACGGCCTTAGTCAATGAGCGCTGGCACTCATACCTTGAGAGCAACTTAGATGAATCATTAGTGAACCTCCGGCAGCTCCGGAGTTTCATGAATACGGATACCTCCCACCTTTGGCAATACAATGGTTGAACAAAGAGAAAACAATGGCGATGAGAGAGCACGATATACGCCTCTCGAACATCATGATCATCCTGACGACCCTATTGACGAATCCACGCAAACAAATATCTTGCTGATGGACGAATTCTCGAGTGACAGCTCCCCTCCAACTCCTCGATTCATGCAAGACCAAGCCTCATACAAATATCTGAAATGGGTGCCGGTTCCGGTTCGGCGGGTTAGCAAATCCGTTGTGAGATGGGCCAAAGGGCCGAATCCCCCTCATATCTATACCATCACGCCTCTGCTCCCATCCGTGCAAGAGCTTCCCATTCGGCTTCTCGACCAACACGTCCCGAAGAAGAGGCATCGGATTGCCCTTTTGGCTGCGTTCTACCTGCTCTGGATCTTGAGTTTTGCTTTGGTCATGCGGCAGAGTACATATGCGACTGAGTTAGAAGGGTGGGGCGCTCCAGACAATATTGGATGTGGAACTACATATTGGGTTCCGGGGAATGGCTGTGGTTTGAATGGGAATGGCTGTCGGCCATTCAACGGGAGTGGTTTGGCATTTAGATGTCCTGCAGGGTGTGCCAAACACTGGGTTTTGAATTATCGTGCTGTTGGAGCACAGGAAATCATATACCAACCTCTGGTTATAGGTGGCCCCTCGGATGACGACAAAACTCCAATTTATCGAAGCGATTCTCATATCTGCAGTGCCGCTATCCACTCTGGCATAATTGATAATGCAAAAGGAGGCTGTGGTGTAGTTTCTCTCATTGGCCAAAGCAGCGACTACCAAAATTCGAAGCAACATGGCATTGAGAGCATTGGATTCGACTCTAAATTTCCTTCCTCCTTCACGTTTCATACCACATCCACTTGCGAGGCTAAAGATGCACGCTGGTCATTGCTATTCGTGTCTTTGACATTTACGATACTCCTGTCTCTGTTTACAACATCGCCGGGCTTATTCTTCTTTAGCATCTTTACCGGTCTGTTCTTTCATGTTGGGCTTGCTTCTGACCCTCCAGGCCATTCCTCTATCCCAGACCTGCTATCAAACATACTGGGGAAGTTCCTTCCAGCTGCTTTTTGTGCGTTTGTGATCTACCGTTATATGGGCGTGCATCGTGCTCTCACTGGTCTTACTGCCCAAATCGAGAAGACCGTCCTATGGCTCGGGGGATGTTGGGTCGGAGCGCTTTCAAATTACACTTTGGAATGGATCCCAATCCAACGTCTCAACGCGCATGATATCAACCAGCAGCCCGGAGCAAAGCTGGCCCTTGCCATAATAATCGTCTTGCTCGCCACAATCATTATCAAACAAATATTTTTCTTCCAGCGAGAAGGACGTTTGATTCGCTATCTCGGTGTCTATGGTATCTTCCTGAGTGCCATCCTCCTCTCACTACTCCTCCCGGACCTCAGCCTTCGCATCCACCACTACATCCTAGCACTCCTGCTTCTTCCTGGCACAAGCATGCAAACACGGCCGGCGCTTCTCTATCAAGGCCTCCTCCTCGGACTCTTCATTAACGGCATCGCGCGCTGGGGGTTTGACTCGGTCCTTCAAACCGCAGATGACCTCCGGGGAGATGCACCCTATAACTCCAAGCTCCCTGTGATTTCAAACCCAAGCATAACGCTCAACCAAGACGTATCTTCTATCTCTTTCTCATGGCTACCACCTCCAGAGCCTTTCGATGGTATTTCTATACTCGTCAACGACGTGGAGCGCTTTAGAGGGTACATCGACGAGGGATTTGCAAGCGATAAACACTTCGTGTGGGATAAGGAATCTGGCAAAAATGAGCCGGAATATTTCCGGTTTGCGTATTTACAGGGTCCAAAGACTTGGGACTATACTCGTGCAGGTATCTGGGAGAAGAATGGAACCTGGACTAAGATGGAGCCTGGGCCGAGTAAGATAAAAAGTAGAGATTTCGAGCGCGGAAATGAGTTTCTGGTAAAGTAGATCGACGAAAGTGCTTTGGGTGACCGGAGGGTATTCGCAGAAGCTGGGCCTCATTATGAGATTGCATGCAGTCGGTGTATAGGAATCTTACCTCTCCTGTAAGTCATAACTATGGATATATCACTGCATATCCGTTTTCATTCTTTCAAATAGGGATAGAGACTTACTTGTTAGATTAGAGAAGGCCTATGACCAGCAGAAGACGCATCAGATCCCCAGGACCTCTGGAGGATAAATGACTTTCCTATAGAGGAAGTGCATAGAAACTATTATTTTCACGATGGATGCTTCCTCGGAGGGCGCGGTGGTCCACTTGGATAGGACTGGATAGACTGAGGTTTAGTTCTTTTGAAGCCAACGATGGATAAGGTTTGGTGTTCAGGTCGGCTTCCCAGAAACCTTAGCGGGAAATGAAAGCCATTGGTAAGCCATGGCTTGTTACAGCTTTTAGTAGTCTAGCAACTGCGACTGCTGTGTGGTTGGATTGCTGACTCTTCGTTGCGCTCGAGGGGCACTTGTGTGGACCTGGCGTGCCTCAAATGAGTCCCCTTTATAAATGGTATGGTAGAACAGAAAGCAGTTGAATCTGTTGTCCAGCACTTTCGAATGATAAACTTGTGATAGAATTGCTAACGTCGAAAGACGATACTGGGTGATAGCTTAAGTGTTGGGGACCTTCCGCTGATCCGCAGGTTTGCGAGTCAAATCCAACATAAAATATTTACAACAGGCTCACCTCCATCGAAGCGCTAGAAAACGACATTTTATAGACATGTCACTTAGTGCGAATATTCAAGCTGTGAGTTCTCCAACTATTGAGATTACCGCCCCACAGATATCTAAATGTGTTCCATCCGCAGTCCATGGTGGTTACTAGCCTTGCGATTATATAATTTGGTATGGCCTTGCTATTGGCTAGTTCGCTCACTGCACCCTTGCATAATAGTAGCGTCAACAACGTGGAACATCTCAGCCTCAATCTCACTCCATGTCTAGAATATTTACGTAGGAACCAATGCTTGGGCTAGTAGGAGTGAGGCCGTACTATTAATCAGCTTCTAGAGCTTCCATATAGTACCACTTCTCGTCGCAATCTCGTCGCAAATTCAGTAGAATAGAACTTCATTTTCACTTCACGCTCCTGTTCATACAATCATATTTCGACATCATTTTCAACCCTTGTTGCAGTCTTTCATTTAGAGATTCGACTCCTAGAAGATCCACGGCTCTCGTATATTCCGTTTCTGTCTCTGGTGTATATTTATTCATCCGTTTACGATCGCCTGCATTTATATTCCCTCTCCAACTTCGTCATAGGCGCCTTAACATATCATGAATCTACTCTCCCATGTTCTCTTCCTAGTTGCAAGCGGTACTGCTGCCAACGCCTTCATACTCAGTACCCCATACCGGACACCCACTCCAACACTTCTGCCCCGCGACAACTCCCCGTCCACGACAGCCGCCCCAACGGGGTACTTCATGACCACGAAGTACCAAACCATCGATGGTGTTACACAAGACCATGTCACCATCTCACCAGTAACGATAACTCTTGTCATCCCGACCTGCATCCACACCACCACCCCAGATAAAAACGGTTATGTTCCTCCTGGGACCTGCGGTGCCTTATATAACTATTACCCCAGCTTGGTAGGCGCGACCATCACTGCTGCGGTGTTTGGAGTGTTAACTGGGCTGCATATTTGGCTGGCTGCAAAGTGGAAAGCAGTAAGTATTAGATTTGCCGTTTTGAGTGGAATCGGCTGGAAAATATACACTATTCTCATTCAAGTCTGGAACATAAGCTGACTAAATTCTACCTGTGAACAGAAATACTGTTGGGTTTTAATCATGGGTACAATCTGGGAAACATTGTCCTTCATCTTCCGCTCCATCTCAACGCGGAACCAGCAGAGTGTGGGATTAGAGCTGATGTCCAGTCTTTTCGTGCTTCTGGCACCGTTATGTTCGTCTCTTTTATCCCACATACCCGTCCCTTGATACCCCCAGATATAACCTACCACGAGACTGAGAGCTAATAGAAATTAGGGATCAACGCCCACTGCTATATAACCTTGTCTCACCTCCTCTACACTGTCCACCCCACTCGATCTATCCTCCATATCCCTGCCCAAACTCTTTCCATCATCTTTGTAATTCTTGATTTTGCATCCTTCGTCATCCAGCTTATAGGCGGGAGTTATGCTTCCCCTACGGCCCCGGAGAATACTGTTATGAAGGGTATTCATATATATATGGGTGGTATCGGGATTCAGCAATTTTTTATAGTCCTGTTTATTGGCTTAACAGTAAAGTTCCACATAGAGATGATCGCATTGGAGAAGACGTCAGCAGGTAATATCATCGGCGGGAGAAGAGATTGGAAAAAATTACTCTATGCCATTTATGCAAGTCTTTGCTTGGTTACTGTAAGTCCATACTCATCCTCCTTCCCCTGTCTACATCCTACTCTCCAAATAGAAAGTTAACATATCGAAGATACGGATAATCTTCCGCTTCGTCCAATACAACTCTGGCAATGATCCAGCTACGCACCCGCTCATTGGACAAGAGGTATATCTTTATATATTAGAGGCGCTGCCAATGATGGGAGCGGTTGCTTGTTTTATTATCGTGCATCCAGGAGGCATTGTTGATGCCCATATGCCGGGAATATGGCAGGCTATGAAACGCTCATTGTGTGGAAGGAGAAGAGTAAATAGGGGAAGACGAGAGGCGGTAGAGGAGGACAATCAAGAATTAACAACGGGGAAATATGTTGAGCTTGAAGGGAGTCCTTATGGTAGACGTTGATCTATGGACAGGATGCCAGTTTATAAAGGGGTTAGTGGAGCCTTGTCGTCGCTTGCCGTCGCTTATTCGAGCATAACGAAGCGTGTAGACTGTTGAAAAAATGAAAAAATAAAAGAAGCTATCGAAGATAAAAATGGCAAAAGAAATATCCCATAGGATACCGAGAAACTCCAGTTTTTAAACTTTGGTAATCTCTGGCAGATCATCCAGGATCATTCTCGGACTTAATTGTTGTAAACAGCATAAGAAATTTCCCTGCAACGCCAACATGCCTGTCACCTGTCTCTTGTGGGATTTCTGCTTATTTTATTATATACTGATAGCTAGGGTGGTGAATTCCCAACCGAAGGTTAGCCGACGAAGTTGAACCTTACGAACCAGCACTTCAGATTTTTGAATCATTAAGACCTGCCAAAATTTACGAGTCCTCATAAGGCACTCTGTTTGGCTCTTTTAGAAATAGGCCCTATCGTGGACTGTAGCCCAGTCGATTCAGCTTCACCAAGTGAGTGTGATACAATTTACAAAACTTGTATACTCTTTTTTTCATAAGAATTGCCGAGTTCCAGCCTATATTTTGCTCATTGCAGCCGTTGAAGCAATTACTTTCGCCATTCGAATAGTCAATCGAATCATTTTACCTATGGATTGGTATTTATTTACTTACCTACCTAGGTAAAAAAGGAGGATGGTATCACGTGTCAGGAACCTTGGCAAGTCACGTGGCGACCGACGACTCGAAAAATTGGTGCCATCGAAACTTATTATTGTCTGCACATCTTCACGCCCATCTGCCGTTGAGGTTTTGCCAGCTCGTGAAAACCGACCGTTACATTAGCATCATGATAGAGTGATAACCAGTGAGGGTTTTGATTTGCTAGTAAACCAGGAAAATTCGGTACTCTTCGTTGGCTACCCACCAGGCCCTCTCGCCATTTCAAAATGTCTATATCCACGACCGTTCAGCGGTCGAAAGAGCTCAAGGAGCTGGTGTTCGACATCATAAAGCATGCAGATGCTGCGCTGTCAAGTGCTCGGATTGGAAAACTGAGTGTAGCCGGGCGCAAAGATCTCGAGACGCCGAACTTCTTCTCTCTCAGTTCGAGAGGTGCGGTCCCACATCTCACGCCGGACGTCATTTCAGCACATACGCAATTTGGGGGAGTTTATATGGCATTAGAGGACTGTAAGTCTCAAGTTTACTGGTCACATGCCGGATGCCCCTTTTGTTAATGGAAAAATAGTCATAGAGCGAGCGGGAAATGCTACTCCGCCAATAATGAATTGCCCAGGACCCTTCCCTCTTCATACCTTTGCCGCACTTCCTCCATCGCTCATTACGCTACTTGCTCCTCGTCGAACGCCAGCTGTAACGGCGGCGGTTGGTAACAGCAATAACGCCATTTCGATTTTCACATCAAATGGGTTCCAAACCCTGTCAAATAAAGCCTATATCAACTACGCAGAGAAGCTGCATCCTGACATAGCCGTTGCGCTCGCTGACATCCCTCATGGCTCCGTGCCTGGCACCAAAAGAGTTACCAAAATGGCCGATAGGACTCAAGGGTGGCTCACGGAGCTTCTTAGCGGAAGAAAAGAAGGCAAACCCGCTATATTCGCGCCAATCTTATCAATCGATTTCCTAGATCAGTCGGAATATATAAACGAACTAGCTGATGAGTTTGCCGACGATATCGATGGCTTGGCGTTCTACGACTCGAATCTCCTCCCAGACATTCCTGAAACCACAGCGCTTTCGCGGCTTCCAAAATTATCACTCGATGAGCCTTCTTCCCCTCGCCACATTCTCAGACAGATTTCTCTAGGAATGGACCTTTTCACAATTCCATTCGTTGGGTTTGCTACTGACGCCGGGATCGCGTTGGACTTTCAATTCCCGCGCCCGTCACAGGAAGAGGGCATCGTATCCAAGGGCACAGGAAGTGCTCCTCTGCCTCTTGGGATAGACATGTGGTCGACAAGTCATTCCACCTCTCTAACTCCATTATCCATAGGCTGCCCATGCTACGCTTGTCGCTCCCACCATCGGGCATTCATTCAACATCTACTCTCAGCAAAGGAAATGCTGGGCTGGGCACTTATACAAATCCACAATTATACAACCATGTCTACATTCTTCCACTCTATCCGTGAGAGTATTAGAAACAAGACTTTCGAGTCAGACTGCGAAGAATTTGCACGGGCTTACGAAAGCGAGCTGCCGGAGAAGAGCGGACAGGGACCAAGAGTTAGAGGATACAATTTTAAGAGTGAAGGTCCTGTAGAACAGAAGAAGAATAAAGCCCCTTGGTTACCTTTGGGCGGTGATGATCAAGTAGCCCAAAGCGTAGTGCCTTCTGACGAGCTGGCCGGGAAATTGGAGGAGATGGGGGTTACCGAACAGGCTGATCAGTAACTTGAATCATACTATAATGAATCTAATATCTCCAAACCGTCTTGAAATTCTAACTATCGATCACATACCGCCAGCTTGATCTCGCCTCATAACTGATTCGATGTGAAGATTCTTCAATATAATAAGGCCGGACAACGGAACGGAACGGAGATTCTGATTCTTTATTATGCAGAGAGTTTTGGTTCTGTTGAACCTCGCAAGATATGAAAACAGAGGTTATATTAAATGGAGGCGTTGGTCTAAATATAGATTGGACTAAATGAGAAATACAAGTACATCACGCAAGGCCATCGATACGTGCGCTAGGAGCTGCCAGATAAGCACAAATCAATCTGACATAAATACTAGTGCCATCATGTATCTATTTCCTCGTCGTCCACAACAATACCTTTCGAGACTGCAGTTCTAGTAGCTGCGCCAAGGCCGATGTGGAGCAGGCCAAAAACCACGTCCTGTCTGTTGATTTCTCAGACACTTATGGCATGAGCGACAGAATTCCCGCCAGCAGAGCTGGTTAGGTAAACACTAGAAGTTCGGGCAGTCGCGAAAGTCACGGTTAGGCGGTTAGGCGTGAATCTCTGGGAGCGGCAGCGGCGTTCGATCCTAAGATAATAATTGCCACACCTAATCATGATGGAGGCAAGTGTGAACATGTTGGTGCTATCCTAAGCTAGATACGTATGGGGTTTGGTGGCCGGATTGGTAGAGGTGGGTTGGTACGTCGATATATCGTTGCGATAATTGGAGAGTTGGTCTTAAGGTTAAGATAGGTGCTGGTTTGGGCAAGAAGTATGAAGAGAAAAGTAAGAAGAAGGGTATTTGGTGCGATGAGAAGCGAATTTATACCTTTCCATCCAAAGGTGATATAATGCTGTTCTTCAGGATGTCAATGTTTTGTTCTGTGTCTTTGATGTTTGGAGGCTCAGCTACTGTATCCTGCCTGTTGAAGAGAATGTCTAACAGCGTTGTACTCTGTACGACTAGAAGGTTCTCGTTTAAGGATCGTAATAAAGGGGAGCTTATATCGAATCCGCGTCGATATTTGTGTGGCTACCCAGCTAATCCAGCTAATATCATGCAAAACCATCACTGAGAGTTTGCTGCTTTGAGGCCTAACGGCAACCATTCCTCCTTTCATATGCTTCACAGGTGAGTGGCCAGGATGGAGCCTACTTGGCTCTCTGGCTCGCCAGCTGGCAATCCATACAATCATTTTAATATTTAAACATACCACCATGATGCACAAATATTTAGGTAGGCACATTGAATTATCGCGGCACCCGTGCGCCGGGGATGACTTTCCCAGGGGGCCAGTTGATTTTGATGCTATCAAATTCATAATCGCGCTCCTATTTAAGAGGATATCCTTTGCATATTTTGGGGACTGGTATGTCAGAAAATTGTGAACGTTCTGGCTTTAATTCCTCATCGTGATTCCAAAGTATTCCAGAGCTTTACTTGGAAAGCTTAAAGCCACTCTAATTAGGATAGATAGCATTCTAAGCAAAAGTTATGATCGCACCATATTTACACATGACACAAACTGCCAGTAAAAAGGGACTTCCATAGTAATACTTGTCAACAATACAGTTCAAAAAGAGCAGACAAATGAAATCTGTGCCAACCCAGCAATTCCTCAGCTGGTTTATTTCATTATAATGCTGCACTAGTCGAGACCCGACCTTACAAAACATCATTCAAAGACTGTGCATGGCTGATGAGGCGTGGCGACCTGTAGGGAAAAGATAGAGCCATGAAAGGCCAGGTTTGGCCCAGGATGAGCTCCGAGCTCCAACGGGGCACACCTGATGCGCCATGTGGCAATAGTAATACATCCGAAGTGGCGAAATATAATATACTACGTGCCTAAGTCTAGCGGACCCAAATACTTTGTACTTCTTTCTTCCTTCGTAATCTAGAGGCACAAGGAGGAAGGAGAGGAGACGTTGGGCTTCCACTCTCTCGCTTAGCCGCTGCCTTTCACTTTGCAAACGAGCCAAAACAAACGAACAGCCCGAAAAACGATGGTAAAAAAATAAATAAGTCGATTAAAATAGCAAAAGAGTTCGGCCCGTTGTAGGGCCTACATCTCTTGTCGAATAGATTTGATTCGTATTTGTTTCGTTGTTTGTCGTTTTTTGGTCGTTTTTTTACGTCCCCCTTTTTTGGGGCCTGTGCCTACGTACCCTAAATCCCTGTCGGCCTCGAAAGTACAATTCGTCCTGAACCACTCAACCAAGTGGCCGCCCTTGTACCCCTCAAAAACCAAAAATGCTTATTTGGTGTTATATAGACGATGTTGGGAGTCATAGCTGGGTAGGGGTAGGCAGGTTGTTGTCACCGCCTGTCGCCTACGAGGCGGTGGCTGCGTAAGGGGTAGCTGATCTGACCTTCGCGACAAGAGACAAAACAATACTTCGTTGCCCAGCGTACGAGTGCCGACACCAAGGTATACCAAGGTACTTATTAACGGCACCATCCGCGTAAGAAACGGCCGCTACTGGTAGACACTGCTGGTCGCCCTAAAACCTTTTCCGCTTCCATTTCAATTACAAGCATGATATCCGAGGGCTTGGTACAGCATTCGACTGCCTCTTCGCCTGGGCGGTACTACTAGTCTCCCCCGTACTGCTTCTCGCCTCGTTCCTGAATTCCGGAGTAACGATAATGTCTTTTGCCCCTCGGATAAAACCTCACGCATGTGGAATCGTGGACGTTAGATCGTGCTGGGATGCGAGTCACGCTGCACTACTATACTACTACACTACTGCGGCGACAGACACCGCCATCCAATCCACGAGTCGTTATATCGAAACTACTGCCGTAATCCTAGGGCGTTCCTAGCAGATCGCAAGGCGACAGGGCATCCACATCCACAGGTGGGCATGGCAAACGCCATGCACCCCAGATCTCAGTTGCGGATGAATATTCTGCCCCCGGCGTGGTGGGGAAGCAGCGGGGCGTAACGGGGCGAAAAGCATCAATCATTATTGTCCGTCACTACTTCGGCGGATTGATAGAAGTTGGCCTAGGGCCGGGGGTAGACCAGGTGGGAAAATTCCAATTCAGAAATATATTCCGTCGACTTTCCCTCCCTTCCCCAGATTCTTTCCCCAGACAAGCCCCCAATCTCCTATATATCTTCTCTTGTCCGGGGATCCAGCTCGAGCCCACCACATATCGCCACCATGGGTATCTTCACCAAGGTCGAAGATAGGCCGACGCCTTCCAATGTCTACAACTGGCGGGTGTATGCCATTGCTGCGGTTGCCGGCTCTGCAGCAATCATGATCGGCTACGACAGCGCGTTCATCGGCGGGACTCTTGCGCTGCCCTCCTTCAAGGACGAATTCGGCTTCGAGAAGCTCTCCAAAGAAAAACTCAACCTGCTCAATGCCAATATCGTCTCTTGTTATCAAGCCGGTGCCTTCTTCGGGGCACTCTTCGCCTATATCGCTGCATTCTTCCTCGGTCGATCTCGTGGCCTGGCTGTGTTTTCTGCTATCTTTGTAGTTGGTTCAGGAATGATGCTCGGGGCTAGTGGTGAGAGAGGACTCGGTCTCATGTACGGTGGACGGGTCCTTGCTGGAATTGGGGTGGGTGGAGCTAGTAACTTGGCTCCAATCTATATATCGGAGATTTCGCCTCCAGCTATTCGAGGCAGACTCGTATGCATGTTTGAGTTGGGATGGCAGATTGGTGGGCTCGTTGGCTTCTGGATCAACGTAAGTACCAATTTCGAGTCGTTGGTTGGACAATCACTAATAGTCCGCGAAAGTACGGCATCGCCGAATCCATGCCGGAATCTCACAAGCAATGGATCATTCCATTTGCTGTCCAACTTATCCCATCTGGCCTTTTGCTTATCGGAAGCTTCTGGCTCCACGAATCCCCGAGATGGCTGATGTCCAAGGGTATCCGGGAAAAGGCCGTTAAAAATCTTTGCTGGATCCGACAACTGCCCGAGGATGATATTTATATCAAGGAAGAGATGTATGCCATTGAACAGAACATCGAGCGCCAAATGGCGGAAGGAGGACAAGGATTCTGGCAGCCATTCAAGTTGCTGGCGAACAGTCGTCGAATCCAATGGAGATTTTTCCTTGGAGGGTCGCTCTTCTTCTGGCAAAACGCTTCTGGTATCAATGCCATCAATTATTACTCGCCAACCGTCTTCAAGAGCATCGGTATTGTCGGTACGAACACGTCACTCTTTACAACGGGCCTCTTCGGAGTTGTCAAGACAGTGTTTACCCTGGTCTACCTAGTCTTCCTCGTTGACCAATACGGAAGAAGAAGACTACTAATGATTGGTGCTATTGGGGGCAGTTTATGTTTGTGGTATGTAGGGGGATATATTGCCGCAGCCAACCCAGCTAGCAAATCCACCAGCACTCTTGATGGCGCGGGAATATCTGCTGTATTCTTCTTCTACCTCTGGACGGTCAGTCAATTCATTCCATTATTTATTGAGATTACGTTTACTAAAGTCGAAACCTAGGCATTCTACTCGCCCACATGGAACCCCACCCCATGGGTCTTGAACAGTGAGATGTTCGATCAAAATGTTCGAACCCTTGCGCAGGCGTTTGCTGCTGCCAACAACTGGTTTTGGAACTTCCTGGTGGCACGATTCACGCCTCAAATGTTTGACAAGATGGGATACGGCGTTTACTTTTTCTTCGCCGGCCTCATGATGTTTGGTGCTGTTTTCGTTTACTTCTTCATCCCCGAGACCAAGAATATCCCCCTTGAGGCCATTGACCGCCTCTTTGATCGTAGCCTCAAGGCAACCTCTGCACATAGAATTGTGTGGAAAGAGCTCGAGGAGGAAGAGGAGATCCTCCGTCTCGGACTTGCTGGGGAATCAGAGAAGGAGGCCGCGGTTCGGGAGGTGGAGGAGGCTTGAATGTCTACGCCTGATACTGATCGTGCACGGGAATGCCGTGCACTCACCAATCCCACTAGATAGTCTTAGGAACCGGATGATACTATATGATTACGTCTGAGAAATACCCAAAATATATCCTACCTTAATTTCAGATTCTTTTTGACGGCGCGTGACCTAAGTAAGAGCTCATGATAATTAGCATTTCATGAACATAATTCCGGCCATTAACTCGATGACAGAGACGACCAACCCTCTTGGTAGTTGACTATTTACTACGAAGGCGCGTCTATCCAATCGACACTTTACGCATGATGACACTTGAGCTGTGCAAAACCCTCTGATTTAACAAAATACCTGAAGTTTACATTTATTATAGGAACTGTTGCCGACCGTCTAGTGATCGTAGTTCCATCATGGCATAACAAATGTTGGCCAGCCCTCCCCCCTCAACGCCCCGTCTCAATGATGACTGCCTCGCTTGCAAATACATCCACAACCCCATTACTGATACTCTCCCAAGCCTCCTTTCCCACCAGTTTCCCTGTGGTCCCATCTATAGCCTGGGTTCCCCACGTCATTCCCGCCTTAGCAATTGTATTCGGCGCTGAGAGGCGCTTCACCTTCATCGTCTTCCCAAAAATGGGAGAGAGGTCGATGTGTTTCACTGGCCGGCTTTCGGTGGTACCATTGTGCAAGTGTGTGTTCAGAATGACCATCTTTTTGAGCTGATTGCCGCTGTAAATGGCGTAGTGCGCGAGATCGTGCGTGTCAAGATGGGCAACGCGGTGGATGCGTGGGGAATCGAGCCCAGCGATTGCAGAGGCGTGAAATAGGAGGCTGTAATATCTGTGCAGTTCATGTTAGCGGTTTAGACATGTGATGAGAGGGTTAGACAGCTGATCCCAAAGGCCTTGTCAACCCAATTGACGGCGTAATATTTAGGATAATCTCGAGATCGCCTGAGGATTTCAAAACTGAGAAGAAGCAACTCACTGAGGATTGATATGGGCCGAAGTGGGAGGATTCACTCCTCCAACAGGCTCCCAGAAAGAATAAAAGTAGTCGCCTCTACCATTGTGGAAGAGAATCCGGTCAAGTCCAAGAGTAGCCATATAGAACGAGTAATCGATCGTCCATAGCAGCCCACCCATTGTATTAGATACGCCATCCTTACCGTGGCAGGCGGCACTGCTCGTCTCACCCATGTGATATGTCAAACCGAGAGATTTTGCGGCAGCAATTTCGCCAATATAAGCAGCGTAGTACCGTACAGTGTGGAGATGGTTGACATAGTCCTCCATGTGGACGAGTGCCGCGCTAGCAGCTGCAAAGTTGTTAGAAGAGCATCATGATGTGATGAGTTGGGGAGAAGAGACTTACGAGTGCAGACGGCTCCTTGGTATGCGTGTGACGATAAGATTGTCACCTGTTTGAGCTTCGAGACACCGAGTTGGAGTGCCTCTACTAAAGTGAAGTCTGACGGGACGGCTGGCGACCCCGCAATGGATCCGTACTGGAACTTTTTCCCGGAACTCAACTGTGGCAGCCATTCGAGAGTCTGTTGGACATAAGCGGCCATGCTCCAGGTATCATTTGGCCGGAAACCGTAGCTGGGCCATGTGAAGTGATCAGGCTCGTTTCCAAGTTCGTAAGCAACCACCTTCGATTGATCTAGATACTTCGAGGCTGCATTCAGCTCAGCCTTGGCGACATTGATATCATCTAGTGCAAACATAAGTGATTAGTCTAGGGCTAAATTTAAAGGATGATAGAATGGTTTACTTCGTCCCAAATTAAGTCCAAAGATATACTCCTGCTTTGAAGGCATGTTCTCATTCATAGCTGTAAATAGACCCTTGCTGAATGAAACGTCTATTGCTTCCGTACTTCCAGGCTTGTAGGTGCTGTTCAAGGACTCAGGACAATTCTCACAGAACGTTGCTTTATCCTGTGTGTTCCCACCCAGGCGAAGGATGGGAAGTGCTCCAGATATATCCTTGACATTCTGGAGCAATTGTCTCGAGAAGAGATTCGGGGAGTTTGGCTCTCCTAGAAAGTCAATGCTATAGCAGAACCTATTATTTTATTCTTATTAGCTATGAATAGATCCATATGTTTTTCGGTTCAGACTTACTCAATTGACAATGAAATCAGTTGGTGATGGAGCGGCATGGACGCTCGCGCTCCAGCTCGTACGTCAAAAGACACAGAGACATCCAAAGAAGTTGATTCACCCCTGGTGTCGACTCTTGAAGAAAGTTGTGTAACAACAGCAGTCGAGGCCAAGGATGACCAGAAGGCCAACGCCGTAGCAGCAGTAATAAGCATCCGTGACATATTGACAAGAGGAGGATGAATTTAGGGTGCGTTAAATATGAAAATGCTTGAATGCAATTTATTCCTCGACATAGCTGGTAGCCATTCACTCTACTTATACTCAAATCACCATAGCTCTAAAGGAATTCCACCTTCCTCTACAACATATGAACTCCCGTTCCCCCATACCGTTTGCCTGTTTGATTGCCGAACTCCAGTCTTCGCCCTGGAAACCTCCCACGGTCTCCCAGGGTTCCCAGCTTCCCCACACCCATAACCAAAGCCATGGCCTTCTTAGCTGTGGGGTAAGGATACTTGGGGTGCAAGTATATACTCCGCATTTCACGGTCCGGAGGCCATGTCTCAATCGTACTAATACTCCGTAGCGATGCAATAGAATCCAAACCTCTTGCCGGCTGGAGGTGACCGTAGGGGGAGCGGAGTGACCGGGGTGCAGGATGGGTGCAGGGTGAGCTACGGGAATCGAGCTGGTTTAGAAATAGCAGGTACGGAGTATCGAAGTAGCGTTCCTTTCTCATAATTCATTGCTTTGCGTTTGAGCGACATGAGTGACTAGCGGGCATGTCGTCGGTCTTTGGCGGTACGTTATGAGCCGGCCTCTGGCGGCATATGGTACTTCCACTGCCTGTACCTCCGTGAGATCGGTATTTTTCACTACGGGTACTATATGCCTAGCGGCTTGGACATGTAACGCACCACACTAAAACACCGACTAAGAACTTAATAAGCTTGCTTCTGCGACCAGGTTCCACTTTCGGGGTTGTTCCGTCGGCAACTCCCAACTTCAAGGTTAAATTAAGCCAAGTTATATAACGTGTTTAATTAGCTCTTAGCTTAATATTAGGCGTCTAGTGTAAGGATTGCCGATAGGGGGCCCGAGTCGCAAACTTATATGTATAGCAATAGGTTCTAGTGCTATATTTAATGGACTAATCTGTTGGCAATTGAGTTATAAATGAGACAGTGTTTTGAGAGTCAATGGAATTGAAGTTGTTGAATTGGTTACTCCCACTAAGGAATGAGGAATGGTAATAGAGTATATATAAACCGACAAATCTAACGAAAATGCTAGCTTAGCTATTGTCCTAACTATACTACTTCCGACTAGAAGTACGGGTAATGTTTGCCGCTTTCGCTCTAACGAGAAGACTGAGTTTGCCAACTACATTGTCTTCCACAACTTCCTGGATTTGGGCCGACGATGGGACTACTCCGTAGCCAACTTCCAGGTTCCTCCCGCCTAGCGTATCGTGGCACATGGGGCTGCTAGTAGTTGGCGCTATCTCTCTGTATTTTAGGTTCGGCTGGCCCCTCGGTGGGCGCACGCCTTCTCCAAGGCAAAGTTATTAGCGATTATACTCCGGGATTGCCTCAAAACCCGCTAAATTTGGCGGCCTTCTCACCTGGACATTGCTTTTAGCTGTAAGAGATGTGATTAGCAACCTAACCTTATCATTCTAGAGCATCCACTTAACGTTCTTAATCGAGATATTTTGTGGTATACAACCAGTTTACTTCTTCTTTAGTTGGATCTTTTAATTACATAGAGCTACGGCTCCTATGTGTTTCCTTCCTATTTATCCTTTCTTATTTACCTAGTGTAGGGAGGGGGATAAAGTTCTCCGACGACGGGGTTGTGATATTGCAACGCTAAAGAGCACACTAAAGTCTTACTTTGGACGCTAATTGAGTTATTGAGTAGATTTCAGGTTATTCAATGCAAGTTTAACATTATCAGACCCATGCATCTGCGAGACTGCACCACGAAATGATTATACTAAAGTTTGAGAGGAAACCTGCAGGCCCTACCAATCCAGAATCTCATCAGCAGGGAATTCCCCCCAGTGGAGAGAGATAGAGACATAGATAACTATCAGAGATTCGTCAATCTTGATGTACTAACGTAAATCTACGCCGAGGTCTGGAAGATCTATTCGAGCCAAGGACAAGGGCAATCGTACAGGCCGGGCCGAAAAAAGCAAGGCAGTGACACGTGGAGCGCTGATGCCACGTGAAGGAACTTAACGGAGGAACCAAATTAATGTTTAGTGGCACTGAGGTATTCATGCTACCTCTTACGTGGCAAAATAAAATCACATTACCGGCAAAGTTCCACCAACATTGGGGGTAAAATATCAGCTAGACAGAAGTCACAGAAACGTGGAGATCTATGCAGCGGTGATGCCGCGTTCCGGGAGCAGTCACGCCAAGGGTAAGGCGGTGCTGGGTGATTCATGCAGAAGGGAATGGAACTTAGGGATGTTAAGGGATCCTTAAGACTTAAGAATAAGAGCGTTTATATTTAACAAGGTCTTAATAACAATAGGAATATAACAAGATATTATTAAAGCAAGGAATTCGGAACTTATAGGACAACCATACCGCCTGGGGTTATACATTCACATACCACGTAGTCATTTGAAATCTTATTGAATCAATAGATTTAATACCTGGCCTACTTGTCTGATGTAGCCTTTATCTATTCCAACATAGTCTAGAACCGGTAGGAGTTATTCAAGAGCTCAATTCTTCGACTTAAATTTGTAGCTTATAACTGAGTGGCCCCTAAAATACTAGCTGCTGTCCCGAAAATAGGATTATAGGACGCTTTAATCTGCAGAAAATTCAAATCCTCGGAACATTTCTTGCATCTCTGGGGATAACGCTAGGATTGCTAGTCAGTAATAACCCGCGATTGAAGGCTTTCGAAGACCTACATTCTGGGGTGTCGACAATCGCTTGTGTATCTAGGAGCGCAGACTCTGAGTCGAAGTTACAGGTATCTATACGGTTTGCTACTGTGGGTATAAAGGGAGCGGGAACTCGCTTGTGATACAAATCATCCCAGTTTATTTCACTGAAGAATGCGTGAGCCATAACTTGATGTGCCCCATTTGTTCCAGACCCTAATCGTCTCTCAGGTTCTTTACTGAGTAAGTTCTGAACGAAACCAATTGTATCCATTGTCATGTAGGCGGGAAATGATGGTTCATCCGCTAATATTGAGTCGTAGATTTCATCCTCGTTATCGCCTTGAAATGGCGATTGCTGGGTAAGCATTTGGTAGGTGATAATTCCTAATTGCCACCAATCGATGGATGAATTATACGGACGGTCCAAAAGCATCTGTTGAGCTGTAGTTAGTTATGGGTTCTCATCAAATCATAGAATTCATGGCTAATGATTGTACTTACTTCGGGAGCCATGAATTCTGATGTACCGCAAAATGTTTTAGTTTCGCCTGCAGGGTGGATATCAACCTTTGAAACAACAAAGTCTACTAGTTTGATGTGTCCATCAAGTCCAAGCAAAATGTCGTATAGGCTGAGGCTTCTATAAAGCAGATTCATGTCATGGAACCATTTAAGTGCGAGACACACCTCGGCAGCATAGAATCTAGATCTCACAATGAGCTTCTAGCAAATCCAAACAAAGAGGGGGGGCTACCTCGTTCGCTTTATATCAAACTGCCCTCCTGTATTGACGTAGTGGATAAGGTCGCCGCCCTGGCAAAATTCTAGGTATAGCATGATGTGTGATTGTGTTTGAAATCCGCCGAAGACCTCAACTACAAAGGGATGTTTTTCCCTTTTCGCCAGTAACAGTACTGCCTTTTCTATGCCGAAGGACTCTATATCCGAAGTCACCTGTAAAAATCTCTTACTCCTTACTTTCATTGCGTACAGCTGTCTTGTCTGCGATGACTCGACGAGGTAGACAGTAGCGTAACTGCCCTTTCCCAAAGTTATAAGGGATCCAAAATGCCACGGATCCCACTTGCTGCGAGGGACATCTGAGCGATTGCTAATTTCATCTCCTTCCCCGTTCTCATCTAATGTGGTAGGTAAGCTCTGGTCAGACTCGATTGGTCCGGGTTCTTGGTTGGAATCAAAGTTTCTGGGCAGTACCGCAAGTGACATCTCTGCCATGTGCCTTTCAACTAAAAGCCGGTTATGTGGAATAGGTATCAAGTGTACTTGTAAAAAGTCGTTCTTACGGATTAGTATTTGTAGTTTGTGTCGGTCGATATCGAGATTCTGGTGCCTGAAGAACGTGACTCTGATGGCGCGTGGCCCGTGCCTGATAACCCATGAATCCAGGCCTGTCCGGTTGCTTGACTCATCGTCGCTTCGGCTATCGAGGCCACAAAGCAAAAAAGAGGTAAAAGAAGAAAACCAAACAAAAAAATATAGATCTGATGAGAGGAAGGGGATTCGAACCCCTGCAGGTAAAACCTATGAGAAATCTCGCTTATTTTTACATAAGCGAAGATACGAAATCGTATCTTGAGTCTGTTGCTGATGTTAATACAGTTATTAAACTGGGTACAGGCAATCGAAACGTACCACACGCCATAACCACTCGGCCACCCTCCCAATTGTTTTGAGAGTAGTGCTTATTATGTTTTATAAAATCTTTAAATGTTATGAGCTGGATGAGCGGGGTAGACCCACTTTCAGATTTCCCATTTGGGTATAGCATAGCACCTATTTAGATGCTCTTTTCTTTCAACCGTATTAAATCTCTTCAGTTCCCCGTTTACCTTGATTTAGATTAACATATACTTACTAGGAATATCAACGCGTTTATACAATTCAAATCCCCACTCTTGCTTACCTTTGGGGATGCTTTTAAATGAAGGTTCGCATTACGTGGATTCGCCTGATGGGCGAAATCCGCACCTCACATAGACGAAGAATAAGGTAGGTACTCTCTGCATGCGAACGGCGTTCAGCAATAATTCTTAATTAAATACTGTTACTATGAATCTGCAAAAGCGGCGATGGGCTACAACGGGGGCCCACTTCGTCTTGACTCTCTCGAACCTAGCAGCGGTGTGAACACACCAACGCGATTCAAACTTTCAGAATGCTAGAAAGCGCTATGCCCACGGATACGAATCAAGATGGCTTCGATGCAAGAGACGCATCAAGTCAATCTAAGCATCCCACAAGATACGAGGTATATAGTAACCAGCTTAAGATGAGTCTGCTGCCAGTCGTGGACGTACAAACGGACAAAGATTGATTATGTACAAATATCACTGCCATTGCCTCATTGATATCCAGGTGAATTGTTTATTGTATATCTAGTACCTCACATTTCTCCTTTTGCGTCATCGTTCTAGGGGTTTCCTGGCGTCGTCTCTGGTACACGGCTTCCTTGGTGATAGATTGGATGGCAGAGTCAACGGGGTTCGTTGGACACTTTTCCCGGGATCCTTCCCATCTCCCATGCTTTCCAGTGATGCTAGGGCATATTCGGCAAGCTAGCCTTCGCCGAACGTAAAATCCAGTTGTTTGGTCATATAGTGGTGCGGGATCGAGTCGAATTGTATTGGGATGCTTACAGATCGAACATGGGATCCAGATTTCCGTTGCGTCCCCTTTTTCAGGATCAGCGTCCCTCACCAAGTCGCTATTATCGAAGGTCTGACGCTTTCGTTGCATTAGAGTAATATCTCTAAAGTGTGTTTGTTCCTGGATCGTATGGCCTAGTCGTAGTCCTTCCAGCTTCTGTCACATTGGCAGATCGTAGTAACCTCCTCGCCGCTCAAAATAAGCCCGGATATCGGGATCATGCGACATCAATAGATCTTTAGCACCTAGACGGAGTTCTAGAGCAGTCTCGAAATTACCCTCGGTAACTGCCTTGCGGTTATACTTTTGTCGAAGAGGAGAGGCCCGGTTAAGATGGATATTGGCCTCGCATATTCTAAAGCCTTGAGGAAGTGCCACTGATAAAAGAGATGAAGGTAATGTTTGCCATATGAGGCAACTCCACTCTTCGAAGAGGTTATTCATCGCGGACTGATCGCCATAATCAAATGCCATGCCCTTAAAATCCCCTAGGAGAACAAAGAAGTCTTTTTGGCCGGGCATATTCCACATGTGATAATGTAGACATCTCCGGCTTGGGGTATATCTGAACTTGTAATGTTGGGCAATCCGGCTTTTGACATCCATTCCTGCGCCAACGTATAGCCAGAATGTTCCGTAATGTTCTTCGTCGTAGATGACATGGAGATAAATTCCCGGCCACTTGTAGCTCTCTGCCTTGGAATGATCAAGGGATTTCAAAGTATCAAAATCAAGCGGTCCTATTTGATGCACTTTTTCAATGTCCGGGTCAAGAGCAGCCAACAAGCTCATTTCGATCCGGTGTAAAGTAAGTCGACCAATGAGGTTCTTGTAAACATTCTCGCTATCTGCAACAAGAATGCTCGAGTTGTCCCCAGCAAGCACGTCCAAAACATGACGTATAATTGGACGGTGGGAATTAGGGACAGTTTTGTGGGTGATGTTGGCGGTCATTCGTATAATTCGAGGATGGCTTGTGGAAGATCGGCCGCCGTTGGAGTATGTCGATTCGATAGACTTGTTGTAGGAAATCGCCTGTAAAATATTAGCACTCAGGAATTTGCAATATGGCCCGTGGTGTTTGACTAACCAGGTCGTCGACAGTGCAGTCATGCGAGATGTCGTTACCAAACTCAGCCATATCGTTTTCGAAAATAGGGCTAATATCCACACCTGTATAATTTGACACTAGGGCACCCTCAAGTTTGGCGACGTTGGAGTCGACACTGTGACCGAAATCCGCACATTTAGTGCTGACAACTTGCCTGGTTGAGCTCTCTATCCGAATGCAGCATTTGGGTTCGTTTTCCCCTGACTTGGGAAAGAGATGGACGTGGGTAGCTTTGGATTGGGAGCTGTTTCGGATAATCCCAACTACCTCGACACAATCATCGTCTGGCAGCTCAACCATATTCGGGAGGATGGGGCGCATATTCGATGCCTGAATGCTCGTGATGACTTGAAATTTAGAAATACCTATAGGTACCTATTGTGTGGTGTAGTGTGGTGTGGTGTGCTGTGTGTGTTCGATTGTTGATTGACAGCAGTTGCTACATATCAGCTACCTTATTCATGAGGTACCTTTAGGTGGGTAGGTAAAAATGAAATATAGCCAAGTCACGGGGCTAGATTTCAGCTTCGTCAGTCGTTGCTGGTGAGAGGAATACTGATATATTTGAACTAAACTCCTTTAAACGTACGCAGCTTTGAGCAAGAGCGATGTCTTTTAGCTCATAGTATGCTAGATGATTTCTGCAAAGTCTTAGAAGCTAGAACTGGGCGCAATGCCGGCCATTAAGTGCGGCCACTTTAGTATCAACAATCCACAAGAAGGCCGTTCAAGTATGGATCCGAGGTAGCAAGCCGAAGAGGATTTACTGTATTACTGGGGCATATGTTCTTGATACTTAATAACTCGATATTGGGGGGTAACGCAGATGATAGAGAGCTGCTCGGCTGGCATTGCAACTAGTGTACAAAGTTACTCATCCAAGCAGGACAACTATATTAGCGGGCAGAAACCCAGTGCGGATTCTGCTCCAACATAAGCTTCATGCGTTTCCTTCTGAATATCGCTCACTATGATGGATAGCCCTCGCGGAACAGCTAAATCGTCCGTGGTTTTGGAGAGCATGGATCATTCAGGTAAATGTTGCTGAGAAAGGCGTACAAATTATTTGCAACAATGAAGAAATAGCATGGAATGACTTGGTCGGCTTCCTTAGAAGTTAGAACACTAGAAGTATCAGGGAAGATGGATCTACTTAAAGTGAACACTTCTAGCAAGAACTGGGGTCACCATTCTATACCAATTCGAGTTCAAACAGTTTGGGGGATCAAGGAGCTGAGATCCAGACTCTCACAAGGCCATCGAAATACAATGCAAGAAACCCTCCTACGGACTTGTTATGCTGAAGCAATATATCCAAGACATTAGATATTCGCGCAACGGAGCTTCTCGTCCGAAACGGGTACTCCGGCGCTTCTTCCGGACTATATGGAATCACCCGCTGATATCTTTAAAAGAGCCACTTCGTACGTGTTATTAAGAGATCAATTTTTTCTTGCCTTGCACATAGCTAGAGTGAGCTTTCATCGGAGATTCGACATTCGACACGTTGCCCTCTTGGGTTCCAGATTACTCAATCAGCCAAAATTTATTTGCCAGCGGTCGATATAGGGCTGTATTGGGAACGACGCTATATTCAAGAATTAGGCACGATATATTTTGCGGCTAGCATGTACTACGCCAACATTCCGTCTGAAATATCATCAGGGTCAGGGATCAATTGCATCAAACTGTCTGGTATATTGCTGGAGATGGTGAAGACCGTTTCCAGTCCATTTTCAGATCCACTTTCAGATCCACAAGGAATATGGACAGCCATCACTGGTGATTCATTTCAACGAAGACTCAAGGTGGTAAGGTGGTGAGGTGAATAACTAATGTCTGCCGAATTTTCTGTCAAATTCTTAGAAAATCTAGTCTCCATACACCTAAACGGCCTACACCAGCTAGTCCGGGCAAAAGCCGACGCTCTGTGGCAAACACTGGTTGCTGGAGCGACATGCACATCCAGAGATAGAACGCAAAGCCTTGCACAGGTTTGATTATTTCCTTGGTCTATTACTGCACGCCTCAATATCATCCTATGGTGATGGCCAACTCGACAAAGCGGACCCTGGAACCCTCGAAGCCGCTCGGCATTTTGTCCGTGCCATGGACAGGGTTTTAAAGTGAACGGTGTCCGAAACATACGGGCGGCTAGCTAGAAGGTGTGCCTCCGCTGCTTCAAAAAGTGGGGTAGAATAGTTGTATTTCAAGGAGGTAGAACTCCATTTGCTATTCGATAGACTAAGCATAATAATTTTTTTCTGAGAATAAGTTACGAACTAGTTGGAGGGTGCTATTTAGTAGGGCGCATGAGAGAAATAATTACGTCAAGCTAAAATATTGGGATGTGTAGTACTGTGCTTGTCTAACGGTTGAACGCAGTGATGATTTGATTCAAGAATAAAATATCAGTCATGAATCTGATGAACTGTGACAGACTATCAACATGTATTCAAGCATAGGGCTCAAACTCCAGGAAGAGCCGCAACTGCTCAGGTCTAAAGACAGAAATGGACCTTAATGAGGCCAGATTTCATGATACTTTAGAGGTAATACGTAAAAACCCAGTCATCCGGTGCTTATAAACTTGACGAGCTGTATCCATACGGACTATGAAACAACAAGAGGTGTCTAGAATTCTCACTCCAGTCCAGCGGCTATTCGCCAACACCCAGAACCACGGCCCTCCCCTCTCAGGCCATCCATCTTGCCACCGGAGAAGCACCAGAAAGCCTCTGGTAATCACGCGGATATATGTGTGCATCATAAACTTGTAGATCATAAAATGAAACGACCTCGAGATTGACATCCTCGAGGTCGAGATTAACGACAGATCATCTCTCTCCGAACATACGTTGCATAGCCGATACCAGCGACAAGACGTCGCTGGCGGACTATTATCACCTTCCGTTGCCACTTTGAAATCTAGCTGCGTGGTGGGTTTGATGCTCATGAAGAAGAAAGAAAGAGAGTCGTGCGTGGAAAATTTCGGCTTCGGTTGTATCTCAAAGATCACGTGATATTATGTCAGCCCCAATTGAAAATACTGTTTGTGTGATTGGTGGACCAATGCCGAGGGCCAATTCGCCGGTCACTTCCGCAATTATTGACGACGACAACATTTACATCAGTTGCTTGTATCAGCTCTGCATCTTTTCCTCGTCAGAAACTCCACGACCGTTCTGGGTACCAACCATTACACCACGGCCAATTGATTTACGACCACGATCCACGATGTTGGCACAAAGGGCAGCTCGGCAATCGCTGCGCCGTCGTATGTCTCTTCCCCTCATATCCACCCTCCTCCACAATGAGGAATATCAACCATCTCCTCTCTACCTAGCTCAGCGCCGAAGCTCGGATTGATCGGACATAGCTTGCTAATACCTGTCTCTTTTACAGTTGCGGTCAGCCCAGCCTCGTTTTCGGCGCAGATGACGATGAAGAAATATGCCGCCCCAATGGTCATAGCATCTTCAGTGCAAACTCGGTATAGACTCTCCTCCCACAGCTTCCCCAGCCGAAGTTCAATCCCCCCCATTTCTATGCTAACGCCGTTTAATCCTATAGCCCCGTAGCAACTCAAAAGCTTACTCCGGCCGATTCCAACGAAATCCTCATTGCGCAACGCAAGCTTCGTCCATCAAGTCCCCATCTAGCGATCTACAAACCACAAATTCCATGGGTTCTTTCGATTATGAACCGGATAACTGGCTCTGTGCTCTCAGGTGGTTTCTATATTTTTGGCTCCGCATATCTGGTTGCACCACTATTTGGCTGGCATTTAGATAGTGCTAGTATGGCAGCGGCGTTTGGTGCTTGGTATGTTGGGCAACCTTCTCGTCTACCCCTCTATCTGTTTCCATTTGCTACTTATGTGCCGGAATTTAGTAAATCGCCTGTGTGGTGATGGAGAATGACGATGGGTGCTAACTGCGTTAATACAGGCCCGTTGCTGCAAAATTCGCGACCAAAATGTTCCTTGCCTGGCCGTTTACCTTCCATGCTATAAATGGTGTAAGGCATCTTGTGTGGGATATGGGTAAGGTATTTACCAATAAGGCAGTCATCTGGACTGGATGGGCAGTCGTGGGGTTGAGTGGTGCTAGTGCGCTTGCGCTGGCGACGATGTATTAGACGACAAGAAATGGGGAGATGCTGGACAGGAGCCATAGGAGGTTGCCACTGTAGGTGGTACAGAACCCGAGTGACGTGAAGTGTGATAACGGAGTCACTCTCAAGAGCAATAATCCTCCCTTGTAACAAATTTCAATGCTTTTCCAAAACCGGAGCCTTCCTGATGATGCGAGTTATAATATGTCCTTACAAGAGATATCGCGATTGTCTTGGTCTTATTATTTGAACGAACAGTGTTGTTGGTATAATGTGGAGGGATATAGTTGCAGTAGTGTGAACCTTATAATGGTGCATGTGATGTACAGTACACAGTCTACCAGTTTCAGTAATAACGTGGAGGGTGTTGGGCATGGAGAAAGACGGCTGGCGATATAGGGTTTCGAAAATAGACCTACCTATTGTACCTGCTGTACGGATCCCGTAGGTTGAACACAGGGACATTATTGACCCTGCCAGAAAGCAAAATATAGTTGTGTTTCAAGCAAGTAATACACCTAGCTTCGTAGCAATCGCAAATCAAGGCTGACCAGGTAGACCACCATGGGCCTGGTGGACTAAAGGATCTAGATTTCGTAGATGTTTCAATTTACAGCTGATGCAATCATTGGAGTTATAATCTAGTCTACATAGCCAATTGCAAGCATTGGAATAAGCGCTTTATAGCTCGGAACAATTATAAAACCAACCGCCCTTGAGCCAAGGCACTATATGTCGCAAATAAATATTAACCAACCCATGCATGGAAGGCCACGTATAGAGCATAAGATTATACGGTCAAAGTCAGATACTACAGCTCGTTACACATAGTGCTACCTACTCGCGTGGGAGGATGCTGTACGGAGACAGGTACGAGCTACGTAATAGGGGTTTAGGCTCTCGCGGCTTGTCAACACGCCTCTCTTGGCGACCATTGTACCTACTATGTACCTCTCCTCTCACCCCTATTTATTATTATAATAGCCGCCATGCGATCGACGCTCGGCACTCGCTGTCGCAGACGGCCGCAAGAACGATCCTCCTCCCCGTCAGCCACTTGTCATGCTTTGCCAGATGCATCTCGTGGCCCCTTCCGCTCCCTTGACAGCTCGTTAGCTATACATGTCCGTTCTACATCTTCACCAATGCTCAGATGGCTTATAAGGACAAGGACAGCCTCAGCATTCATGTGCGAGGGTTCGATGACTCCTTCGTGGTAAGCTCAATTCCCTGGCTTCGTCCATCTGCCGCCCTGGTGCATGTGCTAATGCTCGATCGCAGACATCCGCTATGCGCCGGACGCCAACGCAGAGGATCCTCCGACTCCTAGGATTGACTTTCTTCGTAGTGGGATGTGTTTACTTCTTTCGAGATAGCTTTTTCCAAGCTAGTATCCCTTATAAAATTGTGCCTACGCCAATTCGACCCGAGAGGTTCCCCGTGTCCCAACCTATACCCCTCCCCAGAGGACGAGCTAAGAAGCTGCCGAAGATCCAGCATGCGCCTGTTGCTGAGACCAAACAAGCCAGAAAGGTGCGAGAGCACCGGCTAGGAGAGGTCCGCAGCGAGTTTCTGCACGCCTGGAGAGGCTACAAGAAGGAGGCGTGGGCAAAGGATGAGCTCAAGCCTATAAATGGCGGGTATAAGACCCCGTTCTGTGGGTGGGCGGCTACGCTGGTCGATACGCTGGATACGTTGTGGATTATGGAATTGTATGACGAGTTTGAGCTTGCATTGGCGGAACTTAAGAATATCGACTTTACGCATAAGGAGGGATGCCAGATTAATCTTTTTGAGACAACTATTCGTCACCTAGGGGGTATGATTGCGGCATTTGACCTAAGTGATGGGCAGTATCCAATTCTAATCGAGAAGTCGGTGGAGCTTGCGGAGGTGCTGTACACTGCGTTTGATACCCCGAATAGGATGCCCTCTCCGCATTATCTTTGGTCTGCGTAAGTGACCGCCTTTTATGCACAGGGATTACCTATTGACCGTATCATAGGACTAACCCAGATGCCAATGATCATTTTCCAAGCAGCAGTATCGTACTTGCTGTCCTAGGTTCACTGTCCGTTGAGTTTACTCGCCTAGCGCAGATTACTGGAAATGACAAATACTTTGATGCGATCCAAAGAGTTATGAATGAGTTGGAGAAATGGCAAGATAACACCGGTTTGCCAGGAATGTGGCCTGCTATGGTCGATTCTACGAAAATCAATCAAACGATTGCCCTCGGCTCTCCGTTTGAAGGTGGAGATGAGTTGTATACCTTAGGAGCCCTCGCGGATTCTACCTATGAGTACCTACCCAAGGTATTTCCTTCCTTGTTATATTCCTTTATTGGTACTGACTAGTTCAGCAATACATGTTACTTGGCGGGCAATCTGCGTCATACCGCACCATGTATGAGAAGTTTATTGAAGTAGCCCAGCGAGATCTATTCTTCCGACCAATGACCGTCGCGGAAGATGATATCTTAATTTCTGGGGCGGTTAATCGCATCGCGGGGAAGCCCATACGCCTCAACCCGGAGCTACAACATCTGGCTTGTTTCACCGGGGGAATGGTCGCCATTGCTGGAAAATTATTCAACCGGCCAGAGGATGTTGCTGATGGCGCGAGACTTGCAAGTGGATGCGTATGGGCGTATGAGAACACGGTTTCGGGGATTATGCCTGAGACTTTCACAACTGTGCCTTGTAAGAATAGGTCGAAATGTCCGTGGAATACCAAGACCTGGCTGAATGCTATCGACTCGGCCGGTAACGAGGAAGCGCTTCGAGATAAAATCAGATACAGTAAAGTTGCACCTGGAATGGTGGCGATTCAAGATGGACGGTATCTTCTGAGGTATGTTCTACTGTCGATTCTTTACCTTTTTACCTCATCTGCAATTCTAGAACGCTTTCCATTATACTTACCCCTCAGGTCTGTGTCTACAAATCTAACAACCTAACAGACCCGAAGCGATTGAGTCGGTTTTCATTCTCCACCGAATAACGGCCGATCCCCAGTGGGCTGAGAGCGGATGGAAAATGTTCAAAGCCATCCAAGCACATACCAAAACTGAAATCGCCCACTCCGCCATCGAAAACGTCATGGAGTCTTTTCCTGAAAAGGTCGACGAAATGGAATCTTTCTGGTTGGCAGAAACACTAAAGTACTTCTACTTGCTGTACAGTAAGCCCAGTGTAGTCAATTTGGATGAATATGTTCTGTAAGTGTGGTTTTTGGGTTCTCCTTCTCCCCGGGGCACTCTGCAATAACGCCCAAGTGCTAACAAGACAATCATTAGAAACACCGAGGCGCATCCATTAAAACGGCCGTGATAGAGAATGGTTTACAAAGCATCCCACAGTCTGGGTTTTCGGCATACGGGAGTTGGGGCGTTGGTTTTCTTACCCATGCTTTGTACACACTGTTGTATTGCATCCACTTTGTTCATAGCCCGAGCTCAATACAACAATATTAAAGATGATCACCCACAAAGCCTATTCGCTCACGTGGGTAGTAGCTGAACCTCCCATAAAGCGATGCAGAGATCGACAGCGTTTGGCAGATGGCCGAGCCGCCTGAGAGGCTTCGTAAAAAGGGCTTTAAAAAGGCTGACAATCGCGATGTGCAATAAATTATGCAAGGTGCAATGGTTTGTAGATGGCAAGGGATGCGGCGATATCATAAGGTGAACCTTTAATGCCCCGGTCACTGTAATGGCGGCTGGATTGTAGTTGCGGGATTCATAAAGATATGAGAAGTGGAATAGCGGAATATTGGGGATTTCTTTTTAACGGGGAATGCAAGTTTGAACCCATTGGTAAGTCTTAGGAAGCGCTTTCAATTGATTTGATATCACTTTGGGCGACTATTTTGGAGTAGCTACCTAAGGTACTTCGCAAGCAAATGCTTGACTGGTCTAGCTCACCAGATACTCCTCCAAAGCAAGCCCAGTTAATCGGATATGCCCTCCAAATAACGCCATTCACCATCCTTCCGTTAGCCTCGCAAAAGTCAGCATCCATAATATACAACGTATGCTTTGCAGCGTCCAGTTTCCTCATTGAGCTCTGCTCACACCGTGCTTATTTCAGCGCCTCCTTGTCTCTCGACTCGAGAATCGCCTTATTCAAATTTCGATCTCCCAGTGCAACAACCCTGCTCCCAATCACACTTCCTAGAAACTCCTCAATCATTGGTCCATCGTCGTCCGTCGCACCATTTACCCCGTTCGTAATAGTTAGATTCGTATCCGTAATGCTAGTAACGGCCTTCATTATCGCTGCTATCACCATACGTACACTCTCATCATTCTGGCCGCGCTCGTTAATCGACTTCGTGATGATATATTCGAAGGGCTTGATGTTAGGGAGTAGAACAGAGCGCACGACGGCTGGGCCGCCGAGAGCACTGAGGCCATTAATGGCGCCATAGTGCTCACCCGGAGAGCGCGAAGGGTCGAGAAAGTATTTGAGGCACGTACGGGCGAGACGTGGGCGAAGTTGATGGCTGGATTCGGCATATTTGCGGGATATTTGGCCGATGAGGGAGGCTGCTAAGTCGCGGAGTTGGAATTGAGTTTTAAGATCCTCTGGTGTTTCCGGACCGAGTTTATGGCCTAGAAGGCAAGTAAGAACTGGCGGGACAAGTGAGGCAACATAGGGATCGATGAAGAGGGACTTGTTGGAGATAAGGGCGGCGGTTAGCTCCATCATTTGGCGGAGTACGAAGGTATTATCCAGCGAATGTGTGACCTTTTCGGCGGCGAAGTTAATGAAATACGGTACTAATTGATGTAGACCAGGGTCCTGTCGAACACTTTCAAAGGCTGATTCCCGAAGTACGATGGTCTCTGGATCCGGATCGTCGTCTAGGATAGCTGATCGAATCTTGTCGAAGAATAATATGAGCTCCTTGGAAACGACATGCTTGACCAGAGGCTTGAACGAGACATTGTCATTGCCTGCCAATGCTGCAAGACTAGGGTTTGCTCCAGGTCCCTTCGGTACTAATTCTGTTGCTCTTGCTTCGGCCGTGGTAGGGTTCTGGGGTATAGAGGGCTGGACGCCTTCAATAGAAAGCCAATGCGCTGTTTCTTGTCAGCTTTGGTCTAAAATTACAATGGAGTAGGCCTACCAGTCAGCGACATGTCTCGCGGGACCTTGGGTAAGGGCGCATTGATAAGCTTCTCAAAGTCGACCTCTTCATCCTCGATATAGAAAAGTGGTTGTCCAGGCCCCAAAGATGCCTCCCCAAATCGCAAAGGCCTAGTAGACTCATAACCGTAAAGAGGCTCAACATCCAGCACCCTTAACGCCTGCGAAATATCTTGTGTGCCTAGAATTGTCCTCTTTCCCTGGTGCATGAACCGCATTGCCTCCACAATAACTTGTCCAACTCGGTATTCGACCTCTTGGGATAAAGATCGGACGGCTTCTTCGTTCAGCGATGAGATGCCGACCGACTCTGCGACATCTCGGACATTGTCTGGATTCCACACTAGCTTTGATTCTGTCATCCTGTGCAGACTGCTACTACGATGATAGGAGCTGCGGTGAATCAACGAGGCCAAATATGGCTATGGGACGCCGCAATCGAGGGGTCAAGGACGGTGTCGGGCGCGGGATGAATCGGTGTGGGCGCATACGCGCGAGGGGGTTTCAGGACCTGTAGGTATTTCTGATGATGCTAGAGAAGTGTTGGTAATCGTATGGCGGCGAAGATTAGAATTGCGGTGGAGTGTGTTCTGGCCGTCGTCGCAAGGCTGCAATTATTGAATGCCAAAAATGACGCTCCTCGCTTCAACGGCGAAAAGTCGCGTCTCCCGACGCGACCCGCCTACAAACGCATTCCAGAAATCGATGTGAAAAGCTTATCTTTTTACAGCTACCTTTGAAATCATCTACACTAGAGATCTTTTATTTTGGCTCACTGAAATGGCAAGTCTTTCAGGAGATCCTTATCCGTACCAGCAACAGGCAAGGCCTGTTAGCAGGGGTGCATTCATCGTGGTTGAAGGCCTGGATCGCGCTGGCAAGACAACGCAAGTCAAAAGGCTCTGCGACTCGCTCTATGCTCAGGGTCATAATGTGAAGATGATTAGGTTTCCAGGTAAATGACCCTTAACCCAATGTTTTATTACCCTTCCCATCATGCGCTTTCCACTACTAATCCATGCATTCGGTTTCCCAGACCGAACGACTCCCGTAGGCAAAATGATAGACGGCTATCTACAATCCAAGGCCCAGTTAGATGACCATTCAATCCATCTATTGTTTTCAGCCAATCGATGGGAAAAGGCGTAGGTAGTCCTCTATACTTTGTTTTTTGCGTGGCACTCACGCTTAATCAGAGCCTGGATCAAGGGGCAGATATCACAGGGTTACACAATTATCTGCGATCGATATTACTACTCTGGAATGGTCTACAGTGCCGCAAAGCAAAATCCTGCTCTGTCGTTAGGTTGGGCAAGATCACCTGATGTGGGACTCCCTCGGCCAGACCGGATGATATTTCTAGATCTAGATGCCAAAGAGGCAGAAGCAAGAGGAGGCTATGGTGAAGAAAAATACGAGAAAAGATCAATGCAAGAGAGAGTGAGAGAGCTATTCCTCGGTCTGCTGTTGAAAGGGGAGGAGGAATCTACTGATATGGTGGTTGTCGACGCTGGACAGTCAGTTGAACACGTTGCACATGCTATTTGGAAAGAGACCTCGGGTGTCGTGCAATCTGTGGAGTCCGGTTCGCGGAAACAGATTGGTACGGTTGGGCCTTGGCCAGAAGGGCAGTAGGAAGGGGAGAATCAAGTGCAAGTACGTGGGCGGTGGAGACCGGTAGCAATAATGGCGGAACAGATATACCGGATCCTCTCGACTCGTGAGAGGTATAACAGCAATGTAGCAGCCGAAGAATAAGCAATCGTAATTATGATATGGCGTTAAGACCAAGGTGAACGCCGGCCGTGGCTTGTCGTTGAAGACTTTTCGCCTTTATCACGAAATCCACCAGCGCCTAGAAATGCAGCAAAATAGTCCACCGGTCCCAGCCAAGTGAGATACCAAATCATCAGCGCCTATTGAGACCAACAAGGCTGAAGAATTCGTTCCTAGTCTTTTCTCTCTTCTCAATGCAGCCCAGCACGCAACTTGTAATTGTGGTGGCACTGGTCTTCTCGACACCTCGCATAACCATGCAAAGATGGCTCGATTCCATGACCACTGCAACACCCTGCGGCTTTAGGACTTCCATGATTGCATGCGCCACGTCTTTTGTGAGCCGCTCTTGAATCTGTAATCTGCGAGAGAACATATCTGCTATTCGAGGGAGTTTCGAAATACCAATAACATTTCTGTCCGGAATATAGCCAATGTGCATCTGCAAGGCTTGATTAGCTATTTTTTTTTTTTTTGGCCAGAAGCTGAAGTGCGAAGTCGTACCTTTCCCGTAAATGGCACCATGTGATGTTCGCAGAGACTAAAGACCTCGATATCTTTTACAATAACGAGTTCATTATGGCCTTCGTGGAAAATTGCATCATTGACAATATCTCGCACATTCTCCTGGTAGCCTTTGGTAAAGAAGAGCATGGCTTTAGCATATCTCTCTGGCGTACCTAGGAGCCCTTCCCGGTCAGGGTCTTCGCCAATACATTCGAGGATAGTGCGGACAGCCCCGGAGAGCCTCTCCATACGAATAACGGCCTGCTCGGGAGTCTCTTCTTTGCGCTCGCGGGTTCCCCGGCCTTATAGGAGTCAGCCAGAGTGCTATCGATCTCAAACATACTGCATACTTGGTCTGCTTAAACCATCAAAGTTGATGACTGGACTTGGTGATCGAGGCTCATCAGGGCCCTTTGGCGGGCGCGGAGGAGACGCTTCATCGCGCGGATCTCTAGCAGGCTTGCTAACGCTCAGTCGTCTCTTAGAGCTCTTGCCATTGACCTTGGTCTTCAATCCCTTTTCTGGCTTCGACTTAGACTTCCTCTTCCTCTTGGCGCCCACCCACTCTTGCGCCTCGTCTGCGGACCGTCGCTTAGATGCGGCATTGAGAGTTTCCTGGTCCGAAGAAGTCGAGCTGGAATTGGACATCCCAGCGATATCTTCGTTTTGGTTTTCTTTGTTGCCTTGTACAGGCAAGTTGGCGAATTCGACCATTGGGATGACTGTACTGTGGTGAGAGAAAAAATAAATTCAAGACGGGCGGAAACCAGTTGCCCCAGGTTAGCATCGGTAACTCGGCGGCCGTCGATGACGCTAAACTGGCGGTATGATAGCTTGGCTCGCCTGCCGGAGTAATACCGGCGTCGCAGTGCTTAAAGCTACCACAACCACAGGCAGACCTCAAGTATGAACATGCAAATGATGTCCAATATCGTGATCAAACTGTCTTTTCAGTATACCATTCCAGACGACCTAGATGATGACGAAATATTCTATCTAGATCATGCACTTCGAGGCTTCGTTGCGATGGAAAAAGAATCAGCAGTGTACGATGCTGCGGTCAAACGGCCACGTGCTAATGTTGTACGAAAGTTGGAGGTGGACTCATCATCCTGCCTATTTCTGGAACGGTTGCAACCTTTAGAGGAGGCATGGGTCGGCGCCGATAAGATAAGGGGCCACCGCATGTCACAGATTTTGTCGATGTTATAGCTTGGCTTGAGCAGCCTGGTTTCACTCACGGGGATCTCGCTGTCCGTAATCTTGCCGTCGATTCGTCGAAACTGTCCTAAACTATTCGACGTTGGCTCTACTCTACTACAACAACAGACCATTACGATTACGTTGCCGACGTTAAAAGAGACCACTTCGGTTTAGCCACATGTCTTCACTATATCCTCACTAGAGTCGTCCTCTTCGCCAACGTGTGCTCACCACAGGAGGTTTGGCGGATCGAGAGTCAACTGCTGGCGGGTAGTGGCGGTATTAGACCTAGTGCTAACATCCTAACCGATGTTATCCAAGCTGGCTGGACCGGGCAAGCAGCATCAACCCAGTTTTCTCAGGTTAAGACACGTGTGGAGGCGATTATTGGTAGTGCGCATCCCAAAAACGCATCAGTGACTCCAGAGAGATATTACCAATGCCTGGAATCCCGTTGTGTCGAGTGGCTAAAACGGGCAACTCCTGATAAAATGGAATGAATCCCGACGATTATTCTGCAGCCTGCAGGGCAAAGGGGTACGAGGCAGATATGAATATATGGCGATGAGGGTCACTGCGGACAATTCATGAGCCGGTTGAATTATAAATGCAGCCAAGGAGCGGTTTGTGAGGTGTCTTGGCATACTTACTATAGCAAATAAGAGAGATGAACGATTGCAATGCTAATGATGGCATGCTCATTATGTATAGATATATTGTCCAGCCGTTTAATAACCCTCGAGTAGTAGTGAGCTGAGATGGCTATAGCGCCTTGTCCGGGTGCATTAAAGAGAATGATTTGTAACCATTGGGAGTTGCTATTAATGTGATAGAAAGACTGTTATAGGAGGATCGGCTTCACGAAGTCCTACTCATATTATTTTTGTACTACTCTGAGTGATATACTCATCAAAGCACTATTGTAGATACTATACGTCACTCGTCTAGAGGAATAATTTAAGCTACTATCTAATTGCTTTTCTTTCTCGCCTTCCCTCGTATAGTACTTGAACGCCGCTTCTTATATATTCCCGAAGGTTTTGCTGAATTCGGATGGTCTATATATAGCCTTCCACTTCGGCCTTAGTCGGGCAGCTAGTAAAAGGATTCAAGGAACAATTTAAAAGTAGGATGGATAGGGCGTCATAGTAGATAGTAGTTTGATTTAAGATTTTTACCTGGACAGTATGTAATAGTTAAGCGCCTCTTCAACTCTAAGCGTGCTACTTATTTAGTGTTGAATTCTTGTAAAACTACCACTGTACGTCACAAAGCCCCTGATTAAAAGCGGCATGGCTAAAAGCACACTTACCTAAGGAATTATCCTTAGGTCACTAAAAGCAGCGTGCCAATCCACGATAGGCTCAGTACTTGCGTACTGAAACGGAGCATCTACTTTGTATGTCGTATTCACTCTAGAACTCTGCGAACGCGATTCCTACGTTAATCAACTTCTACTCTGCGCCTCATACGCCCCCCCAATATCCCCATCATGGCTTCCCCACCATATTCCCACAGCTACCCACCCGCCACTTCACCACCGTATCCATCCAATGCTCAACTTCCTCAACCTCAAAAGCGACGACAATCCGAAATGCCATCTTCCGCATCACAGCCATCCCTGAAGCGGCGCAAAGCGTCGGCGCTTTCTACTACTTCTGCTCCACTCTCCGCCCATCCTCTGCGCCAGACCTCCTTCCCGCCAGAAAACGCGTCTCGAACCTCAGCATACTCGCGTTCCCCAAGCGTGGACGCCATGTCCTTGGTATCTGGCAGCGCAGTCGGCGGCGCGGTGAAGAAGAAACGAGGACGGAAACCGAAAAATTCGGCCAATGATGACGCCTCTCTTGTTGGCGGAAGAACAAAGTCAACAATATCAGGCACGTCTGGAAGACGGAAGCGGAGGCAAAGCGAAGTCAGTGCTGAGGATGAGGAAGAAGGAGGTGAGGAAATGGCCATTGAGACCGTAGCCAGGACACAAGAGGAGAGAGCGAGGGAAGTAGAGCATAGGGCTCTGCTTGTAAGACAGCTCGATCCTGAGCAGATGTCGAGATATGAGGCTTACAGATCTGGCCGCTTGGGGGAGTCGGTCGTTAGGAGGGTATGCGCAAAGCTCAGGCCACCAGATGGGATATTCTGCTTACATATATACAGATCGTTAATCAGACGCTTTCTCAGTCGGCGCCGGCGAGTGTGATTCTGGCGGTAAGGTCGGTTGCCAAGATATTTGCGGGCGAGATGGTTGAGGGCGCGAGAAGGGTGCAAACGCAGTGGCTGGAGGCATCGGGGGAGGACCAGACGACTGGTCTCCCAAGCCCACCGGCAGAAAATGATACTGTGAAGGAGAAAGAGATGAGACGAGGGCCTCTACTTCCAGATCACCTACGGGAGGCGTTAAGGAGACTCAAACTTGAGCGGGACGGTGGACTTTCTGGCCAGTTGGGGCTATGGCAATTGCAACAAAATAGCGGCGTTGAAAGGTTCGGCGCCAAGTCCATGGGCAAAAGGCTTCTCAAGTAGAATATGGTCAAGGCAATTGTCGACCTAGAGTATGTTCTCTGGTCATCGTGAGTTATACCCGAGGTCCTATATCATGATATTTGATATATATTCTTCGCCGAGCACGATACCCCCATCTTCAGGGGCCGCCCGGCAAAGGACAGGCTACATATGAGGCTAGATACTATTCCAGAACCTACCAGATTTTGTCGCCGGAAAGGAGAAAACTACTCTGAGGCGCTGTTTATTCGACCCGAGTCGTTGCCAGAATGGTCCAGCTTTGTAGTGATGCCAAGGTCCTGGCCGCTGCATCACTTGCCTACTGGTATATGAGATTCACGTGCGAATGGGGAATCTTATAAGCCAACGAAGGACAGCAAGCTACGCTGATATTTATCTCAGCCCCCCAGATATTGACGCTAAGCCAGAGAACCTCCCTCTAAACAACTCAAGCTCCCCCTTCCCGTTTCGCATATTCATCCTCGATCCGCTTCCTATACCCTCTATCGTTTTCTTCATCGGTGTTTTCATCAGATACATCCTCAATTCTTCCCGTCACTTCATTCGTAATCCCTCGCCCCAAAACTCTTCCTCCATCCACGACCTGATTTCCATCAGGGGTGTAATACTTCGTTTCTTGAACCGGCAGCTCTCCGAGGTTTTGAGTGGTCGTCTGTATAAAAGTCCCTGTAGGATCGGATCTAGTTGACTTTTGGTATACATGTCCAGAGCAATGTTGGCCGGAGCTGGAAGAGGCGGAGACTGAGGTTGAGGAGGAGTAGGAGTAGGAGTTCGAGTTAAAGTTGGACGATAACATCTTTTTGATAGGCTGTGCTGGAATAGCTGTTTGGATTGATGTATAATATGTATCTAGAAGTGATTTAAGCGCATCTGTAAGAATTGAAATACTACTCCCCAGTTGTAGTTGAAGCCGGCTGACATCATAGAAGTGGCGAACATTCCACGTGATCACATATGGTCGTGTATCGAAATCCAAAGGCGGCCAATCAAAAGTCCATGTCATTACGTACCTAGGTAGGTAGCTACACGTAACTTAAAGACCTTGAATTCGCTGACACTGTCGTTAGTTCATAAGCCCTATGTGCAAAACGACAATCTCAATAGAGCTCGACTATATACACTTAAGACAAATTTCTAGGTGCAGCGTGTTTGTCATGACCGGCCCCTATTCTAAATAACCTTAATTTTTTCTATGGGACATATGGAAAGAGGCAGAGCTAAGTTGTCTTCTCCATCTTACGTTTCTAGGCCTTTTTAAGGAGGCAATGGGTGGTGGCTGGCACTCGCATTTAAGCGAGTGGGAAGGGGGGGACCTTACTACTACGTAGGTACCTTAAACACTAAACACATGACGTATCCAATAGGAGGATAAGTAGTTCCATAACGACCCATTATACTACATCGAAAAATCACAGTTAAATCTCTCCTACCAGTTATCATGATTCATTTTTCCTGCCCTATGATGGTTTTGTCATAGTGCCACCAATAGAAAATCATGCCACCTTTGCATCACCTTATCTGAGCTCCCCATTGACTTGACTTACCAAGACCAGGACAAACTGCAACTTATGTCCTTTTTGCATAGATTTACCCAGTTTACTCTCAATTCCTCGCCAGCCATTTCCCCTCATTACTCCTTTAAGCCTAAATAATTCCAGAAGCAACCATAACCATGGCGGACCCGTCAACCACCCATTCCATCCCGTCAAGTCTGGCCAATTATGAACTTGACAAGAGCCATCCGTTAACACCTACCCATGCCCTGGTAGTCCACCTTCCCACTCCGCTCAATACCCACAGCCCATCCAAAATCGAAGACCTCACACCTCGACTTCATTCCCTCTTTTCTCCAACCTTAGGGATAACAGATGGTGCACTACTCTCTGCACACAAAGTCTCCAATTTGTCGCCCCCTCCACCTGTGAAGTATAAGATTGCAAAGCGGAACCATATTGGTACCCACTTGGCTCTCTTGGATGTACAGGGACATGAAATTGGAGAATGGAAGCTTCCTATTTTGAGGCACGATGGTGGGAAGGGGCAATTGTTATTCCCTTCTGGAGTTCCAGGAGTGGATGAAGGAGTCAAAGAATCCTTGAAGCTAAAATATGTTGAGAGTACGGCAAATAGCGGCGAAGTGACCATGGGAAGCCATCATGGTCAAGGGAAAAGGAAGTTGGAGGCTTTTGTCAAGAATGGCGTGGTGTATTTATGGGAGGTGGACGCGGACCGGCATGGTGAAGGCCCTCATAAAAGATCATTATTCAAGGTGAGATATATTTCTTTCATCCTTATCCGCCCGGCTCTGGCCCCTTCCTGAAGTGTGCATATCCTTGCCGCACGTAAATTTATCCTGCTATTGCCAGTCAGAGAGTAGCTTGCATAAAGGCCGCTGAGAGGATATTTGGCTCATTCGCGCTATGTAGGTCATACAAGATGAGGAGAATGCCCGGTCAACAAAGAGAGAGGTTGCTTCCTATGCGCAAAGGAGTACTCGTGAGCGAGAGGGCCTGTTAGTCCTGGATGGGAAGGAAGTAGATGAGATAGTTGCAGTTTTTACTCTGGTTGCTATGCTGGAGGCCAGCGAGCACTTTTTGTAATAGTAAAACAATTCCACTTGGTTCTAAATATCGGTTGCCAAATAGGTCCCCGGTGCCTGTTGGAAGAGATCTTGGGGTTCTGGTAAAGCCAAAAATATCAGGGCGCGGCCACGAAGCGAGTAAATATAGGAAAGCCGATATATAAGAGTCTTCGAGATAAGAATATCTCCCCTATAAGGATGCAGATCAATGTCTCAAAGTCATTCATATACAGATGTTTCACCATACCACCAAATAGAAGTGGCTCCCTAGCATCACGATGGTCCATCACACCATGTCACCAGCAATTGGACTTTGTAATGAGAATGAAACCAATTAGCTTCCAGAAGTAAATAACAGGTGGCTACACATCCTCATGCCATTTATTTTTCAGCGTATAGATCAACTCATAGTAGGAAAACTATGAAATAAAGCGTTTACTCCTAGTTTCAGTGGAAACTATCCCTTCCGTGACTCCTCCGGCCGCAATGGCTTTAAAAAACACATCTAGTACATTCCCGATCCGTTGGTTACCCCTAATATCGGCTAACCAGGAGCATTTCCTTGTTTTGCAATCCTCGCCGGCCTGCGGAATCGCATCCGTACTAGTTAGAGAGACGACGATGCATGCCACCGGAACGGCAACAAACCACGGATTGGCTGCATTGTACAGAGGGGATGGGGTCACTTATTGTGGCTGTCAATAGTGCACTCAAGTACCATCCCCTCGGTAAATTAGCCACTATACGAAGAGACTTGAAGAAGTATCGAAAGACAATTACTTAGTGTATTACTAGTTTTATTCGTTGTACCTCATAAGGGATTTACGTTTACGTCGTCTCCATCTCCTTTTCATTTAGTCCAAAAGCCCTCCTAGCCCGCACTCACTTTCACAGGTAGCGTGTCAAGCATGCCTATCCCTCAATGCCTCATGACCATTCGCTAGTGCTTATGGGGCCCTAGCATCTATTCTGACGATTGACATCACCTTGTTAGTAGGTCGTCGCTTTCTGCGTCAATTATCCCTTGCAAATTCTTGGGCGACACCATGCCGGGGATGGGAAGCGCGGGGCGTATCCAAGCCTCGAAGGATTTCTTCAGAGCTCTCAAACGTCCTATGGTTCGTAAGGTGATCTTAGGTGGCTTGGTTGGTGGCGGGGTTAGTTGTTGGACAGCGGGTCGTGTCCGTGGGTTGTTGGAAACGATATGCATAGAATAATAAGGCTGTGTGGATGAAAGGGTCGGGTACAGGGGATCAAAATGTTTGGTGCAGATACCGGCTCAACGGACGCCGGGATTTGCTAAACATGGCTATGACCCCGTGTATCGATCGGCCATAGTCCATTACTACGTATTATCAGCGTAATAGTCGGTTTCGTCAGCCTGTGGTTTAACGGCTGCGCCACTTGTTGCAAACTTCAAGATGTCATCCTCCGTCCATGGCCTGCCATTAGGATTCTTCCTTACTGGGCCCGTGCCAAATCCAACCTGACCCAAGCCGCTGATAGCTTGGTCTGTCATGAAATCCGCTCTAGTATTCTCCATTTCCTCATCTTCGTCCTCGTCTTCATCCTCGTCGTCATCATCATCTTCTTCCTCCTGAATGGTTTTAGGCTTCTTCTTGTCTAGCTTTCTTTTCAATCCGGTATTGACATTGTCAACACCCGCCGCCCTCTCTTCGGCGGTAAAATTGTCCGGTATCTCGCTGTGGATATATTCTGCCATGCGTTGCAGCACCCAATCGGCCGCCCAGCCCCACAACTCCTCGTCATCTTCGTTTTTGACGGGTTCACCTGCCCCCGTCTGAATGGCGCGGGCTTCCTCAACCCAGCTCTCGACCGATGGCTCTAGCTTCTTGCGGAGCAGCTGTCCCAGTAAAGCTTCTTGTGTGCGGCCCGGATAGTTGGTGGCTGGATAGACGACGATCCTGTTCAAAGCATCGGAATTGTTCGCCAGATGGGTGGTCAGCGTCTGGATGTTGGTTACCAGGATAGACGCCGAGGTCTGGAGAGACGACCTATGTAAGACAACATTGCATGGTCAGTATCAGGAAGGCTGCGGCGAGGATGAGGGGAAGGAATCGGGGAACGAGGGGATGGTGCAGACCATTGTGGCAGCGGATTGCTTCGCCCAACGTCAGCCTTGAGCGAGGCGATATTGTTGGTGAGCTGGTAGAGACGCTGGCGCGTCTGCTCGAGCGCTTTGAAATCCTCCTGGGTGAGGGCAGCGGGAGCCATGGGATGGGATGGGACCGGACGGTCGTCGGCTTGAAGCTTGGAAGTTGGGGCTGAGATTGGAGAGTCGAGATTTCGATCGGCATCGGCGGGTGGTGGTCGAACGGTCTAGGCCCTCGGGGGGGCAGGAGATGGAAGTCGAGGAGGTGTTGAAGCCGCAGAAGGGATTCGTGATGCGATGCGATGCGATGCGATCAGGGTGTTGCGCGAGTTGCGTTGCGTCGTCGGCGCGTGGCGCTGCGTTGCGTGGACCGGTGTTGCGTTGTGTCGCGTTGGGTCGGCGCTCCGCGACGGAAGCTTGTGGTGGCGTCGTCAGGACTCCAGTATAGCGAGGGATTGGGAATATAGCAGCCCGATCCCCCCGATCAGCAACCGGAAGTCTGTACACAGTAACGGGGTATGCAGCAGGGCTCTGACTTTATAAAGGGGGGAACTTTTGACTACGTTCGTAGGTACATGTACCCTATGTAGGTATGTATGTGCTCAAAGTACGATGTTGTTACAGCGCAGCTAGGTAGCGGTACTTGCAGCAGCAACTCGGCACATGTACCTGTAACTTGTAGTAATTGTGGTACCTTATTATTATTACCGACCTATACTCCGCGGGTACCCTTACGTTAGTTACGTTAGGTACCCGTAGCTACAACGAGCCCAGTGGCCGCTAATGGTGAACCACTAATACGAGTAGCGAACCACGACCCGTGAGGCTGTTCGGTGCTACTCGGGGGGAAGTATGGTGCCGTTCCGGGCGAAGCAGAGCAACGCAACACCGAGCAGACACGGCGAAGAATTAATTAATAATTCTCCGTAGTGTATTACTGCGAAGTACGAAATATGCACTGCGGAGCCAAAGCTGCTCGCGGGTGCACAGCGGAAGCTCCCCGGTTACTCCGTATGCGCCAGTGAGTGAGTGAGTGAGTGAGTGAGTGAGTGAGTGACTTGTCTCTGCAGTTACACCACAACGTACCAGGTAGCACAATATGGAGTCCGGAACACTACCTGCCTTGATGCTGGCTACTTGCTGCTTGTCACTGGGTGCTGGGTACTGGGTACTTGCTAATTGGTGCTTTTGCTACTTGACAATTAGCTGCTGGTTAAGCACAACAAACAAACCCCAAGTTGCACAGCATGTGAGTACTCGAGGACACAACTTTATCTAAACGCAACATAAAAGCAAATGCGCACAACACGCCGCTCCCCCAACAACGCTTCAACCCTCGTATCTCTCCTCAACCAGATTCCACCGCCGCATCTGACCTCGGTATTTGCATGACTTGCGTTATTATGACTTGCGGAGTACTACTTCGTACGCACCTCGTGCTCCAAGCACCACATGTCAGCCCCTGGCAGCGGGCCAAAGCCAGCCAAAATCTGCAGCTGCTACGACTTACAGTACCGCTGTACGAGTACCTCACTCCCTACCTCCAGTACCGTACGGAGGACTGTACATGTAGAGTAGTAGTATCTAGGTCCTAGCTACACCGCACGTACTTCGTGCTCAGGGGTGGTGTTAGTTAACCTTAACGGGGATCCGACCCCCGTTTCCGCCATCCTGGACCCGGAAACTAGACGTTGACAGCTGTGCTAGCTACATAAGAGTCTAGGACTCAGAAAACATAGGATAGGTACTAGGTACGTACAGGCATTTGCACTCACTCGCGTTTGGGCCATCATCTTGACGAGGAACAGCAAAAACGCCACGGGTTCCCGGAGCGAGCTTGGGCGCGGCCCTTCATGACATGAGCGAGGTGATATTCTCCGTGTTTCGTACAGTACGGGAGAGACTAAGGGTCCCCAAGGCTCAAGACCCAAGGCGGACGGCATGCTCATTGCTCCCGGACACTTCTCCCGCCGCTGGGACCCCCTTCCCGAGATGAGCAGACCGCTGTACAACGCATGTTTGTTTGTGGCGATGATCCCCATGATCAAAATTTGGCTGTGTAATGTGGACTTGGTCAGACTCAGTATGCTCACAGCTGAGATTTGTCCAGATCGACTAATCAGAATTGTCGACGGGGAGCCTGGGAAGGCGATCCCCGACGCCTACTGTATATTACAGCATTGTTGATAATCTGATATCGAGAGCACCCCCCGGCCCGCCAGACCAGTAACATGTTCCGGACCTGCTCTATCAATCCGCATTATTTGTACTCATACCAGTACCCCTGGGCGAAACCCTACATCGGGTTGCCGGTGGCCTGTCGGACCGGTCGGGCGTTTGGTGAGATATTGCTGCGTCGACGTCCTCGGATCGGCAGGCTCAGCGGGCTGTCGACGGACTTTCGTGATTCTTTTCCTTGTCCCCCCTCCACCCGAAAAAGAAGAGACCACCGCAAGATTGTTTTTTATCTGAACACAGCTAGCTAGCACCGGGGCCCCCGGAGCCAACGCCGCAGCGGGCCTGTTCCCCCCTGACCGCACGTACTCGTAATAATGGATCTGCATAGCGGACCAGCTCAGGGAGAGCTTGGGGCCTGGGAAGGGCGGCTGCGAACGACGAGGCGCATCACGTGGAACCGTGTTCGCGCTGGGGGGCTCCCTGATATATGACATGAAAGCCTGCTATCGATCTGGAAATTGGGGGCTTTGTGGAGCCGCCTTCATATAAGTTTTGTTGGAATGTATCTGGCATTATGCCACATGCCACGTGGCGGTCCTAAGCATCACAACGCCTTACCCCTCCGGACTTTCGCTCATCCTACTTATTCCAGTCATTCTGATTTTTCCCCGTCTCAAATCCCATCCGAGATATCCATGATTGTTTGCTCCTGTGGTGCTCCCGGTTGCCGATTACCATGAATAATTGTTGGGAGACCTTAGCGATACATAACTGGACACCCACCCATCTCAAGAACAAGAAAACCGTGAATGGGAACGGGAGCGAAAACAAAAATTCAAATTTAATAATGTCAACCTCTAGATACCAAGCCATCCTCCTCTGCCTCCCCCTCCAGGATTGCAACCTTCCGATAGTATATGTTGACCTTGGCTTCTACCACCCCCCAACCCCTTGTGCTCCAAGGCTCGTCCCTCGATTCCATGGCGTATCTCAGCAGCGCAGGCCCACGGCCTACATCCAACAGCACCCGAGCATCGAACTCTGAGGCTACCAAGATCCTCCCTAATACCCTATATCTCACCTTCAACGCTCCTCAGGTTGATGAATATGTACAGCCTCCATTCACAGCAACCCCCACCACCTCGCACAAAATTACTGATATATCCTACCCAAGATTTACCTTTTGCTAACTATATTATAGCACCGCGGCCTCTTCCTTACATATCCCAAATCCACAACAAGTGGAATCCTAGTTCACGCCATTTACGTCGATTCCAAATGGGGTCTCGAGAAGCGTGTTACTAAAGATATATCTTCCGCCAAATCGCTGGTCCTCCTCTACCGCATTCACACCTTCGACGATTCCACCGCCTCTAATGTTGATAAGCAGTTCTGTGATATAGAACAAGTGCTTGAGCGGGTCCCAATGGGGAGCGAGGTTCGAGAGAACAAGGGTAAGAAGGGAAACCCAGCACTCGGTGGTTATGATTGCGTTATTTGGACAGGCGATGCAATTAGGGCCTTGGCCAGGGAAGGGTTTGTCGATTTACGAGGCAGATCTGTCGGTATGTTTCTTCTCAACCTTTATTCTTAACACCGTAAATTACTAACAACCCATGCGTCCTATAGAACAAATTATGGACGAATCTCGCTCTTTGGCTGGCCCTCAAGATGCCAAAACCATGGTTGGCAAAGATTTCGGGGGCCTTAAGGTCGTGGTGTGATTTCAGCTGGGCTATTGGCCCGCTATCGTTAGTTACTCAACTTACTCTTTCGGCGTTGCTCTTGGGGTGTTTGGCTTAGAGGACGGCGAAGGGAATGTGCTTTTGGGTGCTTAGATAATGGTAATAGAGGTTTTGCGATGCTGTTGCTTTTATGGCATTTTCCATTGACGGGGCGTTGGAAAAGTAGAGGAGAGGAAACGAAGATAGGGAATGTTGTCTAGAGCGATCACATTCCTTCTGCATAGCCGCTGCAATCAAAATGGCCCATTAACACCCCAACGTTCCCGGTACTATGGATAGGCTATTACTTGTGCAACTTCTCGGCCCGACCCTTAATAAATTCGCGGGGATTCATTAGATAGGAATGCAAAATCCAAGTCCCACCAAGTCTTGCGCTCTGTTGCCTTCTCGAGGGGCACTCGCTCGTCCTGCCGTCTCCCGTCTCTACAGTTGCTCTTTTCTCTTATGCGGCCCAACCAACACGTCAGCGTATAACCCAACCTTCACGCCCCTCCCGCTACTCTTTACCACAAAACAGATGGCCTAAGTTTGCACGGCCCGCTCGTCCGTGCCATACAGCTCCATGGCAGGAAAACGCTAGCATTACGTACATAGTGTAGAGATATAGCTTAGCGGAAGCTATATTGATACCAAGACACTACCGCGGCTGACAGCCACCATATAGCAGGACAACGGCGACGAAGAGGTACTAGCGCTAGGGTCCGAGGAGGGAAGTCAGCCAGACGGTTGAAAATGGAAGCGGAGGAGAAGATGGTGGGGTTGTGAACTTGTGATGGATAAGGACCGAGGTCATACTTGTTGGTGTCAGATCACCGGGGTAAGGAGGGCGGGTCTAGCTTATGATTTGCGGTTCATGGTTTGTGGTTCATGGTTTGTGTTGGTGGCTTGATAGGATAATATGGGATTGGAAGAGAGACAAAGGAGAGGACCCGGAAAATAAACTCACCCCAGCAGGAATCAGCCATTCCTTGTACAACATCATCGCCTGGCCTGGAGATACGCGCTGTGCATGCAAGGTTACACCGCAACTCGATGAAGTCTCTCCGTGACGACCGCGCTCAGATAGGGCAAGTTCCACAGCTGGCTCAGAACCGGTTTTAATTCCTCGAGTGGTTGGGATCGGATTTCCTGGTTGGCAAGGACGTGATAGGTAAGCAGTGAGCACCGAATATGTCCACGCTGACATCTCGAACTCAGCCCCTACGACCCCCTGGCCCTCCTGCCACAGCTGATAGATCGTTTTCTCCTCTGGCGGATGATCTCGAGAAAGATGGTCAATGCGAAACGGATTTGTAGTTTTGGTTCTCGGCCATCATGATGCTGCGAATATGGGCATCCATGTCCTATTCCCCGTCCTTAGTTGACTCGAATCGGACGAGTCAAATCGGAAAACTCCGCTTGGATGGAGTGAGAATCTAGTAATATGAAAATCGATATATAAGATATAGACAATAGGTCCGGGCTCATACTCTCTGGGAATCAAACAAAGTCAGCGTACCAGGGCCGAGCAAGGGCATCACCCGCGCCGGAATTTTGTTCCCTGGACTCAAGCAACCACGAAACTGGATATTGTCCATTACAACCTGCATGACATCCCGGTATGGAAGTCCTAATTATAGCTCGTTGCAAACGCATACTCGGACACCACGTCATTTTTGAAGCACCCATAAGCCAGCGTTATCGTCATACGTGCACCTACCCGCTACAGCTCCCATAGCTAGGTGCATAGCTTGTCAACTCGCTCCTAGATGACGGGTTCCAAATACTTGATACTGGTTTTGGAGCTATTTTGTTTTTTTGGGCGGCGCCCGCGGTAAGCGGTGAAGCTAATGGGGCGCATTGGCCTTGGTGGCCTTTAGTGACCCGAACGATGCGTATAATAGGAATTGTTCTTGATAGCTAGGTCAGGGTCCATATTTTTCATGCAAGGCTCCATCCTTGAACGAGTATGGCCCGTCTTAGACAATTGCAATATAATATAGACCTCATAGAATTTGATCACTGCGGAGAGCTTTGGCCCTAGGAAGCGAGCAATTGGGCACAAGTAGAGTCTACAGAAGGCACCATAGAGGTAGCAGACCCATGCCACCAGGAGCAACACGGCGAAAGAAGTTATTAATATCAGCGTCATCATGTTGTCGTAGCCTTTCCCTGAAGATTAGGAAAGGGAAGAGAATTTCCGAATCACAAGCCATAGTATGATTGACTAGTGTGATATAGGCAGGCATAGATGATCATAAGATCACGCAAGTATATCATAAGGAGGGCAATCCTCCAGCCCCGGCTGCCCTTCATCTTTTAATAGGTCAGACGGTGTCTTGTCGTGACATGCGGGTTGACATGGTACACGGTGGAGAATTAATTTCCCGTTTATGTCATATCAGATATATAGTATAGAACGCTCGGTGAATGTGAGATAAACTACATTAGGATTATGTAGCATTTGAGCCCCTCAGGATATGTAGTCTGAATCACTCATCAGGGATTATCTTTTGATCCTACTTGGACACCGGCAGCTGTTCAGGCCCTGTATGTAGCATTATTGATTATGCCAGACAATCATCGTGGGGCAAATCAAACGTATCTACACCTATATTCTGGAAGCAACCGTCCATCTAGAGACAAAAAGATGATAAAAAATGGCCTCGCCATGACTAAGTTTATACGGACGTGCTGCGGTACGTAGTATTGCATTAGGGGATGCAGAAATGATGCAGCCCGTTGCTGCAACAACAAAACTAACCAGATACAGTATCATATAGAATTCTGATTCTTGAAGGCATATCCCTTTGTTGTTTGATTTCACGTAATGTATTATGTTATGGTTTCGGATTCGTTGAGGCAAATAAGAGCAATGCAGAGGTTGGCTCGAATTAAAGAGCAGACTCGCTTAAAATAAAGGGGGGGTTGCAATGAACTGCCCTGACCGAGCCTCCTCTACTTTATACTTACCTACCTACATATCAAAACGGTTCACCCCAAATACTTAGCACTCAGCAAGGACAATGTTCACTAATTATTGAATTACTGAATAACGGATTTGAATTACTAATCGACTGCCTCCACCCTACGGCAAGTCATAATTCCAACATCCTACTTACTCACGGCCTTTTCTGATCATTTAACTCCCGGACAGAAGCCCTTCAGAAAATTCAAGTTCTATCCACCAATTTTGCCGCCTCCTTCTCCAACCCCTCTAAATCGATTGTCACCGTATCTACCAACCATGCTCTCGCTTTCTCAACAACCAATTCCCATGTGTCCTTCTCATCGGCCAGCTTCTTCTCTAGATAACATACCATCACAACCGTAACCCATGGGCTTTTATTCCCACCCTGGGGATTTTCTCCCACATCGAAACCTAAAATTCTGCTGATCTCGGCTTTATCGACTGGCCAGGACCCGTCAAAGTCCTGGAGGGCGATAATACTATGGAGTTTTTCAAGAGGCTCCCTTCCCGTCGAGTCGACTTCCGAGTTTGTGGCAGCTGGGGGAGGTGGGGAAGGGGACGGGGCCGCAGGGGGAGATATGTATCGCGCATGAGCGCTACTGGGTGATGCAAAAATGCTGCCGCCCCTTCCTGAAAACCCACCGCCCCCTCGCATTGGAGGCATTTTCTTCGCGGCTTGGACGCCGAAGGAAGCATAAGGGGTATATGACCTCGTGTCAGTCATAGCTGCCCTGGTGCTAGGCTCAGATAACGTGGCGTGCGGCGCACGCGAAAATTCCGACGGCAGGTCAAACAGGTCTCCATCTGATTCGGCTTCCTCTTCGATGCAAGAAGCGTCTATCACGGTGTCAGACCTATGTTTTCTTGTAAATGTAGAGCGAGGTCTGGACTTACAGCCGTCATCGTTGTACTTGTCGCCAGCTTCTCGCTTTGAAATCTCCTTGCCACTGGCAGCCACAGCAACAAAGGAGCACCATTTACTAGGAATTTGAAACTTTTCTCCCAGCCGTACACCTTCCTTCGTTACTAACTCGTCCAAGCGGCTCGGATATCTATCCTTGATTAGTATTCCCTTCTGGTCTTTGGCGTCGTAGATCCAACCCCTACCCTCCTCAAGATCCTGGACTGCCTTTTTCGCAGCCAGTTTGTGGATAGTGTCTTGAGGCGATGGGAGAAGTTCGATGGGAATCTCGAGCGCGAGAGGCCCATGAGCCGAAGTGGCGCGTAGGACTATAGCGGTGGGGTTCCTTTGATATGTCTCGGGGGACAAAAGCAAATAAACTGTGGTTCTGGAGAACGGGAATAGCGAAGGTATCTTGTTAGGAGCTTGAAGAAGCTTTGGAGGAGAGATTGTTGGCAGTGTAGGGCCACGAGAAGCTCCAAGATCGGGCTCGAGGTTGGCTGTGGAATCGAACAGCGAGATTGTGGGTTCCTTGCCATCCAATGCCTTTGACGGCGCCTGGGATTCTTCAGAGTCGGATAGGAGGATTTTCATACCATCAGTAACCTTATCAATAACTTCGAACTCGTCATCTTCATGTTCGTACTTGACTTCAAGAGAATAGTCTGTGATATGGGGGGATAGAGCTCCACGCAGCATGCGGACGACACAACTATCAAGCCGCTCGCCGTTTTGAACTGCTTGAGCGAATCCATTGCCAGCGCGAGCCACTCCCTCGATGAGTGAGTGAGAGACACCGCCACCGATTCCAAGAGGAAAGATGCGGATGTTCCCTTTTGTTTCTTCGACTTGTTGATTGATATAGGTGAAGAGCTCGTCTTGGTCCCAGATATCACCGTCGGTGAGGAGCATGATCTCAAGAGGAAGATCACTCCATCGGCGGGTAACGGTGGCCTCAATAGCTTCAAAGGTTTGGGTACCTCCCATATTCGAATCAAATGTCCCCACATGGCGGATTGCCTCGGCTAGGTTATCGGCGGTGTAGCTCTGGCTATTTGGCCATAGAAACGAGAAGGAAGAGCCAAAAGAACATATGTTGAATTTCACACCCGCTGGCATTGATTTAAGGAAAACTTTCATTGCCGATACAAGCATGGGAATATTCCCTTGCATACTACCACTTCGGTCGGCCACGAACACTATTTCCGGATGGCACGTCGGGAGTGCGAATTTGGGGACCAGGGTGGCCATAAGAGCACGATGGTTAGGGATTGTAGGGTGCGTCTCTAATATAGCCTTTGGAGTTCCAATATCTTTGACTTGTACGATAAGGACGAAGTCTTTCTCGAGTGTTGCACTTCCCAGTGACAAGGTGGCGGATGCTTTGCTCATTGCCGGATCAGCCTCTGAAGCTGTGGATACTGTCCCCATGGATACTGCAATTGGGTGAGAAGGGGATTGCAATCCTTTGATTGAGGATCCAGTTGGCATATCGACATCAACGACTATCTGGACTCCTCCTTCATGTTGTGCATGGGCCCGAACGCTCCCAAAGGTAGTGGGATCAGACCGAGAGCCGTATCTCGGCGCAATACTGGTGGGGATGGTAAACCTGACTCCGTCGCTCTCGTGAGCCTTTAGCTCCCCGATATAAGTTGTCTCTACGACAACCTTCCCGCCGGCAGGAATATTCCCTAGCTTGATGCTGAATACGTCCGCAGCTTGTGGCGCTTGCTCCAGCAGCGCTGCAGTTTTACCCTTGGCAACCGCTGAGTCAAAAATGGCCTTGGCATCCACACTCTCTTTCACTATACCGTGAAGAACATCCTCACCAATGCGACAGGTGAATTTCACGACACTAACACCGTCGTAGAGGGGAAACTCGTAGATGCATTCTTTGACGGGTTCACTCGGCGAGGGGTTGGTGAAATTTTGTGTCAATACTGTGCTGGAGGTTGTGGAGAGTATTCTGCTATGGAAAGAGCTGGAGACGAGGGGAAGGTAGTGCTTTTCATGACGACGATAGCGTTCTGTTGAATCGACCAGGTAGTAACAGCCACAGATAACAGTGGGCATCTTGAGAGAGAAGACTGCCGAGTTTAGCACACTGCGCTTGATCTAATTTGATAATTGAGAAGGCGAGCCTGTAATAGCTTAGATTGTAGATGAGTGATGGACTAAAGGCCGGGTTGTGGTATGTCGGATGACGGACTTTTATATGTTCTGGAAGTTGAAAAACCTGGTGAGGTTGAACGCGTAAGCTATAGGGCTTTGTGTTGTATCTGGCGATATGAGGCCGGCCTAGAAACACCTTTGACTCATTCCGGGTTGCTGCCTGGTTGAGGGTGAGGTTGAGGGTTGAGACCGCACGACTTCATGGTCTCAGCCCTACCAATGAACAAGATACGGTATCAACCTTATTTGTTGGCGCAGGGCTCTGAGTGGCCAGCTCGCGTGGCGACGTGGAGCCTGATTTTACTGGAGCCGCCCGCCAATGACACGTCAGAATCACGGGATCGCAATCTGCGTCGTCGGGAATCCCTCGAGTTTTACGCAGTATCTGTTCCATGATTCCAAGGCCTATAACCAATACTTGGTGGGCTACATGCTATGGCAACTCATCATGAGTGCCACTGCAATGGCTTGGTCAGTTTTGAGGAGAAATTAAGAAGAAGATTGTCTAGTCATGCTAAAATTTCAAAGCGGTATCGGAGTAGTCAGGAAGACACATTCATGTCTGATAACAAATAAGCATCGTGGAAGAACGACGAGACCTGTCCGATTATTCAAAGGAGGCTCATTTTATCCTTAATCTAGGGGAGGGGTTTCCGCTAATCAAAAGCTTTCTGAGAACGTGGTTGACAGCTTTTTAGGTTTGATGAAAGTCACTAGAGCTTGCGCCACGGGTGAACTAAGCAGGATGCGAGAAGCGTTCTAGTGGAAAACAACAATAGGTCACCATTACAAGCGTAGTCGAAACAAAGGGATAAATGGGAAGGTTTGGGTGCAGTGCAAGAGTCCTCGCGAATCGATCGAGCAAGATAATAATATGGCACTTGCCTGATAATAAATATATCCCTAGAGTGGGTGCTTAGATTAGGCAACATATCACAATCTGTAGGGTAGAGGTTTAGAAAATCAAGATAAATTAGGACTTCGACCGCAATTGCAGGAGTCGGCGATGTAGAAATAAGACAGGTTCTTCCCTCTCCTAGATTAGCCGCGTCTGCGGGTGGTTGGACTTTTCCCCTTCGGTGTCGCAGTTGTAGTCCCAGAGGAAGGCGCCGCGGAAGGGACAACCTTTTCCTTGCGCTCCGTGACTTTAGTAGCTGGGGCATTCCAATAGTAAACCATTTGTGCTGCGAGTATAGCGTTGAGTATAAATCCAGAAACGAACCCGTAGAGGATCAGCTTGTCATCCACCTCCTGCAGAGTTGTGAAGATTCTCGAGAGGGACCCCGCAAGGTAGTTGAACACCTGAAAAGTCAATCTGTCAGCGCGCCATCGGGTAGGTAGGGTTGGGAATGGAGAGACTCACAGCAAAGGCACTTAACTGCCCTGTTCCTCCTTGTTGCCAAACAGTCATGATCTGCGGCAACTTGCTGGCGACTCCCAGAGCACCTGCACCAGCCTGAAGGTAACTCAGGGTCTTCATATCCAGGATGTCTTTGCTGAACAGAGTGACGGCACTTGCAGCCAATCCAGCCACAAAAAGCGCAGCCGTGCTAGCCTTTCCGCTGTAATTTAACACCAAGACCGCAATAACCACATTCTGCACCATAATCAAACTAGTCTCTCCATATGTGCTGAATGGGAAGCCCTGGCGCACATTGTAGGCGAGGGAGATAATGTATGCTGATGTCTCGAGGAGGTAGGAGAGGAAGGAGATTCCAGACGCGGAGCGCGATGAGATCAGCTTGAGGATTTGCGGGACCTTGACGATTGACGAGGCAGCGATAATGCCAATTCCAAGGCCTTTCGAAACGGCAAGCTTGATGCACTCGCTCGAGGTAAGATCGATGTCAAGTAAGAGCGTTTTGTAGCAGGTCTCGCCAACAATGGAGACACCCAGGTCCCGAATAGGACCTGGCAGGTTGTGAGTGATGGGTTGGAGGGCGTCGCGTAGGGAGTCCATGGTCGGCAACGGGGGGTTAATGTGTACAGAGGTAGATAACGGATTAAGGAGGAAGAAAAGAAGTTTCGAAGTTGAATGCTTGTGCCGGTGCTGGTGCAAAACTGCTAGGAAAGGGGGCTGTGAGGAGAAGTTCTAGAGTCTAGATAGCTTGTCAGCCTTCCAAGCAGGTGTTTCCCCGTTCCGCGCCCGGTTGTGCCGCAGATTTACCGAGACAATGGAGACAACACCCCAGTGTCAGCAAACTCTCCTGAACTACCTAGCTTTTGTGCGAATAAATAACAACGAGCTGTTAAAGGCTCTTAAACTGTTAGCACAGGCGTGCAACCAAAGCTGTATAACCTAGCTTACACAGTCACTTCTAAGCGCTGATAAACACAAATAAGTGGAAGGGAAATTTCGGTATTTCATTATCTCTGCTCCATGATAAGGAACCCGGCACCTTGATGGCCAACCTATGCCAATCTTCCAGAGATACTGTGTGGGCGAAAGATATGTAACTATCTAGAGCCGGCACCCTTCTCTAGTCCCAGCTTTCCAAGTGGCGTGACAGGGTAGTTTTCGTTTGCCCAGCGTTTGGCTTCGAACGATCGAATTGCCTGCCGGGAATTGTGCAGGTTGGTCTCCGGCTCCCAGGTGTTCTCATTCTCAGGATATCCAGCCCATTTCACGAAATACAAAGTTGTATGGCCCTCCTTCTTGGAATCGACGATTTCCTCCACCTCCCATTCTGGAGCACTATCTTGCAACTCGTCCTTGTCGGCCAGTTCCGATTCTGAGCCTTTGGCACCCTACAACCGCCTTTCATATTAGTATAGAATTTGATTTCGGTACGCATTAAAGATTTAAGGCAGGAGAATCTAACAATCCGAGATTCGAAGGACCAAGATGAATCAAAAGGGGTTCAGGCACCCACTACCCCAAACAAGTGTGGTTGATAGGAAATCATGCAGATGGACCTACCCTGGATGACGACTTCTTGCTTTTCGGCTTGCTCCTGCTAGATCTACCTTTCTTCTGCTATCTCTGTCAGTAACAGGGATAGCGTACCACTTGCGACCTGGAATACTTACGTTGGCCTTAGTATCGCTGATATCTGGCTCGCTTGAGATTGGGCTTTTGGGGCGAGCACGAGTCTTCTTCCCTCTTGCGCTTGGCTTCAGGGTGCTATCGGCTTTCTTCCGCAGAGACGACCGGGTACTTCGAACACCGAGGTTTGCTGTATCTACTGCAGCTTTACGCATGACAAGGCGTGCAGATTTGCGTCTAGGCATTTTCAACCCAATGACTGAACCAGATCCAAATAACGTGCGTCTAGGTGATAGCGGAGTTTGAAGAACCTTTCTGCTCGATCGACGCGAAGGGTGAGGTGTCGTGTTGCGTCGTGTTAGAGTATAAAAACAAGATGGAAGAGATGTGATTAACAAGGCGACCAGAATCACGCCCTTCCGCCGGTCTCCCGCACGCACATGGCGACATCATAAGGCTTTGGGTCCTTTCAAACTCCAAGGTCTATTTGGTATCTTCCCCAGCTTCGGTATAGATGAACAGTCCAGCAGCTCTTTTGCTGTTGCATCATAATCAATTCTAGTGCGGGCCCTTTAATCATGGTATGTTGGTTTTTGTTGTATGACTGTGTTGGCAGTAGGAAAGGATATTGTTTTGGACTGGCTGGTATAAATAAGTGGCAGTGGTTCTCTCTGGTACGTTCCCAGTCATCCAGTGTCCTAGAGGGTAGATTTAATGAGTTCACTGTCCAAAGAGCCGTGTTTGCCAAGAGTAGGGATGGGCAATCAATCAGTAGATATATCGCCGCCTCCCAAAATCTCTCAAATTCTCGTTATTCCTTCTCTTCAGACATTTTTTCTGATTGCTGATCCTCAACAGCGCCTTTCAACTCAAATGTTAAACTGAAGCTTGCCCCAATCGCCGTGGCTCCAATACATACACCGCCATTCGAAACACTGAATCCCATCTCTCCGAAGCCACCAGGGGGCCCAAGTATCTCCTTTATCTCGTCGAGCGCGCCTCTATCGATCGTAATGTTCCAATTCAGTATTCGTTCCCCAATCGTAGGGTCTGCCAGCTTTTCCCTTTCGAGAGCAACCAGATGACATGCTCCACACGCTTCATCCATGCTGTTTAAAGCCGCCCCTGAGGTCAATTCCGGCATCCAGTTGATCCCAGTAATGACTATGAACAACTCGAATAGTTCTTGCGTGCGCACTCGGAACCTATCGCGAACACTATCCGGATCTTCAAGGATATCCTTCCATAACGGTACGATTGTTTCCAGCCAAAAATTCAAGACATAATGAATTATCCAAGTCGCCAGAACTTGGCGTAGGAGTGAGCCATGATCATATGCCCCCGAACGATGCCGTGGTTCAACAACCGTTTCTTCTAAGGGATCATGTCCATGTTTGAGAATTACAACATAAACGAGATCGAACGTCAGGCGGAAGATATGATCGACTATGATGAAGAGTGCCCAGAAAACTATGACAACAAGGAGGATATCAACGGAGGAGCGGGGATGTTTTCTTGGCTTTTCGGGGCTGTAATATCGAGCCTTGAGAAGACGTGATTGTAGAAATAACATCCAGCCAAACTCGGCGATAAGGGACACAGCTGACACCATTTCCAATGGCAAGACCGGCCTTTTTAGTACGCCAACATTATTTCTAGTTGTGGTGATCCTGAAAGCGCGACCCACAGGGAAAAGACGATGTTAAATATATCCGTCGGAAAAGAAATTGGAAAGAGACGCAAAGCGGGCAGCTTGGGGTGGGCGACATCAAATAAATACCCAGGGGGTCCTAAAGACATATATGTACGTACGCAGTAGTATGGGGTATATATGGGGTAATATATACGAAGTTTGAGCAGCGTACTTCAGTCTTCAGTACTTCGTAGCCCCGTTCACAGACGACACTGCCAATCGGCTTGTTGTTCAAGTGATTATCATGTCTCACTGCCGGTCGGCAGTAACCCGGGTATTCCTTGCTGACACTTTCGTTACCAAATGAGAATGAACAACACACGAATACGAACAAGTTCCGAATACGCCGACTCGCGTACGAAATACGAGGTACGAGGTACGGAGGTACGGAGATACGGAGGTACGACAGCCACCACCACTCCGTCCTACCAAATAATTAACACAATATCCGATTGGTTTCGAGGGGTAGAAAGGCGGTCAGTGAGATGTCTGTGTAATATGACATGTCCACTTGTATCGAAGGAAATATCAAGACCTAGGCACTGTACGGAGTAAGGCAGTCAGCTTGTGGCCAGCGCCATGCTACCATGACGACGCGCTGAGGTACCCCTCCTCTGCCCCTGTATTTCTGCTGGGGTGTCTCCTCTCGATGCATGAGTGGTGGCCCTGTACGAAGTACCTTCATAAACAAATTAAATAGAGAAACAAAATAGGCTGCCTTATTAGAAAGTTCAGGACCGATCGATTTTCGACGAGGGCAAGGCTTACATATAAAATTCGACTCTGGTGCCTACAGTTTTTTCAACCCCGAGGACAGCTTTGACTGCAAACGCAGGTCTTGACGCCCATATTCTTCAGAATTCTTTTGTAAGGTGGGCTACGTTTTACTACTGCATTCAGGGAAGCAATAGTTTATATGCAAGGGACATAACAGTATCGCTATGTAAGCCACGGAAATACAAACTTTGAACAATATATATATTTATATGGCCATATGTGCCCGCGATATATACAGGCCTGAAATCAGCTAGAATATGCACAATGAAATGGCGAAATTCCAACGACGGCATTCTCGACTGCCTGAAAAACGAGAGAAATCAACCTAAACACATTTCCCTGGTATGCTGGCGGTCGAATTCTTCACATAAGCTGCCAACGGGCTGCCCCCACACAGCAACCCCTTAACAAACTGTGCCGAAACTACTTCCGCGCCCTTGGGACTTGTATGAGTATGGTCTTTCGGATAAAAGGAATTGGTAGCATTGGTCCCCAGACGAATATACTCATTCGCCACAAGTTGTCCGTGGTCCACAAACGCCGCCATATTGCCAACGTTGCCCACAACTATCTTGCAATATCCCGTGAACCTGCTCGCGGAATATGAACATGGCCCACCCTCGCAGACATTATTTGGAGTCGGAGAGCTTATAATAACGCGTGCGCCTTTGGCGGTAATCAATTTCGCCGCATTGGTTAAGTAGGTAGGGTAAGTTTGCACCACGACGCCGGCGGGAGTGGTGCATGTCTCGGAGCCTGCACCACCACAGTCGGTCCGGCCATTATCGGTAGAGGAGAGTGAGCCACCATCGTTGTGCCCGAATTCTATAATCACAAAATCCCCAGCTATAACTTTATCTGCGATTGCTTTAAATCGGCCTTCGTCGGAGAAGCTGCGCGCGGAGCGTCCAGCAATTGCGGAATTGACAACATTTACGCCTGTAAAGGAGTATGGCAGGTAGACACCCCAACCTGTAATAACTCAAATGTTAGCTTGCAAATAGAGTGGGAATATTTGGCGCGATTGAGGGTTTCTAAAGCAGAAGAAAGGGGACAGACCATCAGTGAGACTTCCTCCGCCGCCTTTGGCCATGGTGGAATCGCCAGCAAGATATACCGTAGGTGTGGCACGCTTTAAGATGGCATTCTCTGCTGGAGCAGCCATGGTAAGAGTCGCTAGAGAGACCGCGATGGCCCCATATAAACTTTTCATGATTGCAGCTTGAATTGGAGCTCGAAAGACTTGAGACAATATAAGGATTGGCTAATTTGAATCAAGTGCTCAGTGGGAACATAAATATATGAACCAGAATAAAAGTATTAGAATTAGAAAAGGGAAACCTCATGAAAACCAAACTTAGAGGAACATCGAGAAAAACAACTTGTTTCTCCGTCGATATTTACCCCGAGGGACCATCAACTATTATCCCAATGGTGGAAACATATGCCACCCCATGAGCGGAATTTCCGGGAACAAGAGCCGCGTGACGGATTAATGTGCAATAGGTCGGCCGTTGTCCTCATTATGAGTGTGGGAAGAGGTACAAGAAATCTGCTGCTCGCTCAGCCGGCGGCTGAAGGAGCCCTTGTAAAGGTGGGGAAATGCGTTCGATAGGCTTCTGGTGGACGGTTTGAGAGTTGAGAGGGAACTACCTCGGCAAGCAAAGATATATTATGACCCCTAGTGATTCCTAGAAGACACATTTGTAGTTGAACAAACCCTAAGTATGGCTGCGTTGCACCCAATGCGTTCTAGAATTTGATACATCTCTTCCGAGCCAATCTCAGATGCCAGTGGATGGCAGTGAGGGACAAATAAAGCGAGACACCGAAATCTCGAGACCTGCAGACATTATAATAATGCTACTTCGTAGGCTGTAAAGAGGTGGCAGTTTCTGGATATCTCAAATACACTCTGTGATTGTTTGTGGTAATTTAGCACATATGACACGTTGACATGTATTAGCATTATTTTGCTTACTAAGAAATGTCGCTCTGGTCAATCACGAGACTAGTAAAGAGTTAATACGCGGATTATAAGCTTAAAGACTAGCTTCTAGAGCTAGAGATAAACATGAAATGGTCTAACGGCGTGGGGCTACTAGGTCGAGGGGCGTAAGTGTGCAAGAGAGGAAGAGGAAGTGGATTCAGCGAAATGGGCGAAGCCTGGCCAGGTACAAAATTGGTGCCTAGCATGCAGCAATAAGGCCTCAGGCTTAAAAGATATTCGCAAGCCTTTTTAATGTACAATGTCGTTTGCTACCAAGGTTAAGTTTTAGGTGTACGATACAATGATAAATTACGTGCAATAGATCAGAATCACCTTACGGTTCGCGAGGCAGTTCTTGTCAGTTGTTACTACTTATTTCAGGCGACAAAATAACCCTGACACACCTACCTAGGTACCTAGGAAGGGTAAGGTATCCAAGATTAGGATAACTGCACATCTTTCTCAATCCCACCTCCACGGCTGAATTTATCTCCCCAGAGTGCCAAAACATGAGTCCTCATGTCTTCTCCTGCGTTCTTTGCGGATACGTAATGTATGACCTTGCAAACCTAAACCTTATATCTTGGTTGAAACAGATTCGTATTCGTGAGTATCTGCTGGCTGTCGTTCTGCCGTGGAAATGGAAATGCTAACCTGCGATCAATAGTCTACTCTAGCCGAAACGGGATTGCGGTCACAGGAGTTGGTCTTTACACTGGCACCTTCGACAATTGGATAGCCCCGTTGGACTTCACCGCGCGTTGGGATGACGCGGGATACAACTTCCCAACTCGTGACCAGATTGGAATGATTCAACAGCATCCGGTTACCGGCCGATACGGCTTTCCCTTCCATGAAGCTTGCTGGTCACTTCTGGAGAAGGCCTATTCCCCCGAGCCTATCCCCTGCAAAGCTCTCTTTGAAATTTGCCGGTCGCTACCATCTCCATCGAAAGGGACTGGCCTCAGCTGGGGCCACGATTCCGGGGGGTTAATTCTCGTGGATAACCAGGACCGCTATCCTTGGGAGGACCGCTTCGTAGATACGGAGCGTAGGGGCGGTGACTGCGCTCCAGGCCTGGCCCCAAGGAGCGATCCTTATCATGTCCCAGAGATTCTGCAAGTCCTGTATGAAGATCCTCAAGCTCCGCCGGCTATAAACTCCTCTCGGCCGCCGGTAACAATAGTGATCGATTGTTTTACTGTGCTTCCTGAGGAGATTCGTATTGCGATTGCGTGTATGCTGCCAACATCGGATGCTCTGAACACCCGTCGAGCTTCGAGATCGTTTCTGTCTATCTTCTACAACTAACTATTCTGGGCCTCTAGATTTAGGGCTAACGCAGACCGTTCTTGGCTTTTAGAGTCACATGACTGGGCTAAGGAACAGGACTGGAGATGGCTGTATCGTCGCACAAATAAGGCTCACCGCACTCGAGGGACACAAAATCGGGAAAGAGTCTGGAAATTAATCCAACACGTCCGGGGAACACTACGGTTGCGATGGTCCGAATCGGCTGTACTCCCTTCTCCTATTCCTAATCCAGCCAGTTTAATGTGGTTTGAGGCAACTGGGGACTTGCGGCCCCAGGGACGCACCGGGCTATATCACAGCTTCAACGAAGGCTGTCGTCTGTTCCGCGAGCAACAAACATCTATTCCCAGTTTACTTTATCAGATTGCGTTCTCTATCATTCCGCTTGGAGATGCAGAATACATCGCCGGAATGAGGCTTATTCCCAGCCAAGGAGAAGATATACAGTTGGGATACAGGACAGAAGGGAGAGAACTCTTTCTGAATATTACATTCCTAGGAGGGTTCAACTTGGCCGTGGGATCAAGAGGCATACAAGGTATCCAATGCATTGCCGACGATAAACAATCAGCATGGTTTGGATGTCCGCATGAGGCCCCAAGAACGAGGCGTCTCGCGGCTCGTAACCGTATAACAGCTATCAAAGCTGGGTTCGACGTATGCAGACCATAGCTTATTTTCTTCTTGCCTCCTCTTCGTGTTGCTTTGAGCACCGCTGATTTAACCTTATAGGGATGTAAGATGGTTAGCTTAGCGATTGTAGAATCCGTCCCACTTACTGTCGAGAAGGCAATCGAAGACAAACCATTGCGAGATTCCGCATTTTGGTATCCTCAAATTCCCGGGATTGGTTTGTACTTAAACGATGGTTATTTCGTAGCACGAGACTCTTCGACGACCAGGTATCAGCCGCTGTGCCGGACGATGTTTGGAGGACCGGGAGGCATATATCTCAGCTACTTGACCGGGATTTCTGTCACCTACTGGGGCGAGTTATGTGGCATCGAATTCCATTATAACACTGAGAACGTCCCAATCGAATGCCGCAAGCTGGGGCGGTATAAATCTTCCGAATATGACAAGGTCATACACTTTTCCATTGACGGTCCTGGCGGAGAAGTCATCGATGCCACCGAGGTATATCTCAAGTATTACCCTAGCGAAAAAGTGCTTTGGTTCTACAAACACGGGACTTGGGAATCATTCAAGGCAAGTCATTCGTATCTCAAAAATGATTTTGACACACCAAGATCGCTTCAAATGACACACAGTTTTGGATTAACTTAGATTTCTACGAATCGCGGGAGGTCTTGCCACTTCAGACAGGGATGGACCGATACGCCAACCAACTTTGTAAAAAAGCCCATAATAGTTACCCCCGGAACCACTATTAACGGATTTTATTGGAGTCAGGTACGTGAAAAGCCTATACAGTAAGTGGACAATAATATTGATCAGCAAATTCAGCATGAAAATAGCCTCACAGCTATAGGAGTGATCTCAGAAGTGATTGGAGAGGAGCATTAGGGGAGCATCGCTACCTAACTAGGGCGAACCTTCCAGCCCTGTGTATCTCAGCGAATAATCGGTGCAACCTCCAATTATTTCCCAGATCCACCCCTACCGTGTCCACCTCCCTCCCCTCCAAAAATTGCTAATGTGGCTCTCAGCATGTTTGTACTTGTCGCAAAAAATGCGCGCAATAAGTAGAGTGCTCGTTATAGTGACTTATCAGTTGGTTGCGCAGGTGGTATTGTGCAGTGGCAGGGTCAGAATTACGGAATCTTGACTACAAAATGCTTACGAGTAGGTACTACCTGCGAATTTAACTCTGGCATACATACTTGCTCCATTATTCAAACTCAAATGTTGGGCCAAGGGCTTCCAGAATGCACACGAGCTTTTAGATACGTTAGGTTCCATTACTCTACGTTAACAGCATATGTTGGGTGGCATTAACCTTCTAATGTGACAGACTTATCTAGCCTAGGTTGCGGGAGAACCAAGGTCGAGAATCTTACCTGGGCTGTAGGAAAAGTAAGGGTTGCCTTGCCTAGGCTGGAGTGAAACAAAGCCTTCGAGTTTCAATTCTTTCTTATGCATATATGCCTCCTCTCGTTTTAGCCCGTTAAGACGAGCCGTGTGGTGCGGTATTCCATTCATTACTCTACCTGCATGCACGTTTGGGACTCTAACACCAGAGTCTGTTTAGTCAATATCGAAATAAGTCACCTCAGGCTTCTCTAGAGCCTGCATATCTTTTGAGAAACCGCTCGTCAATAGTCGAGGCAAACCATGAGGGTATATTACAGTCAAGAGGCAATGTATCGAGCTAGTCGACAGAGACATGACTATATCGTGATAAACGGGGTGGGGTGGTTGATATTTAAGTAGCAAAGCCAGGCTATATTGTGCTGTTTGCGGATCCGAAAATCTGCTCCAAACTGGGAACGATCCTGTGGATCATCCTCCGTCACTTGATTCGACGGCCGTAATACTACGAAATATTATCTGTTTTCTGCCTTTAAAACACCAGCATCGTCACTCTCCGCTTCTAGAGCTACATCACTGACACCAGCAACTATTATACTGCTCAGCTGGCAACCGTATACATCGTTGCCCATCCTCTCGATTAATGGCCTAGAATTCCGGTTTAGAGAAAACCGAGTCCACGATATAACCAAGAAAACCGTCAATCTATGCGAAAACACTATGTACCTTTCATTACATGACTCTTCCACGCTATTGCAGATCGTCTTGGATCTTCCGATTCTTGCTACATTACAGTCGTCTTAGCCCTACGATATTACATTATAAACTAGCCAGAACCCGAAGTGGAAACCAACTTGGCATCTCCCACAGGTGCGTGTTTCAAAGCATGGTGAAAATGCACATCGAGTGCTATATAGGCTACCGAATGAAAATTTGATTCCATCCCAACCCATTTTTGTATAATACGGTTTAGATAAAACTACCAGATCGTGCGTTTTTGTTTGTCTCGGATCGATATTCACTTAATAGTCACCGGAGGGTGGTGAGTCATTGGCCGGACAGCTGCGTCGGTGAGTCTAAGGCTGAGATTACACGAGTACAAGGAGTCGGACTTGCATCTCTCACTATAAAAGACGATCAAAAATATTTTTTCCCTCTCCTGCTGTGCAGTATTCTTGCTCTTCTATACCTGGAAGGTACGATAGCTAGAGCCCTTCAGCACCAAGAAACCTCGGGCTTTTGTGTTCCCTCGTACCTTTGTTACTAGCCCACTGAGACATTTATATGCCTTATTGCAGCCTCGCCTTTGACGTATCCTCACCTACCCCGATACAGTCCAACTTTTCCTCAGTTTTGGATATTGATCTCTAGGGGCACAGTTGCAACCCGACCAAAATGGCGGCCTCCAGCGGTAACAGCAGTAGCCTCCACCAACGGCTCCTACAGGATATCTCCGAGCTTCAGACTAAGCCTTACCCCAATATCGACTTGCACATCCGTGAGAATGACTTCCACAATGCTTGCCTGGTCCTGACTGTCGAATATTATGGACCTTTGCATCTCACCGTTCACTTTACAACAGACTATCCCCTGTCGCCTCCCACCATCCGCATGGATTCTGATATTAGACATCCAAATATCTTTGGAACTTATATCTGTGCTTCAATACTCAACACTGTAGAAGGTTACACACCGGCGTATACACTCAGGGGCATCGCTATCCAACTACTTAGTTTTTTCAGTAGCGATTCAATAGAACAATCTGGCGGTGGATACAATATCGATCTCAGCACGTATCGGGAGGGACACAAACAAAACAGCAGACCTTATTTATGCCAGAGTTGCGACTTTGGAAGGCCAACATTCAAACTAGCGGATGTTTCTTCCGCAGCTTCTGAAGCTTCCACAAGTCATGGGCTAGCACCTCGGATACTACCAACTGATATTGGATCCCGGGCAGGAAACAAGACGATAGAGAAATCTTTGACTGCCGTCGGACCGGCCAGCTTTGACACCCAAAATTGCAAGTTGCCGGAAACTGTACCACCTGCAAAGGGGATCATCGATGCGAAGTTGCCTGATGAGATCCTCCTCCTATTTTGCGAGAAACTTGAGACAGACGACCTCTTGGCGTTTGCTAAGGCATGGGAGAGGGTCGGTTATGTGATGATGACCTTTGATGTTATACGCACCAAAGAGCTGCAATGCTTCTGCCTCAAGAAGGACTATACGTCAAGCAAACTTGGAGTTGGGGTCAGTGTGGGTGGTCGCAGGACGATGGGCTTCTTCGAGTCGGAATTCGATCTTTTGTCGGAGGAAGGATTTAAGACACATGGAATTCGTCGCTCAGTCCAAGGCGTGCCCTTTCAACACTGGCTGCCGTTGCCAATATCTCAGGGCCACTGGAGAAAGATACGACAGGACGCTCATGAATCACTCTCAAGTCTCTCGACCGGAGTAGATCGGGGGAGTGACGCCCAAGTCGAGACTATCTACCACTTTATGAACGATGTAGTGGTGAAGCTCAACCATCAAGCATCCACGGCGGCGTCTCGAGCACAGTACTATCACGATGGAGAGGTCCCCAAAAGTTCACTCACACATGCCTCAGAAAAGGCTATCGAATCCTACTTTCATCTCTTCCACCTTTTGCTTTGCCTTGCAACAGAGCAGCCTGGCATCGTGCGGTTATCAAATGAGCGACTAGATAAATTCGTACGAGGCGGAACATCGAAGACAGATTGTCCCAATCTTGGGCATCTTCTAGTCGCTATGCTTATCAGTGACGTCGAAATGACCCCCGAGATAATGAAAACCATCATCAAGGAGACTATCACAAGGAACGTCGTCTGGATGCTGGACAAGAGGGGGGCAAACATGCCAGAGCTCAGCTACATCGAGCCAAATGAGGGCTCCAATTATCGTCTTCAACAAACCTTCCAGGCGAGCAAAACCTCATACAGACTCCTGATGTTCCTGAACCTCTTCCGAAAGACCGCCGTTGGCCATCCTCGTAAACCACTCACTCAACTTCGCGATGAGGCTTTTATTAGGCATGGCGCACCACCAATGGGGTCAGCTAAGGGGCTGGCAGATTCAATCAAGCGCATCCATGAAGTCGAAAGTTTCCCAGCCTTCTTTCGCGCGATGGACCTGGAGACCCCACAGGAAGCCCAGTTTACTGCCTTCCTGAAGAGCACAATTGTAGAAAGCGTGAAGAAGGGCTATTCATCAATGCCTATCACACAGGGCCAAGCTTTAAGCCTCCGACAGATAAAAGATCCTGGAATTGGGATCGCAGTGCCTGGAATAATTCCCGCGCGTGTGAATATAGAATGGATGACTTTCTTTCCGGCCAAAAACAGGGGTAGAAATAATCGGCGCACATAGCTGGCGGATTACTGGTCTCTCTTTTAGTGGCTATTATGATTTACTTACTATTCGGTTCTACTGTGCAAAAGCTCTCAACTCTACACGACTATATTCCGGGGAACCATTTCGGCTCCCAGGGAGCTAAACAGGATCCCTCAATCTCCCAAGGCAAACGCTTTGCGCCACTGCCCCAGTTCCGCTCCTCTTCAGCGCTCCCCATACACCGCCACCCGAACTATTATTGGCATTTATAGTACTACAATTGCAAACATGTCTGTTTAGATGACTATACTTCGCGGTGGTTGCGTTTAAAGTATAACACCTTGCCATACTACCAGATAGCGTATATGCCTGGTTTATACAGCAATTCAGACTACTTTGGCTTAAAGTACGCGAATTTAGCCTAGTAAAATGTAGAGCAACTGACACTTTATATTAAAGCCTAAACTACTCTAACTAGTAATATTGGTATTATACATTTTTAAAGCAGCACTACTTCCTCGACCGTCCAAGGTTGAAACAACTTCTTCGCCTATAGAGAATTTGAAGCTTTTGAGAGGAACTTTGAGACTCTTTGTATTTTTATTTGATTTGAGAATAACGAAAGGGGTTAGATTTAAACTTCAATTAAAGCTTCGTCAAATTGGGTGGCAAAAGGGAGGCCGTCAGGCTTCGGTCTATTTGTAAACACGTCGACTATGCTACTCCCTGATATCTACTAGACTCCTGGTCTCATCATCCATCGCCAGCCCACGAAGTATCTCAATCAATCCTATGCTGCCCCTCCCTCCTTTTTCAACCCCACTGACGCCCTTCAAGCCCAGTTCTAATCTCCACACTCTTCAAATTTACAAAATCCTTTAACACAGTCTCTTACTTTACTCCAAGGGAATATACCCACCCTCCTGATTCAACTAGTGCAAGTGCACACCAAGGTCCACACCGATATTCACTATGCTCCTCTTCTCTTGATGGTATCCAGCGAGGCATTTAAATAGATATATAGTTTAACTCTTGCGGAAAATTGGAACACAAAGTAGCATTATATAACAGCTCGATAGCATCGGATAGATCAAAGGAGGCGAAGTTAAGGATTGGGAGGCAGAGTTCGATAGGTAGACTGAGAAGCGTTGGAGCCGACTGGGCCCATAGTATGATCATGTTGGATTCCATCTTGCGGCATCAACAATTGCCTAGGATTTCTCTAAACTTGAAAGAAGCGAAGGAGGCTTAGCCTTGCCAAACGCAATAATCTACCAGTGATAGCAGGGGGACGACGCCTCATAAGGTATACGTTCCTGTCCCCCATGAACCTGTAGAAGGGAAAGGCAGAGGATTAGATCGGATACCTCAGCCGCATTCCATTCGGCACCCAATTAGAGCCGTAGCAATCGAAGCTACAAGTAGTGAATCTTAAATATCTTTTTTGCCTATATATTTAATTCACGACGTGTAAGACAAGAAAAGGATCTGACAACGAGTCCCTAAACAATCCCTGCGCCATATTATAATTTTGCCCGGGGGTTAGTAGGTGTATCTAATGAGTCAAAACAGGCTCTCTATATCCCTAGCTCGAGCCTTTGTTCCCTCCCGGTCTCTACTTTTGCTTGACGTAACTAACCACGCTTCACCCCCCTCCTCACCCAACTCACTCCGCCTCACCTTAGCTCATCCGATATCACTGATAAAACAGCTTAGCTCACCTTTCCGAGTGGAAACAGATTTCCTTCACATTAGGATTGACGTGCTAGACTAGGCTATAACAACAGGAGCATCAATGCTGTTTTAGATATTCTGTTTTCAACACACCACGTAACTACACCAAGCACCCAGAGAAAGAAATGTGAAGCTCAATTACGCCTAGGATAGCTAATTTCCATATTCACGTATCCTCGATTCTTCACGAAATGTCAAAATTGTTCTGCGTCATTCCAGAGGAGCAGCTGCAGCCTCTGCCGTCCTAGGTGGATCGACGCTAGACACTTTTTAGCCACGGCGATGCAAAATCTTAAGGAGTTTTGTTCCTTGTTTGACACTCATATCTTTAAGGTCAGTCAGAAGGTTTTCAGTTAGGCGGTCGATTTGCGAAACCTTAGCTAAAGATGCGAGAACTTGACTTAGTAAACGAGGCGTGCGTTCTTCTGGGAAGTAATCCGATTTGTTAATCTCTGGCATTTCCCAGGCACAGCTGCATTGCTCTTCATGCTTTTCATCCTCGCTTGTTTTTATGCAATGCTCGCTCCATCGGTTGCTCCATTCCCCTTCCCGAGTCTCACATGCTTTTTTGTATGCCTTGTATTCGTTGATTGTGTAAACGGAACCTTTATTCTCAAACCATTCCTCTACTATCGTGGGAAATCTCTCCTCCTTGACAGTATTTCCGAAAATGCCAACAAGGGATATTCCCCCTTCCATTTTCATCCATCCTTGATCAAGAATTTCACGGAGGTCAAACAGATGTTCGATACACGAGATATGGAAGAAACGGTTGGGCTCTAAAATCAAATTAAGCTCGAAACATAACCTCAAGGAGATGTGTACTCACGAGAATACCAAGCCCTATCGCTTCGACGTTCACCAGTGCGATCTATCAAATTGAAGCGGTAATCACACTCAATATTTGGACGACCACGTAGTAGCTGTGGAATGCAAAAATTGGCTCGGCAATAACTTCTCCAGTTAGATGTTGTCTCCAAAACCAAGATAGACGATCCCGAGGTTAGTTGCTCCATAATGTCCTCTCTGTCAAGCTCTATGATGTCACCCTGTCCCGGTCCTGAGGACTCAGAATCATCACTTTCTCCTTCTCCAGAATCGGGCTCCTCGCCATTCTCCTCTGCATCATCCTCGACTGTCCCCACTTCGTCTTTTATGGTATCTCCCGAACTCACTTCTTGCTCAAGTGTGCTTGCCGGATCTATGACGCTCACATCTCCGCGATTTTGCCTCTTCTTATCACCTCCCACCTGACTGCTAGAACCAGAAGCCATACCCGGGTCATCTTCCTGAGATCGCTTCACGGCCAAAGAAGTGCCTACGCTGGGCGCGTCATCTATCGAGGCAGCTGCAGTCTCTTTGGCTGCGGGTGGCATGGGCATCGTCCGAACAAGTGGCCGATGAAGTTTACCGTTTAGGTAAGTTGTGTAAGGTAAGGTCAGTACTCCGTACAATGACGAAAATAATGGGTTTTTTCGACTTCGAAGAATCTTCCAGCCTCCAGGCAGATTGATGTTGGTTTCTTGTTGCAAAATCCGTCTCGGTGATAACGTGATTAGTCATTTCAGGCTACAGACTGGCGGGTTATTAATACAAAGTTGGCAATTCAAATTCTATTAAAAGACTTAGCGTGGGATCCGAGTTCGGTCCCTGGGGGAATCTGTCAAAGACCAACAAGGGAGCCAAAACGGATTCTCCGACTTCTCGAGGCAGTCGTAGCCAAGGAGCCCAAACGAGTCGCCACTAGCACAAGCCCCTTTTGAACTAAGATAGTGAGGAGCCGCATTTTGATTTTTCATTCTAAGAATAGAATTCGCGAGATCAGCTTCTTTATAATGCCAGTTTGTCCTCATGATAATGCGGTCGTAGTCTGTCTTTTTCTGCACGGTCCCAATTCGTTTAATTGCATTTCACAAAATCTTTTTCTCGTAATAATAAATAAATCGTTGCAACGACTTGTAACGATAGAGGTTACATGTATAATTATCGCGGTAATCTCAGATGACATTTCTTCGAATTCGCGTTTAGTTAGCATCGCTACTCTGCCCAGGCACTACTCACCCTCTGCTCAGGTTACTTAGACGTTCTGCACCTGACTTCCATCCCTTGCAGACAACCAGTAGCCCCCTTAGAGAGGAACGCTGTAAAGGGCAAGCCTCCTGTCTTAGCCTCTCAGATTATCCTTCTCTCCGTAGCCCTAGGTCTTTGGGTAAAGGCATTTTCCTACGAAATCCGGACAGTAGGTGTCACCTAACTCCTCCGTAACTCTGCTCGTACATGGCCGTTATACTCCTCTAAAATAACGTACAAGGTTGGCTCGCAATTTATTCAAGGTAGCTCCTCTAGGTTGTTCTTATCAGCCCTTCGTGTCTTAATTCCATGTCTTAATTCCATGTCTTAATTCCATGTCTTAATTCCATGTCTTAATTCCATGTCTTAATTCCATGTCTTAATTCCATGTCTTAATTCCATAGGAATTAAGTGAATTAGCTTAAGGATCAGAAGACTACGTATTACAATCTAAACAAACTTTCAGTCGATGCTACGCGTTAGCCAAATTCCCTCACGTATTATATATACTCTTGTAGCTCTCAGGCTGAGAATTGTACGCCTCATCGGTCGCTTTAATAACCACCATTGAGCATGCCGTATCTAGCCTGTCAGATCTATCAACATTAAAAGTGCTTTCATATCACCATCTCGTCCATGCCTAAGACTTTCGCCCTACCGATAACATCTTATCGTCCAGCAGCACAGCTCGATCCTAGGTGTCCCCACTATCAGTACTAACATCGACCCTTATAACCTTTCTTCCCCCGCCCAAATAAGCATAGCCTTCCAACAGCATCTTCTAGCCCTCCAATTTCGCCTTTGTTACTGCGCTCGTAATTGGCATCTCTGGTATAGAATACGCCTTATCCCAACCTGGGTGTTTCTCATTTAGACCAAAAGATTTATAGTCCCTCCGCTACCATTGAGCATCACTTTCTTCGTCAGACACAGTGATGCGCTTTAACCACTCAATAGACCTTACAGCGACATGCCCTAGCACGATGGCTTGTAGTAGGGAACCATGTTCTCGTGGTAGCAGCCCGCTGTTCATCGTGTGCTAGCATAACGTCCCTGTATGGATTAAGAGCCGATTCAATGGGTATAGAAGCTCTGTATGCTTCGCTACCCAATGTGCTTTGCTTCTGTATCGCCTTGGATAGCTGGTTGGGCTGGAAAGCCTGCATCGATGAGGACGCCAGAGAGTCTAACACCTTCCTACACAGCGGTCAATATGGCACCAACTTTCTATTGAAGGCCATTTGCCTACTGTGCGTACGTTGTCATGTCGCTTCAACGATTGCCTGCACATTGCAGAGTTGCCGAGACCTTTATAGGCTTGAACTTGTCGCGGGGATCTTGCATCGTGTACTGCTTGGTACTACCATCGAGCAGCTCAACCTCGAGGGTGAATTTTCCCTCCTCAACCTTGGGCACCCACGTGTGGTTCCGCACATAGAAAAGCTCATTCGGCGTCATGGGGCTACTCGACAACGTCAGCCGAGCTCTCGGCATTGCATGGCTTCGCAGCGATGGTACGGAGCCTTGAACCGCGCGGCGGATCATGTTGAAAAGTGTCCTCGATCTCCTGTACAGCCGGTTTGCTATCGACAAGACCGTCAGAGTGTACAGACCCAATTCTATACTGATCGAGTATTTCGTAGATATATGCCGTTTTGTGGATGGTGAAGATGTCGGAGTACGGGTCGATGCTACCGCCAGCAGCCTCTAGTATCACTTCGCCGCCAGGACGAGCGGCGACCCAATCTGTGACGACATAGGCTGTGTCTCCACGTGTGGCCCACGGACCGCCTGATTTGCCATCGTGCTTTCGGATATCTGATAGACGAAACCTGGCCAGCGTCGGATCACGAAGGTCTCGAATTTGATGGGATAGGCAAACGTCGTCGGCCCGTAACGAAGAAGAACAGAGGGGCACACCGGCCGCGAGGACGCTAGTTCCGGCAAGCGGAAGCGGAAGCGCAAAAGTAGTCAACGGTCTAGCGAGACGCAATGGTCTTGATTTGATAGGTGTTGTAGACATCGCGAACCTGCTGCTCACATATCGAACTTGGATGCGGCCATACTGCGACGCCGCGAGGCGTATTACTCGGGTGACAGTATAACGGGGGGCCTGCATTGTCGTCGGATTTGGAAGGAGCCATCGAGAGCACGGAAGAGAACAAGAAGAAGATTCTCACTGGGTTTATCTCCACCGCCCAAAAGGGACGGGCAACGGCGACAGCTCGGAATTCCGAATGCTGGGATTCTGTGGGAAAGCTCAAAATATGCCGCGGACTTGGTCTGCTCGCATCAGTACACATCGGCATTTAGACGTCAAGGCGTTTGCACAAACGTACCTCGCAGCCCGCTCAAAGCTTCAAACGCCGTGGCATAGTTCTCAAATATTGTTGAAACGGACGTCAAGCCCATTCGCAGACGCATGAGCAGGTTTTCAGCCACCGGATTCGCTGCTCCGTTCTCCGAGAAAATTGAGTCCACCCTGCTGTGCACCATGGCCAGAGTGTATGTACACTGCATGGCACAACATGCCAAGGATGGCATCAACCGAGGAGCGGCGAGAGTAGAAGCAGGCATGAGATAGCATGGTGGTATACAAAATTCGCCAGTCGGATTTGGAAATGGGAGGTCGTTAAAGGTCTGAGCGACGTTGAGGGCAGCTTTGAGACAGATTTTCGTGGATTGATGCCTAGTAAACGGGAGAAGATCAATCGCGCCAGGCACGAGAACTGATGGCAAGCCCTTCAACGGACTTGGGCTGTCAAGTTCGTAACTACTCAAGGAAGGGGCGGAACTGGTGGGTGATTTCGAGTCCAGATCACAAAATTTACCCACAAATACGGGTTTGTCGTAAAACGCACAGTATCTGTGTATTTTAATCTTCGCACTTATATGGTCAGCTGCTGGTCCGTTGCGATGCAGCTGTCATACCTATTGAGTTTAATGCGAGCCATGCATCTTAGAGCACGAGAAACAACTTCTTCGGTGCGTTCCAGTGGCGACGTGGGCGAGCCTTGTAAGATCCAAGTATCTGCTACTCTGTTCACGCCCTCGACGTGCTGCTCGAGCGCTTTCATCCTTTCGCAGACACTGAACATGTCGTCGTTTGCTTTGGCCGTCTTGACAAGCTCGGCCGCGAATTGCGTACAAGTCAAGAGGATCTGCTGAGCCTGGATGAACAACTCAAATGCCTAGAATTATGTCAAAACAAGCGAGCGCAACAGTTCTCTGGAGGTGAACACACCTCGGGATCAGCTTGAACGAAAGGATACTTTGTAACGGAACGCTGGGGTAGAGCTGAAGATGTCGGCGCCTGACCCAGCTTTTAGCTCTGTACATAAGCTCATAGATTCATGCTTACCGAATTGCTAACAATGCTTGCTTGGGTCATGCAGATGTACTAAAAAAAGTGTTAGGCTGGATCATGGGCAAGCCGGTTCACATACCGTCATCCACCACACTCGAGCTTTCGCTTCTGAGTCGGGATCTTCCTCCGAACATTCGTGGAGCGACAAAGCTATTGCCGACACCAAAGCCTGCCCTGCCCTCGACTGCATCTTCTTGAGATTACCACGCTGTGCATACTCATAGAAGCTAAGGATATCAAGCGTGATAATTTCCTCTAATTCCTGGGGCACCTCTTGATGAAATCGGTGCGTTTCAAGTTCGTCTCTGGGTTCCGCAAGAGCGGTAGATGGGTTTATGAATTCAGGGATGTCCTTTTCGCTTTCAAGACTTTCAAGTGCAGAGTGAGCGAGGTAGTGCGCATAGTTGCGTCTGAACAAAAGGGACTCTTGCGTCTGATAGTTGAAATCATCGGCACAAGGGATCAATGCAAGCACGGCAGCTATGGCAAGACCAACTGCACTGGATGGCTCATACTTGGGGATGCCATCTTTGCGGAGATTTACTGGAAGGTCCAGAGGTGTGAGGACCGGGGGTGGAAGGATAGGAAAGAATGGATGTATGTAGACATAGTATGCCTCGAGTCTATCAGAGTCAGAAGATGTTGGTCGATGAGACGAAAGGACATACATTGCGTAATCAGACTCATACGTTCTCACCATAGGAGTGGATACAGTGATCCCCGATAAATTTGCTGTACCCGGTAAGAACAGACTGTCGAATATGTAATCGCTGTCCTGTAAGAGTTCTGGAAGTTCTATCAGGCCAGCGCCCGGCTCGATGAAGTTCTCGATCGCAACCTCTACATACACGATCAGCCGGTTTCATTGGCGAAGAGGTGCACACTTACGATGCGGGTGTACTTGGTCTACCGATACTTCCGACAGGGAATATGAAGGTTGAATAGAATCGCGGCGATTTCGCCTTGTTCTGGCGCCACCCCTTCTGCTTGGTCTATAACTGCATTCTCGTTCTCTAATTTGGCACTGTCCTCGCAGCTAGCTCAGTCAATGCTCCTACTCACGCGGGCAGTTCATGCGCATACATTATTACACGGGCGCCCGCCATCGCACCGTGTCTTCAAGCTTCTACTAAGAAATCCAGGTAAGCACCATCAAGTGAGCAGCGGATCGGTGGGTGTATGATACCAGGACAAGCAAGCGACCCGAACTGGCGGAGGCGTGGTTGGCCATCCCAAGCCGTTGTCACTCATTTCCGAGTCTGATGCACCGAACGTGCAGCGCAAGGCCAGCAGGTTTGGGCCATTATTGTTCTTATGAAGTCCTACAAAATAGCCAAGTTACTAATACCGCCAGCGTCAGGCGTTACTCGTTCAAGTAGAAGGAATTACTTCGTATGCTGACGGCGATTGCATCATTTTTGGCCGCGATGCGCAATCCGAGTGGTCCGTGCCACACACAAATTCTGGGAAGTTGAGAACGATTCATGAGCATCGCGCGTCTGTTCCAGGCCATCCCACTTATAGATTACAACCACTCTTCACCTCCGCTGCCCTATTATTATTGTCCCAACACGAATGTATGTCAGTTGGAAATCACATGCTCATCACCCCCCTTCTCTCCTTTAGTAGTACCAGGCACTTCACGGGTGACGCTCGGTATCTTGTTGAGCAAGTCTGAGCCATATGTTGGCGGAGGCGATCGGGTCTTCTTTTGCCCACCTAAGTCCAAGCCATTCAAATTGAGATCTAGCTCGTCCCACGCTCGAGCATTTATCCTCCGCCACATCTTCTTCCGCAGCTCAAGACCATCCAGAAAGGCCTTGAACCACTCCCGTTTGAAAGGTGGCAGCTGCCGGCCCAGACCGTGCTCGCCGGGTCCAGCCAATGCCCGAACGGCCTCGAAATAATCCTCAAAGTCGGGAAAGATCAGGGTGAACTTGGGGCCATCACCTCTAGCAGCGATCCGATCCTGCTCCCAATTTTCTTGCTCGGCCATGGGTGGGAGGATGGCTCGGCCGGCTAGGATGCGCGCCGTGAGCACAGCTTGATATTCGAAGATTTTGAAAGTCAAGCCTGCAGCTACGGCGCCAATGAAGAGCAGGGTCGGATCTTTCTGATATACAACATGCTGATACAGGTTCGGGACGCGATTGTTTCTGACCTCTACTTGGGGCAGGAACGGTAGCGTCCAAGAGTATCCGGTGCCGAAGATAATGTTGTCGACGTCCCGAACCGTGTTTCCATCGACGAAGTGGACGGTACGACCTTCGATTCGTGATATGGATGGCTGCTTTGAAATATGGGGGTGATTGAAGGCCTCATCGCCAAAGTACGCGTTGGCTCTGTGGCCGCTTACGACTGCGTAAACTGGTGATACCACGGTATTGACGAGATCCACTGCAATATCTGCCCCTGACACGGAGGCCCCGACGATAACAACCCGCTGAATGTGTGTCAGCCTCGGCATAACTGTCTCGAAAAATGGTATTCACCTTTCCTTGGAAGTACTCCTTTCCACGAAATTGCTTGCTGTGTATGACGCTCCCAGGCCGTAGCTTCTCAAACTGCTCGAGTCCTTCAATTGCTGGCACATAAGGTATCGAATAATGGCCGCTGGCGACAACAACGGCATCGAACCACTCGACCCACCAATAATCTTTCTCAGCACCATCCCTTCGTAGCGTCACCTTCCACTCGTGGCCCACCTTCTCAACGTGTTCCACGGTTGTGTTGTAAGATACCAGATCCTGGTAGCCATTGCGGTCCACAAGTCCCTGGATGTATCTCTGCATGACAGACCAGTGGCGGAAAGGGGTATCAGGGCCATGTAGGCCAATGGATCTTTGACTCCGCTCAGCAGGAATTGGCTCCTGACTAAACTCCATTGGGATACTGTGAACGTTGGTTTCCAGGTAAGGATAGATTGATGACTCCGCGTATCGCGGATTTGCTATCTTCGGCCTTTGAGCCGGAAGCCTATCTGGTAACGGGATGGGTGCATCAGCACTCCTGCTAGCAAGCGCAGCAAGATCAGATAGAAGTGGTGGCGGCTGCTTGTCGGCAAGCCTAAAGTGCAACATTAGTGTTCTTGAATCGAGGCGTGTCAACGGCAACTTACCAGCAACCGCCTGGAGCTTCACGGCGCTCAAAGACGCGAATGAGGTCGAACGTCTTTTCTTTTGCCAAAGCATCGATCGTGATAGCACCGGCTGGACCAGCGCCAACGACAGCGACTCGTTTTACAGCTACCATTTTTCGTGACTATGATGAGCATCTGAGGACTTACTTTCAGAAGCGGCCATATTATATGATGATATACAGACTAGCGGCGATTGCGACAAGCTGCAGATACCGCTGTCGACATCGTTCAAAGCCCACGGTGTTTGCTTAAGGCTGTGTGTGGGGGAGCTACTGGAGGGTTTAACTGGGGAGCGGTCTGGTCTTTGCTTCCGATTGGCCACCCCTTGCTTCAGGCGTTTGCGTAATGGAGGCCGGGGATTGCCAAATTCAGACAGCGTACAGCCTTGTAGGGCTATAATATTTCACTCTCCCGGGGTCTGAACCGGAAATGGCGAGGCTCGACTGGCTGCAATCCCGATTTGTGGCTCCTGCACTGGTCACATTTAGGCCTTTGTCGAAATAAGAGGTCTTATTTACTATAACGCTAGTAAAATACCCACAAGAACTGCCCTAAACCCCCGGAAGGGTGAAATATTAAGAGGGGGGTGGGGGGGAGAGTACCAGAATATATTAATCGTTGCGGACCAGCATGACTTCTGCACATTCCAGAGCTCGTTTGAACGCCAGCAAACACCATGACCAATTTCTCAAACGAGAAAACAGGGTACAACGCCGCTGGGGCCGACCAGTCTTTAAGTTCCGATGATGATTTGGCATGGACAGAAGAGGAAGAACTGAAGGCGAGGAGGAAGTACGTTGGACTCGTATGAACAAGCTGTGGCATTGACTTACAACACTACAGAGTCGACTCTTCCGTACTACCGTTGCTCTTTCTTGGACTTCTAGTCTTTCAACTCGACCGTATGAACTTGGCCAGCGCTCTAACAGCCGGGTTTGCGAACAACATACACATCAATCAGTCCACGATCAATCTGGGTAACCAATTGATGTTTATGGGAATCGTAGTTCTGGAAATACCCTTCAATCTGATACTGCAAAGACTTGGACCACGAAAATGGATCTCAGCTCAGGTCTGCCTGTTCGGATTTGTCGCCATCATGCAGGTTTTTGTGAAAAGCCGTGCCGGATTCCTGGCTTCGCGGCTGTTTCTGGGGTTTGCTGAAGCTGGCTACATACCAGGAGCTTCGTACACTTTGTCATGCTGGTATACCAAGCGTGAACTTGCAAAGCGGATTGCGATCTTGTTTTTTGGGATGTTCGGCGGAAATGCATTGAGCCCAATACTGGCTACGGGAATCCTCAAACTGGCTGGCCACGGCGGGCTCAATGGGTGGCAATGGCTCTTCCTACGCAAGTGCCCTGTCTATCATTTAGATAGTGCAAGCTAATCTGTTCGTAGTTGAGGGTCTGTTCACCATTTTTGTAGCTTCCATGCTGTTTTTGCTCTTGCCCGGCTCGCCTGAAACACCACGGCCACTGTTGAGCCCCGGTCTCGTGCATTTCTCCAAGACCGACCGATCGATCTTGAAAAGGCGGCTCGAGTTGGACAGTCCCGAAAGGAATGGAGCAGACGGTGCGCGGATATCGTTCACAGTAGTCTGGAAGACAATTATGCACTACAAACGTTGGCCGCACTATGTCTCCACGTTTTGTGTGTTTTCGACGTGGTCTCCTCTAACCACGTATACGCCATCAATAATCCTGTAAGTCGCTAGCTTGATAAATTATAATTCATTCTAATAGGATGCTTTAGGGCTCTGGGCTTCGACCGCACTGCCGCAAATGCTCTCTCGGCGGTAGGCGCGTCCTTGGCCCTGCTGGTTGTCTTTTGCATCGCCTACATCAGTGACAAGACCAACAAGCGGGGACTTGCGGTGATCCTTGGCCTGGCCTTCTATCTCATTTCTCTAGTCATTGCACACTCTGTCCAACCTCATGTGGGAAAGTGGTCAAGATGGGGACTGTGGACTTTGGTTAACGCGTTTGCCGTGGGTTACCACCCTTCGCACAATTCCTGGGTACAACTCAACTGCAACGACAGCGGGGAGAGAAGCATCGCCGTTGCGTAAGTTTCCCCAGCAATATGACGTGGAGATGGACTAATGAGTTTGCGATAGCATGTGGGTCATGTCAGCCATCAGTGGTCTCATGGTTGGCACGCAGTATTTCCAAGGCGGCGATGCTCCGAGGTATGTGATTCTCCTTGTCCAAACGCGGCGAATAGCTTCTGATGTGGTAGCAGATACCAAACTGGATTGCGGACCATGATTATCATGGTTTCTGTTGGCATTGCGGCCGCGCTCATTCAGGAGGTTATATATTTCACTCACAATAGGACTGTGAAGAGGAGCGCTCCCACGGACAGTTCGGTGGCTTATGTTTATGTGCTATAGAGAGTAGGAAATAAGTGAACAAAGAGTATACCATAAAGTGTTTTATCGTTACGCATCTTTACATTCCATTACTCCGCACGTGTCAAAGCATGTGCATGCAGAAAAAGATATTCTGACCAAATACCTTAATTAAATGTACTTACTAGATGCCCCCTCTAAATACTCTGATTAATTGCACCCGAGCTTGATCTGCGTCTTAAAAAACCGCGTAGATGCCCAGATACCCAAATGCTTATATTAGCTCCGTGTGATGTGGTTTGAGCAGCCATGTGCTGGTTCACGTGCATGCGCATCCCGGATGCAAGTTGGGTTGTCTGAGGAGAGTTGAGGTGCGCCATCAAGCGAGGCCTCTTTGGGTCGCGAATATTTTAGCTAAAAGGGGGACCTAGCTCGGCTCCGCAAAGATCCTTGATAAGTGAGAGAGGGGAGTGAGAACGGCCACCATCACGATGTTCTATACATAGACAATAAGGAAGCTATAACCGATTCTCAAGGGAGCCGAAAGGGGCCTCCCTGAGCGTAATCCGACTGACTAACTAGCGTGCTCAGGACTCAGGACTCGGCTCAGGTTAGAGCAGCGACAGCTCAGGTCCAAAGACGGAAGTGAACTTTGGAGAGGTGCAGATTCGGTGCAGATTATAGAGGTAAATAATTCTCAAACACTCGGAGCTTTGGAGATGAGGTTATCCACCTTATATGTAAATCCCTTCAAGTTACGGCGTCCTCGTATGTAGCGTAATTTACCCAATTTTACCAAGACATCCTTTTGTGCCCAGTTATAAGTGTCACAAAGAGTAGCCCTAGCCCTACACTGTAGACTGGGCAGTGTCCATATCACTAATATTGCGGCATTAGCTTTTCCATCTTTCATGGCTCGATTAGTGGCTAGATGCTATCTAGTATGTCAGCCTGGGAATAAGGTGCAAAATGCTATGACCAATCCATTACCACTGCGCTACTCGAAATTTCAGCGCCGCTTGGAGCTTGACAAGTAAAAAGAGACGTTTCCGCTACTTATAAGGCAACTTCTGGCATAGAGAACCGCTTTGCCTCGTCATTTCGGATGACAGTTATGAAAAACGCTCCATGATCAGAGGAGTAATGCCGGGTACATTATATACAAAACCCATTGATAAGGTAGCAGTATCTTTTGAGTAGGGTTATAATCAAAGAGGTCACTTGACGCAGACGAAGAGTTAAGGCACAGCTCATGTTCTCTGATAGGCAGTAACTTGACGTATGAGTAATATCACAACGGCACATGGCTAACAAGATGATTTCGAACCACTCAGTCTGCTTTATCCTGGGACTAATATATACCCAGTTGAATGCACCCCTAGATTATGCCTCCAGGCTTCCTTACGACAATATGACTAGTTTATTTCATGCTCTCAGATGCCCGGCAATGAGGAAGGCAAGCTCCAGTGCTTGCTTCTCGTTGAGTCTAGGATCACAATATGTGGTATAGTTCAGCGACAAATCGTCCTCCCCAAGGCCCTCACTGCCACCGGTGCATTCCGTGACTGCCTCACCAGTCAATTCAAGGTGTACACCACCAAGATAGCTCCCTTGCTCTTTATGGACGGACATTGTTTCCTGAAGCTCTGATAATATATCGGAAAACTGGCGGGTCTTGACGCCGTTTGAGGTCGACCGGGTGTTACCATGCATGGGATCGCATTGCCAGACGACGCTACGAGCATATTCACTATCCTCGACAGTCCGAATATGCTCAGGAAGCAGAGTACGGACTTTTGAAGCTCCATAGCGAGTAATGAGCGTTATCTTACCGATTTCAACGGATGGATTGAGGGTGCGAAGGATTGCGAGGAGATCAGTGGAAGAAGTGGTTGGGCCAATCTTAACACCTATGGGATTTTCGATGCCGCGGAAAAATTCAATATGAGCGCCATCGATTTGCCTTGTTCGGTCTCCTACCCAAAGAAAGTGAGCAGAAGTGTCGTACCAGGACCTGTGCTCCGGAGTGGCTGTAGAGCTAGCACGTGCAGGGTCTCTTAGAAACCTCGTGAGACTCTGTTCATACTCAAGCAGGAGACCTTCGTGGCTAGTATACAGCTCAACGGTCTCCAGGGCCTTGCTTGCAGTGTCTGCCCCGACCGTGCGCATGAAGTTCAGCGAGTCCGTGATGGATTCAACCGTTTTGGAGTACTTTCTCTGAAGATCGGGATCGCGAACATGGCCAAGGCCCCAATCAAGGGGCCGATGAAGGTCCGCAAGGCCAGAAGATATCGACGCTCGTATGTAGTTTAGTGTGCTTGCAGAATGGAAATATGCGCTTTTCAGATCAGCAGAGGGAGGTGATATTATGAAAGAGCAAAACTAACTCAACTAGCCGCGCGGGGTCCAAAGGCCTTTCTTCTAGTGGAAATCCATTTAAGATATCACCTCTGAATGATGGGGTCTCCTTGCCATCAACAATTTCAGTTGGGCTTGATCTGGGTTTGGCGTACTGGCCCGCCATCCTCGCAATCCGGACAATTGGTTTGTTAGCACCCCAAATGAGGACAAGACTCATTTGAAGTAGAAGTTTGATCTTGGACTCAATTGCATTCTCCTCGCAATAGTCAAACAACTCGGCACAGTCACCCCCTTGAAGCAGGAACGCCTTGCCCAGAGCCACGTCACGCAAGTGTTCTTTGAGGGCGACGATTTCAGCGGGTGTGACTATGGGAGGAAGACGTTCAAGTTTTGCCAGCGACTTTTCAACCTTCTTGCTGTCTTCATATACTGCATCTTGTTTGATAGGCTTTGTGGTCCAGGAACTGGGGGACCATGACTCAAATTCGCCGGATTGGGGCTTCGGTCCCTTGGTTTTGAGCGAAGCTGCTGCTTTGGTAGCGGTGCTCAATTGAGCATGGGAACTAGAAGGGTCCATGATGGTGAGCAACGATGTATTATGATTATGAGTACGAGTACGAAGTAAAGGAAGATGGGCTTGGTTTTATGACGCTATTCTTTGGACACACTACACACAAAGAATATTTCGAGCACGGAGCGCTTAATGTTCCACTTCCGTCAACATGACTGGGTCCAGATGTCTCGGGCCACCCTCGGCTCGCGGGTGTGGCTGCAATAATCTTACCCCTACACTTAAGCTTATTTAGCTCGCGCCCTGATCGGTAAACACCACAGACTGCTATAGCTAAAACAAACCCCACTGCTACTCTAATATCAATATCAAGATCATCATTGGTATCGCTCAGTATCAACATCGAAAGTACGCCTCCTCGGACACCTTGTAACTCGCCGCTCGTCGCTCTTGAAGGTTAATAGATCATAATACTCCCGCATACGTATCACAATGGCAGATGCTCAACCCCCAACCATCGTGGAAGGCGCAACGACTGGTGATGTGGAGGATGAGGTTCCTATCGCCAAATCCGCCGAAGACCGCAAAGCAGCAGCAGCTCTGTCATCCCTCGATACTCCCCGAGAAGATGAATCCGCAGGTGGCAAGGATGTCGATCAAGAAGCCGTCCGTAAAGCAATGGACAGGCTAGCGGGGCCAAAGGCTGCCAATGGCAGTGCCGCGAAGAGAGAGGAGGAGAAAAAGGCCGCTGTTAAAAAGGTGGTCAAGGTGGACCAAGCAGACGTAGCTTTGTTGGTAGGTCTATAATGCAGCAAATTCCCTCCATAAAGCTAGTGCAATTTGCGAGTGTTGGCAAAGGCCTGGTCTATTCTCAACCGCGAGCGTTGGCCTCTGTGTCCTACCCCTCACTACCGCAGGTCATAGAAATCTGGCTAACACATATATGATTTACAGGTCGAGGAGCTCGAATTGACCAAGCCAAAGGCTACCGATCTTCTGAAATCCCATGAGGGAGACGTCGGGAAGGCGCTGAGAGCGTACATCGCCCCGGTAGCCTAAAGGATTACAAATTCGGACATGGCGATACATTATTAGGATGGGTTGGAGCATAGCGGTGGAGTTCTTGATTTTCAAAAGATTGTCCATATATACTAAGTCCCTTTGGAGGCGTAGCTCGTCGTCTTTTAGCAAGAATTGACCACCTTGCCAGATTTCCTATCTCGCTTTGTAGCATCCTCCACCCTCTAAGCACAAAATAAGGGATTTCACCCGTGTCAATATATCAATAGGCGGCGGGATTCTATCGCTAGAGTCATAGTGCGAACCCCTGTTGTATCACTTGTTTCTAATTTGTACCTCGTACGGCTTGAGGTATCCTTTGCCCGGTAATAATTACTGAGGTTGCTAAATAAACACACGGAATTAATCGATGATGATGATGATGATGATGATGATGATGATGATGATGATGATATTTATTTTCGTCTTGGGCTAGAGCCGAACCTCCCAGGGGGTATGAAGACCTACTAAGCTAAGGATTTATATACAGCCTACTAGTTAGTAGCCTACAGAACCTGAATAGAAAGTATTTCAAGCCGAAACGTGTTTCAAGTACGGTCCTCCGCGGCTAGTTGGGAGTCTATTATATAACTAATATTTCCTCCGCACGCTCGGCGCTAAATCCACCAACCAAGTAGTAACCTCCTCCCAAGTTCCTAGATCGACCAAGTAGCGCCCCTTCTCGCTCTTCCTCCGTTATATTGACCGGTAGTCGAAAGGCTGTCCTTAAGTTGCGTCTGCAAAGGATCCTCCGCGCTGTTGGTTGTCCTGAGAGTCATAGAGAGCCAGTCCTAACAGCTGCGTTCCTTTTTCCCTCCACCTCCTCGTATCGCCCTTTATTAGCTTCGGTCTCTTGCTCGTAGGATTGCCGGTTGTCGAAAAAGGAGTTCTTATTCGAAAGTGTTCGTCGTTAGCTCGTAAAGCCCGAGTTGTATACAGAAGGAGGTGTTGAAAACTCTGTTTTATATCGCAGCTATACCTATAGAGTTGAGGTACGGCTTTAGGTCAGCTGAATTAAATCAGTAGACAAGGCCTATAGCTACCTTAGTAACTGCGTTCTCTATTCAGCTCAAACGAATGCTTGTTTGGAAGTATCGCCAGTTCATAGCCAGCGCCCTGTACAGGCACAGAGATCCGTCTTCGCTGGCCGGTGAACTAATCGGTAACGTTCCGTGTATCGATTTAGCTGGCCCTTTACGGAGGTACAGCCCATAAGTATTGTAATAGCGGACAAGGGTCTGAACGCCACAGCCGATTTCAACACTTGATAACTTTTGATATACACAACCAAAAAACTTCATTTAAGCACAAATAATGTCAATGAGGAGGACTATACACTTCTACTTTTTCATGTTTTGGTGATGCGTTGTGGTTGTGATGCAGGGGGAGCAAAGAGAGATCCCTGCTAGCGCTATTACAATACTTATGGGCGGTATGAAGTACCTCAGTAAAGTATTAGGGAATAAGGTTAATACTATCCTAGTCTAGTGTAGTACTTCATATGAGGTTTCACGTACGCAGAGGCTGGGGTACAGTACTTCGCATCTTTTCTTATCCGTCCCGCCTTCTCCTCACCCTAACCTGTTGGGCAAGTATAGGGTATACGAGAAAACGGCCCGTGATATATGTACTCCACACCGAAGTCAAGCCAAGATTGTGCCGCTTTACGTGGTATTAATATTACTACTGTTGATCGCTCCTAGAGGTTCGAAAAGGGCTGATACGAGTGCGTTGGCTAGGAGCTTCATCCTGTCGCAACAAGTCGACTCCAAAATCCCTTTCTTTGCTTTACTGCCTGTAGTTCACTTCAATCTCTTTCTCTCGTCCATTTTAAGGATCCAGTGAGACCTCTTTTGGGTCGACCCTCTGATTCAACATGGATCCTTCCACTTATAGCAACGAGTATTTAGCGGAGAGCAACCAGACCTCGTTACGCAATCTGAACATATCCATTATTGTTCTTGCCTTGGTATTTATTACTTTGCGCATATTCGTCAAACAGCGTTGGGCGGCGGGAATGTCTGTTGATGATTAGACTATATTAGGCTCTACGGTTAGTATTCCCAAATGGAGTAGAAAGGTCTTAGGGTGTGTAGATTTAAAACTAAATCGCTTTTACCAGGTTTTCTTTCTGATCCTAGCAGCGTTTAACCTTATGAGTGTGGAGTCCCTCAGGTTTTTGATTACTGGGAATCCTGCTAATAGAAAATATAGTGATTGAACATGGAGTGGGACTTCATCTTGCTACAGTTACAGACCATGATTTCTCTGTTGTATTGCAGGTATTATCCCTCTTTTCATGTGCCTAGCCTCTTAAACACGGCTAACCTTGTGATTTTTGCATAGAGTCTCTTGGCATCCGAATGCGCATACACGATTACGATAGCTTTAACGAAGATCTCCATCTTATTAATGTATTGTCGAATATTCCCTGTCAGAAGTGTGAAAAACGGCAGCTCGATACTGGGAGCCATTACTATACTCTGGGCTATTTCCATCTCCTTGGCATCAATCTTCCAATGCACACCGATCCGAAAGTCGTGGCATCCAACCATTGACGGTCATTGCATTAATCTCCGGGCATACTTCATTGGAAATTCTTGCCCGAATATTCTTACGGATGCGGCAATTTTGGCACTACCCATGCCACAAGTTTGGAAGCTTCAAACCAGCATCACTCGTAAGATCTCTATATCAGTTATGCTACTGCTTGGAAGCTTGTTAGTATTCCCCAAATCCTACCCCTTATGCCTCATAGCTAACCATAGCCAGTGTGGTTGGTGTAAGCATCTACCGTTTAATCACACTGCTCACCTTTGACACCTCCGATTTCACATGTGAGCACAACCTCGATCTAAACGACTGCCTGTCCTGTGTCTAACTGCTGATTTAGGACAACCGCCATCCCCAGTACTTGGACTGTCGTAGAAACAGCAGCAGCACTTGTCAGCGCCTGCCTTCCTACTCTCGGTCCATGCCTACGTATTCTCAAAGCTAAACTCGGAATCCAGACCTCCCGTAAGGCGACACTCAATACTACTATAGACCTTGTTACCATCGGTGGTAATCATCAACATAAACAAGGTGCCCAGCATGGGCAGCACTGGAGTCGATCTGAACCAGGTAGGTTCAATCGTATAGAGGAAGAAACATACCTAGATGGGCATAAGGACTCGAATGACCCAGGTGCGTTCAATGCGTCAAAAACTTCGGTTTCCAGGGTGTCTGGGACAAGCGAGAGATATGACGGCAGTGGGGACGAAGTTCTTATTGGCAAAACGGTGTAGAGTACTTTGACTCTCATTCCGTAGACTATACTATAACGTGATATATAGGGATCTCGTATATTTTAAGAGCAGGTCGCCGTCTTATCCCCTCGCGTATATCGATATTCTATCGTATATACTAGTGACCCGAGTCTCTATTAATGCAGCTCGAAAACGTCACGGCTCCCACCCCGTCCCTGCACGCCTGTCGTCCATTTCCCTTACAAAAATAGCGTCGAGGAACGAGCTGCTCTTTAGTGCCACCCCTTGAGGTGCGAACAGCTAAGGACATCAAGAGCAAAGGACATCAACACTTACTATTTTATTGTATAGTATCCTATTATCTTGTCAAAGTAATTCAGAGACAAAGTACAGATTAGCCGTTGAATTTCCTAATATATTTTCTCTCTGTGTTTGCTCTTTATCTACCCTAACTTGAATATATTCGAGTCTAGAGAAATAGAGATACAATAAACTAGAATAATTCTTATAATATTGACCCTAAAAATTACAACTACTCGATCGCTTATAACCCTAAAATATCGAAATTAGTAGGGCGATCTGTGCCTCGGGCTGCTACTACTCCGTTTTGCATGCTACGAGGCGACGAGTATTTTATAGCGTTTCTTACCTCCCCTTCCTCTTATAAGCCGAATTAATCGCCCCATTGGTACCTTACTTTATTGTTATATAAGTATTAAAGTTTATAGTAGTTAGAGTTATAATCTATATTGCAAAAGCAAATTATGTAGGACTAAGATCGAAATAATAAACAAGCGCAAGAAGCGTTAACACGTGATTAACCAACTCAAAGGCTTAATCGCCACTGATCCCGGGTTACACCACGGACCCGGTGGAGTTGGGAGGGAGCGGTAGCTCTCCAACGGTTACTTGCCGAGCTCAAAAGAGGGGAACCCTAGAACCCCTACTTAAATGCCAATTCAGACACGGCTCGGCATCCTGTATCCCATACTAATTACTAGGAGAACTCGATAGCCGAAGGTGTTGGAGGCTAGGGAGACGGCATGGAGTGGAGTTGGTCGAGTACATGAGTCGCACTCGGCATTTACCACTCAAACTCCCATTCCTGGCTCAACAAGGGGACACTAGACGAGAAAGGTGGAACCTCGCGATTAGGTAGCAGCTATCAAAACTGTAACGGTTTTGATACATTGAATTTGTAGCCTCCGGGGCCTATTATCGAAACTACTGTTTATCTTCCTTAATTGACTATACTAGTTGTAGGCTGCTAGACTACTCAGCATCATCCTCGTAATTCACAGTAATTTATTACAATCCGCTTCGACCAGCACCCAACAGACCCATGATAGCAAAGGGTCGCCCTACTCCGTATACAATACGCCTTCAATTCCAAACAAAAAGGGGTGGCGTATCACTAGGGTGGGGGTATTATCATTCGGCTGGAGGTGACGGCATTTCGTTACTGAGTACTACTTACGTATATATAGCTCTAATCTTTCGCTATATACTAGGTTATAATTATAATTTGCTATACTATTCAGTTTTACTCTGGTTTTTAACAAAAATATATGCCTTCTCTAATTCCAACCATCGTTTTCGTCCCAGGAGCATGGCATGAACCGACAATTTTCAATGATGTACGGGCCGAACTGGGCAACCTCAAGTTCCCTACCGTTGCCATAGCCAACCCATCAGTCGGAAGTACCTCTCAGCCGTTAAAAAACTTGACTGACGATGTTTCGAACCTGCACTCGGTGATCATGGAACTTGTCAACTCGGGCGACATGGTGGTGGTGGTGGCACATTCCTATGGGGGTGTTGTTGCCTCAGGGGCAGCACAGGACTTGGCTTTTGCTCAGAGAGCGGCGGCGGGACAAAAGGGCGGGATTATTATGATGGTTTACTTGGCCGCCTTTGCTATTCCCGCTGGGGAGACGCTGTTAGGAGCTGCAGGAGGGGTTCCGCCGTCTTGGTGGGAACAGGAGGTCAGTGCCTTTCAATCACTCCCGATTTTAAATGTTTTCACAGTCGGGCATATTCATTTTCTACGATTCTCCTACCTACTGCCGATACCAGATTAGTTACGCCTTCAACTTTTGCAAGCTGACAAGTACGTTTTCCAGGGTGACCAAATCTATGCTAATAATCCAATCATCTCCGACCCAGCCTACCATTTTTACAATGATCTACCTTCTAACGTACAGGATTATTGGATCTCTCGGCTTCTTCCATTGGCAGCAGCAGACGTGACAATCCCGGCGATATACGAACCGTGGAAAGACATGCCATGCACGTACGTTTTTACAGAGCAGGATAACGCCATTGCGCCCGTCGTGCAGCAAGCTATGGCCGCGGGTATGGGAAAAATCACTACCGCAACTTTGAACGCATCGCATTCTCCGTTTCTGAGTATGCCAAATAAGGTTGTTGAGGTTATACAGCAGGCTGCGAAGGAAGGAGTGCGGGTTGCCCTAGGATAGTTCAAGGCTTAACAGATATTACTAGATGCTTTCAGAAACTACTAGAGGGTCGGTTTCGATAATAGACCAGATAAATGGCCGGATTCAAGGTCCTCCCACTACTACTGTCTCCAAGATTCTACTTATAGATGATGCCCTTTCCATTTTCCTTTCTCAATCCCAGTCTATTTCCGCGGCATGGATATCCTCACTCCAGGCCACGACCTTAGGTAGTGGTTATATATATGCTTGATAACTATTCTCGATATTTACTCCTCTACTTACTCTGCTCCAAGTTACTCGTTCGGATTAGGGCCATTTGATCTATAAACTTTCAAACTAAGGATAAGAAGAAAAATAAGACTTAATATATATCTTCTAGAGATAAGGTAAAGACTTGGCTAATAATGACGTATATAGTGCGGAGCAGTTTCTAGACCCTAGGTCTATCCTAGGATATCTATTTTTAGGGAAGTCCTATTCTGCCTCCCTCTACTTATAAACTAATAACGTATAAATTTAAAAACGTAGAGGTCAAAGAAATAATAATACAAGAATTCTAAGTATTTAATAGGGCAAAGTTTATTCTACTTCGCTATTTATCCTTATATTTCTAGAGGTCGCTACGGTAAGGCGAGGGTAAGCAGCGCCCAAGCAGAGACCGGCGTATAGAGAGAAAGAAAGAACCTGGTGGATTATGTTCGAGATAAAAAAGACAGGGAGCCGAACTCGAAAAGCCCCGGAAATGATATATTAATAGTTAATATTTAGATATAAAGAAACGAATGGAGTGTAATAGATATTTAAATAAACTTGCAAAGTGAAGTTCGGGAATTAATGGAGCGTAGTGCAGCGTGCGAAAATTGCGACGATACTCGGACTGGAACGCTAGACGTTGACCTGGTGTCAGAAAGGCATGGGTGTATAAAGGTAGTAATTAGGGTAAACCGGCGTCTCGTACTTGTAAAAATAAGAGTGCCATCATGGCTGACGGGGAAAAGAAGCGCCATAACTATTAAGAAAAGAGGATGAGGGAGCTAGAACAGGATTTTGGGATGGTCTAGTAAAGTACCTCGGTAGCTTTGGGAGAACAGCGCTTTTCTTGGAGAGCCGTCTGGCCGAGGATCAACTGCCAGGCGAGTAGAGATGTGAGTAACTAAGGTACCTAGGTACCTATGTTAAGCATCAAGGCATTCGGTCCAGGGCGTATATAAAATAGCGACCAAACCAACCGAATGCGGCGGAGAGGAGGTACGGGCGTGCGCTTGGGAATGCGCTCACTAAGGTTGAGGGTGAGGAGCGGAGGTTGATAGTTGTTGGTATAGGTGGCATTATTATCCGGTGCTGGTGATTGTGGTGAGGGAGCTCGGGGAGAAGCAAGGTGTTGGCTGCAGCGAATCAAGAGTATAAGGACCAGAGACAGGGGGTTTGGCCTGTCAACTGTTCAATTGAAGACCTTGGCCAATCATCAGGCAGTAATGTTCACTGCCCGTGAGGAATCTTGCGGTTCTGGGTGGCGAGGCAGGGCCACAATCCACGTTCCGCAATGGAAACGGGGGCGAAGGTACGAGAATTGGAAGACATTGCGACTACGGAGACTTCTAGAATTCGGTATCAGGACAATTTATTACTTCTGTATATCGAGATCAAGTTTAGAATGCTTTCGACGACTAGAAGGGGTTGATTTCAGTGGTTGAAGAGGGTGGCATATTTGCGGACATATGATGTCCTTTCTCCGAAGATCACATTTATTCAGATGCGCAGTTGCCACGAAAAAGTGATAACGGAATAATATAATCGGCTTTGTTTGTTTGAAACATCCCATATTGACGAGGCTACTTCATTTGGATAATTTCAAGCTTCAAGAGAACCATCTTGGTCCGGCTCCTGAACAACAAACATATCCCAATCCCAATCCCAATCTACAAATTCTGGGAATTGAGTCAAGAGCGTGCTGGGTATACCGTGCTCAGACCCGTCCTCCGCAACCATTGCCAAATCAGGCGACACTTTTGGAACACTTGACTTGTCACTGTCGTCGTTGACCACACTCCGAGCTTTCTCCTCGACAACGACCGGTTCGAGGCACTGCTGGCCAAGCGCCGAGGTGAAGTGCCTTGCCAGAGCATCCGCTCTAGAGAATTCCCTCCCACAGCCCCAATGGCCACCTGATTCTAAAGTCCCCCTGCAGCAGTACTTCTTCTCACCATCGTGCGAGTCTTCGTGCCTACGATGGTCCTTGATCCTTGCAAATTTCAGCTTGCAGAGCTTACAAGAGAAAGGGCGTTCGCCTGTATGCGTCCGAATGTGCTCACGAAGCGTGGTTCCTCTCGAAAAGACCTTGGAACATTCTTCGCACTTCCAAATAGTCTTCCCTCGACGCTCAGCCTTTTTCTCTCTTGGCTTTGGGAAATTGGGGATGGTGTGGTTCTTCTTGTGGTGCCTTTGCAACTCTAAAAGGGATGGGAACCCAGTCTGAACCCTACTGCATCCCTCGTACGTGCAACAATATGGTCTGTCGTGGCGTTGAATATGTTTTTGTCTCGAATTTGAGTCCACGAAACCTTCGTGGAAATAGTAGCATATATGCTGCGGGCATTTGAACATCGAGTTGCCGTAAAATGTACAAAGTCTCTGAACGGAGGCTGAATCTTGAGTGGTTATCAGACATTCCAGGTTACGTCTGACCACATTCATAGTGCTGCCGAGGCTTCCCAACCCGTCAAAAGAGGCATTTTTCTCTCGAGAACCCCGCGCGTGAGCAATGAGTGCCAGGAATGTGTCGAAACTTGCTTGATGTGCTGCAGCTTTATACCTGTCTCTTAGAGCCTGGACTGCTACTTCAGATATACTTTTCATACCTTCTGTGCTGAAATCTGCAGAGAATTCCTCACAAACAGGTGCTATATTGTCTAGGTCCTCCATATCGTCTTCTTGCAGGCTTCCCAAGAAGGATTCTAAATGATCGACCCAGTGAAGCATGGCGTAATCATGAAAAGCGTAGAATCCAGCCTTAAGAAATTGACAGATCTCATTGTCCTCTTCTACCTTGAATCCGGGAAAAGTGAGGTAATTCAAACATAAGGATGCGAGCTGTTCTTCAACCTTTGATATTCGGATATGATTGTCTTGCATGAGAAAGCTAGGAGTGTTAATAATGGACAATGAAGTCTGGTAAGTGAATGCTCACATCTTTGCTGTAGTATGGATTAGTTCGATTCGATTTCCGGCAAGCCTTTCGACCAATGACCCACAGAGCTCTCCGATATCTACCACGAGAGATCTCTGCTCAAAGTCGACGATTTGCTGTTCGGTATCGATGGATATGGCACCCTGTATCTCCGGCCACGTTAGGGGTCGCTTAGCAGTTACCACCCAGCCAAGTAGAGTCAGTGCTTGGTTTCTCTCATCAAGATTCTGGTTCTTCTCAATTCGCTCTACTATCCTGCCGTATCTGAATTCACCTACTCAGTACTATTTCTGCGAGGAAAATGTGCAAAAAGTGCATGTAATTGTACTTACGCTTGGTTGAGTCCCCGAGGAAAGCGCTGTGGGAGAAGCGTTTCGTACAACGCTGCACGAGAAACTTGTGACAAAAGGTTCTGGAGAACTAGTTTGGCAAACAGAAACATCCCTGGAAAGTTAGTAAAGCATATACTGCGCCTAGATGATACTACTTGCCTCCCGCACCCTCGCATACTAGATTCCGTATCAAGTCGCGCTTCTCCTCGCTGAGCCTAAATTTGCTCTGGATTTCCAAACACCAGTATCGGGTATACTCAGCAATGTCACCTTGACTATCAGACTCCGTCAGGCGCACTATGGTTGCTGTGTGCAGTGAGTTGCGAATCGAAGTGTCAGGCTGGCTTATGAACATTGCCCGAGTTCTCCCAGGCTGCAAGAGGCCGTCTTTCCTTAGAACCTTGGATATTTCTGCGACGATTGTCTTACTCTCCGAGTTTTCGCACTCATCGAGACCATCAATGATGATATGGATATTGATACTTTTCGAGGTGCCACAAATGATGTCTGTAAGAAGATTCACACAGGCAGACTTAGACTCGAGGTATTGTTCTCCACTATCCACAGACGCTTCGTAAACTATCTGCAAAATATCGGAATCTTTGTTTTCGGTGAGTAACTGCAATATTAAAGCACGGAAGACAGCAATAAAGGTGTTCCTTTCCGGGTCTCCGTACTTGCAGTAGAAATAAGCGACAAGTGTTGACGGCTGTGACTTGGACTTCTCGATGATCACTGATGCAAGGACACTTTTCCCTTCGTTTTATCAGCAATTATATCAGGTCACTTTTTAAATCTTCAGCTTACCTGCTCCTGGAATCCCGTTGATCCAGACGAGGGACCCTGACGAATATTGGTTGTCATGCCAGGCAGTAATGGCGGTCTTGTCCAGTATCCAAAGTCCAGTGCTTGTTGGTGAAATTCGAGTATATCCCTGTAGATCATCTGCAGTACTGAAATCATATGTGAGTTTTTCTCAAACAGACTCTGATGTTGTACAAGGAGAGGAAGGTGCTCTGAAATCTGCTGGTATGCATCAAGGAGAACATCGAAGGATTCAGCCCAATTTTTGGCAACCTGGTCAAGGATGATCAGTTCTCCGGCCAAAGTCAGGCCTTAGACATCAGATAATCCGAGAAATACCAACCAAAAGAAGAAATTTTAATGGGCCCCAGACAAAAGCCACTATTTCAGAGGTGTTCAGAAATATCTCGATCACTTTCTCAAACTGACTCATTGCCTCCAGAAATCCGAGGATTCGCGATAGATTCCGCGTCTCTCGCTTCTTATCTTGTTTGGCTTGTATGTCCACAATTGTTTGCTGAACATCCTCCAAGGTGCAGAACTGGAACTCATCCAGCTCTGTTTTGGTGAGTCGCGATCGAAAGTTCGCAAGGACGGTTTCAAAGGCGGAAGGCCCATTTGTTGTCATAGCTGGATGGGTGTGCCTCCAGCTTACTGAACAATCTTGGGCTACAACTATTTTACTTGAAGTTCAGCAATTATTGGTGATGCAAAAGTTGGCTCTTCTACCTTCATCAAGCCTGACGGAGCGAGATCGAAGGGGCGAGGACTTCAGCCCCCCATAGCCGTCGGGCGAACTCCACAGTGTAGCAGTGGCGCAGCCACTGGCTGCGTGCCTTACGAGCCTCTCGTTAGTGCATTTCATATCGCTGGTGAGGCTGAGAAGCTGCAGTATCACTTTGCACTCAGATAATATACTTCAGGTCGATTGCGCATATATTGTTGCAAGGATATCTATGTTCATAGGACTGTGTCGCGGTACCAAGGTCTCCACTAGACAGCGCCCGCCGCGAAGCCGTCATCGTCTAACCGTCTCGAAACAAATCATGCTTCCACAAAAGAGGCAGTTTTTAGAGATCAATTCCGACAATGGGAGTGAGACTTCAAGCTACGTTAGGTCCAACTCAGCTGGTCTTGCTAGATCGGAAGGCTCAGAGCCGCCCTCATTGCGACCTTCGGTTTGTTTTGGGATGGTAGGTTGGTATCTCCGAGGGGAAGTTGATAGGAGCTTTCTATTGTACCACCAACTCGGCCAAATGACAAAGACGCTGATAAGGTGTCCAGATCCAAAAGTTAGAGATTATGCTCTTAGATTGCTCCCTCCCAATTTCTGAAATCGAACAGGAGGCAATGAGAGCCTACGATAATTTATACTATCACTTCAATCTTGAGCATCATGACGGAGACACCTTTGTAGCGTGCAGTCAGGGAAATCTGATTGCTTCCTGTAATGCACTCTTAGGGGAAGCATTCAACCAAATTTCGCATGAAGTGAGGCTCGATTTCGACCTCTATGTCACGCGTCAGTCATGGGCCAAAGCCGTAACCTCACAGAGAAAAATGAAGGATGGCATTTTATACGCCAATATTAACGTTTTGGGGGATATCTCTCTATGCAAGACCGTAGGAAACTTATTGTCCGCATATCGACTTTATCTCCAACGCCCTCTTCATCTCAGTCCAGGACAAATTTACCAAAACCCTCACCACGTCACATTCCCAGGCCTTGAGCCACGTGTATTGGATCAAGAGGGAGAAGAGGGTAATCGGACTCATTTTGAAAAGGGCGAGGAGATCGACCCGATAGAGAAGGACAAGAATGCCATGAAAACTGAGTTTGCTGTTGTTTTTGGTTCCCTCGTCAGATCACAGTGCTTGGGCGAGCATGCGGCAAACCGGAGGATCAAAGCTGATCTCCTACCGTAAGCAAATAACACTTTCAAGTTCTTATCACAGAAGCGCTTTTTGACATTGATTATTGTAGGCATCAAAAAGAAGCCCTAGACTTCATCACGCAACGAGAGTCTGGCCCGATACCAAGTCGCTTCTCTCTTTGGAAGGAAACACCAGATACGTATGATGGAAAAACTTGGTCAGTACTCTTCTAGCATTCCGAATTGAATGCCAACTATGATGCATATAGTTACGAGCACGTAATTACAGAGAATAAGACTTATGACAAGCCTGTTGAAACTGGAGGCGGCATTTTGGCAGATGACATGGGTCTAGGAAAGACACTGACAATGATTGCTACGATCGTGGCGACACTCAACGACTCGACAGCATTTCAGAGCGCTTTTCTAACATCAACGCCTGCCGAAGTCAACGATGAGGCCTCTATTTATCGAGCAAGGGCAACGCTAGTTCTTGTGCCTTCACAAAGTACGTATTGCGTAGCCTAATCCAGGTTGTATTATCTCCGATTAATGTCTAGATTCTAGTGCTACTAAAATCTTGGGCTGAAGAGATAAGCAAGTATGGAAAGCCTATCAAGTAGACGTAGGTGCCCAATGTTGATTGATATAGGCACATCTACGGTGGCCTGAAAGTCTGCGAGTATCACGGTCGAGGCCGAGAGTCGAATCTCGAAACCATTGCAAACTGCGAAGTTGTTCTCAGCACTTATCATACCCTGGTAATCGAAAGCTCAAAACCTGCAAGTCCTCTGTTCAAACTCAATTGGTTCAGGGTTATTCTAGACGAAGGTTATCGCCCTACCCTAGACAGTGCTTTTTATAAAACCAGCTGACAACAAGAATATAGCACACACCATTCGAACGTCCTCCACACTGCTTTTTGATTCAGTGAGACGGATCGAAGCCAAGTTTCGCTGGTGTGTTACTGGCACTCCTGTTCAAAATGGCTTGGAAGACCTGGGTTCGCTAGTAGCGTTCTTACGTGTGTCCATGCTCGATACTAGAGTTGAATTCAAGCAGCACATCATTGATCCATTGACGCGAAAATTTGGAGCAGGTTCATCCAATTTGCGAGTGCTACTGGATTCAATATGTCTCCGTCGCATTAACAAGCTTCTCGACCTGCCTGGTGTGGATGAGATCTGGCATGATGTCAAATTGTCGGACGACGAACGGCGGCAATATGATGCGGCCGAACAACACATGTCAAACGAGATCAAACGCCAAGTCAACCTAGAAAGATCTAAGCGTGGTTACTTTGGGATTTTGGAGCTCGAAATGCGTCTCCGCCGAATGTGTAATCATGGGACATTTGAGCAGCCTCGATCGGAGTACGGAGACCTAGCAATAAACAAGAATCCGGAAGAAGCAGACTGTACCAACTGTGACTTCTGCAAGATTGATTTGGAAGATGAAATGCTGGTTGGGAATTTGTGCAACGGGCACTACACAGCCTGTGGTCATTTAATCTGTTCCAAATGTCTCACTCACTTCGAGCAAGCTCTTGCAACAGCTAAGAGCGCAGCAGAGCGAATGTGTCCGCTGTGTGGATCCGAGCTGACGGCAGACTACCTCGTGGATAGAGCTGAGGCTTTGGTGGGACGAAAGTTGCTACAATCAACCGCTTCTTTCCGACGTGAGGGAGTATCTTCCAAGATAAACGCTCTCTTAGCAAACATTGAGAAAACTAGCTCCCAGGACAAAAGGTTTGAACCCTGAGCAATACGACTGAGTTTAGCCAGATATCCTAACGGCTTCCAGCATTATATTCTCAGGATGGACGCTAACACTAGACCTCATCGAACGTCATCTAAAAGATAGAGTTCAGTTTCAAAGAATAGATGGCACCACCTCCCTACCTATGCGGAACAAGATCCTGAACGATTTCCGCAAAAACAGTAAGATCCGCATTCTGATGATGACCACCGGAACAGGCGCCGTTGGGTAAGTTTCTCTCCTGGATTCCTACCCTTCCACGAGTATGATTAATGATCCTGATTATGCAAAACCAGTCTCAATCTCGCAGTTGCAAGCTGCGTCCACATTTTTGAGCCTCAATGGAATCCGATGGTAGAGGCTCAGGCCGTTGCCCGCGTCATCAGGCTCGGGCAAAAGAAGCAGGTGTCTATCATACGATATATCGTGAAAGGTACCGTAGAACAGGTAAGTTGCATGCGCCCTAGTGTTGAGAGACACCTGGCTAATTAGTGTACCAGACTATGCGTTCGCAACAGCAGCGAAAATTGGCTCTCGCGAACCTTGGGTGGAGCAAGGCGACTTGACGAATAAAGACGTCCTTGCCCTTCAGAACCAGAGACTCAAGTCCTCACAAGGACTCGCGACAACTGACAAAATGAGTAAATTGAAGTGGATAGGAAGAACAATTTCATAGCCAACTGCTTGAGCTCGATTACGGGAGGGGTTGTGAAGATCATCTATCAAACATTAATTTCTTTATCTTAAATTACATAATTTCTGTGATTATTACCATGTTAAAGATATCTTAACTGTCATTTGTTCTAGCATTGCCATTACCATCCCAACAAGAAACGCCATGGGCCCAGTATCTCCCCACCAATCCCTCACACTACCGCTTGTCGTCAACCTCGCATAAGTAGCCGAAGTCTTAGATTCTAAGCAGGGAGTCTGATGGGTTCGATGTTGATTTATTAGGTTACATAAGGCGTCTAAGCTGACTAGGCCCATATTCTGGAGACAGAGGGGTCATGGGTAACTAAGCGGCTGATTATTTTCGCTATTTAAGAAAGGCGGTGTTCGCGACTCTAGTTTTATAGGCAAAGGGCGCAACATGCAGTCTTGCGGGTCATTTTATCGTTGCTATTTGTTATATATACTCCGGAAAATAGTTTCGTGTTTTCTGTACTATCATCAAAAATTCCAAATTTCTCCTGCCTGCTTAAGACTTTTCAGGATATACTGCCTCTCATCCTTCTAAGTTCTATGTTCCTCCACACCCCTTACTTGGTCTCTTTTCTCGTGATATTGCTTCTGCTATTCGAGCTTGGGACCCTAGTCAACGAAAAGCCAGTGCTTGAGCGCTTTGAGTAGAGCCCCTCCTAACGTTCTTAAGATCAAGCGTGCTATTATATGTCGCGACGTCTAAAAGAGCAGAATTCTCTCCAGAACAGTAATCTTTGAAGAGGACGCCGCTAAATTTGCTCATCTCCCACTGGCCATTTGCAGCTGCTCGTCTGAGTGGCACCTATTTAAGGTTTGATCTCGTCCCTGACTATCCGAGTAGTTTGTTATATTACGGAGGGCTACATAACATCGTAATATTCGGACTTAGAAAAAGGAATTGGCGCAGAGAAGGGAAGCGTCCGTGGATTGACATTCATCAAGCTCGATCGGGCATTAACTTGCAAAATTTTGTCCAGAACGCAGAGATACTGGGAAAATCGAGAGTAGGAAGCAAAGAAGGTATTAAAATCTCCGGCGACTATCTTCATATGGAGATAGTCAGAAAAACGATCATGGATGAAGATGTGCTTTTTATTGAGCTCATCGTGGAGTCTAAATCTAAAACCGGTACTTTTACGTTTCGACCTGTCGGCCTTTTGCAGTTGAAGAGTCGAGGCATTAACTGGCCGGCCAGGCCTGCTTAATATGCTTGGGCCTAGTTAATAAGTCCGGATATTTACAAATATGCCACTCATGATACTTTCTATAACAAATATGCAACTATATCATCGTTTTGTGACAAATAACTATATTACCCCGGTTGTAATCGGTGTACAGACAGATGTGGTCAATGGCGTTGAGATTGGTCGAATTGATGGGATAGAGACAGAGAGGAATTATTTCATTTTGGATTCAATTGATTTATATTGTGCTACCTCCGATTGGGGTGAGATCGGCACAATTGAAATTCGTGCAGTTCAAGGCAAGGAGACGTGGATCAAGACAGAGAATATGTAAGGCGACACGAAGGCAGATTTGATAATAAACGATGTGTAAAACGAAGCCCCTCAGCAAATAGAGCTCCAAGCCTCAAGTTTCCGCGGTATTTCGTTCAGTGTCGACCAAGCTTGCAAAGCATAGAATTGAGATCTAGATATTAACTTCAAAATAGCGAGAAATAGCTAAAGTGGTCCCGGAATGATAGACGGTATGAAATTTAGACGCACGACACGACCTATAACTCCACCCAATCTTCCCCGTCGTACCCGCTAAATAATACCTCATAGCCCACAAGGACCAAAAACAGCCAACATACTCCATACTCCGTACGTAATATCAATCGCCCTAAACATTACTCCCGACATTCCTCAGCTTAGCGAAAAAGGATGCCCGCCGACTACGCCTGCTGGAAACAGTACCAGCCTCGCTGCCATTATCACTCGAGCCCGAGACCACAGATGCGGATGAGGAAACAACGCTGCCGCTAGGCACTCGCCCTCTTCCGCCATTTCCAGCCTGTGGGCCCCCATTCGCATTCCCACTTGCTTGATTTCCAGCAGCGGTGGGGGGTTGAGGAGTTGGTCGTCGTTGGCTCGCCAGGTCACTCGAGAGCGTAGAGACTGAGCGAATTGAGTATTGCGACAAAGACGGGGCAGTCCTGTAGCTTGGCGGATTAGTTGAGGGATTTCGTCCCAAGTTCTGGGCGTGAGCGCCGAACGGATTTAAGCTTGCTGAGACTATGGTTGTGTCGCTGACAACGCTACTTGCATAACTTGAGGGAGTTTTGGTCGATGACCATCCGACAGAGGATAGATCATCCCCGATTATGTCTGCACGATGGAGGTGTCGGGGGCGCTGCGCGAATCGAGACACCTTTTGATCTAATGTAAGTATGGGATTGAAAAGCTCGATATGGGCGAAAAAGCTGCACATAGCGAGATCGAAATGGAGCTTTATGCTTACATAATTCACCACTTCACGGCGGCCTCCTGCCTCATCTGACAAAAAGCGGAGAGCTGAGAGAGGATCGACTGCATCCCTTGCCTAAAGTATGTGAGCTTTGGTGGGACAAGGAATTGAGAGGGCAAGACTATTGGGAGCTTTACCTCGAACGACATCAAAATACCGTATAACTGTTGGAGGACTGCGTACACACGGGTTGCCGGACTCCATTCCCGATCAAAGACGGGATGGCAAACGCGGCCATGCTGTACACATGTCAGTTTAGATATGGAGGCCTATTCTGCGCAGTCTCTACCTTGGTTATATTCGGATGTAACATCGGAGTGATGAATCTAGCTGACGGTGGTTTTCTGGGAAACTCGGGCCCAATCTCAACATAGAGGAGAAACGTTCCTCTGGCGTATGGTGAGTCTGGCGGGCCTTGCATAACCACCTTCCAAAAGCCCATATTGCTCTGGCTAACGTAAATATCCATATATTTATGGGGGTTATCAACCATTGCTTTTATTTCGCTGAGAAGAATGCGTGAGATTCCTCCAGCCGTAGCAGTTAATGTTGACGCATTGCTCAATGTCGTTGAAACCGAGTAGACAGAGCCCGCACTCCCGCCTGGTCTCCGAGACATGCGGCTCATGAATTGTCCCGCATCGGCCAGCGCAATGAAATAATCTTCCTGATTAGGGTGTGGTCTGCATGGAGGGAAGTTGTATGGATCGGACATATCTGCAGCCTTTGGCACGAAGATACTCCAGTCCAAGCTCCCGTTGCACTTGACTCTAACGATATCTGGACGAGTGCGTATATCTGAGACAGTCTCCAAGAGGAATATCTGGAACAGGGCCTGCTGAGTTAGTGGCTTAAAAGCATACCCTCCGGTATTTTTTGCGATTTTGAAAAGTTCGCGCGTTTCCGAGCTCCCAATTACGATCGCGTCAAGCACAATATTCCGTTCATAAAGCCTTGAAGAGATCTCGAAAGGCACTGCCTTGGAGTTGTTGTCGCAGCCATCGGTAAGAAGTATGATCCGACACTTTGTCTGTGGGTAACGATGCTGCAACTCTACCAGCATTCCAGATGCTCTGTCGAGCGCGTCAAAGATGGCCGTATTTCCAGCCGCCTGAATTCCGTCCAGTTGATGGCTGAAATTTAGGTGTAGGGGTGTGAGCGGTTGATTGGTCACCACAGACCCTGCAAAGGTAACAAGTCCTAGGTAAGTTGAAAGATTCAAAGCCGAAATTCGAAGAGCCTGGTTTTTGAAGAACTCCTTGACTTCGGTGAGACGACTGGGATTCGAGCCCAAGGCATTTTGGTTTAGAAGCCAACCATATGGCATGGCTGAGGCCATACTTGAACTAGTATCAACACAAATGATAATCGCCTCCTCGGGGGCACCGAAATCGGCAGCTTTTGTCCATTCCGTCCAGGCATCGAGCGCCCAGCTAAGAGTTCCCTTGCGTTGTAGTAAGATAGGATCTAGCTTCTGGGACAGAAACTGCCCTGGATTACCCGGTAGCTTGGTCCTCTTTTCAATAGCGTTCCATGTGATGAACGCCCTCTCAGCACACTCCATGTCTTCATGATCATATCTGGAAACATATCCGGTTGCACTTAATGTTATGACCGGGAGTTCAGCAGCTAAGCAAGTCCCGATTTGCAGAGGTCCTATCATGCGAAAAGCTTGATCCGAGTTTGTAGTGTCTATCAAAGTCCCAAACTCCTTTGGTTGTAGCAGGGCCACAATTTTGTGATTCCAAAGGTCCTTCCAACCGCCGACGGAGTGGAAGTAGAAGTCCCACGGCCGAGCGGCATTTTCATGGATGGCGAGGCCAAGCAATCGACACAGAGCACTGTCTTTAATCTCGCAACTGACTAAGAAGGTCTTTTCACGGGGCCCCGTCCCCGGTGCTAATGGCAGGGTAACTTCGTTGAAAGGTAGGAAAGTCGGTGTAAGACTACGATTATCCGCAGCTTCTTCGATCTGTGCTTGACGTATCAGTTTCTGTGCGCTGCTGCGCAGAAGAGATGCCTCAGAACGCATAGAACAGATCCAGTATGTAATTTGACGAGATGCTTCAAGGAGATTCTCGGAGGATGGACAAATCTCAGATGGTACCATCCGGCGGCATATCGCGTGAAATGCGGACGCAACTAGGAGAAGGGGGCCAACAGGTGCTTCACTGCCTAACCTCGATTCATGAACAGCCCTGAAAGCAAGTAGGAGGGGTGGGAAATGAGTAAGTTCCCAGAGCACCTCAATAATTCCATCTAGGCTGCAATTTCCCCGTTCAATTTCTTTCAGTAATATCTGGAGGCTTGTGATGAACGTGCTCATGCCTCGTATGGTAGAGTCAAAGTTCCACAGACTCTTGGGGTCGTTGGACGAAGAGAGGTGGTTGAGGGAAAGCCGTCGTTCCGGCCCAACGAATTCGATGAAGATATTGAGAGGCCCACGCCGGTTCCCTTTCAACCCAAGATCGCTCAGGGTGGCTGGATTGTTCAAGGCATGTAGACTACACTCCCGGAGGAAAAGATTTAGCCTCGTCGGGTTTGTGCATGTGCCTTGAGGCGAGGAACCGCATAACCGATCTACGGCAATCATATAGAGGTCATTCAAGGTAGTCCCACTGGGGATAGGGGATCCGTCGACAGGAAGTTGTCGAAGACAGGAATTGTCCAATGCGGCTTCCAGGGTAATCCATCGGATATAAACCACTGAATCTTCTCCATGAGGTGAATGGCCAGTGTTGGGTGCTGTAAAGGATATATTTGAAGCGGAGAGGTTGGCTGAAGTGCCTCCCCCTTGGGACTCTAGGGAGGATGATGATGGGTTGACGAGGGGCCTCAGACCGAAAGTATTATCGGCAGTAAGATCCATAACATCAAGGAGTAGATCATCGGAGAATAGGACTATCGGGTCGTTGCCAATGGTTTCCAGAAGCGTGTCCTCCGGGGTACCATTAACACCAATCTTCCCAGCACGGCGCAAGGCTTGAATGTGAAGCTCATGAACGTTGGCATCCTGAGGCACAGGCACAAGAAACTTGGTTCCGTTTGGCAGTCGCACAAAGACGCGAGCGAGGTCAGGACTTGACGATGATGTGATTGACGAGGGAGCGATCGTCCTCGGCGCACCTTGAGCGAAGCCGATCAGATTTACTTCTGAGACCGACCTATTATCAGCCGAAGCAGCGATAACGGACGAGGAATCCATGGTGCAATACTAAAGAGCTTCGAAGATGGCCTCAAATGAAGAATGATGCGAGACCTAGTGGTAGGCAGTGCCACGGAAGCACCTTCAGATATTTGGAGAATAGGCAGCCAGCTCTGAGGCAGTGAGGCGAGCACTAATCTTTAGTACATCTTCTTGGCTGCAAGGCTGACTCAATATCAATACCTACCTTACCTAAGTGCTTAGGGCCTCAAAGAGAACGAGACGCAGGGCCGGCGTGTAAACTACCAGGTAGCTTGCAGAATGCCAACTTCCGGTGCTTGCATAGACTGGGAGGCTCTGTGCCTTTGAAGGGCAGTCAAGGCGGAGGTCACGGTTGAAAGATGAGCCGCGCGCCATGCACAACCTCTCCAGAGTCCAAACAAGGAGATTAGAGAATCCCATAGTTAGGAGCTCATGTATAAGAAAAGCAGCAATTGCAGTGAATCCTGTCTTGCAAAAAGACGAACATGGCCGTGATTGGGGGTCGACTGCGACTCAGCCTCACTAGAAGCCTTCACGTGGGCAGCCTTTTGATGGCTGTGTACCTCTAGGGACTTTGTACTACCTAGGTTGTTGGCGTAAGCACGGCGTATATAAGCACCTGCAGTGGAAATATTTCAAGGGGAAAGAAAGCAATAGTAGAGAAAGGCTTCACACTTCTAGGGTGAGTTCCTTGGTGAATATTGCTCCGTTGCTTCAAGATCATGAACAGGAGCAAGAACAGACAGAGCAGCCGTCAGCGGCAGTTCTCCAGCTTCTGTAGGTCTGGTGATGCGGATTGTGGCATAGTGTCCTGATCATAGCTGTGCAGATCGAACATAGCATCTTTGTTACGAAGTATCGTGGTTGCAGTGATTTCTGAGGGGAGTAAGCAGCGACAAACAAACAACCCGGCAGTGGAAATTTGGGGTTGGCAACTCTCGGATCCGCAATATTAATGTCGACGCTAGTTTGTAGCTTTGCATGTTGAGATCGGGCCCCAAGGATCCCGTAGAGCATTGGACAACCACATTCTTTGAATGCTACAAGGAGAGATTTGATAGAAGCTGTACTTCATATTCGAGCACATTGTGATTGCGAGGTTCAAACAGGACCAGTTGGCTTTGCTTTGTCGCTGACACACAGTTTTGATGTGCATCACGTGATGTACACACTGCGTACGTACCTACCTTAGGCACCTTACCTATGGGGGCAGTCCCCGCCCCAAGTGAAAGCGAGAGGTACAAGGGAATTGGAAATTGGGAATTTGGTAAGCCGCTCTAAAAGACTTTTTGTACGTACTAGGTAGTAACATAATAATGATTTTGGGAGCGGCCAGACTTTATGGCTCGTGGCCGGTGGAGTAGCAACTTATTAATTCGCTTTAGGTACCTAGGTACCTGGTCCGAGGTGCTCGTATAAATAATATACTACGAAGCACGTGCCGCACGCGCTTCGAACCGAGCGGAAGTCCCTATCTGGCAATCCGCCAGCCAAAACGTGGGGAACCCGGGATCGCGTGGACTTCCGGGGGAGAGGCAAAAGGAAGGAGGCAACAACAACTGCGAAGTAAACACCGTTGAAAACACTAGAATCGGCCAACTAGGCCCCTATCTACCTTAAGCGGCAACGGCGAGGTGTATGTTTACAGCTTCTATACAATAGACAACATTGGGCAACGCCGGAAGAAATGCAGCCCGCGCCCTGCGCCGCTATCGCTGTCGATCTTCAACCCCGCATATGATTTATTACTGAGGTTACAACGCCCATCATGCGCTCACTACCCACGACACCCTTAGTGCATTCTTGGGTCTTTGCCCATGTACCCAGCTATCAACGCTACCCACGCCATCAACGCCATCAACGTACAACCCCATCGCCCCCCAACCCACACCGCGGTCTGGCGTCTAGAACCTGGCTGAAGGTCCAAAGCCAAAAGCCCTGCCGCCGGCAATCCCTTCCGCCAGCCCATACGTAGCTCAGCACCAGCACCCCGCTCCAGTCGAGATAGAGGTTGAAAGAGGCAATCCGGGCGCTCTGCGAGTCTGCGTTTTCTTCTCCGGATCGTGACCAGCGTCTCTAGTTTCCAGCTTCCAGTTTCTAGTTTCCATCTTCTCTCTCTTCTCGTTGCTCTTCATTATAAAACCTCTTCGTCGTCCTCGTTCTTCGATCCGTCAACCGCACCCTTAGCATCAAGTATACCTAAACCACACAACCGCACCACTCTCCTTCTCCCACCCCTTTCCCTCGCTCTCTCCCCCAAACTTGAACTTGAACTTGTGCGATCCCCCCATGTCTCCACACGCCAACTCCACCATGCCTCAAGCAGAGACAATTCCCGTGCAAGTAGGGACCGCAAAGCGGCTCACCGAGTTCAGTCTCGCGGACAAAGTGGTGCTTGTGTCGGGTGCCGGACGGGGTTTGGGTTTAGTCCAGGCGGAAGCTCTTTTGGAAGCCGGTGCTACAGGTATGTGCTGCATGCCCCTTCCTCACCTGTTCCTTGTTTTTGGTATTGGATGTTTGAGTGTGCTGTTTCAAACGAGGGAGCTTGAGGCGTCCAATGCACATTTAAACTATATCATGGAGACGAGGAAAGAAATCACATATGCACAGAATCATCTACTTACACTTCTGTTTCTCATAGTCTATGCCCTTGACCGTCTCGAGACACCCTCCAGCGACTTCGCCAGAATCCAAAAGCGTGCTGAGCATGAGCTGGGCACATCCCTCACCTACTACCGCGTGGACGTACGAGAAGTTGAGCAATTGAACAGCATTGTTGAAGAAATCGCAAACAAGCATGGAAGACTAGATGGTTTAATCGCTGCAGCCGGTATTCAACAAGAAACTCCTGCATTGGAATATACTGCCAAAGACTTTGATACCATGATGGGCGTTAATGTCACGGGGTGCTTCTTGACTGCACAGGCTGTGGCAAGACAGATGATTAAGTTTGGGAATGGAGGAAGCATTGTGCTGATTGCAAGCATGAGTGCGACAATTGCTAATAGGGTGAGTCTATTCTGCTACTTTTGTCTTGTCTCAGCGTCATAATTTGTCGTTTGTTCCTGGAGGGCATTTCATGCGCTACATTCATCCACTCCCCCATCTCAATAGACATTCGAACCAAGCTAACACCATTTTTCAGGGCCTCATCTGCCCGGCTTACAATGCCTCCAAAGCCGCCGTTTTGCAGCTAAGCCGAAACCTGGCCAGCGAATGGGGCCAATACGGCATCCGTTGCAACACTATCTCGCCTGGCTACATCGTGACCGCCATGGTGGAAGCACTCTTTGAGAAATTCCCTGAGCGGAAAGTAGAGTGGCCCACCCAGAATATGCTCGGGAGATTGAGCAAGCCAGAGGAATACCGTGGCGCAGCAACATTTTTGATCAGTGATGCTAGCAGTTTCATGACCGGTAAGAATCCATGTGGTGGTCATTTGGCAAACTATAACTGATATATTTGACGCTATCTAGGTTCGGACTTACGAATGGATGGAGGCCATGCTGCGTGGTAATGGAACCTTTATGATGCGGGTTTGGACGCTAGTCTATCGGTTGGGGAGTTCATTAATTATAGTGTTTATCTCCAGGCGTTCTGTATATTTAGAGACAATGAGCCAGTAGTAATGATACATGATCAAAATAATCTTACGTCGACTGGGTCGATTTCTTTTCCACTTATACAATTATACCACATTACCCAGATCCATCTAACGCCAAATATTACAATCCACGTCGTACACATCGTTCCTTAATAGACATCCTCACCGTGCAACACCAACAACACCCCTCCTCCCAAGCCTCCCTACAACCCCCTCCTTTAACTCCAACGTCCTTTCGATCTGCTCATTCATCATCCCCCGCTCCCTCATAACCAAAACCTGCTTCAACGTAAACACATCCACAAACTGCCTTCCCTTCGCGCCACGTTTTCCAATCTCTTCAAACTCCCTTTCCGCCTCCTCCGCTAACCTGTATCTCGCGGTTAACAAGCTAACTGCTGGGTTTGAGGACGCTGATGGGAAGACAGATTGTGAAGGCGTCGAGGCGGAGGGTTGGAACGATGATGGCTCTTGTTGTGGGTTGGTGGAGGAGGCTGGGGAATTAAACGTCGAGGAGTTGGAGAGTGTGGGATTTGGTTGTACGGCGCCGAGTTGTTGGAGACGGGCTTGATAGGCCGGGTTAAGATCTGGGTCGGGGGCTTCGGTATTGATTGCTATGTGTGGGAGAAGTGTCAGCATTAAGCTCTGCTTTTCTCATGTATTGTTTGTCTTCGTGAGCTTTCGCCGGAGGAGAAGTGGTGGAGGGAAGAGGAGCCACAGGATAGGAAGGGCACGAACCCGCGTCATCCGGTGGTGGAGCTTTGGAATTTGGGTGTACAGTTGATCCTATTCCCCCAGGTGCAATTGGAGCCGCCGCATCTGCTGGTGAATTCGTTGCGGACGAGCTTGTGGTTCGAGGGGAACGGGTAGGGTATTTGCGGGCTGCGGGTGTGGGTTTCGACGAGAGTTTAGACGCTGCTTTTCCGGCAGCGCCGGCGGCTTTTGAGCTTGAAGATCCCATTATGCGGAAAATTTGGATTTCAACCCGTTAGGCCCGTGGTACGGCTCGAGGAAGCTGGTGATATCAATAACGTTTTGTTCCGGCGGGGGCTTATGGGCTTGTTCATGCCTTATATTATCACAGCATACAGGTGTGTTGGCCTTGTGCGCAAGGCGCAAACTCAAGAGGATTGAATGGCGGAGGTTGCTGAAGACCCAATGATAATACTGTAATGGAATAAAATCCTATGGTACTATAGTCGGAACTCCTATCTGTATCAATTCAAAATTATGCACTTATAGTATTCAAAATAATCCTTCATGATTGCGTGGCCCTGGTGAGATGCGCACCCCAGTCGCCTACAATCAGAGCCAACATTCTGAACTAATGATGCTGAACGATGGCGCTGAAAGCCTGAAGTTCAGCGGCAGCTCGCTGAACATTGCAGGAAGCAAATCCTATGATTTAGGCTTTGGAAGCTAATATTTAACGTAGACTAACGCCAGCCCATTTCAGGGCGAAGCGAGCTCCAGAAACCAATCTACTCCCAATCATATATAGGGGGTGTTCTAACTCTCTTCTAACTGTCTATAATCATGGCCATATATTTCGACAGTATGCGATAAACTCCTCTGTCGAGGCCCTTGAGGACAGAAGAAGTACGCGAAATGCACATGTTCCAAAACCTCAGAGCAAGTCTTTCCGTCCCCGGATAACATTTCGCTCATTTCCTCTCTCCTCTCACATTTGCTAGATGACTGTAAGAGAGAAGTTATGAATAGATGAGACCTAGTAAGTCGTGTACATAGGTGGTTATACCAAAAAGGGGTTGATTGTCGACTTGTTGCCTCTTTTGGTGTATGCTGACGCTAATTGTATAGCAAGCGATGGATTGCCCAGGTGGATTATGTGTTCTAAAGCAAGTAGTGCATCCAAGGCACAGATCCATACATTTCCCAGATGTCTCAGGGACATAGGACTTTATTTTCAACCCTTCATGTCCCAATTGCAGCCTGACTGGCCCGCAAACTACCAACCACGGTGAATGCCAAAATTGGAGATATGATATAAGAGATCTAGAAGGAAGTTAGTCCCTTTAATTTGAGTACATTTCCAATATGCGCTTCTCTCCTTCAGATGGCATCGGCAGACCACAAACCCATAATAGATAGTGGGAATAAGAATAATCAGGACTCACTGTAAGCAGCTTTGAAATCTTATGCTGGTCTTCTTCACCCGCATTACTAACTTCTACCATTGTAATAAGTTTCATAGCCGGCGGCCCCGTGGGCATAAGCATCATGGCAAACCACAGCATCGGATCGTCGCCCAGAAAATTTGTCTTCTTTGCCAAGAGATAGATGACACTGATAGATAGGATCGGCCACACAACAAATCGCACCATAAGAACAAACGCTGTGGTGAGCCAGGGCGTATTTACGCTTTCTCTGGGCGAATGGCCAGAGTCGGCATCTTCTTTGGTACGCTTCGTGGCGTTGTATAATGACACGCCAGCGATCACCACGGGGAGAGGAACGAACAAGCTGCCGATATTCTGAAAAGAAGCAGTTAACCATGCGCTGAAAATACCACCATCTTCTGTATGATTGAAGAAGGCACGATGTAGCACTGGCACCATGCCAATAATAGTACCTAGTACGGCGCCAAGTAGGGGAGCGTTGAGAAAGTCGTACAGGAAGAGGAGCCACCACTGTGTCCTCTCGCTGATGCCCAGCCACCGTCTCTTGCTGATATATGATGGGCGACGGTCATATATAATCGTTTTGATAGATGCTTCCTGCGGCCGAGTAGACGGGAAGAAGGACGTGGCTGCCAAAGAGCTGCGTCGTCGGGGACCTGGGGATCCTGAAAACAGCAGATGGGTGCGATCCGTTGGAGAAACAGGAACATCATCGTCGGCATCGTAACCTCCACGCCTATCTCCATTTTGCTCCTCATTTTCCACACTTTCCTCTGGATCACCATCTTTACTGGACTCGGAATCACTCGGCGCCGTTTCCGCATCTACCAGTCGCGGCCCAACGGCGAAAGTCAGACAGCTCGACACCGTCGCAAAAACCAGAAAATAGCTCTTTGCTCGCTCAATCGCGTCTTTCGTAGACTCATCCGTTACAATCAGATCAGTCAAAATGCCCGTCTCATCTAAGGACTGAATAAGCAGCAAAGGATAACTCGTCGTGTTATTAAACATTATCGCAGCGGTAATCCAGTCAGGCATGCCAAGCAGGAGATGCGCGGCAACGCCGATTAAGAAAGACACAATATGCGCGACGAAGGCCCAGAGGAGGATAATGAGATAACGATGCGCGGAGCCGGAATGCAGCTCAGAGCCTATTTTCGTCAGGAGAAGTGCCGGGAGAAACATCTTGACAGAGACCTTCGAGATAGATTTCGCAGAATGCGAGTCCAGGAGCTTGAATCGCGCTGCGATAGCGCCATAGAAGATGACCAACAGGACTGATAAGCTAGCCTGGATGGCAGCCAGGAATGAATTGAGGAGCCCCGCCGTTTGCACCATATTTGCGCTGTGCTGGTAGAAGGGAAGTGGTTGGGAAATCGAATGTGAGGTTTTGAGGTAGACATTCGTTACAAAAGTACAATGTGCTTGTCAGCCCGGGTTGAAGCTAAGGTTAGAGTTGCGTGTGCCTGGACCTCGTATTTCGTCATCAAAGGCGTTTTGACGAATTGCCCCCACAAACAAAGCAAATTAGACCCGGGGGTCATGTCTAGTTACTAGGTAGTTAAGCTTCCCGGATCGTGGCTTACCTAGGTAGCTTGCAAAGAGAGCCAATATCTTGGAAGTTCTTGGCCACCACAAGATACTCGAGTACTGCTTAAAAACAATCGAGTTTGGAGGAAAGGGACGGAACGGGTAGGTTACTTTAAGTGATTGGAGCATCCGTTGCTTTCTAAAGTCCAATAACTAAATGAAGCAGTGCTGGGCTACTGTAACTATAACGTCGAAAAAAACCACGGTAGCTAATCCATATGGCTGCTTAAAAGAACGAACTGTATGCCAACTTAATTAAATCTGAGTGAGTGAGTTTGGCGATATGTTTATCTCTTACCTTTGCGTTGATTCGAAATGTGTATTGCTCCAGAGGTAGACAAAACTGCTCTCTGAATTAATGTAAGCTATATCCTATTTCTTTCCACTCCAAAAGGGTGTAATGACTGCATTGGAAAAATAATTATGCTAGGCCGCACTCAGTCCATGGCGGACTAGAAAATTGGTTGTGTCGGTTATAAGTTGGGGCGTATTTGAATATTCTCCATTTAATGACCTAGAAGATTAATAGGTTCCTGGTCACTGGCAATTTACAGGATCAGGGGCAGTGATCAAGGGTTGCGTTTTTGTTCATTAATTGACAGGTAATCTATATCTTCTGTCAATTTTCATTTAAAACATTTATATCCTGCAAGGAAGCGTCCCACTCATACCTACGCTCCGCCCAATATAAGTGAGAGACATTATATCCCATTAACTTCCGGATTGTAATGTGCTCGCTCATACTTCAACGCCATTCTCTCCAATCCAACATTATTCATAAAACATATAACCCATAGTCCTCTTTTCACATGGGTGCACGGCTAAAACTCTTTCATGCTCCACAAACCATTACTTCTCACAGTAACTCGATAAGTGGATTCTCTTGTCCATCATTTCAATACGCCGTACCATAACCTCCGCTACTTGGTCCCGGTGTGGGATTCGGTGCAGGTGGCCCAGTACCGCTTGAGCTCCCATATCCACCTCCAGATGCTGCCGGTGCGGCTGCCCCTGAGCCGCCGACCGCAGCCCCAGTTGCAGCCCCAGTTGCAGCCCCGGCAGCACTACCAAGTAACGGTCCACCAGGACAGGCACATTGATCAGCTATCATCTGGCATGTAAAGCATCTACACCTATGCCTTAATCTCCACCAATATAGTGTGCTGCCGATAAGCAAGAGTAAAGTGATGACAAAGAGAATAAGAAAGAGGATGAAAAGAATGAAGTAATCTCTGCACGGCTTGCATGGCTCGATGACTGGGGTTGTTGTTTCTGAGGGGTGCGGCACGGTGCTGTTGCAGGAGCCTGTGACGGTGCTCGTTACGGTTATGGCGCTGTTGTTTTCAGGGCCTGTGGGTGTGGCGACTGAGGTTATCGTACTGCTAATTCCAGACTGTGTGGGAGTAACAGAGGTTATACCGGTTTGGACAAGCGTGGTTGTTGAAGTTATAACACCATTATTAGGCTGGGTAAATGTGACAGTAGAGATTATAGTGCTGATCGGTGGTAGCGGGTTACCAGGGCAAGAAGTGCAGCTGTTCGTGTCTGATGGCCCAGTAGTAGTATATAGTGTGCTATATACTATTGTTGGTGAGCAGCTTACTGACGATAAACAAGCTATTGCGGGAGGGCATATCGATGGTGTTGAAGATGAGCAGCTTGCTGGGACAAAGACAGTGGCCGATGTGCATGCTGATACTGTCGGGCAGGAAATTGGGGATGGAACTGTAAACGAATAGCAGGATGACGCAGACTCCGTTGATGTTATTGTTGTTGGGACCAGGATAGGCGAATTAGAAGATGTGCAGCTTCCACTTATTGTAACTGTAGAGGGCACGCACGTCGTGGGTAGAATCGTTACCACAGACCCCGCGGGAGCAGTTGTAGTCGTGGTAAAGATGCTGGTACTAGTGACGGTAGTTGGAGGGAAGAAAACTGGAGGAAGGAGTTTTGTTGTTGTGGATTGTATGCAAGGTGTTGATTGCGTGTAAGGGCAAAAGCTGGGACATTGATACGTCCTCGAGGTACTCTGCGTTTTATTACAACAGCCAATTGTGGTTGTGAAGTTGCCATAGTTGAAATTTGTAACATGTGTTGTTCCAGCTTGGCATACCAAAGACGGAGGTAATGTTGTGGTTTGGATGCTTGTTGACGCCGGCAATGTTTTCGTAGTAGTAAAAGCTGTGACAGGGGATTTGTCCCTATATAATGTCTGGAGACTTGTGACGAAAGTCGTCTGATAAACAGTGACAAAAGAGGTAATCACATGCTTCCATTTTGTCTTAATGTCACTTGTTACAGTTATGGTAAAAGGAGTTTGCTCTATGCATTGTGTGACTAGCGGACGAGAGGGGAAAGAAGCAGTTGCGGCAGATGTGCCAACTGATGTGGGTGTCGATGGGACAATTGACGTTGACATGTACGACGGCGTAAACTGACTAGATGACTGGGCGATTGCATGAGAGGGGTATGGCGATAGAGCCGATGTACTACAAGATGTCGTAGCCTGAGGTACATATACCGGAGGTGAGACCACCACGTAGCTTGGTGCGGCCTCGGACGCAGGGGATTTGTATGGTTTAGAGCGTATCGGAATCGACGACGACTCGCAGGGACTCGACGACCCAGAGACGAGCGTAGTGAATGAACTTTGGGCTCCTGGTGGAGGGCGTGTTGAAGGTAGGATTGAGAGACTGTCTCGGGGTTCCGAGTATGATTCCTTCGTCAGATGTAGAGCCGTTTTTGAAATTTCTGTGGCATCGCAAGGAGTTGTAGTTAATAGCCCTTGAGAACTACCTCTGCTAGGACCAAGTGGCAGAGTTTCATTACGTCCCTGCACCGAAAGCCCGGGAAACAATGCGACCCATATTGCCAAGACCCTGATAATCATGGCTGACAAGTTATCATAGAAACTCCGCAAAGTGTTGATTATTCGCTGACAAAGTTGAAGAAACTCAAACTGACTAGAAACGATCCTCGGATTGTGCAAGGACAGAGAGGATTCCCCAAATAAACCGAGGAAAGAGATAATAAATCTTCAACTAAACGAGCGAAGCTTGGGTGTACTACGCGTAACTGATCAGTTCAGCCAGTGGGCACCTGCTCCTACATAAAGAAAAGACTAGAATCACACTAGCAACGCCATGCATTGTGTTTATTTTCATTGATCATGGAGGTGATAACGATTGTATGGTATACAGCCCAGGTAGCCACTCAGCCTGCAAGCCAAATCAATATGCACGGATACGGAACGTGAAGCTTGCCTTTGTCCAACGGCCCTTCTCAACAAGCAAATAGTGCACACTATATGCACAAAGTACCATAAAGTGACAGCAAATAAGGCGTTCTGGGAAGGGTAGCTCGCCCACTAGGCGCTAGACAAAGCATTGGTGAGATTTCCGTAGGGCGGACGACCCGTCTTAAAGCTGTGCTCGTGCATGAGTTGGACCCTAATGGGGTTGTGTTGCACTCGACAGGTGGAACATAATCAATCAGTGAAGCGAAGATGGTACTCGTACCAGCATAGCAAGGAACATATATATGAGGCTGGGAGATTGAAAGTTTCCCCCAGCTTGAAAGTTTTCCTTGACATTGACCTTCCCACTCCCTAGGCAGGTACTTAACAGAACTTGCCATCTGGATAGTTAAGACGGCATTGAGCATCAAAAGCCGCGTCCACAGAGAGCGTCCACAAGATTCATTTGCAATTGAGCGCAAAACATGGCTGGCTGGGACGTTCGGTGACGATAGTGGCGTGTGTGAGTTGGCAAGCGGTGAGGCAATTGGGAATTTTTCTGTTCAGCCTTCGCTAATTATGATGGCTGACGAGGAGGCAGATCACGTGTTTAACCCCAGTGCCTTATCGTCTAGCCATTTTCTTGTTCTGATTGTTGGTATAGCAACCTTGTGTGTTAGAGATGAGAGCCATGTCTCTCTAAGTTGCTCTATTACCAAGGACAGGACCGTGCACGGTCAGATTTAAGGCCTTAAGTGCTGCTCTGGAAAGATTTGTTTCTTCAGCCATCCTAGTAGAGAGCAGGCAATAAGTAGGGAATGCTCTCCTAATAATAATACGATCAGCCGATCGATTGAAGGGATTTCCACTCCGGTTCTGGCCATGACAAAATGCGTCACCAAGCTCTCCCTCGAAAAAGAGGGCACTATGCTAGTTACTATTCCTTGGCATATTCAGGGCCTTGGAGAATGATGGATGTAATTGCTATTCATGAATCTGTAGAGGATAACATTTCATCATCCCTATCCCTCATATCATCCTGTCTAAAATATCTCCCTGCGCATTACTAGAGTGATCATCATTCTGCCTTCAACTCTCCACCATAATTCTCACTCCCCAATCCAGTCAGACCCCCAAGCCGGTTCAAACTCCCAAAATCCAATAATCCCAAGCCACTCAGCGCAGCAGACGGTCAAACAAACACCCTTACAGGTTGAGCGGAGACACAAGTCGGATTCTGGGGTGCCTTAATACCCACAGTCCAAACCAATGTCTGGTACGGGTATCCGTAATAGGTCTGGCAAATATACCATCTAAACTGCGGTGTCTCTTCATTGTTTGGCAGCGGCTGAGTATCATCCTGGTATCTCATGACAAACATCCGCCCAATTCTATCAAATCCGACGAGGGTAGATGTCGTCCCGGGGATGATTATGGGCATTGCGACGTTGGATGACGGGCTGTATGAGAATTGCATTGGGCAGGACACATTGAAATTCCCCCCAATAAGTTGGTAGGCAAGGATGCCCGTCTTGTCGTCTGGAGAGCTGGTATTGTATGTGAACTGTGTAGCTTCCCCAAATTTCCCACCAGCAAGACAGAGTCCTTCAATGGCAGCGCCTTCATGGCAGGCGGCGAGCGAGGCACCATTAAGGGTCGAGTTCTGAGAGAGTAGGATTATTGTGAAGGGCGCAGATTGGTTATAATCCGCGGTGACTTGGGATATGGCGAGAGCCAAGACGCTGGCAATGAGAGATGCGCGCATCGTGGAATTCGTATATGGATGGCTTCTTCTTCAATTAATACCAATAATGGGTAATATATTTGGCGGTTTGTTTGGTGAGCGTGCGAGAATGTGTGAGAATGCAGCGTGCCGAAGGATAAACTAATTATGAAGTTGAAATTGAACTGAGAAAAAAGAGAGAAAAGGAAAGAAGGCCAATTTCTTATAATATATGGCATCTCCCTACAATGCCAATTACGACTGCAGATGCCCGCGACTGTGGTTGTAGATGCGATGTGACGTGCCGTTGCTGCCACCCTGGATTTATCTCGTATTCGATCACTCGAGTAGCACCAGCACTTAGAGCGTCACAGGACCTTCGACTTACATACGGCCTATTAAAGTTACGCCAGCGTATACCTTGAAGGTCGCTGGCCGTATAATAGATTAAAGAGCGCTCAACGAGATTTGGTCACATCCGCAGATACGGAGCAAGCATTCGTTTTGATTTCTAGCTTCGTATCGTGGAGAGCCCGCACTACTCCCATAGTGTCAGTGATGAGCAAGTGCCACGTCGTTTTGCTCGCGGGGTTTGCGGGGTGGTTGTATGTACAAGTAAGGTACCGAGCAATTCCTCGCGACAGGAAGTAGATGTTAAAGCAACCCGACTCGATATGTGGTAAGAGAAGTAGTAAGTGGTGCAAATATTCATTAGAACACAAAACCAAGGATAGGGATCCAAATCCCATAAACCGTATATGCAAAAGTGGAATCGTATTCAAGAGTGCAAAGCCTCTAACCTATCCATCAACAGAAGCATCGACGGGGCTGACGGTAACAATCGAAATGGTAGCACACTCCGTCGTCATTCGATTTCTGCGGAGGCTTGATCAGGTGCACGTATTCCTGATGCTCCTTCCTCCTTAAGTCCAACGTATACCTCCTTGAGCCGTGGCTTCTCCTCTCCTTGTTTTATCACTGTGTTGTCGTTGGTTGAATTCCCTCTCTCCTCTCAAAATCGCGAGCGCCTTCGACTTCGCTTTCCGCCATATTAAACTCGACCTTCTCGATCTTGCTTCCGTCGACTTTCGTTCCAGCTGTGGCTTGTCAAGTTTTACATCTTCCCCTGTGGTCCCTTCTTGGAGCCAGCAAGCTTGGCTTTACTGAAAACCTTCGCAGCAGGAATCAAAATAAAGCTACTACTTAACAACTCTAGTGCTTGTAGGCTCGCCCTGATATCTCTCATTATCCGTCATATAATCTCAATGGATAAAAGACGAGTCGAGGCCATACACAACAATGGCTCCACTCGTGTCCATCCCCTTCTGAGGGCTATCAAGACAGCTGGACCCTTGAAAGCAGCCCGTTCGGCCTCGGACACGGTCCCTAGGGCTTGTTCGCGAGAGCGGAGTGACTTGATCGTAGCGTTATATTGCTCACAACCCATCTTCTCAACGAAAATACCACTAAGGTGGACCAAGTGGCCATGGCCAGTGAAGACGGGCTCGGGAGGGAGGGTGAAGAGACATAGTATATGTAGGAGAGCCTACAGTGTCATTGACTTGGGAAGATATATCCGCTTTTTAAAAACTCTAAATTTTAAATAGTTTAGAACGCACTAGCTTAAGTATCTTAATTCCGCTAATTGAATTTTGATACAATGTCTCAACATGTTTTAGATACTATCAAGCACCACTGAGTGCAATTGAGACCCCGCTAGAATATAACCAGTAGTGTCGCTTTTCTGATTATAATCTGAGAATGAGAGATTTCTATTGTGATATATATCTCTCCTTAGAAGGGGTTGGTCTTCAGGCATCGGTTTCCACATTGCTAATGAATAAGTCAAGGTGTCATATTGTATCCAAAAGTACCAATAGTTGCTCTGTTAAGACTACGCTGATCATCACTTAAGAATCAGGAGTATCCTTGCTACAACATCAGGCTAGATGCTCCCGAATATATTCCCCTAGGCTTTTCAATGCTTCACGAAGAACTTCGGTTTCGCAGACAAACCCCATGCGCACAGAGCCTTTGAGTTCTGGGCTGAAGCATTTCGAAGCAGGGACAAACATAACCTTCGCCTTCTCGATGACATCTATGCAAAACTGCATGTCATCTACTGGCACCCCTTTTTTCACAAATTTGACTAGGGCCGTGGTCCCACCCGTTGGTTTAACCCACGAGCAAATATGATTGTGCTCGTTTATGAAAGTTTCGAGAAGAGTCATGTTGGTCTTTGCCAGCTTGATATTGCGTCCAAGTAGGGCATGCATCACAGATGGCGAAAGAGCATATGTTGCAACTTGATCATCTAACTGAGAAACAGCGATCGTGGTGTAATCCCTAGCTGCGGCAATAGCTTCGATGATGGACCGGTCTCGAGACGCAATCCAACCAATCCGGATGCCTGCTAACGAGTAGGCCTTTGACATTGACCCAGTACTGATGGTCTTGGAGTAGCCCAGAGAGAGTAACGAAGGCGGGAATTCTGGGTCGGCAGGAGAAGTTCCATGGAATAGTGGCCTATACACCTCATCCGAAAGTATAATAAGATCCCGCTCTCGTGCAAAATTAACCAACGCCTGCAAAACTGACTTGGGGGTTGTGGCCCCAGTCGGGTTGTTGGGATTATTGACGATGATTAGTTTCGTATTCTCCTTGACCAATGACTTCAAGTCCTCCACGTCTGGAATATAATTTTTCTCCTTCTGCAGCTTCCATAAGCTCACTTCGGCACCCAAGCTTTCAGGCACGGAGTATAACTGCTGGTACGTGGGGTACATGCAAACAATGTGGTCTCCAGGGCCTATGAGGGTATACAGAAGGAGAAAGTTGGCGGCAATCGCTCCTGGGGTTATAAGGACATTATCACCGGGAAGAGGAGCCGCAGCTCTAGTAGAGTATAGAGAAGCCAAGCGTTCCCGCAGAGCACTCGATCCCCGGATAGCTCCATATGTAAGTTTCGTGGCCGTATTTAAAGGATGCGGGGTATTTGGATCTTCGCAGAGTGCCACGAGCTCATCGATAGAGATAGATGCGGCGCATGTTTCGGCAAGGTTTCTGATTCCGGGCGAGTTCTCATACTTATCCATCCACTAAGACACGTATTAGCATATTTGCACCAGAGGATGGAGGCTAGCTTCGTGTCGGCCACCACATACCTGCTCGACGTCGAACGGCTCAAGCTTCACCATGATGGCGGGGTATCGGTTGGCTTGCGATAACAGTGACAACGATGGTGGTGGGTGCCTCGAGTAGGTCTCGCAAGAACTTAACTATTGCCCACGTTGAATTCTCGTTCTGATTTGGGTTGCTGGCACGAAGTATTATATCGCTGAGATCGCGTTGCGGTGATGGTGAAACGGACACTCGTTTTTGGGGAACCTGTTGCTTCGTATTGTTTGTAGATCCGGAGTAGTGAGCTCTCCCTAGTATCGTAGCCAGCTTACAGAGTAATTGTACATGTACCGATGAATATAGCGCGCAGACAGAGAGTGGGGGTATTGAGACGGACAATACTCGTACGAATACTGTATCTTGTATCTTGTATGAACCTCGGCTCTCCAAGGCCTAGAGAATAGTTGAGCGATGTCAATATTGACAAGCCCGTAGGCAACGCGAAGGGGTGCGGACAGAATAGATAGAGCTGGATATCGATATCGACCAGGCAATGTATATAAGGGAATTATAAGGCCAAGATCAGCGGCTTTTGGGAGCTGTGCACTGCACTGCACTGTAGTAGCTGGCTCAGCTCCTGAGGCACAAGAGACACAGCCTCCAAACCACTCGCACCGTGCGAAGGACTCCGCAACCTGTCTCATCCTACAGCCTTCAGCCTACACAATATACTACTGAGCTGCCCAACGTAGACGCCAAACACCGACACACTCCCTCCACGTTCATTTCGCTCCCTGTTCCTATTCTGCAGCTTGATGCCGCAACTGTTTCCGCGCCGGGCCCGTGTGTTTACATATCATATCGCTATAAGACGGTGCTTCTGATGAAGGCGCTCTACGAAGTAGAAGCTTCCCCACTCTCCACTCTACAGTAGCTTATCGCGGCTCGAGACACCGCTCATATCTATACTGTGCTGGAGTACAGTATTACTCGTATACTTGATCCGCCGATCAGAAGCTCCAGGCAGCCCCGACAACAGGATGCGCCCGCTCCCAAGTCCAGCTGTCCTTGCGACGCTGGCACTATCATGGATGGGCTATGCATACGCATTCAAGAACCAGAACCAAAGTTACTCCTCCGCGGATATGATGCAGACACAGCTGGCGTTAATGGATGATCGACCCGACAACTGCCCGCCATGGTACGATGCGATACGCTCCCAACATCCTGCTCCGGCAGTAACTGGAAGATGTACTGACTTGAAGCAGCTTCAATTGTCTACTACCTGCCTTCGACTGCGGCCAATACTCGGATTGTAACCAATTCAATGGCAAATGTGCTTGTCCTCCTGGGTACGGGGGCGACGACTGCTTGGCTCCAGGTACGACACTCGGCCATGACCTCTGAATGATAGGGGGGACAAACATACTGACCTATGTAACTTAGTCTGCGGTTCTTTAGCACATGGCAAGGACCGGCCGATGCGACAAGGCGATTACTGCGAGTGCGACGACGGATGGACTGGCATAAACTGCAATGTGTGCACCAATAACCAGGCATGTAATGCTCTGATGCCAGAGGGCGAGGGCGGGGTCTGTTACCAGAATGGCGAGGTGGTGAAGGAGAATTACCAAATGTGTGATGTCACGAATGTGAAGATCGTCGAGATCTTGGAAGGGAGAAGACCCCAAGTGACTTTCGATTGTAACTCAGAGCGTGAGACCTGCGATTTTCAGTGTAAGTTCCGCGCAAGAACGATGCGGAGATATCCAATACTGACCCGACATAGTCTGGGTTGAGCATAAAGAATCCTTCTATTGCACACTCGACACCTGCACCTCCAGCGCCGACAATGACTACTATCAAAATAGTACCAACTATAAGTGTGAAAATATCCGATGCAAATGTATCCCTGGTCGGATGCTCTGTGGCGAGAATGGTTCCGTTGATATATCGGAATTCCTAGATGAGTCGATTAGAGGGCCGGCCACATTCAGTTGCAAGCAGCAAAACGATGCGAAAAACGATTGTCGATTCAAGGAACCCGAAATGGATGTGTTGATCCAGCAGATGTTCGGGGACCAAAGTATCTTTATTGACTGCAAATCTGGCGAATGTCTGTACGAAACCGAGGTACCTGGATTCGAACGGCCGGTAAAACGGATCAACACTCCTTTGATAGCTGGGGTCATTGCTGCTAGCTCCCTGTTTGTGGTTGCCGTCATATTGCTTGTCTGGTTTCTTTCGAGGAGGCAGTTCAGATATGGTCCGATCCATCTGGATGACTCTGACGATGAAAGTGCTAAGCTCATGTCGGATCATAGGCCCGCTTCCCTTTACTTCGAGAACGTTTGCTACGATCTGAATGGAAAAAAGATAATAACCGGTATTCAAGGAGTCGCTCATCCAGGGGAGATCATGGCCATCATGGGAGCTTCCGGGGCTGGCAAGACAACTTTCCTGGACATCCTGGCTAGGAAGAACAAAAGAGGCACCGTAGAAGGGGATTTCTACGTCAACGGCGAGAAGGTCAACGACAATGACTACAAGAACGTTGTTGGATTTGTTGATCAAGAGGATACGATGCTACCAACATTAACCGTGCATGAAACCATTATGACGAGCGCCCTCCTCAGACTTCCCCGTGATATGGGAAGAGCAGCAAAGGAGCAGAGGGTCTTCGAGGTTGAGAAGCAGCTTGGAATATCTGCTATCAAAGACTCTCTGATCGGATCTGAAGAAGGCAAGGGACGCGGTATATCTGGTGGGGAGAAACGAAGAGTTGGCATCGCCTGCGAGCTCGTCACCAGCCCAAGCATTTTATTCCTGGACGAACCAACAAGTGGGCTTGATGCTTACAATGCGTTTAATGTAATTGAGTGTCTTGTTACCCTCGCGAGGACATACAAGCGCACCGTCATATTTACGATTCATCAACCACGGTCTAATATTGTTGCTCTATTCGACCGATTGCTTCTTCTAGCCAAGGGCAGAACTGTTTATTCCGGCGAATTTTCTCAGTGTCAGGATTACTTCGATCGCATTGGATATTCCTGTCCCCCAGGTTTCAATATTGCAGACTATCTGGTGGATCTGACGATGCATGTCGGCGCTCCTCGTACGCCAGCAGACGAGGGAATACCAGGTTTGGCGGTCAGCATCAGTGATAGTGTTGGGCCAAGCAGCACCAGAGCTGTCAAATCAATAGCCAGCATATCTGGAGGGAGTATTGAAGATGGATTGGCCAGTAGCCCAGGGGATTCGCTGCAGAGACCTAAAGGAAAGCGCAGAGACTCGGTTAGAGCAAAGCAGGAGAGGGAGCTCTACACCCGCAAGAGAACCGGGCTCGAAACCCCAACTTCACAACCTGACGAGCAACCCCTCGATCCCAATGTGGCAAGTTCACAGCACTGGGTTGGGCTTCAGAAACAGCGTCGCTACGTTCCACAACAGGGTCTGGATGATCCTGATAATCTGCTTCCTGAAGCCGGCAGCGGCAATGACCTCGACATCCTTGTAGCAGCATATGCACACTCCGAAATTGCGGGAAACATTCACGCTGAGGTTCATTCTGCCATAGCAAATGCCAATACTGCAAATGGGAGTTCAAATGGCAATGCCCAAGGTGACAGCAATAATCACATTAGCGCGATGGGCAGGGGTTATGCAAGAATCGGATACCTTGGACAGTTTGTAATCCTGTCACAACGGACTTGGAGGAACCTTTACCGCAACCCAATGTTAATGCTCACTCATTACGCCATTGCGATCCTACTTGCGGTTCTCTCTGGATACTTATTCTACGGCTTGACTGACGACATTCCTGGATTCCAGAATCGACTTGGGCTCTTCTTCTTCGTCCTTGCGCTTTTCGGCTTCAGCACACTATCCAGCTTAACTGTCTTCGCTACCGAACGGCTCCTCTTTGTTCGGGAGAGAGCAAATGGTTATTATTCGCCTATCACTTACTTCGTTGCTAAGGTGATCTTCGATATCGTGCCTCTCCGCATCATCCCACCAATTATCATGGGGTCAATTCTATACCCGATGACTGGGTTAGTTGCGGACGCGCCTCATTTCTTCAAATTTATCTTGATCCTTGTACTCTTCAACCTCGCAGCCGCTGGTATATGCCTCTTTATCGGGATCGTTTGCAAGGATAGTGGTGTTGCAAATCTGATTGGTAGTCTTGTGATGTTGTTTAGCTTGCTTTTCGCAGGCCTCCTGCTCAATCATGACGCCATTCCCAAGTCTGCTCTATGGCTGCAGGCGATCTCAATCTTCCACTACGGCTTCGAATCTCTCATCGTCAATGAGGTCACGTACCTGACACTCGTGGATAAAAAGTACGGTTTGGACATCACTGTTCCAGGAGCGACGATTTTGAGCTCGTTCGGATTTGACACCCAGGCTCTATGGCCCGATGTTATCAGCCTTGCAGTATTTGCAGGCGGCTTCATTATTTTAGCGTATATCGCTATGCATGTCTTGCTAGTAGAGAGACGATAGAACGTGGGATATATATATACCTATAATAAATAGTTAAGGCATCAGGGTTCATTTTTGTTTACTACTCATCACATATGGAGATATCACGGCGTTTGGTATACATTATGTTCTAGCATTTTCATGTCAATCAATGCCCGCAAATATACAGAGTGCAAACCTGCATGAATCTCATCATTTGATTTCTGTGCTGTGATATAAGTCGGCCGATGGTCTCTCAACCTATGGATCACTTTAGCGTCGTAGGATCATTGTGATATGTCGCAGGGGAGACCCTATCCCAATTAGTAAGATATGTTATTATCTAGTATCCCCACTTCACTTATCAGCACGTGACCACGCGTTTTAGCGTCTACCCCGACAGACCACAGCTTGACACCTCTTCGAGGTAATCTGTCGAACACTACCTCCGAGGACTATATCCTTTCGTCGCGCAGTCTAACTCCACGGAGAACTTGCGCTAATCACAAGTTTAACTCTCGATGAAAGTCCACAATTATGTGGGTCCTCGAGAACGAGGGCGATGTCTTGCAAGGTGACCTTCTACTTGTCCTCCTCCATCCGGTGGTGTCCCTAACACATTGACAGGCAAGAAATTATGGCTTAGACCTGGGAAGAAATATATGTTTGGGAGAACTCTATCAGAGCGTTAGCATGCACCGTATTGGCAATAGATTATGATTGCCTGCTGACAAGAGAAACAGAGGGGCAGTTTATTATCTCCGAGAAGACGATTTCAAGGCAGCATCTGACCGTCGAAGTCGAAGCCGAAGCGCCAAATGACTGCGTATATAGTCAGCGTTCCGTTTGGAAACGTACACAGCTAATGGTTTACTTAAGGGAAACGCGTCATCTCGGTCCCGAGTAATATTGACCGACCTCAAAACGAAAATAGGCACATTAGTGAATGGGGAGCAGATTAGGGGGAAAGTGTTTCCGCTTGAGCGCAAGGATAATGTGGTTAGCCTTGGACGTTATAAGCACCACTTTCAGTATTGATACCCAACATTAAGTGGGATCTTCATATGCTAATGCTATGCAGCTTCACTTGGATTCCTGTTTGCTTTACGTTTTCCTTCACATCTAAAGAAAGTCGAGCGGATCCCTATACCCCGCTACACAACCTTCTTGGGCCTCTCGATATCAAGGTTCTCAAAGACTACGATCGTGGCCTAGCAACCCACCTTGTTGCAAAGAAACGAAACACATCCAAGGGACTGCAGGCATTGATTGATGGGAAATATATTGTGCACAGTGATTCCTACATCAAAGCCGTTGTTGCAGCTGCTACTGCTAGCGATAGTGGTCCTGCACCTTTAGAAGAGGATTTCGCAAACTTTCCTGATCCACTGCAATACCTTCCTCCGAAGGGGGACGAACCAACTAGTCGCGATTATACTGCGTACGCGCCAGACCCAAGCCGGCAAGATATGTTTGAGGGTTACACATTTATATTTTACGATAGTCGACAATTTGACACCCTGTTAGCTCCAATAACCGCAGGCCGTGGCAAGGCACTCCTTCGTGATGTTATACCGAACCAGACGACTGTGGATGATTTTGTTAGATACGTCAAGAGCGTTGCTGGTGAGAAAGGCCTTGGGGAATTCGAAGATGGGAGCGAAGGGAAAGGAGTCGTCATCGTCAGATTCAATCCCGCGAAGGGTGCCGGGACTGACTGGTTCGCGCAGTTTGGTAGGGGGGTCGCGCTCCGTCTGGATCACCGCCTGGTTGAGCAAAACGAATTTCTTGATGCTATACTTGGTATCGATCCAAGTGCGTTACGGAAACCTCTTGAGATCGACTCAACTGCGCCTTCATCTACGGCTGGTATGGTTGGGCCAATTAATTCATGATCTCTTTAACTAATAGGCGACTTTTAGTTCCCATTGAAAACTCTCAGGCTCTGAAAACTACACAGTCTCCCCCACCACCACCCCAAATACAGGCTGCACCTCAAGAACCGGCTAGACGAGGTAGGTCTCGGCGCACGGCAGGCCCACGATTCAAGGGCTTTGATGACGATGATTTTGACGCCCTGCCAAATCTCCATTCGATTCCAGAGGCAAAGCCTATGGCTTTGGATCCAGCCCCAGCTGCGGAGTCTCAATCACAAGGATTGTTTGTATCACAAGACATGGATGTTGATATTGAGCGGAATGCTTCACCGTCGCCTCCTAGGCAAACCCGACGTAGTCGCAGAGGACGAGCTACTCCAATCGAAGACGACGAGATGTTGGACTCGATGGCACCGGCAGCAGCACGTTTCAAGAAATTACAGCAAGCTGCAGATGCCGCCAGAAAGGCACGCGGAGAGCTGAGCCCTTCGCCTCCTCCACCGACTCCAGCGGAGAAACAGAGACAACCCAGCCCCCTACCTAAGAAGAAACCCCAGAAACAAATCGATGTTCAAGAAGCCATTCGGGAGCGAATGGAGCAAGCCTCCGCGGCCGCGGAAGCGGACCGAGAAGCAATGCAAGAAGCGCTCGCTGACATGGATATAGCTTCCCTACGGAACCTGGTACAAGTGGAAGAAATGGACGTGACGCGGGTTAACCCGCGGCCTCGGGCAGCAGCGCAAGCAGACGAGAGCGAACGCTGGGACGACCGATGGAACGGGCGGAGGAACTTCAAGAAGTTCCGCCGCAAAGGCGGGCCCGCACCGAATGCAAGGGATCTCCGTAGGGTCATTGTACCCTTGGAGGAAGTGAAGAAGAAAGATTTTGGGATTGGCGATGACTATTGGCTCGATGGTGAGGATAGAGACAGTAGGGAGGGGGGGAGTCAACGTGGTAGTGATAGGAGGAAAGGAAAGGAAAGACAAGACGATGTCAGTCAACAGAAGAAAACACAGGCTCCGCCGTCTCGAAGACGTCGTTTAGCTATAGAGAGCGAACCGGAGGAGGAAAGTGCCATGCCTGCGGCACCAGAGCAAGACGGCGCTACAGTGATATCCTCGGGGTCTGACGTTGAAATTATCAATGAACCACCCCAAAAGACAAATAGGGCATCTCGCTCGCAAACGCAGACATTAGGAGGCAAGACAAGCGAGTCTGGGAGTTTGCCATCGCAGAGTAGGAACAAGAGACCTGCTGCAACCACCTTGACAAACCCGGCGCCGCCCAAGAAGGTGAAGCAGACGCCATTATCTATCGGCGGCAGTAAAAGACGAAGGGACGCGAGTGATGATGATAGCGACGATGAGTTGAAGTTTAGGTTTAGGAAAAGGGGTTAATATTGCCATTTGGATTTGGATCTCGTCACAAGGCGAGGAAACGCCAGCTGGTAACGAATGAAGACGAGTGAATTGGGGTATCATAGGCATCTATTGCTGGCGGCTTTCATCTTGCCGCGTTTCTATCTCTAAGACTAACTTGGGTATTTATACAGCTCTACCATATTGCCCTATATCCTTTCAGCACGGCGGAAACCGGTTTCCATGGTGCTTTCGATGCCCCCTCTAGATCATGCCCAAAACGCCTTCAATGCAAGGTATGCATATATCATACAGGAATTCTAGTCCTCCGTCGACTGTTATATTTGAAGCCCGTCGTGTCCGACCTCCTAGTGCTCAACCCCTCCCAAACGAGTCTCGGAGACGGGCAATCCCTCAGTCCATATCTTCCAGACTACTACCCCGCTCCCCTTCCTCAACCGCCATCCCAATCAAACACCCCTCTAACATCCCCTCCCAGTTAACCCAGGGATGCACCTCCCCAAATAATTTACTCCCATCCCGGCCCGCAACTCTTATCAGCTCCGGCACACCTCCAGGGTGATATGGCAAGTAGGGCGTGATGTTATACACCCGCCCCCCTAACACTGTCCACGCATCCTTCCCCTTGCGACCGTTATGCTGCTTGAGTAACGAGGGCGGGACGCGGAGGTAACCTGTTGAGGGAGGGAGACCACGGAGATTAGCGGTGGGTGAGCTGGACAGCCTGGCCCAGTCGAGAGGCGAATGGCCCGGTGTTAGAAGGACCTTCTTGCGAGGTTTGGTCGGGATAGCGGTATGTGTGGGAGGAGGGGCGAGAGAGGAAGAAGCTGCCGCCGGTGTTCGGTTTGGGAGAGGAAGAGGCCCGCGTCTAGGTGGAGGCATCATTCCAGATGCTTGTGCGGGTTGTGTGAAAGCAAGAACGGGGTTCAATCGGGGAGGAACACGCGCTCCTGCTCCTGTTGAGGCTCTTTGGGCAGAGTTCGCTGCCGGAAATGAGGGCGGGGGAAGCGAGTCGGTATCATCCTCCAGTCCAAAGGTGAAGGAGGGAACTGTCGGTGTTGTTGGGGATTCTGTAGTTGTGGCTGCTCGAGGAGTTGTAGGTGGTGAATCGGGTTTGGGGTTGAGCTTCTGTTTCTTCAAAGGCGGTGGTGGGGGAGGGGGCATAGCCTTGCGGTCCAAGTCGGCCCTGAGCGCTTCTTTGGGTACCAAAGGCGCAGTGGCGGTCCCTGATACAGCTGTCGCGAATTCAATAGCGGTCTTGTCACGGCTTGTAGTTATCGTAGTTGGTGCATGGTTCGTTATTGCCGCCGGCGCATCGCTATGCTGCCTTTTGGTTTTGGATTGCTCGATGGAGGGCGAAGGCCGTCGTCGGAGCCATTGCCACTGTCGAAGCGGCCAAGTGGAGGGTGGATGTCTGTAGCAGAGGAAGGATACAGAGACGATCAAAATAGAGAGCCCCAGAAGGACCATCGCACAAAGCTTCTCGAGCGGGTGGTATGTGGTGTTGTGACGGTGATGTCGTGGTTTTGGTTCTACGACGTACAGAGAGGTCGGGCGTTGGCGGCGAACTGTCGGCGTTGAAATAAAAGCCTAAGTGGCGGGACCAGATAAGCCTAAGAATAGGTACCTTGTAGGCCTAGTCAAGCCTACAACAATAGTAAGCCTAGCTGCGGGACGTAGGTACAAGTAAGGGGCCGAACCCGCTCCGTGGAGTTCTATTAGACTGCTTATCTTATTATCGGTTGGCATGTTGACATACTTCCAAGTTCGTATACAGTATGTAGGTCCCTAGAGCCTGGCGCCCCTTTGAAATACTTCGTACTTGTACTACTAAAATACGGAGCATACCCCTATTATTATACGCTCGCTGATCTCCCTATATACCCGAAATAAAGTACATGATCCTTGAAGCAAAACAAACATCTCGGTGGTCGCCCCGAGTTACCGCATGAATCTCAATCAAAGCGTGCAGCTGCTGGGCTCCCCGCCAAAACAATACTCCGTCATACTATAGACCTTCTATAGACACAACGAGTATGGCCATTGGGCAATGGATGGGCAGATGGAGCCACGTCAACAAGGACCAGCGCGTTGGGAGCAGAAAAAGTACATTTGCAGTCATCATCGTGACTCTGTCGTGACCCGTCGTCTCCGTAGCTCATAACTTGCACCTCGTCCGTCGCAATTCTAAGCCGTCGTGTAATTATGTATCCTCCCATCCCGCCCGAGGGTTCTCAACAGTGAAACAGCGATAAAAATATACGATATACTGTAGTGGTGTTGGAGGCCGGAGTGCTGATTGGTAAGACGCCGCGCGATGCAATGAGGGCGGCCATCATCGCCGGGGCGCGCTCGAAAAACAACCATCTCTTGGATCTACAAGACAACAACAACAATAGGAACAAGAACAACTCCAACTCCAACCAAGACGTCAACGCCAACTCCAACTCGAGTCTCAATGCCACTCCCACCCCGACTCGCCCTCGTCTCCGGCCTCCCTCTACAAAGCCCCTCCGTCCACCACTGCTCTCGCGCGACCACAATGCCATGATGCGAGCGTCAACACAGAAGGGATCCGCACCGTTAACAGCAAAGAGCGGGAATGCCAATGCCAACACCAATATGCCCCCTTACGATCATAAACATAATGCTTCTCGCCCGCTCATGCCCACCCTCAGTGCCTCGGCCAAGGTATCCCACCGACCTGCAATAACTCCCCGCGTCGCTGGCTCTGCGCCGTCTCCGAATCCAAATACGCATACAACACCATTACCTTTATCACGAAGACAACCGCGTGCGGGTGCAGGTGCGGGTGGAGATAGTGGTACGCCGACTACACCAGCATCGAAGGAGGACCTCTCTACCCCCATTTCCGCATTCCTCAATAACAACATTACGCCGCGGTCAGGTTCTAGAAAGAGTCGAGTTGACAGCGTAAATACGACGCCCACGGGCACCCCCAATGGAACTTCCGCCCCACTATCAGTAAATGAATCACCGGGAGTCCTCCACGATACTCCATCCCATGGACCTGGATTGGGTATTTCTGGCATGGACAAAGACTTGCCAAAACGCCCAACTGTCTCTTTCAATACTGCGGCGTCTGAGGTGGGAGGATATCCCAGGAACTCCACGTCATCTACAACTGCAAGTTCGAAGTTCTTCTTTGCAAGTGATGCAAAAGCAGCACCACCACCAAGACCTGTTCTTCAGTCTAAAACATCGTCAAACTTCTTCTATGCGAACGGAGAATCCATTCCATCTCCGCCCCAGAGCTCCAGTGCGTCTGCAGTTGGGTCTAGTGTTGCAGAAGAGCGTGGTCAGCCCAAATTTTTCCATGCTAATGGTACTCCGGATCTTCAACTCTCCCCTTCGCCATATTTCGCCCCTCCTCGGCCCAGCTCTACAGTCTCATCGTCCTCACGGGTAACAACAGCCCGTGCACCAACCTCTAGTCCTGGTACATTGTCGCCGCCTCAGAGACCCCTCTCTCCGTCAAAACTCAGTCAACAAGCCTCTATTGCCTCTTTACGGAACACCCCGCCATTACCATCTCCGGTCCTCCCTCGACCGCAAACTGGTGGGCGAGGTCAGCCTCCAAATAGCTTGGTTGCAGCACGGAGATCTAGCATCGAGGTTACTCCTAGGGTGTCTAGTCATGGGCGGTCCGCAAGCACGGGTTCGACAGGATCATCGCTCAGGAAGGTCTCTGGTGCGAGCTCGGTGGAGGTTGGACCGCCATCGACTCCATTAAATCTAACTACGGCTGAACTTGTCTCTACGCCCGAAGAACCGCTCGAGGCAGAATCTGACGATGCTATTTCCTCGGTGCTCCCTCAAAGTCCCATCAAAAGCGGGCATTCGCTTGAGCAGCTAAATGAACTTGCCGCAAACGCAAGACGAGAACGAAAGGTTCTTGATCTCGAAATCACCAATTCCTCACTAGCAGCCATTAATCGAACTTTGGAGCGGGAGATGCGGAAACAGACTGCTGAACTACGTCGATATCGGAGATTAAGCAGATCAGGCCGGCTATCTATTGCTACCACAACCTCGCTACGTAGCTCAACCGGTACGCTCTCTAGTATAGGCGCCGATGGTGAGGGCATAATGCTTTCAGATATGAGCGAAGAGGAGGAGGATGAGTCAGAAATATCGGATGATGAGACCGACTCCATGGACGACGGGTCGCTCAGTCCGGCCGCCATGGCGGAAAGCGATCTAAGGCACCGGAGAAAAGATGAAAAGAGATTACAGCTGGACCTAAGCAAGCATCAGCAGTTGCTTATCGATAGTCAGAAGATGAATCAAGGCTTAAAGCGTTGTTTAGACTGGACGGAGGCGCTCATAAGTGAAGGGAGGAAAGCCCTAGAATATCATGTCAGGGTTAGTGATGTGGAACTTGGAGGGCGGGTTCTCGCGCCGGACGAAGTAGAGGAGCCAATGGATAATGAAGGATTGAGCGACATTGGCGCGGAGCTTTTAAGAGAAGCTAGGATGACTGTCCCAAATAAGATCGTGCCTTGGGGTGGTGACCGGCGGGACGATAGGGACAGTGGAATCGTGCTTGAGGGGGCGCAGAGAGAGGCAGTTGCGACCTCGACTGTGGCGCCTAAACCACCAGCACCGCCGCAATAGTGCAAACGGCACGACAGAATTGAAAATAAGGAAAAAAAGAACATGTACAATTAGCTCGACACCAACCGACAGACGACACTCACACCACTCACCAGAACGGCACTATTTCTTATGTCTACCCGTCTCGACGGTTTTGATTTTTCTGGGACCTGGTTTGGGGCGTTGACGGCATATATCATGGGACGGCGTTTTCTGGAGGGCCATAAATTGGGCTCATTGCGGCTTTGGAGTTTCATGATTACAGCTCTATAATGGCCTGGATCGATCTATCTGCCACCACCACCACTGCTATTCTATTTTCTTTTGTGCGTATAGTACTCTTTTCACGATACCCCTTTTGGTTAAAGTACATGGAAGTAGAAAAACAATCCCTTGCAGGGGTCAGAATATAAGGGTCGAGGCACTGGGAATAGGATGGCTAGGTAGGGAGCTCTTGGAGGGGATGTAGTTAGTGCAGCTAAAGCAAATAAATAAACCCTAAAACGAACTTTGAAAACTCGCCAGTGTTGATGTACGCTTGACTAGCATGCTTCCTCAAAAGTATAGTGTCTGGAAATAAAACGACAGTTTTCGGTTTCTCTTAGTACACCGATGTCAAGAATGGGAGCCAACTATCTACCTACCTTAGCACTTCTATCTTCACAGTAGCAGAATATGTCCGAATCGCGAGCAAGGAAAAGCAAAGTGCTTCGATACATCATTCCAGACCAAGGGTAGGTAAAAGAGGGTGTATATCATCGCCTACTATCTATTCTATGGGAATAACAAAAACCGATAAAGCATTCCTCCCAAAGCACCTTAGTCTAGACTTCCTGTGCCGGAGTCTTGAATTAAAGCCTAAAATCAGACACATATCACGCTGGCAGCTCATCTAAAGTCTCGTCTACGTCCAGAGCTAAATGGGGGAATAGGAGGAGTTTCATAATGGGTTTTCTTAAGACGGCCTCCTTTCGCCTTTGCTCCGCTAAAGGTCGATCCTCAAGTGAACATCGCCGTAGGTGAAGACAGGATGGCGGCTTAAGACTTGGGCACATTAGGCGCATCGGCCGCAGTCTCCTCGGCCGTAGCAGCATGGTGATGGTGATGCTTCCCATCATCAGATCCTTTCTTGCCCTTCTTCTTGCCATCTTTCTCCTTCTTCGCTGCAGCCTCGGCAACGAGTTGCTCGAAGGCCATGTAGTCGCCTTCCTCCTCTGGGTTGCGTTGCGCCTGTGATTTATATTAGTTACCAAAAAACGCTGGCTATGTGTAATATGGGACAAGAAACCTACCTTTGAATAAATCTCGCCAGAGATTACGAGCGCCTGGGCACGCTCCAGCCTCTTTGACATAGGTACCTTCTTGTCGTTCAGGATCTCATCGCACACATCTCGCAACACGCTCTGAATCTCGAACTTGCTTCCACGCCACGCGGCAGTTAATATCTTTCCTGTTACGCGACGCTCGTACTCGACTTTCTTTTCGTCAGTCCAGTCTTCTCCTCCCTTCTCCTCAGCCTTTGCCATTTCTTCCATCGTCATCTGCGCATCGATCGCACTAGAAATTGTGTTCCAGGTCTCTTTTGCCAGCGTTCCCTTGTCCTTCAGTCTCGAGAAGAAACCGCCGATACCGAGAAACTTTTGGGATTTCAACAAGGCTGTAGCCTTTTGCATATAAGTCTGTCCAATCGCGTGTAGAATATCAAGCCCAAATGATTCCATCTTCAGATTCTCGACCTCCAGCCGGGTCTTTTCTTGGAAGGCTTCCGTGACATCGCGGCCCTTATCAGTTTCGGTCCATATGCTGATTCGGTCGACCAACTTCTTTGCTAGGGTGTCCACTCTCTCCTTTCGTATACGAGCTCGCTCTCTCTCATATTCCGCAAGCTCCTCGCGCTGGGCTTTCGTCAACCCGCCCTTCTTTTTGTCCTTCTTCCGCAGTTCTTTCTCCTCTTCAGTCAACCCCGCAGCAGACATCTGTGCGTCTTCCTCCGTCTTGTCCATAATCGCCTGGCGCATAGGGATGCCCGTCCTTCTTGGAGTAGACGTTCCAGACCCAACCGGACTCGGAGTGGCGGCAGCGGTACCAGTAGGCTTCTCAAATGGCGTAGAAGCCGGTGGGATATAATCCCCTTTATAATCCCCTTCCGCCGCGTCCGCGACCGATGGGCCCGGCACAGCATGTGAACTTTCCCCAGTTGTAGTCGCTGCAGCCGCTTGTCTCGCCTGCTCCTCCGTTAGACTTTCTTGTTTCGCGGCCTCCTCTCCAGGGAACTCCTCTTCTGCCTGTTGTTCCTGCATCGTGATATCCATTGTTCGGGTAAGATCTTTCATGAGCGAGATCTCGCCGATAAGATCTACGAACGCTTCCCCTCCAAAGATGGTGCCGAAGAACTCCGCAGGATCAGCGAACCCTTCTTGCGGCAGGGCATGATCTTTTCCATATTTGTCGTATGCTTTCCGCAGGTCAGTGTTGCTGAGCACTTGGTAGGCTTCACCGACGGTTTGGAACCTCGCATGTGCGGTCTCGTCGCCAGGGTTTTTATCTGCGCGCAGAGATCCGTTAGCATAAGGGCATCGATGTAAATACGGATGGCTTAGTGTAATCCGGCTTACCGGGATGTGTGACGATTGCCATCTTGCGATATGCCTTCTTGATCTCCAATTCCGAGGCATCTGGCTTGACGCCTAGCGCATCGTAATAAACTGTATCGGCAACCATGATGCTCAACTCAGTATAGCCACAAAGTCGGAAGACTAATCTTGTGCTGGGGCCGATATGGCCTTAAGTTCCAATTCCTTTGCTGCGCCGAGGGGGAAAATCAGATGGCACAGGAAGAGGTAGCACGAACAAAGGCTACGGCCAGGCCAGAGAGTGGAAGATAAAATGGAGTAGCGCCTGTAGCTGTATTTGTATAGAGGGGCAGATGCTTTGATGTGCCGGTGCCGGTGAAACCTGCGCGTAACCTGCGGTGTCTGGATACGTTTGATTTTGCAGTTTGGCACTTCGAAGTAAGACTGGCAGGTTGGAGGCTCTGGGAGGTTGCCGTAGATCAAAAGATCTGCGGGATGACGAAGCGGGATGTCAGGCGAAGCTAAATTTATCGAGTTCTTGAGTCTGTAGCACAGTGCCGCACGAGGCCGAACAGCACATGCACCAAAATGCAATTTTATTTTATCTACAAAGTAATCATTTTGCGCCTGCGCTTCGGCTGGTAATTGCTAATATAGTCTACAATAGCGATTTTTTATGGACAATTTTTTTTATACATATTCTTGTACTCGGCTCGACTCGACTAGGACTAGGAATCATGGACGGAACTTGTTTTGATTTGTATTCAATCGCTAACAGGCAGATATATATTCATTCTATTACGCAGAGACTTTTGGTAACGGCCAGATCTAGACAAATCTATTTGACGCCAGCAGCAGCCATTCTCTGGAAGCATCCCTTGTATGCCTCGTGGACCTCTGGTACCTCATAGCCGTACTCCTTAAGCTTCTTCTCCAACTTGGTGGTATCCAGCTTGCAGTTGCTTCGGCCGGCCTTGATGACCTTGGCCTGCTCCTCCAAGGTGAAGTTCTTCCAGGAGAAGTCTGGGCGAACGTACTCTTTGAACAGGCTGAGCACCTCGTTGTGGGAGATGGCGCCGGGGTTGGTGAAGTTGTAGATTCCGGTCTCCTTGTGCTCAGCAAGGAGGATGGAGGCAGGGAGGAGGTCGTGGAGGATGGTGTTGGAGTTGGGGATGTCAACGACACGCTCGTACTTGGCGATCTTAGTGACGAAGTTGCGGGAGTGCAAGTCATCGCTGACCGGCATACGTAGACGAAGGATGAGGCAGTTGGAGTAATACTTCATGACCTGGGAACAGTGTTAGATTGTGTATGGTCCTCAAACACAGGGGTTACTAACCTCTTCAACGTGTGCCTTTGTCTCTGAGTAGAAGGATCCATTAAAGTTGGCCTTGTCAGTCTCGAGGAATCCGGCGCCGCCAATGGGGTGAGCCTCGTCGTAGGCGTAGATGCAGCCAGTAGCGAAGACGGTGATATGGATGCCCTTGAGGAAGCAGCAGTCGGTCAGGTTAAGGGTACCAATGACATTGTTGCGAACGGTCTCCTCTTTGTGGTCCTCGCACCAGTCGACATTTGGGCGTCCAGTGGATCCAGCGGCGTTCAGGACATGAGTGGGCTTGACTCTCTCCAACTCGGCGATGACAGCCTCTCTGTTTTGCATGCGGATGGTGGTGGTGTGTACCTCCTTTCCTATTAGGTTATTGCCGTTAGTATTTGTCTATCGTGGGTATATAGGTATATAAGGTATATTGGAGGCGGCAGACATACCTTGGCTCTCAAGGAGGGTCTTCAAGTGGCCAGCAACCCAGCCCTCACCGCCCCAAATCAAATAAACGGGTTTGGCAGCCATGATTCTTGTGAAATAGGATGTGGTATTGGGGTATAATGGGGAGTTGAGCAGGAGGATCGAGTTGTATGTTGGATGGGAGAAGGTCGAGAATAATTAGTAAAAGGAGTCGGTGAGGGAGAACAGGAGGGGAGGGGAAAGGCGCAGAACAGCGCTAAACAATCATGGTGGGGGGAGAAAAGGTACAAGCTCTAAGGTACCAACTTACCAATACGATACGAGCACCTTAGGTAAGCATGGATGCGCCCTGCTGGTTTCCGCCACCAGCGCTGCTAGTTGCTCAGCTCAGGGGCTGGTGGGGGATAAAGAAATAACAACCTTTAAGGCTACCTTTACCTTACGTCACACGTGTAGCACTCGTACTTGGTAGCTATATCTTTTGGACTAAATTTATACGAGGAGTTCTGAAAAGGCTAACTGCAGCATCTTGCTCTAGCAGCCGTGGGTATATATATATAAATGTACATCAAGAATCGAAGTCCTCTAGAATACAACCTCAAAGAAGAGCCAGCTTGTCAAAAGTAAAGTACCTCTCAAAGGCTCAGTATGACACTCTATCATGTCTTGAGAATTATTCATAGATAGCGATATTTATCTCACCACGTTAGGAATGAACCCTGTATCGCTCTCCTTCGCCTAGATTATTTCTGGAAGACCTTCACATAATTCACAAGCCAGTAGGCGTCATCATATACTTCTGGGTGCGTGCGGGCGAATTGCTCACAGGTTCTCACTCCTGTTAACTTTTGACAGTCTTGCTCGCCGCCGTAACTAGCCCACTAAATAACTAGAGTCAGTATTCACAGTATAGTAGGATCCGAGACCAGACGGGCTCAAGGGGTTCAACACGAAGGGTATTTGAAGAAAACAGTTTCGAAGGAGCAGGGGCATTCTTACGGCCTGTCCGCCAGCTTCAGCTCCGCAAAATGTGGTATCGAAATACTAATGGTGGTTAGTTTGTTCTGTAGCCATTTAAGGTTTATGGACGGTCAGTACTCACGATGGTTTGGGCGGGGAAGTTGCTAGTAATATCACAACCCCCGTGTTGTTTCTCGAAGCTTGCATTTGGCAAACCCCATTTGCTTGGGTCCGGCGTTTCCGCAGTGATATCGGCCGGGATGGAGTTTCGGGGAAAGTAATATATGCGAATGAAGTTCTCATTCCACTCCATGGCATAAACTCCTCCACCTTGAGCGTTGAAGGGATCGCCATATGCCCCCTCAGGTCCCACCCCACTGCATCCATTTCCGGCGTCCAGTTGACAGTTTGTGTCTTGTTCGCTCACCTCACCGGTCTGGATCTTGCTGTTGGAGTTTGTAGGCGGTACAAAGCTGCATTCCCCCTTGGTGTGTAACGTCATGAAACTATTTGTCAAAGTACTATAGGATTCGACGATGTCAATTTCGCCGTATCCGGAGGTGTCCTTGTTGATGGTCCAGCTATTCAATAGCCAGATCAGCCAGTGGTTTAAGGTTACTCCACTCCATCACCAGGTAGATAGATCGTAAGATTACAAAGCAGGCCAGAGGCCGCAGGTACTGCTTGGCATATGAGCAAAGTCTCCGATCAGAAGGCCATATTTAAATTCTTGTTTGCTCGTAATCTAGGTGCTCTTTCGTCCCGCGCCAGATGAAGCTGGAATCAACGTAGTATTATCCACACCCATAAAGACCTGGTTGCCGACAATCCTGGTGAGGCCAGAGCTTTTTGCTTCGTCCAAAGAAACATAGTCAACAGTCCCCTCAGTTGGGTCGGGGCCCTAGAAATATGGCTAGGAGACCCAATTATTATGGATCGCATAACATACATCCTGATAATTGAAGCTAGCGAACCAATTGCTAGCGTCGTAAGTAGCAAGCTTTTTGCAATCGCCCCCATTTGAACTCATAGAGATGGGTTGGGGTACCAAAGTTGGTTGGGCTAATGCAACAGGTTTAGCCAGCAGTGGGGCTTCAACCAACGAAGTAGTGGAAGGGGTTGAAGTAGTTGGAGTTGGTGGAGGAGTTTCTTCGGGAAGCGAGACTTGAGGAGCAAAAGTTTGAGTTATCGGAGTATCTTGAGGCAATTCCTTGGGTGAAATATCTCGAGGGAGCGAAGCTAAGGGTAGTGAAGTTTGGGCCTCTGCAATTTGAGGCTGCGAACGTTGATGCGGTGAATGAACATGCCGGAAGCCACGCAGAGGTGAACGATGGAAAGTATAAACACAAGCACAGGATAACAAGATTGTCCAAATCCGCCATGGTAAAAGAGTGAATTGTACTTAAAAGTTCCAGTCAATGGATAAGGCTGATCATGAATAAAATGAATGTAGAATGTATACAGATGTAGGAGGATACAAGATGGGAGAGGCCACTTAACCTTTTGTGTCCAGCTGTTTCCCGGTTCATCACAACTCGTCTCCAAGCCTCCCGAGCTGATGAGGTGAATTCTCACATTCGAAGCGACATGTCCATAGTTATGATTAGGCAGGGATATCTAGAAACAGGGGATACTCCATATCATCTTCGCAGCGTGGAATGTCATGATAAGGGACATAGAGACTCATCGGGTAGGTTAGAAGACAGAACCTAGCCAGTTAGACCGGTAGAAGAGACATCGCCGAACACCTAATTTCAGCAAAGTTCGGTTGGTTATTACTTTGGGCCGGCAACCTCTGAGGAGAATAGCAAAAATTGGGCGTCTTAAATGACTAATAAATAAAAGCAATGGTCAATAATAGCTCCTGAGCATACCATAGTACGTATAAGAAACAGCTAGTTTCGTAGTTCCGTAGCGCAGAAGGATTATTTCCATTCTGTGTGGTGCCTCGACTCTATAGTCGTCTAGGTCAAGGATTTAATATCTACTACTCGCTCTTTGCTAAAACCCAGGTCCCCAGGGCGGAGGAAAGTAGCAGTCATCCATAACCATGGTGTTCCTTGACACTACTGTATTATGAGGAATGGCCCCTTTGAGAAACTGTAAACGGTCCGCTGGTACGACCTATGGGCGAGGGACAGCCTAGGAAATTGAAGGCTGCCATGCTCCCGAAACAAATGCAGTGGTCCATGTGAACAGTAAGCAATGCGAAACGATGGGGCATTCCCGCGCCGCTGGGCCAAGAGAAGGACCTAAGTTATAACTCGAAGCGGGGATGGGGAAACCGAAGATTCCGATACATTATTCATAAGCTTGACGCAAGGAAATTGAGAGGGAGACTCAGGGAGTCTAGTAGCATGGAGAGCATTCCGAACATTGAAATTTGAGACTCGTCGAGGGGGATTCTGAAGAAGACAGCCAGAAAAAAGTGTCGTCAGACAAATCTCCGGTAGATTAATTTCCGTGTTAAAATTGGGAATAGATATACAAAGTGGTAGAATGACGGGCAACAGAAAAGGAGAACCTAGCTAAGCCTTACTTCCTGGCACCTATCTTGCTCGCGATACTGAGACAAGCAGCCTGATGATGTGGGTTATTGACAGGTTAAAGTTATACTCATAGTAATACGGGGTAGAGACAGTCCTCAGCTCCTGCGCTTGACGTGGTTGTGGCTGACTGTGAATGCAGCTTACTAACTGTGGCTCAGCCCCCCCCGAACCCCCTTTTCTTTAGTGGCTTCCGCCTCCATCCGTGTCATAAACGCGAACTTCATACTTCCTGCTGCTCCCTTAACCCTATTTACGCACAGTTGGCCATCTTGCGCATTGCACTATCTCCTTGCTTCACAACTCTCATTCATTACTATTACCTTTATCTTTATTATTATATTCTCCTTTTGCTGTTTCAGATTCCATCCCTCTGGCGCGTAGGACCCACCGCCCCGGGGCACAGTTTGCCGTGTCAGCCGCATTTTCAGAACACGTTCCATTCTTATAATTTCCGTCTGCTGGAACCCGTCTCTGTACGTACGAAGCACGAAGCAGAATCAGCACGAGTCCGTCTCCGTCTCCGTCGCCATCGCGTTTGCAACGCAACACAACACAACACAACACAGCGCCGGCTACCTTACTCCAGGTACACGCGACAAGGCCTTCGTATTGCATTGCACTGCATAGCCCGATGCATGAATGAATCCGCTCTTTCATCACCGTCTCTAGAAAGCCGATAATCGCACGCACCCACGCCATCACATGATGTCCGACAAAACGTCAACTTCGGCCACCGCCGAAAATAGCATCCCCCTTTTGGCCCGGGACATTGAGGCTCAAGATGGAGGCAAAGACAAGGAATATGCCCCCGAGATGCCACCAGCAGCGTCAGCTCCCACGAAGCCATCCCGGGAAGCAAAGCGGAACTTTCTGGTCTGGACGGCGCTCAACATGCTGGCCACCATCGGTATCGTCTTCACCAACAAGGCAATCTTCAATGACCCAGCCTTCAAGCTAATGCAAACATCATTTGCATCTTTCCACTTTGTGTGTACCGGCTTAACGCTATGGGTTGTATCACGCCCTAGTATTGGGGCCTTTGTCCCAAAACGCGCAGGCATTGTCGAGATGCTTCCTGTATGTCCCCCCAATCACCTGACCTGGCACGTCTCCGAGATCATGTAGTGGTACTAACAACGGCCAGCTTGCATTCTCCATGTGCCTGAATGTTGTGCTCCCTAACTTCTCCCTCGCCTTTTGCACCGTTACAGTTTACCAGCTCTGCCGTGTCCTACTCACCCCGTTGACCGCCATAATCAACTACGTTTTCTACTCGGCCACCATCCCCCGGAGAGCGGCTTTAGCTTTGGTTCCTGTTTGTATTGGCGTTGGAGTAACCAGCTACTACGACACGAAACCCGCGGGCCCAGCCACCGCTGATGGGCCAGTGCAAACCACCAGCTTAATTGGGGTTATCTTTGCCCTCTCGGGTGTATGTGCGTCGTCAGCTTACACTGTGCTCATCGGCGCCTACCACAAGAAGCTCCAGATGTCCTCGTCGCAGTTACTGCTTAACCAGGCCCCGATTTCTTCCGTCATGTTATTATTCGCGGTCCCATTAGTGGACCACATTCCCGTTTTGGTCGATGTACCACGGTACCGCTGGCTAATGATTCTCATGAGTGGCGGCTTTGCGGCGCTGATTAACATCTCGCAATTCTTTATTGTTGCTGGTTCTGGCCCTGTTTCAAGCACGGTGGTGGGGCATTTGAAGACCGTGAGCATTGTGACTATTGGGTGGGCGTTGAGTGGGAGGGGTCTGACGGATATGGGCGCCTTCGGGATCTTGATAACTGTTGGCGGCATTGTCTAGTAAGTTGTGCGGTACCTCTTTTAATTGAAGATAACACGCTAATTTTTCGTTACAGTTATTCATCTATTATGCTGAATAAGCCAAAGGCATGATTTATGTCGAATTATCTACATTTTAATATGATGAGACTTTGGATGTATAACGTATCTAGGGAGCGTTATATCATTGGGTAAGGAAAATATAAGCTAGATCTCGATGATGCAATCTTCTTGTATAACAGCACGGTCTCGCCGATAGGGGTAATTGGTTTTTTTTAGAAGGTTGATGGGCGGTTGAAAAATTATACCATTTTCATGTTATTTATTTTGTACATAGCCTTTTATGCTTATTTCTGAGAGAGTTGAGAATACAATGTAGCACCACCAAGTGCCAAAACAATGCCTAAAGAGTCCTTTATGGTCAAGAGTCGTCCTTCACTGATCCACCCATACGAGAGGATGATGATTGTTTTTACACTATGGGATGTTAGATCCGCCGCCTCTTTCGACATTGGGGAGACTTACTTAGATGCAACATTAAAAGTCAAGGCACTCATACGACCGATTATTAAAAATTGGGACAGATTCTGGGAAGGGTCAGGCAAAGGATTCTCCAATGATGAATGAGCGGAGAGGCTTACAAGTAAAGCTGCGGCTACACCAGATAATAACAATGCGATGAGGGTATCATTCGGAATATGCGACACATCGGGGAGAGTATCCAAAAATGGGGCCAAAAAGGCCAAAAGCAATACTGATATGGGGGCCTGGTTGAGCAATAACTGAGGACTAGACACCGCAAAGTCCTTCATCTTCTTTCCAATCCAGACCTGATAGAATGCCGTGACTACGAAAGCCGCCGTGGCTATCGAGGCACCCAGGGTAGTTGTCCCCGCAGCTCCAGTGTTAGTGAGAGCAACACCCACACAGACGCTGGCTAGAGCTCCCATTGTTAGGCTTGTTATGGACTTTCCAAGGAAGAGGTACTGGAGTACGGCCACGCAGGGTGTAGTCATTATCTTGGCAAGTCTGCAGTATAGAGTCAGTCTTGGGGTTCTATTCTGGGAGGCTCGAATTCAAGGGTACTGAAGACGCACTGATAAAAGCCAATCGAATTGTAGGCCAAGCTAAGATTCCCCAGTATCAAGAATCCCGCAAAAAAGCTGCACAGCGGAATCATCTGCAAGAATGGCAAGCGAACCGGGACGAAGAGGTGGAATGGGGATCGGCTTGCCATCCACAGAACGATCGAGGTGCAGGCGAAATGCCACATGGCGAAAGATACCTGCATGTTCTTCAACTGGGGGTCCCGGAATATCCTAGATTGGCCGCATATAGGTAAGCACATATTTATATCAAGACCACCTTCAAGTGGCAAAATGTCCGGGGCCGCAGGTTCATGCTCCTCATACGCACCACTTATTGAGGAAGACCAGAGTAACCGTACTCATGATATTCAAACCAATGCAGGACATATCAATGATTTGCGTGCGTAGCCCCCTTTTGAGTTGCCCCCCATGGCGGCGCACTTGAGTGTGCCCAGGCTCATCCTCCGTCCCGCTCTCCCCCAGCAGCCTCGCACTGCTCATCTCAAGATCTGGCTCGGCCGCATCGGAGTTACCCATGGCGGGGCTTTCGAATGGTATGCGGGGAGCGAGGAGGTCGAAGGGCGAGTAGATCCGGCCAGCGAAGAGGGAGGATAGTTGTCCCTTGGTGTCCTAGTCGTCTTCGTACTACCACATAGCCGGTCAAAACAATGACCTGGTTACCAGTGTCGTGCGATTGGCGTGGTGTTGCTTACCCCAGCTGCCTATTCAGAGAGAATCGGAAGAGGAGCGGCATGGCGACGCTGGTTGCAGTTTGAATGGTCGAGAATGGAGGTGAAATGCAAAAGGAGTTCGAAATATGGTTGTCTGCAAGGCTGACAATGCCATGGGTTCAGGCTGCAAATTGGCGTGTTCGGGCGCGTCGTGCACTCCGTCGCAAATTATCTCTCGGCTGGGCTCAGCCCCAGCTATCGCCGATAGCGAGAAATCATTGCAGCGAGCGAGACCGAGAACGAAAGAGGAATACAACCTCTCAAGAGCAGATGGCTACTATCCCCGAATCCTCACCCCAGCGAAAACTGGTTTTGTTCGGAAAAGTAAGCACGACTGTTTTGTCGGCGATGCTAGCTGCGCTACTAGGTAGGGCGAGAAAGGGTGAAGTACAAAGCAGGCGAGCTATACAAGAGCTCGGAATAAATAAATGATAAGGACTGTGTATATCCCTCGGCTACATTACCACGATTCGAACGGCATCTTATATATATTTTAGGTCCTAGAATTGCAATGTGCAAGAGAGCTCGTAGTCGACTAAATATAATCAGATGTACAGTACTATGCCATATACTTAATTTGTGGATTTCAAACAATTTGTTAACGGGGGCAATCACCTGCGTGAACGGGCTTGCACTCAGTATGAAGTTAGTCAAGTCTATGTAGAAGCTGAAGGAGGCCAGCTTTTCAGGAGAGGTTCGGTGAATCGATGAGTTGGGTTTCCACGGAAGAGGTCGAAGAGGTCTTTCCCCCTATCCCACATAAAAAATGATTACTGCCTCTGGGACTTTGCATAGTAAATGTTTCCAAGGCCGTTTGCCCATCTAACGAGATACAACATGCTAGTGCGTTGCACAATAATGACTACATGTCTTCACTACCTTATCGATGGATATGGATCCTCACCTGAGTAATGGAAGAGGCAGCTTTACTGGCAACAGTGGGTGGATTAAGATGAGCAGGGAGAAGTGCACAAGGTGACGCCTGCAATTGGTGCGCCTGTAATACTCTAATTGGTGCGTTCTCGCACTCCGCGCTCCGTGCTCCACGAATCGTTCGGCTGGGTTCGGCCGGGGGGCTGCAGAAATTTGTACTGAAGCGAGCGAGACCGAGAGCGAAAGAGGAGAACACCATCTCAATAATAATAGCTCCAAATACTCACAACCACGCACACCCACATCCACACCTACACCCACACGACCTCATCCCCAACCTCATCCTCATCCTCATCCTCATCCTTCACCTACATCCACAGCTGAACAGAACACCATTCAGTCCTACATACCGCGCTCGCCTGTATTTGTCCAACCCCACTCTACGTGCCCTGCCATTATCTCCTGTACAGGATCTGGTCTCGTTCTCCTCTTTGGGTCCTAGGCCAACATCAACCTTCTAAGAATTTAATCAAATCCCCTTCTTCTACCTTTGTACTCTACACCCCAGCTTCCTCTACCTCTGGCTAGACCATTGCGCTTCTCCTTGTATCACCGCCGCACCACACGCTCTCCATCCGCCCAACGTCATCATGGGTCTTCTCAAGCAGCTCCTTTACTTCTCAGTCCATCCGCAGCAGCTGCGGTCAATAATACAATGGTGAGCCTGGAGCTGATCTGTGATGGTGGAACTGCCAATGCTAATCATTTGCCCCCTGCAGGAAAGTCTGGCACGACCCTGTCCACACGCGGAACCCTGCGAAGGAGTCGCCAACGCTCAAGCAATGTTTCCATTATCTCGAGTTAACCAGCCGGAGTTTTAGCTCTGTTATACAAGAGCTCAATCCCGAGTTGTTGGTCCCCGTTGCGCTATTCTATCTGATCCTGCGCGGGCTCGACACGATCGAAGATGACATGACCCTGTCGCTGGAGAAGAAGGAACCGCTCCTGAGAAATTTCCAGGATATCATCGAACAAGAGGGCTGGACGTTCGATGAGAATGGACCAGGCGAGAAGGATCGGGAGTTGCTCGTCCACTTCGACTGCGTGGTCGCAGAGTTCATCCAGGTGAAGCCTGAATACAGGGCGATCATCAAGGATATTACCCAACAGATGGGCAATGGGATGGCCGATTATGCAAACAATGCCGAGCATAATATCAATGGTGTAAACACTATTGCAGATTACGAGTTATACTGTCACTATGTTGCAGGTTTGGTGGGAGAAGGTTTGACGAGGCTGTTCGTGGAGAGTAAACTTGCCAACCCAGCCCTGCTCAGGCGGCCAGAATTGGCGGAGTCGATGGGCCAATTTTTACAGAAGACGAACATTATTCGCGATATCCGAGAGGACTTTGACGATAAGAGGCGCTTCTGGCCGAAGGAGATCTGGTCCAAGCACGTTGATAGGTTTGACGACTTGTTCGACCCTAAGAATATCCAAGCCGCATTGGCCTGCAGCTCCGAGATGGTCCTCAACTCTCTTCGGCACGCAGAGGAATGTCTATTCTACATGGCCGGCATCAAAGACCAATCGGTCTTTAACTTTGTAGCTATTCCACAATCAATGGCGATCGCGACACTAGAGCTCGTCTTTCAAAACCCAGATGTCTTCAAGAAGAACGTCAAGATCACCAAAGGAGATGCTTGCAAGTTAATGATGGAGTCGTCGCAAAACCTGCGGACGGTGTGCGATATCTTCAAACGATATGCCCAGAGGATACACAAGAAAAACAACCCGAAAGATCCAAACTTTCTCCAAATCAGCATTGCCTGTGGAAAGGTACGAAATTTCCAAGCTTTCATTAGCACGTTCACTAACGTCAATAGGTTGAGCAATTTATCGAGTCCATCTTTCCCACACAAGATCCCAAGGCTCTATCTTTGGTCCATGGCGCTGCTAAGGATACGAAGAAGGAGGCAGAAGACCAGGAGTCGAAGGGCGATATGTTCTGGCTCCTATTTGTCGCCCTCGGCACACTTGTGGTTATATCGACCTTGATGGTATGTATTTCTATTTACACCCTCAAAATACGCATCTTGCTAACGAATTCAAGATCGGGGCCGCATGGCTGATGGGAGCGCGATTCGACAAAGCCTTTTCTGAGCTATCGAAAGGCAGTTTCTTCCTCAAAGACAGTGAGCCTTCGCAGGCGATTGTTCACACACCTGAGCATGGGGAGCTATGATGATCCTTCGGATTCTTGTTCATTTTTTTCCCATGGTACATATTATTGATATTAATGTCTCGGGTCGGTAGTGGCGACCTCCCCCTTCCCCCCAATACTTCCACGACTTAATTACAAACGATGTACAATACAAGCATGCAGAGGCATAATATTACATATGCTACGTGCATCTACTAATGGAATCCATCTCTTTGCACAGTGACAGAACATATTTTATGAGGGCGTTGAGAAGTTGAGAAATAGCACACATGTCAAATTGCAATTCGGTCCTTTCAATGACTGTTGGTTGTGCCGAAGTTGTGCTGAAATTAAACTCTTGCGATTGCCCAGTGATGGGACGATGCCATAATCTCGGCCTTTGTGCCCGAGACGAATGGTATTGGATTGCAAACATATAATGAGATAGGACCATTGACGCTGGTCAATTTGGCATACTGCTATTGAACACCAGTTGCTGATCAGGTTAACAGTGGAAGATGGGAGGTCTTAGCAGCTTGTTCGGCAGCGATGCCTGATGAACATTTCTTCGTTTTTCGTCCTTCATCCGGTCATTTGGAACTTGGCCGGAACCCTCCCAGCAGTTTTGCTGGATGCATTTTGGAGCCTTCCAACCTCCATGTCAATAAAGCGAGACCCCTTGGCTTTCCAGTGGACGTACAGAACACTTTCCGATGAAACCCAACAGTTCTATTCCCCCTGCAATGACTATGAAATCTTACCATGCCTCGCTCGCCTAGAATGAAGTTCTAGTTAGCGGAAATTAATTCATTTTCAAAAAGGCGCAGCGTTTGCTTGTATACATAATATCTACCATGAGAAATAGATTAATTGACCGCTAGTCACATGCTTGTTTTATCGTTGTATTCCTCCTCGGTGATCTTTGGTATGGCGAAATTAGCCGTCTATGCACTTATGATAATCGTCAAATTATATCTTCCCTCACCTTCCTATTCCTGGGTTTTTTTGCTGAAACTCATGTACAATTTCCGGGGGGTGGTATAAGGAAGTCCCCGGTCTGTGATAGGTTCAAGGTTATCAATCCATCCAAGCAGGGATTCTACGGGGTAGCTATGGATAAGGATACCTCGGAGCACGTCCGGTAGTACGAAGTAAGTATATGTACTTGGATAGTTACTACGTACTAGTAGTTCGAATCCAGTCGCACCGGGTTCTAACTATCCAGGTGCTTCACGTAGGCTCTAGAGTACAGTACTGTACCTGTTACCCACATACATCCCCGGTCCAGACCCGGGCCCAAACATGATGTCTCTTCGATAAGTAAGACCTCCAGCTGTTTGTTACACCGAGGGTGGGAATATTAGGTTGTATTGGCTGCGGAACAAGCACCGTACTCGCAGAGTCGTAGGCACACGGCACACTGCAGTCTTTCATTTATTATCATTGTTATTGTTATTGTTATTATTAGGCCGACTGGCGCAGGCGAACGAGCGCGCGGCAGCGACAAACAATGTGGTCCAACGAGCGCAGCCAGCTCGTTGTTTCATGTTTCTCCAAGCCCCGGCCCCTTTGGGGCGTTTCGAAACAAAACCATGGCGCTGCGTAACTCGTACCTTGTTCGTCGGTACTGCGCAGGCCTGGCTTAGCCAGGGGCAGCCGGGGCGCCTCGTAGAGAAAGTTGGCTCCTCCTGAGGAAGCTTAGCTGCGCCCGACGACCAACAACGAGCAGAACGCTCTGTACGTAGAGCACTGCGTGCTAGGTGCTAGGTGCGGAGGGCAGCCGTTAATGAAAGGGTAAATCCCAGAGGAACCCAACCCAAGCGGCTCAACTGTGAATCCCATCCTATCCTGTCTGTCAATTACAAAGTCCCTGTTGACACTCCCTCCCCCCTACTCCTGTGATTCACTACTACAAAGTACAAAGTAGAGTAGCTCCGGTGCCATAGCTACCTACAGTACTCGAGTAGCTACTCTTTCCTGCTCTGCCGTTCACTATACTTCACTTCCCTTCTTTCCCATCCCATCTCGACAGCTACAGTGCTACCGTGTCACCTTTTAAGATAATAATTCTTCTTTCCTTCTCTCTCTCCTCTCTCCCCGCGCCATCAATCGTCAACGTCGAAACTCCTCCCCAGTTACCCTCCATATCACCACGTATCACGCTGGTAATAAATCATAATCAACATGCGGGGCTTACTGGGAGCTGCAGCTGCGCTCCTCGCGGCCACGGCACAATGCGTCTCGGCCGTGAGACTCGATGTCACCAATGCTAGTAAGGCATCACAACAGCTGCTGGTTCCCATGCTAACCTACATATCTCCAGATTCCATAAAGGAATCGGCACGTACCATCGCCCACGGTATGATGACCTACTACTCCGGCAATGTCACCAATACCCCCCAGACGATCGGTGTCCTTCCTCCTCCCTACTACTGGTGGGAGGCTGGAGCCATGTGGGGTGCTCTGATGGATTATTACCACTTCACCGGCGATGCCTCGTACAACAAGGTTCTGACCGAAGCTCTCATGAGCCAGGTTGGTCCAAACTGGGATTTCATGGTTCCCCTACACCAGAAAGATGAAGGAAACGATGACCAGGCCTTTTGGGGATTTGCTGTCATGTCGGCGGCGGAGAAAGGCTTCCCACAGCCACAGGGCAGCCAGTACTCGTGGGTACAGCTCGTCGAGAGGCTTTGGAACACCCAGGTTCAGCGCTGGGGCACCGATCATTGCGGCGGAGGGCTGAGATGGCAGATCTTCGAGTCCAACAACGGCTACAACTACAAGAATACCGTTTCGAACGGCGCCTTCTTCCAGCTGTCTGCCCGGTTGGCCCGATTCACTGGCAATCAGACATATGTGGAATGGGCAGATAAATCCTATAACTGGGCAGCCGACCTTGGCCTGATCACCGATGAATACCACGTCTTCGATGGTGCAGACGTTCTGAAGAACTGCACATCCTTGACCAAAATCATGTGGACGTATAATGCTGGTATCTACCTATATGGGTCAGCAATGATGTACAACCATACCAATGGCGCCGGTGCGTGGAAACAGCGTACTCAAGGTTTCCTGGACGCCAGCACGAAATTCTTCAGCCCATTCGATAATGCAACCAGCGTCATGTACGAGCCTGCGTGCGAGACGGTCAACAGATGCAACACCGACCAGTACTCCTTCAAAGCCTACCTGTCACGCTTCATGTGGGCTAGCACCTTAATCGCACCATTCACTACTTCTACAGTCAATAGCCTTCTCACCAAGTCAGCCCAAGCCGCTGCGACCGCTTGCTCTGGGCCTACCGACGGTGTTACATGTGGTGCGAGGTGGTATGTGGGTGGCTTTGATGGCACGTTCGGCGTGGGCCAGCAGATGAGTGCACTGGAGACGATCCAAGGCCTATTGGTTTCTGGCACCGTTCCGCCGATGGTCGGTGGGCAGCAGAAGATTGTTCCACCAAGTCAAGGGGTAGAGAACTCGAAGAGCGCGGAGGCACCAACCATCTCTGCTTCGACTGCTGTGCCGAATACTCCTGAACAGAGTCCAAAGAGCGTACCCTCGTCAGTTGTGCCGGATACTCCTGAACAGAGTCCAAAGAGCGTGCCCTCGTCAGTTGTGCCGGATACTCCTGAACAGAGTCCAAAGAGCGTGCCCTCGTCAGTTGTCGTTACAACGGCCGTGACGACTATCTGTCCAAGCAGCGTGGTCTCGCCAGTTGCCCCGTCAGTTGCGTCGCCAATTGCTCCATCAGTTGCATCTCCAGTTGCCCCGTCAGTGGCATCATCAGATGCACCGCCAGCCGCACCGCCAACAGAATCTCCCATCGCATCATCAACCGCATCCCCAATCCCTTCCTCAGTCGCCGCGCCATCCGTCCCCTCGGCCTCCTCCGGAAGTGATTCTGCAGAGACACCAGGTAGTGTGGCTTCAGTGGTCGCCCCTGCGACACTCGTTCCCTCACCGATCGCCACTTCAATACTCATCGATTCATCAACCGGCCCCTCACCACACGTCCCTTCGATCTCGTTAGTCGCATCCCCCGCCGCCTCTCCGGCCGCTTCAAACGTGACATTTCAGAGTGGGGGCAGTGAGAGCTTGGGACAGCGACCAACGGAGCTCCTTTTGATAAGCTTCGGAATGGCCGTGCTCATGTTGAGATAGGGCAAAGGGAAGGATTATTAGGGCTAAAAGGGATTTGTTTTTGTGTTTTCCCATGTAGGGAGCATCAGCATTGGGTGGAGCGTACTTTTAATGGCATTAGATGGGCGTTGATACATAACTACCAGGTGCAGGATATGCATTCGCCAGTGCATCATCATGTTACGTAAGGTATTAGAGTACCTTGGTACCTAATTAGAGAATTTACTTTGTTCTAGAACTCCGATGATCAGAGCAGTGTCACATTGCGCAGAGTAAGGTTACTTGTAGTTTAGATACAAGACAAGAAGTAGATTCGCTTGTCATCTCCTCGAGGGCATATTAATGTTCCTTAAAGCTCCTTTCAAGCTCCTCTCCAACTCCTTTAAAGCTCTTCCTTCCAATGTCCTTGTCCGTTCCCCCTTCCGTGACCCCCTGCAATCACGTGAGTGGCTAACCAACCTCGGCCAACCCAACTGGTGGGTTGTGGCCCGTGCTCAGCCTTCCCGGCAACCCGCGCGTTGATTGGCCAACCCAGAAAGTTCGGCAGATGCTTGTACGTCATTAATGAATGAATTCAGATCGATCCGATCTGCCATCCCTGTGTAGCTGAGCCAAGTTCCTTGCTCCTTAGTTCGCACTTTATAAACAATATCCTGCATATCCTGCCTCAACAACGTCACCTACGCTAGACTCCTCGACGGGGTTTTTTAATTTTCGTTTTCCATTTTAGGTTTTATTTGTATCTACTGGCCAAATCGTATTTTATCTCGTGCTTGAACTTGCTTCCCTTGTCGCCCTCCGGAGCGCAATCGAATCGCAATCCCAGGTCGCAGTCGCGGGTCGCAGGTGAAACAACACGACTTGGTCAACAATATGGCCTACAATCAATTGCAGCACGGCGGTGCCGCAGATTCATATTACCAGCAAGCGCAAGCTCCTTACGAGCTGCAGGAGCAGCAGAAGCAGACGCAGGACCAGGGGCAGCGGGGATGGGAGCAACAACAGCAGCCGCCATACCCTCCACAAGCATACCAACAGCAACAGCAGCAACCCTACGCTCAGCCTCAACAGCCCCAGGCTTATCCTCAAGCTCCACCACCAAATTACGGCCAGGCACCACCGCCTACGGGGCCGCCAAATGAGAAGCACGACTTTGAGCAGAAATTCAAGGTTGACAAGCCCAAGTTCAATGATATCTGGGCTGCGCTTCTCTTCCTCGCAACCTTTGCGGGGTTCATCGCGGTCTCGGGGTTGAGTCTCTATGGGTACAGCCATACGAAGGGCCAGCAGGGGAGTGGAATATACAACTCTGGGCCGGAAGTGGCCTTGAATACCAATACCGTCATCCTATTGTAGGTGCTCGAGATTGGAGGCCTTCAATTGGCCGGTGCTGATTTTTGAATAGCATGTTTGTTCTGGCGGTTGCGTTTTTCCTGTCATTGGGGTATTTCTGGATCATCCGCGCTTTTACGAAACAGTAAGATATTATGTGCCCATAAAAGAGAACGGATTGTTAATACTAGATATAGGGCCATCTGGATAACAGGAATACTGCAGATCGTGTTTGGGATCGGGACTGCGATTGTGTACTTTGCAAGACATTGGTGTAAGTCTCCTTGAATCAATTTCTTCCTTTTATGCCATCCCCATATCGCATGCAGCATAGATGTATATTTAATACTCCTAATATCCTTAGCTCGGATTAGCTGACTTGTTCGATCACAGGGAGCGCTGGCATCGTCTACCTAATCTTCTCGATTTTCTACATCGTCTGCTTCATCAGCTGGATCCCTCGAATTCCCTTCTCCGTCTTACTGCTCCAAACCGTCATTGATGTCTCCAAAAACTATGGCCACGTCTTCATAGTGTCATGCATCGGTGGACTGGTCGCGACTGCTTTTGGCGCGTGGTTCTCCGTGACACTGGTTGCAGTGTACGCAAAGTATTATCCTGGGGCCCCCGGCTGTTCTGCCGGCGGCGGAAGTTGCAGCAAAGCCAAGGTTATCGGGCTCATTGTCTTCATTACATTTGCTGCGTACTGGATTACGGAGGTTATCAAGAACGTGATCCACGTTACAATTTCCGGTGTCTATGGCTCATGGTATTTCTGTTCTCAGAAACCAGAAGGATTCCCACGAGGAGCTACCCGAGGCGCATTCAAGCGCTCGATGACATACAGCTTCGGAAGTATTAGCTTCGGAAGCCTTTTGGTGGCTTTGATACAATGTCTCCGCCAAGCATGCAACATCGCCCAGCAAAATGAAGCAGCTCAAGGCAATATCGTTGGACAGATAATCTTTTGCGTATTACAGTGCTTCATCGGACTCCTCGAGTGGGCGGTGCGGTTTATAAACGAGTATGCGTTCTCGTACATTGCTCTTTATGGAAAAGCTTATATCCCGGCTGCAAAGGTATTTTCTCTCCACCATTCTTTGATATGCACCACTGACCATACGTCAAGACAACATGGCAGATGATGCGCGACCGCGGAATTGACGCCCTCATCAACGAATGCCTCATCAACCCCGTCCTCACTATGGGTGCTGTCTTCGTCGCCTACGTCTGCTCATTCCTAGCCTACCTCTACCTCTCATTTACGAAGCCTGCTTATAACGATGGGGACGCCTTTACCGCCGTCGTCATGGCGTTTGCTTTCCTTGTCGGATTGCAAATCTGCAATATCTTCATGGTGCCGATTAAGAGTGGCACCGCGACACTCTTTGTCGCTATGGCGTTTGACCCAGAGGTCTTGATCCACGAGTATCCTGATCTATGGAGGAGGATGGTCAATGTTTACCCGCATGTCCAGCAAGCTGTGCATGTTTAGTTAGGTTATATATTGCAACCTAGGGGGAAGTTTGTTGGAGGAATGTTTACTGCTACTGGCGTTAAACAAGGCGAGGAAGAAGCATCCGAGCATAGGTGTGGAGTAGACTCTTGGGGCGGGGGTGAGTTGTTATAGCTGCAGGGACGGAACGGAGATACCCCGATAATGCTACTATGAATAGTTTGTAATCGCTAATACATATTATCTCTTTAATAAATCTTTCAATTGTATTGGAGAGCTACCAGGCTCCAGTGTAGATACCGGATACCTAGAATAGGGGTAAGTCTACAAAGAGGGATATGAATATACGAAAAGTCTGTGGAGTTGTTGAAGTGGAGCCATAATTATATGTGACATGCCACACTTTAAACTATAAATTCGCAGGAACTAAAAGACACGTTTAGCTCTTTAGATACTTAATTAGGTAAGTAGAATATTATATTTATAAGGGTTAAGGTTACAGTTCACCAAGGTAAGCAAAGGGATTTGTGCAACTCCATCCTATTACGCCTCCTCCTGTGTGGTTAAATACAGATCCACAATCCAAGGCTTATTCCGAGCTTTGTACCCATCACCCATTATACTAGCATTGACTATCAACGTCTCCTCCCCAGACCTCCCCTCCGATTTTGCATTTCCCATCTCCACAGCCCCTGGGAAGGGGTTCTGTAGCCGTTCCCTCCAAACGGTGGCATCATCTCCCCTCATCTTTCTGTCCCTATCCCAACTTATGGCCATTCCTCCGGCGCCAGCATGAACGTGCCCATGAGCTAGTAACGATGGCCTGGCCCTGCTAACCGCCCTTAATAGATTCTCGCATCCGATATTCCCAATTTGACACTCGTCAAGAATCCCCCTGGGTGGACCATGTGTCATTATAATATCAATATTAGCCTCGCCGTCGGGAACTGGGTTGGTTGCAATGCTGTGTTTGCCATCCCCTGCATCTTCTGGCAGCAGGTTGAATCTGTCTTGGTCGCGGCGATATTGGAATGCCCATGGTTCAGATGCCTCTGGATAAGGCGTATATGGATTGGCATAAACCCGCACTACCGTACCACTTCGTAACACAAACCTATGCGTACCCTCCGTCAAATAGGTAACGTCTGCCCGCTTCACTTCGTCGCTCTGGGTCATTAGCTCTATTGCTTGTTCATGCAGCTCCATCCATTTAGTCGCACCTCCCACGTTTCGTTCCCTATTTCCCTGGTCCATATCTTGACGCGCGCAGAAATCATGGTCTAGCGACAAATCATGGTTCCCAGGAATAACCAACTTCAGCTCCGCCGGGATGAGGGCGAGCATTTGGAGGGCCTTCTTAAGTGATGGGAGATCACCGTATTCCGTGAGGTCGCCACAGTGCAAGAGGATATCGGATTTAGGTAGGGGGAGGTTGAGAACTCCGGCTTTTGGGGAGAAATAGTTAAAGTCGAGCGTATCAGAGAGGATGAAGATACGCGTTTTGATTCTTGTTGGTGTCGACATTTTATTCAGAGGCTGTAATTGTTGTATTAGTGGAGAAGGACAACCTGTTATATAGATGACTAGAGGAATGCCTGAGGAAAGCTAAGCATCGTAGAATAACTTGAAATCGAAGTAGTTTTAAGGAAATGTACAAGAAAGGACCTCTGCGTTATTAAGGTAAGAAATAAGAATAAAAGGATGGAGACTAAATGTATACCTACCTACCTTAGGTAGGTACTTTAACTCCGAATACCTTGAGGGGGCGTGGTTCTAGAATGACACTAGCATTGCGAAGTCTAGTTTGGCTAGGTATCCTAGGTAGGTCAAAGAGCATATCCCACAGACTCATTCCTAACTAAAATGATTCGTAAATGTGGGTGCTTCAGTACGTTCTTACTTGTAGGAGTAGACTCGAATCCGGGGTGGAAAGTCTTATATACTCCTACCCCTGCCGGTGCCAAACCCCGCGAAAGAGACGTCGCGTCGCGTCCACCTCCAATTCTTGACCTCAAACACTCAGGTCATTGTGCCTGCTACCCAGCAAGCACAACCACTATCACAGCCATAGCCACAGCCATGTCGAGGATACATGAACATGGACTACGAATCTATCCACGGCCCAGGCATCTCTAACTTTTCCTCGTCCTCCCCGCGTAAGACCCCCGTTGACCCCTCTTACTCCCTCCTCAATCTGACCCGAGCTCGCTCTATTAGATCGCATGCCCACCGTCTCAGCAGCCCAGGCTCTCCAAGACCTCAAAGAATCCCCCTCGCGATGCATATCCACAGGGCTGCCCCTTCTTGACCGCGCGCTTCAGAATAAACCCCAGTTGGTCCGGGGAAACGAGTCGGAACCCGTCGCTGGCGGGATATCCAGAGGGAAGGTCACCGAGATCTATGGCCCCCCAGGCGTGGGTAAAACTGCACTTGGGTGAGCAGTGCCCCGAGAAAACTACCTAGGACCTCTGCTAAAATAGGGTCCTAGTATTCAGTTGGCCATCAGCGCATTAACTGCTGGCGAGGGCGTGGTCTGGGTAGGTAGGTCACACTGCTCTTATGTTCTTAATACCTTGATATGCCGCTGTAGGCTGGTGGAAGGGTTATCTTTGCTTGAAGTTCCATCCTGGAATAAACCCAAAACATAGACTACAGTTTATATTTTCAACTCGTGGGCGTTCAAGCCCCAGAGTCTGCCATGCTCCAAAGTCGGGCCTCTTTGGCCTACTCTCTCTTGTCACAACCGCCCGTTGGGGAGGCATTAGACGTTTCAAGGCCTATCTCTTTAATACTAACATGTCTATGGCGTAGATGCTTCACATCCTATACCAGCTCTTCGATTTGCTCAGATGCTAGATTCTCCTCGTCAAGCTCGGGCTGAATTAAAAACATGCTCCCCGTCAGCACCTTCCCCCTCGTCAGATCTTCTAGAGAATTTAGTCCATTTCTCAACGCCAACGCTTGCACATCTCCTCGCTTTATTTTGTCGTTCAACAACAGACCATCCACGGCCCAATACCAGTCTTATTGTTATTGACTCCTTCTCTACGCTCATCAGTACTGCATTTCCCCGCCCAGTAAATGCCGCAGCAGGACCTAAAACTCCACACGGTAAATTGCACCCCTACGCATTTTCATAACGTGAAGTTGATTTCGCTAACTTTCACTAGCACCAAATCCATCCGCGCGCAAGTTCCCCATTCTTCAGCACTTGCTCAATACTCTCCAGAAGCTCGCCGCTACTAGGAACATTGCTATAGTCATCTGTTCACGATGCGTTACCAAAATGCGCCCCGGCATAGGAGCTGTCCTGGTTCCAGCTATCAACTCAACAACTTGGGACCATGGCCTTGGTTGTAGGGTTGGTCTGTTTCGAGATTGGGGTTGGATTGACGACGAGGGTAAGCCAATCAACGACGTGAGATTAGCTGAAGTCATTAAGGCGGAGGGTGTGACACTTCATAATAAGAAGGTGTGGCTGGTGGGGTTTTCCGTGGATGAGGTATGTCAAGCCTGGTTTGCACTCGATTATCGTGCGATGGGGCAGTAGTTGTGGCACAAAGTATGAGTAATTAACCAAAAGTATCCGTTAGGCTGGATTAATTCCATTGCCGCTCCCTACGATTTCTGCCCTCGAATCAAATCATCAACCATTATCTACGGCATTAAACAAGCCTATTGTCACAAAGCTTCCCCAGAAACGCAAATTCTCAACAGCCGATCTCGAAGTCCCTGATAGCGAAGGTGATGATGACGAAGACTACGGATGGGCCGAAGAGGACGAGGATGATATTCCACCCATGCCGCCCCAGTGGCAAGGAAGTGAGGACATCTTGATACCCGCCCCGGGAGAATTGGAGGCGGATGATGGAGACGAGGAACAGAACTCGGAACAGGAAGTTGACGAAGGCCATGGGCCGGTAGTTGGTTTAACAGAGATAGAAGACAGCGAGGACGAACTCGCCCTTTGACCAATATACTGCAACCAGTTGCTGTCCCAAGTTGCAATAGCTTGTCTACCTAGTGGGTATGTAGCTAGGTAGGTAGTCATGCACATGTGAAGCTCCAGGGTATTTTAAAGCATGGATGCAACACTATCATTCTTCTGAAATTATAAAGAGGAAGTAAGCAAGTCTCATTGTCATCTCGCGACTCTTCCATTTCATTTATTGAGAGCAGGAAGCCAATCACTATAACCTCTTCGTTGTGTTTTGAATTTCTACTCCGTATGCTATAGGCCGAGCCAGCTGGGCTGCGGGAACCCGGTTGGTTTAGTGTTCAGGTCCTAAGCGAGCCCCTTGCGCGATGATCTCATTCTTCTTTGCCATCCCATCAAATATGGGGAATTCTACTTTTATACGCCAGCAACAACGCCAAATGATCGCCAATGGGAATATAGAATGGAGTAACACTAAATTTCCTTGATCATTTGTCAATGTCAACATTCCCCGCTTAAAAGCTCGAGCCGGCTATGACGTATATGCTCACAACCCATTTTATATGTCAATACCAACACAAGGACGTCGCGATGCCTCATCTTCTACATCACAACTCAGCTCCTGTTGGTGCTATTTTGCTACTGCGTTCAATTAAATTCCACCTTCACTTGAGAGCGGTGCTGCATAATGCCAACCACAACCACAGACCCGGCTTCCGTCGCCGGGCCACCACCACCGCGCCTAGAACAAGAACGAATCGTCGACAAGCCCAAAGTCGTCGAGTCCGTGCCAGAAGAAGCTCCTACAGAGAGTCATGAACTCGCCAACGCAGATCATGATCAAAAGGGCGCTGCACAGCTGGATCATGGCCAGACCGAAGTGCGCGATCTGGGATGGAGTGAGGATCCTGTCGATGTGCCGAAACCCCTCGTCGGAGGTTTGTCTAATGACGAGTTATGGACCCTAATAAGACGTTTTAATAAGGTAAGGAAGGGCCTCATCAGCTCATTTATAGATTGCCTTGATATAGCGCAGGAAGAAATTGACTTGAAAACAGCAAATGTACCACGTTAAACAACTTCCCGAACCACCACTTGGGGGCCTCGATCTTAATATCGCCGATCAGGAGGAGTTTTCTCCAGATAAACTACGAGCAAGTATGGAGCGGTTATATATGACAGTTGTAGTAGGCATGGTCGGGTTCTACAAACATGTTGCAAGGATTCGATCATGGCGAGAGCGTAACCGTACTATTGCCTTCGCAACCGTCTATTTTACGGCATGGGCCGTCGACTTTCTCGTTCCGGTCATCACAGCTTTCATCATGCTGTTAATTGTCTATTCGCCCGCGAGGGATTATTGTTTTCCGCCTGCACCTATAGCTTTGATCGACTCTACTACCGGGGGAGTGAAGAAGCCGCCTGCGGGTGTTCTAGGAAGCGACAACAGTCTCACTGGCGCGCCCGAGAAGCATCCCGGAGAAGCTGTCGAGCAAGAAGCAAGTAACTTTGTCGACGGTTTTGCCTCAATAGCGATCAGCAGCGCGGCGGGAAAGCATCCCCAGGGCGATCCTCATCCTGATGAGGAGGAAAAAAGTAGTCTTGAAAAAGCGGCTCCAGACCCAACTAACGTAGCTATGAATGCTGCAGATGCAAAGGCCAAGAGTGCCGGCGATCAACCCAATGCGGCACATGATAAAACCAAGGAGCCAGTATCTGCTGTCATGTGGTCAAAAGCAAGACCTGTTATGCACGTACTATCCGGCATTGCTGATGGCTGGGAGCGCTTTGGAAATGCCCTATCACCTACTCCACCTTTCCCCAAGGAAAAGCCGCGGATTAAGCTTGCTTCCGTCCTGTTACCTGTCTTCCTGGCCTCGATGTTCACCAGCTCATATTTGTTTATGAAGATAAATTGGTTCTTCTTCGGATTCGGTCTCTTTGGCGACCCAGTGATCTGGCGTGGCTTGTCGTACCTCAATAGAGAGTTTCCTAACTGGACAAAGCTACTTGAAATTAAAAACAACGTACTCAAGGGTGTACCTACAAATGCACAGCTCGCTATTACTCTACTCCGAATCGGAGAAGCGAATAAAGCACCTCTTCCACCGCCGCCATATTCTGGTCCTCCGCCACCAGATGCCGCGCATAAGACCGCTGGCGAGAACCTCGAGCATCTAGGTAAGTATCCAAGTACGAACTTTAGAAGATATTTCCAATACTCACTTAACTTTATGGAAGATGCGTCAGACGCCGAGGTAGCTGATGCTATCCATCCCGACCCGACCACCTCCACAAAAGCCGACGAGGATGCTGCAAAACCGAAGAAGAAACATGGCCACCGCATCATCGCTGCCATGAAGCAAGCCACAAAAGGCGGCGTCCAGACCATCTTAGGAACCGACCGCCTAAAGGCAGCGGCGGGAGCGGAACCTTCCAAGAATCGCCTTGGTGTCTTGAGGTCAGGCCCCCCAACCGATTCTGGGCCGATCGACTTCCCATCCAGGTTCCGGGGGAAGAAGGGACATGCGTATATCACAACGACAGCGACAAGTCCTGCCCTAAGCTGGACAACGGAAAAGGAGGATATTGATCCTATTTGGTCGGTTGCTGTCGCCGATATCAAGGTTCGTAGATTTCCCGTCATTTCATATTTTCTCCCTTGTCTGGTCCACCTCCTCTCTTCTTTTTCTTGACCCACTTGCTAACCCTCTTGTACCAAAAAGGAAATAAAAAAGGTAGGCGGTTTCGGCTGGAAGGCGAAACTTGTCGTGGGATGGGCAACGTCGCGAGAGATCGCAGATGGACTTATCATAACTGATAAAGATGGGAATGAGAAGCATCTCACTGCTATTGCACTAAGAGACGAGCTGTTTAATCGCTTGGTTTCAATGGGTGGTCAAATGTGGGAGTCTTGGTGATTTCGCAGCCCTATGTTATGTTATATACCTAGTATATTGGGGTGTAAAATTATACTTACAGTAGGGATTTTTTATTGAGCGAAGTTATACCCTTATATACGCAGGGCTAGAGGTTCGAGTTGCTGTATATCATAATGAACGAAAATTATAACTCCCATTAGTATTATTTGCGTGTTTGCTTGTTTCAAGTAAGAATAGTCTATGTCTATAATCGTAGCATCATTGACGGCATGATGCACGTACCAGCTATTGTCGAGGCCATCTGCTGGTTGTCGAGAGTCCCAAGGGCATCATCGGTGGATTATCGATGCCCTGGTGATGGTATCTCTCGTGGACCACCAGGCTAAAATCTAGTCTGGCCATACTTGTTGTTCCTCGTAATTTGGTAAATAACCCCAATCAGAGGATCGGTTGGGGTTGTCCTTTCAGGCGTCCTAGTTTGAGATGTTCCAGAGAGTGTCAGATGAATACACGCTGAGATCTGTCTGAGATACCACTCGCAATTCCCTAAATACAGCCAAACCATCCTGAGACTTTGACAATTGGTGCCCACCCAAGAGATCTACATCGCCAAATTATGAAGTCGACCTCCGCTCTTCCTCACACTCCAATAAGCAGTAGGAATTATAAATTCACATACAACTTCATGTTGTTTGTCATGCCAGACCTTCAGTGTCATAAGTCAACGACGGAAGTGTGTCGAGGTTGGGCATTCGGGGCACTCTTACCCTATAATCCGAAAAATAAATGAAGTACTATATTAATTAGGATATAAGGCCATCTAAATTCCAACTCAAAGTAAAATAGTTCACGAGGTCTAAGAAACAGTGGACTCTATATTGTTATATATCTTAAATCTCGCAAATATTCGGCTTTAGTTAAAGGGTTATATGGCCCCCCACCCACATAGTTAAAAGTTATGTAGGGGGCCGCCAATATTAAAGTAAATTCTAAAGGCCGATTGGCATCAAGGAGTAATCTCCTGATGCAGAAGAAATGGCACAAGTCACATATTGAGCACAGAATCACTTTAAACTGGTCTGCTAGATGCATCCGACTTCTGGGAAACAATAACAATTCTTAGCCCAATATCCATATCTCGCACCTGCAAACTTCCCTTATCCCCACCTCAGGTATTAGGCACCGGTGACCTGGTGGCTGGGTAGGTGTCGGGGGGGCTCGCCAACGGGTGTGGGTTATCCCACTGTAGTATCTTGCCTATGGCAAGGTAGTGCATGTATTGCTTGCTAACCCCAATGTTTGCATAAATTCATCAAGCTAGCTGAAATCGCATAGGCAGAGCAGAGTTAAGTTATTCTCTGAGAAATGGAGATCACCGTCAAATCACGCAAAGTTATGTCTATCCAAAACGACAGATGGAGTGCGAGGATTGCAATGGTATTATATATTAGATTCATGGGGCCTCTAGAAGTTAGACGACCCCGGAAAGACTGAAGGTCCGGAGTAGAGAATGACTTTCTTCCCCTTGGTCGTTCAACGTCCTGTGACTCGTATGGGGGCATCGACAAGTGACAAAATACGCGAGACTAATTGGCGCGGTTGTAAGCTACCTAGGGAACCTGATGTTGAGCATAGTTAAACTACATGATAACAGTACCCCCTGGGAGTAAAGTTCTGTGGAGTACCGCAGCATATAAGAATGTATTGCCTTAAAACCTAGAGTTGGGCCTGTGTTCTTTCAAATTTCATATCTTCGACCCCATAAAAATTCTTAATAAGAGCAAACCAATAGCACATATCTGTTCATCACATCTTCGGGCGACATAAAGCCGGGCGATTTGCACTGTCGGAGTAATTTAGGCCACCGTGGACCAATACATATTCCGTAGACGCGGGCCAACGAGCATCGAGTTCATAGCTTACGAGGCTGAGACATACATATCTTCGACAACTTTGGCACTCGATAATTACAATAGCATTCAAAAAGGCTAAGGGATGTACCCCACCTTTGGGGCTTTGTACTCTGTATAGCTATGGCTGCTCACCGTGTACGGAATAGGTATATGATGAACGCCTTTTGGCCTTCGATTTCCCAATATTGATTTGCCGAAATAAGCCGAGACCCCTACCCTGATGTAACAGACTGAAGCTCCATCTCAACTTGCCCTAGTTTAATAGTCGGCGTAGTCTCGGGTTCACATCGGGTCATCGAACATTTTTAAAGCGGAGAAGAAAGAAAAAATATCTGCGCAAAATATCCATCAAACTACCTCTTTAGTCTCTTGCTTGGTCATCGACTATTGCACTAGTTTTAGTCTCCTAGATAAACAACCCCCTTCCTCCAGAGCCAGGGAATAAAGCCGCCTTATCCGTGTTTAAATGACGTGAGCCACAGCGGTTGCCCTGACGTTAGCTGATGATCAGATCTGCGCCTATTATCCCTTGGCCCGCTAGAATGTTGATAGGTGGTGCCACTGGGCCTTTCTTGGGAAGCTAGGAAGGTGCAAAAATGTGGAGCAAAGGGAAAGACCTTTTTTGATGGGCGGGCTTAGAGCATTTTCTTGAAAAGCGGAGCACATCGGGGCCCCAGGTGACAGGACGATATCGGAATTTAGCAACTCCCGCAAGCGGAGGGCAAAAGCAAGAGAATGTGACCAAGAGGAACAAGCAATTTGAGATGCTATTGTACAGGGAAGAAAGGGTTAGCCTCGAACAAAAGCAAGAGGTCGACAAGGTGGGCGTAGAAAGTGGATAGTGGAAAGACGGAAATTATTTGTCTATCTATTGTGCCCCACGGTGGGGGTTGAGGAGAAAGGGCTCTTGTACTGTACATGACGTTGGCTATGTATTGATATATCCACTCTTTTGTCAACACCCTGGAGTGGAAAAGACACCGTGTAAGGTACAGTCCATACGGAGGAAGGTAGACAAGGGCAATAATAATAATAATGGGGAGGGATAGCTCGCAATACGACGGAGCGAAGATGGGAAATGTCCGCGATAGTAGGCATCTTGCCAGCTCCTCTTCTCAAGTCGGGAGTCGGCATTTTGGTGGAGCCGTAAATGCGTGTCCGCATGGGGAACTGCCCAGATGGGCAGTTGAATCTGGAGAGGTTCGAAAACGGGAACATCCTGGGGGTTGTAGATTTTAAAAGTATGTTGCGAATAAACTGCTACGTACCAGCTGCCAGGAAGGATGCTGCGAATGCACACCTCCCAGGCTGTACGAAATACAACGGATTGCAAAGCACGTGGGCGGTGTGCACGTGCGAGAGATCCCGCTTTCGGACCCAGCCTGGGTACGTACCTCTTTATGTAATCGGGCATCAATGACTTCGTATTCTTGAATATCACGGACTTTGATTGATGCACGGCATTGCTTGCTGCAACCGCAAAACCCCCTTTGGATCCACGCCAACCCACGGGGCATCATATCTCACGCCATGGCATGCGGAAATAGCAGGATGAGGTGATAAGGTGAGGTGAGCCTCGTCTCAGCAGATTGCAATTTGGAGGCCCCATCTAACCCACGTGCTGGTTGAATATACATGTCCTGTACCCACGATAACGGAACGCACTGATCTGCCGGCTCAATTGCGTTGCCAGGTCGCGCGCGTCAGCTCGCCCCATGGTTGGGATGGAAGGCGTCATTCTGGAGTCTGAACACCCCCACGCCTGGGCTCAACAAAGTTGTAAGTTGTTGGTCATTATTATATTATTGTGTGAAGCCGCAGAGCAAAAAGCAATTCTCCGTACGCGGATGCCGTGGAACCTGCTCCGCGACCTCTGCGACGACATGTCCGTGACCGCCAAGTACGAAATACGAAGCATCGCAGCCTCGCAGCATTGCTCTCAAGTCATCCGGGTGGTTTTGTTTTGCGGGGACTGGAGCCACTGGACCGCTGGCCGTTGGCCCCGCGGCTCTTGCTAGTCTTGAGCTGAGCCGTTCCGTGCAGATAAAAATACTTACTTCGACATCCTTGCTGGGAGATCGAGAAAAGGCAGGATGGATGCTGAGTTCCCTTGGGGCACGGCACTGCGCATTTGCCGCGTATCCTCTTCTATTTACCCAAGGCACAAATGGGGCTACAGTATCATACGGTGGTGTTATCACTGCTTCGGACTGCGCAGATTACTATTCCGGACGGCGGATTCAATATCTCTTGAGCAGATCCCCACCCCCACGCCCAACATGGGGTCCATCTACGATCAGAGCCCTCTCCGCATTCGGGATCTGTGATGGGAGGGATCATGGGACCATGGGACGAGCCGCGACTTGCCCCTTTTCCGTGCATGTTCTCCTGGCGCAGAGCAGCCTCGACTGTTGACGCCGCAGAATCTGGAATAATCACCAGCCTTCCAGCATTTAGGCTTATTCAGGCTTATCAATTCCTCCAAGCGCTCGTCGCATTGGTGTTCCAGCTGGTGGAAGGCGCCTTATCACTGCGGGGAGCTCCAGCGGGACCAGAGGGGCCCTGTATAACCAGCAGCCTGCTGAGTATCATGGAGTAGGTCCGGCAAAGGTGACCGTAACCAGAACTGCAGAGTACAGAACAGAACAGTGTAGCTAGGAGCTGAAGACAAGCAGCTATCTTTGGGGACTGTGCGTTGGTGCTCAGGGCCTTGGGCTTTGGGCAGGCGTGCTGGAACCCAGACAGTGCAGCTGACTTGAGGCTGATCAATTTGTCTGCGAGTCCGTGGCATTGTCACCCTTCGGCTTCCATTCTCATGTTGCTGTTCACCATGGATTTGCAAGTGCAGGTGACCTGTTGGGAACGATGTTCAGGCCAGGAAAGAAGAGAGAATTCTTTGAGAAGAGTGCTGACTGGTCAAGCCGGAATATTTTGGCCCTGCAACCATAGGCCAACAACCTATTTGTGGGCGTCCCACGCGGATGTGATGAGGGTATTCGAGGCATAAAGGTCAGCCCTGGTACAGGTACGGAGTAATTCCAGCCAGGTGGTTACCCGGATTTTCGGACCAAAATGTACGTGTATAATAAGCCTATGAGGAATAATGACACGCCCAGTGGTGCCTTT